GCCCAGTAGGAGATCGAATGAGATATCATACCCCAGACCCGGTCACCTCGGCCGACGCCCTCATCAACCTCGCGCACGACGACGATCCGACCGCGACGGGGCCGCTCGCGTTGCCGGCTCTGCCGCACGCCGCCGCCCCGCCGCCCTCGCCTCTCCCGCTCGACCTGTCGCCCGTCCTCGCGCTTACCAACGCCTACGCCGGCACCGACTACAACTTTGTCGGCCACGACGAGGGCGACTCGCGCTCGCCCTTCTTCCGCTCGGCGTCGACGTTTGTCGACCACGACGACCTCGCCGACGACGAGGACGACGAGGACGACGACATTGTCACGGTCAAGGTCGAGGAGGACGACGACGACGAGGTCGTCATGGCCGTCTCGTCCGAGCCGTCGTCACGGTCGTCGTCGGCGGTCCCTGCGTTCGACGCTCGGCTGCTCGCCAACGTCCGCGCCGCGTCGGCCGCCTCGTCGAGCAGCGACAGCGACGGGTTCGACCCCATGACGTTCGTCTCGGCGCCGATGCTCGCGACCGGCCTGCCCGTCCCGCAGCCGGCGCCGTCGCCCCCCGAGACAAGCGACTGGGCGCTCGGGCTCGACATGTTGGACGACGTCGACGTCGAGCACGGCGCTGTCGACTTTACCGCGCCCGAGACGATCGGCCTCGAAGAGCTCGACCTCGCGTGGGCCGGCGACGACGACGACTCGGTCTCGCCGGCGCCGGCGCCGGCCGTCAAGCAGTCGGCGCGCCCGCTCAACTTCACGATCCCGCGGTCGTCGTCGGGCGCGTTCCTGACGGGCTCGACGTACGAGCACTCGCACCGGTTCACGTCGCCGATGCCGTCGCCGCGCCGCACGTCGGCGTCCCGCGTGCCCCTCGTCGCCGACTTGGCCAAGAAGCCTCGCGCGCCCGTCACGCCCGCCCTGTCGCGCACGTCGTCCGGCGCCACCATCTTTGCCTCGCCCGCCAAGGCGCTCTCGTCGGCGGCGGTCGTCATGGAGCCCGTCGTCCCGCTCGAGCCGCCGACGGTCGCGACCGTCGTGCAGCGCGGCATTGTCGTCTTTTCGACCACGGCGACCGACCTCGCAACGGCGCGCACGACGTCGCTCCTGCGCCGGGTCGACACGGACTACGTCAACGCGACCGTGCTCCTGCAGGCGGCCGTCTCGTCGCCGCTCGAGCGCGCGTCGACCCTCGCGTCGCTCCTCGTCAAGGCCGACACGGTGCGCGTCCCGCACGCGTCCGAGCCGGGCGTCGAGGGCACCTGGGTCCCGCTCGACGTGGCGCGCGCCGTCGTCGACCTGTTCCCGACCCAGCTCGCGCACCTCGTCCCGTTCCTGTCGGACGACCTCGGCGCCCAGTTCCCCGAGCCGATCCCGACCATGCGCAGCGGCCTCAAGGCGGCGCTCGAGCAGAAATCCGGCGGTGGCGGCGACGACCTGAGCGCGCCCGTGCTCGGTTCGCCGGGCTTCGACGGCGCAGAGCTCGTGCGCAGGTGCGGCCCGCCGTCGAGCGTGCCGCGCTCGCACTCGCACGCGTCGTCGACGGCGGCGAGTCGGGGCAGCCCCTCGGCCTCGACGACGCCGTCGTCAAAGCGCTCGGCGGCGCCCATGTCGGCGGTCGTCCCGGCGCCCGACAGCGACGACGAGGACGGGCCCGACGGTGGCGGCGGCGACGACGACGACGAGGAGGAGGAGCCGGCGGTGACGACGCCCGTCTCGACTCGGTCAGCGACGCGCCGCAGCAACACTGCGGCAGCGCCGGCGCGCCCGTCGACTCGTCGCGCGAGCATCGCTGCGACCAAGCAGCAGCCGCAGCCGGTCTCACCTGCCGCCGAGCTCCAGCAGTCGCCGCCGAGGCGGTCGAGCCGGCGCCAGTCGACCGTCGCCAAGTGAGCTTCTCGTCGCCGTCCAACCTTCCCCCCCTCCCTCGTCCTCGCCCCGATCTCTCGCCTCGCGCTCGCGCTCTCTCCTTGTCGTTGTTGTCTGTCAAGGTGTACATACCGCCAGGTGCGTCACGGCCTCTCTCTCTCTCTCGTCGTCGTGCGCGCGCTCCTTTGAGCGATCGGGCTGACTCGGCCTGTTTCGCCTCGTCGCAGTCTTTCGCCCTCACGCCCTCGCGATGCCACCACTTCGTCCCTACCTCGACTCGACGAGCGCGACGTCGTTCCTCCTTGTTGCCACCCGGCGCGCTCCACCCCTCCTCGCTTCCTCCCCCCCTCCCTCCTCGGCCACTTCTTTGCCCTTCCCCCTCCTCCGCCCTGTGTGTAGCCTTTCCTCCTCTCCTTACCTTCCCTCTCGCCCTCTCTCTCTCTCTCTCTTTCTCTCCCACACCTCCCCCTCTCCTCTCGACCGACCGAACGAACCAGACCAGATACAAAGACGCGGCAGGGCGAATGTCGTGCAGTCAAAAGTTTCTCCTGCTCGGGGGCTCAAGCGGGGCGAAGTTGTCAATCGGTGCTCTCCCTCTCTCTCTTGCCCCGACTTCTGCGAGAGCCGAGAGAGCCAAGTCCTGCTAGCAAAAAGGTTTCTACGAGAGCCGTCTAGAGGAGAAAAGCCTCGCCGCTGCCGCTCAGGCCACCTCGGCATGAGTCGCCGCCCTGCCCTCGACGTCGTCCGGGCTCAGCGTCACGTACCCGCTCCCACTCCTGCCCTCCCACCTCCTCACGACGGCGCCCCACGCCCTCTCGACCCACGCCTCCCGCTCGCCCTCTCGCAGCGCCCTGACGCTCCCGTCTCGCTGCACGCGGTACACGTGCCCTTCGTCGCGCCAGCTCACCGTGTCGCCGAGCATGGCAAACGCCCACACGGGGAGCGCGAGGACTTCTCGCGCGCACCACGCGACGAGGTACGACGCGCCGGGTCCGTCGTGCGCTGGTGGGCGAGCGACGGTCGAGCGTGCTGGGGACGCGGGGAGGAGCGCGCGGTACAGGGCGGCGTCGACGAGGTACCAGGCGACGAGGTGCAGCGGGAGGAAGAGGTACGAGGGGAGGCGGAAGAGGTGGTGGAAGGCGAGGGCGCCGAGGAGACCCGAGAGGAGCGACTCGGTGAGAGGCTCGACCAGGGTCGACGCGCTGCCGGGGGAGGAACGCCGTCACGGTCAGTCACGAGGGAGAACGACGGGGCTGCACGAAGGAGAGAGAAAGAGAGAGAGCGGGACGCACAGGACCATGTACTTGCGGACGCGGATCCAGCGCACGCGGCGGCGGAAGAACTTTTGGAACGACATGCTGCCGACGGCGTTGCCGGCGACCTCGATGCCCATGGCGTGGCGCATGCCGAGCTCCTCCCACAGCGCGACGCCAATCTCGTTGTCCTCGCCGAGGTACTGGCCGAACGCGGCGAGGCCCGGCTCGTTGGTGACGCCGGGAGGCGGGAGGGGCAACTTGCCGCGCTCGCGCTTGAGCTCTGACGCGCGCTCGAGGTCCGACTTGCGGTACAGGCACGACTTGCCCGTGACGCACGACGCGACGGCGACGCGGTTGATGGCGAGGTACATCTTTGCGTGGGTCGAGCAGAGGTAGACCTGCTCGACGCGGGAACCGAGGAGCGCGTCCGGGTAGACGGCGAACGGGACGTGGTGCACGAGCCCGACCGGGTGCTTGGCGTCTCCTCCTGGAGAGAAGAGCGGGACCGAGCGCGAGAGGCACTCTGGCGAGGTGAGGACGTTCGAGTCGAGGACCCACAGGAGGTCAAACTTGGCCTGGCGGTACGGGCGGATGAGGTTGTTGATCTTTGGGTTGACGCCGACCGTGTCGTGGCCGATGACGAGCGTGCTGTCGACGTTCGGGTACCGGTGCTGGAGGTCGCGCACGAGCGGGATGGCCGGGTCGGCCTCGTCGGCGACGGACAAGACGAGCTCGAAGCGCGGGTAGTCCTGGCGGAACGACGCCTCGAGGTTGTCGTACAGGTTGCAGTCGAGGCCGCGGAGGGGCCGCAGGATGGACACGCCCGGGCACGTGGCAGGGTCGACGGGAGCAGGAGGAGGGTCGGAGGTGGGGAGGCGAGAGTAGCGCTTCTTGCTGTCGGCGAGGGGGGGGACAGGGTGAGTTGTCCGTTTCGGTGGAACGGACGAGAGAGACGAGACGGACGCCGTGTTGAGTCCAAGGAGGAAGACGGTCCACAGCGCAGAGTACCACACGCAGAAGGCGACACTGCGAGGCGAGGAGGAGGACGAGGTGAGCTCGCGACTTGCGGGTTGGGGGTGGGCGGGGATGCGACGCACCTGAGAGCTGTTGCCCACATGGTGCGCGTCGCTGCTGTCCCGGTAGAGCTGCGAGAGTGGCTTGGTCGAGATCGAGGTGGCCATCTCTCCTCCTCCTCCTCCTCCTCTCTCTCTCACCCTTTGCCTCTCTCTCGCCCGTCAGAGAGGATGAGCGCACCGCAGAGCCCCTCGAGGGACGCCTCTCAGTCGCCAGCACCGGCAACCGCCTCGCCTCGCAACCCTCGCAAGCGGTGAGTCGCCCAATCGCTCCTCCCCCCTCCCTCGCTCTCCACCCGCATCGTGCAGGCCCGCCTGCAGCGCACCCCACTGACACCGAGTCCTCCTCACCAAACAGCTCGCCCGCGTCGCGCTCCCCCTCGCCCCCAGCTCGGCGGGCTCGCCCCGCTTCGCCTCCTCCTCCTCCTCCTCCCGCCGCCGACCCCGCCAGCTCCCTCCCGCGCATCCACGACAATGACCCGCACCGCCGCCGCGAGCGAGAGCGCCAGATGCTCGCCCTCCAGCAAGACCCCACCGACGACCACCTCGTCATCAAGCCCCGTGTCGACCCGGCCCTCGAGGCCAAGCGCATGGCCAACACGCGCGCCGGCGGCGCCTACATCCCGCCCCACCGCCTGCGCGCCATGATGGCCGAGCAGGGCCAGCAAGACGACGCGTCCGACGAGTACCAGCGCTTGACGTGGGACGCCCTCCGCAAGAGCATCAACGGCCTCGTCAACAAGGTCAACACGGCCAACATCAAGCTCATCGTCCCCGAGGTGCGTCCCGCTTTTGTCTCCTTCCTGCCCGAGCGAGACTGACTCGACGGGTTGCCTACAGCTCTTTGGCGAGAACCTGATCCGCGGCAAGGGCCTCCTCGTCCGGTCCCTCATGCGCGCCCAGGCGTCGTCGCTCCCGTTCACGCCCATCTTTGCGTCCTTGACGGCCATCGTCAACACCAAGCTCCCCCAAGTCGGCGAGCTCCTCCTCCACCGGTTGATCCACCAGTTCCGCCGCAGCTTCAAGCGCAACGACAAGCCGACCATGACGGCGACGACCACCTTTATCGCCCAGCTCGTCAACCAGCAGGTCGCGCACGAGGTGCTCGCGCTCCAGGTCCTCGTCCTCCTCCTCGAGCGCCCGACCGACGACAGCGTCGAGATCGCCGTCTCGTTCATGCGCGAGGTCGGCGCCTTTCTCGCCGAGCACTCTGCGCGCGCCAACAACGGCATCTTTGACCGGTTCCGCACCATCCTCAACGAGAGCGACATCGACAAGCGCGTCCAGTACATGGTCGAGGTCCTGTTCCAGGTTCGCAAGGACCGCTTCAAGGACAACCCCGTCATCCCCGAAGGACTCGACCTCGTCGAGGAGGAGGACATGATCACGCACCGCATCTCGCTCGACGACGAGGTCCAGGTCCAGGAAATGCTCAGTGCGTCCCCCCTCTACTCGCCTCTCTCCTACTCGTTCGGCGGCCGGAGCCTGACCCATTCTCGGTTGCGCGCGCGCGCGCAGACGTCTTTAAGGTCGACCCCGAGTACAAGGCCCACGAGGCGGCCTACGCCGAGATCAAGCACGAGATCCTCGGCTCGGACGACGAGGAGGGCTCCGGGTCTGGGTCCGAGGGCGACACGGAGCAGGGCGCGAGCGACGACGAGGGCGAGAGCGACGTCGACGACGGCATCAAGGCCGACGGCACGGTCGACGTGCACGACCAGACGGGCGCCAACGTCGTCAACCTGCGCAGGACCATCTACCTCACCATCATGTCGGCGCTCGACTTTGAGGAGGCGACGCACAAGCTGCTCAAGCTCGACATTGCCGACGGCCAGGAGGTGCGTCCCACCTCTCTCTCTCTCTCTCTCTCTCTCTCTCGTGTGAGCCAGATACTGACTCGCCCGTCTACGGTGCGCGCAGAGCGAGCTGTGCAACATGGTCATCGAGTGCTGCTCGCAGGAGCGCACCTTCAGCAAGTTCTACGGCCTCATGGGCGAGCGCTTCTGCAAGCTGCACCAGAAGTGGGCCATGGCGTTCGAGCAGTGCTTCGCGACCTACTACCAGACGATCCACCGGTACGAGACGAACCGGCTGCGCAACATTGCGCGGTTCTTTGGCCACCTCGTCATGACGGACGCCCTGTCGTGGACCGTGTTCGAGTCGGTCAAGATGACCGAGGACGACACGACGTCGTCGTCGCGCATCTTTGTCAAGATCCTGTTCCAGGAAGTGACCGAGGGCATGGGCCTCAAGAACCTCGTCGAGCGCTTCAAGGACCCGAGCCTCGAGCACTACCTCGCCAACATGTTCCCGCTCAACAACCCAAAGGACACGCGCTTCTCGATCAACTTTTTCACCTCGATCGGGCTCGGCGCCGTCACCGAGAACATGCGCGAGCACCTCAAGCGCGCACCGGCCCTCATGGTGCGTCCGCTCGTCCTCTCCCTCTCTCTCTCTCTCTCCCCGACTCGGGTCGCACAGCCACTCACCCTCTTCCTTCTCTCCCTCCCTTCTCTCTCTCTCCTGTTCGCCCGCCCCCTCGCAGATGGAGCAACGTCGCCAACTCGAAGCCGCCGGCGCCACCTCGTCCGACTCGGACTCGTCGTCGTCCCTCTCGTCGTCGACCCTGTCCGAGTCGTCCGACTACTCGTCCGACGACTCGCGCCGCCGCCCCTCGTCGCGCCGCCGCGGCAGGTCCCGCTCGCGCTCGGTCGACAGCCGCGACAGCCGCAGTCGCAGCCGGACCCCGACGCGCCGCTCGGCCCGCGCGAGGTCGTACGACAGCCGCAGCCGCAGCAGGAGCCGCAGCCGCACGCCGCCGCGCAGGCGCTACTCGCCCTCGCGCTCGAGGTCCCGCTCGCGGTCGCGGTCGCGCACGCCGCCTCGCGGCGCTCGTCGCGCGCGCTCGCCGTCCCGCAGCCGCAGCCGCAGCCGCAGCCGCACCCGGCCGCCCGCCCCGCCGGCGCGCCGCAGCCGCCGCTCGCCCTCCGACTCGCGCTCGCGCTCGCGCTCGCCGCCGCCTGTGCGGCGAGATGTCGGCGGCGGCGGCGGCCGAGGGCGCTCGCCGTCGCCGCCGCCGCGCAATGGCGCAGGAGGAGCGGGAGGAGGAGCGGGAGGAGGAGCGGGAGGAGGAGGCAAGGCGTTCGTGCACCCGGACCGGATGCGGTTTGCTGGGGGCGACGCAGGGGGAGGGCGGGCGCCGCCGCCGCATCTCGCTGGAGGAGGTGGAGGCGGCGGAGGGCGAGGGGGAGGAGGAGGAGGGTACGTGCACCCGGACCGGCAGTTTGGCGGGCCACCGCCGCAGAGGGGCGGCGGGTACGGTGGTGGGTACGGCGGTGGAGGAGGGCCGCCGGGCGGCGGAGCGAGGCAGGCGCCGGCCGACGGTGGGTGGGGCAACAGGAGCGGAGGAGGGCGCTGAGTCGAGCTAAGGGACGCGCCGAGGGGCCCGTTCGAGCCAGGGGTTCTCTCTCTCTCTCTCCTTCCGTCGTATCCTGTACAAACGATGTGCTTGTCCTCCCCTTCTTTCGCTGCGTGCGCTCGAGTTGCGAGGAGAGCGAAATGCGCGAAGCGAGAGTGAGAGCGAGAGCGGGATCGAGCGAGAGACGGCGGCGGGTCGGGCACCGACAGTGACGGACACGCTGCAAGTTCCACGCGACGAGAGCCACACAAGTACACAGAGAGAGTCTCAGAAATCACCAGCTGCCCGCACCCCTCGCGCCCAGCTCGACCTCGACGTCGCGCAAGAACCCCCTCACGCCCTCGTCCTCGCCGAGCGCAATCACGCTCCCGTCCTCACTGCCGCTGCCCCACTGCGACGCCGAGAGCTCGACGTCGCTCTCGTCGGCCCAGACGCTCGCGGCCGGGTCGAGCGCGTCGCCGTCGTCGTCGTCGGACGACGCGGCGACGTCGAGGAGCGAAATGGTCGAGAGGGACGACGAGCGCGCGCCGCCGGCGGCCGAGTCGAACGTCCACGTCGTCCAGGGAGGCTGGTCGAGCTCGTCGTGATAGTCGTCAAGGAGCAGGGACGAAGAGGCCGACGACGGGTCGGGGAGGACAAACGTCTCTGCGACGGCGAGGGCGTGCGCCGCGTCGATGAGGAAGGCGGCGCCCGACGACGAGTCGTTGCTGCCGTCGTCCGAGCGCGCCGTCGACGCTGCCGTCGAGCGTGGCGAGGCCGGCGAGAGCGGCAGCGACGCCATGGGCGTGTCGCCGAGCCCGGGCGAGAGGACCGACGACGGCTCGAGCGACGCCCGCGTCTCGCCGCCGACGAGCCACCACCAGTCGCCCTCGCCGGCGCCGACGGCGCTCTGGCGGTTCCACTGCCGGACCTTGTCGGCCCAGGGCGGCGCGACAACCGACGACGACGACGATGATGACGTGGCGGCGGCACCGAGCTCGGCCTCGCCGCGCACGACGCGCTCGACCGTATCGCGGGTCACGAGCGCGTCGTCAAACACGATGCGCCACACGCGGCGACCGGCGTGCGGCGACTCGAGCTCGAGCGGCACGACGCCGACCTGTGTCGAGGCGCGCACGTCCGGGTCGAGGAGGCCCGCGGCCGCAAGACGGTTGACGACGACACGCAGGTGGTGCGCGTGGGTCGAGTAGGCCGAAGAGATGGTGGCGAACGAGTCGAGGGCCGAGGACGACAGGACGCGGAACGAAGAGAGCGGGTCGTGCGCCGAGGTCGAGGTCGACGGCGCCGGCGACGGGACGGCGAGGTCAAAGTCCGGGTCGACGGCGAGGACGAGCGTGACGGGCTCGGCGGCGGCGTGGTGCTGCGTCTCGTCGACGTGAGCGGCCTTGGCGACGCCGAAGAAGCGCGCAAACTCGAGCTTCTTGTCCTCGAGCGCGTCAAAGCCGGCCGGGGCCCTCCCCTTGCCCTTGACGGCAGTCCTCGCCGCCCTCCTGATGCCCGCCGTGTCGGCGCGCCACTTGCGGCGGTCGATGCCGCCGTCGCCAAACTGGTCGGCGAGCGCCCGCAGCGCGAGCGGCGCGTTGTGGACGAGGTTGTCCCACGCGCCGAACCCGGACGACGAGAACTGGCGCGCGGCCCCGAGGCCGACGTGGGCCGTGTGAGGGGTCGAGAAGCCGGCGTGAGGGCGCGGCGAGGGCCCGAAGCGTGCACGAGCGGCCGACGACAGGGGGCGGCCGGCGGGGCGAGAGGCGGCCGGTGCGGCGCGGGTCGCGAGGCGTGACGACGAGTACGGGCCTGGGCGGACGACGGCGCCCGTGCGGATCGTGTTGAACGTGCTCGCAAAGATCGAGTCGACGGCGGCGCGCCACGACGACGGGTGGGCGGCCGAGGACGAGGCGTGGCGGCGAGTCGCTGCGGCCGGCGGGTGGACGGGGCGCTGGAACTTGAGCGAGGGGCGGACGAGCTTGCTCGCTCCGCCCTTGGTCTGGAGGACGGCCGTGCGGCTGAGCACCTGTGTCGGCGGGCGAGCGAGGTTAGTGACCGTGAGGGCGGGTGGCGACCGGCCGCCGGCCAGGAGGGACAAGAGCGGGGCGCACCTCCTTGAAGGAGGCGAGCAGCGTGGGCGGTGGCCGCATGCTGAGCGAGTGCACTGCGGTGCGCTTGTAAAGTGCGTGGTGCTGAGCAGAAGGGTGGACGAGGGAGGACGAGGGTCGCCCCGCTCTTTGCACCGCCTCGCCGTGCCGAGCCGAGTCGCAAGTGTCTCGCCATTCTCGTCGCTCTCAGGCAGGCTGGACGGGCAGGGTCCATGCGCATTGCAGTTCTAGTAGAGGGATACGCGAGAAGAGGGTGGGAGAGAGTGACGCACGGACGCAGGCACAGCGACGGCAAGGTAAAATCGAGGGAGGAGGGAACAAGGAGAGGCTCGCGACGCCCGCGCTCACGCCGCATGCTGGCGCGCCTTCTCGTCGTTGTCCTGCAGGCCCAAGCTCGCGACGTACGCCATGCCGGGCGTCTGACCAGCAGACACGACCGACGGGCGGTGGTGTTGAGGGAGCGCCGGCGCCGCGAGCTGCGAGCCCGACGGCGCCGCAGGACGGGCCGCGCTCTGCTCCGTCGACTTGGTGTCTGTCGGTGCGCCCGAGTCAGCTCGTGCTCTTCGACTCGACTGAAGAGGAGGACAGCGAGGACGCACAGACGTAGTAGATCGAGCCCGTGAGGATGAACACGATGCCGAACCCGCGACCGCTGCGCGACGACAAGACCGAGTGTCAGGCTTCAGACGTCGCTCGAGACCAGAGGAGAGAGTTGGAGACGCACGAGGTGACCTTGTCGCCAAAGACCCACACGCTGAGGAACGTCTGCAGCACGCCGCGAACGGCTGCAGGGAGAGGCACGCCGAGGGCGAGGTCAGTCCGTGAGGATGCTGCCGCCGAGCCGAGAGAACGAGAGGTGGACGCACCTGCCGAGATCATGTGCGAGATGGGCGACGTGACCTTGATCGAGAGGAAGCCGGCGATGCAGATGAGGAAGCCAAAGACGCCCTGCCGAGGATCGTGCGCAGGCGGGTCAGACTTGCTCGACGGGAGCACGACGAGGCAGAGAGAGGGAGAGAGAGGACGCACCGTGACGAGCGCGCCAGTCATGAACGTGCCGAACCCCTCGCCGGCCTCGCCCGTGCCCATGAGCATGTCGAACACGACCCACACCTCGCCGCTGAGGATGACGAACGGCGCAATGACGATGGCCGACAGCAGGTTCGAGTAGTACGCGAGGTCGAGCGTGCCACTGACGACGCCGAGGCTGCGCTTGACGACGATGGCGTGCACGGCCGTCGTGACGGACGACGCGACGCCGAGCATGGTGCCGAGCAGGGTCGTGTGGATCTCGCCGCTGACGCCGAACCCGAACCCGATGCAGACGATGACGATGGCGATCAGGGTCGCCTGCGACGACTTGGAGCCGAGGAGGTACCACGAGAAGAAGACGGTGAACGGCAGGACGAGGCCGCGCGCGATTTGCTGGAGGCAGGGCAAAGAGGGGTCAGTGCGGGTGCTCGCTTCTCCGAGCTGGGGCAACTCGCACGCACGTAGAACGAGGCGTCGACGTATTCTGTGGGCGGCGGCGTCAGTCAGCGAGTGGCTCGGACGAGGAGGGAGAGGGCAAGACGGAGGGGGACGTACGCAGGCAGTAGGTGTTGAACGCGAGGCCGAGCACGTTGCACGCGATGAGGGGCCACAAGCTCTTGCACGCCGTGACGTCGATCCTCGGAAGCTTCATGTAGCCTGGTGGGAGAGTCCGAATCAGCTGGTGCTCGTGAGGGAGAGGAAGAGGGCAGGGCTCACCAAAGAGGGCGCACAGCTGGAGGAGGATGACGGCGATGCCGAGCTGGCAGAAGAGGAAGAAGAGAGGGATCTGTGACGCGAGTACGAGTGAGTCAGGTCGGCGACACTCGCTGCAGAGACGGTGAGAGAGAGACGCACCTGGATCTTGTTGAGCACCCACTGCGCGGCGAGGAGGAGAGGGAGGTCAGTTCTCGCTCGATCGGGGCCGCAGGTGGACTAGAGGGCGCACCTTGTTGACCATGATCATCTGCGCGGGCGGGAAAGGGCCACAGAGGCTTGCGAGGTCAGCCGATGTTGCTCCCGGAGGGGGTCCTCCAGCACGAGCTCGCTGGCGACACGACCGCCGCACACGATCCCGACGCGGTCGCGGCACGTGCAGCAGGCCAGCTCGCGCAACTCTGGCCGGTGCGCGCAGCTCCAGGGGCAGAGGGGAGGGAGAGAGAGGGGGACGCACGACAATCGCGGCGACGAGGTAGAAGCCGACCGAGAAGACGACCATGGCGCGGCTCGCGGGCGGTTCCTCGCCCTGGCGGGGTGCTGGTGCCCTCGGCTGGGGCGACTGGGAGCGCTGCTGGGCATTCTTGAGCTCGACGCCCTCCTCGACGGGGACGCGAGTGTAGTCTCCTCGGGCGGCGGCCATGGCGGGTCGGGGCTTGGGAGGGCAGGGGGTGGCTCGACTCGGCTGTTGCTGTGCTGCAGGAGGACACAGGCGCGCAGGTGGAGCAGGCAGCAGGGCTTGGTGACGAGGGAGCGAGGGGCCGAGGAGGAGGTGGCCCTTTCCTCGAGCGCGCGCCGCCTCGCGCGCCTCGCGCCGCCGCCGCCGACAAGGGGACGGCCGGCGGCCCCTGCGCTCTCTCTCTCTCTCTTCCCCTTTGCTCCTTCCGCTGTGTCGGTCTGTGTTCTCGCTTTCCACGCTCGGCTTCTGCTTCTCACCTTTCAGCTCGCTTACCTCGCAGAGTCGCCGGCCCTCGCCCGCTCGACCCGCTCGCTTCCTCGTGACCGTATCTCCGGCCGCCGCACGGGCAGAGCTCGCGGGTCGCAAGCTTGCCCGGTCTTGCAGGACGAGGACGCGCGAGCGCCGGCACAAGCCACTCGACCGGCTCGGTCTGCGCAGCTTGCAGGCTGCGACTTCTCGCGTCCGCAGCGTCGCCAGCTCGACCTCTTTCTTGCTCTTCTCAAAGAGCCGCTACTGCCACGCCTTGGTCTTGTCAGCGTCGAGCTCGACGCGCTTCGGTCGACCCGCGTTACTTGGCTGCCTGTGCGACGTCCGCGCGAGAAGGAGGGCGCGCGAAGACGGGCGGGAACCGCTCTCGCGCACGGCACGCCCATGCTCTCCCTTGCTGCGTCTCGATCGTAGACCTACATGCAGGTTGCTTCCACGTGTGTGCGGAGCATCACCGCCTGCTGCGTCTCGAGGCAAGTTGCCCTGCGAGGGCGGCTTGAGAAGGTTCTCCCTCGATGATTTGAGCCGCTCGCGACGGTCGGTCGATTCTCTTCTCCCTCACGCAAGGATCTCGCACACGACGCACAGAGGGCCGCCTGCAAGAGTCGGCGGTCGCGCCGAGTCGAGAGCTCGTCAAATGCGGCCGAGGAGGCCGCACGGGCCCCTGGTTCTTCCGGCTCGCCTCTCTCGTCTTGCTCGTCGCTCAGCGTCGCGGCGACGGTCGGCCTCGCTCGCAGCTAGTGCAGAGAGAGTACCGAGGCCAGCGTCAGAGAGAAAAGGCGTCGCTGAGACCGAGAAAGTGAGAGCCAGCTCGCCGGAGCGTGACCATGGCCACAAGCCGCCGCTGGCCGCATCTCTCGACTCGCCGCCGGCGCAGACGGGTTGCAAAAAGAGACCCTGCCATGGCCAGCACACGCTGGTAGCTGTGCGGCGCAAAAGAAGACGTCCTCGGACAGGTTTGAACTGTCGACCTCCCGATGGGCGACTGAAGTAAGATCTAACAGTCGGACGCTCTGACCAACTGAGCTACGAAGACTTGGTTGAACGGCGGGCGCTGAACGAGTCATCACATACCGCACAAGCTAGTCGAGAAACAAAGTCCTCCCGTTCTCGCTTCCCTCCCGGCTCCTGAGTCGTTCCTTTGTACCTGACCGCCCTGAATACGCACCACTGGGCCCATACAGACTTTTGAAAAGGCCCGCCGCCTCTGCGGGGCACCCCTGCGGCGCGCCAGGGTCGAGGACCTTCAACTTGGGAAGGTCGCTCTTCGGCTGCTTGCATCCGATGCACGGACCTTTCTCGCCTTTCGAAGGGAGCGGAAGAGACCGACTCGTTCTGCTCTCGAATACAGCCGGCCGACTCAGCTGGAGGCCGGGACGAAAGCAGCTTGGGAAGGTCGAGCTCCTCCTGCGACAGGAGCCCTCTCGAGCTCTGTACGCTCTCGAGCGACGCTGCTGATACGAACGAGGCTCGGCACTGCATCTATCTGACCGCGGTCTACTCGTCGAGGAGCTTCTGCAGCTGCTCGTTGTACTGGTCGCCCTTGACCGGGTTCTCCTCCATGACCTTGCGGATCTCCTTGAGCTCGCCATCGCTCAGCTTGACGTCCCTGGCCGCCCAGTTCTCCTCGAGGTACTTGGTTGACTTGGTCTGCGGGCGACGAGGGGCGGGGATAGTGTCAGTCGGGATGCAGGGCAGGGAGAAGGAGGGGAGCAAAGGAGAGGACGCACGCCCGGGATGGGGATGACGAGGCCCGGGTACACCTGGCAATCCCACGCGAGCGCGAGCTGGCCCGGCGTGCAACCCTTGGTGGCCGCGATCTTCTCGAAGGCTGCGAGGGCGAGAGGGAAGGGGGAAAGGTCGGCACCGACCTCGTCGCCGTCACCGCTTGGCCGACGGCCCTCGGCGCCGGGCTCGCTCGTCGCCGACGATCGAGAGGAGAGAGAGCAGAGGACGCACCCTCGACGAGCTTGAAGTTGTGGTCGAACAGCTCCTTGGTGAAGCGAGGGAAAGCGCCCGCGCCGCGCATGTCGCCGTCCTTGCTGATGTCGTCAAACGAGCGGAAGCGGCCAGTGAGGAAGCCCTTGCCGAGCGGCGAGTAGGCCAGGATCTTGACGCCGAGCTCCTGGCACGCCTCGATGACGCCGTTCGACTCGATGGTCGTTTCGAACGGCGACCATTCGACCTCGACAAAGTCGATCTTGGCGACGTCGGCGGCGCGACGAAGCGTCTTGGCCGACATCTGTGCGACGCTCGAGCGAGAGTGAGCTCCCGTCCCGGTACAGAACGAGGCGGACGACGACAAGGGAGGAAGAGGAGGACGTACCGCCGAGAGCCCGATGTACTTGCACTTGCCGGCCTTCCTCGCCTCTTCCATCGCCTTGACGCTCACCTCGATCGGCGTCTCCTTGTCGATGCGGTGCAGGAGGTAGACGTCGGGAGCCGAGCCGAGGTTCTCGATGCTGTCGTCGATGCACTGGCGGCAAAAGTCGGCGGAACCTGCGTGCTCGAGGGGGCGCGTCAGGTGCTGCGAGACGTAGAAGGAGTGCAGGAGGACTCACCGTCCGTCTCCATGCCAGTGTCGGTCGCCTTGAGGCCCCACTTGGTGACGACGACGACCTTGGAGCGGGTGTCGCTCTCGCGCAGGACCTCGCCGATCAACTTCTCGTTGTGCTGGTCCTTGCCGTAGATGCGCGCCGTGTTGAGCAGCGTGCAGCCCTGCAGCACGTCGAGTGTACGGGTCAGCACGTGCCGGGTACGAGCCGAGGGAGAGGAGAGGACCGTGCACGCACGAGGTCAATCGCGCGGCGGAGGACCTCCTTGCTCTCGTCGTCCTTGGCGACGCCGTAGCTCTGGGAGAAGCCCTGTGACGTGAAGACTCGGTCGTCAGTGGAGGAAAGGGCGAACAGAAAGCTGCGCTCGACGCACCATGCAGCCGAAGCCGATAGGCGGGAGGGTGAGGGAATCGTCGATGCGGATGGGGGCGGACATGCTGAGAGGTCGAGGGGCGGGAGTGCTTGAGAAGAGAGAGAAGGAAGAGAGAGAGAGAGAGAGAGAGAGAATCGCTACAGCCAGCAGCGTCACGCGAACGAGAGAGTGGAGCGGCCGAGCGTCGGTGGAGGTCCGGGCGGCCGAGTGGAGGCCTCCGCTCAGTTTCGAACGCACCGGTGGCCATTCCCAGGCTGCCAAGGAGCACACCGGTGTCGCGGCACGTCCGCAGTGGACCGAGTCAATACGTCAGGCCGGTCCCTCATCGTCGAAAGCAGCCGAAGAGCAATCTCGCAAGCGACCTTCCCAAGTTGAAGGTCCTCGACCCTGGCGCGCCGCAGGGGTGCCCCGCAGAGGCGGCGGGCCTTTTCAAAAGTCTGTATGGGCCCAGTGGTGCGTATTCAGGGCGGTCAGGTACAAAGGAACGACTCAGGAGCCGGGAGGGAAGCGAGAACGGGAGGACTTTGTTTCTCGACTAGCTTGTGCGGTATGTGATGACTCGTTCAGCGCCCGCCGTTCAACCAAGTCTTCGTAGCTCAGTTGGTCAGAGCGTCCGACTGTTAGATCTTACTTCAGTCGCCCATCGGGAGGTCGACAGTTCAAACCTGTCCGAGGACGTCTTCTTTTGCGCCGCACAGCTACCAGCGTGTGCTGGCCATGGCAGGGTCTCTTTTTGCAACCCGTCTGCGCCGGCGGCGAGTCGAGAGATGCGGCCAGCGGCGGCTTGTGGCCATGGTCACGCTCCGGCGAGCTGGCTCTCACTTTCTCGGTCTCAGCGACGCCTTTTCTCTCTGACGCTGGCCTCGGTACTCTCTCTGCACTAGCTGCGAGCGAGGCCGACCGTCGCCGCGACGCTGAGCGACGAGCAAGACGAGAGAGGCGAGCCGGAAGAACCAGGGGCCCGTGCGGCCTCCTCGGCCGCGCCGACGCTCCCACGTCGCTGCGCCCAGGCCGGCTGCCGCCGGACGCGTCCTATGCACTGTGTGTGAGCGAGCCGAAGTGTCGCTGGCAACATTGGGCGCGAACTGGGCGAGAAAAGCGAGCCCGAACGTGGTGCCGATGGCGCAGCCTGTGGCGGCTACCCCTCACCTCACGCAACCAGGCCGGGCCGCAAGCTCTCTCGCAGCGTGTCGAGCGCGACGTCAAGACCCACCCTGACGAGCGGCGGCAGCCCGGCGGGCTGTCGGCGAGAGGCAGCAGAGCGCGAGCGGTCCGGCGTACGTTGGGCGCACGGACCGTGCGGGATCATCTCGACTCGTCGCTGCTCGCGCACAGGCGCGCCGGACGGTCCAGCAAGGTGCATGACAGCTGCTCGATGCTCAGGTAGAGCTTGACGCTTGCGAGCGGGGAGAGCGACCGCGAGCAAAAGCTCCTCTCGCGGGCTCGCACTCTCTCGCCACGACGATGCACAGCGAGGACCGCCGAGCACGAGCGAGCATCTCTCTCTCGCCTCTCTGCGCAGCAGTGCACCGACGTGTCGAACCCCTCAAGCGATACAGCTCCCCCCCCCTCTCGCGGCTGCTCCTCCGCCTGGCCCCCTGCTCCTCCCCCTCCTCCTCGACGCTCACCCCTTTGGCGCAAAGTCCCACACAGCGAACGCGTCACTTCCCCCATGGCCCTCGATCCCGTCCTCCCGCGCCGCTTGCTGCACGCCCTCCCACGCCTCCCTGAGCCGCCCAACCAGGTCGTCGTCCTCGCGCTCGAGCCGCGCAAAGCTCCCGCCCGGCACGCGCACGTCCTCGTCGAGGAGGAGCGAGGGCGGGCCGACGGGCGGCGTGCGCGACGTGCGCGAGAGGGGCTCCCAGTGGAACGAGAGTGGGGTGCGGCCGGGCGGGACGGCGCGCTGCATGGCGGTGAAGGCGCGCGCGAGGCGCGAGGTCGGCGGGGCGGCGGCGGGCTCGGCGGCGGTCGGGTCGTGGTCGTGGTCGTGGTCGTGGTCGGAGGACGAGGGCTCGGGAGCGGGCTCGAGCGGCGAGGTGGTCGACGGCGGGAAAAACGCGGCGACGGTCGGGACAAAGATCTCGGTCGACGTCATCTCGACGCGCGAGGGCGGGCCGAGCGTCGGGAGCGGGTACGCGAGGCAGATCTGTGTGTGTGTGCGCCGGCGTCAGGGCGCCGTCCCGTGCTCGTGCGGAGGAGCGGCTCGTGCTCGCACGAGAAAGAGAGAGGGAGAGAAAGAGAGAGAGGGGACGCACAGGCTGCGGCGGGTCCGCCGCAAAGTCTTCCCAGTCGACAAAGGCGCGCAGGTTGATGAGCCACAGTGCGGCGCCGAGCTCGTCGTCGTGCGTGACAAACACGGCGCGGTCGTTCTCGACGGCGAGCTGCACCGGGTCGGCGCCCTCCTGCGCGTGTACGGAGGAAAAAGGGGGTGAGCTCGGGTGTGACGCTGCGTCCTCCTCTCCGTGCTCGAGTCCGCGCGCGCGCGAGAGAGAGAGAGAGAGCGGGAGGCATGACGCACAATGACGAGCACGACCGTCTTCCTCTCGACCTCGTCCTCCTCGTCCTCGCCCTCGTCGTTCCACACCGCCCTCTTGTCGCACGTCCACACGAGTTTGGCCTCGTCCGTGTCACCCGCCCTGCGCCCGATCGCGACGAGGTGCCGACCGGCATGGTGCACCGCCTCCCACCCGACGCCGTCGCACCCAAACGCGTACCACGCGCCGCCGCCCGGGGCCGTGTGCGCGCTCAGCGAGGCCGGCGCACGCGGTGGCCAGGTGCGGTACTCGGGCTCGTCGTCGTCCCGCTCCCGCTCCCCCTCGCCGCCGCCGCGGCCGCCCCACCCCGGCGGCCGCACGACCAGGACGGCGTGCTGCCCAGCGACATACACGCACTCGTCGTCGAGCTCGACATAGTACGCCCTCGCGTCGTTCGACACGTCGGCGGCGAACGCGGGCACGTCGAGCGTGTCGATCGTGCGCGCGACGAGGTCCCACACGTGCAGCTGCTGGCCGTCGGCCGAGGTGGCGACGAGTTTCGGGACGCGGAGCTTGGACGCGAAGCAAGGGAACGAGGTCGTGACGGCGTGCGAGGGCACGTAGCCGAGCGCGGGCGTGGAACCGTCGCGCGGGACGGCGGTGGACGAGAAGGCGTCGTCGACGAGGTGGTCGGCGGGGAGGAGGTCGGTGCGGCACGACGCGAGGTAGGTCCTGCTTGACAGCTGCTGGACGAGGAAGCCCTCGCTGCGGGGAACGAGTCGGTGCAGGCCGAGTCAGATCGCGGGGCCGGGGAGGGACGAGAGAGAGAGAGAGAGCGCGAGGGACGGACCTGAGCTCGACGTGCGGGTACGGGCCGCGCGGCAAAAGGGACCACCACGCGAGTTGGCCGTCCTGGGCGCGGAAGGCGAGGTAGCCGCCGTCGAGGCCCGACACGACGAGGTAGGCGGCATCGACGTCGACCTTGAAGCGCCAGAAGGGGGCGCCGAGCGCGCCGGCGACGGCGGGCCGCGCGGCCCAGTCGAGGGTGACGAGGCGCGAGGTGGCGGTGCCGGTGCGCCAGTTGCGGTGGATGACGTGGGCGCGTTTGGCTGCGATAAGGGACGAGGGGGTGAGTCTGAGGAGGAGGTGGGGGAGGAGGGAAGAGGGAGGGGGGCACACCGTAGTCGAGCCAGGTCGGGATCGAGGTGATGCCGATCCAGCGCTGCGAGTGGACGACCCTGGCGAGTTCTCGCGGGTCGAGGTGGTCGTCGAGGGTGCGGGTGGGGAAGGTCGAGCGGTGGTCGAGGGCTGCAGCGGCCGAGCTGGTCCTCGGGTCGGCGAGCCCCTGGTGGATCGAGATGGCGCGCGAGATGTGGTGCGGGTGGGCTTTGAACAGGGCGTGGCAGGTGCGCGACACGACGAGGAACCGGGCGAGCGAGCCAAAGTCGAGGTGGCCGAGGATGATGACGAGGACCTCGGGCGGGAAGCTGAGGAGCGAGGTCGTCGTGCGTGCAGCCGTGTCGGTCATGGTGCGAGGGAGCGGGGAGAGGGGCGACGACTGCGAGCTGATGAGGAGGAGGAGGAGGAGGGACGAGGGCTCTCCCCCTCCTCGCGTCACTCGGCTGCACAGCACAGAGCTCATCAGCTGCGCCTTACCCCATGGCTCCACCAAAGCCCACCCCGAAAGGCCCCCAGCCCCGCCTCAAGATTGTCGTGCGCCGCCTCCCCGCCGACCTCCCGCCTGCCGTCTTCTGGCGCACCGTCCAGCCCTGGGTCACCCGCGACACCGACCACCAACCGGGACTCGACTCGGCACAGCGCGTCACCTGGTCCGACTACCGCCAGGGCAAACTCAGGAGGAGGTCCGTCCCCTTCCCCTCCCCCTCTCTCTCTCTCTCGACTCCCTCCAGAGCCTGACCCCCAACTCTCTACAGCGGCAAGGACAAGGACAGCGTCCCCTCGCGCGCCTACATCACCTTCAAGACGCCCGACGCCCTCGTCGCCTTCCACCGCGGCTACGACGGCTGGTCCTTCCGCGACAAGCAGGGTGCGTCCCCTCTCCTCCCTCCCTCTCTCTCTCTCTCGAAGCCCAACTGACCAGGACGCCCAACACACACACAGGCAACATCAGCCAGGCCGTCGTCGAGTTTGCGCCGTACCAGCGCACGCCGGCAGCGCCGCCCAAGCCCGACCCGAGGCAGGGCACCATCGACGACGGTGCGCCCCACTCTCTCTCTCTCTCGTCTTCCTCTCTAGGACTCGCTCGAGCAGACGACTCACCTCTCGCGCGCGGGAGCAGACGCCGACTTTCTCGCGTTCCAAGAAGCGCTCGCCGCTGCCCCGGCGCCTGAACCTGTGCCAGAACCCGGTCCGTCCCTCTCTCTCCCCCTCCTCTTCCTCTTTCGCCGCCCTCGCTGACAGTCCCTGCCTCCCTCGCCTCTCTTCCTCTCCCTCCTCCTCCCTCCTACTCCCTCCCTCTGCCTCCTCGACCGACCCACCCACGCGCACGCCCGCACGCCCGCACCCAGTCGTCAACCCCAAGTCGACCCCGCTCCTCGACCACCTGCGCGCGCAGAAAGCCGCGTCGAAAGCGGCGCGCAAGGCCGCTTCGGCTGCGCTCAAGGGCGCCGGCGGCGGCGGCAAGGGCGGCGGCGGCGGCGCGAACGGCAAAGGTGCGGGAGGAGGAGGGGGAGGGGCAAAGGGCAAGGGCAAGGCGCCGCTCGTGCTGCCCGGCGCGACGCGCGCGCAGCTCGCGACGGCGGCGGCGGGTGGGGTGCAGAGCGCTACTGCGGCTGCTGCTGCTGCCGCTGCTGCTGTGGCGGGTGGCGGTGGCGCAGGAGGGAACGGCAAGGGCAAGGGCAAGAAGGGCGAGGGGGCGGGCAAGAAGGGCGACAAGGGCAAGGGGGGCCCTGGTGGCGGTGGAGCTGCGGGAGCGGCCAAGGGCAAGAAGAGCAAGGAGGGCAGCAGGAGCGCGACGCCGGCGCCGCCGCCGTCGGGCTCGGCAACGGGGAGCGGAGCGGCGACCCCGACGTCGGCGCCGCGTCCGCCCAAGGGCCCCGGCAACAAGGGGGGCGCCGCCGCCGCCACCGCCGCCGCCTCGGCCGCGCCCGCCTTTGCCCCCCAGCCCCAGCTCCAGCCCCAGCCCCAGCCCCAGCCGCACCACCACCAGCCCCCGCCCTTCCCTCCCGCCGCGCCGCCCTCGCGCGCCTCGCCCGCCGCGCCCGGCGCCGGCACTCGCGCCGCGCAGATCCAGGCGCAGGCCGAGGCGGCACAGCAGGCTGCCATGGTGCGGCAGCAGCTCCAGGCCGCGCACCGCTCCGCCGCCGCGTCCTCGTCCCCCTCCCTCGCTCCTCCTCCTCCCCTCTCGTCCTTCTCGTCCTCCTCGTACGCGCCCGCTCCCGGCGCACCGTCGCCCCAGGTCGCCATTGCGCGCGCCCCACACCAGCAGCACCACCAGCAGCACCACCAGCAGCAGCAGGGGTACGCGGCGCCGAGCGCCCAGGCCCAGGCGTTCGTGCCCTCGGCGACCCCGTTCGTGCCCCGCGCGCAGCCGCAGCTGGCGCCCGGGCAGCTCGTGCCGCAGCAGGGGCAGCAGCAGGGGCAGCAGCAGGGGCAGCGAGGCGGGCGAGGGCGAGGTGGTGCGAGAGGGGGCGGCGGCGGTGGTGGACGTGGAGGGGGAGGAGGAGATGGAGGAGGTGGGCGAGGGAGGGGCCGCGGCGGACGTGGCGGCGGCGGCGGTGCGCCTGCGTGAGCGGCGGGCGCAGCGCTGTGTCGCGCCGCGCTCTCGTTCTCGCTCTCGCGCTCAGGCGGGACGAGGGACGAGCCGGAGCGGGGCAGGTACTCGTTCGTTGCAGGCGCGAGGGCGAGGGCCAGGGCGTGGGAGGGGGGCTCAGTACACGCTCTTGAGCACGTGCTCGGGCTTGTACGTCGTCGGGTGGATGAAGCCGAGGTGGGCGAGGTCGCCGACGGCGCGCAGGAACCGCGCCTGCTTCCTCCGCTCGGGCCCTCCCTCGTCCTCGTCGTCGTCGCTCGCCCTCTCGCCCTCGTCCTCCTCGCTCCCGCCCCCCTCCTCATCGCCTTCGCCGCCCTCCTCGCGCCCCGTACGCGCCCTCTTCCTGCCCCTCGAACCCGCCGTCCTCCCGCCCCAACCCTCGCCCTCGCCCTCGCCCTCGCGCTCTTCCTCCTCCGCCGCACCAATCTCCCACCCAGCCCACCACTCTCCCAAGTTGACCAACCGTCCCTGGGCGTGCGTGTCGCGGTACACGCGCCACGCGACGCCGAGGTCGCTCGGCTGCTCGTCGACAGGCCGCTGGTCGGCGTTGTCGAGCGCGGGCGGGGCGTACGCCGGGTCGGCGAGCGGGTCGAGCTTGGTGAGCTGTCGCACGAGCGAGGGGAACGGGGTTGGGTACAGGCGCTGGGTGGGGTGCAACGGCGAGGGACGGGTGTGCGGGAAAGGCGGGGCGTCAGTGTGCGTGCGAGAGTGTGAAAGGGGCCGGGAAGGAGAGAACAGAGAGAGAGAGAGAGGGGGGGGGGGCGCACCTTCATGGCCGACGGGTCGGACGTGAACCACAGCTCGTGCAGGACCAAGTCGGTCGGCGGTCGCAGCGCCGTCCTGCGCGCGTGCTCGGCCCTCTTGTCAGCGCTCGTCCCTGTCCCGCCCTGACCCAGACCTCGACAGACAGAGAGAGAGAGGGAGAGAGGCAGACAGCAAGACGCACTTGAGCCTCGCCTTGAGCCCCTCGGCCGTCTCCCTCGCGACCCTGCTAAACTCGCGATCCGCCTCTCCCGCTCCCCTCCCTCCTCCTCCTCCCGCCGCGCCCATGCCGCCAAGCGCCGCCGCCATCCCGCCGGCGAGGTTCGTGTTGAACAGGGTGCTCTTGCCCGGCGCGCGAGGCGCGGCGAGGAGCGGCTCGAGCGCGGCGAGCTGCGCCGCGAGGAAGTCGATGAGGGGCGACGACGAAGGCGGATCGGCGGACGAGGACGAGGGGGAGGCGACGGCGGCGGCGGCGGCGGCGGCGAGGGAAGGGTGCGAGTCGACAAAGGCGCCGAGGCGCGCCGAGAGGGACCGCAGGAAGTGCGGCAGCTTGGTCGACGACGCTTGGCTGTTGCGGCGACGGCACGCACGCACGATGGTCAGTAGACTCTTCTGTGCAAGTCGTGCGAGCCTCGCGGCGTCGCGTATCGTCGTCGCCGCCGAGGGAAAACGGAATAGAGAAGGAAAGACGAGGGAGGGACGCACAGCACGAGCCCGCCCAACCGGTCCACCAGCCTCCCCAAATCGCCCGCCCTCGTCCCCGTCCCCGTCCCTTCTCCCTCGTCGCCGTCCGCCGCCCCGAGCACGAGCGCGAGCACGCCCTCGAGCGGCTTGCGCTTGTCCCAGAACTCCATCGTCGCGACGAGCGCCTCGAACGCGAGGCTGCGCTGCGCGTGCCAGGTGCGCAGGCCTGAGCGCGCGCACGACACGGCTTGCGAGGGCGTGAGGGGCGGTGCGTCGGCGGCGGCGGCGGCGGTTGGCGCAGCGAGCGGGAGGGGAGGGTCGTGCGCGAGGAGGGCGGCGGCGATGGGCGAGGTTGGCGGAGCGGACTGGAACGAGGGGAGGGTGCGCAGGGCGGCGAGGATGGGTACAGGGAGCGGGTCGAGGGCGTGAGGAGGCGAGGGCGACGAGGTCGGCTCAAGGGTGAGGGTCGCGCAGGGGTGGGCCGTAAAGTGGGCCATGTACAGGTACTGCAACGGCTTCACGGTCAGTGACAGTCGCTCCCGAGAGTGTCAACACGGCGGACGAAAGTGAGAGCGCGAGACGCACCTGGATGAACGAGATGGTCGCGTCGATCGAGTGGTGGAAGTCCTCGAACGTGCGCCACAGCTCGGTGTACGCCCTCGGCGCCAGCGCGAGCGGCGGCATCCAGTCGACGAAGAGCTGTCGCGGCGCGGAAGAGAGAGTCAGTGCAAGGCCGGGCTGTCGTGGCCGGCGAGAGGAGAAAGGGGAAAAAGCGAAGAGGGGGACGCACGCCGCGCACGAGGGCGTTGAAAGCGCTCACGCCCGGGTCGACGAAGAAGCGCGCCGCGTCGAGCTGGTTGGCCGTCTTGCGCGACACGAGGCTGAAGAAGGCGTCGGCCGTCGTCGCGATGCCGATGAGGAGGGTGAGCGGCAGGAGGTCGGCGTAGCATCTGCGGGCGAGGAGCGGATGAGTGGTCGGACCGAGGGCGACAAAGGAGAAAAAGGGGACAAAGGACGCACGCTAGGGCGTCGATGAGCTGCGTGAGGACCTTGCCGTCCATCGCCTCGAGGTCCTCGAGGAGCACAACGAGCGTCGGCGCGTCCTCCGAATCTGTGTGCCACGACCATGAAGCCGAAGCTGGTCAGTTCAGGTTCCCGTGAAGAGACGGGCAGGGTCTGAGGGCGTCGCACGCACCCTTCTTGCCGAACCGGTGCTCGTACCACGCCTGGAGGTTCTGCAGGTCCTCGGGGACGATCATGGCGCTCTTGAGGGTCGACGGTGCCCAGCCCTGTGATGCAGCACGTCCGAGGAGTCAGTGAGATACCCTCTCATGACCGACCGAGTGCGCGCGCGAGAGGGAGGGAGACGAGGGACGAAAGCCTTATATATTCTTTTTTTTCTTATAAAACTTAAAACCTTAGAGGCTATTTAAGTTGCTGATTTATATTAATTTTATTGTTCATTCTTGATGTTGCTGCAGTCGCGACTCGCGAGGCGCGACACGATGCACGGGCGCGGGTGGTCGGCCGGCGACGGGTCGTCGTTGGCGTCGGCAGCGGGCGGTGGGCGTGGTGCAGGCGAGGTGAGCTGGCGGGTGAGGGACGAGTAGAGGAGGGATGACGAGCCGGGACTGGCGCCTGGGTACGTGCAGTGGGTCGGTCAGCTTCCACGTTGGGCGAGAGGAGGGAGGGCGAGGGAAGGACGAGGAGGCGCACCGATGATGAGGCCCGAACGGACGGGCGCCCTTCCTCCGAGGGCGGCGTACAGCGACTGGGCATCGCTCGGGCGCGAGCGGACGTAGGCGACGATCTGGTCGAGCGACGCGTCGTGCAGGCTCGAGAGGACCGACTGCGTTCCGGCGTGTGAGGTCGGCGATGCGGGAGAGGGGGGAAAGGGAGGGGGGCGCACTTGGATCTTGCTGTTGCAGGTCTTCCACGCCTGGTCGTACAGGGCGAGCACAGCTGGGTCTGCGGGCGGACGAGCGGGTCAGCCAGGCTGGAGGAGGTGAAGGACAGCGAGACGCACCTGCAAAGGCATCGTCGTCGGACACAGGTGACGCAAAAGGTTTGTACGGCAGCGTGAAGACGGCCTGCAGGGGCGCAGGGGCCGGAGGGAGGTCAGTGACCGGCGAAACTGATGAAGAGTGGGGAGGAGGGGGAGGAGGGAGAGACTCACCCTCGAGGTGGACGCAAAGGGCTCGGTGTAGGGCAGCGAGTCGTCCATGGCGAGCACAGCAGCGGTCGTCGAGCACCTCTAGCACGAGCAAACGGTCGAGCGATCGCCAACCCTGCGTCGACCCTCATCTCCTCGTCCTCCTCCTCCACCTCGCTCTCGCACCGCCAGAATGGGAGCAGCAGCGTCCAAGGCCAAGAGTGCACGCCCGACAAAAGTCCCCGCCTTCGCACAGAAGCCCATCGGCCACCAGGTCGGCCAAGCCCAAGGTCGCCCCGTCGAGCCGCTCCCCAAAGCCACAGACACCAAGAGCGAAGGTGCGCACCCACTCTCTCACGCACCTCAACAAGGCCGAACGTGAGCTCACCCACCCCCTCCGCCCGCAGCCGTCGTGCGCGATTCCCAGGACCCGGACCTCGCTCGCAACCTCGCCTCGCTCGGACAAGCTCTCGTCGCAGGCAAGGGCCAGCCCTCGCGCGCGTTCCGCACCGTGCGTCCCTCTCGATCCGTCCAGTTGTGCGCCCGCTCAACCGCCATACGCCCCGCAGGACAACCCCATGCTCGGCATCCTCGCCGAGCGGCAACGCGCCGACGAGGCGCTCGAGGCCTCGCCGTCGTCGCGCATCGAGAACCACATCTCGGCCGCGTCCCTGTTCAACCTGTTTGACGAGCGCAAGCAGTGCACGTCCCAGGGCGAGCTCGACGAGCTCGCGCGCGAGTACGGCATGGACCCCAAGGTCATCGAGCAGCTCGCGCGCCACATCAACTCGCCGAGCGACAGCGAGATCCCGCTCCCGTCGAGCGACCCCAACGAGCCGCCAAAGCGTCTCGTGCGTCCCCTCTCTCTGTCCCCTTCCTTGACGACCGCGACCTGACGCTTGCCCTCTCGAAACAGGCCAAGTGGGTCGACCCGCAGCTCCCCGAGCAGCCGCGGCTGCCCGCCTGAGCGCACACGCCATATGTGGCAAGCTGGACCACGTGCCCCAGCGTCGTACCTGTAGCCTTATGCAACAAGCATCGTTCGCCGTCCTTGAGTGCGCCCGTTTGCGCCCGTCGTCGAGAGCCGGCTCGAGAGGACGAGCGAATGCCTCTCTCGCAGCCGCTTGCGCGCCTCGACCCTGCCCTCCTGAGAGTGTGAGAGCCGCGACAGGACCGTCGAAAAGCGCGTCGGGCGAGCGTAAGATTTCTCATCTCCGCCCTCGTCCTCATCGCTCTTCCTCGAGGAGAGCTTGCTGTCCCGCACCCGCACCTCTCGCCCGCCGAGCCGACTTGCGACGACCGACACACGTACGCCCGACCTCGCGCACCATGGCCAGCACCAGCTACAACGGCAGCGGCGTCGACTCGCCCATCGCCTCGACTTCCGCCGCGACCCGACCAGCTCCTCCACCTGCCGCGTTCGAGCACGCCGACCTGTACGCAGACCTCGGCAGTCACCTTGTGCGTCCTGCCTACCTCCATACTGTCCTGCCGCCCGTCCCATGGGCCCGACTAGCGAGCTCACTCGTCCCTCCCTCCCTCCTTGAACAGCTCGATGCGTGGGTCAAGCCGCACGAGTCGTTCGCCGACTGCATCCTGCGGGTCGCGTACGCCGACGGCTCCGAGGGTGTCTTCACCCTCCACGGCCTGTTGGTCTCGCGGTCGCCCCTCCTCCACTCGCTCCTCTCGGCCGCCTTCCTCTCGTCAGGCCCCGCCGTGCGCCCCGTCGTCCTCCCGCTCGCGCTCCCCGACCCAGCCATCACCCCACACGCCCTCAGCCTCGTCCTCGCATCGCTGTACTCGCCCGCCGTCCTGCGCCACCTCGACGAGTCGACCGCGCCCGCCGTCCTCGCGACGGCCCACTTCCTCGCGCTCGACAAGCTCGCCGAGCGCGCGCTCGCGCTGTGCGAGGAGGTCGTCAAGCGCGCGACGACGGCCGACGAGGTCAAGCGCTGGGTCGAGTACGTCGACCGCGAAGCGGCGGCGGCCGCGCAGGGTGGTGGACCGGGCGGGTCGTCGTTGTCCGGACGCAGCAGCCCGCTCGTGCCCAACGGCGCCGTGGGCGTCAACGGCGCGCTGCCGCTGCCCGGTTCGGTCGCAGGGTGGGGCAGCACGGGCGCGGGCGCCGGTGCGGGACCGCACGAGGCGCGCCTGCGCACGCTCCTCATGGACCGCATCGTGTGCCTCCCCGACGAGCTCGGCGCGTTCGAGCCCCACACGGCGGCGGCGGCGCAGCAGGAGCTCATCCCCGTCCTCGCGAGGCTGCCGTTCGCCATGGTCAAGCAGGCCATCGAGGACTCGCGGTTCAACGTCCCGACCGACCTCGACCGCTGTGCGTCCCTCTGTCTCTCTCCCTCTCTCTCCCCTTTCACGGCTCGCCTAGCCCTCTCTCCCTCTTCCCCTCACTAACGACCCTGCCCGTCGACGTAGTCAATTTCGCAAAGAAGGTCGTCGCGGCGCGCAAGCAGCTCGCGGTCGCGGCCGCGCAGCAGCAGCAGCAGCAGCAGGGCGGCGGCGGCGCCGGCGGCGCCGTCGACTTTGAAGAGACGGTCGTGCTCCAGTTTGGCGCGTCGAGCGGACCGGGCGGCGGGTGCGCCGTCAACGTGCTGAGGAAGGCGCGCAAGCCGCAGCTGTGGAAGGCGAGCAGCGCGGCGTGAGGGAGCGCAGAGGGGCAGTGGGCGGGGAAGGGGGGGGGCACGAGGAGGAGGAGGAGGAGGAGGAGCACGAGGGGCGAGGGAGGAGGTGGAGGAGGGAGGTCCGCGAGGCGAGGAGGACGGGGAGACGGAGGAGGAGGGAGAGGCAGCAACTCGCACTTTGCATCGCAGGCCTCTGCATTTTTGCCCAGTCGCTCTCGTGCGTCTCGTGAGTGAACAGGAGACGCACTCCCAACGGCAGGCAGCTCGCGAGAGAGCAAGCTGGCTGAGACAGGCCTCGTCGTCGTCGTCTGTCCTCCTCTCGTGGTGGACGTCGACCGCCGACTCGCTCGCTTGCGCCCCGACGCGCAGCTGCACGACCAGCACCGGCTCGCCTGCACCTCAGCAACCGCCGCCCACCGCCCACCGCGCCAGCCCAGCTCGCCCTCGGTCCTCCCGCCTCGTCCTCATCTCCCCCACTTGGCCTGGGTCCTCGAGAGCGGCGATGGATCGCACCCTGGCCGCCCTCACTCGGCATGTACGTCGCCTGGTCCTCCGTCTCTCGAACGACGCTGACCTGCGCTCCCCGCCCGTGCAGTACCCACGCCGAGACGAGACGGTCACCCAGTCGCTCGCGCTCCTCGACGCCTATCGTGGCCTCCTCAACCCCGAGCAAGACGACTACAGTGCGTCGACCACTCTCCATCTCTCCCACAGTCCGAGCTGACCTCGAGTTCCCCCTCGCCGCCGACCCGCAGCGTACGACGACGGCCGAGTCGAGCTCCTCCTGTCGCTCACGGGCGTCGTCCCCGTCCCCGTCAGCGCGAGCACGTACCACTGCCCGGTCCGCCTCTGGCTCCCGCTCGACTTTCCCTCGCGCCCGCCGATCGTCTACGTCGTCCCGAGCGAGACGCTCGCTGTGCGCAAAGGGCGCAGCGTCGACGCGAGCGGCAAAGTCGGCGTGCCGTACCTCGACAACTGGGAGCGCAAGTCCGAGGTGCGTCAGGCAGATCTCACGCACTCTCCTGTCTGGTCGGGATCCTGACCTCGAGCTGCGCGCCGTGCACAGGGCTGCTCCTTGACGAGCCTCGTCGCCGACCTCATCCCGGTCTTCTCGCACCGATACCCTGTCGTGCCCGTCCAGGCCAAGCCTCGACCACCTCCACCAGCACAAGCAGCAGTCGAGCCGCAGGCGACCGGCAGCAGCTCGCACGGCACGCCGCAGCCGCCTCCGCCGCGTCCACCGCCGCCCGCCGGCGCCAGCACCGCTTCTTCCGCCCTTCCGCCTCGGCCGCCGCTCCCGCCGCAAGCAGGCGGCAGTCGTCCGAGCTCGGTGTCGCTCGGCACGCCTGCGAGGCCGTCGAGCGGGGCGGGCTTCGAGGCGCCCGCTCGGCCGCCGCTGCCGCCCGGCGTTGGAGGACCGCCTGCGCCGCCACCTGTGCCTCGAGGCCTGCCTGGCTCTTTCGTACGCCATCTTTTCTCTCTCTCTCTCTCTCACTACCGCGTCCAGGTGGGCCCACACTGACAGGGACTGTCGCGACGCAGGCGCAACCTCCTGGCCCTCCTCCAGCCTACCCGGCACAGCCGCCTCAGCCTCCTCCCCCTCACCGATCCTCTACCCTCGCCTACGGCTCGCCCCCACCTCCGCCACCGCCGATGCCGCAGCAGCCGCTGCGCCCGCCTGTACCTCCCGCAGGCCTGTCGCCCGGCCCGTCACCGCCCGGCTCGGCCGCTCGCCAGGCCACCTTCGACCCGACGGCCGCGTCAGGCGCCCCGCCGATGCCGCCACCTGTGCCGCATGTCGCGAGCCCTCATCCGGCGCCCCTGCCGTACCCGGGCAGCAGCGTCGGCCCGCTGCCCTCGCCTGGCTACCCGGCTCCTCAGCAGCAGCAGCAGCCGCCGCCGCCGCAGCAGCAACAGCCACCGGCTCCTCCTCATGGGCCACCGCCTGTCGCGTCGCCGTACCCGCCGCACGCTCAAGGCGCTCGTCCGCCTCAACCTCCCGCGCCGCGGCCGTACTCGCCCGCCGCGTCGTCGACGGCTCGCACCTCGTCGCCGGCCCCATCGGCGCAGTCTCGTCCGCCAGTGCGGGACGAGCACTACCGCCAGGCGTCGATCGACTCGGACCACACGTACCGCTCGTCGCCTGTCCAGCCGGGCCGTCGTCCGCCGCCTCAGCAGCAGCAGCAGCAGCAGCAGCAGCAGCAGCAGCCGGAGCGCGCCGACTCGCCCGCGCCGTCCGAGGCGGCGTCGTACGCGTCGTACGCCGCTCCCGGGCCACCTCATGCACAACCACCCGCACCTCGTCCAGGGCCCGACAGCGCCCATGCTCGCCGCACCTCGCACGGCTCGATCGACTCGTACTCGTCGCACGCGCGCGCCGCCCCGGCCGCCTACTCGCGGCAGCGGCACCCGTCCGAGCGCGAGCTTGAGCCGCACGCGTCGCCGCAGCACCAGTCGAAATCGCAGCCGCGCGAGCCCGCCTCGCTGCTGCACGCGCGCACCAAGCCGGCGCCGCCGCCGAGCGAGTACAGCGCAGCCGGCGAGTACGGCTCGTACATGCCGGCGGCCAGCTCGGCGTCGTCTGAACTTGAGCTCGAGAGCGAGTACGGCGCGCACGGCCCGACGGCGTCGTACCAGTCGCAGGCCCAGGCCCCGGCGCCGTCGTCTCGGTACGCGCACGACCCGGCGTCGTCGTACGACGGCTCGGCGTTCGAGCCCGTGTCCGAGTCGCGCGCGCAGGCGCACCGCCCGGTGCGACAGGCGTCGGTCGAGTCGCACTACACGAGCGTGTCGGCTCGTGCCGGTGACGGGGAGGGCTTCTACCCCCTCGCGCCGCCGGTCCCGGCGCCCCTCGCGCCGTACGGCGGCGCCGTGCCGTACCACGCGCAAGGACACGCGCCGCCGCAGGCGTACTACCAGCCGAGCGCGTCGTCCCTGTCGGGCTCGACCACGACGACCTCGCCGCCGAGGACCAACGGCGCGCCTGCCACCCGAGCGCAGCGCCGGCCCGCCGCCGCCACCGCCAAGCCCAAGCATGCTCCGCTCAACATCCTCGACCTCGCCGACGACGACGCGCTGTCGGTCCCGGGCTCGCCCTCGTCGCCCTCGACCGTGGCGACCGGCGCGGCCCCGAGCGTCAACGGCCACGGCCATGGCCACGGGCCCGGCGGCAGCACGACCTCGGCGCCGCCGCCCGTCCCGCCCAACCCTGCGCTCCTCGCCCTGCGCACTCGCGTCCACTCGAAGCTCTCGACGGCGCTGTCGCACCTCGCGAGCACGTCGTCGGCGCACCTCGCGCAGCTCGACCTCATGCGCGTCGACCTCGAAAAGGCCGTGCCCGCCATCGAGGACGAGATGGCGCGCCTCGAGGCCGTGCGCAGTGTGTGCGACACGGTCAGGGGACGGTATGCCGAGGTGGTTGGCGAGGCCGAGGCGAGGCTGAGGGAGTACGAGGCGAGGGGCGAGGGCGTCGACGTCGACGAGATCGTGTGCGGCAGCACGGTCGTCTACACTCAGTGCGTCGGTCACTCTCTCTCTCTCGGTCGTCCATGCTGTGCGCTTGCCGGGGCGCGAGCCACGGCGAGCTGCGCGGCTCGCTCGCAGCTGTTGAGGCACTGACTCTCGCTTGTTCGCGCACCCGCAGGCTCCTCGACCTCGTCGCCGAAGATGCCGCTCTCGAGGATACGATTTACGCTCTCGGGCGTGGCCTCAACTCGGGCGTTGCCAACATCGACCTCGACCGCTTCCTCAAGGTGCGCCTCTCGCTCTCCCTCCCTCTCTCTCTCTCCTTCGACGGTCACCGACGACCCTCTCTCCCTCGTGTGCAGCGCGTCCGCATCCTCGCCAAGGAGCAGTTTGCGATCCGCGCGACGATCAACAAGATTCTGCTCGGGTTGGCGATTCGGAGGGACCGGCGCGAGCGGGTCGAGGGAGGGGCCGGGCGCAGTGGTGCTGGGAGCCCGGCGAGTGGGAGAGGGACGCCGGCGGGGGCAGAGGTGTAGCGTCGACGAGGAGCGGCGGGTCGGAGGAGCGGTGCCATGCAGAGATGCTCGACGACTTGCGCACGTTGGCTCGACGAGGTGCTTTGCGAGCTTTGCCCTCTCGCCTTCGCTCCCAGCTCGAGCTCCAGTATCTCTCGTCGCGCGCTTTACGACCGGTGAGTGTGCAGGGCCGTGTCGAGGGCGAGGAGCAGGGAGGAGAGCGCCATCTCGCTTGGGTGACGAGGGCGCGCCTCGTCGCGAGCGAAATGCGGGGGAGGCGAGCCATCTCCATCTCGCCCGCCCTCTGTGCTCTCCTCCCTCGCTCTTCCTCTCTCCTACCACCACCACCACGCACACTCACTCACAGCTGAGACGATGCCCGCTGCTGCACCCGCCACCACCGACTCGTGGGTCGTCACCGCCAGCACCTCGCGCCAGCCCCTCCTCCCCTCGCCCGTCACCACCCCGACCAAGCGCGCCTCTCGCTCGTCCCGCATCTCGAACGACACCGACCACCGGGCCTTCACCCGCACCTCGCTCGACCCGGCCACCGGCCTCGAGTCGAGCGTCGAGTTCCGCATCGGCGACACGGTCGTCGTCAACGAGCTCGCCAAACTCAAGCAGAAGTTCCTCGCCCCGCCGCCGTACCTCGTCCCGCGCAAGACCGCCTCGCGCACCAAGGCCAAGGGCAAGGCCAAGGCGACCGTCACGCCCGACGACGACGACGAGGCCGAGGACGAGGACAACTGGCGGCACGAGGACGGGCTCCGTGCTGGCGACAAGGTCGCCGTCATCACGCGCCTGTTCGAGGACGTGCGCGGGCGCAAGATGGCCATGGTCCGGTGGTTTGCTCGCCCGGGCGCGGTCTGGGGCGAGCAAGGGCCGGACGAGGACCACGACGAGTTTGGCGAGGTCATGCCGGTGCGCTCCCTCTCTCTCTCTCTCTCTCTCTCTTCCTCTGTGACGAGGGCCTGCAGCTCGTCCTGCCGTACTGACGGTCGCTCGCACGCACACAGTACGAGCTCTACTTCACGTCCGACTCGACCTATCTGCAAGAGTCTCGCCTGCTGCGCCAAAAGGCGGCCGCCAACCCGTTCTCGTCGCCCTCGTCCTCGTCCCCGACCAAGCGCCGCGGCACCACCTCGTCCTCTCGCGGCGCCTCCTCCTCGTCGTTCCTCTCGTCCGCCGCGTCGTTCCGCACCCCGCTCCACAGCGACGCCGTCCCCATCTCGACCATAGCCTCGTCGGCCGAGGTCTTCTCGCCCTCGGCGCTCGGCGACACGCCCATCACGGCACAGCAGCAGCGGTCTGTACCCATGTTTGTGTGCACGCGCGTGTACGACGTCAAGCCCGTCGCGGGCGCGGGCTTCTGGGGCGAGGTCGAGTGGGACGAGAAGCGCCGCGCCGCCGTCGAGTGGTACGAGGACAAGATGCGCGACGGCGAGCGCGACGTCGCGCAGGACAAGTGGGACGTCGAGCCTGTCATGGAGGCGGGCAGCAGCGAGGACGAGGTGGACGAGGACGAGGAGCGCGAGAAGGAGGAGCGCAGGAGGGCGCGCGTTGAGAAGGCCAAGGCGGCAAAGGAGCGCAAGGAGAGGGAGCGGGCGCAGAAGGGTGGAGCGAGTGCGGACGAGTCGAGCGACGATGAGGAGGACACCTTCGTGCGTCGCAACCTCCTCTCCCTGTCTTCCTCCTGTGCCGCTCCTCTCGCGCAGCGACTGACACGTTTACCCTCGCAGGCCAACTCGGACGCCTCTTCCTCCTCCTCGGACGACAGCGACGACTCGTCGAGCGACTCGGACGAGCGCTCGTCCGACGACGACGACGACGTCCTGCGCACCCCGACCAAGCCCAAGGCGCGCTCGGCTCGCCAGCTCCCGACGCCCGCCTCGTCCTCTGCCTCGTCCCGTCGCGCCTCGACCGTCACCAAGGCCAAGCGCGCCCGGCCGTCCACGACTGCCGACTCGGGCCGGCAGGCCAAGCGCCGTCGGTTCGCCGCCAAGTCGCGCACGACCAAGGGCTCGACTACCACGGCCGCCGCGTCCCCGACGTCGGCCAACGCGCTCCCGCCGCTCCTCGACGCGCGCGAGCTCGCCAAGTTGTCGCCGTTCGACCGCGCCAAGGCGCTCCTGCACGTGTCGGCGACGCCCGAGTCGCTCCCGTGCCGCGACGAGCAGCGCGAGCGCATCCGCCAGTTCCTCGGCGACGCCATCCTCGGCAGGACGGGCGGATGCCTCTATGTTCACGGTGTGCCCGGGACAGGAAAGACGGCGACCGTGCACAGCGTCGTGCGGGAGCTGCAGAAGGACGAGGTGCGTCCACTCTCCCTCTCTCGCATCCTGGACTCGAGCCGCGGTCACTGACAGTCGGGCAAACTCCCTGCAGGACATGGACGCGTTCACGTTCGTCGAGATCAACGGCATGAAGATCAGCGAGCCCATGGCGGCCTTCTCGCACCTGTGGTCGGCCCTCGCCCCGTCGTCGACCTCGTCGTCGTCGTCGCACGCCTCGACCCCGCCGCGCAAGACGTCGCCCAAGGCGGCCCTCGCCGCCCTCGAGCACCACTTTGCCAACCCGGACCCGGCCCGCCCGACGACGGTCGTCCTCGTCGACGAGCTCGACCAGATGCTCACCAAGCGCCAGGACGTCCTGTACAACTTCTTCAACTGGCCTCACGTCGCCCACTCGCGGCTCGTCGTCGTCGCCGTCGCCAACACGATGGACCTGCCCGAGCGCGAGCTGAGCGGCAAGATCCGCAGTCGACTCGGTGCGTCTCTTGCTCTCTCAGAGTCTCTGTTCTGCCTCTCTGAACACGCACTGACACGAGCTCTCGACGTCGACAGGCACGAACCGCATCCCGTTCCAGCCCTACACGTGGGCAGAGCTCAAGCGCATCCTCGAGGCCCGCCTCGCGCTCGTCGCCCTCCCTTCCTCGTCGACCTCGACCTCGTCGCCCCCGCCGCCACCTCTCTTCGACGACGTCGCGCTGCAAAAGATCGCCAAGTCGGTCGCCGGCATCTCGGGCGACGCGCGCAAGGCGCTCGACGTCGCCCGTCGCACGCTCGACCGCGTCGCGCTCCGACTCGCGGCGTCGCCCTCGTCGGGAGCGGCAGGCTCGACCGCGCCCGTCGTGCGGTGCACGATCCAGGACGCGACGGCGGCGTACAACGACATGACGCGCACCGGTCCCGCGACCTTTGTCCGGCGCCAGTCGACGCACGCCAAGGTGCTCCTGCTCGCCGTCGCCCAGTGCGCCAAGCGCGCCGGCGTGCCCGACGTCGAGCTCGACACGGTCCTCGCGTGGCACGGCGACTTTGTGCGCCAGGCCGCGCTCGTCGACGCGCGGGCCCTGTACCCGGCGAGCAGGAGCGAGCTCGTCGGCGTCGTCGCGCAGCTGCACGCGCAGCGGCTCGTCGCCACAGAGTCGCAGCGGCTCGACGTGTTTCAGCGCGTGAGGGCGTGCGTCGACGAGGGCGACTTGTTTGCGGCGCTCAGGGAGGACGAGGTGCTCAAGGCGCACGTGCCCAAGGTGCTCTGAGGCGGGAGCGAGCGAGGAGGGGAGGGGTCCGGGTCTCTCTTTGGTACTTTCTCGCAGTCTCTTGTTGTCATAACGCACTTTCTCTCTCCTCTGCTTCTCTCGAGGCGCCGAGAGGGACGAGAGAGGCGCGGGAAAGCTCGTCGTTACGAGAACGAGGACGAGGAGGACGTCGGGTGCTACCGCAGGGCGTACGACACGACGGGGAAGAGCTCTGCAGGACGAAGAGAGTCAGTGGTGCGTCTCGAGAAAGGACGAGGCGCGAAAGGGAGAGGGAGAAAGGACGAGAGGACGCACCCTCAGGGAACCCAAGCTGGACCTCCCTCCTGACGATCTCGAGTCCGGCCCGCTCAAACACGTCGCGGAACGCCCTGTCGGACCTCGTGATCGAGCTGTCGTCGTCGTCAAAGAGCCTGCCGGCGCCGTCGGCCGCCGAGTCGGAGCACACGTTCTCCTTGACGATGATGAAGCCCTCGCACGAGCCGTCGGTGCGCGAGGTGCGCAGGGCGGCGCGAGCACGCTGGAGGAACGAGACGAGCTCGTCGTCCGAGAGGTGGCCGAGGCACCATTGGCCTTGCACCTGCGCGCAGGAAGGAGAGGGAGGGTGTCAGTCGGGGGTCGCGATGAGGGGCAAGAGAGCGAGGGACGCACGAGGTCGTAGCCCTCTTCTGCAAGATCGAGTTCCCGCTCTGGGTCGGGCCACGCAAAGTCCTCGCTGCCGACCGTCGCCGCGAGCTCGACCTTGGCGCTCGCCGACCCGTCGACGACGGGCACGGCGGGCCTGAGCGGGTCAAAGTGCTGCAAGCCCGCCTTCCAGATCCTGACGCTCTTCCTCGCCCGTGCACCTGCGTCTGCGCTCGACGGCGGCGCGAGTGCGCGCCAGCCGTCGCGGCCCGAGCGCGCGTTGCGCTCTGCCTCGGCGACGAACGCCGGGACGGGCTCGACGAGGTCGACGCTGTCGAAGAGCGGGAGGAGCGTGTCTCGCGTGACGCGGCCGATGCCGGCGCCGCAGTCGAGGGCGCGGAAGGGGCGCGACGGGCGCGGGCTTGACGCAGGGGAAGGGCGCGAGAGGTGCGGAGGGGTGATGGTCGAGAGGGAGGGGAGGAGCGAGAGGATCAACAGGCGCGACGAGGTGGCGTCGAGGCGGGGGACCGGGGTGCCTCTGTGGAGGTGCTCGAGTCAGTACGAGCGCAGAGTGAGTCGGGAGAGAGCGGGAGGAGGAGGAGACTCGCTCGCCGTAGCCTCCGAGGACGCCGTCGACGGTCGCGTTGGTCGCGGCCCAGTACGCGACGCCGGCTTCGAAGTCGGGCACTTGGTCTGCCATGGTTGCGCGTCGCAGGTTCGAGCTTGAGCGGTGTTGAGCGAGTCGAGGTTGGTTGCGCTCGAGCTGTGCGAGAGGGCGAGTGCACGAGGCGAGGACGGCACGGGCGAGGGGGTGGGCAAGGCGAGGCGTCTTGTTGAGCGTGTGCGAGTAGATCAGGGCACACAGGAGCTGGCTCGACCTCGTGGGAGCGACAGACGACGATCAGCTCGCGAGCTGTGAGCGGAGATGGAGACGGCCTGGTCGCTGTTCCCCCTCCTCGACCTGTCGCAGCTCGGGCGAGTCCAGAAGCTAGCCAGCAGCACTCGCACAGCCTCGCAACATGGCCTCCCGCGTCGCCCACTCGGCCCGCGCCCTGCGATGCCGCGCTCCTCCTCCTCCCCTCCTCATCGCCTCGTCGTCGCCGCACCGCACCCTCTTCGGCTGGGGCAAGACCAAGCTCGACGAGGCCGCTCCCCCAAAGCCCACACTCTCCCAGGACAACCTCTTTCACCCCTTGTCCCAGTCGCCCTTCCCCGAGATGCGCGCAAAGGGCGACCGCATCCGCCAACTCGCCTACTGCCCCGTCTCGCAAGACCTGCACGGCGAGAAGGTCCACGTCGCGTTCGAGTGCCCCGACTGCGGCTTTCCGACCCACGCCTCGGAGCAGCGCTGGAGGGAGGACCCCAACCACGGCCGCTACTGGCCCCGTCTCCGCGAGGCCAACGAGGACGAGCACGACCTGCGCAGCGGCCGCGAGTTGACAGAGTTCCGCCTTCCAGGTGCGTCCCCCCTCTCTCTCTCTCGCCCTCTCTCTCGCCCTCGCTGACTCATTCCCGTCGGCGCACGTTTCCCGCAGGCGAGCAGCCGTACGAGGAGGCCGTCTCGTTCGGCAACTGGGACGTCTTCCTGTACACGCGCGGCTTCCCCTCGATCGAGACGGAGCGCGCACGGCGACACGTCTCCAAGCTCTTGACGTACCCGATCACGATCGGCTCGGTCCTCCACGAGAACTCGCCCTACACGCTCCGCAACCAGCGCCTCCTCCCCGAGGGCTTGCGCTCCCTCATGGGTGCGTCCTCCGCTCTCTCTCTCTCTCCCTCTCCCTCGCCGTTACTCGTCTCGAGCTCGAGGACTGACTCGCCCTCTCTCGCCCAACACAGCCCTGCGCCGCACGCTCCACCCGCCCGAGAAGGAGGGCGCCGCCAAAGCCGGTCTCCCGCCCGCGCCGCTGCGCATCTTTGTCCTCGGCGCACGCGCCGAGTCGAGCCTGCCGTCGCACGTCCTCGCCCAGCTGTCGCACCTGTTCCCCTCGATCCCGCTCCACCTCGTCTTCATCGGGCCCGAGGCCTACATCCCCGCACCGGCACCCACCCGCTCGACCTTCTCGTCCTCGCCTTCCCCGTCCTCGTCGGCCGACGACTCGGCAGCGGCGGCGGCGGCGTCGTCGTCGGTGTACGGCGTCCCGTCGCACACGCGCATCGAGCACGACGGCCGCCTCACGGTCACGTCGCTGCGGTGCAACTACTCGGACGTGCACGACGTCCTCGGCCCGTTCGACCCGTACCAGGACGTGTTTTTCGCCTTCAGCCCCGGGTTCGGGTTCCCGGACGAGCTCGACCCGACCAAGACGCAGCTCGAGACCAACTGGAGCGCCGCCGTAAAGAGCCTCCTCGAGACCAAGTGCGCCCTGTTCTGCACCGGCTTCTCGCCCGCCGACATTGAGCGCGACGTCGTCGCGCTCGACAAGGCCGACGGCATCGCCGGCGAGTTTGACTGGCTCGTCACGCCCGGCGACAACGTGTTTGGCAGCGAAAAGTGGGAGGTCGCAGAGTTTGACCCGCGCGTCGCCGTCAAGACCAACTGGGGCGTCTGGGGCATCCGGTCCGTCCCCTCTTTTTTCTCTCTCTCGAGATGCGCTCGAGCATGTCGACGGACACTGACTCGCTCTCTCCCCTCGCTCGCGTCGTAGCGGCAAGCGGTACGAGGTTCGGGGCGCGCAGCCGGACGAGGTGGACGCATAGCACTGCAACGAGCTCTCTCTTTTCACCTCTCTGTTCTGTCTGTGTCTCTCGAGAGGCTGCGCGAGGGATCGAGAGAGATGCGGCTGCGATACAGGGCCGACGAGGTCGAGGAGCGGTGACTGCTCAGGGGCGGGAGGGGGCTACGAGCGATGGCTCGAGGGCCTAGCCGATCATGCGGAGGAAGCCGAAGCCCTGCGGAATGGGAGAGGATCGACGGTGTCAGTGGTGGCGGCTGAGGCGAGGAGGCAAGGAGAAAGGACGGACCAGGTTGATGATGACCCCGAGGACGATGGCGATTTGCGTCCTGCAGGACCCTCTCGAGCGACGTCAGTGACCGACTACGAGGGCAGGAGAGGGCGAGAGAGGGAGGAGGGCGCACCGTTTCGTGAAGAGCTGGGTGCGGAAGAAGAAGAGCGGGAGGAACGGCGCGAAGAACCCGATCGAGATGCCCTTGAGGAGCGAGTAGTAGTTGCCCGCCGTCGCTGCAGACCACGAGGAGAGTGCTCGTGTCAGGTCTCTCGGCGGCGGCGAGAGAGAGAAAGAGAGAGAGAGAGAGGAAAAGACGAGGACGCACAGGCCTCTGCCCCCGCCGCCTCCTCGCTCCCCGTCATGCCGCTCAACCACTGGTCCTCGAGCGCGCGCTGATGCTCGTCGTCGTCGCCCGGCTCGGCCGCCGCCGCTGCCGCCGCCGCACCGCGCGTCTCGCGAAACTCGGTTCGCAGCTGCTCGATGTCCTCCTCGGAGAAGCCGGCGTCGCGCAGGCGGTCGAAGCCTTGGAGCGGGGTGATCTGCGCCGCCTGGAGAGGACGAAAGGTCGTCGTCAGAGGATGATGGATAGGATTAGAGGCGAGAGAAAAGTAGGGCGGACCTGGTTCGTGTCCTCGGCGGGCTCCTCGTCCTGCTCGACGTCGCCGACCGAGCAGTGGAGCCAGATCTGCTCCTCCTCCTGGACTGCCGCTCCCTCCTCTCCTTCCCCGTCCTCTCCCGATCCGCCCGCCGCCCCTCGCTCGAGCGCATCGAGGTCGTCCTCGCCCTCGGCCGCCCTCGCCGGCCCGCTGACGGCGCTCGCCGTCCCCCTCACGACCTTGCCGAGCCCTCGCCCGACCGCCTGCAGGCCCTCGCGCAGCGCGCTGTCGCCCGGCGAGCCCTGGTCGAGCTGGGCGCGCTTCGAGAGGAGCTGCGCCGTGTAGGGCACGAGGAAGACGCCGTCGGGGAGGAGGCGGCCGAGCTGGATGAGGCGCAGGCGGCGCGGCTTGTCGTCCTCGAACAGCGTCTTGGGCCGCAAGAGTCGTAGCTGTTGGACATGGAAGTGTGAGCGCGGCATAAGGATCGAGAGGACAGGGAGAGAGGGACGCACTCGTCGCTTGACCTCGCGCACCGACTCCTTCTCGCCGACCCACAGGTCGAGCAGGTCGTCCGTCTGCCCGTCGGTGAAGCGAACGCAGAAGCTCAAGCCCGTCGGCTGAGCGCTCGAGCGACCCTCGTCGTCGTCGTCGTCGCCGTTGCCCGGCGAGAGGCCGCCGTCGAGAGGCACGTCGAGGGCGCGGCCCTTGCCCTTCCTCGCGCCGAGGGTGCTGCGGCGAGGGGCTGGCGGGAAGGCGAAGGGATCTCGGATCGAGGTAGACGACGACCTGGGTGCCGCGCTGGCTGTTGGAGGCGAGAGCTGGGCAGACGACGACGACGACGACGACGAGGCGAAGTGGGGGGCAAAGGCGGCGACGGCGGGCTGCTCGTCGGGCGAGTCGGTGAGGAGCGGTCGTTGGTCGTCTGGCAGCATGGCCTGCAGCTCAGCGTGTGAGTCTGAGGGTGTGCGAGAGGGAGGAGCCGAGCCTCGTCCTCATCTCGGTGGATCGTCCTCGTCCGAGCCTCTCGCATCGCCGCATCGCTCGCAGTGCTGCGTGCGACAGCTTGCACTCTGCTTCTTGTTCTCTCGCACCAGGTAGGCCCCGTGCTTCGCGCACGCCGTGCCCTCGGTGATGCTCAACCGAGGCGACGTCCAGCCATCTCGCTCTCCTCGGAGAGTTGGCGCAGCGGCTTCGATGGCCCCGCCGTGCCGTGCCAGAGACACGCGCTAGCAGCCCTGTCGGCATGCGCCCGCTCTGGCGAGAAGGCGCGACCGCTCGCTTCCGCCGTCGCCGCTTCTTTGCCTTCGCGGCTTGGCTTCCTCGACCTCACTTCGCCTCGCCTGCTCGCTCTCGCTCTTTTCCGCCGACCCTCTCGATTCCCTCGCCATGCGTCTCTCTCTCTTTGCTGCCGTCTGCGCCGCCGTCGTCCCGCAGCTCGTCTCGGCGACCTACTTCACTTCGCCGACGGCCGGCACGGTCTGGGGCCAAGCGACGGGCCAGCGTATCGCGTGGCACTACCAGCCGGGCGGTGCGCCGAGGGGCGACATCATCCTCGCACTCGACACGGCCAACCCCAAGTGCGTCCTCTCTCTTTCTCGCAGCGTCTCGCCGCAGCAAGACCGGTCCTGACCCGCGCTTAATTCTCGCAGGGCGGCGCAGACTCTCGTCGTCGCGACCGACGTCGACCTCACCTCCGAGTCCGTCGTGGTACCCGCCGACCTTGGCTCGCGTCGAGCCAGCCGCTGGGTCCGTCCCTCCCGTCGGCCATCTGCAGCACGAGCCGTCGAGACTGACCTTCTTCTGTCGGCCCCGAACAGATCCTGCGCATGGTCAACTCGAACAACTACGACACGGTCTACACCCAAGTCGCCGACGTCATCATCGAGTCGTTCGCGGGCAGCGCCGCACCGAGCGCGAGCGCGGCGCCGTCGACGACGGCTGGCTCGGGTGGCGCGGTCGGGAACGGCAGCGGCGACGACACGGCGACGAACCCTGCTGTCGGGAGGCCAACCTCGTCCAGTGCGTCTCTACATTCTCTCGGGCATGCCCTCTCGTCGCACGACTCAGAACACTGACTCTCGCTTTTCCCGCGCCGAGCAGGTTCCTCGCAGCGCCCTTCCTCGACGTCGTCCTCTCAGCCTGAGCAGTCGTCCTCGAGCTCGAGCGACGAGCCGTCCTCGACCATGACCGACGAACCCTCGTCGACCTCGTCCCCCTCCTCGACCCAGCTCGTCACCGCCACCGTCCTCTCAACCGCCTCGGGCGTCCTCGTCACGCTCGAGCCCTCGACGACCTCGGGCGACCCCGTGAGCGTCGTCACCGTCACGGCGAGCGGCTCGGTCGGGCAGGCGAGCGCGGTGCAGGGCGGATCGACGAGCGGTGCGAGGGGCTCGAGCGGCGAGAGGTGGGTGGGCGCGCTCGGTGCGGCGGCGGCGGTGGCGGTCGCGTACTTGCTGTAGCGCGACCTTGTGTGCATCCACGAGACTCTTGACAACTTTCCGAGGCTGCAGCGAGCTGTGCGTCGACGAGGAGACAGAGAGAGTGCCTGAAAGATTCGGCTTTCCTCGCTCGGCTTTCTTCGACTCTCAGCAAGGACGACGCGATGCGAACAGGCTCGAAGCTTTGCAGTATTAAGCACGTAAGGGTAATGGGTGAACTCGACCAAGCGAAAGCTCCTCCTTCCTCCTAATTCGTCCGTCCCTCCTCGCCTTCTCAAACCATGCCCGCCGCCCCGACGCCGGACGCGAACCCTCCCCTCTGCTTGATCGCGTCGCCCGGCGCCCCTGCCACGTGCGTCGCGACCCCGTGCTCGCCGCGCCACTGTCCGGCGAAAGGCTGCACGCCCGAGACGGCGTCGAGCGAGTAAGGGTACCGGCGCGCGGCGAGGTCGAGGCCGTGGCCGTGCTTGGCGAGGGGAGGGGCACGAGGGAGCGGGAGGTGGTTGAAGCGGAAGTCCCAGATCGAGGCGTAGCTGCGGGACGTGGCGAGAGGTCAGTTTACGAGCGCGAGAGGGAGAGGGGAAAAGAGGAGGTTCGAGCGCACGACATGCGGTAGGCGGCAAGGGCGGACGCCGTTCCGATGCAGCTGCCAGCGACGACGTCGTACCAGTGGTGGTACTGTGTCCAGAGAGAGGAGTGTGGAGGAGAAGGACGAGTCAGTGCGTGCGCTCGATAGGAAAGAGAGGCTCGGGGACGCACCTCATCGATGGTGAGCGAGCCCGCGATAAGGACGGCGCCGAGCTGTGCGTACGAACAAGAGGATGGTCAGGCGCTTGAACATGCGGGCGGCAAGAGGCGGCGTCGAGCGGTCGAGGGTCGGCGAGTTTGACACGTGGAGAGGGCGGCTCGTGCGTTTGGGAAACGAGGGCCAAGAGCTGCTGCGGAGCACTCACGAGGGGCGCAAAGAAGGCGAGCATCTTCCAGAACTGTTTACGAGGGTACGGGACGAAGGAAGAGAGGGTCAGTCGGGGCTCGATTTGGGTTTGAGAAGGTCGACTTGCCTGAGGGCGGTAGTCCGAGAAGAGCTTGAGCTTGCCGTTGAGGTACTGTGGGTCGACGAGAGCATCAGTTGATGCCTTCTGAGCGGGTCTAAGGCGAACAGGAGGGAGGTGGGCGGGAAGGCGAGGAAGTAGGACGTACGAGGCTGAGGAGGACGAGGCCTGCGAAGGCGGCCGTCGAGTGCCCGCTCGGCATGCTCTCGACGCTGTCATCGATCTCGTTGACGTCGCCAGTACAGATGTCCCTCGTGAACATGATGGCGCCGTAGCCATTGCCGAGCGCCGTGCCGCTGATGTCGGGCTTGCAGACGGCGAGAAAGTGCGGGCGCAGGCCGCCGATGAGCCACTTGACGAAGACCTGTAGACGAACGACGGGAAGGCGAGAAGAAGGCGAGAAGGAGGCGAGAGAAATGGGCGCCGAGGAGGGGTCGAGGCGAAAGGGGAGGGGGAGAGAGGAGGCAGCGTGTCAGTCGTTGGTCTCGTTCGAGCCGAGCAGCTCGACAGGACGGGAAGCACCGGACGCACCTGGAACGTCGCCGCGTTGATGAGAGAGTACAGCAGGGCGAACGTGGCCGTGTTGAGGTCCTCGAACGAGCGCACGCGAATCTGGACGAGCATGAACGAGACGAACGGGACGAAGAAGGCGATGAGGGCTGCGGCCCAGATGGGGATAATGCTGAGGAAAGAGGTCGAGGTAGGTCAGAGGTGTCCGGGGAGAGACAGGCAAGGGGGAATGCAGGCTGAGGAGGGAGGAGGACGCACTTCTTGCGCAGCGGGTAGGCGATTTCCGGGTACACGATCTCGCCGTTCTGCGCCGTCAACGTGTTCGTCAGGTCGATACTCAGGGGGCGCACGCAGAGGGTAGAGAGAGAAGGACGCACGGCGAAAGTGACGGGGAACGAGCGCGTCGGCGCCGGCGGCGCCTCGTAGACGCCGAGCGCGATGGCTCCGAGGGCCGCCATCGTCACTGCAGGTCTCGAGCGTCAGTCTGGGTCCCTGGACAGACGACGGAGAGGCCGAGGACGCACAGAGGTCGATCCAGTGCTGCTTGAACCACTGCGCGACGGTCGGACGACCATAGATCCACGCGCGCCCGTCCTTGCTGACGTCGCCGACGGGCGTCATGCCGCCGCCGTTCATGCCCTCGGCTGCGTGCTGGTGGTGCGGGTGAACGCTCTGCGAGCCGACGTGGGTCGCGTCCGACGCGCGAGGAGGAGCGTCGCCGTGCGCGTGCGCCGGGGCAGGCTTCTCGAGCGTCGGCTGCGCCTCGTTGCGGTGTCCGAACAGGGCCATCTTCGGCGAGGCTTTCTGTCGAGAGAGCGGTAGAGGGAGAGCGAGAGGAGCGACCCGCAGCGGTGGACGACGCACTCGACTTTGGCGGTTCTGCCTCTGCCTCCCAAGTTGACGCTGCGCCCCGCACCCAAGATTAGCTCTAACTGAGCTTCTCGCACGAGACTCACGACACGGTTCGCTCTGACCGCACGCCGCAGCAAGGGCTGCCGTCACGCGCATTTCCCGACGCTGCGGTCCGCAGCCACGTGGCCTCGAGCTCTCTGTCTCTCTTCCTCTCGCTCGCTCAAAGAGGGCGGCACAGACAGCTCGTTACAGCACGACGACGAGCGACTCGCACAGATACAAAGAGGGGCGCTAGGCGTCGTACAGGCCTCGGCCGCGAGACGGTGGGCGAGAGGTCGAGGGGCTGAGGGTGCCGAGGTCGCGCTTCTCGACCTTGAGCTGGTCGAGTCGGGTCGGGCGAGGGCTGCGGCGCGTTGAAGACGTCAGGACGAGAGGCAGACGTTGACGGAGAGAGAGAGAGAGAGAGGGGGGACGGACCGAGTCGTGTCGACGGCCTCGATCGGGAGGGTGAAGCGCTCCTCGTCGCAGCCGTACGCCTTGGGCGTGAGCTTGATGACCGTGTGCCTGTTGCGCTCGAGAGAGAGAGAGTCAGTAGGCCGTGGGTGAGAAAGAGAGAGAGAGAGAGGGGACGCACAGCGGGATCTTGATGTAAGGCAGCTCCTCCTGCGACAGGTTGTGGCTGCGGCGGGCTCGAGAGGTCAGGCCCGCTCGTGACTGCGACAGGATCAGAGAGAGAACGTGACGCACAAGTAGGCGTAGAGGCAGCGCAGGACGGCCTGGTGGCACACGACGAGGATGTTCTCCTGGCGCTCGAGCTCGAGGATGACGGGCTCGAGCCGGATGACGACGTCGCGGTACGACTCGCCGCCGCGGTACCGGTAGTTGAACTTGTCGTCGTCGCGCGCGTTGTAGTCCTCGGGGTAGTACTCCTGCAGGGGCGCCTGTAGTCAGTCATGCCACTCAAGCTCGAAGCAGCTCGACTCGACGGGGTCGAGGCGAGGTGCGGGCCGAGAGGGAGAGCGAGGACGCACCGCAATCTCCTCGTACGTCATGCCGTCGCACACGCCGGCGTCGAGCTCGTCGAGCGACTTCCACGTGAGCTTCTCGTACGGCAGCAGCGACGCCGTCTGGATCGTCCGGCGCAGCGTCGACGTCCACACCTGCGGTCGGTCGTTGGCCGCAGTGTCAGTACGGCGAGACACAGAGGCTCGAGACCGACAGGAGGGACGACTCGACGCACCGTGAGGGGCGTGTCGCCGAGCTTCTTCTTGATGAGGTCGGGCAGCGCCTCCATGTACTTCTCGCCCTGCGCCGACAGCGGCGCGTCGCCGCCAATCTTGCCCTCGACGTTGTACTGCGACTCGCCATGCTGCACGTGCGGCGAGGACGAGGGTCAATGAGGGGGAGGGAGGAGAGACAGAGAGAGCGAGGGAGAGGGAGAGAGGGACGGACCCGGGTAAAGTAGATCGAGCGCGGCGTCAAGTGCAGGTTCATGAGGTAGAAGGCGATGCGCGACTGGAGGTAGCCGTCGATGCGGTTCACCGTGACCTGCGCGAGCGATCGAGCAAGTCAGTGTCCTTCCTCGACGACGACAACGAGCCGGGGCAGGAGGAAGAAAGAGGACGACGAGGGACGCACCTGCTTGCCGACGTTGACCATTTGGCACCACGTCTGGTCCTTGTCGAGCTCGGGGTCGAACGGCTCGTAGCTCTCCTCGTAGTGCTTGATGCGCTCGCGGAAGTCGCGCTCGGCCTGCTCGGGCGGCTGGCCGTCATAGTCCGGGTCGCCGCTCGCCACCTTGACGGCAATGTTGGCCGCGATGACGGCCGGGTCGGTGCACAGCGACTCGATGAAGAGGAGCTTGAGGCCGGGCTCGCGCTTGATGCGGTCGGCGAGCGCCTTGCGGCGCTTGCGCGTCGAGTTGGTCGCGTCTGTTTCGCCGGCACAAGGTCAGGCTCGACAACGACGACGACAACGACGGCGGCGACGACGAGGGAGCAAGGGGGGCGCACCGTGGATGCCGACATTGCCGCCGGCCTTGAGCCACCGGATCAGGTCCTCGAGGCACTCGGACGCCATGGCCTCGCGCGCCTTGCTCGCCTCCTCGTTCTTCGTGTCGAAAAAGTTGCTCGACTGGTCCGCCTTGTGGCCCGACTCCTCGGCCATGCGGCGGTAGATCTGGCGGCGGTACTGCCCGACGTTGAACACCTTGACCTGCGCGCGAGAGGGAGAGACTAGGGTCAGCTCGACGAGGCGTGGGCGAGGAGGACCCGGCGTCGAGAGGGGGGCGGACCTGGTACTCGAGCCACTGCAGGGGACGTGACAGCAAGTCAGGGCACGCTCGAGGAAGAAAATGAGAAGGGCGAGGAGACGCGCGAGGAGGTAGCGCTGCAGCTTGTTCGACAGGTAGCTCTTTCCGCGAGCAGGCAAGCCGACCATGGCGACGACGATCTTGGCCTCGGAATAGTCGGGCTTCTCGACTGCGTACGTCGAGTCCCTCGTCAGGTGACGCTCTCAAGGGCGGAAGGAGATCCAAGGGGGAGAAGAGGGACGCACTCGTGCTGCCGGCGCTCATGCCAAAGCTGACCTCCTTGGTGCCGAGGTCGTGGCCGCGGTCGCGGTGGTTGATCGTACCGCCGCTCGTCGTGTTGCTCAGGAGTGAGCTCGTCGACGAGTTGGCCGTCGAGTAGGGCCTGCGCGCAAGCGAGAGAGGGTCAGTAGGTTCGTCGGGCACTTCAACTACTCGCCCCGCCGCGAGCAGCGCCCGGCGGGCGAGACAGAGAGGACGCGACTCGACGCACCAGGTTCCACGGTGCTCCTCCCTCGGGCTCTGGACCGGGCTCGTGACATTGCTCCCCGGGAGCGACGACGAGCCCGTGCCGCCGCTCGTCTTGCGCGACAAGCTCGCGCCGCGGTTGAGCGCCATACCGGGCACCGGGTACGGGCTCGGTGCGGCGCTCGGTCCGAGGTCGGGGCTCATGCCCGTCACGGGCGAGGGCGACATGGTGCCGGAGAGGAGGGGCGAGGTGACGGCCGAGGTCGAGGGCGAACCGTCGGGGCCGCCGGGCCGCTGCGTGAAGCGGAACGAGGCGGCGCGCGAGAAGGACGCCGAGCGGGACACGGTCGTGCTCGAGCGGCCTGAGGGCGGGGGATGGGCGGGGTCGGTGGGAGGCGAGGGGGCAGATGAGGATGGCGTCGGCGAGGGGCCCGCGGGCTTGGTCGGCTGCTGGGGCGGCTGCATCGCAAGTCGAGGCGTGCGGAGACTCGCTGTCCTGCTGAGCCGGGCGAGGTGGTGCGAGCAGAGTGAGAGCGAGCGAGCGTCGAGGTGGGGGCGGACCCTCTTGCTCTCGCTCTCGCTCGTCCTCAACGTCGACCGGTGCATGGACAACAGCAGCAGAACGTTGCAGATACATCAATAGACAGGCGGGAACGCGCACGAGCCCAGAACCGCAAAAGCGAGACACCTTCCTCCCCTCCTCCTCCTCCTCGCGCCCGCGCTCAGGCGTTCTTCTTCTCGGCCCCGACGGCCGCTTCCTCGCCCGCCGCGCCCCACCCGAACCACCCGCCGGCCTTCCTCGTGCCAGCCGCCGCACCAGCACCCGCAGCAGGCGGGAACCCGCTCGCCTCGTCGCGCCCAATCTCCTCGAACGAGCTCGACGCGCTCATCCTCGTGCCCGCCGCCGTCCCAGACGCCGACTCCGTCGACGCATCGCTGTCGTCCCTCTCGCTGTCGTCGCTCCCGCCCGCCCCGGCGCCCCCACGACGGCGCGCCCCCTCCTGCTGCGCACGGGCCGTCGTCGCGCCCGCGGCGCCCATCGGGTGCAGGAGCGCGTTGCCGGCCGCGAGCGCCGCGGGCGCGTACGTGCGCAAGAGGCCACCGGCGAGGTGGGCGAGCTGGGCCGCGCCGGCGCCCGAGGCTGACGAGGGGACGGCCGTGCCTGGCTCGGCGAGGACGGGCGGCGCGTGGGCGGCGCCGCCGTTGTCGCGAGGCCGAGCACCGGCGGCGGCGGTGGCGGTGGCGTCGGCGTCGGGGCCGAGGATTGAGCCGAGGACGAGGGCGCGCAGGCGGCGCACGGCGGCGTTGGCGTAGCCGAGGCCGGCGCGGGTCGCAGAGGTGCGGGCGTCGGCGAGCGCGGCGTCGATGTCGTCCTCGTGCGAGGTGAGGAACGGCGACAGGTGGTGGATGTAGATGTAGGTCGAGCCCTGTTGCTCGTCTCGCTGTCAGTGCTGTGCATCGAGTGAGAGCGAGAGAGGGTGCGCACCTGGATCTGGGGGAGGACGAGCCAGAGCATGACGAGCGTCTTGACCTCGTGGTAGAACGGGAACCTGCACCGCGTCTGTCGTCAGTCTCGTCTCGAGACAGAACACACACACACAGAGAGAGAGAGAGAGAGAGGGACGCACCAGCTAACGCTCCACTCTGCCCAGTGCTCCCACGTCCAAACGCACGCCACGACGCACCAGTACATGAGCCAGCGCTCGAGGCGTTCGGCCTGCTCCTGCGGCGTCAGGCCCGAGCTCGCCGCCGGGCGCAGGGCCTTGTACGACGCGTACAGCGGGTACAGGACCGAGGTCGACGTGCTGCGCGGGAGGACGGGGAGGGGAGAAGTGGGGGCGCGCGGTGTCAGTACGAGGGTCTTGGGGCTCGGGTCGCAAGGTGGTGCGCCAGACACAGAGAGCAGAGTGACTGCTCGACCGCCCTCGCCGTGCGCAAGCTCGCCCACTCGCCTCCTCCTGCCTCCCCGCCTCTGGCGCCGAAGCTCCAGGCCGCTCCCCCCTCCCTCGACAGACGAGGACAGAGGACGCACATGACGATCTTGCACAGGTAGTAGAACATGGCGGCAGCAGGCGGGTCCTCGGGCTGGGGTCGTGGGTCTGGAAGATCCGAGGGACGAACGGCTGATGAGAAGTCGCGGAAGGGTCAGGCGGCGTGGCGGGCGGGTTGCGCGGCGGTGGAGCGCGCGTGGGTCGAGTGCGGTGTGCGTGTGTGGGCCGGAGCGGTGGCACAGGCGAGCTGGGCGCGAGTGAGGTGGGGGAAGAGAGGCAAGAGTCGGGCGAAGGTCTGCCGACGACTCGCCCGAGGGCGCGCTCATCTTCGGCGGGCGAACGAGCCTGTCCTCGCTGCTCTCGTGACTGTAGAGAGACCTTCCGAGCCCTCCCGAACCGAGCCAGCGGGCGACCATCTCTCGCTCGAGCAGCTCGAGTCCTCGTTCTCGCGGCGCCGAACGACGAGGGCACGGCACGACAAGTGACAGACAGGGAGGAAGGCAAGAAGGAGGAGGAGCTAGTAGTGGAGGGCTACGAACGAGGCGCAGAAGAGGGGGGACGACTAGGGTCGGCGAAGAAGGGGAAGAGGAGGAAGGGCGTCTAGGACCGGGAGGGGGGGAACCGCGAGGAGAACAATACAGGGACCTGCAAGGGGTGAGGCGAGGCGACGGTGACGGTGGCGACGATGGCGAGAGGAGCACGCGGGAGTGGAGAGAGGTGACGGGCTCAGCACGAGCAGCCGCCCTCGTTGGGCGTCGTGTTGGTCGGCGTCACGCTCACGTCGATCACTGTGCGCGCGGTGCGAGTGCTAGTCAGTGCACCGCCCAGGGTACAAGGAAGAGAGAGAGAGAGAGGCAGAAGGACGCACTTTGGTTGGCCTGCTGCTGCTCGCCGCCCTCGCGGTCCATGCCGGGCAGCGCCTGGGCAATCTTGCGGAACAGCGTCTTGACGTTGTGCCCGGCTTTGGCCGACGTCTCAATGAACATGACGTTGAGCTCCTTGGACTTTTGCTCGGCCTCGTCGGTCGTCACTTGCCTGTTGGGCGGGCGGCGCAGAGGTGGGGTCAGTGCGCGCGCGGCGAGGAGGGAGGAAAAGGGAGAGCAGGGGAACGAACCGCTTGTCGTTGAGGTCCGTCTTGTTGCCGACGAGGACAATGATGACATCGTTGCCGCGCTCAGAGCGCACGTCGTCGACCCACTTGCTCGTGTTCAAGAACGACGCCCGGTCTGTCGGCCGCAGGGGAGACTCTCAATGAGCGAGTGCTCTTCTCGCTCGCGCGACACGTCGACGAGAGAGGAGGAGGAGGAGGGGACGCACTCGTGATGTCGTACACGACGACAGCGACGCTCGAGTCGCGAATGTAGCTCGGGATCAGGCTGCGGAAGCGCTCCTGGCCGGCCGTGTCCCACAGCTGGAGGCGGACGGTGCGGTCCTCGAGATACATCGTCTTGGACAGAAAGTCGATGCCTGTCGGGGTTACGAGGGCGTGCGCGTCAGTCGAGGGGCGGCAAAAGGGGGAGAGGTGGGAGGAGGCGAGGACGAACCGATGGTGGCCTGGTACGTGTTGTCGAACGTGTCGTACCTGCGGGTGGACGGTAGCGCGATCAGTGTGACGCTCGGTTTGCGAGAGGGTACAAGAGCAGGACGCACATGAAGCGGGTGATGAGGGACGTCTTGCCGACGCTCTGCTCGCCGAGGAACACGAGCTTGAACCTGGCGCGAGGGGGAGGGGGCAAGGTCAGTCGCGGGGGTTTCTCGGTACGACCCGACTGAGAGAAGAGAGCGGACGCCACTTTTTGAGGGCTGCGTGGGCAAACTCGGAGGCTTGCGGTGCGGGAGCCTGCGAGCTGGCGGGGGCGGCGGGGGTGATCGCGACGGCGGCGGCGGCGGCCTGAGCCTGGGACTGGGCGGGCTGCTGGGGCGCGGCGTCGGTCGACTGGCGGGTGGACGGAGGAGCGTCGGTGGAAGCACGCGGTGCGGTGTGGTCGTCGGTGGTGGCCGGCGGAGATGCGGCGGCGGGGGGAGGGGCAGCAGCGCCGTCGGTGGAAGAGCGAGGTGGGTCGGCGGCGGGCTCGTTGTCGGCCGAGGTGCGCGGTGCGGTCTCTTCGGTAGACATGGCGGCGAGTCTGGCAAGCAAGGTGGGAAGTAGAGACGAGGAGAGCCTCAAGAGGTGCCCGTCGTCGCCTCCTCGCTCCTCGATCAGAGCGACGACCAGCCTCCTCTCTCTGTCGCGTACAGCCAACAGCCGGCACACTCGACTGCACGCAGCCTACCCATGGCCACCGCACAACCACCCGCCGCCGCAGAGGGCGACCTCACCCTCGGCCAGCTCCTCACCCGCGCCCTCCGCTCCGCCGACCGCATCCTCCAAGCTCCTGCGCCCAACGACCCCAAACTCCAGTCCGACCTTGCAAACACTCTCGCAGACCTCGACCTCTCGAGCAAGCTCATCGACCACCTCGGCGTCCTGTCGCCCAACGACTCGCTCGACGACCTCTCGACCCGCAACCTGCGCTGCCTCGTCGTCCCCGCCCTCCAGGCCCAGCTCGCACTCGCCGTCCGCACTCGCGGCGGCCAAGAGCGCCTCGAGTGGCTCCACCGCGCGCGCGACCACTGGACCCGGTTCCTCGACCTCGTCGACCGCTACGCCGTCCTCGGCGCACCAGGCGCACCAGGCGACGACGACGCCGCCGACGAGCGCCGCAAGGCCCTCCAGGGCCCGCGCATCGGCGACACGGACCCGGCAAGGAGGCGCGCGGGCAAGATCGCCCAGTTCAAGATGGAGCGCGACATCAAGCGCACCCTCGACGAGCTGCGCGCCCGGCGCCGCACCCGCCGCGTTCGTGGGTCCACCGCCCCGACCGCCGCGTCCTCCTCGACGTCCGCCGCCCCGGCCGCCGCCGCCGCCGACGTCGACGACGACTACCCGTCGTCGTCCGACGACGAGGACGACGCGACGGCGTCGGTCGCGCGCCCGCTCCTCCTCAACCTCCTGACGCTGCACGCCCTGCGCGCCCACGCCGACCTCGACTCGATCGCGCACGAGTCGGACCTGCTCGAGCACGGCCTCAAGCTGAGCGAGATCCCGAGCCCGGGCCCGCACGCCGCCGCGAGCGGCGCCAGGACGGACGGGCGCGCGAGCCAGCGCGACGGCGACGGCGACGGCGACGCGGACCGGTGGAGGCTCGACAGCGTGGGCGACAAGGCCGGCGGTGGGCCCATGCTGTCGCCCGGCGGCAAGGTCCTGCGGCCGTTCACGATCCTCCCCTCGTCGTCCAACGGCGGCGCGTCGTCGTCGTCCGGGCAGCTCTCGACGCGCCTCCGGCTCCAGTCCGAGGTCTTCCGCGAGTCGTGGCGGCTCCCGACCATGACGATCGACGAGTACCTCGAGCAGGAGGAGCAGGCTGGACGGGTCCTCCAGGGCGGAGGGGAGCGCACGACGGACGAGGTCGAGCAGGCGAGGAGGGACGAGCGCGCGGACGACGAGGAGGACGACACGAGGGAGGGATACGAGCGCGTCGAGAGGGGGCTGCGCAAGGCGAGGGAGTGGGACGACTACCGGGACGAGCACCGCAAGGGCGAGGGCAACATGTGCGTCCTCCCTCCTCTCTCTCTCTCTTTCTCGACCTCTCTCTCGGCTCTCTCAGGGTTTCTCGTACTGACTCGTCTCGCCCTCTCGCTCGTCGTCCACAGGCACAACCGCGGATAGCTGTCCCTGCCCCCTCTCTGCAACTCGCACCTCGTTTGGCCTTCTCATTCTCTCGAACCGCATCTCGACGGCGAGGAGAGCGAGAGAGTCCGAACGCGACGGGGCAATGACGGAGAGATGAGAGTGCAAGAAGACTACAAAGACGAGGAGAGAGGGCAAAAAGCGAGTCGAGGGACAGGTGCGTGCACGAGGAACAGGGAGGAGCTCGAGTACAACAGGAGGGAGGGGGTCAAGGCGCGCGCGAGGGGGGCAATCACAAACAGGGGTCCTGCATCTCCATCTGCATCGTCTCGGGAGGTCGGCGCCGCAGCTCGTCCCGCCCCTGGGTCTAGCGCGCCATCCTGCGGCCGCCTCGGTCCTCGTCCGCTCTACTCGGCTGCCGCCCGCTTCGGCAGCAGCGGCGCCTGCTCGCCCACCCGGTACTGCCGCTGCTGCTGCTGCTGCTGGTCGTAGTAGTGGTCGATCGGCTCGACGTCGTCGTCGTCGGCGTGCGCGCCGTGGCCGCTCAGGGCCCGAAAGGGCGGCGACACCGGCGGCGACCCGGCCGGGAGCGCATCGCGGTGCAGGCCCGTCCAGTGCGGGAAGCTCGTGATGCCGTTGTACGTGAAGGTGCCGTAGCAGAGGAACGCAAAGCTGTGCAGGGCAAAGGAACAAAGTCAGCTCGGGTCGAGGCGAAGAGGTGGAAAGGGGACAAAAGGGAGCGAGCCGACGCACCCGACGACCTGCAGGACCTTGAACGACTCCCAGCCAAGGAAGAGGCTGACGGCCCAGATGCCGATGACGCGGCACGAGTCGATGGTCGAGCGGGCCGTGGCCGAGACGCTGCGGGAGGAGGAGAGGGTGAGTGACCTGCTGCGGCGCCGTCTCTCCTTCGACGCAGACGAGGAAAGAGGGGACGTACGTGCGGGTGACGGCGAGACCGCAGCTGTACAAGGGCGAGAGGAGAGTAAGCCCCGCGGTCGAGGTGGACGAGGAGGGAGAGGGCGAGGACGAGGACGCACAAGTTGAAGCACGCGATCGAGAACGCGATGACGATGCTCGACGACCACACCTTGGGGTGGTCGATGATCTCGTGCCAGCCCTGCTTGACGTCGAAGTAGGGCCCGGCGCGGGCACCGTAGAAGTACGAGATGGCGAACAGGCCGACCATGGTCGTCAGGAGGCCGAACACGCCCTCGTAGCCCGCCGCGAGCTGCACGACAAGTATGTGTCAGTAGGTGTCGGGCGAGAGAGGGGGAACGCGGGAGCTGGTGCAGAGAGGGAGAGGGGGACGCACGAGAGGCTCGACCGTGTGGTGCTCCATGATGCGCTCCTCGATGACGAATTGCGAGGCGGCTGTAAGGAGAGGGACGATGGTCAGGGTCTCGTCGCAGACGAAGAGAGGCGAGAGGAGGACGCACTGAAGATCTGCGCGACGAGGACGAGCGCGACGCCGACGAGCGGACTGACGCCCGCGTCCTCGCTCGCCGCCTCGGGGCCCTTGTCGTTGCCGATGAGCGACGAGCTGCCGACGACGCCGACGCCGAACATGCACACGACGAGCGCGACCCACTGGGCCCGGGTCAGGTCGCGCTTGAGGAAGACGACCGAGAAGACGCCGACCCAGAGGACGAGCGCGCCGCGCAGCATCTGGTAGATCGACACGGGGACGAAGAAGAGCCCGATGTTCATGCACGTCGTGCCGAGGATGTCGCACACGGCGGGCGTCCAGAACAGGAGCGCCTTGCGCCAGTCGATCCTCTCCGGGGCGGCGCCCGCAGCGGCGGCGACGCCGTCCGGCTTGAGGTGCGCGTCGCCGTGCTCAACGTCGTCGTCGTCGTTGCCGAGGAGCGGCTCGTGCTGCAGCGAGACGCCCGAGTCGTCGTAGTTGGGCTTGGCCGCGAACGCGGCGGCGCGACGGCGCTTGGCGACCATCTTGAACGGGTTCAGGCGCGAGTTGAGGAACGAGAAGGCGATGAGGCAGAACGTCTCGCCGAGGAACATGGTCGCCGTCTGCGGGGCGACAGCCGTCGTCAGTGTGTGAAGAAAAGGGTCACGAGGCGGAAGCGAGGACGCACCTGCCACACGGGCTGTTCGAAGTTGCGTCGCTTCGACGGGTCGAGTGCGTCGCAGTTGGAGACGCACTGCATATCTTGCCACTTGCTCCACAGGCCTGCGCAACGAAAGCTCTGGGTGAGTGAGGGGAGGACCGGGTTGAACGAGAGGCTGCCGCGACGCACTGTTGCTGCACCCACACACGAGCATGCCCATGACGAGGAGCGCGACGATCTGGCGGTTGGGCGCCTTGGGCGGTGTGGCAGACATGTTGGGAGTCGGCGAGTGGGGGCGAAGGAGGGGCCGGCGGGTCGAGGAGAGAAGGTCGGCGAGGGGCTGCCGCGGCGTGGCAGTACTAGCGGCGGATGCGGAGCTCCTTGTCGAGTGTGCTGGACCGTGTAGAGCGACGATGGAGCGCAGTCGAGGGCTTATCGAGGCGGGCGCGAGTGTGGGGGAGGCGAGGGAGGGGGAGCTGGTGGCGGCTGAACGAGTGCTGGGCGGTGGCGTGGGCCGCTAGAGCGTGCTGGTCGAGTGCGCTGAGAGACTCGTCGGTGCGAGCGAGCAGCTGTGCGGTGTGTGTCAAGAGCGAGAGTCTCGCCTCCTCGGCGTCGGACGTCGGACGTCGGCCGCAAGCGAGGGTTGACTCTCTCCGCTCGAGCTGGAGTGCGAGCTGTCTGAGACGGTCGTGTACATTATCTTAGCACTGTACGACCTGCTGCACCTATTTCTCGAGCCCGAGTTCGCCCACCGCCTCGTCGACGTCGACTCCGCGGCCGAGCACCTCTTCTCCGTCCGCTCCTTGCTCGCCTCGTCTCGCTCATGGTTGCTGCTCCCGACGACGATGGCTTTACCTCGGTGACGCACAAGAAGCCTGTGCGTCCGCCGCGCAACCGCAAGGGCAAGAACCGCTTCATCGAGCGCACGCTCGACCAGAAGCTCGAGGCGCGGTACGACGCCCTGCGACGCAGCGGGTACCTCGACAAGTGCCGAGGTGCGTCCTGCGCTCTCTCCTCGGGGCCTCCGCCGAGCCTGACCGGTCCTTGCCCGTGCGCAGAAATGGTCCGCCTCGCGCTCTCGCCGCCGGCGGTGAGTGAGCGCGAGGAGGCGCCCCCTGCGCCCTGTCCACCGCCTACATGCGTCGTCTGCCTCGGTCTCGGCAGCATCAGCGAGTCGAGCAAGGCGCAGGACCAGTACGTGCTCCTCAAGGAGGTCCTCGACGAGCTCAACGACGAGGTGCGTCTCCTTCTCTCCTCGCCGGCCTGCCTCGAACGCGACCCTGATGCGCTTTCGCCGACCTGCAGATCGACGAGACGGTGTTGACCGAGTTCTACGACCCGGTTTTTTCTCCAGAAGATGCCGCTTTCCTTTCGGCTCAAGGTCACGAGGTCCTCCCGTCCGACGTGCGTCCTCTCTCTCTTTCCTCGTCCCCGACACGACCCTGACTTTGTCTCTCGAACAGCACCCTCTAGTTCTCGACCGGCCAACGCTCCTCTATATCCCGCACGGCCCCCGCACGCTCTTCGAGGCGCTCCTGCGCGCCAATTGGACCTCGCCGGCGCAGCTGCAACGCGTCGTCCTTCTCGCCAATCGGCTCGACCTGTACGACGACCCGACCTACTCTGGGTCGCTCAAGAGCAAGTCGCGACGAGAAGACGAGGCGCAGCAGGACGGTGACGAGCTGGGTGAGAGCGCCGAGTACATCGTCCGAGCAGGTGCGCCCCTCCTCTCGCCTGCCTCTCTTCGCAGACTCAGGACCTGACCCACAAATACGACACAGCCGAGCTCTTCCACATCGTGCCCTTTCCGCCGACCAAGGAGCACCTCGAGGCGTTCAACGACCTCGCACTCGAGTGGGCCGTGCCGGCGCGGCTCGAGGGCAAGGACCCGGCCTTCTGGCTCGCCGACGAGTCGGGCGAGTCGACGGAGGACGTCGAGGTTGACGAGACGGCGGCGGCAGTTGAGGCGCTGTCGCTCGGGACGACGACGACGTAGTCACGAGGACGAACTGCTGCAACAGCTCGCTGTCGTTCTCGCGCATCGCGAGCGACCGCCACGTCTCGATGGACCTTGGCGTGTGACGAGAGGGCAGCGAGGAGAGCAGAGCTGAGGGCGGTCCCGTACCAGCGAGGCGGCTGCCCGCACCTTGTCCGACTGCGGGCTTTTCATTGACGGCCGACGGCACGGGTCCGCGAGGCTGGCCGCGGGACGGACAAGGTCCTCGGCAGTGGTGCTCGTCGTTTGCCTGCTAGCGGGGCGAGCGGGTTGAACGAACCGAGGGCTGCGGGACGCGCAGAGAGAGAGAGAGAGAGAATCGCGAGCGAGAGGTTCGAGCGGACGGACGCGAGCCGAACCTGCTCCAGCTTCTCGACGCTCGGCACCGCCTGAGACGACGGCTGGAAATTGAGCAGCGATCTCATCGTTCCAGAAAGGAAGCGCAGCGCAGTGAGCGCAGGTCAAGCCGCCGGTCGGCGCACGGGCACGGGCCGCGAGCCAAGTGGGAAGCTGGCCCGGTTGCGCCCCCAGCTCGGGGCTGCCGAGCTTCGCGCACCGTCCCGGACTGTCGCTGGTCGGCAAGGCAGCGCAAGGTGGACGTGTCGACCCGAGCGAGAGAGAGAGTTGTCGGCGCGAGAGTGGCCGCGAGAGGAAGGCGGCGCGAGCCTCGACCGCAATGTTCGACTCGGCGACGGCCGGTCTGCGCCGATCGCGCTTCCCATCTCGCTCGACTCGTTTGGACCGGCCTTGCCTGCGAGCTTGCGTGGTTCCTCCTCCCTCAACCTCGCTCCTCCTCCCCCGTCTCGTCGTCTCGCCTCTGCACCCTCGGCACCGCCAAGTCGGCGCCCAACCTTTGTTCGCACCAACAGCCCCCGGTCGGGCTCGAACGGGCATCACTCAACCTGGAGACCTCCAGCTCTCGCTCGTTAGCGTTCGCCCCTTGACGCATCCTCCCTCGCTCCTCTCTCGCCACATCGTCTGCGACCAACACTCGTTCGCCTACTTCGCCACCTGAGCACCGCCAGCACCCGCACCGCGCGTCGACCGCTCGCTCCACCGGCCAGCCCGTCGTCGCCGTCGTCCTCCTCCCACCTCCGAGGGTTCGCAAAGTGCGTCCGCCCTCTCGCCCATCGCTCGGCGGGTGTACAGGGCCAGTGCTGTGCCCCAGTGGAGCAGTGACTGACCGCTTCTGTCCCATTGACAGGGCCTCGCCGTCGGTCCTCGATCGTTCCGCCCCTCGCCCCTCATCCAACACCCGCCTTTTGTCCCCGGTCGTCATGGCGCACTACCTCGACTCGCTGTTCGACCTGGGCGCGTACCAGCCCCAGCCTGCACTCGACGTCGACGAGGCGACCGAGTTCCTCACGCCCGCCGACTTTGGCCTCGACGCGACCATCTTCTCCGACCCCGGCCCTGTCCCGACCCGCACGAGGGGGCCAGCTGGCCTCGCCTCCTCGCACAGCAACTACACCCACTTCCCCGACCTCGGCCAGTCGGTCGGCGGCACCGCGACGAGCGGCCTCGGCGTCTCGACCTCGTCGACCGCGTTCGCCCTCCTCGACCCGGACTCGTCGTACGGCGGCAGCGCACCGAGGGCCGCGTCGCCGCACCCGATGCGCACGTTTGCGCGCGACGGGCGCCTCAAGAGCAAGCTCATGGGCGTCGGCCACGACGGCGGCTTCCTCACGTCGCCCCTCATCGTCGCGCCGCCTCGAGTCGACAGCCGCACGGGCAGGGTCGCCGCGCACGAGATCGCCATCGACTCGCCCATCGCGCCGACGGGCATGGCGCCCCAGTCGTCCCTCATGACGCCGGGCAACTCGTACCACGGCTCGGCCGCCGCCGCCGCGTCGACGACGAGCGACATGACGCCGAGCCTGAGCCGCGGCAGCTCATCGGCGTTCATGATCGGCGGCAGCCAGTCGTCGACGACGCTCATGTCCAAGACGAGCAGCCGGTCGGGCGCCGCCGTGCAGCGCGAGGCCGTCTCGTCCGAGCGCACCGGCCTCGGCATGGGCATCATCGGCGTCCCCGACCTGCAGGTCGGCGACGTGTACGGCGACGGCGCCGACGGCGACATCGACGTCGAGATGCTCCCGAGCTTCGGCATGCGGCGCACGTCGACGCACGGGCAGCGCAGCTACCCGACCGCCATGTCGACGTACGCCGACGAGCCGCCGCGGCACGCGAGGTGCGTCACGCACGGCGGCGCGCAGACGCGCTTCGTCGACTACGAGCACGTGCCGCAGTCGCCCGCCGCGTACGCGCAAGCTCCTCCTCCGCCGCCCGCCAACATGCGCCCGACCCGGGCCATGCCGGCGCGCACGCTCAACAAGGCCAAGTCGTGCTCGGCGCTCTCGATCTCGACCCGCCAGCAGTCTCGTCGCGGCTCGAACGCGTACGAGCCTCTCACGCCGACGTCGGCGCACCAGTCGACGTTCCCGCACGACCCGGCGGCGCCGTACGCCCCGGACCTCACCATCTCCCAGATCGGCAACCAGGGCCTCCTCAGCTTTGCCGACCTGTACAACTTTGACGGCGCCGACAACAACCTCAAGCAGGACGGCCTCGACGCCGCCGTCGTCGGCCTGCACGGCATGACGGGCGTCACGGGCCTCCTTCCCGAGCCGTACGGCCCGCCGTCGGCCGCCTCGTCGCCGTCGACGCCCTACCTGTCGGACCCGTCGCCCGACCAGAGCCACCAGTACCAGGGCCTCGACGACGTCACGTCGACGGCCATGCTCGCCGCGTCGTCCGTCGACTCGGCCTTCTCGGCGCACGGCGTCGCGCCGGCGGCAGGCGGTCACCGCGCCGCGTACCTGCCGGCGCACCGCGCGCACTACGTCGGCGAGCACGACCTCGTCGAGGCGCACATGGTCGTGCCGCAGCAGCAGCAGCCTCGCCAGCGCCAGGCGTCGGCGGCGGCGTCGTACGGCCCCGGCTCGCGCAACTTCTCGTACCCGACTCGGTACCCGCCGCCGCAGCAGCAGCAGCCGCAGCCGCAGTTCGACCAGATGCAGTGGGCCGGGTCGTCGCAGGGCCTGTCGCACCTCGTCGCGCCGCCGATGCCGCCCGTTCCCTTGACGCCTCGTCACCGCGAGCACCCGAACCCGAACCACCACCGCGCCCACACGGGCCCGGCGGCGTCGCGCATCGCCGACGCGTCGAGCTGGCTCCCGCCGCCGCCGCCGATGCCGCAGCACATGTTCGTCCAGGACGAGTACGACCGCAAGTTGGCCCAGTTCGACTCGCTGTACGACCCGGCGCAGGGTCACGGTCCCGGCCAGCACCGTCGCGAGGCCACCCAGTCGTCGAAGCGCGGGCGCGACGACGACGAGGACGACTACGACTGCTACGACTCGTTCGAGCCGATCCCGACCTCGCCAGAGCTCGACGCCGCCGGCACGAGGCAGAAGCGCCTGCGGTCGGTCGCCTCGGCGCCGTGCCTCCCGTCTCGTCGCCTGCGACCCGGCCCTCGGCCCAAGGGCAGCAAGTCGCCCGCCGAGCAGCACCAGTCGGTCTTCTCGGCGACGCTCTCGCCGCCGGTCCCGCAAATCCGCCGCGGCACGTCGCCCTTTAGCTCGCCCCTCTTCTCGGACGACGAGGACGGCCGGTTCCCCGACCGCGACGGCAACGGCAACCCGGCGACGGCGGCGACCATCACCTACGTCCCTGGCCCGCCACCTTTGCCCGGCCAGCCTCGCAGCTCGGTCCCGAGGGATGTGATCCAGTCGCTCTACTCGGGCATCGCGGGCCACACGACGACGAGCGGCGAGAAGGTCGGCAAGCGCTACGTGTGCCTCATCGAGGGCTGCGGGCGCGCCTTTCCTCGCAAGAGCGCCATCGAGAGCCACATCCAGACGCACCTCGAGGACAAGCCCTTTGTCTGCCCTCACGACGACTGGTGCGCTCTCGTTCTCTCTCTTTGTCTGTCTGTCTAGCGAGCCGTACTTACACCCTCTCCTCTCGCAGCGGCGCCTCGTTCGTCCGACAGCACGACTTGCGGCGGCACGAGCGCATCCACTCGGACAACAAGCCGTTCCCGTGCGGCTGCGGCAAGGCGTTCGCTCGTGGCGACGCCCTCACTCGGCATCGAGCTCGCGGCATCTGCTCGGGTGCGGCCGGCGGACGCTGAGCGGCGCCGTCGTCGTCGCCACCTTCTCAACCCGTGTCGCCCTCTCGTCGTTCTCGCCCTTTCGCCGTCCCCTTCTCGTTGTTGCCTTCATCACCCGAACCCTTTCCTTCACGTCGTCCTCCTTCCCTCTGTCCACATCTCGTCCGTGCCGTAGCACCCGTCGTCGCCGACGGCTCCCTCGCGCCTTTTCCTCCCTTTCACGCCCCCTCTTTCTGCATCTGCTCCGTCATTCGGACTCTCCCCTCTCCCTCTCTCTCTTTGTGCATGCCCCTCCTGCCGTTCATCGTCCGTATTGTCCTCGAGCGCCCTCGTCATGAGCATTCAGTTCATCCTCGCCGATCTCTCTCTTTCTCTCTCGAGCGTGAGCGTCGTCGTGAGAGCGAGCACTAGAGCGAGAGCGACAGGCATAGGGCAAAGGAAGTTGCGAGATGCAGTGAGAGGCTACGCCTGCTCCTCGACGACCACCGCCTTCTTGCCGCCCTTGTTGCCCTTGCGCTTCGCCTTGCCCTTCTTGGGCGGCGGCGCTGCTGCCTCGGGCTCGACGTCCGCAAGCTCCTCACCCGCCTCGACCTCTCCCGCCAGCTCAGCCTCGGCATCGTCCGCCTCGGCAGCCGGCTCCTCCTCGACGACCTTGGCGCCCTTGCCCTTCCTGCCCTTGGTCGCCGACGCGTGGTCCTCGAGCGCCGTCGACGCCTGGATGCCAAAGATCTTCGAGTGGCCCGTGCCGCCGACGAGCTGGTCGACGAGGCCGACCGTGCCCCGCGTCGTGAGGTACTTGGCCGACGCGCCGCGCACCATGAGCGGCTTGCGGAGGAGGGCGTCGAGCTGGGTGCGCAGGGCGCGAACCTTGGCCGCCGACTGCGAGCGCTTCTTGCGCGAGGGCTGGACAGGGCCGTCGGGGTCGGAGCTGCGAGAGGGGACGCAGGTTAGGTCGGCTCGAGGCGCGAGGAGAGGAAGAGGGAGAGAGAGGGCGACGCACTTGTCGTCGTCAAGGTCGATCTCCATCGCCTCGGCGGCGTCGCGCAGCCACTTGTCGTCGTGAGCGGCCTTGGTGGCGCGGTGGTGCGCAACGTCGATCTCCTTGGCCAGGTCGACGCGCTTCTTGAGCTGGTCGAGGATCGAGAAGTCGGTCGGGAGCGCCGGGAGCTCGGTGTCTGCGAGACGATGAGGCCAGGAAACGGTCAGTACGTGCTGCAGAGACAGAGAGGGGGAGTGGACAGGGCCGACGCACTCTTGCCGAGGCTCGCCATCAACATCCTCTGCACCTTCTTCTCCTCGGGCGCGACGATCTGCAGCGCAAGGCCCTCGGTGCCGGCACGAGCGGTGCGACCCGATCGGTGGACGTAGGTGTCGGCGGCACGAGGGAGCTGGTAGTGGACGACGTGCGAGACGGCCGGGATGTCGAGTCCACGAGCGGCCACGTCAGTCGCGAGAAGGACGGCGTCGGGCGACGACTTGAACCTGCAGGAGGACGTGCGTCAGGGTCGAGAAACGCCGGGGAGAGATGAGAGAGAAGGGACGCACTTGTCGAGCGCCTTGAGGCGTTGACGCTGCTGCATGCCCGAGTGGAGCGGGATGACGTTGACCTTGAGCAGCTCGAGGAGCGGGTGCAGGCGCCGGATGCCGTCGATCGAGGCCAGGAAGACGATCGTACGCGACGGGTACCGCAGGAGGAAGTGGTACAGGTAGATGTCCTGTCGCGCCAGAGCGGGTGGGTCAGGCCTGCGCAGACGAGACGAGCGACGAGAGGAAGAGGCTGGGCGCACCTTCTCGTTCTGGAGGCACTCGACCTTGCACTCGCGCAACGTCTCGACGAGGCCGTTCTCGGGGCTGAGGTCGATGATCTCAGGCTCGGCGTCGCGAAAGTCGAGCGTGTCGAGCAGGTCGTCGAGGCTCGACATGCCGCCGGCCTCGGACTTGGGCACGAAGCGCTTGGGGCCTTTGCGCTTGAGGTTGCGCTGCAGCTCGCGCGACATCGTGGCCGAGAAGACGAAGGTGCGCATGTCGGGGCGAGCGTTGACGAGGCCGAGGTTCGAGCGCGTCGTGACGGCCGAGCTGAAGTCGTTGACGAAGCCCGTGTCGCCCTTGGCGCTGCGGTCAGAGACCGTCGTCAGTACAGTGTACAGTCGTGAGGTGTACGCGGGTCGTGTGACGGAAGAAAGAGAGAAAGGGGCGGTCGACTCACGTTCCTCGGCGGGTCAAGCGGACGATGTTGTCGAGCTCGGCAAAATGCCCGTTCTCGATCATGCGGTCGGCCTCGTCGATGACGAGGAACTTCATGCCCTTGATGTCGCGAACGAGCGAGTCCATCTGCGAGGCGGGAGGAAAGAGGGCGTGAGTGGGGGTCCGAAACAAGGCGAGGGAGGAGAGGGTCGAGGAAAGTCGGACGCACGTCGCCGATCAAGTCCCACAGACGACCTGGCGTCGCGACGATGATGTCGGCGCCCTTTTCGAGCTGCCGCTTCTGCTTCTCAATGCTCATGCCGCCCGTGATGGCGACGACCTGGGCGAGCTTGCCGCGCACGCGCTTGCGAGGGTCCTCGTCGGCGAGTGCGGCGAGCTCGGGCGTGGATGGGAGAAGAGGGAGGGTGCGGACGGCGAGCGACGCGAGCGACGCGCGCACTTGGAGGGCGAGCTCGCGAGTCGGGCAGAGGATGAGGGCCGCGAGGCGGGACGGCTCGGACGCGTCGTCGCCCTCGTCGTCGTCGGACGTGGCCGATGAGGGCGATGCGGCGCGTGGTGGAGGAGGGGCGGAGAGGATATGGGCGAGGATCGGGAGGCCGTAGGCGAGCGTCTTGCCCGAGCCCGTCTGCGCGATGCCGACGAGGTCGCGCTCGGTCGCCCCGGCGGCGACAGCGGCAGCGTCGGCGAGCAGCGCGCGCTCCTGGATCGCGGTCGGCTTGGCGAACTTGAGCTCGGCGAGGGCGCGGTAGAGCGGGTTCGGGAGGGGGAGGTGCGACCAGGCTGGGAGGACCGCTTGGACTGCGCGCGAGGAGAGGCCGCGTGAGCATGCGCGCTCGAGAGAGCCTGATGAGAAGTACCGGGCAGGAGAAGTGAGGGACGCACCGTCAACAGGCTCGACCGGGGCGTCCTCGTGCTGCACCGGCGCCGCCGCTTCTGCCTCGTCTCGCGACCGCTTCTTGCCCTTGGCCTTGGCCTTCTTCTCCTTGCCCTCCTTCTGCTCCGCCGCTGTAGGTGCTGCGTCCTGGCCTGGCGCGACCTCGTCTGCTGCTGCCGCCGCCTCCGCCTCGTCGCCCGGGAAGCTGAGCTCCTCGTCGTCCTGGAACGTGAGCTGCTCGTCGTCGGCGAACGCCGGCGCATCGTCCTCGTCCTCGACGTCGTTGACGTCGACAAAGCCGTCGTCGACATCTTCTGCTCGCCCCTTGCCCTTGCGGCTCTTCTTCGCCGGCGGCGGCTCGTCGGCGTCCTCGCGGACCTGCAGGGGCGGAAGGTGTCAGGTCCTGCTTGAGAGCGCGCTCGAGTAGAGAATCTGCGACGCACCTTGAAGACAGCCCGCCCGTCCTCTACCACGACGTCGACACCGTCAATCTCGTCGACCTCGAGGAGGCCGCCGTCGTCGTCGAAGCCGATCTCGGCGGGGAGGACGAGGCGCTTCCACTGGAGGTCGCGCGTGGCGGTCGGGCGGAACCGCGGTGCGGCCTTGGGCTGCGCCTTGGAGCTGGTCGCGGTCGACGACGACGACGAGGCGGTGCGGGTCGACGAGGTTCCGCCGCGCTTCTTGTTGCGCAGGCGCGCTGCAGCGTGGGCGTTGAGCGGCATGGCGGAGGTGCGCGTGTGCAGCTGTAAGTGGCGCGTGTGCTCTAGCCCGTCGAGTGGGCGAGCGAGTTGAACGGGAGCCGAACCCGACGCTGAGCTCGAGGACGAGGAGGGCTGGACCTCTGCGACCCTCGACACGCTCTGTGAGGCCGTCGAGGCTCAGAAGCACCGTAACACAGTTCCTCAGCTGGCTCGAGCCTGCCAGCAAACACCCAGCTGTGGGTGTTCGCGCGTCCTCCTCGACCCCGCCTTGTTCTCATCTGCGTTCGCGCTTCCTGGCCGCGGTCGCACACGAGAGGTCCAACCTCGCAGCTGTACAGGACCAGAAAGCTTGTCAAGAGCTCCTCTCCAGCCCTTTAGCTCTCGCGTCCGCACCCTGTCTCTCTGCACGGCTCGTGCGCACGAGAGCTGGACTCTCGAACCGATTTCCAGCTTGCGAACGGCACGCAGAGGGACTCATGACCGACGCGAGCTCTCTGCAGGTGACACAGAGTGCGAGTCTCGAGAGAAAAAGGCTTTGCGCGACGAGACGACGAGGGAGAAGGCACGAAAAGAAGCTCGTTGCAGCGCGACGACCTCGACGACACCCTCACGGCTCCTCCGAGCCCAGGTCCCCCTCCTCACCCTGCCACTCGGCCTCGACGAGCCAGAGCCGCCCGACGCACTCGTCCTCGCCCTCGTCGTCAAACTCCCGCCACTCCCTGTCCGCCTCGCTCACGTCGCACTCGTCCGCCTCCCACACCTGCTCGTCGTCGAGCCCCTCGTCGACGCCGTCGTCGGTCGCCTGGTAGCCGTCCTCGAGGTGCGGGTGCGACGCCGGCTCGGCGACGTAGCGCTGCGCGGCGGCCGCCGTGCGCGCGAAGACGAGGCCCGAGAGCGAGTCGTCATCGAGCGTCGGCGTCGGCGAGGGCGAGAGGCGAGGAGAAGGGACGGCATGCGAGGTTGGAGCGAGGAGAGAAGTGCTGCTGTTCGACGAGGCGGTGGGAAGGCGCAAGAGGGGGGAGGAAGGAGAGGTGGCCGTCGAGGAGGAGAAGCTGAGGTCGAAGTTGAGTTCGGCGGAGCGCACGAGGCTCCACGCCTCGTAGTCGCTCGACGCGTCGGCGCCCCAGCCGCCGATCCCTTCCGGCCAGCCGAAGCCACCGGTCGACATCGCCTCGTCCTGGTCCGCCGAGCCCTCGAGCCCGCCGTCGCTGACCTCGCTCGGGTGCGACGCCGCTCTCGGCGCCTCGGTCGACTCGAGCTCGACGCCGCGCCACTCGAGCTCGATGTCGAACAGTCGGCAGTAGACGCGCGTGTCGAGGATGCTGCACGGCGGGTGAGCGACCTCGCCGACGTGGAGGAACTTGAGCTGAGGCAGGCCGGCAATGGCGTCGACGACGGGGCTGTCGCTGGCCGACGAGCTCCAGCAGTCATGCCATACGACGTTTGGAAGCTCGAGGCGCTCGAGGTTGGGCGCCGACTGGCAGAGCGCGGCGAAGGACACGTCGTGCATGACGACGCTGTCGAGGACGACGATGCGCAGGCTGTTGAAGCGGCGAGGAACGTCGAACAGGTAGTCCCAGGGGCAGGCGTCCCACCGGTCGAGCGTGTTGCGCTGTACTTGACTGAGTTGCGGCCGCAGGATGAACGACTCGAGTGCGGGAGGGAGGATCGTGCGCATGTCCAGGTGGAACGCGCCGGGCCTCAACGTGAGGTGCCGAACGCTGTTGAGGCACAGCTGGAGGGTGGCCCAGTCGTCGCTGTAACTCTCGAGCTCGAGTTGTCCGACAGGCAGGTGCACGACGTCGGGGTAGAACGACAACGGCCCGTAAAAGCCTCGCAGGGCGAGCGACTCGAGCCTTGCGAAGGGCAGCGCCTCGACGAACGACGTGAATCGATAAAGGTCGTCCTCGTCGTACATTTCGGCGTCGCGCGAGGCGATCGTGAGGTGGCGGAGGCGGGGGAGGGAGGCGAGCGCGGCGAGCCAGCCCGCCGACGGATCGGGCCAGACCGAGACGGCGGTCGTGTTGGGGCACAGGCGCATGAGCGTCACGGCCCAGTTCATGAAGGCGGGCGGGTGGTCGTGGAAGAGCGACAGGGCCTCGACGTTGTCGAACAGGTCGACGAACCCTTCGAGGCGCTTGACCTGGACGCCGAGCGTCGGCTGCTGGATGACGCGGTTCAGGAGCGTGTGGGCGTCCTCGACGGACCTCGTCGCGAGGATGCGGGTCGGGTCGTACAGGAGGCCGCGCCGGGCGGGCTCGAGGAACTGGCGCGACACGAGCGCGAGCGAGCCGAGGGTCGTGATCACGTCTGCGGGTGCGGGCTCAGGGTCAGCATGTTCGGCCCCCTTTCGTGACGTCGAGTCGAAAGTAATGGAGAGGGAGCGAGAGGACTTACCCTGGACGTCGCTGAACAAGACGATGAACGAGCAGACGAGGTCGACGAGCTCCTCGGGCAACTTGGCGAGCCCGTGCGGGCCGAGCGCGTCCATAGTCGGGGCTTGAGGGTCGTGTGCGGCTTGAGGTACGAGCTGTGTGTGTAGCTGGTCAGCGCGGCGAGTCGACGGATGCCGAGATGAGAGGTGGGGAGGGGGAGGAGAAGCTGGCGCACCTGGGTGGCCTGCGAGGTTGGGCCGGCTGGTAGACGGGCGCAGAGCGCCTTGTGACGCGTACTCGAGCAGACCCTGGTGCCTAGAGCGAGGCGAGCGAGGAGGAGAGGGGGAGCAAAGGGCGGGGCGCACGCCGCTCGCGCCGCCCGCGCTTTGGTCGCACAGTTTGCGCTCGATCGAGGGAGAGAGGGAACTGAACGTGTAGCAACAGGGGAGGGGCTGCAAGGGACAAGGGGATGTACAGAACAGAGAGCGCCTCACGACTCGTCCATCGCGTCCGCCGCCGGCGTCCCTCCTCCAGCGACGACCGGCTGCACCGCCGCGCTCATCGACGGCGGGTTGGTCGCCTCCTCCGTGGCCGCCGCCGCCGCGTCCTGCCGCTTCTTGTCGAGCTCGCGCGCCGCTTCGTCGTGCTGGAGCGACTTGGTCTTGCGGTCGGCGACCATGCCGCGCAGCTGCGCCTCGAACCGTTTCTGTACGTCGACGAGTCAGTACGGGGGCGAGGGGAGGGAAGGAGGGTGAAGGAGAAGAGGACGCACCTTGAACAGGACGTTGGTCGCCTTGGCGATCTCGGTCTCCTTCTTCTCGATGGCCTTGTCGAGGCTCGCCATGGCCTCGGCCGCCTCCTTGATCTGGTTGCGCAGCTCGAGCGTCTCGGCGTCGCCCGCCTGCGCCTGCGGCTCGTCGTCGTCGTCGTCGTCGTCCGAGCTGCCGCCGAACAGGCCGTCGCCGTCGTCGTCCGAGTCGGACCCGGCCGCGTCCTTGGTCCCGAGCCCGAGGTCCTTCTCGATCTCCTTGGCGAGGTCGCTGTCGTACCCGCTGCCGCTCCCGGCGTCCTCGCTCTCGTCGTCGTAGTCGTCGCCGCCGCGCTGGCTCTCGCCGTCGTCGCCGAGGAACGGCGCGGGCGAGCTCGCGGCGCCGTCGGGTCGAGGTGTCGGCGCCGCCGACTCGCTGCCCTTCTGGCCCTGGGTCGGGTCGTAGTCCTCGTCGTCGGACGGCACGTCGTAGTCGAGCATCTCTGCGCGGCGCACGAGACGACGTGAGCGAGTGAGGCGTGCGAGATGAGGGAGAGGGCGGTCGAGACGCACCGACTTGAACTTGCTCTGCGCGAGCGTCTCCTTCCAGCAGCTTCTCGACGGCCGCCTCGACTTGCTCGATCGTCTGTGGGAGAAGTGCGCGCCAGTGAGCAGGACTCGGGCGAGAGAGAGGGTGCGACGAGAGGGCAAGGGAGAGCGGGACGCACTCTGCGGTTGATGCGGCGACGGAAGCGGCGCTTGCGGACGTGCTTGAGCGGCGGCGTGATGCCGTGCGGGTAGACAAAGTCCTCGATGTTGAACACCTTGTCGCGCGTCGCCTGCGTCTCGTCCTGGATCTCCTCCTCGACCAGGAGCATCTGCGACACGTCGGCGACCTTGACCGTCTGGCCGCCGACGCCCGTCAGGCGCTGGCTCTCGAGCAGGGCCGGGAGGTCGACGAGCTTGGCGCCGTACAGCTTCTTGCCGAGGTGGAAGACGGCGCGGCGCGAGTCCTTGAACTTGAACCAGGTGTCGGGCGCGAGGTCGCGGCGGTCGACCTGCTCCTTGAGCTTGGGGGCGATCTCGGGCGGCACGCGCAGGATAAAGTGCTCCTCGACGGCGAGGGGCTCGTCCGGGTCCGAGTCGAGCTCGCGGTCCCAGCCGACCGAGTCGACCGGGTTGGGCCCAGGACCTCCTCCGCCCTGGCCGACCCGGAGCCGCAGCCGCCTGCTGCCGTCGCCGCCGCCTCCTCCTCGCCCGGCAAACTCGTCGTCCGAGTCGCCCGTCGTGACGCGGCTCTTGCGCGCGCGGCGTGGGCGGCTGGCGGCGATGGTGAGGCCGTCCATGGCGGTGAGGCGGCAGGGAGGCGGGGGAGCTGGCGAGCGCGGCCGGGAGGAGGTTGCGGCTGCCAGGCGGGTACAGAGCTGTGCTTGGCGAGCCGGGCGAGCTGGCGAGCGTGTCGAGCCGAGGTGAGGGAGAGAAGAGCGACCTGGCGAGGAACCTCATCTCCTGGCTCTGTCGTTGCTCGCCAACCCTCTCTGCGGGCTTGAGCGCACTGCTGCGCACGCGCACAACTCGAATGAAGGTCCTGCTGGACCACCTGTCGAGGCGCAGGCGGTGCCGGCGTCCCGCTCTCGCGACCGCCCCTCTCGAAGGAATCAGCACGGCAACGCCGCGCACGGCCACCAGAGCTGTCGCCGACTCGGTCCGTCAGATTGTGGTACTGCTCGCCGGAACTTTCGCGCAACCACTCGCCGCAAGACGAGAGCGGGGGCGTGAGGACGCCTTGTCCCGATTTCCTCGAGGAACCGCTTCCTCTGCTTGAGCGGCTGCTCGACTTTGGCTCGCGCCGGGTAGCGCGCGTGCACGCAGTCGTACTCTGCGCGTGCCGCACGACCCGGCGGCGGCCCTGCTGCTGCGTGCGCTGCCTGGTCCACGCTTCTCTCGCAGCTCGCCTTCGCTCAGCGTGCTCGCGACGGCCCCTCCCGGGCTAGCGGGACACTGCTGCATCGCCCGTCTCTACGTCCGTGCGGCTACGGTCGGCGGCGGTCTCGGGGCGAGGGCGGCTCGTTTGCGGGACTGCCTCGAAGGCTAAAGCCTCTCGCTCGCTGGGGGAGGCAGAGGCATCTTGCCGCGTCTTCCCGCGCTTTCTCAGTCTTCAGAGCTCCTGTACAGCTCCTGCAGCTACAGACGCTCGAAGCCCTCGCCCCAGGAGGGGCACGCAGCGACGCGGGCGAGTCGCCGACGGGTTCGAGCCCCTCGAGTCGAGCTCCACAAGCCTGGACCGGAAGCGTTCGGGCTGCGCAGTTGAGGCCGCCGCACGCGGTCCTGCTTTGACGGTCTGATGCCGAGCGCCGCCTGTGCGAGAGCGCGGCAGTGAGCAAAGAGACGAAGCGCACGAGCCGCCCTGTGTCTCTCGGACGTCGCTCGCGCGCTTCCGTCGCTGCTTCCCACGTTGGTACTGAGACCGTCGGAGAGCAAAGCCTGCCGAGACTGGCAACGATCAGGGCGACAGAGCGTAGCCGCCTCGTGCGACGTGCACGTGCATGCGCATCTCGCGGCCGTCTCAGCGGACCTCGGGCTCTCTGTGTCGCTGCACGGCCGCCGTGCTTTTGTTCTCGCGGTCGCACTCGCGAGCAAGTGAGAGCCAGTCCGCAGCGCGAGCGCGTCAGGCGGGTTCGCACGGTTCTGTTCCAGCTCCCCGCACTTGACGCCAGCTCGTGGACCGATAACGAGCGCGTGTCCGTCGACCTCGCTCTCTCGCACGCCAACCGCCCCGCGACCACCTGCAGGCTTGCCGCGCCGCCGCAGCCATGCCCCGCCCACCGCTGGCGTCCTCGCCGTCCGAGCCCTCGCCGCGACCTGTCCTCGGCACCTCTGCCTCGTCCTCGGTCATCCGGTCCTCGGTTGCCGACGCGCCAACTCGCTCGCCAGCACCTGCAGTCGCCCTCGAGCCGGCCAAGGGCGGTCGACCGAGCCTCCCGAACGGCGGTGCGGCGTCCTCACCCGCCATCGCGACGATGAGCGGCTCGCCTTCGTCGTCCTCGGTCGGCGACCGTCTCGGCAACGGCGACCGCTCCACGACGACCGCCAGCGACAGCGCGACGACCTCCAGCACGCCCGGCAAGAGCTCGGATGGGTTCCCGACACTCGGCGAGGTCGACCTCGCGCTGCAGGACGCGGTGCCGGCCGAGAGCGGCACGGCGGGCTCTCGCTCCACGGAGCCGCCCAGCGCACAGCCGGTCGTCGTTCGAGACAGACTTGCGCCCAATGTGCTCGGCATGGTGCTCGAGGCGCAGGACGGCGCCCAAGGAGGCGCACCACCGTCGCACGCGTGGTCGCCGCCGCCGCCGCCGGGTTCCGCTCTCGGCATGATCATGGGCGGGCTGCCGCTCGCGCTGCAGCTCAGCAACGGCCCGTTCGACCCGACTGCGAGGAGGACGGGGATCTGCAAGTTCTTCAACGCGTCCAAGGTGCGCCCCGCCTTCCTCCCTCTCGCGAGCCTTCTCGGGGAGCCGGGTGCAGGAGCCTGACCCTCTTTCACCGACTCGCAGGGCTTCGGTTTCATCCTCGACCACAACGCGCACGAGCTGGGTAACGACGAGGGTGCGCTCGCCGTCGCCGGCCACTTTCCCTTGCGCAGAAACGGACTGACCCCGTCGCTCGCGCAGTGTTTGTGCACTATACGGTCATCGCGGCGGTCTCGAGCGGCACCAGAGGCTTCAAGTCTCTTCTCGAGGTGCGTGGCCAACCTTTCGTCGACCGTCGGGCCGTCACTGACCGGTTCCGTTCCTTCTCGCGCAGGGAGAAGCTGTGCGTCGACTTGGTCCTCTCGTCTATGCCGAAATGAGCTGACCTTCTGCGCCACACAGGTCGAGTACTCTATCGTACAAGGCCCGAAAGGCTGGCAGGCGCACAACGTCACGGGCCCGAACGGTGCGTCCACTTTCCGCTCGCCTTCCGAGTCGTCAACGTCACGAACTGACTCTGCGCCGCCGCAGGTGCTCCCTGTATCGGCACGCCGCCCAGCGGCATCCCCAAGCCCTCTTTGGTGCCGAGTTCGGGCAGCCCGCAGTCGAAAAGCGGCATGCGCCGACCGTCGGTCGCCTCGAGCGCGTTCGCCTCGCCCATGCGCAGCACTCGCCCCGACAACCTGTACGGCTCGAGCCTCGCCGATGACAGCTCTCGCAGTGAGTCTTGTCTCTCCCTCTTCACGGAGGAGGTGATAGCCCCAGTCGACTGACCTCGAGCGAGTCAACAGCTTCGCTCGGCTCGCCGACCTCTCGTCCGCTCCGCCTTCACATGGGTGGCCAAGGTCCGCCCTACTCGAACGGCGGCCTGCCGCCGTCGCCGCACCTGTTTCAGCCCGTCATCATGGACCCGTACGGCTCGCCGATGCAGCACCACCCGCCGCCGCTCCCCTTCCACCTCCCGCCCTTCCAGCACGACGGCGAGCAGTCGCCTCACGGCGCGCCCTACTACGGCTCGCCCGACGCCGGCGCCCTCGTGCACTCGCCGATGGCGCCAGGGTTCGGCTCGCCGTACAGTCCGATGCATCCGCTCGGACCGCCGCCGCCTGGCATGGACGCCTACCCGATCTCGTCGTCCGCCTCTCAAGGGCCGCCCCTCTCGCCGCTCCACGCCTACCCGAGCCCGACATCGCCCTTCTTCCTCAACGGCTACCCGATCTCGAACTCGCCCACGTCGCCCCAGTACCCGCCGCCGCACCTCTTCTCGGGCCCGAGCCCGTACCCGGCTTACCCGGCCTTCCTGCCGGGCATGCCCGGCCCACCGCCGCCGTCGATGTACTTCGACCCGTCGAGTGGCCCGCCGTCATCGCCGCCGGGCTTGATCCAGCAGGCATACCCGATCTCGTCGGCCGGCGAGAGCGGCGGACCTGGCGGCGGCCCGCCCGCCCAGCCGTCGTCGGTCAAGGTCGTCGACACGCCGAGCGGCATGGCCATCGGCTGGGCCGAGGACGACTCGTCGCCCGTTGACGCTGGCGACGGCGGTGCGCCTGCGCTCGAGGCGGCGGCGCCAAGGACGGCCACGAAGCAGCCGGCGCCGTTGCCCGGCGCCGAGCGCCCGGCCTCGGCCTCGTCCTAGCACGACCCGCCTTTCGCGACGTTCTCTCGATGCTCCTCTCTCCAGGTTGTACAGCTTCAGGCGGCTGGCGAGCTCGTCGTGCTCCTCGCGCCCCCTTCTTCTCGTCGTACGCCGCTTTTCCCCTGTTCCTTCCCTGTCCCACCACCGTACCCCTTCCCTCCTGTACTCGTCTCGAGCAATGACAAGCCCGGTTTCGCGGATCGTGCGCGACGAGGAGAGGCTGCGAGAGGCGCGTGCACAGTCGAGCGACCTTCTCAAACTGCAGCGAGTCGGGCCAGCCGCTCTCTTCTCGCTTTCCGCCTCTCGCTAGCGTGCTCAGCTCCTTCTGCTCAAGAGTGGCCGCAAGCCCACGAAGCACGAGCGCTGTGCGAGGAGGCAGGTCACGCCTGCGAGTGCGCTCGAGCGCGTCGTGCGAAATCGCCGAGACGACCTCAGACCTGGACGAGCGTTGGCCAAATAGTTGCTGAAGAGCAGCTGAAGAGAGCAACAGTGAGCTCGTCAAGCTGCTTGGTGTGGTCTCGTTCGCTCGCCCGCGGTGCGCTCGAGGACGCGTCTCGGCGCGACGTGCTCGCCCTCCTCCTCCTCAAACCCACCTCTCGCTCGCCGACGTCGCACCAGCTGCACTCGAGACTTGCTTGCACCGACCAAGCACCTACATCTGCGCGGCCTCGCTCCTCGCCCCGTGCCCGACTCTCCGCCCGCTCGCCTCGGCGTGATCAGCACTTCGCCTCCTCGACACCACCCATCGCGTGCGCCCAGCGCTCTACAGTTGCACCATGGCCGCCCTCCCGACCATCAACCTCGGCCTCGACTAGTGAGTGCACCAGTCACACCCCTCCCTGCCGCCGTCGCTGACTTCTCTCCCCCCGCCCCGCCCCTCTCCGCGCAGCGATGAGGACCTCGAGCAGATCAAGACCTTCTTGACCAAGTTCCGCACGCGTCCGGGCAAGCGGCGAGCAGTCGCCGAGGACGACAACATCGACCAGGACGAGATGGCAGACGAGGCGGATGCGGAGCCGAGGACCAAGTACCTGGACCAGCTCGTGCGTCCCTTCTCTCTCACCCGTGCTGCCCCTCGCCCAGCCCTACTGACTCCTCCTGGTCCCACCGCAACAGCAACGAGTGTCGAACCGCGACGACGAGCGGATAGTCATCGACCTCGAGGACCTCAAGCAGGTGCGCACCCGTCCTCTCTTGTCCCAGCCTGCTCTTCGTACACGCGGCGGTGCTCACCCTCTCCCCCACACACAGGAGGGCGAGGCGGGACGTGCGCTTGTCGGGCAGATCGAGCGCAACACGCAGCGCTACGTCAAGCTCTTCAGCCGCGCCATCGACGAGGTGATGCCGCCCAAGACGGTCGACATCGGCCCCAAGTCGGACATCCTCGACGTCATGCAGTACCACCGCAACAACAAGAACGCGCAGAACGAGGAGGCCGGCCAAGCCGTGTTCCCGCCGCAGCTGTTGCGCCGCTAGTGCGTCTCGCGCCCTCTCCTCCTCCTGCCGCTCGTCGCCCTTACTGACTCAGTCCTCTCCCGCAGCAACCTGTACTTCCGCCCTCTCGCCAATGAGCCCGTCCTCGCCGTTCGCCAAGTTCGCGGCGCCCACCTCGGCAAGCTCATCACGGTGCGCGGCATCGTCACGCGCGTGTCCGAGGTCAAGCCGCTCCTCCAGGTCAACGCCTACACGTGCGACTCGTGCGGCGCCGAGATCTTCCAGGACGTGCAGGGCCGCAAGGTCACGCCGCTCGACGCCTGCATCAGCGAGGTGTGCGAGCAGAACCAGAGCCGGGGCCAGCTCTACATGCAGACGCGCGCGTCCAAGTTCACGCCGTTCCAGGAGTGCCGCATTCAGGAAATGGTGCGTCCCGCCTCTCTCTCTCTCTCTCTCGCAGAGAGTAGAGCCGGTGACTGACCCAGTCGATCTCGCAGGCGGATCAAGTTCCCGTCGGCCACATCCCTCGGACCATGGTCATCCACCTGTACGGCAACCAGACGCGCTCCGTCTCGCCGGGCGACGTCATCAACGTCGGCGGCATCTTCCTCCCGATCCCGTACGAGGGCCTCAAGGCGCTGCGCATGGGCCTCCTCACCGACTCGTACCTCGAGGCGCACCACGTCCAGCAGCTCAAGAAGCAGTACGAGTCGATGCAGCTCACGCCCGAGATCACGCGCGAGATCGAGGAGCTCAAGTCGGTGCCCGGCCTGTTCTCGCGCCTCGCGTCGAGCATCGCGCCCGAGATCTTTGGCCACGAGGACGTCAAGCGCGCCCTGTTGCTCCTCCTCGTCGGCGGCGTCACCAAGTCGGTCGGCGACGGCATGAAGATCCGCGGCGACATCAACATCTGCCTCATGGGCGATCCCGGTGTCGCCAAGTCGCAGCTGCTCAAGTACATCGCCAAGGTCGCGCCTCGCGGCGTCTACACGACCGGTCGCGGTTCGTCCGGCGTCGGTCTCACGGCTGCCGTCCTGCGTGACCCCGTCACCGACGAGTTTGTCCTCGGTTCGTCCTCGCGTTCCCTCTTTTGTCCTTCCCGAGAAGTGCGGCCCTGACCTTTCGTCGCCGTCGTCCCCAGAGGGAGGTGCGCTCGTCCTCGCCGACAACGGCATCTGCTGCATCGACGAGTTTGACAAAATGGACGAGTCGGACAGGTGCGTCCTGCGTCGTCCTCTCTTTGCCCTCTCGCCGGCACTGTTGCTCACCCGCTCGCCTCGCTCGCAGGACGGCCATCCACGAGGTCATGGAGCAGCAGACGATCTCGATCTCCAAGGCGGGCATCACGACGACGCTCAACGCCCGCACGTCGATCCTCGCCGCCGCCAACCCGCTGTACGGCCGGTACAACCCCAAGATCTCGCCCGTCGACAACATCAACCTCCCCGCCGCCCTCTTGTCCCGTTTCGACCTCCTCTTCCTCATCCTCGACACGCCCTCGCGCGACGACGACGAGCGCCTCGCACAGCACGTCGCCTACGTCCACATGCACCGCGAGGCGCCCCCTCTCGCGCTCGAGCCCGTGTCGCCGACCGTCCTGCGGCACTACATCGCCCTCGCCCGGCAGGTCCGCCCTGTCGTGCCCAAGCACGTCGCCGACAAGGTCGTCAACGAGTACGTCGGGCTGCGCCGGCGCCAGAAGCAGGACGACGACCGCCAGCAGTTCTTCACCTACACGTCGGCCCGCACCCTCCTCGGCGTCCTGCGCGTCGCCCAGGCCTGCGCTCGGTTGCGCTTCTCGCCCGAGGTCGACGAGGACGACGTCAAGGAGGCGCTGCGGCTCATGGAGGCGTCCAAGTCGAGCCTGCACGACCACGAGCACCGCGACCAGGCCGACGACCGCACGTCGCGCTCGCGCGTGTACGAGCTCATCAAGGGCATGGCGAGGAGCGGCGCGGGCCGCATGGACGTCGACGAGGACGACGACGAGTTTGTCGACGAGGGCGACGACGCCGAGCGCTTCAACCCGGTCCAGAGCATGGCCGAGGTGCGCGAGCGCGCGTTCGCGCAGGGCTTTACCCAGGAGGAGCTCGACGTGCGTCCCTAGTCTCTCTCTCTCTATCTCTCTCTGTCTCGACGGTGAGCCACGTCACTGACTTCCTCTCTCCTGCGCAACAGGACGCCATCTCGGCGTACGAGGAGCTCGCCGTCTGGATCGTCGACGAGGCGAGGACGACGCTCACGTTCACGGATGTCTGAGGGGGAGCGGCAGCGGGATCTCTCTGTCTGTACGATAGTGTGTCTGTGACTGTGACTGTAACGCAGTACCTCGCTCTCGGCTCGCGCGAAAGGAACTCGCGAGAGGAGAGGGCTCGAGCGCGCTCGCAAGCTCTTGCGTGGCCCTTGTGAGGTCTCGGCAAGCGCACGCTGCTTCGAGCGTGACACCATTTGATAAGAGCGTGCGGCACAGGCGCTCGAATGGCAGCCATGCCGCAGCAGGAGAGCCACGGAGCGAGCAGAGAGAGGAGGCTTCGGCAAGGCGCCGAGCCGGCCTGAGCGCTCGAGGCGAGGTCGAGCAAGCTGCCGCCCGCCGCTCTCGGTAGCGAGCGCATAAGCTCTCGCTCGAGGAAGGGACGCTCTCGCGTCGTCGGAAGAACTCGCTCGTCGTCGCTGTGCCGCTCTCAAAGAAGCTCGAGGAGTGCGTGCGACGGTGTGTGTGTTGCAGGTAAAGATGACAGGGGCGGGCACTACAGCGCGGACGGAAGGGACGAAGGCAAAGAGGGAGGAGAGAGCGCATAGAAGGAAGAGAGACTGAGAAGGACCCGCGAGAAACCCGACGACGACCGACGACCGACGACCGACGACCGACGACGACGACGACGCCCAAGCCTACTCGTTCGAGAGGCCGACGACGAGGCTCGGGAGCTCGTGCTCCTGGAGCGACTCGTTCGAGAGGCCGACGACCTGGCTCACGTCGCCGCCGCCTGCGACCTCGCCGCCGCCGGTCACGTCGTCGAGCGGCTGGGTCTCGAGGACGGGCTGCATGTGGCCGCCGTTGTGCTGCTGCTTCGACGACGGCGAGGAGGAGGAGGCGGCGGCGGGGGGCGACACGTCGACGAGGGCAGGGCCGGCGCCCGACTTTGCCGCCTTGACCTTTGCGTTGTCGGCCCGGAGGCCCTCGATGTGGGCGAGGTACTCCTCGGTGACGCCGCCAGTGACGTACTCGCCGGTAAAGACCGAGCAGTCAAACTCCTGGATGTCGGGGTTGAACTGGGCGCACGACTGGACCAAGTCGGGCAGGGTCTGGAAGATGGTGAGGTCGGCGCCGATGTACTGCGAGATCTCGTCCTCGGTGCGACCATGTGCGACGAGCTCTTTGCGACTCGGCATATCAATGCCGTAGACGGCCGGGTGGCGGATGGGCGGGGCACACGAGGCCATGATGACCTTGCGGGCGCCGGCGTCGCGCGCCATCTGGATGATCTCCTTGGACGTCGTGCCGCGCACGATCGAGTCGTCGACGATCAGGACCGTCTTGTCGGCAAACTCGAGCGCCATGGCGTTGAGCTTGCGGCGCACGTTCTTGCGGCGCAGCTCCTGCCCGGGCATGATGAACGTGCGCCCGACGTACCGGTTCTTGACAAACCCTTCCCGGTACGGCACGCCCAGGTTCTGCGCGAGCTGGAGGGCGGCGACGCGGCTCGTGTCCGGGACCGGGATGACGACGTCGACCTTGATGCCCTCGGCGGCGAGCTTCTTGCGCGCGTTCTCGGCGAGGGCGTCGCCCATGGCCATGCGCGAGCGGTAGACCGAGATGCCGTCGAGGACCGAGTCGGGCCTCGCGAAGTACACGAACTCGAACATGTCCGGAGCGATGGTACGCTCCGGGACACATTGACGAGTCACGAGTCCTTCGCGAGTGATGATGATGGCCTCGCCTGCGAGCGCAAGAAGCGCCAAAGTCAGCTCTCGTCCCGCGCCTCGTCCCGGCGCCTCGACAGACACACATCGCGAGAGAGAGAGGGAAAGAGAGTGCTCACCGGGCTTGACGTCGGTCCAGTCCTGGAAGCCGAGCGCGTCGCACACGACGCTCTCGGACGCCATCATGTAGTCCCACCCGCCGTCGACCGTCTCGCTCCTGCGCCTCGCCCAGCCCATGGGCCGGATGCCGTGCGGGTCGCGGAAGCCAAAGATGCCGTAGCCGGCAATCATGGCCGTGCACGCGTACGCGCCCGACGTCGTCTGCATGACCTCGCGCACGGCGCGGAAGATGTCGTCGCCGTCGATGCGGAACTTGCCCGTCTTCTGGAGCGCGTCGGCGAGGAGGTTGAGGAGGAGCTCAGAGTCGGACGACGTGTTGATATGGCGGTGGGCGTAGTGGTCGAGGTAGTAGCGCAGGTGGTCGGTGTTGGTCAAGTTGCCGTTCTGCGGGCGCGCACGGGGTCCGAGGGTCGTCAGGATCGAGGGTTCGGCACTCGTGCGTGTCTAGGGAGGCCGCGAGACACGCAGGGAGCGGTGCGGCGGCCTCGCTCGAGTTGAGAAGGTTGCCGACTCACGTGCGCGAAGACGATGCCGTACGGCGAGTTGACGTAGAACGGCTGCGCCTCGGACTGTGCCGACGAACCAGCAGTCGGGTACCGAGCTGCGAGAGACGAGAGAGCGAGAGTGAGTCCCGGGCGCGACGAGTCAAGCGAGTCAAGCGAGAGAGAGGGGACGGACCGTGGCCGACGCCCATGCCGCCGATGAGCTGGCTGAGCGACTTGGCGTCGAGGAGGTCGCGAACCATGCCGTTGCCCTTGCACTGGTAGAAGCGGCCCTTGGGCCCGCACGTGACGACGCCGCAGGCATCCTGGCTGCCGAGGGGAACCGAGGTGCGGGTGGGGGGCAAGTTGGTCAGCTCGCGCGCTCTTGACTCGGGTCGTCGTTGTCGGGGACGCGCGGAGAGCTCGACGGAAGAGGGACGGACCCGCGGTGCTGGAGGAGCTGGAGGCCTTCTGCAAGCTCGGGCGCGACGTTGTTCTGCGAAGCGAGGAGGATTGCGAGGACGCCGCCTGCAGGGTAGGGACGGTTCGAAGGGACAGAGTCAGTTGCAGGGTTCGAACGACGCGAGTCGACGTCGGCGGCGGGCGATAGACCCCGCAGGAAGCGGGACTAGGGCGGACGGAGCGAGACGGAGACGAGGGGGAAGGGACGAGGACGCACACATGGTGACGGTGCTGGAGGGCTCGAGGCGAGAGGCCGGCTCGGCGAAGGTGCGAGTTGGGCTGTGTGTCGAGCGTGTGCGGGCTCACACGGTAGCTGCGCGACGCGAGCAAGCGGGGGAGGATCAAGCAAGCGAGCGACGGAGCCGTGCTCTCGCCGAATCGCTGCCACCGCCAAGTCCCCCTCTCTCGCCTCCCACGAGGCAGACCACACTCCGACCATGCTCCCAACCTTGACCAGGTGGGCTCAGCACGCCGCACCCGCAGCACAGCGCCTCCAGCAGCTCGCAAAGCTCCGCTGCGACCTCCTCGGCACCGTCTACAACCCCAACTCGCTCCGCACCGGCTCAAAGGTCCTCAAGGCGCGCCTCAGGGGTCCCGCCATGCTCCGGTACTACGGCGACCGCTTCAGCAGCTTCCGTGGCCTCAACAACGCCATCCCGGGACTCGAGCTGCGCGACCTCGTCGAGGAGACTCGGTCCGTCTCCCTCTCGCACTGTGCGCCACGGTGCAGCCTGACTGACAAGCTCGTTCCCTCCCTGCAGGCTACTCGACATCGAGACGCTGCGCAAGCGCGGCAAGGTCAAGCCCAAGAAGGGTGCGTCCGACTCGCTCTCCCCTCCCTCGCACTCGCGCCGCTCCCAAGCGGCCGTCTGCGTCGATGAAGGGCGACCAGCAGCTGACCAGCACTCATCACGCAGGCCAGGGTCGCCGCGCCTCGATGAAGAAGCGGTAGATCCACCTCGCCGCTCCTCCTCCCCGTCGTTCCACCTCGCGCCCCTCGCATGGCTCCCCTTTCCTCGTTGTACCCGCATACCCGAGCGCGCACCTCGTGCGCTGTATCGCAATCTCAAGGCCGTACCATTCCCTGACGAGCACCCGAGCGAGAGCGAGAGCTGCGCGAGAGCGCGAGAGGACCGAGTCTGGCTCGCACGCCTCACTGTGAGCTTTGCGCGCCCGGCCGAGAAACTGCTGCAAGCTCGGGAAGAGAACCGCGAGCCACAGACCAGCGACGGACGCGAGGACGAGTCGCCGTGAGCCTCTGCCGCGAGCGAGTCGGCCGGCTCTCGCTCTCTCCCCCACTTTCACCTCGCCATCCCCGCCATGGACTACGAGCAGAACGCCCACCTCGCCGCTGCGCCCGCCTACGCGCTCGAGTCCGACTCAGAGTCGGACTGGGACGACGACGAGCGCCCTCCCCACTCGACCACCGCCGCCGCCAAGCAGCTCGCGCCCGACGCCGCCGTGTCGCTCGAGAGTGGTGGGCAGGGGCTCGAGAAGGGTCAGGAGGCGGTCTTTTTGCTCGGCGAGGCGGGCGAGCGGCTCGCGCAGGGGGTGCAGCTCGATGACGCGGCGCGGGCGATCAAGGTGCTCGTCGAGGGGGAGCAGGTGCGCCCAACTCTCTCTGTGGGCTCGCCAGGGGTGCACGAGCTGACTGCCTGAGTGTCACAGGTCGGCCACGTCGTTCCTCCAGCCGCAGCGGCCCCCGGCCCTACCCTCGTCTTCCTCACCACCGCCCTCCCCCTCGCCTCGCTCCACCCACTCGCGTCGACCCTCCTCGAGGCCCTGCAGCCGACAGTCGTCACCATCGTCTCGTCGTACCACCTCCCGTCGTACATCCCGCCGGTCAAGCGGGTCGACCCCTCGTCCGCCTCGAGCGCGCCCATCCTGTCCCTCGCCTCGCCGTCGCCCTCTCCCGCCGTCATTCAGCTGCGCTCGACCGGCGCGTTGTCCCCCTTCACGACCCCGAACCTGCACCACGGCCTCGGCTCGTCCCTCCTCACCCTCTCGCACCTCTCGCCCTCGACCACGTCGTCGACGCTCCTCCTCCTCCCGACGACGACGCCGCCGCAACCGCTCAACGGGCCCTTCTCGCTCGCGTCGCCCGTCGGCATGACGTCTGGCAGCGCCGGGACGCTGTACGACGCCGGCGGTCCGACGAGCCTGAGCGACCCGGGCGCCCTCTTCCGCGAGCTGGTCGGGCTCGGCGGCCCGAGGAGGACCGCGGCGGCGCCGAGCGCGGCACTGCGCGAGGTCAAGGCGGCGCTCGGGTGGGACTGGTGGAGTCCAGAGAGGCAGGGCGGTACCGCTTTCGAGTGGCTCGAGCGGCAGAGGAGGGACAAGCGGCGCGAGCAGGCGGGCAGCATGTACACGTGAGGCGACTTGGGTGCAAGTCTCCCCACTCGAGCGTGCGCGGTCGTCGACGTCGAGGTCGAGGAGGAGAGGCTCGGGCGGGGGATCGGCACGTGCACGAAGATCCACGCTTCGCGCTTCCCGCTCCTTCCTGCCTTGGCGGCACGACCGGGTCCCGCTCGCGCTCTCGCTCTCTTCCGCTCGATTTCTTCGTCCCGGCCACTGTTCTCCAAGCTTCTGGAGGAGATGGCCTTGACCCGGGTGCGTCGACCGCGCTCTCTCTCCCCTTCTCTTCCCTCTTCCTCCCCCACCGTCGCTCACCCCGCGCCCCACACCCGTAGCCACTGGACTTGTCTATCACGCGCCACTCGACGACCCGAAGCACGCCCACGCCCTCGCCGCACACCTCGGGCGAGCCCCTGTCCCGCACCCGAACCCGCACGACCGCCATGTTGGACCGCACGACGAGCGACGAGGGCAGCGACGACCACCACCACAAGCGCGAGCTCGCCGCTCTCGCGGCGCGGTACTCGCTCGGCTCGCCCTTGTCGCGCGTGCGCACCCGCACCGACTCGTCGTGCCTGTGGCAGCACGTCTCGCCCGACGCGCCTCGCCCGCTCGACCAGGCCCCGAGCGGGCCGCAGCAGGTCCTGTACGACGACGAGTTCGTCACCCTCACGGCGACAGCGCTCGTCGTGCGGCACCTGCTCTTCCGCCGCGAAGTCAGGATACCGCTCGCGCGCATCCACTCGGCGCGCGCCTTCTGCTCGCCGGCCCAGCTCGTCAAACTCGCCGCGTCGGGCCTCCCCTCCTCCTCGCCGTCGTCGACGTCGCCTCGCCGGCGCACCAAGCACGCGCCCGAACCTCGAGCGCCTCGAGGCGTCGTCGTGAGCGGGCTCGGGTCGACGGGCGTCATCTGGGCGAGGGACGCGGTGCGGGTCAAGGACGGGCGGTGGAAAGAGAGGGCCGTCGTCGTCGACGCCGACGGGTGGCTCGGCCGGGTCGGGTTCACGGTCGACGACGCAGAGGCGTGGTGGGCAGCATGGACGCAGGCGACGGGGCAGGCGCATTGTTGAAGGTCGAGGAGGAGCGGGTTCTCTCGAGCGGTCCTGGTCTGTGCGCCGCCGTCCATGTTGTGCCTTTACTTCAGTCTCGCTCGCATTGCCATTGTCGTTCGTCTCTCTCTCTCTTCTTCGGCGTGAGAGGTTCGCCAGCCTCGTGAGCGCTCATTCGAGAGGAGGCCCAAGCGCGCTTCGAACGCTCGACGAGGACGAAGGGAGAGTGCGGGGCTACAACGCGGACTTGCGGTGCTCCAAAATCGTCCGCGCACGAACGCCAAGCTCGAGGTCGCTCGTGGCGGACGCTGAGCGCGAGCGGTCCGCATCCAAGCTTGCCCTCCTTCTCCTCACTGCTTGTGCGCGCCTCGCTGCGTCCGCCCTCTCTCGCTCTCGTCACTGCGCTCGCAGGCGATGGAGCTTGCAGCCTCCCTTGTCTCGGCGGTCCTCCACTCTGGCTGGCGCCGCGCCGGGCAGCGAGCGAAAAGCTTGCGGCCCTTGCCTCGGACTTGTCACAATCTCGGCCGCCAGCCGTCCGCTTCTCCAGACTCGCGGCTCGAGAGCCCGTTTTAGGCTGCGGTTGTCGATGAGCAGCCAGGTGGAGCAGCTCGAGCGCTTCGCCTGTCGATTCTCGCTCCGCCTCGTTCGCTTCACCCGACGCACGGCGCCAAGATCTTCTCAGCACGCTCGCACGCCTCTCTGCACCTCTCGCACCAACGGTGGAACGACAGCAGCACAAGGACGCAACGAGCTCGCCCGAGGCCCTAAACCCTCGCCCCCGCCTTCTCCCGACCCCGACTTGGTCCTCCACGACTTTACCCGCGCCGGCCCTCCACGCCTCTCTGCTCCTTTCCCTCATCTCCGTCCACCCTCTCCTCTCGACGACTCGACCCGTCCACGACTGTCGATGCACAAGGACCTCATGAACCACGACTCGGCCAAGCTCGAGCAGGCCAACACGTCGGTGCAGGCGCCGGTGCCCGTGCGCTTCGCCAAGCACGACCCGGAGGACCCAGCCGAGGGATGGAGCCGGCTCAAGCGCTACCGAGGTGCGCACACACTCTCTCCCGTCGTCTTCTGGCGGCCTTCCCAAGTCGAGCCGGGACACTCGCGCTTACCTCTTCCTCGCCGTCCTCGCGCAGCACTCGGCCTCGCCATGGCGGTGACCTACTGCTCGGCCTTTAACGCGTCGGTGAGTCCCCTCCTGACCGGCCTGGACCGTGAGGGCGAGGCAGGAAGAGGAAGCTGACCTTTCTCTCGTTCCCGCAGGCCAACGGCGCCGCCAGCGGCGGTTTCCGCGCCGACCATCCAGGCGTCACGGCCAACGAGTTCCAGGCGTCGTCCTTCACCTACCTCGCCATGCTCGGCATCGGCCCGCTCGTGCTCGCGCCCGTCTCGGAAACGTTCGGTCGCCGCCCCCAGATCTGCATCTGTACCTTCATGTGCGTCCCCTCCCGCCGTCTACGAGCCTACACAAACTCGCAGAAGGGCACCGGACCTCGTCGGGAAGAGCGACGGGCACTGACCGTCGCGCGCTCGGGCCCCTCGCAGCATCCTCGTCCTCTTCCTCGGCCAGGCCTTGGCGCCCAACGTCGAATCGCTCATCTTCTGCCGCCTCATCCAGGGGTGCGCATCGACCCTCTTTCCCTCTCGTTCGAGGGCCAGAACCTGACGACGACGTCCCGCAGTGTCGCCGCCAGTGTCGAGGGTCCGGTCGCCGCCGGCGTCGTCGCCGACCTTTGGCCCAAGCGCATTCGCGGCCCGGCCATGGGTATCTTCGTCCTCTGCGTCTTCACCGCCAACGCGACTGGCCCGACGGCGATGAACTGGGCGGCGCAGAAGCTCAACTGGCACTGGGGTGCGTCCCTCCCTCCTCTCCCTCTTTCTCTCCTCGAGCGGCCTCTTACTCCCTTATTGACGTTCGTCGTCGACAGTCTACTGGATCCAGATGTGCTCGAACGGCCTGTGCTTCTTCCTGTGCCTCTTCTTCTTCCCTGAGCCGTGCGTCCCCTCCGTCTCGTCCCCTCCCTCTCGTCCCCTCCCTCTCGTCCCCTCTCTCGTCGAGGGTTACTGACCTATTTCTCCCTCTAGCCGTGCCGACGTCATCCTCGGCAAGCGCTGCAAGCAGCTCGAGAAGGAGACGGGCCGCCCCCACTACGTCGACGGCGCCGAGCAATTCGAGGGCTGGTGGATGGCGCTCAAGATCTCGTCGACGCGCCCTCTCCTCTATCTTTTTACCGAGCCGATCGTCATGGCGCTCGCACTCTGGGTCGGCGTCGCTTGGGGCATGGTCTTCCTGTACATCGGCGCGGTCGTGCACGTCATGCGCGAGACGTACGGCTTCTCGCAGGGCCAGGGCGCGACGTGCCTCATGACCGGCTGCATCGGCGCCCTCATCTCGTACGGCCTTCACCTTACCGTCCAGGAGCCGATGTACGCTCGGGCCGTCGTTCGCGGCCACGGCAAGGCCAGGCCCGAGGTCCGCCTCTACTCGGCGGCGGTCGGCGCGCTCCTCTTTGCCGGCGGTGCGTTCGGCTTTGCCTGGACCGCCCGAGAGTCGATCCACTGGATCGTGCCCTGCATCTTCGTTACCCTCACGAATGTCGGCATGTGCGTCCCTCTTTCCTCCCTCTCGCACAGCCCCATCGTGTCGGCCTCTCCTCGAGAACGATACTGACCCTCTCGGTCCCTCTCACACAGCTACTCGATCTACCTCGCGACATACCTTTACATCGGCGACGTCTACGACCGCTACTCGTCGTCGGGACAGGCCGCTCAGTCGCTCCTTCGCAACATCCTCGGCGCGACCGTGCGTCCCGAGTTCCTCTCTTCCTCCTCTCTTGCGCACCCACACTGACGCCTCACCTGCCTCTGCAGTTCCCCTTCTTCGGCGTCACCATGTACGACAAGCTCGGCTTCGACTGGGCGTCGATGCTTGTCGGCTTTATCGCGCTCGCTCTTGCCGTCGTTCCATGGGGCTTGATCGCCGGTGCGTCCCTCCTCTTTCTCCCCTTCTCCCGCACGACATCGACTGACATCTCCAACACGTACAGTCGGTCCCAAGCTGCGCGCCAAGTCGCGCGTCGCTCGCTCGATGGAGCAGCACGAGGGCCAGGTCCTCGCCGACGACGTCGAGCCGCCCCAGATGACCGAGGTCGAGATGCCCTAGACTCGACGCTCGACGGCGCGGTAACGTTCCTCTCTGCTAGAGTTCCCCTACACGTCCAAGGACCATCACGTACATCTGTAGAGCTGTGCATCCCAGACTCGAGTTTCTCTCGTGCTGCTTCCTCTCGTCTTTGAGCTTCTCGAGCTCCACACTGCGTAGCGGTCCCTTTGCGAGCGCGAGAAAGCGAACGTGCCAGGCTCGCTCGTCGAGTGCTCGCCAGGTCGGGCGCTTCTCTCTGCGGCGTGTTGGCCAAACGAGGGTTCAGCTCCGAGACTCGGCCGTCGAGCTGGCTGCGGCGCGCAGTATCCACGCTCCCTGCGCAGTTGCAGTGCCCAACTCGACAGCAAGATATCGCGAGAAGAAGCACGCGGGCGAACAGGGGAAGACAGGGTGGTCCGAGCGGACCTTCTCAAGTTGACCTCCACGCTGAGCGCGCGAAAGGAGGGAGCGGTCTCGCTTTCGCGCCCGGCGCGGCCAAGCTTGCGACACCGACGAGCAGAGCGTGCCCGAGCTGCTTGAGCTTGCGAGGCTGCGCCGAGCAGGCAAGCTGAAGCCGTGGCAGGAGGGCCGACCGCCCTCGAAAAAAACGAGAGGCCCGCGCACGGCGAAGCGAGCTCGGGCGAGTCGAGGCGGGCGTGAGCTCGCGTGCCCGGCTGAGCGCTGTCGAGCGGTCTGCACCCCGATTCTCCTCGTGAGCTGTGGAGCCGGCAACGAGACGAGCCGGGCGCGAGCTTCCCGCGAAGGCAGGGCGAAAAAAGAGGGCGTCGCAACGCAGGTCGGTTCGGCCGCGGCGCGGCTCGTGGCGACCGTCGATCGCAGATTTGCACAATTGCTCGAGTGCGCGGATGCCGGGCGAGGGTCCGACAGAACAGGGTGCGAGCGCCTCGTGGACTCGCCGAGGAGGACCGTGCCCGGTCGAGCGTGAGACGGCCCCCTCACTTGAGGGTGCTCCCCTCGACCTGAGCCTGCTCAAAAGCCGCCCTTCCTGCGAGCAGACCTCTCCCTCCTTCTTCTGTACCTCCCTCGTCGACTCCCTACCAGCATGCTCGCCGCCGTCTCGCTCGCCCTCGCCGCGCTCTCGGCCGTCACCGCCGCCCCGGTTCCCGTCGTCGAGTCGTCGGTCGCGCTCCCCAACTCGACCCAGGTCAACCAGACGGCGTACTGGTACACGCAGGACGGCCGTGCCGGTGCTTGCGGCTCGTACTCGACCGACGCCGACGTCGTCGTCGGCCTCCCGCTCGAGTTCTACGCCAAGTACGACGCCGTCTCGCCGTACTGCGGCTCGTTCGTCGTCGTCAAGGGCGACAACAACAAGACGGTCACTGCGCTCGTCGCCGACGCCTCGACCCTCAACGACACGCTCACCCTCTCGGTCGCTGCGTGGCGCTCGCTCGACGGCGACGCCGGCCTGAGTGCGTCTCCCTTCTCTCGCCGTATCCTGTTCCCTCTCCGCCTCTTCCGTGGTACTGACGCATTTGCTCTTGACAGCCACCGTCGACTGGCGCTTCGCCAACAAGACCGAGGCCGCCGCCGCCGCCAAGGCCCTCAAGGACACGCCCGCCTCCTCGGCCGTCGAGACGCCCGCCGCCGCCACCTCGGCCAAGGCCCCGACCTGGACCAGCTCGCACGCCGCCGCCCCCCCGTCGTCGTCGTCGTCGTCGACCTGGGCCGAGCACACCGCCGCCGCCACCACCTCGCCTGCCGCCGAGAAGAAGGAGTCGTCGACCGCCTCGTCGTCGGCCGCCTGGACCTCGCCCTCGTCTTCCTCGTCGGCCTGGCGCTCGTCGTCGTCGTCGGCTTGGTCGGCTGAGCACGCCGCTCCCTCTTCGTCGTCGGCCGAGGCCGAGAAGAAGGCCGCCGCCTCGTCCTCCTCGACCTGGACGCCCGAGCACTCGTCGACCTCGACCTCGACCAAGGAGTGGAAGGAGACGTCGACCTCGACCTACGAGGCCCCCAAGACCACGACGACCGTCAAGCGTGCGTCCTCTCTTACTCGACTCGATTCGACCTTCCCAACCCCGCTGACCCTCTCGTTCCTCCTTTCCTTGCCTCCCCTCGCCCCGTCGCCGCCCTCTCTCCCCCTCTTATCTCGCTCGCCTTGTCCCCGCCCTTCTATAGCCTCGACCACCACCACCACCTCGCAGTGGGTCGCCCCCAAGACGACCACGACGCAGGCGCCCAAGACCACCCAACAGGCGTCGTCGGCGTCGTCGGGCACCTACTCCGGCAGTGCGACCTTCTACTCGCAGGGCGGCAACGCCGGCTCGTGCGGCAACTACGCCTCGGACTCGGACTACGTCGTCGCCGTCAACGCCGCCCAGATGAACTCGGGCTGGTGCGGCCGCACGGTCAAGATCACCAACAAGGCCAACGGCGCCACCATCACCGCCAAGGTCGCCGACACGTGCCCGGGCTGCTCGTACGGCTCGCTCGACCTCTCTACCGGCGGTCCGTCCCTTCTCGCTCCCTCTCCCTCGCTCGAGCCCGTTCCTGACTCCCTTTCCCTCCCCAGCTTTCGGCGCCATCGGCAACTACGACACCGGCGTACTTCCTATCGCGTGGAACTTCGTGTAGGGCGCTCGAGCAGAATGGCGGCGACGCGAGGAGCAGGAGACGTAGACCATAGACTTGGCTCGAGCCTCGGCTCGAGGGGAAAATGTAGATAGACCGGTTCCCTTCTTCTCGCGCCTCCCTTCTCTGTGTTCTCTCCGAGAGTATGGAGAGCTAGAGAAATGAAAGAAGCTGGCTTCGTCCGCTCGAGAGGCGACGCGAGGAGGAGCTGAGGAGCGTTCGGGCGGCACCGTCACGGAAGCCCTCTCGCGGATGGCCTGAAAGCCACGAGAAGCTCAGGGCCGAGCTACAGTCTGCCCTGTTCTCGTAGAGACAGCGAACGACAGCGTGCGAGCCTGCTCGATCTCGTGCGCTGGTGCCGCCGCCGCTGCAGAGGCCACACGCCGTCTCGCTCTTAGACAGTTCGCCGCTCGGACAAAGCTGGAGGCAGGGATCAAAGGTGTAGTTGCACGTGCGCAGCTAAGCATACGATGCGGATGGCAAGGAGTGGCAGAGGAGGAACGGTTCGACGTAGTCGGCTTCGAGGTCACTCCGCGTCACCTGCTCCCGCCTGCACGAGCGCCGCCCTGAGCTCACCTGGTGCTTCGCACAGCCCTCCAGAACGCGCCCCAGCCGACTGCAGCGCGCCCAGCACCCTCCTCGACCTCGCCCACCTCCGCCTCATCACCCAACTCGACGGTCAACATGGCGCCGCCCACCTCGCTCGCCGAGCTGCGTGCACTCAAGCGCACAGAGCTGCAGGCCCTCTGCAAGGTGCGCCCGTCTGTTTCCCCCGCCCCTCTGTGCCCGCGACGACAAAGCTGACGCCCCTCGCCCACCCCCTCGCGCGCCTCGATGTACAGGACAACAACATCAAGGCCGGCGGCAAGAACGAGTACCTCATCAACCAGCTTGCCAGCAAGTTCGCTCTGTGCGTCCCCCTGTCTCCTTGTCGTCCCTGTCGAGCGACTCGCGCTGAGCGCCGAACGCGCACTTGCAGCGGCGACACGGCGACAGCTTCCCCGTCGACTTCTACGACCACGAGCAAGACGCCCCAGAGCACCGTCGACAAGGGCAAGAAGGCCGTCGCACCTAGCCCGGTCGCAGCTCTCGACACGGCCGAGGCCTCCTCGCTCGGTGCGTCCGCATCTCTCCCACGACCTCGAGCCGACCTGTTCGCTAAGTTGTCCTGCGCCAACAGAAAACATCTCTCTGCCTTCCGCCCTGCACTCGCTCTCGGTCCAGGTCACGTCGCTCAAGGCAGAGCTCGAGCGCCAGTCGGCATCTCTCGACGAGCTCAAGCGCGCCGCTCCTGTCGAGCCCGTCACCATGGGCGCGGTCGAGGGCCTCGTCAAGCGCAAGATCGAGGCGTTCGAGCACGACCGCCGCGACGAGGTCACCGACCTGCTCAAGGAGCGCGACGACCGCATCTCGCTCCTCTTCTCGAGCCTCCACGAGCAAGATGAGCTCGTCTTGAACCTCGCCGACAACCTCGACGAGCTCGAGAAGGCCGCTGTGCCTAAGTGCGCCAAGTGCGAGCAGCTCGAGGCGGCCCTCGACACCCTCCGGCGTGACGTCTGCTCGCGGCTCGACCGCCTCGAGGCTCGCCCGGCGCCCCACCCCGTCGCGACCAGCACTCCCGCCTTCGTCGAAGCGCCGCCTACGTCATCGCGTACCGTCCCGATGGCCAGCCCTGCCCTCTCGGACGCGCCGCCGACCCGTTCCCTCGTCTCGTTCCTCCCGCCCACCGGCTCTCCCTCCACCCCGGCGTTCGCCCTCGACTCGCCCCTCATTGCCCAGCGCCAGAGCGTCGGTGCGCGCAAGGGCACGCCCTTCAAGGCCGGCGCACTCGCCCACGAGGACGAGCCCGTCACCGCCGTCCCGAGCCACATGCTCGCCGCCGTCGCGTCTGCGGGCCGCCTCAGTCAGCGCGGCACGCCGTTCCGCATGCCCGACGACGACGACGCGGCGAGCCCGGCACCTGTTGCCGCAGCGCTCGGCAAGCACGCGCGCTCGTCCATCCTCGTCGGCGCCGAGCGCACCGACTGCGCCGGCCGCCAATCTCTCGCGCCGGCGTTCGGCACGTCGTTCGCCGCCGAGGCGAGCGTCAACTCGAACGACGGCTTCCACACGGCGCCCGTCTCGGTCCAGGAGCCGGCCGGTGAGGTCGGCGTGGGCGCGAGCGCGAGGGAGGGCGACATGCGCCTGAGCAAGCGCGTGCGCGTGAGCTCGGCGTGCAGCTCGGGCTCGATCGTCGACAACGGCGAGCCTGAGGACAGTACGACGGGCGAGGGCGAGGACGACGAGGAGCCGGTCGACTCGTTCGCGCGCGAGGAGGACGAGCGCGACCCGGACGCGCAGAGCGAGGCCGACGCCGAAGTGCGCGACTACCTCGTCGCGACCAAGACGGGCGACTCGCCCTCGACGGCGCGCAAGCCCGCCGCCGCCAAGTCGGCGCCGCACTCGCCCGCCGTCTCGATCCACGACCCGAGCTTCTTCGCCTCGGCCGCCTCGTCGCCCGGGCCGCGCACGACCCTCACCCCGACGCGCCGCACCTCGACCTTCTCGTTCACGTTCGGCCCCGGCGACGAGAACGTGCCGGGCTCGTCCGCCCTCTCGACGTCCGCCACCGCCGCGGCCTCGACGAGCCGCAAGTCGCTCCCGCTCGCCGCCCTCCCCTTCCCCATCGTGTCGCCCTTCCGCGCCGCTCCCTCGCACGCCACGAGCGCCCGCAAGGGGACGCCGGGCACGAGCGCGAGCGCCAAGAAGGCGACCATGGCGAGCTTCTTCGGCGGCAGCGCGACGGCGAACCGCTCGAGCGCAGCCGGCGCCAGCCTGTTTGGCGCCTCGGCCGCGCCCTCGGCGTTCGCGTCGGCGAGCAAGCCTCGCGGACGTGCGGGCACGCTCAGCCTCGGCGGCGGCAGCTCGTCGTCGTCGTCGTCGGCGATTGGCAAGCTGTCGACGCCGCTCGCGCCGAGGACGCTTTTCGGGACCGAGGGCGGCGGCGAGGGACGGTTCGGCGAGGCCGAGGGAGAAGAGGAGGAGGTCGCGAGTCCCGCCAAGGGCGGCTGGAGGTGGGAGCGTGGGGCGTTCGGCGCCGTCGGGACGCTCTGAGCGACGAGCCTGTCTATATCTTCCCTCTTCGTCCTTTCCTCTCTCTTTCGTACCCTTCCTTCCTTCCTCTCCTTAGTTCCTTCTCGCGTCACGTAGTCGAGCTTTCCTCGTGTATTTTATCGGTTCGGGTTCAGAGTCTCGTGCACGTTCCCACCGCGAAAGCTCGTCTCGCCCGCAAAGCTATGTACACCCTGCCCTCCCTCGCTCACCCTGCTCGTCTCATCGTCACACTCATGCGCTCTGCTGCCGCCGCTGCTGCCCGTCGACAAACGCGGCCAATCCCCTCCCGAGCTCCCTCACCTTCTCGGCGTCCCTCCTCGCGCGCTTCAAGCTCTCGCCAAACGCGCGCTCGAGGTCCTTGGCCCGGCCGCCACGCTCCGTCTCGAGGACGGCGAGCAGGCCCGCGCTCTGGTCGGCGGCGAGCTCGGCGCGCGCGAGCGCCGAGCGCACGAGCCCGTGCGCGAGCGAGAGGTCGGCCGGTCCCGGTGCGGGCGCCGCCGCCGGCTTGTTCTTGCTACCGCCGCCAAAGAGGCCGCCGCCGCGAGACGACGAGGCGCCGAGCGCCGAGCGCGCGAGGGAGCACTCGGCGAGGTGCGCCTCGAGGGCGGCGACGCGCGTCGAGAGGTACGCCTGCGAGAGGCTGCGCGAGACGTGTGCGGGCTCGAGGGGCGTGTGCGTGTCGCGTGGCGGGGCGGGAGGCGCGACGAGGGCGGCGCTCGAGGAGGAGGGTAGAGAAGGGGAGGGTGCGGGAGCGGGCGAGAGGGCGCGCGCGTACTCGAGCGCGGCGCGCTGCAGCGCCTGGGCACTCGCGAGCGCTGCGTCGGTCGGCGCCGCTGCGGACGACGATGACGACGACGCTCCGTCGACGTCGCCGTCCCTGCGGCGCGCAAGGAACGTCTCGAGCGAGACGAGGCTCGCGACGAGGGCGCGCTGCGGCGCTGGGCGGTCGAGGACGCGAGCGGATGGCGCGTCGGACGCGGTCGGGGACGAGAGGGCGCGCGAGGGCGAGGTGCGCGAGAGGAGGGCGACGAGGTGCGAGAGCTCGGGCGACAGGTCGGCAGTCGAGGTCGAGGTCGAGGAGGGCGACGAGGGCGGGTGCGAGCGCGACCAGAAGCCGAAGAAGGACGACAACGGCGAGGCGTGCTTGTTGGCCTGCTCGCGGATCGTCGGCGCGCCGGCGGGCACGAGCTGGTCGAGCGCGTCGCCCTCGAGGCTGTGCCCACCGTCGCGCGCGAGCACAGGCACGAGGCCGCCGACAAAGTAGCCCTGCGCGCGGTCGTTCTCGACCCGGCGCTCGTCGGTGCCCGGTTGCCACAGGTCGGCGATGCGGGCGCTCAGCTCGCCGAGCTTGCGGGTCGCGACGAGCGTCTCGCGGGCCTCCCACGCGCGGTCGGCGGCGCGGTCCGGGTGCGGGTCGGTCGTCGGGCTCGCGCTCAGGGCGAGGTAGATGCGGTCCCAGCCGTCGCGGGCGGCCTCGAGGCGGGCGCGGCCGCCGATGCGCTCGCGGACGCCGGCGAGGCGCTCCTCGAGCTCGACGGCGGCGCGGTCGACGCCGCCCTGGTCGACGTGGCGCTCCCACGCGGCGCCGGCGAGGCTGCTGTCGTCGAGCGCGATGCCGCGACGGGCTGCGCGCTCGAGGGCGTACGCGAGGTACTGCTCGGCGAGGAGCCAGCCGCCGTCGCCGACCTGGCGCCCCTGCGAGGCGACGACGGCGGCGGCGTCGTGCTTGGCGCCGATCATGTCGCCGCCCATGCGCGAGACGGCGAACGGGCTCGCGCTCGCGGCGGCGGAAGGGGCGGCCGAGAGGGGCGAGGCGACCATGCCGGCGCCCCAGGTCTGGGCGATGTAGGCGCCGCGAATGGCGGCGCGGGCGAGGAGGCCGAGGCGTGGGTCGGTGCCGCCGCGCTTGTCGATGTGGAGGCCGGACCAGCCGGGCTGCTCTGCGAGCCAGTCGTCCGGGTCGTCGAGGTTGAGCGAGGGGGCGAGGGCGACGTGCTCGACGTAGAGGTGGACGGCGACGAGGGCGGTGGCGGCGGATGCGACGATGGCGACCGAGCCGTACACGGCGTAGCGGAACAGCTGGCCGAAGAACGAGGCCGTGTGGACGAGGGGCGAGGCATAGTCCTCGACGGGGAGGTTGGTCGGCGGGAGCGGGGCGAGGGGCACGGCTGGGTCGGGTTCTTGGCCTGGTTCGGGGAGGGGTGCGGGTGCGGGTTCTTGCGGGGTGGTGAACGAGGGCGGGCGGGCGTAGTGGCGGCGTGGCGAGGGTGCGAGTCCGAGGTGGGGAGATGAGGAGGCGGCGGCGACGACGGGGGTCGAGGGGCGAGCGAAGGTGCGGGTGCGCGGGGTCGCTCGTGCGATTGCCCTGGTGGAGCGTGACAGCATGTCTGTCTAGGTCGAAGGTGGCCCTAGTGAGGTGTGAGATGAGCGAGCCGCCCTGCCTCTCTGAACTGATGAGCTTGGTCGAGGTGCGAATCGTCGCGACTCAGCTCTCACCTCGCTCTCGCCTCTGCACCCCACTCGAGCACGGCCAAGATGCCGGCCCTACCTCAGCAACCAGCACCGAGCGGCCGCCACTCGATCCTCCCGCTCTTCCCCTTGCTCGCCTCGCACAACCCCTCGACTCGCCTCGACGCCGCTCTCCACCTCGTCCAGGCCCTCCCCCATGGCACGCCCAGCACCGCCAACGACCCCGACACCCCGTACGCCCTCAAGCGCCTCGTCGCCGGCCTCGCCTCGTCCAACGACGCCGCCCGTCAAGGCTTCGCCGTCGCCCTCACCCAGCTCGTCGCCCTCCTCCCCTCCGACTCGCCCCTAGCCCGCAACATCCTCGCCCAGGTCTTTGACCAGACCACCCCGAAGCAGGGCGCAGACCCGCGCGAGGAGCGCGACCTCTACTTTGCCCGCCTCATGGGCCTCCACGCCCTCGTCCGCTCGGGTGTCCTCGTCCGGCCCACCGACCCCGCCGGCGCAGACCGCTGGAAGGAGTGCGTCGGCGGCCTCGTCTCGCTCGCCAACAAAAAGACCTGGATCCGCGAGCCGAGCTACTGGGTCGTGTGCGACGCCCTCGCCGCCCTGTGCGCCGCGCCCGACTCGCTCCCGTGGAAGCACGACGCCCTCCAGTGGGCCGTACAGCGCCTCGTCGGCGACTCGCGCGAGAAGGCCCGCGGCTTCAGCCCGGAAAAGGTCGCCGTCGTCCTCGTCCTCCAGGCCCACAACGTCGTGCGTCCCCCCCTCCTTCCCTACACTCCCTCTCTCTCACTCAAGAGGCCATCGTACTGAATCTGGCGCACGCCCCTGCAGGACGCCGACTGGCCCACCCTCCTGTCGCCGACCTTCCCGTCGGGCTCGGTCCTCGCGCGCTCGTCCCTGTCGGCCCTCGCGTCGGCTCTCCGCGGCGCGTCGTCGTCCTCGTCGGCCGACGGCGGCGCGAGCATGCCCAAGCAGGGCTCGAACGCCGTCAAGACGTCCAAGGGCGCGCCCGCACCCGCCGCCGGCCAGGCGCCCCACTTTGTGTGGACTCTCCTCGCCGACGCCTACTTCCCTCCCTCCTCCTCCTCCTCGACGACCGCCGCCGCCGCCGCCGCCGCCGCCAAGACGGAGCGCGCGCCGTTCTCGGCCTTCTGGGCCGCCTGCGTCGACCGCTCCCTGTTCGCCTCGTCGTCCCTGCCGCTCAAGGCCCTCGGCTTCTCCCTCATCACCCTCTTCCTGTCGCGCGTCCCGCCCGCCGACGTCGCGTCCCTCCTGTCGCCGCACGCCCTGCGCGTCCTCGCCAACCACCTGCGCCGCGAGATGAGCGGCTCGGGCGGCGAAAAGACGCTCCTGCGCGTCGCCGACAAGCTCGTCACGTCGACCCTGCCCGCCTACTTTGCCGCGTCCGACTCGAACCGCCAGGCGGCGCTCGCGACCCTCAAGCGCCTCGTCGCCGCGCCCGACTCGCAGTACAACGCGTTCGACACCAAGGTCCTCGAGCGCATCGTCGTCAAGCTCGACGTTGCCGGCGTGCGCGGCTGGGTCGCCCACCTGCGCGGCGTCTTCCTCGCGCCGACCGTCGACGACTCGGCCTCGTCGTCGGCGACCAACGGCGACGGCGACGACGTCGACCCCGAGGCCGGCAACGACAACGCGCTCGTCGAGGACGCCCAGGCGCGCGACAAGCGCCTGACGGCCCAGCGCAACTGGGCCCTCGACCAGCTCCTGTTTGTCGTGCGCAACGCGAGCGTCGCAAAGGACGACGACGTCGTCACGGCCCTGCTCGAGTTCCTCGCCGTCGTCGGCTGGTTCGACATTGTCAGCGAGGCGACCAAGGGCGCTGTGCGTCCCGCTTTTCCTCTCTCTCTTTGCCTCCTCGCTCCGAGTACGAGACTGACCCGTCGCATGTCTTTCTGCAGCGCTCCTACGTCCCGTCGACGCCCCTCACGGCCGCGCACCGCACCGCGACCCGCACGCGCTTCTTCTCGATCCTCGCGTCGCTCGTCGCGGCCACGGCCCCGCTCGGCGGCGCCGCATGGCTCCACCGCGCCCTCGCCCTCCTCGACAACCTCGCCGCCGACTCGAAGCACTTTGCGCGCGCGGCGACGTCGGGCCAGGACGGCGACAACGACGAGGACGACGAGGACGAGGGCGAGGGCGCGGCCTACGACGCACGCCTGCGCGAGCTGTACCCGCAGCTGAGCGGCGCCGAGGGCCCGAGGCCCGCTGCGCGCGCGCTCGTCGAGGGCGTGCGGCTCGTCGCGTGGGACGAGGGACGCGACGACGCGGCCGACGTGCTCGAGGGCGCTGTCGACGCCGTCGAGGCGCTCTTCCCCGCGCTGTCGGCCTCGACCGACGAGGACGACGACGACGCCGAGGACGACGACGAGGACAAGCCCGAGCCGGCGACGGTCGTCGTCGACGTGCTCCTCGCGCTCCTGAGGCGCCCGAGCGCGTTCGTCAAGGCGTTCGCCGGCCCGGTCGTGCTCAAGGGCCTCGCCGAGGACGTCGGCCTCCAGGCCGTCGAGCTCCTGCGCGACGTTGTTGCGCCGGAGGAGGACGAGGTCGACGAGGAGGAGCAGCAGGACGGCGAGGGCGAGGCGTCGACCGACAAGAAGGCGAGCAAGAAGGCCGCCGCCGCCGCCTCGGGCGACGACTCGGACGACGACGGCGCGAGCTCGTCCGACAGCGAGTCGGACAGCGACGACGACGGCGGGTTCGAGGTCGACGAGGCGTTCAAGAACGAGCTCCTCGCCGCGCTCGAGGCCGGCGGCATGGGCGTCCCGGGCGACGACGAGGCGATGCGCGACGACGACGGCGCCGGGAGCGACGACGAGGAGCTCCTCGACGACGAGGCCATGCTCGAGCTCGACGACAAGCTGGCCGACATCTTCCGCGCCAACGGCGGCGGCCGCAAGAGCAAGAAGCGTGCGTCCTGCGCTTCCCTCTCTCTCGTCTCTCTCCTTCTCTGTTGGAGCACGACTGATAAGAGCCTCACGGTCGACACACAGGTGACCGCCAGGACGACCTGCACTACCGCCTGCGCGTCCTCGACCTCCTCGACGTCCTCGCCCACACCAAGGCCGCCTCGGCCCTCCTCATCCCGCTCTACGTCCCGCTGTTCAACCTGATCCGCACGGCGTCGTCGTCGGTCGAGTCGGAGCTCCAGGCCAAGGCGGGCAAGCTCCTGCGGTTCCTCGTCCAGCCGCGCAAGTCGGCCGACGCGGCCGCGCTCGTCGAGCCCTCGGACGAGAGCTCGCACGCCGCCCTCGAGGCCCTCGACGACCTGCACCGCGCCGCCGCCGCGTGCGACGCCCCGGCGCTCGCGCCGCTGTGCGCCCAGGTCGCCGTCGCCCTCGTCAAGGCGGCCGTCGCGCTCGCGCCCGCCGCGTCGCGCGCCCACGCCCTCGAGCACGTCGCGCGCGTCACGGTCCAGTCGTTCGAGGCGTACCTGACGACCAAGAACGCCAAGACGCGCGTCCAGCCGCAGCTCACGGCCGACGTGGCCAAGCGCGCGCCCGGCGCCGCGTGGGGCATCCTCCCGCGCGTGCTCGAGCTCGCGAAGGGCGACGGCGGCAAGGTCAACGCGTTCAGGCGCATGCAGGCGTTCGAGGTCGCCCAGTCGCTCGTGACGAGCTACGCCAGCCTTGTGCGTCCCCCGCTCGTTCCCCTCCCTCTCCCTCGTGCGCCGTCCTGTCACTGACCCTGCCCCTCCTCGTCCGCAGAAGACTGCCGAGTCCAAGTCGGCTGTCCTCGCCGCCATGCCCGCCTACCGCTCCGCCCTCTTTACCGCCCTCTCGACCTCGCTCACGTCGTCGTCGTCGGCCGCGGCCGAGTTTGACGCCGCGCGCCTCAAGCTCCTCGCCAAGCAGGCCCTCGCGTCGGCGCGCCTCGCCGTCTCGCTCTCGTCCCAGGCCGACGCCGCCGAGGCGTGGCGCCCGCAAGAGTGGAGCGGCCTCGTCGCCGACGCGGCAAAGAGCGACCGGTTCAAGGGCGCCGTCGGCGTCACGACGCTCGTCAAGCAGCTCGTCGGCGTCCTCGGCGCGACGGTCGCCGACGACACCAAGTCGGCGTCGAAGAAGGACAAGAAGCGCAAGGCGGGCGAGGGCCAGTCGGCGGCGTCGTCGGCCAAGGAGCAGCAGGGCACGCCGGCCAAGAAGGCAAAGGCGTCGCCGGCCAAGGGCACGCCGTCCTCTGCCGCCGCCGCCGCCGCCGCCGCGTCCCCGGCAGCGTCCAAGGGCAAGAAGGCGGCACCCGCCGCGCCCGTCGTCGCCAACGGCGAGGCCGAGGTGCAGGACGAGTCGGTCGAGGTCGACGCTGCGGGCGACGACTCGATGGTGCTCGACGGCGCAGAGGCGGCAAGCGGTGCGGGCGACGGCTCGACGCCGAGCAAGAAGGGCAAGAAGGACAAGAAGGACAAGAAGCGCAGGCGCGAGTCGGCGGGCAAGGCCTGAGGCGGAAGAGGAGGAGGAGGTCGGACCGGCGCGCCTTAGATTATCGTGTCTCTTGTCTCTCTCGCATTCCCCTTGCATTGTATCTCTCTCTTCGGCACCTGCCTGTGCAGCGAGAGAGACTGTGGTCGACGAGGTTGACGACTTGGCCAGCCTCCGCTGAGATCGGCTCCAGCTGCTCACTCTCCTCGTCTCTACACAGCTCCTTGAGCCTCGCGACTAGCTACACGAGGTCCAAGAGCGCCGCTCGACCGCCCACCATGCCGCCCCGACGCCGCCCGAGCGCGCCCAACACGCCGCTCCTCGGGTCCGACGCCGACGACTTGCTCGCCTTCACCTCGTCGGCGACCGACCTGGGCAGCTCGGTAGCGTCGTCGTACCGCCACGGCTTCAGCACCCCGGCCACCGCCAGCCCGATACCCGCCAGCCGAACCACGCTGCTCGGCACGGCGTCGTCCACCAGCCGGCGGGAAGGCGGTGCAGGGCGAGGGCGCAGCGGCTTCATCTACCGCTCAAAGTCGGCGTCCGGCCAGGGCCTCATCAAGGTCCGAGATCGGCTCCAGCTGCTGTACAACGGGCGGCGCGAGGCGAGGACGAGGTTCGCGTGGCTCGCGACGGCCGTCGTCTTGCTCACCTGGTTCCTCCTCAAGCGCATGTGCGTCCGCCTTCTTTCTCTCGCCCCTATGTCCTCGTCCGAGTCTGTGACTCTACCCGAGCGCGGCGCTGACAGCTCGCCCTCCCCGCAGCCGACACTTTGGCCGCGAGGCGGCCATCCCGTGCGACGCGCTCCACCAGCCCGGGCGGCTCCTCGTCAACCTCACGTCGCCGCTGCACACGCACTGGCGACCTCTGGCCGACCAACGGTGTCCGCCCTTGCCCAAGTACCTGCCGGCGCTGTGGCAGGTGACGCACGGGCCCGACCGCGACCTTCCTCACTACCGCGCGTCGACCTTCTCGAACGAGTACCAGCGCATCGCCGCCGAGCGCCTGCCCCTCACGACTCGCGTCGCCGACGCTGCTCTCGTTCGCGCCAACCCGGACCCGATACCCTTCCTGCGCCGGCGCCGCGCCCACCCGCCGACCGTCCTCGTCATCGGCGACTCGGTCGACCGCAACGGCCTCGTCCAGTTCTGCCAGCTGTTCCGCCGCAACGTCACCATCTCGCACTACCACGACATCTCGCGGCAACCTCCCGGCCCGTACCCGCTCGACCTCACCAAGGAGCACGGCCCCAAGTTTGACGGGTGGGACCAGCGCGGGCTCATGCACCGGTGCGAGTTGCCGTTCGCCGACGGGTCCGGCGTCGCCCTGCGCGTCATCAACGGCTTCCACTACGGCATGGACGCGCTCGACGAGTTCAACACGCCCGACCACAACGACTGGCACGCGCCGGGCAAGGTCGAGACGCGCATCGACGACCTGTTCCTCCCCGCCATCGAGCAGCTCGGCGGTGTCGACAAGATCGACGTCGTCCAGATTCACAGCGGCATGTGGGACTTGGTGCGTCCCGGCTCGCCCCTACTCTCGTACCCCTCGTCGCCCAACCTCCTCTCGATTGAGCTAACTCTCCTTCGTCCCTCCCTGTTCCTCCTGTCCTCCCTTCTCCCTCGCCCTCGCCCCGCCTCTCAATCGTCCCGCACCCAGGCCCTGTTCGGCATGCAGGACGACAAGACGCGGTGGCTCCTCACGACGCCCCTCACGCCCGAGCAGCTCGCGTGGTGGCAGGAGCGCATGCGCCACGCCATCGACCACGTCCGCCAGCGGTTCCCCAAGGCCCGCATCGTCCTCCGCAAGCTCCACCGCACCGACGACGCCGTCGCCGGGACGCAGTACATCACGAACTGTGCGTCCTCGACTTTCCCTGCGCCGCCGAGCCTCCTCGCTCGAGGAGGCGCGGCTTGAGTTCGGCGAGGTCGATCCGTCACTGACTCGAATTCCTCTCGACAGTGTACGCTCGACCCACTTGCGACAAGCCGACGAGCCTCGGCGACACCGTTTCGCAGGAGCAGCACTGACCCTCTCTCTCGTCCGCAGGCGCGTTCACCAACTGCGGCACCTGCAGGAGGAGGTCGCTCGGTCCGAGGGCCTGCCCATCTTCGGTCCGTCCTGCCCTCTCACTCTTGCGGCGTTGCGCTCGCGCTCCAGCCGCTTAGACGACGATGTACTGACCGACCCTCTCTCTCGCGCAGACTTTGGCCACGTCCTCGAGGGCTACCAGCTCTTCCAGGAAAAGGTGCACCCGCTCCTCGTGCCCGGCGGCGTCGTGTACGCGCACAACATTGTGCACCAGCTGCGACTCGCGCTCGAGAGTCGCAAGAGCTGGCGGCGGGGCTGGCTGTGGGATTCCTGAGGAGCGCCTCGGGCGAGATGGGGGGCGGGTCCTTGCATTGCACGTCTGCGCATCCTCGTGAGCTCGTCGAAGAGAGCGACCGTAAGGCGGCGGGTTTGATTTTGGGCGCAAGGCGATCGAAGCGACTCATGAGCATGGGCGAGAGAGGGTCGGCGACGAACAGAGTGACCCGCCTCTTCTCTTGCTCGACCAGCTCGCTCTTGCCGACCAGCGACCTACCGCCGCACTGCCCAGCAGTACCGACTCTGCCTTGCAGGTGCGCCCACAGCTCTCTCCACCTCTCGTGCCGGCCCCGCCTCCTCCTCCCCCAGATCGCCCCCTCTCGCCGGGGACCTTCCACTCGTCCGACAACAACGCGCCAGGGTCAGCGTGCCCGCCAGCAGGGCCCTGTCAGCTCTGTCTACCGCGTCCGCTCGCCGCGGCAGCCTCTGGTGCCTGTCGAGAACAGCGAGGAACTGACGCTCGCCCCCCACCGCCGGACAGCTCTGCCGTCCACCTCATCAAGCACCGCACGAGCGAGCAAGCTTCGACCACAACTCGGCTCTGCAGCTCGCCAGGAATGAGCAGGGCGGGCTCGACTATGGCCGCAGCAGGAGCGGGCGGCGACACCTCGCCGGAGGTCGAGTTCGTGCGTCCCACCTCTTCCCTCTCTTCCTCGCCGCCTACCGCCAGGAGCTAATCGCGCCATGCCGACACGCAGACCTTTCTCCGACCGATGCACCAGCCGCGCACCCTCGCGCGCCCCGCGTCGTCCTACCTCTCCAACCCGACCTCGCCGACCCCTCCCTCACGCCCGACCTCGCCGCCGCCTGTGCCGGTCGCAGTACCCTCAGCATCCCAACAGCGCGCACTGAGCCCCAAGCCGATGCGCAACGGCGCACCTCGCCTCGGCGGGCTCGGCCTGGGCGGCATCGCTCCTCCTGAACCACCACCCCACTTTCGCTCGCCGTCCCTGCCCCGACCAGCGCCCACACCGCCTCCTCGACCCACCTCAGCCGCACCTCCTCCTCTTCCTGAGCGCCGACCCGCGTCGCCGGCCACCTTCGCGCCCTCGGCTTCGGCCGTCACGACCCGCCCGTTCCTGTCGCCCGAGCTGGACAAGCCGACGGTCCGCACCGGCGCGTTCGCGCTCGACACGCACGCCGCACCCGATCAGGTCCTTCCCGGACCGAGGAGCCGTGACGTGACGCCCGAGGGCGCCAAGGGCGTGGCGGCCCGCGCAGCGGCGCCCGCAGAGCCGGTCGCCAGCAGCGCTCGTCCTGCCGACGTGCCGGCTCGCGCCGAGGCGGTCGAGGACGACAGCGAGGACGAGCTCGAGCAGGCGCCGCACGAGCCCGAGTGGCTCCAGCCGTCGCCGCAGGCCGAGCGGTCCCTCGACAGCCTCGCCTTCGCACCCGTCGTCGAGCCGACTCGCGACGTCGAGGCGGACCGCTTCGTCGCCGGCGACCCGACGTCGCTACTCGGCGCCGTCGCTACGGCCTCGAGCAGGAGCGCCGTCGATGTGGGTCCTGCCGGGCCTGCAGAGTCGGACGACTCGGACGACGAGGACGGCGACTTTGACGATGCGCGATCCTCGGCCCCGTCGCTCGCCGCCTCGGCCGACGATGCGCCGGTCGTCAGCGTCGTCGACGATGACGCGCATGCGCAGTCAGTCGCTGTCGCCGTGCCCGAGGAGGACGAGCCAGAGGAGGACGAGGAGGTCGTTCTCGACGGTCCGTCGAGCGTCTCGCCGGCGTCGTCCCGCCCGGGCAGCACCTTCGAGGCGCCCGCGCCAGCAGATGACGAGCCGGCGCCGGCGCCGCTCGACGTCTTGCGGTCCGACGAGCGAGCGCAGCCGCAGCACGTCGCCGTCGCGCTCCTCGCGCGCGCCGAGCGGTCGAGCTCGTCTGCGGGCTCGCATGGCGGCGACGGCGTCGACGACACGGCGACCGACGACCACGTCGACGACGAGTCGGTCGCCGTGTCGTCGCCTGCGCTCAGCCGCAGCACGTCGTTCGCGGGCAGCCTCGCGTCCGAGTACTCGTCGCACGAGCCCGTCGTCAACTCGCACCCGCCCCCTTCCTCCCAGCTCGACGAGCCGACATCCACATCGCTCGACCTCGCCGCCAATCCGCCGTTCGCGCCCACGTCCCAGGTCGAGCTGGCGCGAGACGAGTCGGTCGGCGAGAAGGAGGATCAGCGAGATGCGGCCGCCGTCTATCCCTCGCCGCCGTCGTCGCCGTCGTATTCGCCCGCGCCCGAGCGCGTGTCGAGCACGACGAGCGCTCCCGTCGCCCCGACGAGCGACTTGTCTGAGCCGGTCGAGTCCGCTCCTGCAGCAGCACCTGCGCCCATCGACAAGTCGCCCTCGTCCTCCTCGTCGACGGCCCCCTCGTCTCAGCAAACGTCCCGCCCTGCGACCCTACCCGCATCGCCCTCGTTTAACTCGTACGCCGGCCTCGGCCTGCGCCTGCCCTCGTCGCTCGGCCGCAACAAGCGGTCGTCCTTCGTCCCGCCAGCGTCGCCACCCGTCTCGCCAGAGACCGCCGAGCAAGGCCTCCCGACCCTGGTCGTCTCGGACGCCTCGGCGGCGCAAAGCAACGTCGGCGCCGCCTCGAGCTCGTCGCCGCGATCGGACGACGCCAAGGAGGCCGCGTCGGTCAAGGACGAGCTCTCGGCGCCGACCGTGCCCGTTGCCACGTCGCCCATCGCCCGCGACTATGCGCACCTCCCACCCGAGCCCAACACGCCGACGACCGCCGACAACAACGAGCTCGGCGTCGACTCGTCGCCGACGGCCGCCGCTGAGCCCGAGGCGGCGCCCACTCCTCGCCCCCGGCGCGAGGCCGAGCTGCCGGCGCTCGACGAGGAGCCCGCCGTCTTCTCGTCAGCCGACATCCTCGCGGCGCCCGTCTTTGGCGACGACGACGAGTTCACGCCGGCGTCGTCGGCCAGTAACTCGCCGGCGCTCACGGCGCGAACCGCCGGGTCCGACTTTGCCGACGTCAACGACGTCCCCGAGGCGCCGCTAGCGGCACCGGCGCACGACGAGCGTCGAGCTCTCGACGCAGCGTCGCCCTCAGCTGTTGTTGAGGAGCCGGCGGGCCCGAGCGGTCCCGGCGTCGTCGACGTCGGCGTCGCGGTTGCAGGCGCGATCGTCATGGGCGGCCTCGCCGTCGGGACGTCCGCCCTGCGAGGGCTCGCGGGCTGGGCCTGGCGCAGCGAGCCTGCAGCCGCGTCGGCGCCGGCAGCCCAAGCCGCTGCGCCGGTTGCGCGGGTCGAGCCGCCGGCGCAGGCCGACGTGCCCGCCGAGGAGCAGAAGGTGCCGGGCGGGACCGAGACGGCACGGTCGGTGTCGTCGAGCGAGCGGGCCGAGTCGTCGGTCGTGTCGACCGACTGGGGCGAGATGGAGTTTGACGCGCCTGAGGGTGCGTCCCTCGTTCTCTTTTTTTCCTTCCTCCCCTCTCGACCATCCCTCCCTGACCGAGTCAATCTTCCTGCAGGCTTCCTCGACGAGTTCAAGCAGGCCATGCAGGAGATCGGCGTCGCCGAGCTCGAGGCCGAGGACTTGGCGGCGCAGCAAGCGGCCTACCTCGCCGCGTCGCGCCAGCACGACGAGGCGCTCGAGGGCGAGCCTCGTCCCGAGCCGACGTCGTCCTCTGGCGAGTCGACGCCGGCGGGCTCGGTGCGCACGGTCGTCTTCCCGTCGGCGGCACCGCGCTCGAGTCGGCCGTCGTCCATCTCGGGCGGGTCCGTGCGCTCGGCGCGCCGCCAGCAGCGCCCGCTCACGCCGGCCGACGAGGGCGACGAGATGGACGAGCTCGACCGCATGCTTGCGCCCGTCTGGGACGGGCGCGGCTACGTGCAAGAGCGTCGCGCGTCCCCGGCGGCGTCGGTTGCTCGTGCCGCGCCGGTCGCGCCCGCCTCGCCGACCAAGTACGGCTACGCCGCACCGCCAGGCCTCGCGGGCAGTACACCTTTGTCGCGCACGCTCTCGCCGCCGTCGTCGGCGCTGTCGCGCTCGACGTCGTCCATCAGCTCGTCCCTGTCGTCGCGCGCACCCCCTACCGCCAAGCAGCAGCAGCAGTCGAGCCCGTCGCGCTTCGGCCGCAGCCTGTTCGCCCTCGGCTCGTCGTCGAAGGAGCCCAAGTCGCCCAAGGGCGCCAAGCTCAAGAAGGGCCGGCCCGAGCACGGCTCGAGCGCCGCTCCGCCGTCGCCGCTCAAGGCGCAGTCGCCCAAGGTCGCCTCGCCGCAGTCAGCCAAGTCGCTCTCGTCGATAGACGAGGACGGCCGGTCGGCGTACACGTCGGCGTCGCACAAGCCGCCTTCCCGCCGTCGCTCGTTCGTCTCGTTCGGCGGCAGCACCATCGGCAGCGGCGGCGGCTCTGCCGCACCCGTCACCTCGATCGAGTCGCGCATCGCCGACACGACGTACGTGCACTACGGCTCGTCGGCGCCCAAGGCCAAGCGCCGCGAGTCGGCCGCATCGATCGCCGCCGACTTGTACGCCTCGCGCGACCCGGTCCTCATCCCTGGCGTCCCTGCCTCGCCCTCGGCGTTCACCTCGCTCCTCCCGCCGCAGCCTGAATCGAGCCCGCCGAGGCGCCGCTCGTCGCTGCGCTCGCCGCAGGCCGAGAGCAAGCTCGCGCGCGTGCGGTTCGCCAACGCGACTCGCGGGCTCGGCTTGAGGAGCGTCGCCGAGGACGAGGCCGAGCGTGGCGGCGACGACGTTGCGCTCAAGTGGATCGGCGTCGGGCGAGGACGGTACGGCAACTTGACGATTAAGGTGCGCTCGCTCCCCTTCCTCTCTTCTTCCTCCTCGACTCGGGCCTCTCACTGACTCTCTCTCTCGTTCGCGCACGCAGGAGGGCGAAGAGATGGACATCCTGTACGACGACCAGGTCAAGTCGATCAAGGGCAAGTGGCGGAGCTTCGGCTCGGAGCAGAGTCGCGACTGGAGCAACGTCCGGATCGACTGAGCGGCGCGAGGAGGAGGAGGAGGTCGGACGAGCACTGTATCTTTATCTCGCTCTCTCTATGTCGCACTGTCACTGTATCGAGTCGCTCTTTGATCATGCATCGCAAGAGGGAGAGAGAGGGAGGAAGGACAACAACAAGGAGGGAGATAGACAAAGTCGAGGCTCGAGCGCCAGAGAGGCCCGCCTCGTCACGCACCGACCGCCGCCCCTTGAACCGACGCTCCTCGCCCTTCAGACTCCTCCTCGGCGGCCGCAGCAGCTGCAGCAGCGGCGGTCTTGACGCTCGACGCGAGCTGCTCGAGGTCGAACTCGAGGAAAGACCAACCCTCGCCCGCGACGTCGAGCGTGTCGTCCTCACTCTGCGCTCCGTCCTCGTCCTCGTCGTCCTCGTCCTGCTCCTCGCCCTCCCGAGCGTCAAACAGCTCGAGCCCAGCAAACGCCTCCTTGTCGGCCCTCGCCGCCGCCGCCGCAGCGCTGCTCTTCCTCCTCCGCCTGCGCTCGCCGTCCACCACCTCGCAGCCTCCTTCTCCGCCCGCCGTCGACGCCTTGGTGACTACCGCCTCGACGACGTACCGCACCTCGGTGTCGCCGACCTTGAGCAGCGCCGGCTTGTACAGCGAGTCGCCGCCGTGCGGCGACTTTGGCGCGTGCCCGGCGCGAGCTGCTCGAGGAGGCCGCACCGCGCGCTGCATGCCGACGATGGCGCGAGCGGACGAAGCGGGGACGGCGGGCACGGACGGCGCGTCGCCGCCGCTGGACGAAGTCGAGCCGATGCCGCTCGGGCCCGCGCTCGGACCCCCTCCTGCGCCCGACTCGGCGTCGCGCCTCGCCCTCGCCCGCACTCGAGGCGGCTTGGGCGGTTTCGGGGGCTTGTACCTCGGCTGTACGGGCGTCGGGTGCGCGACCTGGAACGGGACGGCGAACGGCGAAGGTGGCGCGACGGGCGGCGTCGACGACGCCTCGCGGCGGATCTGGCGTCGCGCGTCGCGCTTGAGGCGGCGCATCTCGGCCTGCTCGTCGGGCGTGCGGTTGTTGGGGATGGGCGCTGGGCCGCGCAGGCGTGCTGGTGGAAAGATCGAGACGGCGCCTGTGACCGGGTCGGTCGCGAGCTGGAGGGGCGGCGGCGTCGTGCTCGAGATCGACGAGGACGCGGTGACGAAGGCGAGGTCGTCGGTGTCGAAGGGGACGTCGAATGAGGAGAAGAGGGCGCCGGGTGAGGCGGGAGGGGACGACGAGGAAGACGACGAGGACGAGCCGTCGCCGCAGTCGAGGCGCACGACGCGCGTTACCTGGACGCTGCCGCCGCCGAGCCCGGCGAGCATCTGGCCCAACGTGCGCAGCGACTCGTCCATGTCGTCCTGCACGAGGCCGACGAGCGTGCCGTCGTCGAGGACGCCGAGCTCGTAGACGGCGACGCCGCCGCCCTCGACAAGCCGCCACTTGAGCTGGGTGCGGAGCTTCTCGAGGCGGTGCAGCGACGTCGGCGTGAGGAGCTTGAGCTTGTACTCGATCTGTGTGCGGGGCTCGAGGTCAGTACAGGGAAACTGAGGAGGTGTGGAAAGGAGGAGAGAGCGGACGCACGTGGCCCTGGTGGTCCACCTCTGGCTCGAGCGTCTCCATTCGGCCCTCGCGCACCGTGATCTCCTCGAGCGCCGGCGCCGACGACAGCTTGGCGGTGGCGCCCCTCGCGAGCGACAGGACGTCAAAGTCCTCGGCGAGCCCGTCGAGAAGCTCGAGCTCCTCGACTGACGAGCGGCGACGGCGGCCGGGCGACGAGGACGAGGACGAGGAGGACAGGTCGGGCGTGGCGAGGGCGAGGGGCGAAGGCGTGGTGCCGCCGGACGAGCGCGAGAGCCAGGGCTGCGGGCGGGCGGCCGGGTGGGTGAGCGCGCGCACACGGGGCGAGGATGCGAGGAGGACGGGGGCGCACCGAAGGTAATCGAGGCGACTCGGAGTAGGTCTCGCCGAACATGGCCGCAGTCGAGCGCGCGCGCTGTCGGCGAGCGACGAGGGACGGAGGACGACGAGGTCGGTGGCGGCTGTATGCCGACGGGGCGGGGTTGTGGGGGCCGCGAGGTGGTGGCAAAGGCGAGTGGTTGTCGGTGCAGCGTGTCGCGGTGGTGCTTGCGGCCCTCGAGGCGTGTACGAGCCGAGTGGGGTCGAGGTCGGGGGAGGAGATGAGGAGGACGACTCGAGTGGGGGCGAGGGCGACTCGGGGCCGGCGCGAGGGCGGGCTTGGTGCGGCGCAGAGAGTAGAGTCGACGAGCGGCAGGAGAAGGCTCTAGCAGGCTAATCGGGTCACCATGCGCGAGTGTGAGCAGGTCGACTCGAGTTGCGACTCAGCCGCGAGAGCGAGCCCACCAGCTTGACTCTCGCTCTCGCTCGACCAGGCCCTGCCGACTGCAATAGAGGTACATGACACTAGTCTCGCTACAGCCTATGCAAGCTGCCCCTGGTGCGCAACCAACAGCGCCGCCGACCCGAGCCGCACCCGCACGTCGTGGTGGTCGACGTCGTGAGCTGCGCGCGGACCGAACGGTGAGTCGAGGGTCTTGCCGTGACAGAGAGCGGTGAGAGAGCGACGCACTGTCCTCGACCTCGCCCCAACGGTCAATCTGGCTCTGCACCTCGACGTGCGCCGCGTGCGCCGCCTCGTCGACCGTCAGGTGGCCCTCGACGAGCGCGAGCGCAATCAGGTACGACTTGGACGCGAGCACCGCACGCTCGAACGCTGTTGCGGGGAGAGCGGACGTCAATGCGAGTGCGGGAGAGTCGCCGAGGAACGAGAGAGAGAAGGCGAGGCGCACCGGCGAGCTTGAAGTGGTCAAACTCGGACGCGACGGCGCCGAGCTTGAGCACCGTCGCGTCCGACTGCTTGTTGCCGAGGATGCCCTCGTACAGCTTGATCTCGACGCCGTACGTCTCCTCGACCCACGAGATGAGCGGCTTCCAGTGCGCGTCCTGCAGCCGCGTCAGTCGCTCCGGGAACGACTCGTGGAAGCTGCGGGGTGCAGCGTCAGGTATCGCTCGACGAGAAGGCCCTAGAGAGAAAGAAAAAAAAGGACGGACCAGACAGTGTCGGTGTCGAGGTACCGCAAGAGGTACGCGACGACGTCCTTGCGCGCCTCGGCCGTGTTGAGCCCGTCGAGGGCGCGCGCAGCGATCGAGGTCTGCGTGTGAGAGTGCTCATCAGTGTCTAGTCTTCGTGACGAACAGGCGAGAGAGCGACGGGCGCACCATGGGGAGGGTGTGAGGCTTGAGGACGGTCGTCTGGTTCTCCCACTCGTCGGCGATGCAGAGCGCGACGGGCAGGCGCTCCTTGGGCACGAGGAGCTGAGTGCCGCCGGGCGTCTTGAGCGTGCGCTTGTCGAGGAGGACGGCGTAGTCGCCTGTGTGTATAGGAAGGGTCAGTCCGCGAGGAGGAGAGGGAGAGGAGAGGACGAAGATGGGGCGCACCGTCGCGAGGCTCGAGGGCGACCGACTTCCAGAAGCGGCGCATCATGGTCTCGGCACCTGTTGTACACGGTTGCACGAGTCAGCTCTGTTCCCTGGGCAAGTGGGAGACAGAGTGGACGTACGGCTGGTCTGCGAGTCGGGGGCGGCAGGGGTGGCCGAGACGGGGGCGGACGTGCTGGCGCAGCGGGCGCACTGAAGCGCAGGAGCGCGCAGGGTCCTGGTGGCGAGCGAGCGGAGCATCTTGAGCTGGTGGAAGAGCTGGACGGGGAGAAGCGAGAGGAGCTCGGCAGAGGACAAGACCTGCCTCCTCCCCTCACCGCCACACTCGCTCAGTGAGCCACGCAAGGTGCGAGTCTCGTCAGTGAACCTCCAGGAACCACCCACTGACCCTGCGTCCCCCTCGCGCAGCCACTTCCCTCGCCTCCTCATCGCCTTTCCTCCCCCGACTCTCCCTCATCGCCCATGTCCGCCTCTGGCCTCAGTTCGCGCGAGGCCCGCCAGACCTACCACCCGGGCGGCTACGGCGTCTCCGAGGGCCTCAAGCGCGCACGTCGCCCCTTCCGCACCCGCAACTTTGTCACGGGCTCGCTCATCTTTGGGTTCGCCGCGAGCGTCTACTTCTATTCGATCCGCGCCGTCGCCCAGGACGACTTTAGCGACCTCGACCAGCCCCTGTCGGACGACAAGCGCCGCAGCCTCACCTCGATCGAGGAGCAGCAGCGTGAGCGCGACGAGCTCCGCCTCGCCGCAAAGGGCGGCCCGCTCGTGCCCGCACCAGGCTCGGTCGCCGCCGCCGCCGGCTCGTCGCCCGTCGACGGTCTCGCGGCAGCACCCGCATCGGCGCCCTCGTCGTCGTCGTCGTCGGGCGTCCTGTCGCTCGTGAGCGGCGCGTTCGCCGGCAAGGGCGCCGACAGCAAGCTCGTGTGGGGCGCGCCGCCGGTCGACCGCGTCGGGCGGATAGGCGCAGACGGGCCCGTCGCCGAGCAGTACCCGCGCAGGATTGTCTGAGGAGGACGCCGAGGGTTTGTGTACAGAGCGACAGTGAGCAACGAGGACGTTCCCCACTCTCTGCATCTCCCTTCTTTCCCGAGAGCGCCTCTCAGCCTTTCTTCTAGCCGGCCGAGCCATACTTGTGCTCAACAGCTTCCTGCAACTGGTGGACCGCCTTGCTCGCTCTGCGCTCACTCGCGCTCTGCCCATTGCCCTGCTCGAGTGGCCGCTTTCGAGCCGGCTGGTGTCCACCTCTTTCTTCCGTCCTGCTGCATTGTATCGTCAGAGAATCTACTTGCGGTCAGCCTCGTCGAGTCTCAGCTCGCCACGACGAAAGTTGAGGGCGTGAGAGCGCGAGCGAGGCCGAGCGTCGTCGACTTGGGAAGGCCGCGCACGGACCTCTTTACGTACAGCCTTCTCGTGTCCACCTCTCTACCATTTCGAGGTGAACCTTTGCCAAACTGCGGTGGCTCTCTCTCGCCGACGGGAAGAAGGCGTCAGCGCTACCCCACATGTGGTGCGACCTCCACTCTCGATCCCGTCGGCCTCGCGGACGCCGCTCCCTCTCGCCTCGCCCTCCCTCCCACCTCCCTCCCACCCTACACACCCGCATCACACGCTCACGATGTCTTACAAGTTCGAGACCAAGGTGAGGCCCTACCGTGCGGTCGAGCGGCCGTCCCTCGCCCTGTCGAGAGCTGCCCACGGCGCCGCAGCTTGCGTCACCGCGCGGGCATCTCTCGTCGTCGTTTCTCTCGCTGACTTGCTCTCTGTGCTGCAGGACATGATCTACAAGAACCTCGGCAACACCGGCCTCAAGGTGTCTGCGTGCGTCGAGCCGTCACCCCCTCTCGTCCTCCCAACCTCGACCCGAACTGACTGGCCTCTCCTCGCAGCTTCTCGTACGGCGGCTGGCTCACGGTCGGTGGGACCGTCAAGGGAGACCCTGTCAAGGACCTGATCAAGGAGGCGCTCGACCACGGTGTCAACTTCTTCGGTGAGTTGCGTTCGCGCCCGTCTCCTCCTCCTCCTTCCCTTCCTCTGGCCCTCCCGCGATGCCGCGACAAAGTCTAACGCACTCTCTTTCGGCGTGTTACGACACGGCGGAAATCTACAGCAATGGACAGTCGGAGATCGAGATGGGCCGCGTCTTCAAGGAGCTCGACGTCGACCGCTCGCAGCTCGTCGTCTCGACCAAGATGTGCGTTCGCAACCAGCGCCTCTCTGTTCCTCCTCTACCCTGCGTTTTTGTACTGACTCGATGCACATCTCCCTCCCCGACGGCCGCCGATGCCTCTCACCGCCGACATACCCGACGCCTCCCCCACCCCTCCCTCGTCCTCCTTCCTCCTCGCGACATTCTGCAGCTTCTTTGGGACGGGAAAGAGCGACCCGAACCAGAAGGGTCTGTCGCGCAAGCACATCATCGAGGGCACCAAGGCGTCCTTGAAGCGCCTGCAGCTCGACTACGTCGACATCGTCTTCGCGCACCGTCACGACGCCGCCACGCCCATGGAGGAGATCGTTCGCGGGTTCAACTACCTCCTCGATAAGGGCTTTGCGTTTGCTTGGGGCACCAGCGAGTGGACGGCGCAGCAGATCCAGGATGCCATCGGCATCGCCGACCGCCTTGGGCTCGTCGGCCCGTGCGTCGAGCAGCCGCAGTACTCGATCTTCCACCGCGAGAAGTTCGAGGTCGAGTTCAAGCCGCTCTTCGACAAGTACAAGTACGGCACGACGATCTGGTCGCCTCTTGCCGGCGGCGAGCGTACGCCCTCTCGTCCTTTCATTCCTCCCAGCGACCTCCCTCTCGTCCTTCCTCGCCTCCTCTCGCCTCCTTCCTTGCCGCCTTCCTCGCGAGCCTCTCACTGATTCTCTCGATGCGCATGCAGTGTCGGGCAAGTACCTGAACGGTGCGTCGCAGCCTCGTCGCGACTCGACCTCTCTCGTCGACCTTCCCAAACTGACTCTCCCCCTCTCCCTCTCCCTCCCCCTCCTCGCCTCGCAGGCATCCCGGAGAACTCGCGCTACAAGACCAACCCGGAGTATTACGAGCAGAAGATCAAGGAGCTCGAGTCGCCCGAGGGCAAGAAGCGCCAGGACAAGATCCGCCAGCTCGGCGAGATCTCGAAGCGCCTCGGCGGGACGGGCCCGGCCGCGCTCGCGCTCGCGTGGGCCGCCAGCAACCCCAACGTGTCGTCCGTCATCCTTGGCGCCACCAAGCCCGAGCAGGTGCGTCCTCGCTCGCCGTCTCGCCCTTCCTCGGCCGGCACGACACTGACCTTCCTTCTCTCGCCTCTCGCAGCTCAAGGAGAACTTTGAGGCGCTCAAGCTCATCCCCAAGGTCACCGACGAGGTCCGCAAGGAGATCGACGACCTGTTCGAGAACGCGCCGACCCCGCTCCCGACCTACGGCCGCGAGTTCATCTAAACATGCTCGTGGTCGACGCCGGCTCGAGAACCCTTGAAATCAAAAGCAGTCGCTGTTCCCTCCTCTGCCTCTCGTATCTGCGACTCGACTCTCGTGCTCTCGAGACCGTGAGGAAGAGAGAGAAAACCTCGTTGCACTCGCTCGCCGCCTCGTCTACGTGCTCGGGTCCCTCGCTCGCGCCTCTTCGAGCGGGTACAGCTTGTGGACGCGGTCGAGCCACGCCTTGCAGCTCCCACTCGCAGGTGTCTCGAACAGCTCGGCGGCGAGCGAGGCAGAGACGGCGCGCAGGAGGCGGTAGTGGCTGAAGAGGAAGAAATCCTGCGGGCGAGGAAGGCGTGCGCGCTCAGTCGGTGCGCGGTCGAAAGGACGAGGAAAGTAGAGACGATAGAGCGGGACGCACCTCCATGCCCGGCTTGGTCGCCGACGAGATGAAGAGCCGGCCGTCGAGCAAGTGATCGTTCGAGAGCTGGGTGAGGAAACGCTGCACGGCCTTGACGGACTCAGCTGTACAAGTGGGTCAGACTCTGTGTCACGAGAAAGAGAGGACGAGAGCTGCTCGACGCACCTTTGTCCTGCTCGGTCGCCGCGTCGACAGAATCCCACACGCCGTCGCCGAGTCGAGCGTCGCTCGACCAGTATGCCGCCGTCTGCGCGAGCGGTCGAGGTCAGGACCTGCCGTATCGGCTCCGAGAGACCTTTACGAGCGAGAGGTGCGCACCTCGGGGTCGAACCGGCGAATGAGGATCGGCGCAAAGAGCTTAAAGTCGGGCCCGAGCCCAGCGGCGCACGTCTTCTCGAAGGCTGCAGGACACAGCGAACGTCAGGGTCGTTCGAGAGGGGGAGGAGGTAGGGCTTGCTCACCTTTGTAGCGCTCGAGTGCCGCGACGTACGGGACCGAGCCGACGTCGACCGGGACGGGCGCCTCGGGGAGGAACAGGCTCGGGCGGTCGCGGTACGCCTCGTCGAGCCACTTGGCGATGGCGAAGCTGTCCATGAGGAAGGTCGCGTCCTCGCGCTCGACGAAAGGAGCTGCGGGTCCGAGTCGGGCAAGCGTGAGCGTTTCCGTGCGGCGAGCGAGGAGCAAGGGGTTGGGACAGGGGCGAGAGGCGGACGCACCTGTGGCCTTGTGCACGCCGAGCTTGTCCCGCCAGTGCTGAGAGCGCAGGTCGCTGTACGTCACCTCGACGAGCTCGAACGGGACGTGCTTGGCGAGGAGGGCGACGTGGACGCGGGCGCAAGGCGGGCTGAAGAAGGGCGAGCTGCAGCCCTTGTTCGCGACGAGGTTGTAGAACTTGAGCGGCGACGGCATGTCGGGCGCTTGCGTGGCTCGGCTCGTGCGTCGAGCAGGAGCAGTGTGGAAGCGCTGGAGCGAGGATGCGGGGGAGAGGAAGCAGGTGGAAGACGAGGGCCACTCGAGGATGACGAGGTGGTAGAGGCGGCGTCGGTCTGAGCAAGCGAGTGCTCAAGCTGTGCACGGGCTGCAAGGAGCTCCACGTAGCCGCGTGTGTCGGTGGTGAGAGGGCGACGAGGTCGGCGGGGAGGAGACGGCCACCGCTCTTGCCTGTCCCCGACTCGACTAGACCCGCCAGGCGCACCTGCACAGCACCAGAGCCTCCCCCAGAGCTACACAAGTCAGCTCCTCGCAGTCCCCGCCTCTGTGCGTGCCTTGCTCCCCTCCCCCTCGCCTCTCCTCATCGCTCGCTGCGATGAGGATTCGAAGTCGCGCAACAGGCCTCGAGCGAGCGTATTCTGCCTCTGGACAGCCTTAACTGACATATTGAAGCCGCCCACAGATCCGTCCCGCACCTCCCAGCTTGTCCTCGTCCTCGCCTCCCCGTCGTTCTCGCACAGCCACCATGTCCACCGTCAAGCTCTCGCCAGACGTCAACCGCATCCTGTACGTCAAGAACCTCAACTACAAGACGACCGGCGACGACATCTACGACCTCTTTGGCGTGCGTCCCCCTTCCCCCACCCCTCTCAGCAGCACGCAAGCTGACCTTGCCCCCTCGACGAGCAGAAGTACGGCTCGATCCGCCAGGTGCGGCTAGGCCGAGAGGCCAAGGCCAAGGGCACCGCCTTTGTCGTGTACGAGGACGTCATGGATGTGCGTCCTCTCACTCGCTCTCGCCTCCTCCCCCCCTCGAGTCGTTCTTCCCGCACTGACTCTGCGACCGCGCGCACCCCTTGCAGGCCAAGAACGCCTTCGACTCGCTCAACGGCTTTCACTTGATGGACCGGTACCTCGTCGGTGCGTCTCCCCTTTCTCTTCACTCGCACTTCCAGCCCGTCCTCCTCGACTGACTCTCCCTTTCGCTCTCAGTCCTGTACCACCAGCCGACAAAGCAGGCGGCCAAGGCCGACCTCGCGCGGCGAGAGAAGGACCTCGCAGAGCTCAAGGCCAAGCACAACATTCCCGAAAAGGAGTGAGCTCTCGTCGGTCGAGGAAGACGAGGTTCGTGGACGGTCGGTGGACTGGGTCGTACTTGCGGCGTGTTGTAACGTTAGAGTCTCTCTCGCATCCTCTGTCTCGAGCCGAGTGTGTGCACGATCAGGGCCATGGACGGAAAGGCTCTCTACACTTCGCTGCGTCGTCCTCGTCTCGCCGGTCCCGTCGCCCTCGCTCCTTCACGCGGGTGTGCTGCCCGACGACGACTTGACGGCGATGACGATGATTATGACGATGACGAGGAGGACGAGTGCTGCAAGGGCGGCGAAGAAGTAGAGGCGCTTGAGCTGCAGAAGGAGGCAACGAGAGTGAGTTCCTCGACCTCGCTCGACATGGAGAGCGGGAGAGAACGCACGCCGAGGATGCGCTTCTGGCGCCACCACGCTTTGCCCTTGCTCTGGTGGTGCTTCTTGCCGTGCCGTCCACCGTGCTCCTCATCGTCGTCGTCGTCGTCGTCGCTCGCGCTGCCGCTCTCCTCCTCGTCCGAGCCCGACCCGATGCCGTCGTGCGCGCTGTGACGGCCGTGGTGCGCCTTGCTGCGCTTGGCGTGTTTGTGCGGGTGTGCTTCGCGCGACGGGCTGGCCGAGTCGTCCGAGGTGGCGCTGTCGTCGTCGCTCGGCGCTCGGTCCCTCCTCCTCCTGCTCGCAGACGCCTTCTTGTGCCGTCGGCCCTCGCCCTCGTCCGTCGTCGTCCCGCCCTCACGGTCCTCCGGCGGCTCGCCTCGCCTCGAGCCGGCCTTCTTGCTGCGGCGCGGCTGCAGCGGGACAGCTCCGCCCTCCTCGTCTTCGGTGCCCGTCTCGGTGTCGGTGTGCTCGTCGGCGCTTTTCGCAGGCGCGTGCTGGTGTCGAGAGCGGTGCGGCATGGCCGGTTCGAGTGCGAGCGAGCAGGCTGGAGGGAAGGAAAGGGCGCGAGGAGTGACCGAGAGCCGGTCGACCGGCATCGCCGCGGACGACGGACGACGGGAGGAGAGGACGCAGAGGCGCGAGCGGGCTTTCTCGTCCGTCCGGGACGTCGGAACCGGCAAGCGGCGACGGCCGCGGGCTGCAAGCTGAGAGCGAGAGAGCGGCCAACGAGGAGGCTCGAGCGCGCGAGCCCGGCTTGAGAAGGCGGGCTACCTCGCTCCGGCACTCTCGCTCCCTGCTCTCGCACGCATGGACAGGTATACAGACCCTCGTCTCAATACAGCTCGGCTCTCCTACCGACGCCGCTTCTCCCGCTCGAGCACCTCCCGCACCCTCGCGAGCACCTCCTCGACCCGGTCGAGCCACGCGCCGAGGTCCCGCTCGACGTCGACGAGCGTCGTCGAAGGCGACAGGGCGAGCTTTGAGTAGACGTGCGCGCGAGAGGGACAGGCGCGGAGGACGACCTGAGGAGGGCGACGAGTCAGGGGAGGAGCCGGAGGAGGCCCGGCGGCGAGGAACGAGGTGCGGGAACGAGGGCTCAGACAGACCTTGAATAGCGGTCGCACGAGCCAGTTGAAGTGCTTGGCTGCAGAGGGAGAGAGGTTGGATCAGTGCATAAAGACGAGAGACGGTAGTCGCGCTCGAGCGCCCTCGGGCCCTCTGGACTTGACGAAGGCCAACGGGATGAAGAGGACGCCGACGAACCGAAGCCCCGGTCCCACACGGTGCTGATACTCGTGCTGAGCTCCTCGGGCGGCTGTTGACTCAGGTTGCGGCGGAACGACTCGACCATGAAGCCGATGATTCTGCGCGTTCGAGAACATGAGCGACCAGGTCCGGCCTCGTGCGAGCTCGCCCCTACGCTCGAGAGACCCGAGAAAGAAGTGTGGACGTACAGGACGAGCCACTCGAGGGCGTCGGTGGCTGGTAGGCGACGCTCACGCCGCTCAGACTGGACGAGCTGCTCGAGGGTCACCGTGCGCGTCGGGAACAGCTGTCGACGGGCTCGAACTCGCTGTGGAGGAGGCAGATTCAGTACTGGTCGACGTGAGGACATTTTGCGTGAAGGAAAAGAGGAAGAGAGCGACGCACGCCGAGGTCGGCCAGGAACTCGCCGGCGCACAGCGAGGCGGCTGCGGGCTCAAGAAGCTCTGCGCCGTAGGTGTCAGGGCGAGTCCCGGAGAGGAGGAGAGAAGGATCAGGACGCACCGGTCATCGATACGAGGCTCTCGGCGGCACGCAAAAAGGCGTCCGTCTCGACCGCGCCGCCCTCGACGTCCACTCGCTCGAACGCCTGCGCAGCACGAGCAACTCTGTGAGTCGCGGAACTCGAGAAGATGCAGAGGAGGAAGCAGACGCACCCGTCCTGCATCGGTCGTGAACCATATCGCCTCCTCCAGCCGCCGCTCTCGCCCTTCGATCCCTCGCTCGAGAACGTCGCCGCCCTCCCGGTCCGCCTTCTCGCCTCCTTCCGTCACACCCACCTCGTTGTCCTGCTCCCGCAGCGCCTCGTCGACGAAACCCTCGACCTCCTCCGTCACCCGCTCGACCTCGGCCGCCATGACCCGCTCGACGAGCTCCTTGTCGCGCTTGCTCGGCTCGCCGCCTTCCTCGGCAGCAGGTCGAGGCGTGTCGAGGCTGAAGTCGAGGCTGTTGAGGTCGACGACGTGCGAGAGGCAGAGGGTGGCGCGGCGCGAGAGGCGCGAGAGGGAGGAGAGTGGTCGAGGGAGGGGAACGAGCGCGGGAGGCGACGAGGGTGGGTGCGGCGAGGACGGCGTGGCGGGTAGGGCATCGTCGGCGTCGTCGAGGGATGAGCTCGCGGATGGCGACGCGGGAAGAGGGATGTCGGCCGGCGAGCGAGGGAGCTGCGGCGGTTCATGATCGCGCGCTCGCTCGTCGAGCTGCGGCTCGTCCGCGTCGCCGTCGTCCTCCTCCTCGTCCTTCTCGTCGCCCACCGAGCTCAAGCTCGAGCTCGCATCGCTCCACTCGCGCATGGCGGCCCGCAGCGCCCGCACGACTCGCGCGTCGTCCGCGCCGCCATCGCTGCACGTGCTCGGCTGAGCGTGCGCGTGCTCGGGCGGCTGCCCAGGTCCTCGAGCGCTCGCCGTCGTCGATGCAGGTGCGGTGGACGAGTCGAGGGTAGTCGAGTAGCCGAGGGCGTCTGTGGGCGCTGGCGAGGGTGAGCTCGACCGGCACGAGAACGGCGAGGAGAGGAGGAGGGGACGCACACCACACTGCGCTGTTGGCCAGTCGTGCCGGGGCGAGGACGTACGAGCCCGTGAGGCGGATGGTGTCCATCGGATCGGGCTGGCGAGCTGGAGGCGGCGACGGCGTCGAGGCGGAGAGGAGCAGTCGGTGCGCCGAGAGGGCAAGAGCGAGCGTTGCACGCCTTGTGGCGGCGCCGAATGGTGCTGTGCGCCGTCGAGAAGCAGAGGCACAGCTGGCGACAGCAGCTGCATCGCCCGAGAGGAGGTGGTCGATGGGAGAGGCGCGAGAGACGCGGGGAACGAGGAGCGAGCGCGACAAGCCGGCGACGGCCCGCTCGAGCCTCCGACGTGCGAGACGACTCGCCGACAAGCGACAGCCAGACCGACGATACTGCAGGTGCAAAGGAGCCGCACAGAGACAAGGTCGAGCGCTACGGCAACCGCTCGGCTCCGACTCGTCCTCCCCGACCGCCCGTTCGCTCCTGCGCCCCGAGCGGGACCTGCCCGCTCTCCTCCCATCTCACCGGCGCACTCAGAAGCCCTTGTCGTGCTTGCCAGCGACGTAGAACTGCTCGAGCCGGTCGAGGATGCTGCCGAGGGCCGAGTTCCACTTGTCGAGCTCCGAGTCGATGGGCGCCGACGGCGGGCCGAGCTTGGCGTAAAAGTCCTTGCGGTACGGGCACGCCTTCATGGCGAGCTGTGCGCGAGCATGTCCCGGTATCAGTCTCAGCCCGGCTTGAAAGGAGGACGAGAGAGGGAGAGGGCGAGAGCCGGACGCACGCCAAAGACGGGGCGCACGACGAACGAGTGGTGCTTCTTGAGCGTCTCCTCGTACGCCTTGGTGAACGAGACGGCGAGTTCCTCCTCCTTGTTGGCCTGCGAGCGCTTGAGCGCGACCTGGGTGAAGCGGAGGCCGCTGCGGAAGGGCACACGAGGCGCGTCAGTTCCAGCTCCACGACCGAGCATGAGAAGTCGGACGGTGCACGCGCACGCGCACACCGATAGGACTGCTCGGTCACGAAAGGAGAACGGTCGACGCACCGGAGGAGCCACAAGAGACCCTCGGTCGCGGTGCGCTTCTTCTCGCCCTGCTCGTTGGCGACGAGCTGCTCGAGCGTCTGCGACTGTGCCGGCGCAGCGTTGTAGCGAGTGCGGATTTTCTGTTGGCGGAGCGGCGATGCAGGTAGGTGATAGGGCGGGCGGGCAAGCGGCGAGAGGCGAGAGAGGGAGGGAGGAAGGGGGACGAGGTCAGTCGTGGACGCGCGGCAGACGGGAGGAGGGACGGGATACGGACAGTGACGTTGCCGTTCATGTCGTTCTGGACGATGGTAAAGGCGGTACTGCCGAGGAGGTCTGCGCGAGACGGGTTCGTCCACCCCCACAAACGACGAAGCGTGTCAGCTCGCCCTGCTCCTCGCGCCCGCGTGCTCCTCCTGGTGCAGTGAGCGGGAGACGCACCAAACATCTTTATGAGGCCCTCGGCGGCCTCGAGGAACTGGAGCGTGTCGACGCCGTCGGCCGACACGGGCACGTCGACGAACGACTGCGAGCGAGGGCAGGGCAGGGTGAGCGGCGGGGCTGGCTGGTGCGGGGGCTGAGAGGTGGCAGTGGCGCACCTTGGACACGGTCTCGAAGTAGGTGGACATGGCTGCTGAGCGAGGACGATGGGGTGGGAGGAGGAGAGGGCGCGCGCGCTCGCGACCGGGGGCCAAGGGAACTCTCACAACTCCGCGGACGCCGTCTCGCTTTCTTTCGCTCTCGAGCGCGCTCTGTACTTGTCGAGCCTGTCCTCTGTAGAACGGTCGAGCGCGGGAAACTCGGAACTACAGTATCGCGACCGTGCGCGCCGTCTAGCTCTCCATCGCGAGCCACACGCGACCGACCTTGCTGCTGCGCCCAGTCCTGACTCGCAGCTCGTCTGCCGAGGCGACCACGTCGTCGTGGCGGATCTGCACCGGCGAAGAGAAGCGCCAGCTCGCTCGAGAACGCGAGTGAGCGTGACAGGAAGAGCATCGCCGCCCTCGAGAGCGGCCGGGCGCCTGCACTCGGAGCGCGGGACCGGTGCAAGGGCGCGAGGCACGAGCCGAGCTGAGCTAAAGAGCAGTCGGAGGGCGCGGATCGAGCGCTCTGACACCGCGGCGAGCGGCGCTTCGAGGACGGAGAGAGGCGAGCGCAAGTCGGGCGACGGAGCGAGCTGCGGGCGCGACGCCTCGAGCGTACGGCGGACAAGGGCCTCGACCGAAGCCTGAAAGAGTGTCGCCAACCTCGCACGGCCTGTCCCGCCGAGGAGCGGGCTGCTCGCGGAGCGGTGCGGCCGGGCGAGGAGGACGAGGAGGTCGAGTGGCGCAGGGCGAGCGCGAGCCGCGGGGTGCGCCAGTTGAGGGGTGCACAGCGAGTGAGGCCAGTGCAGCGCAGTGTGGCCCTGCCTGCGAGCGGTGCAGCGTGGACTGAGCGACACGAGCGGAACCAACCGCGCAGCTCTCGTCTTCACTCCGCTCGTCCACCGCCGCAACCATGTCTGTGAGTACGCTGCCTGTCTCTGCAGCCGCGCACAGGTACTGACTAGCCCGTGCAGGCCATCGCTCGCCCCATCGCAGAGCTCTTCTCGCGCAACAGCGTCTACGTCGGCTCCATCTTCTTCGGTCCGTTCCTCCTCCTCCCTGCCCCTCGGTGGCCTGTGCGGCGTGCCCTGTGCCCTTAGAGGAGACCCAGACTGACCCTCTGCTCTTTCCCCTCCCCACCTCGACTCGTCGCCGCCAACTCGCCCGCCCCTCCCCTCGTCCTCTCTCCGCCGGCCCCCGCCTCTCGCCTCGACCCGATCCGCCCCTTGCATGTCATTTGCACACTCGCACGCACTCGCCTCCTCGTGCTCTACCCGCAATCTTGCGACCGCCCCTCGACAGGCGCCTTCGCGTTCGGCCTGACCTTCGACAAGGCGACCTCGGCGTGGTGGGACAACCACAACCAGGGCAAGCAGTGGAAGGAGTACGTCCCCCCGTCCTCTCTTCTGCATGTCCTCGAGCGAGCTCGGCATGCGACGGGCCCGCGTCGTCGCAGGGCCGCAAGCTCGCCTGGTCGTCGGGCGCCAGATCTCGAGGACTGACTCTGCCCTTTCCCTCACGCAACAGCATCCGCGCCAAGTACCAGACCGAGGAGTAAACTCGTCTCTCGTGACGGCATCGCGGAACCTAGACGAGCGAGGGACTGAGGGAGGGACGACGGGAGGAGATTCTGTACTCGAGGCGACAATACCACACATCGTCGCGCACCGCACCTTCCGGCTGTGTCTCGCTCGCTCGTGCGCGTTCTGGCTCATGCGGTAACGACTGGGCGATCGCGCGCCGACGGCGGAGCGAGGAGGGCAGGAGGACGATTCAGGGCTCTGCGGCCAAGAGCGGGTCCGGCGCCGCCAGAGAGATGGGTTTCGCTCGTCTAGATCGGTCGAGAGCATGTTCTTCGTAGCTTTCTCGCGCCTGAAGCCCTCGCACGCCGCTGTGCGCACGTCCACGCCGTCCGATGCTGCGAGCTGGTGGGGCGCCCCGGCTCTGCCTCCTTCCTCCGCCTCGCTCGTTGCTCCTGTGCGCCACTCGCTGCGCCAGACCTATGCCTGCATCCATCGGCACAGAGCCGCACGCCATCGGCGAGCGCCAGCCGCTCCTGTCGGGCCAGCCTGCCGCCTCCACTTCGCGCGATGACCGAGACCCAAAGAGGGCGAGCGCAGCCTCTGGCGCGCCGCTCGGCCGGTCCGTCACTCGAGTACCGACTGCCGACGACTACAGCACCGACCCAGACTCGCAGAGCGACGACGACGAGTCGAGCGCTCCACCTCCTCCCGACCCGACCACTCGGCGACGCACCCTCATCCGCTGGCTCCTCATCTGGACCCTCGTCGCCGCCGTCACCACCTTCCTCATCGTCCAGGCCTTCAGGCGAGGAGGAGGCGAGTTTGACTGGAAGGGCGCGCTCAAGAAGGCCGGCGGCGGGGTCCGTCCACCTCTCTCTCCCTCTCTATCTCTCTTGCCTCGCGAGCGAGCGCTCACCTTCTACGTCGCGCCTGCAGGGTCTAGCCGGCGCCATGGCCATGGTCGTCCAGGTCCTCGCCCTCATGCCGCTCCGCACGACCATGAAGTGCGTCCAGGCCCGGGCCCCTTCTTTCTCGCATGCACGGTCGGCCAGGCACTCACCAGATCTCCCGCACGCAGCTACCAGTACCGCTACGGGACGACGACCGCCGAGGCGGCCAAGAAGCTGCGCGGCGAGGGCGGGTTCAAGCGCTTCTACAGCGGGCTCGCGCCGGCTCTCGTGCAGGGACCTGTCGGTGCGTCTCTCCCTCTCTCTATCGCCCTGTCTCTCGTCGTCAATCGCCCCGCTCACGTTATGCGCCCCTCACAGCTCGGTTCGGCGACACTGCCGCCAACGCCGGCATCCTCGCCCTCCTGTCGTCGAACCCATTCCTGTCCAAGCTCCCGTCGCCGCTCAAGACGGCCTTTGCGTCGCTCGCCGGCGCCCTGTTCCGCATGGTCCTCATGCCCGTCGACACGCTCAAGACGACGATGCAGACCGAGGGCTCGGCGCACGCGCTGCCGCTCCTCAAGGCCCGCGTCGCCGCCTACGGTCCCGGCACGCTGTGGGCCGGCGCGTGGGCGACGGCGGCCGCCAACTTTGTCGGCTCGTGGCCCTGGTTCGCCACGTACAACGCGCTCGGCGAGTACCTCCCGCCGCCGCCCGAGGGCAGCCTGTGGTGGAAGCTCGGGCGCCAGGCCCTGATCGGGTTCGTCGCGAGCGTCGTGTCGGACACCATCTCCAACTCGCTACGGGTCGTCAAGACGTACCGGCAGGTCAGCAAGACGAGCGTCGGCTACCGTGCGTCCTCCTCTCTCTTCTCGTCGTCTGTCCTCGTCGTGCGGCGACTCGGTTCTGACGACCTACTCTCTCGCCACCGACGCAGGGACCGCCGCCTCGCACATCCTGCGCACCGAGGGCTACAAGGGCCTGTTCGGCCGAGGGCTCAAGACGCGACTACTCGCCAACGGCCTGCAGGGCCTCCTCTTCTCGGTCCTGTGGCGCGCGTTCAGCGAGCTCCTCATGGGCAAGAAGGGCGACGGCAAGTGAGAGCTCTCCAACGAGCAGTCTTTGTTTAGATCGAGCCCTGTATTCCAGCATGTTCCTCGTCTACGTCTTGTTGCTCCTGAGAGCGACGTCTCCTGGCTCTAGCTCTACTTGCTGCCCGTTCTCGACGACAACCGTCTCCTGTCCAGCCTCGTCCGCCGTCTCGAGCTCGCCCTTCTCGGCGTCCTCGTCCCCTCGCGCCCCCTCGCCCTGCTTCGGCTCCCTCCTGAGGCTCCACACGCCGTCCCACCCGACCCAGCCCTTGGCGTGCGGCCCTCGAGCGCACAGGAAGGCGATGGCGGCGACGACAAAGGCGACGTTGAGCCCGTACGAGGCGCGCCACCCGTGCCGCAGGAAGAGCTTGGGGCCGGCTGACGAGCCCGTCGTCTGGCCGAGGAAGGTGAACGCCTGTGTGCCGGGCGCGCGAGGGTGAGCCCGGGAGAGCGAGAGGCGAAAGAAGGGAAGGCGAGGAGGACGGACCATGTAGACGCCGTTGACCCTCGAGCGAGCGTGCGGGTCGACGTCGAAGAAGCGTCGCTGGTTGCCGATCGTCGAGGACTGGTGGCAGATGTCGACGACTGCGAGCGCGCGAGACGAGGGTCAGTGCGCGCACTTGGGAAGGTTGGAAGCGAGAGGGCGACGCACGGATGCAGCAGATGACGACGGGCGCTAAGCTCAGTCTCGCCGAGCCGAGGGCGAGCGCTTGAGTGCACAGCTGCACGACGAGGGCGACGAGCGTCGTCAACCACGGGTGGATGCGGTCGGTGACCTTGCCGGCGTGCGGCGCCCAGATGATGGCGCAGATTCCCGTGAGGCCGAACAGGCCGATCTCGAACGTGTTGAGCGAGAACGGCGTGTCGCTCAGGAGGAACGTGAGGGTCGTCCACCAGCTGACCATGACGGCGCAACTGCAGTAGCCGACGAAGCACGCCTGGGTGAGGGCGGGCTTGGTGAAGAAGAGCTTGACCATGCTGCGGGATCGTGAGGACGTGTCAGAGTCGTTGGCCACGTTGGAGAGAGTGGGAGAGGAACAGAGAGAGGGGGCGCACCTCAGGAGGACCTGCGGGTAGGTCAGGCCGAGCCCCTTCTTGGGAAAGGCTGGCAGCTTCCACCAGAAGGCGACAGCGAGCGCGAGCTGCGTCGCAAAGGCAAAGTAGAAGATGTGCATCGGCGAGCCGGTATAGCGAGTCTGCGGGGAGGTTCACAGTGAGCGACGAGGAGGGAAGGAGGAAGAGAGAGTGAAAGGCAAGGACGCACAAGGATGCCGGCGAAGAAGCGCCCGACGACCATGCCGCCGATGAGCCCGCTCACGACGGTCGAGACACACGACGCCCGGGTCGCAGGCGGGGCCAGATCTGCGCTGAGCGGCACCAGGATCTGAGGCGGGACGCTCGAGATGCCGACGAGGAAGCTCAGGGCCTCGAACGTCTGGAAGTTGGGCGCGAGCGCTTGACCGAGTGCGAGGAAGGCGGCGATGACGATAAGGGCGAGGAGGAGAGGACGTCGGGGCAGTAGATCGCCGAGAGGCGTGATGAGGACGAGGCTGTGCGAGAGAAGGTTCGTGAGCGGCTCGTTCTCGAGAATGCCCCAGACCGACAGGCTTGCCGGCTCTCACAAGGGGGGCGTACCCGACGAGGTAGCCGCCTTGCAGAAGCGACGGGACCCGCGTGACCTGCTCGTAGTCGACCTCGAATCTGACGGCGAGCTCGACTAGGATGGGCTGAACGACGTAGAGATTGGCCACGGTGACGGTGGCGCCGAGGGCCATGAGCCAGTTGAGCGATCGCGTAAAGACGAAGGCCTCGCCGGGCTCGCAGCCTCGCGGCACGGGCAGGAAGCCAAAGTCGCGGGTGCGGCGAGGCCGAGCGTTGGCGGCGAGCTCTGTGGCCTTGCCGGCGCCCGCCTCCTCGCCTGCGCTGCTATCGAACACCATCTCGAGCGCCTGCGCGTGGCCTGGGGCCGTCTTGGACGACGAAGAGGCGGTCGGCCGGCACCGGAGCACGCGAGAGATGAAGCTGGCCGGTCGAGGTGGCTGGCTCGCTCGAGGCTGGTTGGCGGGTGCGGGCGTCAAGCTTGGCGATTCGGCTGGTCGCTCAGCCATGCAGCTTGGCCGGCGAAGCGGTGTAGGACGAGGGAGAGCTGGAGAGACGGGGCCACTTCCGTCGGCGCCGCTCGGCCGACGGCGCGGCAGCGTCTTTTGGCTCTCTCTCTCTCTCTCGCAGGGCCTGGCTCTTGGGAACTGCGATGTTTTGCGATACGGAACGACAAGGAGATCTACCCGGCACAGAAAGGAAGAGAGAAAGGGAAGCGGCGAGGCGGCTCGAGCGTCTCGCTCAGTCGCGCACGATGAGCGTCGCCTTGCCAGCGCCGGTACCTGCGGGACACAGGACATGTCAGGCCGAGTTCTCGAGAATGGCGAGGAGGGGGGAGAGAAAGAGGGGGCGCACCCATGCAGAGCGTCGCGACGCCGACCTTCTTGTCGGTGCGGATGAGCTCGTAGATGAGCGACGACAGGAGCCTGCCGCCGGTCGCGCCGAGCGGGTGGCCGAGCGCGATCGCGCCGCCCTTGGGGTTGACCTTCTTCGTGTCGAGGCCAAGCTCGCGCGTGACCATGAGCGACTGGGACGCGAACGCCTCGTTGAGCTCAAACAAGTCGACGTCGTCCTTGGTGATGCCGTAGTTGTCGAACAGCTTGGGCAGCGCGTACGCCGGACCGACGCCCATGATGATCGGGGGCACGCCGACGACCGCCGAGCCGACCCACTTGGCGAGGATCTTGAGCCCGAGCTTGTCGGCGACGTCGCGGCGCACGAGCGTGAGGGCCGACGCGCCGTCCGAGATCTGCGACGAGTTGCCGGCCGTGCCCGTGCCGCCCTCCTTGAAGCACGGCTTGAGCTTGGCGAGCGACTCGAGCGTCGTCTGGGGCCGGATGCCCTCGTCCTTGGACAGGACCACCTCCTCGACGACCTCGGCCTTGTCGCCCTCGGCCGGCGTCACCTTGCGCACCTTGATCGGCGCGATCTCGGCCGCAAAGTAGCCCGCGTCCTGCGCCGCCTTGGCCTTGGCGTGCGACGCGCACGCGAACGCGTCCTGGTCCTCGCGCGTGATGCCGTACTTTTCTGCGACCGCCTCGGACGTGGTGCCCATCGGGGCGAGGCAGTCCTGCGCGTCCTGCGAGTGCGACTTCTTGATGTAGGGCGAGATGCCGGCAGGGATGGCGCGAGTCTGCGAGGGTCGAGCGAGGTCAGCTTCATGAACATTGTTCGCTGTCGGTGGCAGAGAGAGCGGGACGTACGCCATAGTCGCGAGTCATCGACTCGGCGCCGGATGCGATGCCCATGTCGATGAGGCCGCCCTTGATCTGGAGCGCGATGTCGGTCACCGACTGGAGCGACGACGCGCACTGGCGGTTGACCGACTTGAAGCCCGAGACGACAGGAAATCTGTGGGGGAGAGGTCGTCAGTGACTTAAAAGGGAGAGTAGAAAGCTCGTGGACGACGCACCCAGCATCGAGAGACGCGAGACGACCGCTCTTTGCGCCGCCGAGCTCCATGAGGACGGTGCCGTTGTGGATGTCCTGGACGGCGCCGCCCTTGACGTCGACGCCCTGCTCTTCGAGGCGCAACCTCGTCTCGCGAAGAACGTGCGACAGGAGCTCCTGCGAGGGAGAACGGACAGTGCCGCCGGGTCAGCTTCGCGGCCAGAGCGGTCGTCGACGAGGAGGAGGAGAGACGCACCTCGGCGTGCATGTCCTTGAGGCCGCCACGGAACTTGCCGATGGGCGTACGGAGCGAGGTCACGATCTGTGCGAGGCGGCCAGTCAGCTCCTGGAGGACCGGCAGCATGCCGCGGCACCTCGAAGTGGAGCGAGGAGGACGACGAAGGAAGGGTGGGGCGCACAACGACATCGTCCGGACGGCGCTTGAGCACGTCTGCGAGAGCACGGCGAGGGATGGTGGCCTTCATGGCTGCGCGCGACGAGGAGAACTGAGGTCAGCGAGGTCCGGAGGCTGGAGACGATGAGGAGGACGAGGCCGGGCTCGCCAGCTCGGAAGAGCGGCGCAAGGCAAGGTGGCAGGTGGACGCACTGTATAGGAGAGCAGTCTGGTGCGAGGCGTGCGGTCGGGGAGGAGAGAAGTGAGCCAGGTTGGCCTCGTCGCGGCGCCGAAGAAGCCGCGGCACAACCGGCTTCCATCTTTCTCCCGCTCTCTCGCTTTCGGCGCGTGCGACAGACTCGAGTACATTACTGCAGCTACTACCCACAGGTACTAGAGGGAGGACGAGGGGAACGAAAGTCGGGGAGACGGCGCTCGAGAGAGGGGGGGGACAATGCGGGCGGGCGGCGAGCGAGGGACGGGGTGGTGCGACTGATGTGCGAGACAGCGCGGTTACGAGGGTATGCTGTAGGTAAGGACGGGTATCGGAGCTGGGCCGGCGGGTGGGCGAGAGGCAGGTCGCCATGCGGCCGAGGACGAACGACGAAACGAGGGCGGCGACCGGTCTTGTCGGCATGGGCGGCGACCGCGGCGCGACGAGGGCGAAAGACGAAAGACGAAGGGTGCGAGTGACACGAGGCGACCGACAAAGTCTAAGGAACCCAGACCTGCGCGAGGGGAGAGCGAGAGGGTCAGGACCAGTCGGCGCGAGACGAGGTCGACGAGGGAATAGCGGGCGCACCTTGATCGTCTGGTCGACCGAGCCCGTCGCGACGACGTTGACGAGCTGAGCCGTCTCGTGCGCCTTGCCGCCTGCGCCGTTGGCCGTCGCGCCGTTCGCCTGGCCGCCCGGCGCCGGTGCTCGCCCCCACGTCATGGTCGTCACAAAGTGCTCGTGCGCCTCGAGAACCTTGAGGCAGCGGCCCGTCGCGAGGTCCCACGTCCGGATCGTCTTGTCGTCCGACGCCGACAGGAGGAACTTGCCCGAGGGGTGAAAGACGAGCGCTCGGACCCAGTTATCGTCTGCGAGAGGGAAGCATCGTGAGCGCTCTGAGCGACAGGGCAGAGGGGCACCGAGACGAGGACGTACGGCCGACGAGTGTCTTGAGGCACTGACCGCTGACGGCGTCCCACAGCTTGATCGTCTTGTCGCGCGAGCCGGTCGCGGCGAACGCGCCGACCACCTTGCCCTCGGCTGATCGCCCGCTCGGAGCCTGCGCGAGAGAGTCCTTATGAGCAACGTGCTGCACGTAGGAAAATCGGGCGAGAGAGAGAGAGGAAGACGCACCGTGATGCCGGCCACCTCTCGAATCGCCGGGTACGCCGCCGTCGGCGCGAACACGGCCACCTCGACGACGTGCTCGTGCCCTCGCAGCTCGGCCTTGGTCTCGCCCCGCGTTGCCTCCCACACTCGAGCAGTCTGCAGGCCCGAGAGACGAGTGAGCGGGCGCGCCAAGGAGGGGGACAAGGAGGGGCAGGATGGAGAAGAAGAGGGCGCACCTGGTCGACCGAGCAGCTGATGAGCTGCAGCCCGTCCGAGCTCGGCACCACGCTCCTCACCCAGTCGCTGTGGCCCGAGAACGTCTTGGTGCAGAAGCTGGGGACGAGAGAGGGGGCGAGATCAGGAATGTGTGCGGTCGAGGAGGGGAGGAGAGGGAGGAAAAGGAGGGACGCACCCGCTCGAGACCTCCCAGATCCGGATCGTGCGGTCCCGACTTGCGCTCACGATAAAGTCGTCGTTGGGCAGGAAGCGCGCCGACGAGATCGAGTGGTCGTGGCCGTGCAGGGTGCGGACGTTCTTCCACTCGTTGTTGGTGTCCCACAGCTTGATCGTCAGGTCGGACGAGCACGAGACTGCGAGGAGCAGCGAGTCAGTACCAGGTCTTTTCGGGCGAGGCGAGGAGAAAGTGAGGGACGTACCGAGAAAGTTGCCCTTCGAGTCAAAGTCGACGTCGGCGACGGCCTTGGTGTGGCCTTTGACCGTGCGCTCAAACTCGCCCGTCTCCCAGTCCCACACCTTGAGCGTCGAGTCCTCGCTCGCGCTGACGATGACGCTGAAGAGGGGGTGGAACGTGACGCGCGTGATGGGCGAGCGGTGGCCGGACAGGGCGTGTCGTGCGGGCGCTCGAGGGGTCCAGTCGGGCGACGACGCCGATGGGCGCTTGGACGGGGCGGACGAGAGCTCTTCTTGCAGCTGCGAGTTGCGCGCCTCGAGGTCCATGATCTGCGGTACCGGATACGGGTCAGCCTTGCGCTCGCTGCCAGAAGAGAGGACCAGAGGGCGCACCTTCTTCTGCAGGCGGATCACGCTCGTCCACTTCTTCTCGAGAAGGCCGCTCCACTTGGCCTTGGCGTCGGGCTGAAAGTCGGGCTGGCCGGCCTCGTGCTTGAGCGCCGCGAGCGTCTCGACGAATCCGTTGGACGAGAGGTAGTCGAGCATCGACTTGTGGCTGCGCACGTCGTAGCTCGGTCAGGGTCTTGCTGCACTGTCAGACCGTAGGAAGCGGACGCACAGCTCGTCCTTCTGTCGGTCGCTGAGGACGGAGCTCATCGCTCGAGTGGGCGACGAGGCAGGTGGGGGAAGGCGGACTCGCGCTCGGCGCGTGAACGGGAGGTCGGGGTCTGAGCTGCTGAGGCTGTCGAGATGCTGTGGTGGCCGGCGTCCAGCTCGCGTGAGCTTGTCGGGACGAGTGGGGAGACGAGGGTCGAGATGGCGATGAGGACGCGGGGCGTGAGGCGTCGGCGCGTGTGGCGAGGGTTTGCGCGCGTGCAAGGTAGCGCTGCGAGCTGTGCAGTGGCGTGCAGCTCGACCTGAGCAGCCGCTGTCGTGGTCGACGTGGACGAGGCGTCGGCTCTCGCTCTCCTGCTCCTCCTCCTCACGCTTCTGCCTCGACCGTCTCACTGGCTCGCTTGCCTGCGTGCAGTACTGCACGCATGGCTGCTCGCGTGTCTCCCTGTCGCGATCCCGCAATCCTCGCCCTCGCCGAGCCCCTCCCCAACCTCCGACCTTCCTCCGCCCGCCCACGCATCCGCTCTCTCCCGTCCGACCTCTCTCGCGGGAGCGCGAGCTCGGCGCGTGACCCGCCGCATGGGCTAGTCCACGGCCGGCGGACAGGAGGGGCGCCGGCCGGCGTGCGGACGACGCCGCGGTCTGCTCACTCGGACTGTCCGCGGACCTGTTCAGCTGCAGGCGGAAGCCGTCCACCACGGCCGAACCTACGCGCTCGCGCGAGCTTCAGCTTCCGCGCCTGCGCTGCGCTCCTGTGCGACCGCCTGCTGGTCACGCTTCCACGACTCGCTGCTCGCCTCGCCGCAGGGCTAAGCGCAGCTCTCGCCGCACGCCGCACGCCGCCCTCGCACCGCCGAGTTCGCCCCCACGGACGACCGCGGAGCCCTGTGGAGCGCCGTCGTCCCCACAGCCGTTCCTCGCCTCTCTTTCTCCCGCTCCCACCCACCTCGACGACCATGGCGGCAGCAGAAGTTGGGTACCGTTGGCCGGCTCTCGCGCAGCAGGCGTTCATGGCGGGCACCTGCAGGGCGGGACTGAGCATTGTGCGTCTCGTCGTCGTTCAGCTCTCTCGCACGTGGGGCTGGACTGACCCACGGACTTTCCGACCGGCAGAGCGAGTGGTGCTCGACGGCGGCGGCCGACAAGTGTTGCGGCGGTGCGTCGTCGCCTGTCCTGCGTCTATGGGTGCCGCCTACTGACTCTACTCCTGCACACAGTCATCTGCCCCAACGCTCCGATCACGGGTGGGCCGCTCTGCCCCCTTCTCGCTCGCGCCTTTTGTGGAGCCGACTCTGACGAGCTCGCATCCGCAGGTCCCGCCACCGTCATCGTGTACGCCTTCGACCCGTCTCGCCGTCGTCGTGCGTCGCAGGCGCCCGAGACTGACCCCTCTCGCTCTCGCCCTCGCCAGCTTTACAGCAGGAACGTTCGTGCGTCGCGCCCTCTCTCTCTCTCGTTCCCCCGAGCGATGTCCTGACTCTCTCACACGCGCCCGCAGTTCAACCTGTTGCTCTGCCTCATCTGGAAGAGCGAGGGTGAGGCTTCCTCGCCTGGCTCGGCTCTCCTGAGCCGCTCGAGCCCCGTCCTGACGCCCTCTTCCCCTCCTCTACCTGCAGCGCCGTACAACCTCATGGTCCAGGTCCGTCCCTCTCCCTCTCTCTGTGCCTCGACGACGCACAAGAGGCCTGACGCCCGAGCCGTGCAGCTTCTCGCGACCGACGGCGCCCTCTTTGGCCTGCTCGTGCGCACCTCGACCGAGCAGTTCCGTCTCTCGTACATCCACGCCTGGCTCCCGCCTCTCGCCATCAGTGCGTCTCTCTCTCCCTCTCCCCATCGCGGTCTCCCACTCACTCGAAAACACCTCGTTCGCAGTGAGCGTTGTGCCCGTCGCCATCGCCGCCGCGACCGTCGAGCTCGAGTACATCCACGTCCGTCCCTCTCCTTCCCTCTTGGGCACCGAGACCGAGACTGATAACGTCGACGTACGCGACAGGGCATGGGCTTCGACGCCGTGGCCGCTACCACCGCCGCGCAGTGGCACAACGCCGACATCGCCAGGAGGTGCGTCCTCATCTCGCTCCCGTTCTCTCCCTCAGGCTTCTACGACGTCTGACGAGGAGCCTGTACATGCCTTCCGTAGCCTATCGCCTCCCGAGTACGAGGAGACGAGCGTGCGTCTGCCTCACGTCGTCGTGAGCGTGCCTCGAGCGGAACCTGACGATTGCCCTCCCGTCGCAGCCTACCCGCCCGTCCTTGATCCGCAACCCGACCCACGCCAACTTCAAGAAGGACGTCACAGAGCGCAAAAAGTCGACCGACGCCGAGCGCCGTGCTCGCGACCAGGAGCTCCTCAACAAGCCGATGCTGCCTCTCGTGCGCTCGACTCTCTCTTCTTCTCTCTTGGGCCCGACCTCACGCCCTCTGCCTCGGTCGTGCAGGTCGCCTGCGGTCTATTCCTCTTTCACGTCGTCGCGTGGATCGTCATCTTCGTCTACGTCTTTGTCGGGTTCGACAAGCCCTCGCAGGACAACTGCACCGACGAGCTCCCGCTGCGGCAGTACAAGATCGTCCTCGCGTCGGCGACGTCGGCCTTCCTCTTCTTCGCCATCATCTTCTGGTGCGCGTTCGCCGGCGGGCTCACTCGCCACATGCGCAGGCGCAACTCGTACCGCAAGGACACCCTTCTGTAGTGCGTCTCGCTCTCTCTCTCTCTCTCCCTCGAGCTCTGCCCAAGTTCCCTACTGACGACGCACACCTCGTCTCGCAGCTTGGCCTCGCTCACGCACTGGCGCGCTTTCATCGGCGCCGTCGACCCGGACCGCCAAGGGTGGGGCAAGCCTCGCGAGGTCGTCCGGTGGGGCATCTGCTTGGTCATGTTCTTCGTCTGGGTCGCCGTCTACGTCTCGGTGTACATCACTGTGCGTCACCGTCCTCTCCTTCCCTCTCGGCGTCGGTCTAGGCGCTCACCCTCCTATCGCGCCCACAGATGCTCCAGAAGTTCCTTCTCCTCGGCGGTACGGCCTCTCGACCTATCCTCGCTGCCCTTTCCTCGTCGACATGCACTCACGGCTTGCACTCGCACAGACAACCCGTTCGACTGGGGCCAGGTCAACGCCCTCGCCGTGCGTCGGCTTCCGCGCCCTCTCCCTTCTCGCGACCTGAACTGACTAGCGTTCCTCGCTCCCTCGCAGAACGTCTTTGTCCCGCTCCTTGTCGACGCTCGCGCCGCGTTCGACAACCTCGATGGCTGGGCGCGCGCCGACCAGACGACCGCCGAGGCGATCAAGAACGCCCACACGCTGTGGAAGTACGAGCAGGAGCAGGAGCGCGAGCGCCGCAAGAAGATCAAGGCGTCGGCTCCTCGCCACGGCCCAGTCGAGACGGGCAGCTTCGACATCGACTTTTCCAAGGTCGGCTCGTCGTCGCGCCGCAGCAGCCTCAACCTCGTCAAGCGTCGCTCTCGCCTTGCCGCCGGCTACGAGGAGGACGACGACCACCACCGTCGCCACTCGCCGTCCGCCTCTCACCGGCGTACGTCGGCCGTGCAGCACGATGACGGCCTCGAGGAGGACCTCGTCAGCCCGTTCTCGCGCACGAGGCGCACGACGGCCGCCCCATCGTCTCGCCGGCGCTCGTCGCACGAGCCCCTCGACGGCGACTCGCCCCCTCCTCCCTCCTCTCGCCGCCGTCACGAGCCGACTTCCCCCTCCTCTCCTGACGACAAGCCTGCTCACGGGCTCTACCGCTCTCACCACGACCCGGACCTCACCGCCCTCCCGCCCCTCCTCGCGAGCGACCTCTCGCCGCCGAGCCCCGAGGTGGCGCGGCGCAAGGTCGCCTGGGCCCCGTCGCCGTCGCCGCACGTGCGTCAGAGCAGGATGGAACCGTCGTCGAGAGTGGAGGAGTCGGAGGACCAGCGCCGTGGGCGGTCGAAGACGAGGGGCGAGGGGAGGAGCTCGAGGTGAGCCGCCGGGTGCGAGCGCGGCCGAGGGATCCGCCAAAAACCTGTAGCTATTCTCCCTGTGCACATGAAGACGCAAAAAACAGTTCCACCGCTTCGTTGCAGGTCGCGAGAGAAGCCTCGAAAGCCTCGGAGCGCGACTCGGAGGCGACAGCGACGACGAGGACGAGGACGAGCCGGTCGCCTCGCTGCTCTCGGCTGCCGCGGTCGAGCCACGTCCAGGCATTGCTGCTTGAGCTACTCGCTCCGTCGCGCTCGAACCCCAGCACGCCAAGCTCGCCCTCGACCGCTCCTCGAGCTCCTCCTCCCACCACGCCGCCCACGTCTGCTACGAGCACCGCCTCGCTCGTGGCGGCCGCCAGAGCCAGCCGGCGATCGCGGTCACTCGCGTCTCCACGACGGACGCTTGCTCCTGTCCGTCAGACGGCGCGTGCAGCCCGGGCCGACTCCGCGGACCCCCACGGCCGCCGGGAGGAGGCCAGCTCCCTCAGCGCTCTCTCTGCTTCCGCTCTGCAGCTGTTCGAGGCTCGCTCGAGGCCTCAAGATGTGGGCTGCGCAGAAGGTGCGCCCCCCTTTCACACCCTCTCGCGACACCTCGCCGCTGACCCCCCTTCGTCGCCGACGCGCAGGCCTTCGACACCGCCTGCTCTGGCGGGCTCGACGTTGTACGTCGTTGTCGCTGCCCTGCAGAAGCGCGAGACTGACGCCTCGACGACTCGCAGAACCAGTACTGCAACACCGCCGCCGAGACTTGCTGCGGTGCGTCCGCCCTGTCCTCCCTTCCTCCTCTCCCGCCTCCTCGACGCGCCATCCTGACTCTGAGCGGCCAGGTCTCTGCAACGTCGTGCCCATCTCGGGACCGGGCACCATCCTCGCGTGCGTCGAAAAGGCGCCCGTGCGCTTTCTTCTGCCGTCGTGCAACGTGTCCTGACCTCTCTCGACGCGCAGCAACCTCCTTGGCACGCTCCTCAACATGGTCTTTGCGCTGCGCTTCCGCAGCGAGACGCCGTACACTTTATTCTTCCAAATGATCGTGAACGATTTTGCCGTCATTTCGCTCGTCGACCGGGCCTTTCAGGTGCGTCTCTCTCTCTCTCTCTCTCTCTCTCTCGTCCGCCGACGTCGTACTGACTCTTTGAGCACGCAGGGAAAGAACCGCATGAGCCTGTGGCACTACTGCATGGTGCCGCTCTCGGCGTGCTCGATCGTGCCCATCATCGTCGCCTGCTCGACTGCGCGCCTCAAGTATCTGGTCCGTCGTCCTCCTTCGACTCCTTGCCAAACCCTTCTGACGCTCTCTTGTGTCCGCAGCACAACCTGTCGACTGCGGCCGCCGTCAAGATCTCGTACGGCCAGATGCCGCTCATCGCCGAGGCGCCCGTTCCTGCCGAGCTCCTCGAGAGTCGTCACTCGCACACGTCGCACTCGCTCAGCAAGGCGTTGAAGAAGCGAGTGCGTCCGACTCGCCCTCTGCACGTTCCGGATTGCCTCGGACTGACAAGCTCGCGTCCTCGCAGGACCAGCACTCGCGGCCGCAGATGCACCGCCGCGCGCCCTCGGTCGAGTCGGCAGACCCGAGCGCCTACCAGAAGTTGAACCAGTACCTCGCGATCACGGTCCTGTGGGCCACGCTCGTCCACATCGTCGTCTACGCCGGCACCTTCATCGGCGTCTTTGGTGCGTCCGCCCTTTCCTCCTCCTTCTCCTCGCCCACCGTTGCGCACTCGCCTGACTGACTCGAAGCAACTCTCACAGGCTTCATCGACAACACGTGGCAGTCGTCCTGCATCGACAAGTACGGGCTCAACCAGTGGAGGATCGCCATGGGCGCCTTTGCGGCCGTCATGCTCGTCGTCGCACTCGCCTTCTGGTTCTGCCTGTTCATGGCCATGGACGTCAAGTTTCGCAAGCGCAAGCGACTCGTCGACGGCCTCGAGATGTGCGTAGCCCCCTTTTCGCATCGGCGGTTAGTCCTCGCGCGAGGTCGTCACTGACTCGGGCTCTTCCCGCAGGTTCATCGCCTCCCTGTCGGCCGTCTTCCACCTTACGGCTCTGCGCAACTACTTCATGCCTCGCGGCGACTACTGGCTGCAGAAGAGGAGGAAGGAGACGCTCCGCTGGGTCATCTGTACGTCCCCTCGCCCCGCGCTCGAGCCTCTCGAGCCTCCTCTCTCTCTCGAGCCTCTCGAGCCTCGTCTCTCTCTCTCTCTCGCTTCTCGAGCCTCCTCTGACGCTCCTCTCCTGCGCAGCGTTTGCCGCGTACCTCTTATGGGCCATCCCTTACTCTATCATCTACGTCAAGGCCGGCAACGACTTTATTCTTCCCGGGCTCAATACCTGGCCGTACGGTGCGTCTCGCCTCGTCTCTCGAATTCGTTGTCCTCGGGCACTTACTCTTCACTCGTCGCCGTCGAGGACAGAGCAAATCGCCGGCGCGTTCGTGCGTCCTGCCGCTTCCCTGACCCTCCTCTTTGAGACGTCGCCTGACCTCTTTCTTGACGCCTGCAGAGCCTCCTCACGCCGATCTGCATCGTCGCTCGGGCGTTCGTCAACGAGCGCGACGGCTATGACGGCAAGAACAAGGCGATCGAGGACGCCCGCATCGCGCGCGCCGAGTTCGTCAAGTCCCGCGACGAGTTCGACGACAAGAACGCCTCCGGCCCTCGCTCGTCCTCTCGGAAACCCAGTCATTCATCTCCCGCTCGTCACGCCTCCTCCCTGTCGCCCACCCGCTCGTCGATCCGCCTGCACCACCGCCGCAACAGGTCGCCCGGCTCGGACGACGTCATGATGTCGGGGGCGCTCGGCGAGGACGAGGCGCCGTACGAGAGCCCGCACACAAGTACTCTCGACGGCCACGACGGCCAACCCGGCCGCGGTCCGCGCCACGACACGCTGCCCTCGTCCGAGCGCGACGAGCGTCGTCGCCGTCACCGCCTGCAGCTCCATCACGGGCCCGCGCAGGCGAGCGTCAGCTCGCTCGGTGACGAGCTCGTGCCCCCGCCCCTCTTCTCGCCCCGCAACCGCTCGCCGCCGTCGCCCGTCTCGCCGCAAGCCGACCGGTCTGAGCGCTCGGTCCCACGCCGCACGGCGTCCGCGCACGAGGCGAGCGGCCGCGCCCGCCCCGAGCGCTCGGCGCGAGCTCACGAGTAGCTCGGCGAGGTCGACGGGCCGACGATGATTGCGTTCGAGCGCCAGGCGGAGAGGGGAAAGGGTTGGGCGGAGCGCATGCGCCTCGGTCGCTCTCAGTCGTCGCTCTCTTTGGTGCAAAGTCTGATATTCGTGCTCCTCGCGCGCATGTGCCAGAGCCAGAGAGCTACGAGCGAGAGCTGGGCGAGCACAAAGGGATTCCGCCAAGTCTGTCGCGCGAGACGAGACGAGCCGAGCGGCCGTGGGAGGCCTCGCCGTGCGCGCTCTGCAAGGGTGCGTTGGCTGGAGATCGATCCTTCGGGAGCCAGAGGTGCACAGTACAGCCTGGCCGAGCGCGAGGAGAGCGAGAGCGAGCCGTTCCTTGGATCGCTCGACACGGTTCGCGTGAGAGGCTCCTGCTCCCGACCACACCGCTCCGTTCTCGCTGGACGAGAGCTCACAGTGTGCCGACAAGCACACTGCGCCACTCCGCACCGCCAGCGGCCCCCGCACCACACCGCCTGCCCTCTTCCCTCGTCGCCTCGTCCTCATCGCTTCCCGCGACCAGCTCGCCGCCGCCATGGTCGGCGCACCCAACGGCGCTCGCCGCGAGTCGATGCTGCCTGCAGCAGGTCAGCAAGCGAGCACCATGGCCGTCAAAGTCGGTGCGTCCCTGTCCCTTGCGTCTGTCGTCCCCCCTCCCCTCCCCGCCTCTGTCGTCCCGAGCCGTGCTCCGCCCCTCCTGTGCCGCACGCGACCGATGGTCTACCGTGTGCACGACTGACACACTGCAAGCCCTGCAGTCGTCCGCATCCGACCGAGCACGACCGCCGACGGCGCCGCCAACCTGCCCGCCCGCTTCCAGCGCATCGCCGTTCACCCTCTCGGCACATCCAGCCTGCAAGCCGACAACCCCGCTCCCGGCGCAGGCGGCTCGGTCAACACGGCGGCGGCGGGCGCCGGCAAAGCCGCCAAGCAGACGTTCACCTACGACCGCGTCGTCGCGCCCGACGAGGGCCAGCTCGCCGTGTACGAGGCAGCGCAACCTCTCGTCGCCTCGTTCCTCGACGGCTACAACACGACGCTCCTCGCCTACGGCATGAGTAGCTCGGGCAAGTCGTACACGATGGGCACCGACATCGACGGCGCCTCGACCGACCCGGACCGCCAGGGCCTCACGCCTCGCGCCGTCGCCGACATCTTCGACCGCCTGTCGGCCCTCCAGCGCGACTCGCGAGGCGGCTTCTCGTTCGACGCCAAGGTGTCGTACCTCGAGATCTACAACGAGGACCTCATCGACCTCCTCGCCGGCGGCGCCGACGTCCGCCCGACGGTGCAGATCCGCGAGGACAAGGGCGGCCAGATCCTGCTCCAGGGCATCCGCGAGGTCAAGGTGTCGAGCGCGGCCCACGTCATGGACCTCCTCGCGCAGGGCTCGACGCTGCGGCAGACGGGCGCGACCGACATGAACGCCCAGAGCTCCCGCTCGCACGCCATCTTTTCCCTCACCGTCACCCGGCGCAAGTGGACCGGCCCAGGTCCTCCTCCCTCGGCCCCGTCGACCCCGTCCTCGCCCCAGAACCGCCGCATGTCGGCTCTGCCTCGCATGTCGAGCCCGGCACCACCCGGTCGCGCCGGCACGCCCACCGGCGACCGCCCCGCCAGCCGGTTCGGCCTGCGCCCAACGAGCTCGCTCGGCCGTCCCAGCACGCCGAGCACCGCGTCGAGCGACGACGTCGAGGGCAGCTGGACCGTGACGACGTCCAAGCTGCACTTTGTCGACCTCGCCGGCTCGGAACGGCTAAAGAGGACGGCGGCGGCAGGTGACCGGGCCAAGGTGCGCCCCTGTCTCTCTCTCTCTCTTCCCGTCGGCGAACCCGTCATCCTCGCGCCGACACTGACCATGTCGCGCACCCTGCAGGAGGGCATCTCGATCAACGCCGGCCTGTCGGCGCTCGGCAACGTCATCAGCGCGCTCGGCGACCCGTCCAAGAAGGCGACCCACGTCCCGTACCGCGACTCGAAGCTCACGCGTTTCCTGCAAGACTCGCTCGGCGGCAACGCCCGCACGATGATGGTCGCCTGCGTCAGCCCTGTCGAGCTCAACCTCGCCGAGACGCTCAACACGCTCCGGTACGCCAACCGCGCGCGCAACATCAAGAACCGCGCCGAGGTCAACGAGGTCGAGCAGGGCTGGGACGACGTCGAGTACCTTCAGCGCACGATCGTCAAGTTGCGCGGCGAGCTGTCGGCCATCAAGGCCGGCGACGGCGCCGCGCTCGCCCGTCGCAGCCTCGACCTGTCGTCGGCGCCAGCAGAAGCCGAGCTGCAGCAGAAGATCGCGCACCTCACGGCCGAGCTCGCCGTTGCACAAGCCGCCGCCCCGAGCAGCCCGACGACGCCGACCGCGACCGCGCCCCTCTCGCGCGACCAGTTCGCCGCCGCCGTCGAGCCCATCGTCGAAGAGTACGAGCGTTCCCTGTCGGCGCTCGAGAGCCAGCTCGCGCTCACTCGGGCCGCGCTCGGCCACTCGGACGAGGAGATGCGCGAGCTCGAGGCCCGCATCGGCGAGGAGCAGCACGCCAACGAGGCCAACCTCGCCCTCGTCGACGAGTTGCGCCTGCGCGTCGCCAAGCTGTCCGAGCGCGAGGAGACGACCGAGGCGTACGTGCGCGACCTCGAGGCGCGCCTGCGCGACGTCGACGACGCCGACGAGTCGCACGGCGCAGCTGTCGGCGCCTTGCGCAAGGAGCTCGCCCGCAACCGCGAGCAGGCGGCGGCGACCGAGCTCCACGTCCAGGAGCTCGAGGGGCGCCTCGCCTCGGCCGAGGAGGGCAACGCCGCCCTGCGGCGCCAGATCGAGATCCTCGAGCGCGACGTCGCCCACCGCGAGGAGTCGCACCGCGACCTCGAGGCTCGCGTGCAGCTCCTCGACAGCTCGGCCGACAGCAAGAAGCTCCTCGCCGAGATCGACGACAAGGACCGCCGTCTGCTCGACCTCGAGCGCGAGCTCGACGCCGTCAAGGTCCAAGCCGGCACGGCGACCGACGAGGCGTCGCGGTTGCACAAGCTTGCGCAGGACGAGAAGGCGCTCAAGGAGGAGCTCGAGAGCCGCGTCCGCACGCTCGAGAACGGCCAGGCGCGCAACCTCGTCGCGACGCCGCCACGCACGCCCGCCATGCGCTCGAGCGACGCGTCGTCGCTCGCCCCACCCGACCTCGACGCCGTCGCTGCCGCAGCATCCGCGACCGACGAGCAGGCGGCCGTCGTCGACGCGCTCCGCAAGCAGGTCGCCCAGCTCCAGCACGCCCGTGACGAGACGACGAGCGAGCTCGACTCGGCCAAGGCCAAGTACGCCGAGTCGCTGCGCGAGATCGACGACCTCAACGCGCAAGTGCAGGAGGCCCGCCTCTTGCGGTCGCAGGCGTCGGCGTCCGACCTGAGCGACGCGGGCCTGTCGCCCTCGTCGTCGCGGTTCGCCGGTCCTCGGCGAGTCGGCGGGCAGGACGACGACGAGGACGAGGACGAGGTCGAGGAGCTCGCGTCGTCGTCCGTCGTCGGCGGCAAGAACGGCTCGTCAGCGGCGCGCCGAGCGACGGGCCCGCGCACGCCGCACGCGCGCCGGAGCATGCCGCTGTCGCCGCAGCATCGGCTGTCTTTTCTCGGCCGCGGACAGGGAGCTGTGTCGCCTGCGCATTTGCGCTCGGCTTCACTCTCGCAGGAGCTGTCCTCGGCGGCGTCATCGCAAACCTCCTGCCCGACGATTCCCCAACCCGTGTCGCCCTCGCCGAGCTCGCACTCTCGACGCGAGAGCTTCTTCGCCCCGTCGTCGACCTCGTCGACGAGCAACGGCGTCGGCGACCGGAGCTATGAGCAGATGAAGAGCGAGGTGCTCAAGCTCCAGGCGGCCCTCGACCAACGCGACGCCGAGATCTCGGACCTCGAGGCGACCGTCCAGCACTTCCGCTCGCCGTTCGCCTCGTCTGCGCCCTCGCCCTCGGGCGACCGCTCCTTCCCTTCCTTCCCCGTCATCACCGAGCGACCGGCGACCCCACCTCCTCTCCCTGCCTCGTCCGACGCCGACCTCCTCCTGTCGCCGCACACGCGCTCCCACTTTGACGCCCTGCGAGCGTCCGTCGGCGGCGCCGATCCCGCGACGGTCGGCCTCGGCCTGTCGACCGCACCCGACGACGCCGCCCTCACGGCCTCTCGCCTCGACGACCTCATGCGCTCGATGGCGCAGAAGGAGTCGGCGCACCGCGATGCTGTCGACGTCCTCGAGGGCGAGCTCGCTCAGCTGCGGCGCCAGCACGACGAGCTCGTCGTCCTGTCCAAGACGCAGGTCGAGAACATGTCGGCCGAGATTGAGCAGCTCCGGCGCGAGCTCGACGAGCGGCCAGCCCGAGGCGCTCTCGAGGTCGAGATGGAGAAGCTGCGGGACGACGCGAGGGTCAAGGCGGACGAGCTGGCGGCGGCGAGGACGGCGCACGAGGACGAGCTCGGCCAGGTCAAGGCGGCCCTCATGGACGGCGCAGCCGGTGCGTCCCAGCCTCGTTCTGACTGTCCGTCTAGCGAATACTGACCCGGCCAACCCCTGTATCGCAGAGCACCAACGCGCCCTCGAGTCGACGCTCGGCGACCACTCGGCCACGATCGACAGCCTGCGGGCCGACCACGCGGCCGCACTCGGCTCCTTGCGCGTCGAGCACGTCGTTGCTCTCGAGCGAGCAGTTCTCGACCGCGATGAGGCGGTCCGCTCGTCGCTCGGCGAGGCCTCCTCGGTCGAGCACGATCGGCTGCGCTCGGAGCTCGCCGTCACGCTCAAAGAGCGCGGCAGCGCCCATGCCGCCGAGGTCGCGGCACTTCGTGCGTCGCACGAGGCGGCGCTCGAGCAGGTCGCGGCCGGCGCGGCCGAGTCGGCCGAGCGAGAGCGGGCGCAGGTCGTCGCCGCCCATGCCGCCGATCTCGACGCCCTGCGCTCCTCCCTCGCCTCGAGCTCGGCGGCCGAGCTCGACCGCCTCCGCACTGAGCACTCGAGTGCTCTCCAGCAGCGAGCGCTCGCCCATGCCGCCGGGCTCGACGAGCTGCGGAACTCGCTCGGCGAGTCGGCGTCCGCAGCACTTGACGGCGTCCGCGCCGAGCATGCCGCCGCGCTCGACACGCGCGCCGCAGTTCACGCCGACGAGCTCGCCGCCCTGCGCACCACGCACGGCGCAGCGCTCGCGGCTGCCTCGGAGAACGCCCTCGAGGTGACCGAGCGGGCTCGTGTCGAGCTCGTCGCCGCGCACGTCGCCGAGATCGAGGCGCTGCGCACCTCGCACGTCCACGAGCTCGCAGCGCGTGCAAGCGGCGGAGCCGAGGAGGTCGAGCTCGCGCTGTCGAGCCTCGCCGCTCGTCACGATGGAGCGCTCGAGGCGCTCAAGCGCGAGCACGCCGAGGCGCTCGAGCGGGCGCGGTCCGAGACGGCCGAGCAGGCGCAGGCGGAGCTTGATGCTGTCAAGAGCCGGCACGAGCAGGAGCTGTCGGCCGTTCGAGCGAGCCTCGGCGACGAGCGCGAGCAGGCCATGTCGGCCCTCAAGGAGGAGCACGAGAAGGCGCTCGCCGATCTTCAGCAGGTGCGCCCCACGCCCTCTTCTCTTCTCTCGTCGTCGACTCGTGCCTGACGTACTTGATCCTGCAGCTCCACGCCTCGACGACCGACGACCTTCGCTCCACCCTGTCCGCCGAGCACGCCTCCCTCCTCGCCTCGACGCAGCAAGAGCACGCCGACGCGTTCGACCTACTTCGTCGCGAGCACGGCACGTCGCTCGAGCAGCGTCAAGCCGAGCACGTCGCCGCTTTCTCGGCGCTCGAGCACCTGCACGCCGACAAGCTCGAGAAGGCCGTCCAGGACGAGCGAGCGAGGCTCGTCGTCGAGCACGAGCAGGCGTCCGAGGCGCTCAAGGCGCAACACGCCGAGGCGGTCGAGCAGGTGCAGGCGGCGGCCGCGAGCGAGCGCGCTGCTCTGCAGGCGCGGCACGCCCAGGAGGTCGAGGCGGCCGAGTCAGCGGCGGCCTCTTTGCGAGTCGAGCACGATCGCGCGGTCGACGCTGCCCAGCAGAGCCACGTCGCCGACCTCGACGAGCTCAAGGCCGCCTTGTCGTCCGAGCACGCTTCGGCGGTCGAGCGGCTCGGAGGCGAGCACGCGGCGGCGCTCGACGCCTTGCGCGACGAGCACGTTCGCGCCGTCGCCTCGCTCCGCGACGAGCACGCACGCGCGATCGACTCGCTGCACGTCGAGCACGCCGGCGTCGTCGACCAGGCGTCGACCCGGGACCAGGACGCCGTCGTCGCCCTCGAGGTCGACCGCGACGCGCTCAAGCAGGCCCACGAGGAGCTCGAGGTCGCCCTCTCGGCCACTCGCGACGAGCTCGTATCGGCCAAGGAGAGCCTGTCGATCGTCGTCGCCGAGCGCGACGGCCTGTCGCAGCGCCTCGACAAGCTCGCGGCGCAGCACGCCAACTTTGTCGCCGACCACGCCAAGGAGGTCAACTCGCTGCGCCAGACGCTCAAGGTCCAGCAGCACGCTCCCTCGACCTCGGCGTCGTCGTCTGGCGACCTGCAGGAGGCGCTCGCGGCGCTGTCGTCGGTCGAGCAGGCGCACGACGAGGACGAGCGACACGCCGCCGTCGAGCAAGCTCGCGCCGCCGCCTCTCGCCTCGACACCGCCCTCGCCCAAGCTCGCCAGGAGCGCGACGGGCTGTCGACCAAGCTCGCGCGCATGTCGCTCTCGTCGGCGTCGGCCGCTCCGCTCGGACTCGGCCTGCGAGCCCAATCACCGCCTGTCGGGCCCGCCGCTCCGCCGGTGGACGCCTTTTCGGCGCTCTCGAGTCGCGCCAAGTCGCCGACGGGCGAGCTCGACCGCGCCACGTCGCCGCCGCTGCGCAACGAGCGCTTCCTCAGCAACGGCTCGACCTTTAGCCTCAAGGCGCCGCCGCCCACCCCGCCGCCGACCGTCCCTCCTCCACCTGCGCCGCACCCTACCGCACCTCTCCCGCCGCTGCCGCAAGAGTCGCCGAGTCGGACGGTCGGCCGGCGTGCGTCGAACTCGTCCGTCACGGCGTCCACCTCGCCCGAGCAACGGCGTGGCTCGCTCGGGCCCGACCCGTCGGCGGCGGCGGCCCAGGCGCACGCGCAGGCGACGCTCGACGCGGCGCGTGCCCTCAAGGAGCAGCACGAGCGGCTCAAGCAGCGCCTCGCACAGCGCGACGCCGAGTACCAGTCGCAGGTGGACCTCGTCAACACGCTCGAGTCGGCGCTCAACGACTCGGAGCGCAACCTGCGCAAGGCGCGGCTCCAGTCGAACGAGTATGCGCGCGAGCGGGACCAGCTCAAGGAGCAGGCCGACCGGCTGCGGCTCGAGGCGCAGGACAACCACTCGACGAGCGAGTCGTACCGCCAGAGCGTGATCGACATGGAGGAGCGCCTGCAGGAGCAGCGCAACCGCGAGCAGAGGGCCGAGCGCGCGAGGCTGGACCTTGAGGCGCGCATGGCCGAGGTCAACAAGCGCAAGAGCAAGTGTGCGTCGTCGTCTTCCTCCCTCTCTCTCCCCTGGAACCCCCCACTGACCTCTCTCCCGTCGACGCAGTCGCCTGCTTCTAGACCGTCGTCACTCGTTCGACCCTACCCCTGCATCATCCCCTCGCACTCGCAAAGATACCCCGTCGGCGTCGTCGTCGTCGTCGTCGCCAGCGCTCGTTCCCCTTCTCATGTCTCTCTCTCTCTCCCGAGTTGTTATCGCGTCGGCCGGTGTTGTAGTGACGCTGCACTTGTGATTTGTTTCAGAGAGCGTGTGCTCCTCTGCGCCGGAAGCAGCGAGAGCGGCGAGACGGGGAGCGTGGCTCGCTCGATCTCGAAGGTCGACGCGGAGCTCGCTTGGCCCCCCTCGAGCGGTGCACGATGCAGGGCTACGCTGCGCCTGGACCACACCAACAGCAGCAACAGCACCAGCAGCAGTACCAGCACCAGCAGCAGCAGTACGCGCCGCAGCCACCTCAGCAGCAGCACGCCGCCTTCTTCCCTCAAGGATCGCCCTCGACCTCGACCGGCTACAGCGCCTCGCAGGGCATGCCGTCCTACTACGGCCAGCAGCAGCAGCAGCAGCAGCAGTACCAGCAACAGCCCCAGCAGCACCCGGACCAGTCGCTTGGCCAGCCTCGAGGTCCGTCGCCTCCACTTCTCCGCCCCTCCGCCCGCCCGCTCACACTCGCTCGTGCACCCGCGCAGACTCGACCGCCGGCCCGAGTCGCACTGCAGCTCAGCACCGCCGCGACACGTCCTACACCGCCGCCGGCAACGCGGCTCAATCGTCCAGCTCTGGCGCGGGACAAGGGTCCGGCGCCGCAACTCGCCATCCCGCCGCGCCGTACCAGCGTCCAGAAGGCGCCGTCCACAACGTCAAGGCGAGCTCGACCACGAGCCTGTTCACGACCCGCAAGAACTGGAGCGAGCACCTCCTCGAGGAACTCCAGGTGTGTCTCTCTCTCCCCCGCCTCTCTCTCCCTCCCTCGAGCCAGCCCTGACAGCCCCACCTCCCACAGGACTTCATGCACGTCCTGTCGCCCGAGGGTAACTTCATCTTTGCGTCGACCTCGGCCCAGGAGCTCGTCGGCTACGCGCCCGAGGAGCTCTTCACCCAGAGCATCTTCGACTTTATCCACCCGGACGACGTTCAGTCGTTCCGCCGCGACTTTGACCTGTCATGTCGCACGGGCGACACGCTCACCCTGTATTACCGCTTCAAGGCCAAGGACACGTCGGGCAACGACGACGTGCGCTACGTCCTGTTCGAGGTGACGGGCCACCCGTACTACGAGGGCAGCGGCGCACGCGTCGCCGGCAACACCGAGGCGCCCGCGCCCCAGGTCCTCGCGCGCGACCGACCCGCCAAGGCCTTCTTCGCCATGGCGCGCCCGTACCCGAGCAAGAACCAGGCCATGCTCGACTCGTTCCTCGAGCTCAAGTTCGAGAACGAGCGCCTCCGCCAGGAGCTCCTCGCCATGTACAAGGAGGTCGAGGGCGACGGCTCGAGCGGCGGTGCGTCGTCTCTCTCTCTCTCTCTATTCCGCCCCAGGACCGCCACTCATGCATTTTCTCTTTCGCGCGCAGGCTTCCCGTACGGCCAGCCGGGCATGTACCGCGCCGACTCGTTCGACGCCGGTGCGCGCACCGTCATCGACCCGGCGACGGGCCTCGTCCAGACGCAGACGCTCATCCCCTCGACGAGCAACACGTACGGCGCGCTCGGGATCGGCATCTCGGCCAACGGGACCAAGGGCGACGGCACGGGCGAGAAGAAGAAGAAGGTGCGCCCTCGCTCTCTCTTTCTCGGCGTTAGGGCTTCCTGCAGCGAGACTAACTCTGCTCTTTGCCGCTCTGCAGAAGGCGCGTGTCGAGGAGGGCGAGTTCGTCTGCCGCGACTGGTGCGTCCACCTCTCTCTCTCCCTCGCCTTCTCTCGCCGAGCCGCATTCTGACTTGCTCAATGTCCTTCTGCAGCGGCACGGTCGAGTCGCCCGAATGGCGCAAGGGTCCCGACGGCCCCAAGAGCTTGTGCAACGCCTGCGGTCCGCCCTCGTCCTCTCCTCATCTCGCCTCTCTCGGGCGGTCGCTCACTCAGGCTCGTTCCTCGTGCAGGTCTCCGCTACGCCAAGCTCGTCTCGAAGACGAAGAAGGAGGCGCGCGAGAAGGCGGCGCAGGCGGCCAAGTGAGGGCCCGCGGTCCTCCACCACCCTGTCTTCCTCGTTCCCGGTCCTCTCTTCTCGCCTCGTCTCGTCTCCCGCACACACAGTATACACGCCTGTCTCGCCCCCCCCACCTGTGTACATACCCTTGTCCCATACGCACCCTCGTGATCCCCCTTCCGCCCTGGTACACCCACGCTTCGGTCGTCCTCAGTCCCGCCTCCCTTTGTCGCCTGTAACACTGGGTCTCGTCGCTTTCCTGCACTCTCTCTCTCTCTCGTTGCGCATGCCTGAGAGAGAACGACAGAGTGGTACAACAGAGAGGACGACGACGGCTACGACAGAGAGAGAACGAGGAGCTCACAAGGCCTGGAAGTTGAGGTGGAGGAGCCTCGCCCTGCGCTCGGCCTCGTCCTCGCGCTTCTCGCGCACGTGCAGGACGACGACGACCACGCCGAGCGCGATGATGGCTCCGACGAGGACGACGCTGACCCAGGGGATCCAGTCGCCGGGTCTGAGGAACATCATCCTCGTCCACTCGTCCGGCCCGCCGCCGCCGCCCGCCGAGTCCTCCTGGTGCGGCATGACGAGGAGCTGCGAGTTGGGAATGAGACCCTCGATGTTGAGCCAATGCTGCGGCTGGTGCCGCGTCGAACCGAGGAAGAGGTTCTCGACGTAGTTGTTGGTGCGCCCGAGGCCAAAGTACGAGTAGGGCGTGAGGAGCGACGCGTAGGTCGACTGGGCGAGCTGGCCGTCTGCGAGATCGAGGGCGAGGGCGTCAGAGAGAGACACTGGGAGAAAGAGAAAGAGAGAGAGCGAGACGCACACTGTGTGCTGCGGCGAGCGCCGGTCGGGTCGAGGACGGTGAACTTGAACGACGCGCCCGAGTAGCTCGCGCCGAACGGCTGCGCAACGAGGAACGAGTCACTGACATGCTCGTGCGCAACGAGGAGAGAGCTGAGGACGCACCCTGTACCGCTTCTCGCCCGATTCTTGCGGCTCGCACCACCCAGGGCACGCGCCGTTGAGCACTGCGCGCACGCTCGAGGCGGGTCAGGTCGCGCTCGTCGTGCTTTCGAGTCGAGAGAGAGAGAGAGAGAGAGAAGACGCACTCTCGGCCTTGAGGAAGAAAGCGTCGTGGAAGTAGTTGTTCTTGATGAAGACGGGCGTGCGAGCCGCGCCCGAGTTGCCGAGGCGCTGCACGAGGATGTCGAGCGAGCCCTGTGTGACATGTATCGACGAGTCAGAGAACTTTTGATGGCGGAAAGGAAGGAGAGGAAGAGGGGACGCACATCGTCGTCGACGTCGAACCAGCTGACGCTCTCGACGTCCGTGATCTTGTCGAGCGCCTCGGCTCCCTCGCTCAGGACCCTGAACGCCCTCCTTTTCCTCGCCACCTCGGCGTCGGTGCACGACCCGCTCTCGCACGGGCGGCTCTGGAGGATGTGCGCGCGGCGGTCGTGGCCCTTGGTCGTGACGACGAGCAGGTCCGGGTACCCGTCGATGTTGTAGTCGCCGACCTGGGCCGCGATCGGGTACTCGCCGCGGTACGCCGTCGAGTGCACGACGAGCTCGTGCCCTGGCAGGAGCGCCGACAGCGGGATCGTCGTCATCGAGGCGGACGAGTCGGACGACGACGACGGCGACAGGTCGAACGAGAAGTGCGGGTCGGCGACGCACAGCGCCTCGGGGTCGCGGCACGCCTCGTGGTCCGGCACAGACGAGTCGCACAGCGGAATCTGGGAGTTGTAGGCGATCTGGAGCGCGCAGTGCCGGGGCGAGGTACACGACGAGATGACCATGTCGATCGTGCCGTCGCGGTCTGTGCGAGGGTGCGACGACGTGAGCAGCTGCTCCTCGAGGAGGATGAGGAGAAGAAGAGAGGAAGAGAGACGCACCCATGTCGGCGAACCCGACGCTCTTGGTCCCCTTGGGCAGTTTGCCCTCTCGCGCAAACTCGAACGCGCCCTTCTTGTTGAGCCAGATCTGGTACGACAGGTGCTCGACATCGTCGCCGTCCTGGCACATGAAGAAGAGGTCGGCGAGGCAGTCGCCGTCGAGGTCGATAAAGGCGTTGAAGTGCGGGTTGGGGAATCGGCAGGTGAAGGACCCGGTCGGCGACGACGAGACGTTGAGCGGGGCGTCCGAGCTGCGGCGCGATCAAGAGCGAGTCAGTCAAAGACTCACGAGAGTCAAGGAGGAAGAAGAGGGACGCACAGCTCAAAGATGGCCGAGCGATTCGACTGGTTCCACGCGTTCTTCCACAGCTGCGGCGTCTTGGACCCGGCGGGGAAGCCGAGCAGGTCGGTGCGCAAGGTGCCCGTCGCGTCAAGCGGCATCGGCTGAGCGAGGACGGACGAGTCGACGTGTTGAGGCTCGCCTGCGTGCGGGCGAGAAGGTTAGGGCTCTGAGAGGAAGGAGGACGAGAAGAGCGAGGGCGACGGACCAAAGGTGCCGTTGGCGTGCTGGAGGTAGACGCGCATGTCGATGTCGTCGTCGCTGCCCCACCAGCCGCCCGGGTTGGAGCCGCCCATGACGAGGAGGTCGACGCGGCCGTCGTAGTTGAAGTCGCCCGGGACGACGTTGGTGACGACGAGGTCGCTCGAGGTGCGGATGCGGGCGTGTTCCTGCTCGATCCAGGTGTACTTGTGGCGGTCCCACGTGAAGGACGAGAGGGTGCGCTGGTCTGCGCCGAGGTGGACGAGGTCGACGAGGCCGTCGCCGTTGAGGTCGGCGAAAGCGGCGACGATGCCGTTCGAGGGGAGGCCGAGTGGGCCTGCGTCGATGAGCTTCTCGTCGACGTAGCGGTGGTCGACGCCTGGGAACCACGCGGCTGCTTGAGCATGTCGGAGCCACAGGAGGGCGACGACGCAGAGCGACCAGAGCATGGTGGCCCGGACGACGCGGTGCGCGAGTCGGGGGAACACGGTGTGGACGTGGCTGTGGTGAGAGTAGGCTCGGCGAGCACCTGGCCGATGCAGCTCGAGCTGGCGAGCGAGCTTGAGTGGTGCAACAGCGAGAGCAGCAGTCGGCCCCTCGTCCTCGAGCTCCTCCCTCGTCTCGCTCGCTGCTCTGGGTCGTCGAGCTTGTCCTAGATCGGTTCTCTCTGGGCTCGCAAGTGCGTCCACCTTTTCCGCGTCCCGCCCTCGTGCCTTCCTCCCCCTCCCCCTCCCCCTCCTCCTTCCGCCTGGTGATGAGGACTCGACAGCTCGTCACCGCCGCAGGACCGCACCCAAGCCCCGCCGAGACACTCCAAGAGTACCTCAGAGCGCAGGGCTGACCTCTCGTCCCCGCAACAGCATGTCCTTCTTCGCCAAGTTCCTCACGGGCAGTCTCGTCGGCGGCGGGTCCGTCCCTCTCTCCCTTGCGCTTCGTCCAGCGCCCCGAGCTGACTGGCTCCAATTCTTGCGCAGCCTCACCTTGTACTACCAGAACGAGATCCGCCGTACGAGCGCCTCGCTCTCGTCCGACTTGCGCCATCTCTCGGACCAGCTCGTGCGCGCCGTTCCCGTCGCACAGCCGAGCGTCGCCCCGCCGGTCGCCCAGGGCCCCGTCATCCCGCAACGGCTCCCCTTCACCGAGGAGCTCAAGGCCCGGGTCCGTCCACCCTCGCTCTCTCTCGCCGTCGAGCGCTCTCGTCCGACCCGAGCTGACCTTGTCCTTTGCGTCGACAGTGGAACGAGCAGCTCGGCAACCTGATCCACAGCGCCCAGGTGACCGACTGGTCGGCCGTCGCTGGCAACGCTTACTCGTCACTGCGGTCGACGCTCGCCGGCGCCGCCGACGCAGCAAAGGACGCCGCGCCGGCGACGGCAGGTGCAGGGGGGGTCGGTGCGGGAGTTGGCCCGAGCTTGAGCGGTGGGCAGGTGGGGCCGTCGACGCCCGAGACGCGGTATGGAGCGGGGCTGCCGGCAGAGAGGGAGGTCAAGGGCCCGAGGAGCGAGGCGACGGTGGACAAGGCGGTCGAGGGCAAGCCGCTCGCGGTCAAGGAGGGCAAGCGCTGGGTCTAGTCTTGCCGCAGATTTGCAACAAGCGTCTGTGCAAGGTGCAGCCGAGTCGAGCGACCGCACGAGAGTTGCACCGCCTCGCGCCTTCGTCCGCTGCCCTCCTCTCGCTCATCCGCATCGCTCAGCCGCCAGTGTACGCTCTCTGTACGCGCCAGGCCTCGTCCAGCTGTCGCCCACAAGCATCGCACGCCGTCCTGTCGCTCGCTCGCCCCGCCGTCCTCCTCATCGAGCACGAGCGACGACATGTCGAACGACACCGAGTGGACGCAGCTCCTCGCCTGGCTCGCCACCTTTCCAGGCCACGTCGATCCAGAAAAGCATGTCAAGCTCGTCCACAACGCCGGTCCGTCCCTCTCTCCCTCCCCTCTCCTCTCGCTTCCCCGCCCGTCCGGGCTGACCTTGCCCCTCGCCGCGCACACAGCTGGCCGAGGTCTTGTCGCTCGTGGAGACGCCAAGGTGCGCTCTAGTCGTCCTTTCGCACTCGCCGGTCCAGCCCTTGACGCTCGTTCCCACAGCCCAGCACCCTCCTCATCTCGATCCCTCATGCCGCCCTCCTCAACCTGCGCACGCTCCGACCGCTGTACCCGAAACCCTTCCACTCGCTCTCGGCCACCCAGCTCCTGTCGCTCCACCTCGCGCGCCAGTTCCGGCGACACCTGGCCCCGTCGTCGTCGTCTTCGCAGAAGCGCGAGCCGCACGACAAATGGTGGCCCTTCCTCGCGACGCTCCCGCGCCAGTTCGCCACAGTCCCGCTGTGGTGGGCCGTCCACAGACGCAGCGCCGAGTCGCTCGCGGCCGACTTCCCGCTCGACCCCGACGCGCGCTCGGGCGCCGGCGCCAAGGGCAAGGGCAAGGCGGGCCCGGTCGACCCGTCGCTCGCCGAGCTCGCGCACGACAGTGTCGAGGCGCGCCAGGCACGCAGGACGAGGGCGACGCGGTACGCAGAGCTGAGGGAGCTCATGCCGCACGGCGTGCGGCGCAGGGCGGTCGAGATTGAGCGGCGCTTTGCCGAGGACTGGGCGGCCGTCCGGCGGGTCTGGGTGCGTCCTCCTTCTCTCCCTCTCGCTCTCTCACTCTCGCCGTTGACCTCAGGACTGACTCGCGACACGCACGCAGAACGCGCACGGCGACGGCGTTGGCGGCGACTTTGGCGTGCTCGACTTTGCGCTCGGGTTCCTCAACGTCAACACGCGCTGCATCTGGTTCAACGTCGACCCGGGCAACAAGGACAACAACCTGACGCTGTGCCCGGTCATCGACATGATCAACCACGCGCCGCGGCGCATGACCAAGCCCGAGTCGCTCCTGTCGACCCTGTCGTTCTCGTCGCCGACCCACTCGTCGTCCGACCCGGCACTGCGAGACGGCGACGAGCTGTGCTTCTCGTACGGCCCGCACGAGGACGCCATGCTCCTCGCCGAGTACGGCTTCGTCGTCGGGCGCTCGAACGAGCACAACGCGGTCGAGATTGACCGGTTCGTCGAGGCGCTGTTTGACGCCCAGGGGCGCGAGGGCGAGCTCAAGCGGCAGGTGCTCGAGGACGAGGGCTACTGGGGGTGCGTCCACTTTCTCTGCCCCCGTTCTCTCCTGTGCGTCGCACTGACACTGCTCGACCCGCAGGGACATGACGCTCCAGTCCGGGCCCGATGACTCGGCGTCGGCGTCGTGGCGCGTCCTCGTCGCCTTGCGTCTCCTGCACCTGCGCCTCCCCTCGCACCTCGCCGCCTCGACGTCGCTGTCGCTGTCGCTGTCGGGGCACGACGCGCTCGCGCCGTGGCAGCACGTCGTGAGCGGCGCGGCCGAGCGCATCTCGGTCGGCAACGAGAAGGTGGTGCAGGGGACGCTGCGGGGCCTGTGTGGCGCCGTCGAGAAGGAGGCGCTCGCTGGGCTCGCGAGGTGCGCCGAGGTGAGGGCGAGGTGGGACAAGGAGGCGGCGGCGGCGGCGGCGGGCAAGAAGGAAGGCGGCGAGGAGGTCGACGAGAGCGGCGCCAGCCTGAGCATGCTCGAGACGGTGTGGCGCGAGGAGGCGCGGATTGCGAAAGCGGTTGGAGGGTCGTAGACGTGCTCGCAATAGACCTAGACGCCGTGCGCTGCTCGAGAGAAAGTCCGAGACCCAGCGCGTCTCGACGAGACGAGCCTTGTTGACGGCTCGCTCTCGCCACCTGTCGTGCACCGCTTGATGAGCCCAGGCCGCGCGCATCCGCTCGCACGCCGTGAAGCCGAGCTCGTGCAGGCCGCCATCCTCGCGTCAAAGGCCGACCCGGCGTCGTCTTCGTCCGCCTCCCCCTCATCAGCTCGCGGTCCCGTCGTCGGCCCACCAGCCCCGACCAAGTACGGCACGCTGCACGGCACGCTCGGAACATCCACCTCGACCGACTCGGCCGCCCTGTACCTCGCCCGCGCCGTTCACCACTCGAGCAGCGACGAGCGCATACTCACCCCGACCGTCCCCCACCTCGCCTCGTCCTCGACCGCCTCGCGCCGCACGCCCCAGGCCATCCTCCCTACCGATCCCTCCACCTACTCCGCACGCGCCTTCCCACCGCGCCTCCTCGTCGCCGACACCCCCGTCGCGTCCACCTCCGCCTCCGCCTCTGTCTCCGACCCCATCGTCTCCGTCTCGACCACCTCGGCGGCTCGCCCGACCATGGCCACCGACGCCATCTCCAACTTCTCGAGCGCCGGCAAGTGGGGCGAGAAGAATCCGCTCGCCGGCGCTAGCAGGGCGGCGCACAAGGCGCACCAGGACGACGAGCTCGTCGTGGGCGACAGCGACGGTGAAGGCGGCGGTGCGTCCCCGAATCTCTCAGTCCTCTCTCTATGAACGTATACTAACTCTTTCGCGGTTCTCGCAGGCTCGGCCTCGCTTCCCCTCTCGAGCGCCCCCAACCCGTTCGGCGCGCTCCCTCCCCTTCCCGGCGCTCCGCCCGCCTCCTCCTCGTCCCTGTCGTCCGCCGGCAACGACGACGCGCACCGCCTCGACTCGGCCCACATGTCGAGCGTGACGACGACCGACCCGATCGCCGCGACGAGCTCGACCGACCCGCGCGCCGCCGCCGCTCCTCCTGCGCCCGTCGCCAAGAAGCCGCACCCGCGCCCTCGCGGCGAGACGCTCACGGTCGAGATCCCCGAGCGCGCGCGCACCGTGTCCAAGGGCGACGGGCTCGCGTCGGCAAAGAAGAAGAAGCGCTCGGCGCCGCAGCAGGACGAGGGCGACGAGGCGAGGGCCGGGACGGACTACGACGAGGTCCTGCCAGTCGGAGGAGCGCGCAGGGGCGCCAAGAAGAAGGTCAAGACGGTCAGCCGCGCGATCGTCCAGTCGTCGGACGAGGACGAGGACGCCGCCGCCGCAGGTTCGTCGCGCCGCGAGCTCTCCTCGCCGGCCCCTGTCGCCGGTCCATCGACCAAGCGCGCTCGCTCCGCCTCGACCGCGTCCGCCGCCGCGCCTCGCTCGCGCAAGAAGAGCGTCGCCGTCTCGGAGGACGAGGACGGCGAGGCGGCGCTCCAGCGCGCGGTCGCCGAGCAAGCCGAGCGCGCCGAGGAGGGCGACAGCGACTTTGGCGGCGGCGGGCGCAAGAAGAAGGCCAAGCGGGCGGCCTCGGCGAGGAAGGACAGCGCGGGCGCGGCCAAGCAGAAGGGTGCGCCGAGGCGCAGGCCGACCGTCAAGCGCGACGCGGCGGCGCCTCCTGTCGTCACCGGCGGCGCCGAGGTCGAGTCGGCGGTCGACGAGGCGGTCAAGCCGTCGAGACGCCGCACGAGCAGCAGCAAGGCCAAGTCGGTCTCGGACGAGTTCGTCGACGACGACGCCGACCGGGTCGAGCCCGAGCCGCAGCACAAGGCCGCGCCCGCCGTCACGGCCGCAGCGCCCGTCGAGGTCGGCGACGACGAGGAGGACGGCGTCGTCGTCAGCAAGAAGCAGGCGCCGAAGCGCAAGCGCGCCATCGTCGACTCGGACGACTCGGGCGCCGACGACGGCCCTGCGCCCGCTCCCGCTCTCGCTCCTCCCGTCGTCGCCGAGCACGTCGCGTCGACGTCCAAGTCGAAGAAGGACAAAACCGCGTCCAAGCCGTCGAGGAAAAAGGCGACCGCCGTCCCCTCAACGCCCGACGTCTCGCCGCCGGCCAAGCGCGGTCGCCGCGCCGCCGCGACCAAGAACTCCTTCTGCCCGTCGTCCGAGGTCGAGCCCGAGGTCGACGCCGACGCCGGCGCGGCGAGCGACGCGACGTCGGCGATCCGGACCGAGGACGAGTCGGACGAGGACAGCGACGCCGGCGGCGATGTCGGCTCGGCGCCCGCCAAGGGCAAGGGCAAGGCCAAGGCCAAGGCGTCGTCGAAGAAGAAGGGCAAGGGCATCTCGGTCGCCGTCGAGGTCGAGCCCGTCGACGGCGGCGCCGGAGCGGGCGCGTCGTGCAAGCGTTCCGCAGGCGCCGGCACGTCGCGCTCGCCCGAGATCGAGCGACGTCGGTCCGCGTCGTTCGAGGCGCGCATCGCGGCCATGATGGCTGTCGCGGGCGGCTCGCCCGACAAGTCGCTCGTGGCCGTCAAGCCGGCGTCGAAGGGTGCGGCCGGGCCGGCTAGGGGCAAGGCCCCGGCCAAGGGCAAGGGCAGGGCGGCGGCGAGCAAGGAGGTGGGCATGGACGCCGACGACGAGGACGAGGACGACGAGGACGAGGAGAAGAAGGACGAGGAGCCGGCGCCACCTTCGAGCTCGGCGGACGCCAAGGTGCGCTCCCTTTCTCTCTTCCCTTCTCCTCTCCCTTCTCTTTTTCCCTTCTCTCGTCGTACTGCGTCGACGATCTCTCACACGCGACGGGCACTGACGACGTCTTGATCGCGCGCAGGAGAACGAGGACAAGGGCACGCCGGGTCCGTCGCGCACGACGTCGCTGTCGCGCGTCAACGCCGCCGTCGGGACGCCTCTGCAGCAGCGTAGCCGCTCCATGTCGGGCACGCCGGGCGCTCTGAGCAGGACGCCAAAGCCGGGCAGTGCGTCGCGTCCTCCTCTTTGTCGTCCCCCTCCTCTAGATCGCTCCCTCTCGTTCCCGCCTCTCAGCTTCATTCTCGGTCCTGTCCTGACCAAGCGTCCCGTTACTCGTCCACAGGCCTCGCCGCCATCCTCGCCAAGCAGAAAATGCCGACCGCTCGCGCGCCGGGCCTGTCGATCAGGCAAAAGCTCCCGCGCCTGCACACCAACCTCAAGCCGCCGCCGCCGCCCAAGGCCATCCTCAAGAACGACGCGCCCAAGAAGAAGAAGAAGAAGGGCGACGAGAGCTACTCGGACGAGGAAAAGGTGCGTCCTCGCTCGCTCTCTCGCGCTCGGTCCCCTTCCTCGTCGCCGACTGACAAGACGCCTTGTTCCCGCGCCCGCAGCCCTGGTACGAGCGCAAGGACCCCGAGGAGTGGGACGACGACGACCACGCTCGTTGGCAGAAGCGCTGCCGACGCATCGAGCGAGGTCTGCCGCCCGACACGCCGACCAAGGACGACTGAGTCGTGTCGGCTCCCTCCTTCCTCTCCGTCTCTCCCTCTCTCCCTCTCTGTAGCCCCCTCTCCCGCATCCCTCGTCGCTTGTCGTAGTCGCATCTGTCTCTCCAGTCGCTTTGCAAAGCTTGTCGTGCTCTCGCTTTTTGCGCTCTCGTCGATCAGAGGAGAAAGAGAGAGAGAGAAACGGTTACAGAGGGGAAACTGCTTTCGAGGCTCGAGTCGCCCACGGCCCATCGTCTAGACCCACTTGATCGTCTGCTCGTCTGCGAGGACCGTCTTGCGCTTGAGGACCTCCTCGACCTTCTCCCGGACGCCGACCTTGCCGCCCGACCGCCGCACGAGCCGCTCAACGACCTCGTTGCGCGTGACGGCATAGTCGTCGCTGCCGGCGTCCTCGCCCTTGACGATCTTCTCGACGTCGCGCTCCGAGGGCAGGGCCCACTTGGCGTGCGGCGACTGCTTGTACGGCGCGAGGGGCGTGACCGGGCGCGACTTGCGCAGCTGGGCGAGGCGCAGGTTGGGCACGGGCGGGTTCGAGAACGGCGGCGGCGACGCGAAAAAGGAGCGCTGGATGTCGGCGTCCGACACGTCCTTGAGCGTCGCCGGGGACCACGAGGGGCGCTCGCCCTGCTCGGGTTTACGCTTGTTGATCAAGAGGTCGGTGACGCCCGTCCTGAAGTCGGGGTGGACCGGCGGCGAGCAGCACGCGGCGGCGATGCGGGCGTCCATCATGAGGACCTCGTCGATCGACAGCTTGGCGCCCTCGCGGATGGCCTTGATCGTGAGCTTGACGCTCGTCGGGCTGCGCAGCTCGATCGCCTCGCGCGTCTCGCGCGCCCACCGCTGCAGCGCCGACATGTCGACCTCGCCGTCGTGCGCGAGGACAATCTTGCGCAGGTCGAGCGATCCGTCCTCGAGCTTGGCGAGGTCGGCCACCATGGCCTCGGCCGTCGGGCGCGAAAAGATGGCGTCGATGGCGCGGCGCACGGGGCCGACGAGCGGGTACGCCTTGAGCGCCTGCGCGAGCTCGGACGCGTCGGCGGCAAACTCCTCGATGACGCTGTTGACCGTGTCGTGCGTCGCCGAGACGTCGAGCTCGGAGAGGCGCGTCTCGAGGGCCGCGAGGCGCTCCGAGGGGACGTAGTGCGTCGCGAGCCCGGCAAAGAAGGTGGCGGCGCCCTTGAGCGGGAACGACGTGAGGCCGAGGTACAGGCCGAGCTGACCGTCGAGGCGAGGGAGGAGGAAGTTGGCGCCGACGTCGGGGAACAGGCCGATCTTGGTCTGCGAGCGGGCGAAAGAGGGTCAGTGCGCGCGCACCGCGGCTGCGACTCGTCCCTTCTCTCGTCGTCGACTGAGGGGACGAGACGTCGAGGGGAGCGCGACTCACTTCAGGCATGGCGATCTGGGTCGTCTCGGTCGCGACGCGGAAAGCGCCGTGGCCCGTCATGCCGACACCGCCGCCGACTGCAGGAGCGTATGGTCAGTCTCGGGTACCTCGTCGCCAGAGAGTAAGAGAGAGAGAGACGTACAGACGACGCCCGTCATGAACGAGACGACCGGCTTGGGCGTGGTCGCAAGGAGGTGGTTCTGTGGGCGCGAGTCGGTGTCAGCGGGTCCGTCTCGGGGTGCACAAAAGGGAGGGCGGGACGGACGGTGCGGTACTCCTTGTGGAAGAAGCCGGACGCCTTCTTGTAGTCCTTCTCGTGCTCGAGGTGCTTCATCAAGGCTGGGGAGAGGTCCGAGGGGTCAGCTCGCTTGGTCACGAGGGAGGGGAGGGTTGGACGCACAGACGACGTCTCCGCCGGCGCAGAAGTGCTTTCCGGCGCCCTTGATGAGGACGACGTTGGCGAGCTCGCTGGCCTCGATGCGCTGCAAGTCGAGGAACGGAGGTGAGCCCGAACGGCTCTCGCGCGAGACGGCGCAGGGGAGGCGGGGACGGACCTCGAGGTGCGAGTAGACGAGGTCGACCATCTCCTCGTTGAGCGAGTTGAGGGCCTTTGGGCGGTTGAGGGTGATGCGGCGCAGGGCGTGCACCGCCTCGAACTCGACCGGGGGCTGGCGGCGGCGACGACGGCGGGGAAGGGTGGGCACGACGAGTCAGTGGGGGTGCCCGAGGAGGTGACAGGGCAGTGGAACGGCGGGCGACGCACCGGTGCAGCAGCATCAGGCCCGGTCGCGGGAGGCCGAGAGCTTGACGGGGTCGACGACGACGACGAGGACGAGGCCGACGACGAGAGCTGGGCAGCGATCTGCTGGACGCGGGCGGCAGGTGGGCTCATCGTGGTGCGCAGCGAGGGGCGGCAACTGGCTCGCAGGCGTGGCAGCATGGCAAGACGAGCGGGTGCCGGACTTTGGGCGAGCCGGAGGGCGGCGAGGACGAGGGCAGCGGGGAAAAAGCCTCGCTCTTCTCTCAACCACAGGCAAGGGGGCTCGTGTGAGAGACGGGTGGACACTGACTGCACTGACAAAGACAAGCTACTACAGATGAGAGAGAAAGAGAGAGGAGAGAGACAACGAGGGAGGACCAGCTCACGCTCGCCGGCGCGCTTCGACTGCCCGCGCTCTAGCAGCAACACTCGTCCTTGGACGCCTCGTACGCCGTCGACGCGTCCGTCGCCGTGTCGCGCTGCAGCAGGCTCGAACGAGTCAGTGGCGCTCGACGCCGAGGAGGGAAGAGAAAAGAGAGCGACGCACCGCAAAGAGGAAGTGGCCGACGCCGCCGCCGCCAATGATGGCCATGAGGATCGCGACGTTGAAGTACATGGCGAGGAGCATGAGAATGTAGGCGACGCCGAACTGGACAAAGTAGAACAGCGACCGGACCGCGTGCTCCTTGTTGGACGGCCGGAACGGCGCCGACAGCGCAATCTCCTTGCCCTGGTTCTTGGCGAGCGCGGCGAGCGCGAGCGCCTCGCGGCGATAGTAGGCCGTGCGGATCGACCGGTCGTACTCGCGCCCGAGGCGGCGCACGGCCTCGTGCGCGAGGACCATGAAGAAGACGCCGATGACGCTGGCCGCGAACGCGCCGACCGAGCGCACGTGCCACGACGACGTGAGGAAGCACGAGTCGACGACGGTCCAGTTGAAGAGCATCCTGTCGACGGGAGCAGGGCGAGGCGGGTCAGTACGGTCGAGAGAGCTGCTGTCGAGGACCGAGGCCGGCGGGGCGGGCTCACGAGATCTGTAGGGGGCGACGTCAGTCTACGGCGGGCGGCTGGCACTGCGAGAGAATGGAGGGACGCACCTGGCAGGCACCGCCAGACTCGGATCCACCGCCCATGCCCATGTCCATGCCCGAGTGGTCCATCTTTGAGGCGGCGAGGTCGGCGGCTGAGGGGACGCGCGAGGTCAGTTTTTCTCTCACCCTGACGAGGGAGCGCGAGAGGACGCACAGAGGTGTATGAAGACGAGGTCGAGGGCGTGGTTGAGCAGCAGGCGCCGCGTCGAGGGAGCGAGGAAAAGGCGCAAAGTGGTGGGAAGGAGGAAGAGAGGCGAAGCGGCGGCGCCGAGCCAAGACGCTCGCTTCGGGACAGCACGGATCGTCCACCGAGCGCACCGAGCGAGCGGTAGAGGGGGTCGCGTGACCGCTCGGTGGTGCACAGGCCGTGTACGAGCGAGAGAAGGAGGTATCTCCGACTCGCTCGAGCGACAGCAACCACGGTGGGTCGCAGGCGAGCTCGAGGGCATGCTGTCCGGGTCTGCAAGAGTCTGCAGGGTGGTACGGGCGGCCGATGATGCGCTCGCGAGGGTGTGGAGCGAGCGGGGAGGTCGACACGGCGGGGGCGAGGTGGGACGAGGACGGCGCAGTGTCGAGACGGCGGGGAGGTTGGCGGGCGAGCTGTGCGGTGTTTGTGCGGGTGCAGGGCGCTGCTGTGGGCAGCAGCAGCGTGCCCGAGAGCTGTGGTCGAGCGAAAGAGGCGAGCGACTGATGAGGCGGTGAGGCCGTCTCGCGCGCGCAGCCGCCCCGCCATCGTCTCCGAGGCAGACCTCGCCCGCGCAGCTGCGCCTTTTTCGCTCGGCCGTCTCGCGGCCTCTTTTCGTGCGCTTTGAACTGCAAGTCGTTCTGCGGGAGCTCGTCGATCCGGTGCGCTCGACAGGTCGCCTGCACCGAGTGGTCACCGGTCGCTGTGCGGCCAGCAAACGTCCCGCGCCTGCCCGGCGACGCTGCAGCACCCAGTCATGAGCCGCGCTTGCATTCGTACGCGACCCAGACGTACTCAAACGTCCACCGCAGCCGCGACGAGCGGCGTCGATGTGTGCCGGCGCTGTGCTGGAGCGCAAGCGCACGGTCCCTCACTCTTTGGTTTCCCTTGCCTCTTCCTGCTCTCGCTACGGCAGCCGCCAGGGTCCCGCGCTTCGAGTGCGTATACTTCGACACGCTCGCTAGCCTGTCGCCAGTCCAGCCGACCCGGCGTCGACGCTGTCGCCCGACAAAGCGGTGGCCTCGAACTGGAGAAGGTCGGCAATCGCACCAAGTCGCATTCGGTTCTGTTCTGCGCAGATTCTGTGCGTACACCTCGACACAGACATCCAAGAAAGGGGATGTAACTCAGTGGCAGAGTGCTTGCTTCGCATCTCATGTGCTTGCATGAAGTCCAGGGTTCAACTCCCTGCTTCTCCACCTCTCTTTTTTGCTCTCTGCGCGCTCGAGCGTCTCTTTTACGCATCTGCGGAGCGTTGCGCGGAGACGCGTGAGGAAGTTCGCCATGCGCGCCGTCAAACAGGCCCGCGAGGAAAGGCCGCGAGCGGTCACAGCCCCTCTCGTCCACCGAGCCAAGAACGGTGCGAGGCCACGACAGGCCAAGCACCGGTGCGGACACGCGCGAGTCGAGCTGCAGTCAAGCCGAGCCGGTACAGGCGCATGGCCGCGGTCGAGCGCAGGCGAGGTCAAAGCGCGGTCAACTTGAGAAGGTTGCGCTCCAGTCCTCCCGAGCGGGTTGGCAGACCTTTTGGCACGCGGGCGGAGATCGGCAAAAGCGCAGAACGGCGCTGGGTGAGCGATCGTAGCCCTGGGAGGCAAAAGAGATGAGCGTCCGAGCGCTGCAGTACTTGTATTCCCCGACGGGGAATCGAACCCCGCTCGCGGCTGTGAGAGAGCCGAATCATAACCACTAGACCATCGAGGACTTGCTTGTCAGAAAACGCTGAGCACGCGTGTTCATAGCAACATGCAGTTTGGAGCGGTCAAAGCGTCTCGCGGCCAAGTCATTCTGCTCGACGAGCGCCGGAGCCTGAGCGGCAATCTTGAGAGGCAGAGGCCCACCGTGCTCTCGCGTGCTCTCTAGAGAGCCGGTCTCGAAGCAGAGGTGGCGAGCGCCGGGCAGAAGTGACGGTTTCGCACCAGAGCAGCTCTCCAGCCTCTCTCGACAAGCGAATCCGGGTCTTTGGAGCGACACAGGGCGTAGTATGACAACAGGGCGGACAGATGCGACATGCAGGACACGAGGAGAGGAAGGGGGAAAGGAGGACGAGGAGATCTCACCGCCCAACGGCAATGGACTCGAGCTTGGCAAAGTGCGGCCTTGCGAGGCGGATGTTGAGCTCGATTGAGGCAGGCTCTGTAGGCGCGAACGACGAGGGGGACGGTCAGTGGACGGCATTGGAGGAGGAGAGAGAGAGAGGGAGAGACGCACGGACGTGACCTCGAGCGACGACGAGGATGTAAGTCTCGGGCGTGAGGGCGTCGAGCACGGCCGCGTAGTGCGGCGTCGTGATGGTGAGCGACGAAAAGGGCGAGCGGATCTTGCTGCGGGTCGTCGGGGCGAACGTGTCAGAGCTCGGCGCCACAGAGGAGAGGGAGGCTGGAAGGGGGACACACGAGCACCCGAGCTTGAAGGCCTTGACCATGGTACTGATGCGCTCGAACCGGCGCTCGTCCCACTCGGTGTCCTTGGCGTCGTCCTCGTTCGTGACGCTCGAGATGACGAGGAACGTAGTGCGCTCGAACAGGACAATCTCGCTCGCCGACGAGAGCGACAGGAACGACGTGAGGTGCGACCGGAGCGACGACAGGGACGGCATGAGGTGCGAGATGACGATGGACCAGGCCTTCAGACGCGGGGAGAGTGTGTCAGCTTCTCGTCAAGTGGTCGAGGACAAAGAGGCGCCAGGGACGCACCTTGTACAGCGTCTCGTTCCAGATGGACGTGCCGTAGAAGCGCAGGCCGCCCTTGTACCCGCTCTCACGCGCCTTGCGCGTCACCTCGGCCTCGAATTCGGCGAGCTTGCTCTGCTGCACGTCGACGGGCACGAGGTCCATCTTGTGCAGCAAGACAAAGACGGTCGGCCCGCCGTCGTCCGCGCCGCCGTTGCCGTTGCCCGCGCTCGACGTGACGGCCGCCGACGTACTGGTGGGCGAGGGTGCCGAGGCAGATGCGGGCGAGGGAGGGGGCTGAGGAGCCGACGAGGTCGGGTTCTGGTCCTGGAGGGCGCGCAGGCACTTGAGGAAGTAGACCGTGTCGGACGTGAGGAGCTCGGTCGACTCGGCGTCGAAGATGTAGATGAGCGAGTGCACGGCACGGAAGACGGTGGACGACTGGGCCGTCAAGTGCGAGTCCATGAAGGCTGCGCGGTGAGGAGAGGGTGGGTGGTAGGAGGGAAAGGGAGGGGTTGAGGGTCAGCGATCGCATCGAGACTACTGCCACACGCAAGGGGAAGCTATCACGCACAGTCCTGGCCACCACAGTCCCACAGGTCGAGCCTGAGGCCGCCGAGGAACTTGATCTGGGAGCTCTCGACGTCGATGGTGGCTCCGAGGCGTCGCGTGTCGGCGGCGAGCTGCGACTTGAAGATGATGGCGCGCATCGACGTCTTGCCCGAGCCCGACTTGCCCATGAGGAGGACCTGGACGGGTGGGAGGGGTTCAGTCACTCGACCTCGAAGGAGGGAACTGATGAGGAGGTGGAGGGAGGCGGGCGCACCTTTTTGCGCGACTTGGACGACATGGTGGTGTGTAATGAGGGCGTTGCTATGTGTATGGGGCAGACGCAGACCAGCCAGCTGAGGGCGAGAGCGGTGGAGAGCGTCAAGAGCCAGGCGAGGTAGCCAACCGTCACTTCCTTCTCGTCGTCCCGCCGCTCACTGCCTCTGATGGACGTGCTTGCTCGACGAGCAGTGCGCTCGATGCTCCATCAGCTACGACATCGCCCATCCCAGCCCCCGGCCCCGCTCCTCACCACTCGACCTTGCGCCCGCCCCACACCCTGCGCGCTGGCCCGCCTCTCGTCCACAGCCGCACCAGCTGCGCCCACACTCGACCCAGATCAGCCCAGATCAGCTCCTGATCCGCCGTCGGGCGAGCGGCCCCGCCCAAAGGGCAAGGCCAAGACGCAGCCAAAGCCCCGCAGGCGCAAGGAGCTGCCGGAGCTCAGGGAGGAGGACCTTGAAGAGTCGTTCGTCCGAGGTGCGTCCCCTCTCCATCTTTTATCGTCTCGAGTCGATGCGGGGCCGAGCGCCGTCCTGTGTGCAAGGTACTGACCCTGCTCGTCCACCTGCCCCCTCTCCTCTCGACTCTGCCGCCTCGCAGGCTCCGGTCCCGGCGGGCAGGCGACGAACAAGACGTCCAACGCGTGCTCCTTGATCCACCGCCCAACCGGCCTGCGCGTCCACTGCCACGAGACGCGCTCGCGCGAATCGAACCGCAAGCTCGCACGCCGGATCCTGCGCGACAAGGTGCGCCCGACTCTTCCTCTGCCTCCTTTGCGGCCTGTACTGACCCTCGCAGCCTGTCCACCGCCCCTTGCAGCTCGACCAGCTCCTGAGCCCGCCTGGCGAGTCGGCAAAGGACCTCGAGGCGGAGCGCGAGCGGAGGAAGAAGGAGGCCAAGCGGCGCAAGGCCAAGCGCAAGGCGGACGACAAGCGTGGGGCCAAGGCGCAGGGTCAGGACGGAGAACGAGAAGAGGACGAGGGCGCCGAGGACGAGTGGGACGCCGAGGGCGAAACCGGGGAGGCGGTTCCGAGTCGAGGAGGGTCGGTGCTAGGAGAGTGAGAATGCGAGCTGGTCTTGCACCTCGACGCGCTTCCCAACGAGAGCCTGCTGGCCTGCACGCAAGAAGTCGCTCGCCCCGTTCGCGTTCACCGCCTTGTTCGTCCGCTGCCTCGAAGTCGCGCTCTCAGTCGTCCCTCGCACCCTCCCCTCGTAGCTCTGCGCCGCACTGCTGCTCGAGCGCACCATGTCGAGCTCTACCAGTCCCACGCACGGCACTGCCGAGCCGCCCGCCAAGCGACCACGGCGCGGCGCCTTCGTCGTCTTCGAGGGACTCGACCGCAGCGGCAAGTCGACCCAGGTCGCCCGGCTCGTCGACGCCCTCAATGCTGCAGGCACCAAAGCCGTCGCAGCACGCTTTCCAGGTGCGCTCGCCTCGTCCTCGGCATCTCTCGAGGAGGTCGGCGCGTCGCCTCGCGGTGATGAGGACGTCGGACGGCCTTGCGCGGGCGAGCGAGAGGCAGACGGAGCAGGGGCGCAGCATTGCAGTGCCCCAGGACACTGTGTGCATCCCTCGACGAGCGCGCACCCCCACTCACGCTCTCTCCTCCCTCCTCCCCCCACCCTCGACCTCGTCCCTCCCGAACGCAACCCTCGCCGCAGACCGCACCCTCACGACGGGCAAGATGATCGACTCGTACTTGTCGCAAAAAGCCGACCTCGACGACCGTGCCATCCACCTCCTGTTCAGCGCCAACCGGTGGGAGCGAGCGTGCGTCCACCACTCTCGACTCCTTGGTTCGCGCACGGCGGAAGCCACACCTGACGGCTTCTGCATCGCGACTCGCAGGAACCAGATCTTGCGGGACCTCGAGAGCGGGACGACGGTCGTGTGCGACCGCTACGCGTTCAGCGGCATCGCCTTCTCGGTCGTCAAGGTGCGTCCAGCTCTCTCGCGCCTCGTCACCCCTCGCCCTCCCTCCCACTCTTCCTCTCGCTCGCACACTCACTCATTCGCGTCCCACAGGGCCTCTCGCCGACCTGGTGCCGCGCACCCGACGTCGGCCTCCCCGCGCCCGACCTCGTCCTCTTCCTGCGCATCTCGCCCTCGGCCGCCCAGACCCGGGGCGGGTTCGGCAACGAGCGCTACGAGACGCGCGAGATCCAGCTCGGCGTCGAGCGCGAGTTTGCCGCCCTTGCCGAGAGCGTCGAGCGCGGCGTGTGGAGGAACGTCGATGCCGACAGGGGGGTCGAGAGCGTGGCTGAGGAGGTGTGGGACAGGGTCGGCGAGGTGCTCAAGGGCCCGAGGTGTGAGAGGGAGGTCGCGAGACTGTGGGAGGGCGTCGACGACGAGCAGGAGCCGGCACGGGCTCAGTGAGGGAGCGCGCCTCGCAACTGTGTACCTCGAGCACCTTCTGCCACTGCAAGTCGTTCCCTCGCTCTCTCTCTTTCTCTGCCGCACAGTCGGGAAGCTCGAGAGTGTCTGTCTGTCGTGCACGTACAACACACGGCACCGGGCCGCGTCTATCTACAGCTGCTCGCCCTCCTCCCGCCTCGAGAAGCCGCCCTCTCGCTCGCTCACTTGTCGGCGTACCACCTCCTCGCCTCGTCGATGATCTCGCTCTCGACCGAGAACCACGCGCGCTCGACCTCGCTCCAGACGGCGGCGCGCTTGTCCGAGTTGATGTGCTTGACCTGGAGGTCGAAAGCGGCCGAGATGGGGCGGTGGCTGTACAGGTGCTCGAGCACGGTCAGTTTGTGCCCGAGAGACAGAGAGAGAGAGACGCACTCGGACACGTTGACCTCGTAGCGCTGGTAGTGCAGCGGCGTCACCTTGTCGGCGCGGTCGGCGCGGTACAGGACGCGGTCGCACCACGCCGGGATGCGGCGCTTCGAGCTCGAGTCGTACTGGTCCGTCCCTCGATCGTACCTGCACGACGAGGGAGCAAGGTCGGTCAGTAGGTGCGCAAGTTCGAGGGGCTCGAGGAGGAGGAAGAGAGACGAGGGAGGCCGGACGCACTTGTAGGTCGGCGGGAAGTGGATTGCCGGCTCCTTGAACGAGCGTAGCCGGAAGGTCTGGTTGGTCGCGAGGTTCTTGAGGAGCTGGTCGTGAGCGAGGAGCGACTCGCTCTGGCCGCTCGCGACGGCCGAGACGACGGCGTCGCGGCGAGCGTCAATCTGCGAGAGGGGGGCGAAGCAGAGTCAGTGAGGCCGTCGAGAGAGTCACGAAGAGCGAGAGGGGACGCACACGATAGTTGAGGTCGCCGGCGAGGAGGATGAGCTCGTGGTCGAAGGGGAGGGTGCCGGACCCTCCCGGGGCGTAGGCGCCCGGCGACGACGACGCGAGTTCCGAGAACGACGCCTTGTCCTCGAGGATGTCGACGAGGTCGCGGTCGCGCTGTCGACGGTGCGACTGGCCGGCGGCGAGGTGACAGTTGATAAAGCACAGCGACGTGTCGTCCATGACGAATCCTGCTCGACGAGGGCTGGTCAGGCTCGGGACAAGACGCTACAGGCCGCAAAGAGAGGGACGCACGAGACAAGATCGCTCCCTTGTTGCCGTAGCGACCGCCCATGCCCGTCTTGACCGTGATGTGCGCGACGTCGCGCAGACGAGGAACCTCGCTGCTCTTGACGAACACGATCGAGAACAGCTGTCGGCGCGCTCGGCTAGAGTGAGTCGAAGCGAACACGGATGAGGGGAAGGGAGAGGGAGAGGCGGGACGCACGCCAATCATGTCGGCGACGTGCACGACCGTGTAAGGCGACTCGGGCGGCATGTTGAGCCGGACGGCCTGGACGAGCTTGTCGTGCCACTGACGGTAGCCCGACGAGATGCTGTCCGACATCTTGCCGTCCATCGCCTTCTTCTTGCCCATGAGCATCGACTCTGCGGCGAGGACACGAGGGAAAGTGAGTGAGAAACCTCGAACGAGGACGAGGACGAGGGGCGAGGGACGCACTGGCTGTGAGCTTCTTGTCCTCGAGGTCGATGACCTCCTGGAAGCCGATCGAGATGATGTCGGGGTTGTCGACGCTCGTGAGGGCGTTGCGCAAGAACTCGAGGTTGTCGACCGTGCCGTGCAGGTCGCCCGGTCGCGAGGCGTCGATGTTCCACGAGATGCACAGGGCGCGCACCGACCGGAAGCTGCAGAAGTCGGGCTGTCGAAGGTGGAGCTCGGCGTCTGTCAGGGGAAGAGGTCAGCAAGGCGGGCGACGAGGAGAAGGACGATCGTGAGAGCCCGGACGCACCGATCCAGTCCTCGCGCAAGAAGCCGTCCCACAGGGACACGTTGTCGCCCGTAGCACTCGCAACTTGAAGCGTCTCGTCCTGCGGCAGGGGGGGAGAGAGAGACAGGTCAGGTCGAGCTCGAGAGGGAGGACGAAGAGAGAGGAGCGAGCGCGAGGACGCACCTTCCACAGCGACGCCGGGTCGACCGTGAGGCGGATGACCGGGTCCTTGTGCGCCTTCCACGCCTTGACGACGACCCACGGCTCGGACGACACGTCGTACACGCACACGTAGCCCGTGCGGAAGCCGGCCCACAGGAACCGCCGGACGCCGACGAGGGCCGAGACGGCGTACGGCGACACGCGCTGCACGGCGACGCACGCGTACGTCGTGCGGTCCCACACGCTGACGAAGCCGTTGTCATGCGCGAGGTAGACGAGGTGCTCGAGCGCCGGGACGATGGCGCTCGCCGTGACGGCGCCGATCTGCCCGGCCGACTCGGGCGTGACGAGCGGGCGCGCGAGGAGCGAGAAGGCGCCGGCGCCGCGAGAGCACGACGGGTCGAAGACGCGGATCTGCGGGCTGCGCATGGCGACGGCCGTCGAGCCCGGCTTGGTCGTCGGCCCGCTCGAGGTCCACAGCTCGGCGCCGACGAAAGCGGCGAACGTCTGCTTGTCGGGCACGCGCTGCTGCCGCGACTCGGTCGTGGTCGCGAGCTGCGGCGCTCGGTCGCCCGAGCTGTCGCCCCACAGGACGCACTTGCCGCCCTCGTCGAGCGTGAGCATCGCTCGGCCGATGCGGAGGATCCAGCACACCGGGTGCGCGTGCACGTTGCCGCGAGTCGCCGTCACGACGAGGTTGTCGACGTCGACCTCGTACAGGGTGCCGTCCTTGGTGCCGCACCAGATGTACCGCCCGTCGTCCTCGGGCGAGTCGGCGTCGGCGGGGCGGAACTCGACGGCGAGGAACTTCTGCTGGTCGCCGGCGATCGGGAACGAATCGCTCGTCGCGGCACTCGCCGACGTGCGCCAGATGTGCAGGCGGTGGTGCGCCGTGACGACGCGCGAGCCTCGCACGGCCCACGCCGAGAACTGCGACGCGAGGATCGGGCGACGGTTGCGCAGCGTCGGCGGACGGCGGTTGGCGAACGTCGCGTCGGGGAACTCTTGCAGAGCCGACGTGGCGGCGTCCTCGTCGTCCTCGGACGACGCGTCGCCGCTCGGGACGATGTTGGGGCGCTGCGGCGCAGGTCGGTCGCCCGCCGCGACGGAGCGCATCGGCGGCGGCGGCGGGACGTACGATGCCGCGACAGGAGGAACCGAGACGGCGGCAACGGCTGGCGCGGGTGCCGGTCGAGGCGGGAGGGCGACAGGAGGGACGGTGGCGAGACGAGCCGGGAGCGCCGGCGGCCTGCCCGGCGCGGCGCCGGCAGCGGGGCTCAGGGCCGAGTCGCGTCGAGGTGGAGGAGGAGGAGGAAGGTGATGGGCGAGTGAGAGCGGCTCGGATGGCGAACGGGCGCGGTGTGTGGGCGCGAGAGACGGCGAGAGGACGAACGTGCCGGCCGGGCTCGACTGCGTGGACGACGCAGTCGACGACCGGCTCGGTAATGGAGGTACGGCCGTCGCCACGGACGGCGTCGGCGGGAGCTCGACGACGGCGGGCGGTCGAGGAGGAATGGCCGGTCGCGGCGGCAGCGGGCGGGCCTGCTCGGGCGACCTGCTGTACGAGCCGCCCTCGCCCTCCTCGTCCTCGTCCGACGAGCTGTACACCTCCTCGCTCTCGTCTGACCCCGCCGGTGCCCCTCCCTCGTGCTGCTCCTCGCCCTCGGGCTCACGGCCGAACGGGTCGTCCTCCTTTGAGGACGCAGCGGACGACGACGGCGACGCCGTGACACGGGGAGGGCTCGCCGACGGCGGCCTCGACAGCCGTGATGGCTCGACGTTGAACCGCGACGCAATGTCCTTGACCGAGAGCGCGGGCGAGGGCGCGGGCGGCGTTGGCGTCTCGGCTGGCGAGGGCACCTGGGCCTGCAAGCTCCCAAGAGCGGGCGCGCCCGCCTCGACGGCGCTACTCGAGAGCTTGCTGTCGACGGGTGCGGTCGGCTTGGGGCGAGAAGCCGGCGGCGGCGGAGCGGGACGGCGGAACGAGCCGGTGACGGCGCCGTTTCGTGGTCGAAGGGGGACAGGTTGAGGGCGAGTCGGGTCGGGCGCGGCCGCCACTGGCTCGAAATCGGCAGGAGGCAGGTTTGGCGGGCCAGCGAGCGTTTGCGGCGCCTGGGAGGGAAGGGCGACAGGTGCGGATGGAGGAGGAGGCGGTGCTGGGGATGCCGAGGCGCTCGCGGCGGGCGCGGCAGCGCGTGCGGCCGCGGTGGGCTTGGGCGGACGAGCTGGAGGCGGTGGTCGTGCTGCTGTGGCCCGCTCAGGCGCTGGTTCGCTCCCGCCGCCGACCGAGCCGTCCCTCCCCGTCCTTGGCTCGGCGTCGCCCTCTCCCTCCTTGCCCGACTTGCCCTGGCCGTCGAGCGCGACAGGCACCTGCGCCGACGGCCCTGCTGCAGCTGGCGCCGGCGCGGTTGCTGCTTTGGCGAGAGGTGGCCTCGGGCTCGGCCCTGATGAGGCGGTGGACGACGACGCGAGGCCCTCAAAGCGCGCACGCAACGACGAGAAGGACGCGGGCGGCTCTGGGTCGTCCGAGCTCATCTTCAAGGCTGCTCAACGTGCTGGCTACGTCGGCAAGCAGAGAAGGAGCGGTGTAGAAGAGCGAGAGCTGTGAGGTCGAGCCCTCGAGTGTGGGGTCGACGACGACGAGTCGGAGATTCCGCTCCGCGAGAGCTCTCGACACTGGCAGCGCAGCCCGACGGAACTCTCTTACGCGCTCTAGGACGGTCCGGGCGAAAGAGAAAGCGCAAGCCAGCGACAGAGGCGGCTCGACCGCTGTCGCTCGCCGACCTCGAAACTGCCGCAAGCTCGTCGAGAGGACAGAGAAGTACAGGTTCTGCAGTTGTGCGACGTAGCTCCAACACACCCTCGTCGTCGTCGTCATGCGCCCCGACTCGCGACCACGCTCAGTGCCCGTGAGGGTCCTCGCCCTTCTGCTCCGGCGGGACCGTGATCTGTTGCGTGCGGATAGAGGTGTCAGGGTCTGGCGCTCTAGGCGGTTCGACCGCGGCAGATAGGGGCGAGAGAGAGGGAAAGAGAGACGCACCCGGTCGTCAATCCTCAGCAACGCCGTGCACGCCTCGAGCGCGCTCTTGAGGCTCTTGATCTTGCTGATCATGGGCTCGAGCACGCCCGCCTTGACGTTGTCACGCACCTCGCCCTTCATGAGGTCGAGGCCGTAGTGGCGCAGGGCGCGCTTGGGGTCGCCCGTCGGCGCCGACTGGGCCGCGTTGTGGTACGCGCGCAGCTTGGCGACGAGCTCGGTCGAGTCCTTGGCCGCGTTGACGGCGAGCGTCTTGGGGATGACGAGGAGGGCGTTGGCGAACTCGGCAATCGCGAGCTGCTCGCGCGAGCCCTGCGCGGACAGACAAGGAAGGAGAGACCCGACAAGGTCAGTCAGGGTCCGTGCGTCAGGACGAGGTGGGCGAGAGGGGGACGCACCAGCGTCGTCGCAAAGTTCTCGAGGTAGATGCTGAGCGCCGTCTCGACCGCGCCGCCACCGGGAACGACGCTGCCGCTCTCGAGTGTCCGCTTGATGGCGCACAGCGAGTCGTGCAGGGCGCGCTCCATCTCGTCGAGGAGGTAGTCTGCGGTCGCCGTCGAGGATCGTCAGTACGTCTGTTTGAGTGTGCTCGGCGACCAAGAGTGAGAGAGAGGGACGCACCGTTGGCGCCACGGAGGATGACCGAGCTCGAGCTGACGACCTTGGTGCCCTTGACGAGGATGAGCTCGTCGTCGCTGATGCGCTCCTGGACGACCTCCTCGGCCTGGCCGAGGTACGCCGCGTCGAACGTCTCGTCGCCCTCGAGGTTGGCGAGCGAGCTGACCATGGTCGCGCCCGTCGCCTTGGCGATGCGGCGCAGGTCCTCCTTCTTGCACCGCCGGACCGCCATCGCGCCCGCCTCGACAAACTCCTTGAGGCACAGATCGTCGATGCCCTTGGTCGTGAGGATGACGTTGGCGCCCGACGCGAGAATCTTGCGCACGCGCTCGAGCGTAATGTCCGACTCGCTGAGGGGCGCGGACGAGGAGCAGGAAGGTGGGCAACGAGGTCAGTCAAACGCTCGAGACACGCACGAGAGGCGCGAGGAGGACGCGAGGACGCACCGCTTGCGGATCGCCTCGAGCTGCTCCGGGTCGTCGATCGTGATGTGGACGCCGAGGTGCATGCGCGTCTTCTGCAGGTTCATGTCGAGGCACGCGATCTTGGCGCCCGTGATGCGGGTCTTCATGGCTGCAGGGAGAGAAGGGGGACACACACGAGACCGTCAGTGCCGGCACTGAGGGAGAGAGAAGGGAGGTAGGGAGAGAGAGAGAAGGGAGGTAGGGAGAGAGAGAGGGAAGACGAGACGTACCCTGAGACGCGACGGTGCAGTTGAGGGCGTAGCCCTTGACGTAGATCGACTCAGTGGCGCTCTTGCCGTGGGCCTTGAGGACGTTGACGGCCTTGACCGGGTACTTGACGTCGCCTCGCGCGTTGATGGTCTTGACGGCGAGCATGGCGTCGACGGCCATGTTGGCGAAGAAGGCGTCGTCGGCGCCGATGATCTTGGACGACATGCTCGTCTTGGCGACGTTGATGAGGCACTCCCGGCCGAGCTGGTCGACGCGCACGCTCAGGTGGTCGGTGAGGAAGCGGACGGCCTCCTTGCACGCGAGGCGGTAGCCCGTGATGACGGTCGTCGGGTGGATCTTGTTCTTGACGAGGTCGTTGGCGCGGCGGAGGAGCTCTGCGGCGACAATGACGACCGACGTGGTGCCGTCGCCGACCTCCTTGTCCTGCTGCTGGGCGAGCTCGACGAGGATGCGGCCGGCCGGGTGCTCGACCTCGATGAGCTGGAGGATGGTCGCGCCGTCGTTCGAGATGGTGACGTCCTGCAGGGGCGGGTGACCGGTTCAGTTCGCGTTCCTCTCGCAAGTCGCGGAGAGCGATGAGGAGGGAGGAGCCGAGGTGGTCCCTCTCTCGCCCGGTCGGGCGCTGCTGGACAGGGAGAGAGGGGAGGGCAAGGGACTCACGCCAATGTCGTCGACGAGCATCTTGTCGAGGCCGTGGGGCCCGAGGCTGGTGCGGACAATGTTGGCGATGGAGACAGCGGCCTGGACGTTCTGCTCGCGGACCTCTGCGCCCGAGACGCGCTCGCCGGCACCGAGGAGGCCGACGCTGGCCCTCGGGTCGCGGGCAAACATGAGCGAGCTCGACATGGCGGGCTGGGCGAGGGTTTGGTCGCGGAGGGAGAGGGTGCGCGGAGGAAGGGAAGGGGGAGCGGGGGCAACGGCGCGCGGTGCGGGTGGTTGGCGCGGCTGGGTGCGGTCGAGAGGTGGCTGCTCGGCGACTGGGCTGCTCTGCTGAGGCTAGCGAGCGCGACGAGGTGACGAGAACCCGCGACCTTCGCCTCCTCGTCTCTCGACCCCGACGGCTGCGACTCGCACGCCGCCCAGCCGCTGGACAGAGCTCGCAGACTCGTGCAGCAGCAGCTGCAGCTGTGCTCTCGCCACTGCGCTGTGTGCGCTCGCCCGCCCAGGCTGCACCTCAGCTCTCGCGCTCCCCGAGTCGCTCTCGCTGTCCTTGCCCTCGCTCAGGCTGCGAGGCTGCTGCGAAGCATCGCGCAACACATAGACTGCAGCTGCTCTACGAGACCGGGCCGCCCTCTAGCGCAAGAGTGCCTCCCTCGTCGCCCAATCCCTCCCTCGTCCCTTCCCGCCCTCCTCCTCGCCCTCTTCCTCCGACGCCTGCCCCAGCTCAAACATGTCCGACTCGGCGAGCGGTGGCGCCCCCGCCGCCGACCGAGGAGCCCGCGTCGGCGGGAACCTGAAGCCGCCGCCGAGCCCGGGCTGTCGCGCTCTGGTCGGCCCCGGCGCCAGCGCGGGCCCAGGTGCAGGCGAGGAGGAGGCGAGCGACGAGGTGCGGTGGTGCGAGTGGGGCGAGGTGGCAGGGAGCGGGCGGTAGCCTCGGGCGTTCGAGGGCGAGTCGTCGTCGGACGAGAGGCGGAACGAGAGTTGCGACGACGACGCACGGTGCACGAACGACCGGTCGACGAGACCTGTGGGCGTCGAGGGAGTCAGTGTGCGTCGACAAGGGTCTCGAGAGAGCCGGAGAGAGAGCATGCACCCTGTACGAAGCGCCCGAGCCCGAGAGAGACCGACGCCCGCGGCGGTCGAGAGAGCGACAGGCGCGCCGTTGCGCCGAGCGAGACGGATCGGTGGCGGGTCTGCGTGCGTCGAGTCCGTCTCGAGCGTGCAGGCAGGAACAGGAAGAGCGGGCGCACCTTGCGCTCGTCGGAGAGCAAGGCCGCTCGAGCCAGGTCGTCGAGCGCCGCGAAGCCCTGCGCGCCCGAGCCATGCAGAGCCGACTGCGGTCGAGAGCAAGCGTCAGACGGGTTCGTCGAGGCTCGAGGAGAGAAAGAAAGAGAGAGCGACGCACGTGCGAGACGAGGAGCACGGCCGGGGGATCCTCGCGCTTGAGCTGCAGGGCGGATTCTCGTCAGGGGCTCCTCCTAGACGAGACGAGAGAACCACGAGAACGTACGAAAGAGATGCAGTCGGCGAGAGACGTCGTCGGCAGGACCTGGACGAGCGGGTGTGGCGCAAGAGAGCGCACGAGCCTGCGGGGCAGAGCAGTTTGCGAAGGTCAGGTCGGACGAAACCTGGCCAAGGGAGATTGGACGCACTCGTTGGGCCGAGAAAGTGCTGCGCAGAGCTGCGGGTCGAGAGGAGACGTGTGACTCGGTCAGTGAGTGCCACCCAGACGAGACGAGGGAGGGGAGGACGCACCTCTTCAACACGGACAAAGCCAACGAACGGCTGCTCGACGCCCGCAGGTACCGGGTAGATCGCGCTCGGGGCTCTGCGGACAGGCAAGAAGTGTTGCCGCCGCACGAGAAGCTGCGGGAAGAGGCTCGTCAGGCTCTGCTCGGCGACACCGGCGCCCGCTTCCACCGCTCGAGGGAGGACGGCGCACCTGCTTGAGGTCGACGTCGCACAGCCTCAGGTCCTCGCTCGCGCAGTAGACCTCGTCCGTCCTGCGCATCGCGCCGCTGACCGCCCTCGGCTCTTCGAGGAGCGCCCCGACGAGCGCCACGTCCGCCTTGCCGAGCTCGCCCTCGTGCAGCTCGACGAGCGTGCGCAGCTCCTCGCGCCGGTACAGGTGCGACGTGTGCATGCCGAGCAGCAGGTCGAGCAACTTGGCGGTGGGCCAGCAGATCGGCGCCTCGAGGTACATCTGTGGCGGCGCGGGGCGCAAGGTCAGTACTCGTTCGCGAAGAGGCTCTTGGCCCTCTCGCGGCGCTAGTCGGCGCTCTGGCAATCGATGTCGGCGAGGTCTAGGGCCGCTCATGCTGCCGGACAAGGGAAGAGAGAGGAGAACTTACGAGCACCTTGACGAAGCCGGTGCAGGCCGCGCCGATGCGAAGCCCGTGACGAGCGCAGAAGGCCTGCGGCAGGACCTCGCCAAATGTGACGATTGCGGCACTCGAGATGACGACCGCGAGGACGCCACCGCCGCCGGTGAGCGAGTCGAGGAAGACGGCTGTCGAGAGAGAGAAAGAGGGTCAGTGCGGGGCCGGTCGGGCCGTCCTGCGACGGACGAGGGAGCGAGGGGTGTACACGCACGTAGAGTTTCGTTGACGATGACGTTGCTGAGAAGAAGGCAGACGAGGACGAAGTGTCGGCCGTGCGAGAGCAAGGAAAGGACCTTTTGCGCGTCGGCGCGGTCTCGAGGCGGACCAGATGCGGCGAGAACTGCAGAACCGGCGAGGCTGTGAGCTGGGACCCACATTTGCAGGGCAGGAGTAGACGAGTGAGGGCCGACGCACCTTGCAGGTTCATCGAGTCGAGACCTGCGGCGAGAGGAGGAGGAGAAGGTCAGCGCGCTGTGCTTCCTCGCACGGACTCGCCAAGGCCAGGTGGACGCACCCATCAACCCCAAGCTCAGACCGCTGAAGACGCCGCCGAGGAGGACAAAGGCGACCGAGAAGACGAGCTTGAGGACGAACTCTGCGTGTCGGCGTGCGAGGGGAAGGTCAGGCCTCAGGCGAGGACGCGAGAGAAGCGCGAGGCTGCTCCTCGTCGTGGTGCACTCGGGCGAGCTCGATCGGCAGGGAGGGAGGGAGGAGAGAGGGAGGAGGAGAGAACACACTGGCGCACTTTGTCGCCCGATCTCGATGCCGCTCGTCTCCCCCAGTGCAGCCGCCTGTCTCCGGCCCAGCTCGCTCGGTCCCGCCAGAAGGCCCCCGACGCCTCCCCCAGAGCCCGCGAGGCTTGCCCGCTCCCAGTCGGCCGCGTGAAGGGAGGAGGCGCGTGCGTCGAGCGCGAGCGGGGTCGAGGCGACGGCGGCGGCGAGAGGGAGGGCGGCGGCGCACAGCGCACTCGCGAGGCGTAAGAGGGCGAGTCGTGTCGGCAGTTGGAGCTGGCGGTAGCGCATTGAGTCGAGGTGGGAGAGAGGAGCGACGACGACGAGGTGCCAGCGAGTGCGGGGCTCTCTGAGGCGGTACAGAGGCGGCTCGAGCACTGGGAAAAGATTCTTGCACCGATTCGAGAGCGAGAGTCTACACGTCCAACAGAAAGGGGGTACGGATCACAAAGGAGGACGAGAGGGGAGAAGGGCGGGAAACGAGAGGGTCTGTCGAGGAGGGACGAGGAGGGGAAACACTCCTGGTGGCCGGCGAGAGGCAGGGTCAGCTCTTGCGTACGGGTAGAGGGATCCAGAGAGAAGGAACGCACTGTGTCGCTCGTGCTCGCGGGCGCACAGCGCTCACTGGGCGGCGCTACCAGTCGAAGAAGGGCCGGCACCGAGGTGCGTCGAGCGGCTCGCGACGGTCGTCACCTCGCCGGCGAGTTGAGCGGGCGACGCAGAGCTGGCCGTCATGCGGTAGGCGTCCGGCGCCATGGGCTGCAAGGGAGACAAGGCAGAGTCAGCTGCAGTTTCCCCCACATTGGGGCACGAGAGCATTCTCGTCGAATGTTGCTCTGCGAGGCGGGCAAGCTGCTCTGGACGGTCCCACAGAGCCCTTCAAGCTCCGTAGGCCGGTCGCATGCGCCGTACCGGCTCGCAACACTGTGCCCCCAACCCCCAACCCCCACCGACCCGCGAGAGGAGGAGATGGGGACGCACAATGGCAACGGGAGCCTCGGCAACGGCCTCGATGCGAGCCATGTCGGGCAGCCACACCTGGCCGATGCTGCGCTGGGCGTCGTGGAAGTAGGCCGGTTGGGCCGAGAGGCGAGAGGGACGGAGCGCGGTCGTCGCGGCGCGCGCCGTGTGGCGCAGGGCAGGGTCGAGGGCGCGAAGAGGCATGGTGTGGCGGGAGGCTTGTCGGGGTGGTAGTGGACGAAGGCGAGTGAGGTGGATGGGGTGGAAAGATAACAGGAGGAGCGAGCGAGAGTTGAGTGGGGCGAGGCGGTGCCGAAGAGAAGCGACGGCGCTAAGGGTCGCTTTCGCAGGGGTGCGCGCAGTCGCTCGAGCTTGTCGAGAGAGAGAACGAGCTGCCGAGCTCTCGCGAAATCAGAACGAGGAACCGGAAGCAGGGAGTCAAAGGTGGCCGGAAACTGTCGATCAGAATGGCCGCGCACAACTCTCGCTCGCACGACACCGGTACCAGGCGAACGAGGTTTACACTCTAGGCATTACCGGGCGAGAACTACATGCGGTCGAGGGGCTGCAGGGTGAGGAGGCGGAGCGCGTTGCCGAGGACGTCCTTGGCCGAGACGTACAGCCACAGGCGCGCGAGCGCGAGGTCGTGCGGCTGGCCCTTGACGATGAGCGTCTCCCACGCGCTCGAGATGACGTGCGACAGGCGGAACGCGTAGGTGCAGATCGTCGCCGGCTCGAACGACTTGAACGCCGCCTTGACGACGTCCGGGTACGACGCGAGCAGGAGGATGACCTCGCGCGCCTTGGGCTCGCTCAGGAGCGCGACGTTGATGGCGGCCGACCGCTCGGCGGGAGGCGGGAGGACGACGGCGGGCGCGTTCTTGCGCTCGACCGACGACAGGCGGACGTGCGCGTACTGCAAGTAGGGGCCTGCGCAGGTCCTGAGTGTCAGTGACTGTCCGTCGACGCCCTCTGGTACCTGCGACGAGGGGCGACGAGGAAGAGAGAGAGAAGGCGAGGGAGAGAGGGACGAGGAAAGAGGAGGGAAGGAGTGCGAGTGGGGGACGGGCTTGAACGCACCCGTGTCGCCCTCGAACGACGTCATGCGTTCCCACTTGAACTCGTAGTTGTTGATGCTGCGGACGTTGACGACGAGGGCGAGTGAGCCCGGGCGGATTGGACTGAGAGAGAGCGAGAGGAGGACGCACCGCTTGCCCGACATGTCCTGCACCTTGACGGCCGTGATGCCGAGCTTGTCCGACGTGTACTGCGGGTCCTCGATCGCCTTGTACTTCTCCTCGTTCTTCTGCATGACCTCGTGCATGACGCGCTTCGACTCGTCGAGGATCTGCTCGAGGAAGACGGCCGTGCCCTTGCGCGTCGACATGCCCTGGACCATGCCAAAGTTGACGTGCTGCAGCGTGTTGGCCCACGGGTAGCCCATGAGGTCGAGCACCTTGAAGAACTGCGAGCGCGGGAGGGACGAGTCAGTGTCAGGGTCGCCCGATCGAGAAAGGGGGGGAGAGGGAGGGGACCGAGCGAGCGCACCTGGGCGAGGTGAAGGTCCTGCTGGCTCGCGACGACGTAGACCATCTTGTCAAAGTTGTACTTGTCGAAGCGCTCGGCGGCGCCGGCAATGTCGCGCGTGATGTAGACGCTCGTGCCGTCCTTCTTGCGCACGATCGTCTTCTCGAGCTTGTACTTCTTGAGGTCGACGATGAGGGCGCCCTGGCTCTCCTCGACGATGCCCGAGCCCTGCAGCTGGTCGAGCGCGTGCTTCTGCGCCTCCTGCGACACCTGCGACTCGCCCGAGTACACGTTGAACCAGATGTTGAGGCGGGCGTACGTCTCCTTGTACTTGACGATCGACAGGTCGCGGAACTTCTTCCACAGCCCGACGGCGTGCTCGTCACCTGCGCACGCGAGAGGGTCAGTTCCGAGAGACGCAGAGAGGAGGAGACCCGCTCGACGAGGAGGAAAAGGGGTCGACGCACCGGCCTCCATCTTGACGAAGAACTCGCGCGCGCGGTCGTGGATCGACTCGTCGGTCTCGCCGTCCTTGTTGATCTTGACGTACACGTCGTACAGGTGCGTGATGGCGTCCTTCTCGAGCTCCTCCTCGGACCCGTACCGCTCAAAGCCGACGGCGAGGATACCTGCGGGCGGCGAGAGACAGGGTGTCAGCGACCTAGTCCCTCCCTCCCAGCCGACAAGAAAGAGAAAGTGAGGGGACGCACCAAACTGCTTGCCCCAGTCACCCAAGTAGTTCATGCGGAGGACGTCCCAGCCGTTGGCCTCGTAAAGGTTGGCGAGGAAGGCGCCGATGATGGTCGAGCGGAGGTGGCCAGCGTGGAACGGCTTGGCGATGTTGGGCGACGAGAACTCGACGATGACGCTCTTGCCCTTGCCCGACTTGTTCGTGCCGTAGCCGTTCTTCTTGGCGAGCGACAGGCCCTCGGGGAGCTTGTCGGCGCCGGCGTCGCTCAGCGACAGGTTGGCAAAGTGCGACAGCGCCGAGTGGTCCTCGTCCGGCGTGAGGTGCGTCTGAGTGTTGATCTGGTCGAGGACGGTGCGGAACAGGGCCTCGGTCTGGAGGTTGAAGTAGACGAACGCGCCGCTCGCGCCAATCTCGGCGAGGTACGGCGTCGGCTTGAACTGCGGGTGGGAGACGAAGTAGGTCAGTGGGATGGCTGGGTACACCGTCCGGCGGCGACGTCGTCGCCCGTGTCCCTCGAAGCGAGGGAGCCCCCAGCGTGCTCGCAGGTGCACCGCCTCGCCGCCCGAGTCGACCCTGCGCCGCCGGGCTCACCGCTCCGCCCCTGCCCTCGCGCCCTTCGTCGAGAAGTGAGACGTGAAAGACGCACCTCGGCGGCGAGCTTCTCAGCGAGCTCCTGCGGCTTGCCCTTGAGGCGGAACCGGGCGAGTGCGACGACAAAGTCTCCGAGGGCCTGCTTGCCCGTCTTGCCCGACTCCATTCCCTCGAACGCCTTGTCGACCGTGACCTCGGGGAAGACCGAGTGGACGAACTCGGCCGCGGCGAGCTTGAAGACGTCGAGCGCGGCGGTCGACTCGAGGTGCTCCGCCGGGATGGACGGCACCTCGGGGAGCGGGAAGGCGGGGAGGAGCGACATGGTGCGACCGGTCGAGTGGAAGAGGCGGTGGTGGTGACGCTGCTGGTGCAGGTGCTGGAGGAGGTGCGCGGGCGGATGCGCGACGAGGCGAGGCGGAGTGCGGAGCGGGAGGAGGAGGTGCGCAGAGGCAGGGCGGGCGCGGAACAAGGCGCGGCGGGCGGGGGTGAGCGTCGTTGCGGACGTGCTGCGTGTAGCTGCTCTAGCTCTTGCGCCGAGTCGTGAGGAGAGCGAGTCGAGCCGCCCTCCCCTCTCCTCCTCGCTTCGTCCAAAAAACGGATGAGACACTTTTTGACTGGCTGCCGCTCTCCCTTCTAGTGAGGGCGTGAAGGCACGGCAAGCCGTCTACGAGAGCACTGCGAGCAGACACAGCCAGAGCCGAGCGCTCTCGAGTCACTTTTCTGCGCGTTGACTACGCTCGCGTTTGCTCCGGGCGCGAGTCCGGGCGAACAGCGTGCGCGCTCTCATCTGCAGAGCGCTCACTCGGTCTCCAAGACGGACGAGCGCGTGTGTCTACGGCGAATCGACGAGCGAGACTGGAAAAAGAGAGGCGAGCGGCTCGAGCGAGCAGCTCGAGGACGCTACGGCTCGCTCAAGCCGCGTTCGGCCCGCAAGAGTGTGCGCACGGCACGCGCGAAGCAGACCAGTGGACGCTGAGGGACGCTCGAGTGGGACCGACAAAGAGCGTCCGAGGTAGAAGCGCCGCCAGTCCACCAGCAGCGACACGTGGAAAAGCCGCTCAGGCGCGGCGTGCACTCTCCCGCCCTGCCCCTCTGCCGAAGCGCGACGTACGGGGCGTCGTGCGGAGGGAAAGAAAGTGGTGATTGCGCGCCGTGATCGTACAACAGGCACGTCCTCGTCGTCGTTGCTCCTCCTCGGGCCGCCGCCGACTCGCTCTGGCAGCCCGCCGCCGCCCCGTACTGCCGCACACGTGCTCACATGTTGAAGCCGAGGCTGCGCATGCACTGGCGGTGCCGCTCGACGATGTCCTTGCACTGTGCGCCCGAGTCGGCGCCGTCGTCGGCGTTGGACCCGAACTTGAGGAAGCAGTCGTCGCGCGCCTTCTTGGTCTCGGGGCAGGCGCAGCAGCTGCGCGCGGTGCGTATAACCTGTCAGTAACGAGAGAACCACAGAGGATCGAGCGCGGCGGCGGTTCCTCGAGAGCACCGCCACCGCCGCCCAAGCCGAGCTTCAGAGTCGCCCGAGGGAGGGGTTGGAGAAGAGGACAGCTCGACGCACGGCTTGTGGCCCTCTGGGTTGAGCGGGTTGAGCTCTGGGTTGGCCGCCTCCGAGTTGGTCAAGGGCCGGCCGAGGGTCGGGTGGATCGAGACGGGGCCGGTGGCCGGGATGGCTGCCGAGGTGGACGGCGCTGCGGTGGACGACGAGAAGGGCCACATGAACGGTGCTGGGCGAGTCGCTGTCGGTGCTCGAGTGTGTGTGGAGGAAGGAGGAGAGCTGACGAGAGCGAACGCCGAGAGCACGAGCGAGAGGCGATCGCTCTCCGTCGTCCTCACGAGGCGGGCCCGTCTTGGTGCAGTAGCCTCTTTGGACGCAAGCGAAGGGACTTATCCACCAGGGCTAGCGCGAGAAGCTGCCTGAGAGCGGCCTCTTCATCTTGCTCCTCATCCCTCCGCGGTTCCTGGGTCCACCACCTCGCCCTCATCTCGCACGCTCGACCAGCACCGCTGACCGGGCTCAGAGATGTACGTCCATCCGTGCCTCGCACCGTGTCCCCCCCGCACAAGCTCACGCGCGCTCTGCACACAGGCGGACCCGCTCTCGACCAGCCGCCTCGGCTCTCGCCCTCACCGCCCTCGCCCTCGCCCTCGCCCCGTGGTGCGCCGAGGCCTCGGTCGGCGACAGAGCTCCGGCGTACCAGCGCTGCGTCGACTCGTGCCGCGCCGAGCTGTGCGCCGACCGCGCCTCGAGCGCTCCTCCCCCACCTCGAGACGACGCACCCTGGAGCGGTTACTCGTCGTCGCCCCTGTGGCCCTGTCGAGCGACCTGTCAGTACGCCTGCCAGCAGCACCTCACCGACCTCGCCCTCGCCCAACCTGTCACCTCGTCCGCCTCCACCCCTCGACCCGCCGACTCGACGCTGCACCAACCCGGCGGCGCGCTCGAGGGCCTACCGCCAGGTCACCAAGTGCAGTTCCACGGCAAATGGCCCTTCCACCGCTTCGACCTGTCGCACCTTCCCCTCGTCCCCTTCCTCCCCCTTCGCCTCGCCGCCCTCTTCGTCCCTCGGTTCCAGGAGCCGCTCTCGGTCCTCTTCTCGCTCGCCAACCTGTGGGCCCACTGGGTCGGCCTCCGCACGTTGCGTAATCTCGCCCGCACGGCGCGCATGAGCGAGGGCAAGCGCCTCGCGCGCGTGTACGCCGCCTACGCCGTCAGCGGCTGCCTCGCGTGGGTCGCGTCGACCGTCTTCCACACGCGCGACACGGACGCGACCGAGCGCCTCGACTACTTCCTCGCTGCGGGCACGATGCTCGCCGGCCTGTGGGCAGGCGTCGTCCGCCTCCAGGGCTGGTACGCCCCGACCTCGAAGGGCGCCCGAGTCGCGCCCGCCCAGCGCCGAGCTGCCGGCGTGTGGACCCTCGTCGTCTTCGCCGTGTTCGCGCTCCACTGCACGTACCTCGCGAGGCGCGAGCGGTTCGACTACGGGTACAACGTGCGGTTCAACGTCGGCGTCGCCCTGTCAACCATCCTCCTGTGGTCGGCGTGGGTCGCCCGTCAGGCGACGCTCCCGACGCCGAGCAACTTTTCACGCCGCCAGCTGTCGTCGTACCCGTCGGCGCGAGCCCGGTTCCGCGCGCCGCACTACCTCGCGCCGCTCGCACCCCTCGTCCTCCTCCCCGCCCTCACCGCCCTCGAGCTCCTCGACTTTGCGCCTTTCGGGCCCGGCGGGCTCCGGCTCCTCGACGCACACGCCCTGTGGCACCTCAGCACGGTGTCCGTCGTGCGGGCGTGGTACCGCTTCCTCGAGAAGGACGTGCGGTGGATCGACGGCCAGGGCGAGGGCGGCGACCCGGGCAGCGTGCTCCCCGCCGCGCCGTCCATGTCTGCGGCAGCGGGTGTCGGCGGCGGCGGCGCAGGAGCAGGAGGTGGGCGCAGCGGCGGGGCGGCCCCGAGCGCGCACGGCGCAGGACCGGCGGCGAGCCGGCGGCGCGCGAGCCTGTTCACGCTCGAGCGGCTGCACGCCGAGGGGCGGCGCGTCACCGAGGTCGGGCGCGGGCTCGGGCTCGGCATCCTCGGCATGGTGACGCCCCGGCTGGGTGGACCGGCGCCGGCGGAAGGAGGAGCGGCGGGGCACGGGCGCAGCGCGAGTCGAGGAGGAGCAGGAGGGGCTGGGGCGCAGGGCGGACCAGGCGAGGAGGCCAAGGCGGCGCGGGCGGACTGAAGGCTCGCTGTAGCGGCTATGCCCATGCAGTGCGCTTTCCCTTGCTCTCTTGACGGCTCGTCTCGAGAGCTGCCCGGTGTCGAAAGAGTGGCTCGTTCGACCTCGTCGAGCGGGACTGTGCAGCGTCTCGGCGGTCTAGCTATTGCATGAGAGATACTCTGCCAGCTGTACAAACCCGCGAGCGAGAGAGACCGTGTGCTCCTCCTCCTCCCCGCCCGCCAACGCCGATCCTTTCCTGCTCCATCCACACCCACCATGCTCGCGCTCCGCCTCGCTCGCCCCGCCACGCGCACTGCACGCCTCTTCAGCACCACTCCTCTGCGCCTCGCCCAGACGCAGGAGGTGTTGCCGCCGCACGACGGCGTCGCCTTCCAGGCTCCCCCTCCCGCCGAGGACCTCAAGGGCAAGGCCGTCGGCCAGGTCGACCTCCCCGACATGGCTGCCATCGAGGCTGTCAGCGAGGAGCGGGCCAAGATTGTGCGTCCTGCTTCTCTCCCTCTCTGTGCAAGGCGAGAAGGTGGGGTGGGCGATGAGGTCACGGCAACGAGCTGGCGCGCTCCCGTGGGACCGGAGCAGCACATGCGGGAGCTTGCTCTTACGCAGGGTGGGCATGGCGAGGCGGCTGGGCAAGCGGCGCGGGCGAGCGAGGTGGGCGACGTCGCCGAGTGCACCGCCTCTTCCTGAGTGGGCGGGCTGCGGTCGGCCGGGGCAGCTCAGCAGAGTTGCGCGATGCGGGTGCAGCTCTACTGCGGAGGCTCTCGATTTGGTTGGGCGAGCCTGGATCATGGCGGCGGTCACTCCCGCGGCGTGAGGCGCGAGGACCACTCGTCGGCGCCGCGTCCATCGTCTCGAGCACCAGACGACCCAAGGACACATACTGACGGTCCCATTCGGCACACATGCAGCCTACCGCTCCTGACACGTACCGCACCCAGGCTTCCTCGCCCGATGCCGAGCCCGCGCCCTTCATCGAGCCTCCCGCCGTGTCGACCGCCGCCCACCCGTCGACCCTGCCCGGCGGTGGCCCCTCGCTCCAGCACTCGGGCGACGACAGCATCGCGTCCGGCGGCGAGGGCGTCGGCGGCGAAAAGGGCGGGCACGGCGGCCGCGAGGAGCGCCACGAGTTCGAGGACCGCCCGCTCAACGAGGACGAGCGCCGCGGCCTGTACATCCTCGGCGGGATGCTCGCCGGCGGCTACGGCCTGTCCGTCGCGACCGACCCGAGGAGGCACCGGCACCGCAAGGCGGCGCACTAGGTGCGCCGCCGTCGCCCGGGCGTGCTCGCCAGGTGTCGCCTTCTCTCTTCGCCTCCTCCTTCGTCCCTTCTCGTCGAGTCTGCAAATCAAGCCGTGCCTCCAGTCGGCTCCCTCTCGTCCCAGCGAGGCTAGCGAAAGCTCGCTGGCGAGGTTGTCGCGCTGTGTGGAGCGTGCGGTGGAGCTCGTCCGAGAAAGCGAGAGCAAGAGTGCGACGGAGCTGAGCTTGTTGGTGTCGCGCCCGCCTAGCAGTAGTGAGAGAGTGAACGAGCTCGGGCAGACAGCCAGCACGCCCCTCTGCTTGCTCGAGAGCGAGCCGTCGTTGCCGACATCCTCATCGCGACGAGCGAGCCTCTCCTCCTCACCGTGTCGCCGCTCCCGCCAGCTGAGCTCTCGCCACATTCGCCGAGGTCACCTGCATGCCCTGACCCGGCCCGCACATGGTCGCGCTGCATCCACCGCCGCCCTTCTCGATGAACCACCCGGCCTTCTCGTCGGCCGCGTTCCTCCAGGGCCCCAGCACCTCGACCGTCGTCCAGGAGTACGGCGTCGAGTCTGCAGCAGGCGGCAACGGCGACGCGAGCGCTGCGCAGCTCGAGGGCGAGAGTTGGCGCGGAGGCTTCTCTGGAGGGTCGGCCGTCGGGGTGAGTCCTCGCTCTCTCTCTCTCTCGGGCGCACGTGAGCTCGGCGAGATGGACGGTGTGGCCTGTGGGAGCCGCCTCGAACAGGTCAGGGCAACTGGTAAGGTGTGCAGAGGGCGAGACCGTGGGCGCACCGCTTGGGTTCGTTCGCTCGAGACTATCCGCGCGCACTACACACCCTGCGCGCGCCCTGTCGCACAAGCAAGAGCCTTTGCATGCGCATAGATCGTCGGCGAGCCAGAACTGACCCTCGTCGTCTCCTCGTCGCACAGGTCCACTCGGCGCCGCGCGTGTCGTACTACTTCCCGCAAGGCGTCGGCGAGTACCATTTCGGGGCGAGTCTCCTTCTCTCTACAGTCTCTCACCCGCGACGAACACGAGCTGACCTTGTGCGCCCGACCGCAGGAGCGACACCCGATGAAGCCGCACCGCCTCACCTTGACCAACCACCTCGTGCTCGGCTACGGCCTGCACAAGCGCATGGACGTGTTCCAGCCTCGGTCGGCGACCAAGGAGGAGCTCGAGGCGTTCCACGACGAGGACTACGTCGACTTTCTCGCGCGCGTCACGCCCGACAACGTGCGGCACTTTACCTCGGTCCTGTCGCGGTTCAACATTGGCGACGACTGCCCGATCTTTAGCGACATGTACTCGTACTGTCGACAGTACGCCGGCGCGAGCCTGATGGCGGCTCGCAAGATCGTCAGCGGCTCGACCGACATCGCCGTCAACTGGACCGGCGGGCTCCACCACGCCAAGAAGAGCGAGGCGAGCGGGTTCTGCTACGTCAACGACATCGTCCTCGCCATCCTCGAGCTCCTCCGGTGCGTCTCTCGGTCCTCTCGGATGCCGAGCCGAGGTCTCTCGAGCAGCCGCACTGACCCCTCTCCTCGTTCTCGCAGCACGCACGCCCGGGTCCTGTACATCGACATCGACATCCACCACGGCGACGGCGTCCAGGAGGCGTTCTACAACACGAACCGGGTCCTCACCGTGTCGTTCCACAAGTACTCGCCCGACTTTTCCCCGGGACGGGCCACATCGACGAGTTGGGTCACGCACTCGGCAAGAACTTTTCGCTCAACGTGCCGCTCCAGGACGGCATCGACAACGAGTCGTACGTGGCCCTGTTCAAGGCCATCATGGAGCCGACGATCCACACGTTCCGGCCCGACGCCATCGTGCTCCAGTGCGGCGCCGACTCGCTCGGGTGCGACCGCCTCGGGTGCTTCAACCTGTCGATCGCGGCGCACGGCGAGTGCGTGCGCTTCATCAAGTCGTTCGCGCTCCCGCTCGTCGTCCTCGGCGGCGGCGGCTACACGATCAAGAACGTGTCGCGGTGCTGGGCGTACGAGACGGCCGTCTGCCTCGGCGTCGAGCAGGACCTGCCCAACGCGCTCCCGCACACGGCGTACGACGACTTTTTCGCGCCCGACTGGAAGCTGCACCCCGAGCTCGCGTCGGGCCGCAACCGGCTCGAGAACCTCAACTCGCGCCGGCAGCTCGAGCGCATCCGGGTCGCGTGCCTCGAGCGGCTGCGGTACATGCACGGCGCGCCGAGCGTCCAGATGCACGAGGTGCCGCCGAGCCTCGCCCAGTGGCTCGCCGACGAGGACGGGCGCGACGAGCAGCGCGAGCGAGACGAGGACGGCGCGCACGCCCCGGACGGGCGCAGCGACGCGCACCGGGCCGCCAACGACTACTTCTCGCACGACGGCGACCGAGAAGGCGACGCCGTCGGCGGCCGGACGTCGTCGAGCGGGCTCGCAGGCGGGAGCGGCGCACCACCGCCGACGCCGGCCGCGACGTCGTCGACGACGACGACGACGGCCGGAGCGAGTTTGGCGACGACGGCGGGCAGCAAGAAGCGGCGCAAGGTCGCAGCAGCAGGTGCTGCGGGAGGAGCGGGATCGTCGGCGGCAGGAGGAGGAGTCAAGCCGGTGAGAATCGAAGCGGGAGGAGCCGAGGACGAGGCATGAGCGAGGGCGAGGAGGAGCGACGAAGGGCGGCGATGGGGACGGGCGGGACACTTGCAAGTTGTTGTTGTAATCCCGGCTGTATTTGTCATCTGCCGGTGGACCCGAAAGAGAGCTGCAAGGGCTCGGTCCAAGCCGAGAGTTACGGTCGAGCGACTCAGACGAGCGACGGGAAGGTCGAGGTCCCTCTGGAATCGCCCACCTCCTCTCACCACGAGCTGACTCGCCAAGCGCGTGACCACACTCGCCCACTACCCTGCGATCGACCGCCCTTGTGCCCGTGAGCTCCACGCGTCCATCCAGCCCTCCCCCGCGCCGTCCTCGTCGAGATGACCTCATCCCAGTCGACGCCCGACCTGATGTACCTGCTCCTGCAGCAGCGCATCCAGCACCACCACAGCCTCGACAAACCCACGACCACCCGCACGGCCGACCCGCTCCTGCCGTCGCCCCGAGTCGAACCAGTCGCCGAGATGGAGTTCTCGTCGCCGCGGTACACGCACTACCAGGCCCAGCCGCAGCCGCTGCCGTACCCGCCGGTCAAGGACCACCCTGCCTTTGCCCAGCCGACCCCGCCCCAGGGCTACGTGCCCCTCGGCCAAGCATACGCCTTCCCCTCCTCCTCCTCGTCCGCCTCCTCGGCGACCGGCACCATCCCGCCCCACAACCTCCAGCACGCCCACATGAGCGTCGGCTCGCACGCCGGCGACTTTCAGCTCTTCGGCCAGCCGCCCCAGCACCAGCAGCAGCAGGCGCTCGGGCAACAGCAGCTGCCGCACCAGTTCGCCGCCCAGCCCTTCGCCAACTACCGCCCGGTACCGGCCCAGTCGTTCGCTCAAGGCGCCAACACGGCACCCCTCCCGTCGTACGGCCAGTCGTCGTACCCGATCTCGATCCCGTCGAGCGCGTCGTCGACCTCCTCCCACGCCGACAACGACTACCCGCCGCTCCCCGACCTCGTCGCCGACGAGGGCGCGTCGCCCGCCTCGTTCTCGCCGCCCTCGCCTCGTTTTGCTCCCCGGGCCCGGCCCGCGCTGTACCGCGGCGGCCAGGGCAGCAGCGGCGAGGGCACGTACCGCGTCGACCGCGCCGCGAGCGTGCCCATCCCCGACGCGCCGCGCCCGATGCGCCGCAAGACGCAAGAGTCGCGCGACTGGCCCTCGTTCTACTCGAGCGGTTCGTCGTCGACGTCGAGCTCGATGAGCTCGAGCGCGTACCTCCCGACGCCCCAGCTCGGCAACCAGGGCCTCCTCCCGCCGCCGCAGGGCGGCTACGTCGACGAGCCGGCCTCGTTCGACACGCCGACCGCCGCGGCGCACGCCAACCCGTTCGACGCCGCCAACCTCGTCCTGTCGCCGGCGCCGCAGTACTCGTTCTACCAGCAGCCGCCCGCGCCGCCGCACACGGACCACCCGCTGCTCGCGAGCGAGCAGTCGGACCTCTTGCGGCGCGTCCAGCGCGACCTCGTCGACGTCGACTTGAGCTCGATCAAGGGCCCGCTGCGCGCACTCGCCCTATCCGGCGGCGAGCGCGAGGCGACGCCGCTCGCGCACCACGACAGCCAGGGCCGCGCCTCGGCCCCTCCCGCCGTCACGCCGGGCCCGCCCATGTCGCAGCAGCAGCAGCCGTCGCAGCAGCAGCACGCCACGGCCTCGCCTTCGACGGTCCTGCGCTCGCCGGCTGCGGCGACCGTCGCCGAGGACGCTCTGTCGGCCGGCACCGTCTCGCCGCAGGAGGCCTTCCTCGACTACGACGAGGTCGACTCGCGCCTGCACGACCCGCACGACCCGCTGTACTCGGTCGGCCGCGACCGCGAGTTTGGCGTCGGCGTCGGCGCGTCGCTCTTTGCGCCGCTGCCTGCCGTCGCCGCCGCGAGGGGCGCGCAGAGCCCGGCGACGACGGCGCCGTTCGCGCCGAGCCCGCTCCGCGAGCGGTCGACGACGCCGACGGCGGCGAGCGTCGCCGGCCCGCTGTCGCCCAAGATGGCGTCGCCGAGTGCGCCGTCGTCGCACGCGCATCACGGGCACGGTCACGCCGCACGTCGCGGCCCGCACCCGTTCTCGGTGCCGCAGAACGCCGTCACGTGGGCCGCTCGACGGTCCCAGTCGGGCTCGCACCTCGTCGGCGGCGTCGTCGACGGCGATGCCGATGACGACGACGACGACTTTGGGAGCCAGGACCCTGAGGATGAGGAGGAGAGCGATGCGAGCGAGGCCGAGCGGCGCAGGCTTGACGCCGTGCGCAAGCAGGCCGGCCTCGGCGCCGGCTTTGGCGCGTTCGACAAGCGCGACGTCGACCTCAAGCCGGCCCTGAGCAAGCCGCCGGCGACGTCGCACACGCGCGTGCAGCCTATCCTGCCCAAGCCGGCGCCGAGCGACGAGGAGCGCTCGCGGTACGGCCTCGACAACGTCGGCAAGCCGCTCTTCGGCGTCGCCCCGTCGCTCAAGAACGAGGGCAAGGCGGCTCGTGCGGCCTACGCTCCGCCGCCGCCGTCCTCCTCGGCCGGCTCGACCGCCGCTCCTGTCGCCCAGTTCGCGCCGCCGCCGCCGTCGGGCGTCTCGGCGTTCCACACCGAGCTGCAGAAGCAAAAGGCGCAGCTGTCGCAGGCGCCGGGCGCCGCTGCGGGCAGCGGCACCAACACGCCGCGCCGCGCCGCCGCCGCCTCGGCTCTCGCCGGCCTCAACGCTCACCCCGAGCTGTACGCCGACGGCTCGGACGCCGGCAGTGCCGCGCCGTCGCCGCCGCCGTCGTCGGCCGCACGTCCCGCTCGGCAGCGCAAGCGCAGCCGGGCACTGCGCGCCATCTACGGCGAGCTGTCGGACGAGGCCGGCGCCGATGCTGCAGCCGCCGACGATGATGACGACGGCGACGAGTCGGACGCGTCGTACCACTCGTCGGCGTCGTCGTTCGGCGGCGCGACCGGCGGCGGCGGCAGCGCTCGCCAGGGCGGCCCGGCGCCCAAGCGGCGCCGACGTGCCCCCGCTGCGGGCAGCGCGCAGGGCGCACGCACGAGCGGCGGCGGCGGCGGTGGCGGTGGGACCGCCACGGGCTCGGGCTCGATCCGGTGCGACCACCTGAACAGCGACGGCACGACGTGCGGCGTCATCTTCCGGCGCCCGTACGACCTCGCTCGGCATCGCGAGACGATCCACAACGAGAGCCTCGGCGGCGAGAAGCTCAAGAGCGTCAAGGAGTGGCGCTGCCACGAGTGCGACGGCACTTTCAGCCGCAAGGACGCCCTCATCCGCCACTGCCGCATCAGGGGCCACAAGGCCGGCTGAGCCGGTGCGTCTCCCTCTCACTGTCGTCCATCTCTCCTTTCTAGTACGAGCCTGACCTTGTCCTCGTCGGTGCAGCCTTCTCGTCGATGGCCAACCTCTCGCGCCGTCCCTCCCACTCCTCCCTCTTCGACTCTCCTCGCGTTCGCCTCTTCCCTCCGTACCTCCACGCCCTTCTGTGCAACTCGTCCCGTCGCTTGTACCCCCTCCCGTCTAATGCCTCTCGCCTCGCACCGCTCTGTTCGCGTCCGTCTCGTCCCCCTCGTACATAGCCTCTTGTCCCTCGTACTTTGTCCCCCTCCTGTCGCACCGCCCGTCGTTTTTTGCCAGTCTCGCTCTCTCAATTCCGTGTATGAAAGATCTGCTGTGCAGCGACCGACAATTCTGTGAGCGAGAGCGTCATCGAGAGAGAGAGAGAGGGCGAGGCTCGTGCGTCTGCGGCCCGACCGTCCCTCGTTCTCCTGCTCTCCTGCTTGCGTCCTTCTCTCTCGCGCACTCGACTCTCGTCGAGCTGAATCTTCATGAGCCGAGACGGTACACGTGAGCCAGGGGCCCACGAAGGAGCTGACAGTCGCCACCGAGGAGAGGCCGAAGCAGAGAAAGCTCTCCCGCGCCGTCGTCCGGCTCGCTTGCGTGACACGCTCGCCCTTTTCTCTTCTGAGCTCTCGACTATCCGAGAGACGAAGAATGAAAGTCGAGAGCGCCTGATCGTACAGCCCGTACCGGTACAGACCTCGCCACGACCCGCTCGGACCCTCCTCGCCCCGACCCTCGCTCCTGGCCCTCGTCCGCTCACGCTCGCCCGCCGTCGCCAACTCACGCCATCTCGACCTCGCCCTCGTGCAGCGCCGCATGCTGCTCGACGTCGCCCTTGGTGACGATAGGCAGAGGGCGGCCGTCCCAGACGCGGCCCCACTTGGGGAAGCAGCGCTTGTACAGCGTGAGGCAGACCGTATCGAGCTGCGAGATCGGGCCGTCGAAGCCGGCCTGCAACGGACGAGAGGGACAAGAGAGGCGAGAGTGTCAGTCTCGGATGCAAAGAAAGGGAGGCGCGAGGAGGGAAAAAGAGGAGGGGGCGCACCTTGAAGTAGCCGTGCGTGCCGAGCGGCTCGCGGATGTGGCCGACGCGGCCCGTCTTGGTGCGGAGCTGAATCGGCCTGAAGTACTCGACGTCGTCGCGGTTGAAGAACAGGTACCGGATCGTCGCCGTCTTCTTGTGCACCTTGAACGGGTGGCCGGTCAGGATGACGCGCTTGGCCGTGATCCTCGTCGCGTCGGACGACAGGAGCGAGCCCGTGCCGATGAGGTGAATGCCCTGGTCGGGCGAGGCGTTGACGGCGTCGGCCGAGGTGGTCGGCACCCGGAGGAGGAGCGACGGCGAGTTGCCGAACGTGATCGGGAGGTAGGCCGTCGCGACGTGGGCGTTGATGCCGTGGCGGAGAAAGCGCTCGAACTTGTGCACGTTGTTGGCGCCGCGACCGCCGTTGCGCTGCGTGTGCTGCGAGAAGATCGGGTTGATGGCGAACCGGCGGAAGCCCTGCTGGAGGACGAGCGGGTCCTTGGACCGCACCGTGTCCGAGTTCTCGGTGTTGCGCTGCACCGTAAAGTGCATGATCGAGTACTTGTGCTCGTGCTTGTGCAGGCCAAAGAGCGCGAACGGGTTGAGCGGGTCGTGGTCGTCGACGGCTCGCCGAGGAACGTTGGCGACGTGGACGATGACGCGCGTGCCGGGCTGCGAGGGCGCGAGAGAGTCAGTGACAGGCCGATGGGAGAGGTAAAGAGAAGAAAGAGAACGCACCTCGGCACCCTCGACCTGCTGCCCTCGTCGCTCCATCTTGCGACCCATGCCCTTCCAGTCCTCGAGCATGAAGCACCGGCCGTAGTCGCGCGGCAGCTCCTCGTACGGGTCCCACCGGCTCGTGCGGAAGCTCTTGAGACCGCGGTACCGGGCGAAGCGCTCGCGTGCGGCGATGTTGAGCGGCGTGTCGACCTCGTCGGGGAAGTCGAGGTCGTCAAGGTTCTGCGTGTTGCGCTGTGCGGCGCGCTGCGACAGGTACTCCTTGAGCTGCGCCTCCTCCTGCTCGGGCGACAGGTCGGCGAAAGGCCGGGCCGAGACGGACGCCGTGTCGTCGGCCGCCGTGTCGACGAACTCGGTCTCCTCCTTCTCCTCCTCCTCGTCCACCTCGTCGCCTGCCCCGCCGCTCGCCTTCATCGACTCGTCGTCCTCGTCCGCCTCGAGGTCCTCGTCCTCGTCCTCCTCGTCGTCGATGATCCACGCCGCCTGGTACGCGCTCGTGCCCTTGGCCACCTTCTTCAGCTTGGGCGTTGTGCCCGGCCGAGCCGGCGGCGGCATCTCGGCGCGGTCGCGTGCGCCTGGCGCCGACGACATCTCCTCCTCGGTCGGCCACGTCTGCTCGTCGAGGCCGAACTCGTCGTCGTCGGGGATGTTGGTCGAGGCGAGCGAGTCGGCGTCGTCGTCGGGAAGCGAGAGCGGGTCGAACGGCGCAGAGGTAGAGGCGGTGCCGTCGACCGACATGGTCTCCGAGGGTGCAGGCGCGTTGCGCTTGGTCGGGCGATTGGGCGGCGCGAGGAGGATCTGCAAGAAGGACAACTGGTCAGGGATGCCGAATGGAGGAGAGAGGGAGAGGAGCGAGCCGGGCGCACCTTGGACACCTTGAAGTCGCCAAGGCCTTGCAGGTGCACGAGCCTGTTGGCGCTCAGACCGCCGCCCCGCACGACGCCCTCGACGACGAGCGTCCCGAGCTCCTCGCCCTCGAAGCCCTTGGGCTTGTCCTCCTCGCTCACGCCCTCGACCGCCGTCTCGCCGTCATCCTTCTCCCACGCGACTCGCTCGGCGAGCACGCGCGGCCGCGCTTCGCGCCACCGCAGGCCCTTGGGCGTCTTCTCGCAAATGGCGCGCACGATGAGGGTCGCCTCGGGCGACGCGGTCGCGGCGGGCGATGCGGCGTCCTCGGTCGCCATGGCGGAAGAGGTGGCGGAAGAGGCGGCGGACGGCGTGGCAGAGACGCAGTGGATGCGCTCGACCGAGGGGAAGAAGTGGGTGAGGAAGGACTGGAGGGACAGGCGGGTCGACGAGGCGACGGCCGGGTTGCCGCCGGGAAGGTCCTGCAGGGTCAAACACGTCAGGGTGCGGCACACACACGACGAGGGGAAGAGGCAGGACGCACCTTGACGGCGCCAAAGACGCCCCCGTTCGAGCCGCCGACGCCGAGACCCGTCAAGCAGCGCAGGACCGTCTCGCCTTGCGCATCGACCTCCTCCTCGCTCGACATGGCGATGATGGTGAAGTCGGCAACGGCCGCCGCGTCGAGGATGGGGAAGAGCGAGGTCGTGCGAGATGCGGGCGGGAGGAGGAGGAAGCGGAGCGACTGGTTGTGGAACTTGGGGACCCTGCGAGCAGAAGACAATGAGTCAGCTCTCTCTGTCCTCTCTAGGCAGAGCTTGGCACGGCCGGAGAAAACAGGCGCGAGGGAGAGGGAGGGAGGAACAGGAGAACGGGACGCACTCGAGAGAGCGATAACCCTCGACACCCGACAGCTCGCCGTCGATCGACTGGGCGAGGAGCTCGACAAGCTCGAGGCTGTCGACGTCCTCGGTCATGGGCACGACGGCGACGACGCGCTGAACGCGGTCGCCGTTGCGGTTCTTGCCGGCGAAGATGCCCTTGGCGTCCTCGACGATGCGGCGCTTCTTGTCGAGGACCTGCTTGGCGTGGTGCTTGCGGTTGACCTTGAGGTGCTTGGCCTGGACCTTCTGCGACGCCTGCTTGACGGCCTTGGTCGCCTCGCCCTTGACCGACGGGCGGTGAGTGCGGCCCTTGGCCTGGTCGCGCAGGCTGCTCTTGGACGCGTGCTTCGACTTGAAGCTCTTGTTGGTCTGCTTGCCGTGGGCCTTGTGGCTGTGCCCTTGGCTGCCCTGCTGGCCGGCCATGATGTCGAGTGGAGTGATGAGAGCTCGCCGAGGAGATGAGGCGAGGTCGGGCTCTGGCGGGCGAGTGGGTGGCGGCGCAGGTGCTGGGCGGCGAGCGAGAAGGTCTGGCTGTGCTGTCGGGCGGGCTGAACAGCAGCAGGCGAGAGCTGGCGCAGATGGGAAGAGCGAGAGTGCAAGCGAGCTTGGATTCGAGGAGAGGCGGTGCTGCGTCGTCTCGAGCTCCTTGCGACGCCTGCCTGGCTTCTCTGCTGACGCCAGAGCGTGTACGACTGTAATGCAACACTGTTCAAGCTGGCCGGCGAACAAAGCCAGGAAGTGAAATCACCGGCTCGAGCGCACGAGCGCGCAAGTCGGTCGGCCACAGCACTTGCTGCGCCGAGTCGTGCACACGACCCTCTCTGTCTCTTTGTCGTCTCTCTGACGAGGGCAACGATGCGCAGAAAGCGGGACGAAGCCGGACGATTGCGCTCGTGCGCTCGCTACAAAGGACGACGACGAGGATGACGAGGGTGAGAGGCGCAATAGACAGATGAGAGGAGATGATCTAGAGGCGAGGATGGAGGAGGACACAAGGTGCTAGAGACGCTCACGCAACCGCTCGAGGCGAGCGGCGGCGACGCGCTCTGTAAAGGTCGCGCGCTTGCCACGAGATGCGGCGGCCTGTTCGCGCAGGGACAGGTTCAGTCGCTGGTCTTTGAGGCGTAGAGAAGGGAAAGAGACACGCACAGAGCGCTTCCAGACCGAGAGGGCGGCAGACCCGCCGCAGAACTCGTTCGGGTTGCCCGAGCATGCGAAGCGGCATCTCGACTCGGCGATCTTGGACGTCGTGATGGCCGCCGTGCTCATGAAGCATTCACCATCTGCGGTACACAGCGTCAGGACGAGGAGGAAGAGGGAGGGAGAGCGAGAGACGCACAGTAGGAGAGGCCGCAGACGAGGGCGCCCTTCTGAGCGCAGGCGTCGAGGCAAGCATCGGCGGTCGATGCCGGGTTGCTAAGGCCGATCGGCAGCGAGCGCACGCCGTTGACGAGGTCCCCGTAGCCTGTGGGCGAGAAGGCGAGGTGCGTGAGTGAGGGAAACGTGGTACCAAAAGGAAGGCGCGAGAGAGAGGAGAGCGTACAGGCGTCGTACGTCCACACGCCTCGCGTCGCCAGGTCGGTGCTCGTCGGGCTCGTGAGCGCCTTGCGCCTCGTCGAGACGTACACGTCGAGCGCGTTCGACCCGCCGCACGTCTGGGCCGGGTTGCCGTTGCACTTTTGAGCGCAAGAACTCGTCGCGAGCTTGCCCGCCGCCGGCGACAGGGCCGGTGCCGCCCAGCACTCGCCGTAGTAGGACAGGCCGGCGATGGCGAGGCCGGCGGCGTCGGCGGCGGCGAGACAGCCGTCGACGGTCGAGTTGGACCGGCCGGTGAGCGACACGGGGAGCGAGCGGCCGGCGTCGACGAGGTCGGCGAAGCAGCCCGAATCTGGTGGACGAACATGTCAGTCCTGCCCTCGACGAGAGGAAGCGCAGAGGGAGAGATAGAGACGCACAGGTCCAGCCCTTGTTGTAGGCGACCTTGCCCGGCTGAGCGATCAGGACGGGAGCAGACGCCGTTGCAGAAGCGACGCGAGTCGTTGTCGTCGACGTGGTCAACTTGAACGTCGTCGACGCCGCAGACGACGTGGTCGCCTTGCTCGTCGTCGCCGAAGACGAGGTCGAGTTGGCGGCCGCCTTGCGAGTGTAGAGCTCGAACGAGGCGCCCCCAGGACCGCCGACGCCGCCGCAGTACTGCAACGCGTTGTCGGTGCACGTGAGGCCGCACGAGCCTGCGCCGAGTGCCGTCGATCCCGCGCCGAGGACGTTCGCGCCCCAACACTCTGCGAGGGCGGTTTGAGAAGGTCAGGTTGGGTCTCTCGAGGATGCCCAAGAGAAAGAGGGGCGCACCCCCGTGATATTCGACACCTGCAGGAGGGGCGTAGAGGTGAGTGAGTCGGCCTGAGAGGGCGAGGAAAGGGAGAGAGGCGACGTACCGCAGTAGGCGTAGTTCTTGGCGTCGCACGCCTCGAGGCACGCTTGGACCGTCTTGGTCGAGGTCGAGAGGCCGTTCGGGAGCGCCCGACCGTTGACGAGGTCCGAGTAGCAGTCCTGGTACGTAAAGATCGAGCCCTTGGCCGACGTGTACGAGGTGACGACCGTCGGGGCGCTGCTCGGGACTTGGGCGCCGACAGGACTGCGGGCGGCGGCGAGGCAGGGCTCGTCAGTTCGGCCGTCGCTCGAGGACTGCCGCACGAGGGGGACTCACGGAGCAGAACCGGTGTAGGCGACCGGGTTCGAGAAGATGGCGGGCGGGTTCGGGTCCGTGCACGGCGTCGCGTTCGGGCCCGCGCCCGTCACCGGGTTGCAGCCGGGCAGCTTGGGCAGGGTGCCGAGGACGACCTCGTTGACATCGGGCGTCTTGCGGCACGTGTGGCTCGAGTCGTACAGGTCGAACACCTTGCCTGTGGGGGAGGACGAGTCAGTTTGGGAAGGCCGATCGAGTCGAGGGAGGGGGACGCACAGTACTCGATGACGCCGCTGTCCGAGGTGCACGTGTCGATAGCCTCCTGCAGCACTTGACGGTCCCAGCCATTGAAGAAGTCGCCATGCATGCCGAGGCCAGTCGAGTCGCCCATGGCGAGGACGAACGGCTGCTCCGGGTTCTTGGCCTGCGAGCGGTACTTGTTCCACGAGTTGACGTCGTGCATGATCTCGTCTGAGTGTGGGAGCGAGTGAGTACGTCGTAGAGAGTGTGAGAGTCGAAGGAGGACGCACAGAAGAGCGTGACGAGGCGGACAGGGTGCGTCGTCGGGCAAGCTGGGAAGGCAAGGTCGTCAGGTGCGAGCTCGGCTCTGCTGCTGCAGGACGAGGGTTACTCACGTCCCGACTCGCCGCCGATAGGGTACGCGACGTGGCTTGAGTGGTCGGCCGAGTCCAAGTCGACGCCGTTCCAGCACGACGGGAGCCGAACCTCGCCGCGCAGGCCGTTCGGGCAGTTGTAGGTCGGCAAGGTCGGGATACGCCTGTCGCAGAGGACCGCGTCAATGATGTAGAGGCAGAGAAGAGAGAGAGAGAGAGAGAGAGAGAGAGAGAGAGGGCGGTGGGCGTACGTTTGAGCCACGTTGGCGCCGAGGCAGTTCCAGCCGATCGCCTGCGCCGCCTCCGAGCCGTCGTAGCTGCGCTTGAACGGGTTGCCGGCGAGCATGCGCAGGCCGTCCGGGAAGGCGGTGACGTTGGTCTTGTCGGCGGCGTTGAACCGAGGCAGGTAGTAGATGAGGAGGCCGCTCGAGACGCTGCTGAAGGACCCGTTCTTCCACTCGAAAAATTGGGATGGCACCCAGTACGCCGACGAGTCTTGTTTAACGAGGCAGGAGGTGCACTCGCTGGCCCGGAGGTCCTGGAAAGAGCTCGACAGGCCAAAGTTGCTGCCGCCGACGACCGTGTGGACATGGCCACTGCGTGTAGACGATAGGCGAGGCGTAGGGATCGCGTGGTAGCGGAAGGAGGAGCCAGGGCGGCCGGAAAGAGGGACAGGAGGGCAGAAGGCGAGGTAGGGAGGGAGGAAGGAGGGAGGGACGGCGAGTTTTGGGAGGGAAGGGTAAGTCCGCGCTCGTCGACGCCTGTCTGAGACCGCCAGGCTTCAGGCCGTAGCACGTAGGCGAGCGAAAGAGGGACGCACGCGACTTGACCAGGAGAGACGATGGGGTCGGCGCGCTCGGTTACGAGGACGTTGTTGCAGGGCCTGCATGAGGGGAGCAGACGCGTTAGTCAGGGCATCCTGCAGAGTGAAGGAGAGGGACGCACATGCGCCAGAAGGCATCGACCGAGGATGCGGCCGCGACGAGCGCGACGACCAAGGACGGAACGAGCATGTTGGCGACGGCGGCGACGGCTCGGGACGGCGAGGGCAACGGCTTGAGGAGGGAGCAGTGCGCAGCAGGAGCGCAGTGACACAAGCCAGACGTAGCACAGAGCCGTGGCGAGCGAGCAAGAGGGAACAAAAGCAGCGAGCCGGCCGCTCGTCCGCGATGATGAGGGCGGCGCGTGGGGAAGTTGAGCGACGAGCTGAACTCCAGGCGAGGAAGCTCGGCTCCCCAGTCGCGCTGTGAATGCTCTGCTACCCTCGCAGGGCTCTTCGAAAGGGAGCGACGCGCAGCGAGAGAGATCATGCCCGTCGCTGTGCGGGGCGCGGAATGCGCCTGCCACGCTCGGCCAACGGTCGCAAGGGGAGAGGGTCGATCGCGCGCTGGTAACGGCAGGCCGGTGCCGCAGTAGGATCGACCCAAGTCGGGTCGACGGGAGTCTCACGGCCGAACGAGGGGAAAGTCGCCCGCACGTTCCCACGCTCTCGACGTCCGCAGCTCTGGCGTGCGCTCAACTCGGGCTCGTCCAGGCAGTCGGCAGCAGCGACAGAGTGCGGCCTCGCCGGCGTCATTCACCTGTCGATGCCGTGCCCTCGGCAATGCGAAGGCGAGCGCCGAGAGGAGATTCGAGAGTACGACGACCGCGTCTCTTTGAACGCGACAGTCGCTTTCGAGGTGAGCTGCGGCCACGCCTGGACCATTAGAGATGCGACGCGAACGATGAGCGTCTCTCGTCGCAAGTGCGCGGGTCGAGCCGAGGTCAAAGAAGCTTTAAGCGTCGCGCCGTCGTCTGCCCACCGCCGACGAGCACGCTCGGCACCATGCGTCGCACGTCCTCGGTCCGCCGCAGCAGAGCAGCAGCGGGATAGCGAGAGAGCGGCCGACCATCGCGAGGCTGTTCGAGCGAGAGCGAGGTGCGCGCGCCCAGGAGCGCACGGACCCGCCCTGTGAGGACGACGAGCGAGGACGCGCCCGAGCCCTCGTGAAAGGCGAGAGAATGCGTCCAATGCTCACACGTATGAATGCCCATGCTCGCCGAGTACTCGTCCTTCTCGACCCGCCTCGCTCGCTCAGACCCTCTCGACCCGACCTTCTCAACGCCGCGCCAGCACTGACTTGCTGGCCCCGCCGCCCCGACACTAACCGCGAACGAAAGGGTGCAAGAGGAGCTCCTGCACGAGAAGAGCGTGTCAGTGCCCGTCGACCTGGACCGCCTCGTCGAGAAGGAAAGAGAGAAGTCTCGACGCACCTTGGGCGTTGGCCTCCTCGCCGGCTCGAGGCTCAACATCTTGTCGAGCAGGTCGACAAAGCTCGTCAACAGGCGCGCGTCGTCCTCCTTGAGCTTGCGGGCGACGCCGGGCGGCATGAGGCGCGAGCGCAGGTCCGAGGGCGGCTTCCCGGCGATTTGGCGCGGTGTCACGTTGTCCTGCGGGCGCGAAAGAGGTGCATCGACGTCGCGGGAAGAGTCAGGTCGACTCGTGACCGCGGACAGGCTCGAGAGGGGAGAGACGAGGGGACGCACCGACTTTTCGACGTAGAAAAAGTTGAGGCCCTCGTCAAAGTGCTGGTCGTGGAAGCGCGCCTTGCGGATGAGCTTGTGGTTGAACTTGCCCTTGGTCTCCATGATGAGGAGGAGCATGTGGTTGTTGGTGCGACCGGGGAACAGGATCCTACGAGCGAGAGCACGGGCGAGGGAGGAGGTGCGGGAGAGACGGTGAGCGTGCCGCACGAGCGCAACAGGCTCGACGGGGCGAACCAGAGTAAGGGGAATGTACGACTCACTTGCCGGTGTAGAGCTCGTAGAGGGTGCAGGCGATCGACCACACGTCGAGCGAGCAGTCGTACGGCAGGCCGAGAACTGCGAGAGGGGCACGGTCGTCAGTCCGGATCCGGCTTGACCGAGTCGCACGCTCGCCATCGACGACGAGACGCAAGGGGGGACGAGGGACGCACTGATTTCGGGAGCGCGGTAGAAGCGCGAGACGAGGTACGGCGTGATCTCGTTCTCGCTCACGTCCGACGCCGAGCCGAGGTCGCACACCTTGAGCGTCGCCTTGCTCTCGTTGACCTGCGCACGAAGAACATGTATGTGAGCGTCTCGTCGTCAGATGCGGAGCGCGAGCGAGCTCTCTGGGCAAGCTCGACACTGCCGAAAGATCGAGAGGACGGTCGGGCCGACTCACGAGAATGTTGTCGGGCTTGAGGTCGGCGTGCATGATGTCGCACTTGCGCATGAGCGACAGGGCGAGGAACATCTGGCTCGCGTAGGCGCGCACGGCGCGCAGGTTGAGCCCGACGTCCTTGCCGTACCGCTTGACGACCTGGCGCAGGTTCATGCTGTGCGTGCCGAGCGTCAGTGACTGCTTCTCGATGACCAACAGAGCACGAGAGAGGAAGAGAGGGGTGCGAGAGAGGGCGGTAGGGACGAACCTGAGCGACTCGAAGACGAGGCACAGGTGGCCCCGGTGCTCGAACGTGCGGTGCAGGCGCACGAGGTGCTTCTTGTCGTCCGGGTCGGCGTCACGCAGTCGGCGCAGGATCTGGGCCTCCTTCATGCCGGCCTTGAACCTGTGACGAGCGCGAGCGAGGTGAGCTCGCGTCCGCGACGAATTCCTCGGGCCACGGCGCCGCGTCGCAGGGCGAGGCCGAGCTCGAGGCGGGACAGAGAGAGAGAGAGAGAAGAAGACGCACATGCTCTCCTGGCTGCGCACGATCTTGATCGCCACGTCCCTCCTCTCGCCCTCGCCAACGCCCTTGCCCGCCAAGCCCGGCTCGCCGTCGTACTTGCCCGAGCCCTTGTCGCCGAGGTCGCGCGCCTTGACGACGCTCGAGAACATGCCCTTGCCGAGGTTGGCGACGACGTGGTACCGGCCGTCGTCGAGCGCCTCGCCGAGGATGACGCGGTAGTAGCCCTCGGCATCGTCGTAGTTGTCGGCCAAGAGCGAAGCATCGGTCGTGCCGCTCGGGAGGGCACGGTTCACGATCTGCGCGATAGACGATGAGGGAGAGGGTCAGTGAGGCCGAGAGGTGGGAGAGAGGGCGGAACCGGGTTCGAGAGCAGGAGAGGGGACGCACCGGCACGCCCGCCTTCTTCTTGCCGCCCTTCTTCTTCGGCTTCTTCTCGTCGTTGCCGATCGCGAACATGTCGTCCTCGTCGTCGTCGTCCTCCTCGCCGTCCTCCTCGTCCTCGCTCTCCTCGACCTCGATCACGCCCTCGCGGTCCTTCTGCTCGCGCTCCTTCTCGAGCTCGCGCCGCTGACGGCGGTCGTCATCGGCGCCGTCCGGGTCGTAGTCGGCCGCCGAGACCTCGTCGGCGTCGGTCTGGTTGGCCGAGGCGGGCGGTGCGGCAGATGCGGCCGACGAGGTCGACGCGTCCTTGGTGAGCGAGAAGGTCGAGTCGGACGACGCATCGACCGAGACGGCGCGCGTCGACGGCGCGTTAGACGACATGGCGGGCGAGTCTGCGTGCGCGAGAGGGCAGGAGAGTCAGGGCGTGCGGCCGGCACAGATGGTCGACAGGACGAGAGAGGACGGACCGGTACCGATCCGCAGACGCTTTGCCGCGCGCTCGACGACGTCGGGCGCCGATGTACCAGGCGTAGTCGACTCGTCGTTCGGCGCCTCGCGCTTGACCTCGGGCGTCGCGCCGCCGGACGGGGCCGCACTCGGCGTCGCCGAGGCGTACTTGGCGAGGATCTCGGCGCGCTTGCGGCGGCGCTCGGCGAGGATGGCCTCGGGGTCGGGCTCGACGACAGGCGTAAGGTCGATCTCGGGCTCGTCGACGGGCTTGATCCTGCAGGGAGGCGAGAGAAGGTCAGTGTCGGCGGACGAGGGCGGAGCGTGGCCGAGAGAGAGAGGGGACGTACTCGCCCTCCTCGGCACTAGGGGCTGGTGGACCAGATGACGACGATGATGTCGGAGCTGCTGCTGGAGCTGCTGAAGGTGGAGCTGGCGGGTGGGTGGGCTGTTGCGAGGAGGAGGCGGGGACGAAAGCCGGGTTGCTCGACCGGTGCACGGGGGCCTGCGGGCGCGAGGTCTGGCCGTATCCGTCCCGACCGGTCCTGCCGCCGTACTCGCTGTCCCTCCTGCCCTGGTAGCCGTCCCCCCTGTCGTACCCGCCGCCGCGACCGTACTGCCCGCCTCCTCCACCACCTCGCCCGCCGTCGTACCCCCTCGAGCCGCCGCCGCCGCCGCCGTGGTAGTCGAGGTGGTGGCGATCGGGTGCGGCGTCGCGGTCGTAGTAGCCAGCGGCTTGTCGGTGAGGCGGTTGGCGATCGTCGTCGAAGCCGCGAGCCGAGTGCGAGTGCGGGTGCGAAGGGGCGGTAGAAGACGAGGTTACGGCGCGGCGATCTTGTTCCCACCACGGGAGGGCGCCGTCGTCGTGGTCGTCGTCGTCTCGGCGCGAGCGTCGTGCATCGTGGCGGCTGGACATTGACGAGGCGGCGGGCGGCGGGTGGAGGAGGCGGGGGTTAGTGGTGCGGCTGTTCGACGAGCGGGGCAGGGACGGTGGCCAAACCAGGATGGTCGGGGGGTCGGAAGGGGCGGGTGATCGGTGGCTACCGTCGCTGTTGGCAAGAGCGAGTGGATCGAGAGAGAGAGAGAGAGGGAGGAGATGAGAACGAGCAGGAGATGAAGCTCCTGCCCACCTCGTGCTCTGCTAGGCGCTCAGTGGCTGAGCCTGTGTTGTCTGAGTACTGCTTAACTCTCCCTTGCGCCACACGCAACCGCGCCCAATCGCCCCGAGCTGTCGTCGCTCGTCCACCTCCGTCTCGACCTCGATCTCGCAACATCCACTGCAGCAACCGCCCGACGGCCTGTGAGCACTCGCCCTTCCCTTCGTATCCTTTCTTCCAGCCTGTACCGCCGCGGCAAGTTGCCAAGGGCGAGCTGGGCAGTCGTCACGGTGCTCTTCCCACACGGAGCCGACCTCGGCAGTCCCTGCTCCTCGTGTTTGAGCCGCGAGCTGACCTGGATCGAACGTCACACAGATACAGCAGCATCTACGATGGAGGTGTCCGAGTACGCCGACGCGCTGCCACTTCTCGAGCAGGCCATGGCCGACCTCGCCAAAGGTCAACTCGTTCGCGACGAGCGTTGCTCCATGATGGACCTCATGAGCGCCATCGAGGTGCGTCCTCTCTCTCTCTCCTCTACCAGGTCGTCCCACCACGGTCGAGAGGCTGACTGAGTCCGTCGCCCGACGCCGCCAGATCAACGACGCTCGCACCGACACTTACCTTCATTCGCAAAAGGAGCGACAGCGACAGTCGTCCCTGCCTTCTTTCGACCCTGCGGTGCCTCTACACGCTCAAGATGTCGTCTGGCTCCATGACGAGGTTCTGCGGCTCGAGGTGCGCCCTCGGTTCTCCTCGGTCGTCCCGAGTTTAGACCGCGACTGACACATTCCCCCCTGCCCAGGCCACGTTTCACGCCGGCTATCCGCTCGCCTCGACCCTGTGGACGTGCAACTACCTGCGCGCCGACTCGCTCGCCGCAATATCGGGCTTTGCCCCGTCGACTTCCGCCTCGGCCGACGACGGCCAGTCGCAGCTGCGCACGGTCGTCGTACGAGCGCTCTTCCTCGGCGTCCTCAAGAGCAGCCAGATCGTGTGGGAGGAGCTCGGCAAGAACCAGGTCTACGAGGTGAGCCCCTCTCGTCCACCGCCACCACCTACCCATGCACTCTGAGCGACTCGCGTCTGACCCTCGAACGTGACGCAGCACGAGGACGTCCACCTGTCGCGCGGTTCCCTGTCGTTCAACAGCCTCATGTCGGCGTGCTACGCGCCGTCCTTGCCACCTTCCGCGCCAGCCTCGCCGCTCGTCATGCCCGGGCAGGGCCAGGACGAGTCGCCGCAGCCGCCGGAGCGCCTCATCTCGGTCGACGACGTCCTGCGTGACCTCGACGCTGCGTTGAGGTGGCTGCAGGCCGAGGAGCAGGTGCAGGCCGAGTGGCTCAGTGCCGAGATGAGGGAGAAGCTCGTCGCGAGGGTGACGCTGCGGATCGTACGTCCGCCTCTCGTCCGTCTCCCCCTCTGCGCCTCGGCGAATACTCACCATTGCCTCTCTTCCGTCTCGCAGGACCTCCTGTACCCGATCGCGCTCCTCACCTACCCGGCCCACACGTCGCCCTCGGCCATCTCGCACCACCTCGACCGCCTCGAATCCTACTCGTCCCTCTTCCCGACGGCTTCGACCCCTTCTTCGTCCGACACGACCTCGTACGACCCACCTCCCGTCCTGCGGGCCGCCTTCCATCCCTCGGCGACCGTCCCCCTTCTCGCGACGCAGCAGCCGCCTCGGCCAGTCGACATCCTCCCGCTCGACGCGGCGTACGACCTGTGGCGCCGCATCGTGAGCCACCTCGGTGAGCTCATGGGGCTGTGGGAGCTGTGGAGGAAGGGAGAAGGTGGATGGAAAGAGCTGCACGAGTGGAGCAGGAGGAGGGCGAGGGTCGAGGCGCAGCCGTACGTGCGGTCGGTGCAGCAGGTGCGTCCAGCCCTCCTCTCGTTCCGTGTCACTCGTCGGACCCGGTACTGACGAACCCTCTGCGTCACCTCGACCCGTCCGTCGCCCCGCAGTCGCTCATCTCGACCCCGACCCATCTCTTCCACGTCAAGCCGATCTCGTCCCTCGCGACCTCCTTCCTCACCTTCACGACGCCTCTCCCTTCCTCCTTCACTTCGACGCTCCCCCTCCTCCTCTCGCACGAGTCGCACCCCTCGCAACCTGCCCACACCCTCCTCGCCTTCCTCGAGCGTCTCTCGGCCAAGCTCGCGCAGTTCGCGCATGCCCTCGCCGGCCAGAACCGCGGTCGGCAGCGTCGGTGGGTCATCAAGAGCCTCGGGACGTGGGACGAGCTCGTCTGCGAGGCGGCCGGCGACGCGCGGCGGCTCGTGCACGAGGTGCTCGCCGCCGTCGAGTACGCGCTGCCTGAGGGGGACGCGGCGCGAGTTCGTCGTGCGGCGCAGCTGCTCCGTGTGGCGGTGAGCGCACATGCGCACGAGCTCGCGCTCGAGACGCTCCTGAGCGGGTTCGAGGAGGCAGTCGGGCTCTTTGGCGGAGGTGGAGGTCCGAGCGGGGCAGGAGGGGGAGCGGCCGAGGCGTGGTGGGTCGGGACGAGGGTCGCGAGACGACTGGCGACGCTGTGGGACACGCTCGTCGGTGAGAAGGACGAGGGAGAGGGGGGGAGGGACTACCTCGAGGCAAAGAGCTTCGAGGCTCGAGCGATCGAGGCGGTCTGCGCTGCGTCCTGGCTGGTGCGTCCTCGCCTCCTCTCAAAGTCGACGTCCTCGTTCTCCCCGGTCAAGGACTGACAACTTGCTCGCTGCACCAGGTCTCCTGCGCTTCAACGTCGAGCCGACCACCGCCCAAGTTCTCCTCACCCTTCCTCCCCTCCCTCGCCTTTCCTCCCGCACAAGCCGCTCAAGGTCGCTTCCGCCAACGCTTCGAGTGGCTCGGCCGACTGTCTCGGCTCGACGGCGCGGCGCAAGGGTCGGTCGCAGACTGGGCGGCGTATCGAGAAGAGCGGGATCGGCTGGACGAGGTCGAGGTGCGTCCCTTCTTCCTCTCTCTCTCGATCTCCTCTCACTGGCCTGACTCGCTTACTCTCTCGACGCAGGTTGGAGATCTCGCAAGTCGGTCGGAGGAGGCGTGCGAGCGCGCCATCCTCGCCGTGACCGCCCTCGAGCGGGTCCTGCCCGCGCTCAGCGGCACGCTCTCGCCCTTTCAGGTAACGCAGCAGGTGCGTCGCGTCGTTCTCACGTATTTCTGTACCTCCCTGACGTCTTCTCGCGCGCGCAGCACGACCTCGGCCCGCTCAGCTGCGTCCCCTCTGCCGCGTTCGACCTCCCAGATTCGCCAAAAGGGCGGTCGCTGTCGTCGCAGTTGCGGCGGCTCGGCATGCACGCGAAGGCGAGCTCGTAGTCGAACGTCTACGATCTAGCTGCCTGCATTGTCGAGCTCGTCCACGTCTTTCGTCCTCGTCGTCCGTATCTCGAGAACCGGCTCCCAAGCTCGCAGTCTGTTTCGAAATCGGTCGCCCTGCTCGCTTCGTCGGCTCTCTGTCGGCTCAATCACGCTCGTTCTTGCACAGAGCATCCGTCGAGAGAAGGTTTGGTCGAAAGGGCCGGAGCGTGCAGCATGACGGCATCGACTGAGAGAACCGTCGAGATCTCTCCCTCGTTCGCTCGACAGCAGCTCGCTCCCAGTCGCCCGGTCTGTCGTGCTCTCTAGTCTCTCGGCGAGACGTCCGCTGCGCAGAAGAAAGAAATGCTTGCAGATCAAGATCATGCCCGAGCCAAACCCGCCTCTCGACCCAGTCCTCCTCTCGCTCGAGCCCTTCTCAGTCGGTCTTGAAGACGAGGATGGGCTTGATGACCTCGCCGGTGTGCATGGCGTGGATGGCGTCGTCGAGCTTGTCGAACGGGAACTGTCGAGAGACCCGGTCCACCGGGAAGTGGCCCTCGGCGTACAGCCGGCTCAAGAACGGGACAAACTCTGGCGGGTTCGAGTCGCCCTCGCACAGGCCGATGTACGTCTTGCAGGCGACGAGGTTCTCGAAGATGCCGAACGGCGGGTGGACGCCGGGACCGGGCGTGCCGCACGACAGGAGGGTGCCGAGGTTGGCCGTCATGGCCCACCCGGCCTCGAGCGCGCGCACGTTGCCGCTGCACTCGACAAAGTAGTCGACGCCGCCGTCGGTCGCCTTGCGCACCTGCTCGACGACGTCGGCGTCGCGAGCGTTGAACGTGATCGTCGCGCCGAACTCCTTGCCCATTTCGAGCTTGCCGTCGACGACGTCGAGGAGGACGATGGTCTCGATGCCGAGGTAGTTGGCCGCAAAGAGGGCGCCTGCGCCGACGGCGCCGAGGCCCGAGATGGCGATGCTCGACGTCTTGGCGGGCTTGAGCTTGTTGAGAAGGGCGCCGGCGCTGCGCAGGAAGAAAGGACGAGTCAGTCGGGCCGCCCGGACGGTCGGGACCGCGAGGAAGAGCAGACAAAGAGACAGAGAGACAGAGAGAGCGAGGGAGAGACGCACCCCGTCTGGAAGCCACAGCCGATGGGCGCGAGCGTCTTGAGGTCGGCGTCGTCTGCCACCTTGACGACCGAGTTCTCGACGACGACGGCGTGCTTTGCGAAGCCGCTCTGCCCGAAGAAGGCACCGTAGATCTCCTCGCCGCCTGACCCGCGAATGCCGGCCTTGCTGCCGAGGGCGGCGCTGCGCTGACGACCAAAGTTGATGGGCGCGAACCCCTCGCAGGCCGCAGGATGGCCTCGCTGTAAGTCGGCGCGAGTCGCGAGGCGAGTGCAAGTGGGAAAGAAGAGTCGATCGTCGAGGTAGCGGGAGAGGGTCGAGTGCACACGCGAACATGCGGGAGAGGAAGAGGAAAAGGAGGGAGAGAGAAGGAGAGGACGAGGGTCAGAACCCGGCGGCGAAGGGGAGCGAGAGAGATAAGGGGGCGCACCTTGCAGGGTCGGCAGCTTGCGCAGTAGTTGAACGAGCAGAGCACCTTGTCGCCCGCCTTGACCCTCGTCACGCCGGAGCCAGTTTTGACGACGATTCCCGACGTCTCGTGACCGACCGTGTTGGGGAACGGCGAGGGGAAGGCGCCGTTCTGGACGGACAAGTCGGTGTGGCAGATACTGCGCGTCGCAAAAGGGTGAGCTCAGTCTCGCTTGAGGAGAGGAGGGGAGTTGACGAGCGCACCCGCAGGCAACCACCTCGATGAGTACCTCCTCGGCTTCTGGCTCGAGCAGCTGCAGGGGAGCAGGACGTCCTCAGTGTCACTCTGTTGATGGACACTAAGCGCTGCACGCACCGTGACGTCTTGGAGGGCGAAGGCGGCGTTGACCTCTGCAGGAAGGCGAAGCGGGGAAAGTGGGGAAGGTCAGGTCGAGGACGCCGCGGTCGCTGCCCGTGCAGAGCGGGACGCACCGGAGAGTACGTAGGCTTGGGTTTGCATGGCGAAGTGGGCTTTGCGAGAGCGTGAGAGAGCAGAGACGAGGAGCGAGAGACGGATTTGTGGGGAGCGGACGAGTCGGGCGTCGTAGCTCCCCCACCCTTGCTGATGATTGTTCCGGCCAGCGATCAAGCAAGGCACGCACGCTTGCAAGCGCTCTCGGCAACGAGCCTGGCACCAAGCGCGGCTCGCGACGGCTCGACTCACTCAGGCCTCTCTTTGCTCTCTCTCGCGCAACTTGAGAAGGTCGAGCGAGGGAGAGAAACGCAGAGTTGCACAAGAGGCTGCTCACCAGCCAACTGTAGACGCAGGACAAGAAGAGAGAGTGAATAAAGAGTGCATTGCGCGAGGCCAAAGTGCGCCTCTCTACGCGCAGGATCCTGAAACGACGGCCTCGAGGCATGAGCACCGAGGCCTCCCTCGAGACGGTTCCTCGGAGAAGAGAGAGGTAAGGACTGACCGAGAACGTCCCAAGGCGGAAGCGGCGTGACGTGGCCGTGGTCATACACGTCGAGAAGGTGCGGGTTGACGAAACGGCGCGGCGCGACGATCTGGAAGAGGTACTCGGAGAACCAGCCGTCCGACATGACGACGAAGCCCTTGTTGCACTTTTCGGGTCCCTGTGTGCGCGAGGACGAGTGAGCGAAAGAGGGTCGACGTCGGCTCGAGCAAGATGGCGAGGTGCTCACCCACGAGTTCTCGACGCGCCAACGGACCGACCGACCTCGGTCGTCGAGGTGCACCGCCGTGAACATCATGGCGCTGCGTGTTGGAAGAAAGGCTGTCAGACCGAGAGTCGGGCGCAGAAGGAGAGAGACGACGACGCACTGGGTCATACAGGAGTCGCCGGACAGCAAGCGGTGCCTCTTGTCCATGCGCAATCTCGTCCCAAAGGCGTCGTCGTAGTCGTAGAGCTTCTGGTCCATGATGCCGTTCTTCATGTCGCTCGACTTGTCGACTGCGAGGGCGCCAGAGTCAGGGAGAGGACGGCGTCGAAAAGGGAGAGGAAGGGCACGGACCGTCGCAGCCGAACCAAACCGGGTAGTCGGCCTGCGCACTCGTCGGTAGCGTCAGGGTCGGGCGACGCAGAGGAAGAGGGAGGGCGAGGGCGCACCTGCAGCATCTTGATCGCGATGTCCTTGAGCGACTGCGCCGGGAGGTTGAGGTACCGCACAGGCCTGCCGCCGACGACGTTGCCGAGGCGCTCGACCGTGTAGACCTGCTCGTACGGGTGTCGAGGGTCGTTGATGATCGAGATGGTGTCGCTGCAGTCGTAGCCGGCGTGGACTTGCGCAAACTCGAGCGGCGTCGTCTTGAGCGACCGCACCTTGCCCGCCTTGTCCTTTAACTCCCAGACGATCTGATTGCGGTCGAGCACGGTCAGAAGGACGTTTGGAGAGGTACGAGACGAAGGAGGAGAGAAAGGAGGAGGGAAGGGGACGCACAGGCTCGTCCGGCTTGGGCGGCTCGCCGCAGGTGATCGTCAGGATGCGAAAGATCTCCTTGAGGAGCACACGGTCCTTGATCGAGCGCGCCTCGGCGATGACGTCCTTCTTGCGCGCGCCCGTCGACGCATGGGCCCGCACCGCCTTGCGCAGGGTGAGCGCCATCTCGCGCAGCTTGCTCGTCAAGAGCGCGTCGAGCGCCGCCGAGTTGCTCGAATTGAACGACTCGGGGTACACCGTCTGCGGCACGAGGCCGTACTCCTCGACGAGCGCGACGGCGAGGTCCCACTGGCCGCCGTCCTGCGCCGGGCCGTTGGCGAGCAGGTACTGCATCGTGCGCGAGTCGAGCGGCTCGTCGGCGAGGTCGAGGATCTGCTCGAGGAACCAGTTCGCCTTGGAGAGGTGGTCCCAGAAGAAGAGGTACGACTGGAAGGGAGATAGAGTCAGGGACGGGCGAGAGGGACGAGGGAGGGTGACCTGAGAAGGTCGCCACGCACCTGCGACAGCTGGAAATCGCCGAGGCGGAACTTGCGAGCCGTGAAGATGCGCACGACATTGGTCGTCGCAAAAAGCCAACATCTGCCGGACGCGAGCTGGTTTGCGACAGGCGTGCCCTCGGTCGTGATCTCGGTGTTGAAGACTGCGCGTCGAGCCGGCGTGAGCTCGCTGTTCGTGTGGACGCGTGGAGAGGGCAGTCGAGCGCACGCATTTGGTCCGAGATGGCGGCCTCCCTCGACCGCAGGACGACGCTCATGTTGGTGCGGACGAGGATCGTCTTGGCGAGGGCGAACTGCTGGTCCTGCTCGAGCTCGTCGAGCCAGGCGTCGACCTGGTCGAGCTTGATCGAGCCGGGGTGATCTTGCGCCGTGCTGGGAGCGGTACCCGTGGCGACAGACAGGGAGCGAACAGGACGGTCCTGCGAAAGGAAAGAGAGTCAGCTCGCTGAGGAGGTCAAAGCGGGCTCTCGGCCGGGCTAGCCACGCTCGAGCCCCTCGAGGAGAGAGAAACGGGTCGACGTACCAGCATGCTCATGGTGGACGGAAGCGCTGAAGCGGTAGATGCAGAGGCGAGGGAGGGAAGGGAGGCAAGCCCGAGAGCCGCGCCGCCAAATCGGGCGTTCGGCGAGCGGACATTCCGCGGCGCGGCGACGACGACAGGAGAGCGAACAGCGGAGCGTGCGCGAACGGGTTCCCCGCACGGCCGATCGCCAGCGGTGCCGGGTGCGCCGGCAGCGATAGCGTGAGAGGGGCGCGCGGTGGAGCCGCCGCCGACGACGCTGCTGGCGCAGCCTCGGTGCAGGGCAGAGCAGCCGCAGCGAGAAGCCGGCAGCCGTGCGTGGGCGGGGAGAGATAGGGAGAGGGAGAGGAACGCGGGAGCGAAAGAGCCGCGCCGCGACGACGACGAGAGGCTCGAGCGCTCGAGCCGCCGAAACCGACGCGAGTTGCACGCCCTGACCTCCTCCTTCTCCTCCTCTACTCGTCATCGTCCTCGATGGCGATCTCCTCGGGGTTGACCGACGCCTGGCCCGCAGGCACGTCCTCGCCCTTGTCGACCACCTCGTGCGCCGTCTCGCCCTGCGGCTCCTCGTCGACGACGTCGCCCGCCCGGTCGACCTCGGCAAGCGCCTCGGCCTTGGCGGCGGCGAGTGCGCGAGCCTTCTCGGCCTCGAGCGCCTGGAGGTAGCCCTCGGGGATGGGGTTGATCTTGTTCTCGATCTGGAGGAGGGCGGCGAAGGCGAGCGTCTGCGGGTTGGTGTACCACGACGCTGCGGGCGAAACCGGTTCTCAGTCTCGGGCTGCCCCTTCTCAATGCGCCTCGGGCACCGCCAAGAATGAGAGAGAGGGGGACGCACGCATCTGGATCATCCCCTGGGCCTCCCACTCCTCCTGCGTCGGCGCCGTCCTCGCGAACCGCATGACGTCGTCGACCTCGACCAGGCCGTCGCCGTTCTTGCCGACATGCTCGAGGACCCAGGCGTAGTCGGCCTCGATGCGCTGCGCGAGCTCGGAGAGCGGCGGGAACGGGATCGGGCGAGGGTTGAGGGACAGGCAGGGCGCGGTGGCGCGAACGATGGCGAGCCAGTGAGGGTCGAAGTAGAGCTTGGGGCGACGAGGAGAAGGCGTGGCGAGGGCGGCAGAGGCGTCGCGAGCCTCGGTCGAAGGTGCGCTGCCCTCGGCGGTCGCAGCGTCGGCGTCGGCGGCGGGCGCGGCGGGCGAGGGCTCGACAGGCGCAGAGGTGACGGGGGAAGCGTCGACGGGCGCGGCGGTAGAAGAGGAAGTGTTGGACGATGCGGGCACAGTCGCGGTCGAGGTCGAGGAGGTGGATGAAGACGAGGTCGAGGTCGAGGGAATGTCGAGGACCTGCAAGACGCAGCGAGTGAGCACCGCGCCGTGCAGCCGAGAAGAAGGACTGGCGACGCACCTGAAGGAAGTCACGGCCTCTGCCCGGCTTGCCGAGCGCGAGGAACCTCGTCGACGCCCCATCCGGCTCTTCTACCTCGTCGTCCTTCTCCTCGGGCGCCTTGACGTCCGACTCGACCCTCATCTCGACGTCCTCGCCCTGCGCCGTGTCGTCATCGTCGTCGAGGGCGATCTCGTCCGGGTTCTCGACCGCCTTGACCGTCGCCGGGACGTGCGCATGCGACTCGGCGCTGCACCCGCCCGGGCAGCCCTTCTCCTCGCTCTGCGGGCCCTCGGCGCTCTGGACCCCGCTCATGGCGGGTGCCGAGGCGTCGACGTCGTCCTCCTCGTCGTCCTCGAGCACGATCTCGTCCGGGTTGGCGGCCGGGCCGCCCGCCTTGAGCCGCTCGACCGGCTGAACGGCTCGACCGTCTTGCCCTTGGCCGCCCCAGCTCCTCGGCTCGCGCTTGACGAGCTGCGTCGGACGACCATCGTGGTGGAACAGGGCGGCGAACTTGACGTGCAGGTGGGCCGAGAACCAGTAGCGAGGCTGGAGAGAGGTGAGGAGGGCGTGCAGGGGTGGGGACCCGAGCGAGTTGGTGGCGACCTAGATGTTGTGATCGAGAGTCAGAGAGTCGTCCGACGGCGAGGGAACGAGAGGGGAAGACGCAGACGCACTTCGTCCCGGAAGAAGGGCTTCTCGCGCAAGAGCGTCTCGGTGTCGCCGTGCTGCTCGATGCCGAGCGGCCAGTCGTGCGACAGGAAGACGTCGACCGAGTCGCCGCGGTTCTTGAGCTGTAGGCCGGTCTCGAGTCAGTTGGCGGACAAGGACACTCGCACGACGAAGGGGAGAAGAGGCGCACCTGAAGAAGGCGGGCGACATCGTACTCGCGGATGTGGTAGACGGAGCGGATCGTGCGGTCGTCAAAGGGGACCGTCTCGAAATGCCCTGCGCGCACGTACCGCGAGGTCAGGTCCCGAGTCGCGAAGGTGAAGAGCCGAGAGGGACGCACCCTTTTTCCAGTCGCCGCCCTTCCAAATCCCGCTCGCACCGGCGATGCGCAACCAGCCATCGACGAGGACCGAGCCCGCAAAGCCGAGGAAGTAGATGTCGGGCGCGAGCCAGCCGCCGTGGTAGCTGTGGGCGGGTGCAGAGGTCAGCTCGCTCGCGTCGGCGTCGGCGGGCAAGAGGAGGCAGAGAAAGGGTGGACGCACCACTCCCAGAGGTAGCCGGACGCCTCGTGGTTGCCGCCGATGACGATAGTGAGCTTGGGCGCGCGCTTCTGGCCGCTGTAGTACTGGTGGAAGTGGCCGAGAGCGCGGTACTTGACGGGGCAGGCCATCGTCTGCAGGTCCGACACGTTGCGCATGGCCTGGAAGGAGGAGGCAGGACAGTGAGCACTCGGTGGCGCCAAGTGCGCCCGGGCTTGCGAGAGCCACGCACCTGGAAGTCGCCGCAGCAGATGACCAGGTCGACCTCGGGTTCTCCTCGCGCACGCGCCTCCTCGTCGCAGCGCTCGACGCTGGCGTAGATGTCGTCCAGGGTGCCGTGAGAGCAGCCGACGACGCCGAGGCGCAACGAGCGCGGCTTGGGCTGATCCATGGTGCCGGGCGGAGAGGGGACGAGAGTCGGGCAGAGGGGAGGGGAGGTCGAGGTGGGAGAGCGGGCGGGGCGGACGGCACTGCTGTGGGCGGTCTGCGTGGCGGTAGTTGAGGCTGCTGGGCTACACTCTGTCGCGACCGGAGCGAGTGAACGGTGTGGACGAGAGGTGGGAGCGGTCGGTCGCTGATGAAGTCGACGACGGCGGCGCTCCCTCACGCCCGCCTCGTTCGAGTAGCTTGCTGGTTGAGCAGAGTCAAGCAAGTGCTGCACACCCCCTGAGCCATGCGAGAAACGCGGCGGAGCGAGAGCGGGTCCGACTTCCTCCTCAGCTCGGCGAGAGCGCGTGCGCAAGAAGCGACGCGGGAAAGCTACAGTGCAGGGTCTGAAACACGATGTGTACACTGACTCGACGACGCCAACCGTCGTGTCGCTCCTCCCTCGTGCCCTCGAGCGCGCCTCCTCGACTCGTCGCCAGCTCGACTCGCCTCCTCGCCTCCTCTGCTCACGAGCCTCGCGGGTACTGCGTGGACGGGCAAGCCGAGGTCAGTGCCATACTCGAGAGACGGCGCGAAGAAAGGCGAGGAAAGAGAGGAAGAGAGAGACGCACCGGGCCGTCCATCGGCAGGAGCATGTCCGGGTTGTCGAGGTGGCGCTGCAGCGTCTGCGCGAGCGCGCCGGCGATGCCGCTCCCGCCCTTCTGGCACACCTCGTGGAACTGGAGGCAGTCCTCGGCGAGGCCCTTGGACACCTCGGCCTCGTCGAGGTCGCCCCACAGGCGCCGCGTCGCAAAGTCGCGCACGAGGGCGCGCCCAGCGATGGACCAGCACACGGGCTGGAACGGGTCGCCGCCGGCGAGGTCGTGCGACGAGCCGTACAGGACGTGCATGGCGTTGACGATGCACGTGGCGGCCGTCTGACAGCGCGACAGGGACGAGGTCGGCTCGCGGACGTAGCGGTCCGTGAAGCTCTCGTGGAGGAGGATCGTCGCGGCGTGCGGGATGCAGTAGGCCGAGACGAGGAACCCGTCGATGCCGTCGCCGACGGCGTCGTACAAGCGCGGGCCGACGCTCTCCTTGAACCGCGACAGGGCGACGTCGAGCTCGATGAAGCCGGGCAGCGACTTGTTGTGCGCCTTGACGGCGCTGCACGCCGCACCCCGCTTGACGCACTTGGTGCGCGGGAGGCGCTGCAGGTAGTTGACGACGCGGCCGAGGAGGACGCACGCCTTGACGTAGAGCCCGAGCGACCCGGTCGGCGCCGACGTGTCCTCGAGGAACGAGGGCGACATGATGCTGAGCGAGGGGATGAGGCCCGTCGCGAGGTCGATCTCGAGCGAGGGATGAGGATAGGGCGAGATGCAGGGAAGGTGCGTCGTGATGTCCTCTGCGGGCGCTCGAGGACGGCGGTCAGTTCTGCGCGACCTCGGGGGACAGGGGAGAAAGAGGACGAGGACGCACGCTCGTCGATGCTCGTGCTCCAGTCGGTGCTCGCGCTCGCGAAGCGGTCAACAGCGAACGCCATCCACCACGTCGTCGCCCGCTCCCAATGCTCCTCGACCGTCCTCGGCGTCTCGAGAAGGTCCTGCCGCTCGACGAACCGGACCCGGACGCCCCAGTCCTCCTTCTCGGGCCCGCAGCGACCGTTGGCAAAGTCCCACGGATCGAGGTGGTTGAGGCCGAGCGGGGTGCACAGGCGCGTCGCGAGACCGGCAAAGATCCACAGGTCGGTGAACTGGGCGCTCTGGTACGCGACGTAGCACGTGAGGACCGTCGCCTGGACGACCTGCGGCGGGTTGACGAGAGCGAGTCAGTCTGGAGGCCCGGGCAAAAGGAGGAGAGAGAGAGAGGGAGGGAGAGGGAGACGCACCTGGAGCATCTTGCGCCGGCCCTTGCCCGACTGGAGGCTGCTCTGGATCGAGTCCTTGGCCAAGCGGTAGTGGTACTCCCTCGGGCTCTTGTCCGCCTCGCGCTCCCAGTACGCGCTCCTCCGCCCCTTGACGTACCCCTCGCCGCCGAGCTCGAGCCCGAGCGCGCCGCCGCCGACGCCGCCCGCACCTCCTCCTCCTGCGCCGCCGCCGCCGCCGAAGCCCTCGGACAGGCTCGCCGTCGAGACGTACAGGGCGCCGTACGCGCACATGGCGTGCAAGAGCGCCTCGTCGGGCCAGCGCGGGTCGGCGGGCCCGTACGCGAGCGACGTGAGGATGCCGGCGCGGCTCAGCATCGTGGCCGGGACGCTCGCGCGCAGGAAGAAGGTCGACACGAGGTGGTGGAGGGTGGCGATGGGCGGGAGCGAGGGAGGGTACGCCGGGTGGAGGAGGGCGTAGAGCTCAGGCGTGAGGGCGAACTCGTCGAGCTCGAACGCGCCGTCGTCGGCGGCGGCATGTCCTGCGGCGGCGGCGGCGTCCATTGTCAACGACGACGCCGACATGTTGGCCTTGTCGACGACCGAGGACGGCGAGGGCCCGCCGGCCGGCGTCGTCCCGCTCGTGCTCGACCCGCCCGACCCGGCTCCTGCGCTCGCGCCGCCCTCGCCCGTCGAGCTCCCCGGCGTCTGCCCCTGTCCCTGACTCTGCGCGAGCCCGTGCCCCTGCTGCTGCTGCATGGGCGCCGTCCCGCGCAACGAGCTCACCATGGCCCTCGGGCTCGCGCCGAGGAGCACGTCGCCGCCGCCGCCGGTCCCGCGCAGGCTCGACAGCGGGCTCGCGGCCGCCCAGCTGCTCACGCCGCCGCCGAACGGCGCGTCGTCGCGCAGGCCCGCCGTGACGGCCGCGGCGCTGAGCGCGCTCAACGAGCGCCGCGACGGGTCGCTGCGCCCGAGGCCCGCCATGCTCCTCGGCGACCCGCCGACGCCACCGCCACCGCCGATGGGCGCGAGGAAGCCGAGCGGCGACGCGGCGCCCGTCCGGTTCTCGCTCGACAGGAACGACGAGGCGCCGATGCCGCCGATCGACGGGCTCCCGCCGCCGCCCATGCCGTACCCTGCTCCTGCTCCACCGAGCCCGCCGACGCCCGTGCTGCTCAGCGGCGGCGGGAACGACGTGCTGTACGGCGAGGCGCCGCCGCCGCCGAGGTAGCTCGCCGCCACGCCGCCGCTGCTGCTCGGCGGCGGGAGGTAGCTCGCGTAGGGGAAGCTCGGCGAGCGCGTGTGGGCGAGAGGCGCGCTCGGGCCGTTGTACCACGACGTGCTCGCCTGCTGTTGCGGCTGCTGCTGGTGGGCAGGCGGCAGCGGAGGTGGCGCCGCAGCGGCTGCGCGCAGAGCGCGCTCGAGCTCGGCGATGCGGTCCTCGAGGTCGACGACGCGCTCGCGCGGGACCGTGTCGGGCGCGGGCGAAGACGCGGGCGCGAGTGGAGGAGGGGGACCGGTGACGGGTGCGCCGTCGTGCGCGATCGAGGCCGACGCCGTCGTCGAGGCGGACGAGGGCTCGACGTAGGACGAGGGAGGGGCAGGGATTGCTGGCGGGCGGTACTCGAGCGGCTGGGTCGAGGTCGGGGGAGGAGGGTAGCCGAGAGGGGGCGCGGACGGGTGGCTGGCGGCAAGGTTGGTGAGGACGGAAGGCGAATACGCCTGCTGCTGGTGCTGCTGCTGCAAGTGCTGGTGCGGGTGCGGCGGAGCGGCGTAGGGTGCGGGCGCGGTGGGAAGGTGCGCCTGCGCGGTCGGCGGCTGGTGCGCCCACGCCGGCACGCCGGCGTACTCGCCCTGCGTCACGCCGTGCATGGCCGCCGACGTCCCCGACCCCGCACTGCTGACCCTGCTGCGCTTGGCCTCGCCTGCGAGGCCGTCCTGCGACCCGCCACCGCCGCCGCCGCCGCCACCACTCGCCGCCGCGCTCTTCCTCTTGCGCTTAGCGCCGTTCGCGCCTGCGGCCTCGCGCGCTGCAGCAGCCGCCTCTCGCGCGGCGGCGACCGACGTGCCCTCGTAGCGGCACTTGTCCTGGGCGACGGTCGGGTTGCCGCGAGCCGACTTGAGGCACGGCGTGCAGAAGGGGCGAGAGGCGTCGCACTTGACCTGCGTGGGTCGACGAGGGCGCAGCAGTTGCAGTACGTTGAGGTGTGGATGGGCGAGGGAGGAGGCGGCGGGAAGGTGGGAGGAGAGAAGGGAGTCAGTCGGTGCTTCGAGGACGAGGAGGGGTGCTGCGGTCGCCGCCGACGGTCGCCCGCCTCGCTTGGCTCCAGCTCGCGAGTCGTTCTCGTCGCTCAGGACCGACAGGGAGCGCGGGCGAGGGCCGGGACGAGCCACGGGCCAAGTCGAAGCCGGGTTTGTCATGGTCGACGAGGACAGCGAGACTGACCTTGCGGGCTCGGCACGTGTCGCAGCTGCAGGGCAGGGAGTGGGAGTGTCAGTCGAGGTTGTGACCGGTGTTTGCGCGAGCGAGTTGGAGGCGAGGCGAGGGTGAACCGGGATACCGGCTCGAGAGGAGGAGGAGGAGGAGGAGACAGAGGGGGACGCACGCTGCACCGCGGGCGAGCATTGCGCGGAGGGGCCTGACTTGTTCTCCATCGTGGTCGAGGTCGTGGCTCTGGGGGTGGCTGTCGAGCGGGGTGGTGCCGGGCGTGGCGGTTGACGAGCTGAGTGCGGTCGAGGACGGGGCCGAGTTGGCGAGGGGCGCAGGCGGGTACGAGGCCGAGTGGTGGAGGTGAGCGAGGCCGTAGCCAGAGTAGTGCTGGTCGCTCATGGCGGCAGCAGGGCAGGTGGTCCGGAGCAAGCGAACGAGGAGGGCTCGGACTTCGTCGCCGAGAATGGCTCGTGCCCACGAGCCACCGCCTCACAGTCCGGCAACTCGCTGCTCCTCCTGCTGCACACTCGAGCACCTCGCCGACAGCCTTGAGCAGCCACCCCTCAAGCCCGAGTCCACCCCTCCGACCCTCGCCCCCCCCCCTCGGTCGTCGCCTCGTCGACCTCCTCCTCCTCCCCGGTTCCTCATCTCTCGCCTGGCTGTTCAGCCCACCCGACAGCACAGCCAGACCTACTCGCGCGCCGTTCAGCACCCGCCATGCCCCTGTACGAGCTCGTTTGCATTGCAAAGCATCACACTTCTTTGGTTCGGCCGTCTTTCCTTCCTCCCACGACGACCCTCACGAGCTCACCCTCCTCTCGACCACAGGCTCCTCTACACCAGCTCCTGCGCTCGTCGTCGGCACTCGTTGCCCAGAACGGCGGCGTCGTGCGCAGCCTCGACCACTGGGGCACCCGCAACCTCCCCAACCGCATGAAGGTCGGCAAGCGTCGCGGAGGAGGCGGCGGAGGCGAGGACGGCGCACAGGGGCGAGGGGTCGGCGAGTGCGTCCACCTTTCCCTCCTCATGTCCGTCTTGTGACGGCCTCTGACTCGCCACCCGTCGGCCTCGTGCGCAGCTACTGGTCGATGCGGTTCGACTGCTCGCCGCCCGTCCTCTCGGCCCTCAACACCCGCCTGCGCCTCGACCCTTCCGTCCTGCGGTGGACGACTCTCAAGACTGGCGCCCGCCTCGATCAGGTCGCCGCAGACGCGGGCGAGAGCAGGACGGTCCGGTTCGCGAGGGACTTGCCGCCAGCGGCCGGTCAGGGCGAGCGCGCAGACGCGTGGGACCGGCTGTAGAGGGCAGCTCGAGCGATCGCGACTGCATAGAAGCTTTTGGTAACGACGCTCGCGCGAGCCTCGTCGAGAGAGCGAGGGTTCTCCTGCGCCGTCCTCGGAGCATTCGCCGCTTCCTCGTCTCACGTCGTCTGAAGCCGCCTGTCATTGCAGAACAGGCTGCGCCCGAAAAAGCAGCTCGATTCGATGCGAGAGCGCGAGCGGAGCAAGTCGCTCTGCTCGACGACGAGCTCCCCACTTCCTCGCCTCGCTCTCGTCTCGACCACACCGCTCTCGGCTCGAGCCAGTGCTGCTCTGCCTTTAGAGACCTACACTCGACTCGACGAGCTCAGCATGAACATCCCGACAGCCGCCATCGACCCGCAGTCGTACCCCGACCTCTCGCTTCCTTCGAGTCTCCGCATCGCCTTTATTCATCCAGACCTCGGCCTAGGTGCGTCGCAGCTCGTTCTCTACCTTCAGCAGACCCCTCAACCCCCGTCGCACACCCTCGGAACCCGCCGTCGCTCGTCCCGTCGCCCTCCCCACCTCCTCCCCCCGTCCCTCTCCGAGAGCACCTTGCTGACCTCCCTCTGTGCCGATTGCGCCCGCAGGAGGAGCCGAGCGCTTGATCGTCGATGCGGCGGTCGCGCTCCAGAAGCGCGGGCACGAGGTGACCGTGTTCACGAGCTACCACGAGCCGGGCAAGGAGGGGAGGAGCTTTGACGAGACGAGGGACGGTGCGTCGCAGTCGGGCTCTCTGTCAGACGTCGCATAGCGTAGCTGCAGGCCGGACGAGGCGACACTGCGGCCGCGCTCCGGGCGCTCCTTTATGAGACTGACCCTCTCGCTCCTCGTAACAGGCACGCTGCAGGTGCACGTCCTCGGCAACTGGCTGTTCCCTCGGTCGGTCCTCGGCCGGTTCACCATCGTGTGCGCCATGCTCCGCCAACTCCACCTCGTCGCGTCGTTCCTCCTCGCCTGCCTCCTCCACCACCTCTCGTCCCTCCCCCTCCTCTCCCTCTTCGTCCTCCCGCTCGAGACCGCCTTCGCCTCGTCGCACGACTGGTCGCCCCGGCGACAAATCGAGCCGTTCGACGTCATCGTCGTCGACCAACTGAGCACGGCCGTCCCGCTCCTGCGCTGGTTCGGCCAGAACCGCGTCGTCTTCTATTGCCACTTCCCCGACCTCCTCCTGTCGCCGTCGGCCTCGTCGCGCAACCTGCCCACCCTCCCTCGCGACCCACGCGCCGGCACGCCCTTCTCGTTCGCCGGCGAGATCCGCAAGACGTACCGCGCGCCGATCGACGCCGTCGAAATGGCGACGACGGGCGAGGCCGACAAGATCCTCGTCAATTCCGAGTTCACGGCGAGCGTGTTTGAGCGCACGTTTGCCCAGCTCAGGAGGAGGCCTCGAGTCGTGTACCCGGCGGTCAACCTCGACAAGGCGGGTGCGGGCGAGCGAGCAGAGACGGTCGTCGGCGAGAAGGACAAGTGGCTCGTCAGGTGCGTCCTCGTCCCTCTCACCTCGTGCAGGTCTCGTTCTCTCTCACAGCACATGCACTGACGATGCTCTCGAGGTGCTCGCAGCGACCAGCCGATGCTCCTGTCGATCAACCGGTTCGAGGGCAAGAAGGACCTCGCGCTCGCCCTCGAGGCGTTCGCCCAGGTCCGCTCGTCGGCCGCCCACCCCTCGCTCCGCCTCGTCCTCGCAGGCGGCTACGACCCTCGCCTCGCCGACAACGTGCGCACCCTGTCGCAGCTGCAGCAGCTCGCCGGCCGCCTCGGCCTCAGCTCGCACGCCTACGCCGCCGGCGGCGCCCTCCCCGACGTCCCCTCGCCCGTCGCGGCGCGGTTCCGCCCCGTCATCGACGCCACACCGCCCACCTCGTCGACCTCGACCTCGACCGCCGGCGAGCGCGCGCCCGACGTCGTGTTCCTGCTCAACATCTCGGCGGCGCAGAAAGCGCTCCTGCTCGACTCGCGCCGCAGCGGCGCCGTCGCGCTCCTGTACACGCCCATGTACGAGCACTTTGGGATCGTGCCCCTCGAGGGCATGGCGGCGGGCCTGCCCGGCGTCGCGACGCAGACGGGCGGGCCGACCGAGACGGTCGTCGACCGCGGACTCGACGACGACGAGACGACGGGCCTGCTCCGCCCGAGGGACGCGGCCGCGTGGGCCGACGCCGTCTCGTCGCTGCTCGCGCTCGACGACGCCCGGCGCGCCCAGGTCGGCGCGGCCGGGCAGCGCCGCGTGCGGACCTACTTTTCGACAGAGCGGCTCGGCGCCGACTTTGAGCTCGCGTGCGTCGACGCGGCCAAGATCGGCATGCCCATCCCGCACGAGGTCGGGTTCAAGAAGATGCTCGCCTTTTTCGGCATCGGCAGCGTGTGCTTGGCGGCGGCCGTCGTCGCCTTCGTCGTCGGGAGGCTGTGAGCCTTCCTTCTGCAACGCCGGTCTCGTCACAGTGTCTCTTTTGTTCTCGCCTCTCGAGAGATATCTGGCTGCGAGAAAGAGAGAGAAGACAGTCTCGCCGCACAGTCCGCACGAGTCGGCGAGCAGCATGCCGGCGAACGGTCGAGCGAAGCGAGCGCGCTCCCCTCCCACCTCGCCTCACTCGCGCGGGCCGCTCCTGCTGCGGCCATGCCTCACCAGCTGTGCACTGCAGCTCCCGCGACAGTCGACGCCCCACCCAGTGCCGCCGTCGGCCCCCTTTCTCCTCGACCAAGTTCATCAGCCGCGCCGACCTGTCGGACCTCCTCCGCCTCGGCCACCGGCCGGGTCAAGACGACATGATCGCGGCGAGCTTGCCTGCGCGTGAACGCGCCGCAGCCGCCATCGCAGAGCGACCGCCCTTGCCCACATCGACCGGCCCACTTCAAGCACCATGATCGAGACGCGGCCGAGCCAGCAGATCCTTCGGCGCACGGCGAAAGCGGCGGCGAGCAAGGGGCAGCGATGCAGAAGGTGCGTCCACGCTCTCTTTACACCCGGCGAGCGCAAGCGAGACGAGCTGAACCCATGCGGATGCAGGTTCGACGACGCCGCCGGGGCGAGGAGCGAGGAGAGCGAGACGAGCCGGCTCTCGCCAAGGGAGCTCGCGTTGCGGAGCCGAGCGTCGAAGGGGACGATGTGCGGCTCTTTGTGCAGGTGGCGAGCGGTGGTTGGTGCGAGGTGGGCCTCAAGGTTCCGTCGCGGTGGAGGAATGCTGGGGGCGCGCGCACCTCGACGCGTCGTCTCGAGTGCTCCCTCGGTGCGTCGACAAACATTCAACTCTCTCGCGCGCGTGGAGTGTTTGGCCGAGGCACAGGCGCACACAATGAGGCTGACCCCGCCCTCACCTCGTCCCCCCCTCCTCCCCTCCTCCCTTCTCCTCATACCGCTCGCCTCCCTCACGCACGCTCGTTCGACCACCGACCTCGACGACCGTCTTCTCTCTCTCTTCGACCTCGACAACCACAGCAAGGAGTACACCCCGTTCGACCTAGTCGGCGTTTCCCCTTCCCTCCTTCCCTCGTCTCCGTCTCGTCCAACTCCCGTGGCTCTACGCCTTACTCGTCACTCGTTTCATCCCCCTCAACATGCTCCGCGTCGCCACCCTCCTCTCGGCTGCTGCCCTCCTCTCCGCCGACGCCGTTCGCGCCGCCGCCGTCTCGCACTCGGCCTTCCCCAACTCGGCCTGCGCCGGCGCGTCGTCGGGCGCTCTCGGCGGCCTCGTCGGCATTGGCAAGGTCACCCTCTCGAACGGCGACGTCGAGGCTCACTGCGGCTGCGTCTCGGTGCGTCCCTCTCTCTCGCAGCCGCCGGTCGGTCGGCGACGCGTCCTCGGCCGTGTTGATTGAGCGATGCCTGACGCCTCCTCCCTCTCCCTGCAGGACAACCTCGCCGAGTTCGAGCTCTGCCCGTCGTCGGCGGCCGGCCAGGCTGTCTGCAACTCGGCGCTCGACCTCAAGACCAACCAGTTCACGGCGTCGTGCGACGTCGAGGCTTGCTCGGGCGCGTACGTCCCTCCCTTCCTTCCTCTCTCTCCCTCTCTCCTTGCGTACAGGACACTGACACCCACGACACGCAGTGACTGCACCGCGACCGTCGTCAACAAGGTCACGGTCGACGAGGACGAGTGCTTCAACGCCGAGAAGGGCGCCACCGGCATCGTCACGATCGACGGCGAGGCCAAGTGCGGCTGCGCTTCGGTGCGTCCCTCGTTCTCTTCGACTGTTCCTCTCGAGGCCGGACACTGACCCTGAGCGACACCGCGCAGGACGACGCCGACAACTTCTCGCCGTGCCAGGCCCCGGCGAACGGCCGCGCTCTTTGCGTCGCGACCGACGCCGACTTCCTCGGCTCGTCGCCCGACGACGTCGCCACCGTCGAGTGCTCGTACCAGTGCGACGACGTACGTCCCGATCCTCGCCACCGTTTGACCGTCGAGCAGCAACAGAGACTGACTGTCCCGCCTTCCTCCTCGCGCAGGGCTACTTCCTCACGCCCGGCGGCTCGTGCATCAAGTTCGCCAAGCGCGCTCACATCGGCACGTCGGCCCCGATCAAGGTCCACCCGACCACCCCGGGCTCGCACGGCTCGTCGACCCAGCCGCACGGCTCCATCTCGACCTCGTACTCGCGCCACCCGCACAACGCCCACACGACGTCGCACTCGCCGTCTGAGCCGACCGCGACGACCACGACCTGGACCTACAAGCACTTCTCGCACACGCGCGCGCACCACTCGGGCTCGTCGTCGCCGTCGCACCCGTCGGCTTCGTCGTCGTCGACTGGCCACCACGGCTCGTCCAAGCCCCACCACCCGAGCGGCCACAAGACGTCGCACCACCCGCACCACGCGCACCCGACGACGATGCCCGAGGGCTCGACGACCACCTCGCCGTACGGCCACCACACTCGTCCCCACCACGGCTCGTCGATGCCGCCTCACCACGGCTCGTCGTCGTCGACGACCTCGCCGTACGGCCACCACAGCCACTCGACCCGCCCGCACCACGGCTCGTCGACCGCGACGACCTCGCCCGGCCACCCGACCACGACCTCGTCGCACGGCCCGTCCATGTCGCACGGCCCGTCGCCGTCGCAGCTCGCTCGCCGCACGGCCGAGGAGTTCGTCTTCTCGGACCTGTGCGCCCAGGACGAGCGCACCTGCGCCGTCGGCTCGTACGGCGACTTCTCGTGCGTCCGCCTCGACGACGTCACCGAGTGCGGCGGCTGCAACACGTCGGGCGACGCCGTCAACTGCCTCGAGATTGTCGGCGCGTCGTCGGTCTCGTGCCTCCGCGGTGGCTGCGTCGTCCGCTCGTGCCAGACCGGCTTCGTCCAGACGTCCGAGGGCACCTGCGAGCCCAAGGCGTAAAGCGCCGCGCTCGCTCCCCTTGCCCCATCCCCTCTCTCCCTCCTTCCCCTCTCTTCTCCTTCACGATGCCGTTTACTGTTCACGACTAGTCCCCCTCCCCCTTTGACGACCCCTCGCTCACGACAGCTCCCCTCCCACACATTCCTCGCAGCAGCCACTCGAGCCTGCCTCCCTCTTACTCTGTGTACCTCTCCCTCCTCGTCGAGCGGCCGTGCAAAGAGGAGACGGTTGTGCCGTTACCCCGCAGTATGGTCTCGCGCGACAGATACCCCCTCCCCTCCCCAGCTGGACAGCGTGCGCGCGCTGCAAAGGATCGTTGGCCTTTCACTCTTTCTCGTCGCGCTCCTCCTTGAGTCTCCCTTTCTCGTTGCGCAGTTGGATCTGCAACACATCTCTTCAGGGTCCCTCTTCACGATGCCCGAGTCGAAAGTGAGTGGAATCGCGAGGTGCTCCGAGCGACAGCTCTCCTCGACCGCCCGAGCCGTGAGCGAGGAGGTCGACCTCGCACGCACCCCTCGCTCGAGGCTGCCGCGCCGTCTGCAGCGCCAGCAGTACCTCTCGACCGCCTTCGACCCTCGTGCGCCGCCCACGATGTCGACGCGGCGTCGTGGTCGCCCCCTCAAGTCGCCAACCTCATCTCTCTCCGCCTTTGCCAGATGAGCTCGCCCGCTGTGGCCAGGCTTGAGCCTGCGCAGTGCTCCTACACCTACTTTCGACAGCACCACCTCCTGCCCAACACCCCTTGCCTGTTCCCTCGCACCCTCGTCGAGCGCTGGCCGCTCCTCTCGCGTTGGCTCGACAAGCACGGCAACCTCGACTGGAATCACCTCGAGGACCAGTACGGCGCACTCGAAGTCACCTGTATCGACCTCGCACCTGTCGCCGACGAGCCCGCCCCGTCGACTTTCGCCTCGCTCCTCCACCTCTGGCGACGCGGCGACGGGCGAGCCAAGTACCTCAAGGACTGGCACCTTCCTCTCGCGGTCTTTCGTGCGGGCGAGCGAGACGTCAAGGGCAAGGGCAAGGAGCGCGTGCGAGACGAGGTGTACGAGGTGCCCGACGTCTGCCTCGACGACTGGCTCAACGAGTACGAGGGCGACGAGGGCGCCGGGCGGCGGGACGACTTTCGCTTCGTGGTGCGTCCTCTTTTCTCTTCGACTGCGAAACTGTGCGACGACTGACTCTGTGTGCCGTGCGCGCAGTACGTCGGAGGAGGCGACACGTTCACGCCCTTGCACCGCGACATCTGTGCGTCCCCTCCCTCCTCTCGCCCGAAATGCGCCTTGCCGGGCGCCTCGGCGGCATGTGCTACTGCGCTTTGAGAAGGGTCCGCTCATCCTTCTTGCCTGCACCGCAGACTCGTCTTACTCGATCTCGACCCAGATCTACGGCTCGAAGCGGTGGTACCTTTTCCCGCCCTCCTGTACGCCCTCCTTGCGCCCCCTCATCGTCGCAGCAGAGCGCCAGGGCTCGAGCGTCAACTGCGACGCGTGGCCCGACGTCCTCAAGGCCGACTTTCGCGCTCAAGGCATGCTCGTCGTCGAGCAAGCCGCGGGCGAGACGATCTTCGTGTGCGCCTCCCTTCTCTCTTTCTCAACACGTTTAGGTCGTAGAGCAATCTGATTGACCTCTTTGGCGTCCTCGCAGACCCTCGGGCTGGTTCCACTCGGTTCACAACCTGTCGCACCCGACCCTGTCGCTCAACCACAACTGGCTCAACAGCCACATCCTCCCCGCCGTCTACTCGGCGCTCGCGTACGAGGCGGCGAGGTGCCGAGAGGCAGTAGACGACGTGCGGGACATGCTCGTCGAGCAGGCGCGGCGCGAGGGCAAGGGCGAGGACGGCTGGCGGCGCGAGTGGGAGGAAACGGTGGACGGCCTCGTCGAGCGCAGCGAGGGGTGGAGGTGCGCCCACTTCTCCCTCTCCTGTCTCTCTTTCTCGATCTCTCTGAGCGCACGGCGCGTCACGCGAACGAGCTCTCCCAGTCAAGCGTGGCCCTGACGAACCTTCTCGCCCGCGCAGCTGGCCGACCTTCTGGCGCATGACGCTCAACACGCTCAGCAACCTCGACGTGTCGACCTCGACACTGGCAGAGCGTGCTCGTCGCTCTCGTTGGCCGCCCGTCCCGCCAGAAGTGCGTCCGTCGGTCGCCTTCGTCGTCTCGCAGGTGCGTGCGCCCCTCTCGCTCGATCTCTTTCTCTCCTCGCCCACTCTCTCTCTCGTCGCCAGACACTCACACGCAATTTCGCAGGTTCGGCCGCTCGTCGATGACTTTTGCGCGAGGGAGGAGCAGGAGTGGCGGTGGCTCGACGGCCTGGACCGGGTGCTCGAAGAGGTCGAGGGCGAGCTCGAGCGGTTGGCAATGTGACGACCTTGCACCTGTCTGCGTCGCGAGAGTGACTGTGCTTTCTTCTCCTCGTGCACGATCTCTCAAGGAAAAGCCGATAGTGCTCGGGAATAAGGTCGTCGCCGTCGAGAACGAGCCTCGAGAGCGAGATGAGATTGCCAAGGCGAACTACGGGCATCTAGTCAAGACAGAGCGCCCTCGGTACCCTGCTGAGCTCCGTCGACCGCTGCGGGCCGGCGACGGCGAAGCTGGTGGAGGAAGCGCCGTGCGCGAGAGCTCGAACTTGCGAAGGCTGGCAACCGGCGGGTCGAGAGCGTTGCCGAGCGCCGAGCTGCAGAGGGGGACTCGAGTATGGTTATCAGGATGTTCGTGACCATGAGAGAGAGGACCAAAGAGAGAGTGAGAGCTTACTGAGGTCGGGCGGAAGAAGAGGAAGCCGACGGCGTCAGGCGCTCGGCGAGCCGTGCGTGGGCCTTGCTTGTCGAGAGGGCCGACAGGCGGCATGGGTATCTATGCCCGTCGAGTCTATTTGGGGCGAGAATCAGGATGAGGACGGAGGAAATCGAGAGGAAGGAGAGGACGCACAAGGTCAGGGAAGATGGACGAGTCGTGGGCGACCTCGACAACGCGCTCGGCCCGACGGCGCTTGAGCGCCCTCGCCAAGCCGACGACGACGATGACGACGCAGAGCGTCGACCTGCTCAGTTATTGGCGATCTCGGGGCCGGCGGCGACGCCCTTGCGCTTGAGCCGGCACAGGTCGCGCGCGAGCAGGCGCCACACGTTGCCCTCGCGTCCCTCGAGCACCACCTTCCGCCCAACGTCCCACACCGCGCTCCGTAGCCGGTCGTACTCGGCGTCCGTCACGCGCTCGAGGATCTCGGGGAGCTCGTGCGCGCGCTCGCGCGGGACCGACAGCGAGAAGCTGCTCCAGTCGACGTCGCGCGCAAAGGGCATGACCTGCCCTGCGGTTCGGCCCGAGCCGACAAAGACGGGTACGACGCCGAACGCGAGGTACTCGTAGATGCGCGTCGTGTCGAGCGTGTAGCCCGGCGGGGCGAGGCCGAAGCGCGAACGGGCGAGGCGGCGGGCGTAGTCGTCGTTGTCGGACCACTCGGCGATGTCGAAGCCAGGGAGGGACGAGAAGCCCGGGTGGACGTGCGACGAGAAGGGTGGGGTGGAGGTATTGCCGTCCGAGGGGAAGAAGAGGGAGCGGATGCCGAGCGAGTACCGCTCGCCGTCGGCCGCCGTGCCGAGCCCGCCGCGAAAGATCGCGAGCGTCGTGCGCGCTTCGAGCCTCGCGACGTGCGCGAGGCCGAGAACGTGCCGCACGAGGCGGACGAGCGAGCGAGCGAGCCCTCGTAGGCCGGCCTCGACTGGCTCGGGCGACGGCGAGAAGATCTCGACGGTCGGCGGGTCGACGTTGTCGCGGCGATGCGGGCTCGCCGCTCCTCGAGGCTCGACGAGCGGCCGTCCCGCCTCGTCGACGTAGTCGAGCGGGTTGACCCTGTACGAGTTGAGGAGGTGGGTCGACGACGGGATGACGAGGTCGCGGAACGAGCGGAAGTAGGAGCCGAGCGGCGCCGGACGCACGTCGCCGACCGTGACGAGGTACGTCGAGGCGTTCATGGCGGCGCGCGACGTCTCGGTGTAGTAGCCGTCGACAAAGTCCATTGGGTGCACGAGGAGGTGGTCGGCGCCGCCCGACGCGTTCCAGTGCGGGTGCGCCTCGCGCACGTAGCGCATGACGGGCTCGATGTACGTGTCGTCGACGCCGCACCGTGCCGTCTTGGTCCAGCCGGCCTTGACCCAGCAGTCGAAGAGGAAGCACGCCGGGTACAGCGGCACGAGGAAGAAGTCGGCCTCGGCCGGGTTGGTCGTGTACAGGGTGTTGTGCGGGTGCGAAGTCGTCGACGCGTGGGCGGTAGGGTCGACGAGGAGCTGGTGGAGGAGGAGCTCGGAGTTGTACGCCGACCAGCGGCACTGCTTGACCGTCTTGTCGGGAAGGCGCAGCGCGGGCGGAAGGTCGTACACCTGCAGGAGCAAACTTGGTCAGCGTCGTGTACAGCATATGCTTGTCGTCGCCAGGCCAGCTCACGTAGATCTTGAGGTCGCAGAGCGGCTTGTCTGCGAGCGTGCGGGCAGAGGGTCAGGGCGCGTCCTCGGCGGGTCTGCTCGGCGGCATCGCGGGGCGGTCCGTGGCAGGGGGGAGAGGGAACAGGACGCACTGAGGTCTGGGGGCCACAGCCTGGCTCTGTCGAGCAAGTCGTCGAGCGGCGGGAACGAGGTGCGGGTACCGACGTCGTCGTCGCGCAAAGCCGCCCCGTGCGACTTGTGCGCCGTTGGGCCTCGAGGCTGCGCAGCCGATTTGGGGCCACGTCGAGCTTGGGCGCAGAACCAGGCGACGAGAGCGGCGAGCAAGACGAGCCATGTTCGGCGATGGCGGCTCGTCGAGGTGAGGAGCCGCCTCGCGGGCGCAGGAAGCGCAGCGGCTGGCCGTGAGGGTGCCGCAGTCGGCATGTGGCTGTCCTGTCGAGCCTCTGAGCGGCCCCTGTCGCGAGGAGGCGAGCTGTTGGTGCCCGTCCTCGTCGTCGTCTCGCCCGCTCGTCCGGTGTCCCTCCTCTCGCTCTCGACACCTGCTGCTTGCTTTGCTTGTGCGCTCCCGTACGCTGTGAGTCCTGCCCTCCTCCCCCATGCAAGCGCGAACCCCGGCTGACCCTCTTTTGCAATCCGCCGCCCTTCTCTCCGCCCCCACCGAATCTCGCGCAGTTCTCTCTCTCCCTCGCCCTCGCCCTCTCGCTCCGACCTGCACGCACCACCAGGTCTCTAGTCACGATGGACCGCGAGCAGTGCGCCCCACTCTCCCCTTGATTCGACCTTGCGCCCGTCGCTCACCTTGACTCTCTCTCGCGCAGGTTCCGCAAGGCCGGCTACGCCGCTGTCGATCGGTACGCCCGCCCTTTCACTGCGACCTCGCCCAAGACCTCGCACCGGTGCTGACAAGCGTCGCCCGCAGGATCTGCGACTACTTCGAGAACCTCGAGAGCTACGACGTCGTGCCAAAGGTCCAGCCGGGCGACATTGCTCGCCTCATCGCCGGTGCGCCCTGCTCCTTCTCGTCTCAAGTCGAACCATACCTGACCTCTCTCGACATACAGATGAGGCGCCGCAAGAAGGAGAGCCATGGGAGAACATCTCGAAGGACTTTGACCGGGTCATCCTGCCCGGGTGCGTCTCTCTCTCTCTCTCTCTCCCTCGCATCCTCCCTTCTTTCCCGACCGCTGACCTCCATCTCGACCTCAACAGCATCACGCACTGGCAGCACCCGAACTTCTACGCCTACTTCCCCGCAAACGTGCGCCCCCCTCGCCCTCCTCGAGTCTCTTCCTCGCCGAGCGCACTGACCCTCGCCTCCTTTCCTTCGCCCAGACGACCTACGAGTGCATCCTCGCCGACATGTACGCCGGTGCCGTCAGCAATCCTGGGTGCGTCGTCTCCTCGCTCGCATGTTCGAGGTCTCGAACGAAACTGACGGTCGGGCCCGCCGCAGGTTCAACTGGCTGTGCTCGCCCGCATGCACCGAGCTCGAGTCAAAGGCGACAGACTGGGTCGCCAAGCTGCATGGTCTCGACGACACGTGGCAGAACGAGGGCAAAGTCGGCGGCGGGGTCATCAACGTGCGCTCAGTCCCTCTCCCTCTCTTGTCGAGCCCCTTTCCGCCCACTGAGACTAACTCACTTCCTCCACGGTCCGCACGGTCCGCAGGGCTCAGCGTCCGAGTCGTGCCTCACCGTCTGCATCGCCGCTCGCGAGCGTTACCTGCGCCTGCACCCGAACACGCCGTTCGCCGAGCTCGTCATCGTCGCCACGACGCAGACGCACTCGCTCGCGGCCAAGGCGGCCCTCATCCTCGGCATCGAGTTCGTCGCCATCGAGACCAAGGAGGAGGACGACTGGGCCTTGAGGGGAGACGGGCTGCGCACGGCGCTCGAGGAGATCGAGGGTCAGGGCAAGAAGCCGTTCATCCTCAGTGCGTCACTCTCTCTCTCGTTCTCGTCCTTGAGGACCCGCTCACACGTCTTCCTTTCGCAGTCGCAACTCTCGGGTCGACGAGCACCGGCGCCGTCGACAAGTTTGGCGAGATCACGGCCGTCAGTGCGTCCCCGATTCGCTCCTCTCGTCGATGCAGCCGGCTCACCTCTCGCTCTGCGTGCAGCCGCCGACTACCCTTCCCTCTTCCTCCACATCGATGCCGCATGGGGCGGCGTCTTCCTCTCGCTCCCCGAGTGCCACGACGAGACCTTCCTGTCGGCCATCAACGCTCGGGCGCCGCAGTCGGCCGACGACGTCGGCGAGGGCGCTATCTGCGCCGGCGGCGAGGTCCACTCGTGCGTCCCTTCTCTCTCGTCGAGTGCGCAGTGTCCCTCACGCAGGCCTGACCGTCGAGCGCTCGGTCCCTCGCGCAGGATCTCGAGCAACTTGCACAAGTCGGGCTTGGTCACGTTCGACGCCAACTGCCTGTGGTGCGTCGCCTTGGCGACTTCTTCGCGCTCGGACCCTCTCGTGCGGGAACCTGGACGTCCCTGACCGTCTTTGCCTTCCGGGTCGACAGGATCCGCGACCGGGCCCTCCTCACTTCGGCCCTCGACGTCACGCCGCCTTTCCTCCGCACCGCTCAAGCCTCAGCAGGTCTCGTCACCGAGTGCGTCCCTCCTCCTTCTCTTCTCGACGTCGCCCTCGGTCAGTGACCTGACCTGTCGCACCCGCAGCTACCGCAACATGAGCATCTCGCTCGGCCGCCGCTTCCGGTCGCTCAAGATCTGGTTCGCCCTGCGCTCGTACGGCGTCACCGGCTTCCAGAAGCACCTGCGCCAGCTCATCTCGCGCGCCGAGGTCTTTGAGCGCGCCCTCCTCGACGCCGACAAGGGCGTGCCCGGCGTCGTCCTTTTCACGCCCCGGCGCTTCTCGCTCGTCGTCTTCCGCGTCGTCAGCCTCGCCGCCGCAACCCCTAGGAGCGACACGCCCGACGCCGTCGCCGCCCGCCTCGAGCGCGAGAACGCGCTCAACGCGAGCGTGGTCCGGCACGCCAACGAGGACTCGAGCCTCATGCTCACGCCGACGACGGTCGGCGGCAAGAACTGCGTCCGCATCGCCATCGGCAGCCCCAACACCGAGGACCGACATGTGCTCGACCTTGTCGAAAAGATTCGGCGGCTCGTCGACCGCGCTCGCGAGGAGGTCGGCGACTCGAAGCAGTTGTAGATCTAGAGCTGTCGAGCGAGCAACGAGATGTATTCTGCAGACGCACAGCAGGCTCGACTTGCGTGCAGCGAGGCGAAGCGCAGCACGGGAACTCGAGAGAAGCCCTGGAAAGACCGTCCGAGGGACCGTGCACGGTACAGAAACGGTCGGCGACGTCGAGGGAGAGGGGCCGGTTCGACAGCGGCGGCAAGCCGGCGTTCCAGAGCAGCTGTGGCGACGACGACGGAGGAAGCGCGAGCGAAGCGAGGACTTGGGGAGAAGGTGCGGAGCCGAGCAAAGCGAGGGAATGAGGCGAGGAGGAGCGGAAGAGGTCCGAGTGGCGGCCGAAGCGCGCGAGGGTTGGTCCTGCCCTCCTCCTCGTCGCGCGTCAAGCGACAGCGGTTTCGTCGAAAGCACTTTCCGAGACCGGAAGCCAGAGGCGTGCGAGGCGGCCGACGGGGTCGAGACTTGGGACGCGCGCGCGCGAGGGAGAAAAGCCTGAGCTCGCTCCGCACGCCTGCCAGAGGCTCGACGAGGACCGCGCGCGCCAGTGAGAGGCGGCGGCCGCTCACCCGCACCCGGCGCCAACTTCTTCTCTCCTTTCCCCCCCCTCCCCGCCCTCGGCTCAGGCCTCTACACAGCAGCTCCTAGCTCGCTATCCTCCCCCAGCACTTCCTTTACGGAACCCGAAAAGAAGCGCGCCCCACCGCACTTCGCACCCCTCCTCGCAGCCAGCACTTCTCGTCGCTCCGGCTCGCAACTCGGCGTATCGTCTCCTCGACTCGCACTCTCTCTCTCTAGTTCCGTGCGTGCACTCTCTCCGACGTCTTGGTCCTCCTGCGCACCGAGCTGACCGAGCGCTTTGCCCCCCTGCCGCCATTTCGCCACTCTCTCGCCGCACAAACCTTGTCGCCGTCGCCTCCCCCTCGTCGCCACGTTCCGCCCAACCTCGCACGATCCCGCCAACAGACCGCACCCCACCGCATGCCTTCTGCCGCCATGTCTGCCCCCGGTGCTCCCCACATCTCTGCCGAGGACGTCAAGCTCGACCACGGCAAGGTCCCGACCTCGGCCGACGCTCGCACCGACGTCGCCACCATCCTCTCGGGCTCGTCGGACCGCGCCTCGCGTGTCGACGCCGCCAAGGAGCTCGTCGACCTGATCAAGGTCGAGGGTCCCGTGAGTCTCGCCTTCCTTCCTCCCGAGTGCAGGACGAGGTCGACGAGGAGAATGTCCCGACTGATCCTCTCGCCCTCTTTCCTTCCGCGCTTTGCAGCACGCCTTCGTCCGCGAGGGTGTCGCCTCGGCCATCCTCAAGGGTCTCGCCGACAAGAAGAACGCCGGCGTCCGCGAGGCCGCCTGCGACCTCCTCCAGATCCTCGTCGAGCAGGGCCTCGGCAACGCCGTCGAGCCGTTCTTCTACGAGAAGCTCATGCCGACCATCGTCGCCGAGACGTTCGCCGACAAGGAGAAGGTCGTCCGCGAGGCCGCTGTCCAGGCCGTCAAGTCGGTCGTCCAGGTCTCGTCGTCGTGGAGCGTCCCCATCTTCCTCCCGATCCTCCTCGAGCAGATCCGCACCGCCGGCAAGTGGCAGGTCAAGACCGGCTCGCTCGAGATCGTCAACCAGCTCGTCGTCTCGGCTCCGGAGCAGATGGCCCGCCTCATGCCCGACATCATCCCGACCATGACCGACGCCATCTGGGACACCAAGTCGGACGTCAAGAAGGCCGCCCGCTCGACCCTCACCACCCTGTGCTCGCTCGTGTCGAACAAGGACATTGAGAAGTTCATCCCGGCGCTCATGTGCGTGCCCTTCTCTCTCTCTCTCTCGCCGCCCGCTCGGGCCTCGGTTTCGTGGGATCTGTCCTGACTCGCGCTCTCTCCCGCGTACAGCAACTGCCTCATCAACCCTGTCGAGGAGACCGTCAAGACCATCCAGCTCCTTGCCGCCACCACGTTCGTCCAGGAGGTCGACTCGCCCACGCTCGCCCTCATGGCGCCGCTCCTCCAGCGCGGTCTCACCGAGAAGCTCACGTCGACCGTTCGCAAGGTCGCCGTCATCATCGACAACATGACCAAGCTCGTCGACAACGAGCACGTCGTCCGCCCCTTCGTCCCGAAGCTCCTTCCCGGCCTCGTCAAGGTCGAGCAGACCGTCGGCGACCCCGAGGCCCGTGGCGTCGTCGTCAAGGCGATCAAGACGCTCCGCGAGACCGCCAACTGCACCGGCGACGGCTCGGACCTCCCGCCGCCTCGCGTCGTCACCGCCGAGCAGTCGGCCGGCCCCGTCGTCGAGTCGATCAAGAAGGTCGACCCGGCTTCGAAGCTCGACGCGTCGTCGCCCCTCGTCGACTTCATCGCGACGCTCGTCGGCAACCTGTGCACGGCGCGCTGCTGGGAGCAGACCGAGTGGGAGTCCGGCCTTGTGCCGTACATCTCGCTCGCGCTCCCCGAGACGATCCGCGCCAACTCGGCCATCGAGGTCGCGCGCGACCTCCTCCAGAAGCTCGCCAAGGACGAGGGCGAGACGGTCGAGGCGTTCGCCGACGAGGAGGAGGGCGAGGACCTGTGCAACTGCACGTTCTCGCTCGCCTACGGCGCCAAGATCCTGCTCAACACGGCGACGCTCCGCCTCAAGCGTGGCCACCGCTACGGCCTGTGCGGTCGCAACGGTACCGGCAAGTCGACGCTCATGCGCGCCATCGACAACGGCCAGGTCGAGGGCTTCCCGTCCAAGGACGTCGTCCGCACCTTCATGGTCGAGCACGACGTCGACGGTGACGAGACCGAGAACTCGATCATCTCGTTCGTCCTCAAGGACGACCGCATCCTCAAGACCGAGGAGGAGTGCCGCGACGTCCTCGAGCAGGTCGGTTTCACGCGCGAGCGCCAGGAGGCCGCCATCGGCTCGCTCTCGGGCGGCTGGAAGATGAAGCTCGCCCTCGCCCGCGCCATCCTGTTCGAGGCCGACATCCTCCTCCTCGACGAGCCGACCAACCACCTCGACGTCGTCAACGTCAAGTGGCTCGAGGACTACCTGTGCGGCCTCAAGACCTGCACGTCCATCATCGTCTCGCACGACTCGGGCTTCCTCAACAACGTCTGCTCGGACGTCCTCCACCTCAACAAGTTCAAGGTCAAGCGCTACCCGGGCAACCTCAACGACTTTGTCCGCTACGTCCCCGAGGCCAAGGCCTACTTCGAGCTCAACCCGCTCGAGGAGTACAACTTCAAGTTCCCGGCTGTGCGTCTCTCTCGTTCCTCTTTTGTGTCCTCGACTCGAGACGATCAGGGGACCTGACGACCTGCCTGCCCCCACACAGCCTCCTCTTCTCGACGGTGTCAAGACCAAGGAGAAGTCGCTCATGAAGATGCGCCACGTCGCGTTCCAGTACCCGACGTCGCCCGTCCAGCAGCTGTACGACATCTCGCTCCAGGTGTCGCTCTCGTCGCGTGTCGCCGTCCTCGGCCCCAACGGTTCGGGCAAGTCGACGCTCGTCAAGCTCCTCGTCGGCGAGACCGAGCCCAACAAGGGCGGCGAGGTCTGGCGCCACCCCAACTTGGTCATCGGCTACGTCGCGCAGCACGCGTTCCACCACATCGACCACCACCTCGACAAGACGCCCCTCGAGTACATGCTCCAGCGTTACCAGACGGGCGAGGACATCGAGGAGCTCGAGAAGGCCAACCGCAAGCTCACCGAGGAGGAGGAGCGCAAGATGAAGGAGGGCGCGACCGTCGTCGTCGAGGGCGTCAAGCGCACCATTGACGACATCACGGCCCGCAAGAAGCTCAAGCAGTCGTTCGAGTACGAGGTCTCGTTCAAGGGCCTCTCGTCGTCCGAGAACCTGTGGCTCCCGCGTGACGAGCTCATCCGCCGTGGTTTCGAGAAGAAGGTGCGTCCCTCCTGTCGTCCTCGTCGTCGTCGTCGTCGTCGGCGACCCCCCAAAACCGGCCTTCCTAACTCGAACCTCTTCCTCCCCTTCCAGGTCCAGGAGGTCGACTCGCGCGAGGCGCAGAAGGCCGGTCTTCTCCGCCCTCTCGTCCGCAAGGAGATCGAGTCCCACTTCACCGACTTTGGTCTCGAGCCCGAGTTCACCACCCACAACACGATGCGCGGTCTCTCGGGTGGCCAGAAGGTCAAGGTCGTCCTCGCCGCCGCCACCTGGCGCCGTCCCCACATCGTCATCCTCGACGAGCCGACCAACTACGTGCGTCGCCGTCGCCCCTTTTCGTCGTCGTCGTCGCGCGAGACTCGAACCTGACCTTGCCCTCTCTCGCCTTGCAGCTCGACCGTGAGTCGCTCGCTGCGCTCATCTCGGCGCTCAAGAACTACGAGGGCGGTGTCCTCGTCATCACCCAGTACGTCCCTGCGCACCTCGCCGTCGTCGCCGTCGCCGTCGTCGTCCCGAAAATTAACCCTTCCTCGCCGCCCGCAGCAACCAGGAGTTCTCCGAGTCGATCTGCACGGAGGTGTGGGCCATGAAGGACGGCTACCTCACGGCCTCGGGCCACAACTGGGTCGAGGGCCAGGGCGCCGGCCCGCGCATCGACCAGCCGAAGGAGGGCGACGAGGAGGACGTCTTCGACGCCATGGGCAACAAGATCGTGCGTCCCTCTCTCCCTCTCTTTCTCTCGTACGAGCAGCACTGACTCTTCACGACGTGCAGGACGCGCCCAAGAAGGTCAAGAAGGCGACCGCCAAGGGTGCGTCTCCCCCTTTCCCTCCTCCTCCTCCTCCTCGACCTCCCTCTCGTCCCGGACCTCATTCTGACGCTATTTACTCGACCGGAATAGACGCACGCAAGGCCAAGAAGGACCGGATGGCGCGCAAAAAGCTCGGGCTGCCCAGTGACGACGAGGCAGGATTTGACTGAGCGGCGTCGTCGCCGTCGCGGTGGACCCTTCCCTTCCCTCCCGGTCCTCCCTCTACCCCCCTTCCTCTAGACGCCTCTCCCCTCGCATAGCCCGCACCGTCTTTACCTTTCCCCCTCCCTAGTTGTAGCTTGTCTCCCCACCGTTCGCGGCCGTCGTCGCCTCCGGCGACGTCGGCCCACCCGTTTTGCCCTCTCCTCTCGCAGCGGCCGTGATATCCAGTGCTCTTTGCCGCCCTTCTGGGTCTCACGAGAGAACCTGCCTGACCAAGCGAGCAGCCAGACCGCGAGGAGGCGCGACCACCGGCAGCCGCGCAGCGAGAAGTTCGACGAGAGGCAGAGACTGGGCCCGTGCCACTGACACGATCGCGCTCGGTGGCGATCCAGCTTCTGAAGCCAGACAGTGCTTCGCTCACCGGCATGGCCCCAGAGAGCGGTGCAAGTCGCAGGACGAGAGCGAACGAGCGATTCCTCGTGCCCGGACCCCTCCCGAGCGCGGACGGCTTTCTCCCTCTCGCGCGAGCTCCTTCGCCTCCCTTGACCAACAGCCGTCATTTGCGAGCACGCTCAGGCGCAGCCCTCGCACGTAAAAGCGCGCAGAAAGAGCGAGAGAAAGCAGGCCGGACGCGGCTCGAGCGTGCTTGCTCGCGGACGAAGCCGGGCTTGCAGCAGCGCGATGGAGGTACGGGGAGAAGGTGACGCTCGTGCAGCAGAACGAAGAACGCTGACGAGCCGGACTCTGGCTCAAGGTCGGCCAGCGGAAACTCGCGTCACGGTCGTTTCCTCGACGACGACCGCCTCGCCGAGGTGAGCTGCCACGCGATTTGCTGCGTGGCTCCGAGGCCGAGCGCGTGGACGTCGCAGAAGGCGGAGAGATCGACCGCTAGGAAGAGCCGCGTGCGCGAGTCTCGTCGACACACCTGCCGAGTGCGAAGCTGGACGAGCGCGCGCTCGACGGAGAGGAGGGCCCGTGCGCACTCGACGCGAGGCAAGCTGGGTATCCCGCTTCGAGCAGGCTGTACTCTCTGAGTGCGAGCCGAGTTCATTTTGCGTGTCTGCCCGTCCTGGAGAGCGACCTTTGACGAGACGAGCGAGGGCGAGCTGAGGAGGGAAGGGACGGCGGCGGCCACGCTTTCCTCGCGAGGGAGTTTGAGCGGTGCCTGGTCCGCTCGAGGCTCGTTCTGCGCCCCCGGTGGACCTCCCCCTCTCCGCCCCTCGTTTCAGGCGCGCCCTCGGTCGTCCCTGATCAAAACCCTCCGTCGGCTGTCCCCCCTCTTCCCCCTTCGTCCCTCGCCGCGTTCGCCCACTTGTCGCCTGTGCGGCCCACGACCACTCTCCCTCTCGCCTGCCGACGCCCACCCCTCGACCCTCGCGCAGAGCTGGCTGCCGTCGCCTTGCCTCCCCTCGCGCCACTTTGCGGCGCTGCCGCCCTCCTCCCCTCGCGCCCACCGTCGATCGCCCGACTCGTGCCGCACCTCTCTGGCGACATGGCGCAGCCCCTGGACCACCACGCGCTCCAGCAGCACCAGCACCAGCTCCTCCACGGCCACGCCCTCGTCTCGTCGCTCCTCCCGCCGCCGCCAGGTCTCGAAGCCTCGACCTCGTCGGCGCCGCCGCCCGCACAGCAGCCGCCGCTCGAGCACAAGTCGGCATCGGACGAGGACGGCAGCCAGCTGTCGCAGGGCCAGCTCAAGAAGCAGCCGGCCAAGCTCTTTCGCTGCACCGGCTTCGGCGAGTGTCAGATGACTTTCACTCGCTCCGAGCACCTCGCGCGACACGTCCGGTGCGTCCCCTGTCTCCCTCTTTCGCCCGACCGGACCCAACCTGACCCAGTTGCCCCCTCGCAGCAAGCACACGGGCGAGCGGCCGTTCAAGTGCCACTGCGGGCGCGAGTTCTCCCGCCTCGACAACGTCCGCCAGCACGCCGCGACCGTGCACTCGGAGCAGGCCGACCGCAACGCCCAGACGATCGCCGACCTCGTCGCGCTGCACAACCAGCTGTCGGTCTCGACCCAGCAGCGCCAGAAGGACGCCGGCATGGTCCTCCAGGACGGTCCCGTCGCCGACAAGGGCTCGTCGCGACGGCGCGCCGACGGCGAGGTCAAGCCCAAGAAGGTGACGGCGGCCAAGAAGAAGCAGACGGCGGCCGACAAGAAGGCGCGCGAGCAGGCCGAGGCGGCCGAGCAGGCGCTCGAGCGGCAACGAGCAGCCGAGCAGGAGGCGGCGGCGGCGGCGGCGGCGGCGGCGGCGCAGCAGCAGCCCCCGCCGCACAGCAGCCCGATGCAGCCACACTCGCAGCCTCCGCCCATGCAGCCCTACGGCGGCGCGTACGGCGCGGCGCCGTATCCTGTCGCGCGACCACCTCAACCTGCGCCCGCCGTCGGCAACGCCTACCCGTCGTTCGCCCCGCCGCCCCAGTACCCTTCCACCGCCCCTCCTCCCCTCGGCTACTACCAGCAGAGCGCGCACGTGCAGTACACGTCGCAGCTCGCGGCGCACCAGCAGCTGTACGCCGCCGGAATGGCCCCGCCGCCTCCTCCGCCGCCGCACGCGCTCTCGTACGGCGACATGTATGGTGGCGCGGCCTATGCGGCGGCATACGGTCCGGCTTCGGGCGAGGCGCCGCACCCGTACGCCCCGCCGCCGCCGTCGCCGCCGCACGCCGGCCACCGCCCCGAGCCCGTCGGCCTCCCGCACCAGGACCCGTCGTCGAGCGGTCGCTACAACCCGCCGGGACCCCTGTCGTACCCGCCCGTCTCGACGCCTCAGCTCCCCGACGCCGGGCAGCTCACGCCCAACAAGATCTCGCTCCCGAGCATCTCGGCGCTCCTGCCCTCGCCTTTCGCCAACGGCCAGCAGGCCCAGTCGCAGCCTCAACCCGAGCCACAGCCGCACCATGCTCCGCAGCAGCAGCACCCGCATCAGCAGCGAGACGTCCACCCGCAGCAGCAGGTCGCCTCGACGGCCGCTCTCGACTCGCTCGAGACGGCGCAGCACCAGCACCAGCAGCGCCAGCAGGCGCACTACGCCGCCTTGAGCTCGTCGCAGGGTCGTCCTCCCGCGCATAGCCCGTCGCCGCACCTACAGCAGCACGCCATGCTGCAGGGCTACGGCGCCTACCCGCCCGCCGGCGTCGGCGACCTGCAGTACCCGTCTCACCCGAGCATGGGCGCGCCGCACCCGTACGACCCCTACGCTCGACCCGGCAGCAGGGCCGGCAGCGAGAGGGAGCACCCGCCATCGTGAGTTTCACTCGCCGTCGTCGTCGTCGTCGTCGTCGTCGCCTGCCCCGCCTTTTTCAAGAACTTGCGCACTGACCCCTTCTCCCTCGCACAGGCTCAGCAACGGCTCGTCGTCGACGGCCTCGTCGTTCCAGGCCGGCTCACCCTTGCACCCGCACGTCGCCGCACCGCACAACTCGGCCGCCCAGCAGCACTACTCGCACCTGTACAACCCGGCCGGCGCGCCTCACCACTCGGCCTATCAGTACGCTCCGCCGCAGCCTCAGCAGCCGCACGCCTACCCGTACGCGTCAGCGCAGTACCTCGCGGCAGTGCAGCAGCCGTACGGCGTCGCGCAGGGCATGTACGCGCCGCCGCCGCCGCCGGCCAAGTACGGCGCCATGCAGGCGCCGCTCGGCGGGCTCGCAGGGCCTTATGGCCCGCTATCCGGTCAAGGCGGCCGAGAGAGCTCGGAGCGAGGAGCTTAGCGCGCCGGTCGCGCAACTCGTCCCCGTTGAGCGCCTCTCGCCTCGACCTCCTCCTCCCCCTCCTCCCGACCTTCCCCTTTTCCCTTTTCGCGTCTCGGGCCTGCACTCGCACACCTCTCGCATCCCAGCTCCCATGTCTATTTTCCTAGCCACCTAATCGTCGCCGCACTGCCCTGTGTTACCCCTCCCTCGAGCCGATTTGTACCTCCTCCCCTCCTCGCCCTCTCGCCCTCTTCCCTTGTCGTTCTTCGTACCCTCCTGCAGTCCTCTGTTGCAACTACCAGTCGCTTGCCTTCTCTCTCCCTCGTCGTCTGCGAGCAACGCAGGCTCAAGCTGCGACAGCTGTCGGTCGTCGCCGCTCGGGCCTGCTGTTCTCGCGCTTCTCTCGCTTCTTTCGCTTGCGCGAGGAACGGTGCCGCACGCCAGTTGGAGCCAGCCAGTTCATCAAGGTCCGGGGTACCGCCCTGTTCGACCAGCTCCCCCGTACCTTGCCCTCTCCGAGCAGGAAGCCACCTCGGACCCGGGTCGAGCGCCGCTCGGTCCCTCTCCTCGCTCTCTCGCTTTTCGGCCTGCCGCTCTCTCTCTCGTTCTGCCCTGGGAGCTAAAAGGGCACGTGTCGCGGCTGCCTTTAGCCTTCCTTGCATCTGGGCCGGTCGAGTAGATAGCGTCAGAACGAGGTCCGGGACGAAAGGGAGGTCGAGGAGGAGGAGGAGGGAAAAGGGGAGACGCACCCTTGGCGGTTTCTTGACCTTCTTGGGCGCGTCCTGCACGTCGAGAGAGTCAGTGCTGCTCCTACGAGAGAAAGAGAGGGAGAGAGGGAGAGGGACGCACGATCTTGTTGCCCATGGCGTCGAACACGTCCTCCTCGTCACCCTCCTTGGCCTGAACGCGCGGTCGTCGACAACTGCAAGGGTCGAAAGGACCGCTCTGAACGCCAGCGAGCTCGAAGCCGACGCAGCTCGGAGCGCGCTCGAGCCCGCAGCGCTTTCGACCGGCTCGTCCCTCTCGCAAATTCTCGCACTCGCCGCTCGGGCAAGCTGTCACGCGTGCACTGCACCCTTCAGCTACCCCATGATCCGCCGCAGCCGTCCCACCTCGACCCACTCGCCCGTCTTGGGGTCCCTCAGGCGCCCGCTGCCCCTCGTCCCGCCGAGCGCCGCGTCCTCGACCTCCTCCTCGAGCGCGCGCAGGCACCGGTAGCACCCGACCCACCCACTCGGGAGCGCCGTCGGGTTCTCGACCTTGCCGCCGTGCACGACACACTGTCCTCGCGCCGCAACCTCCTCGTCCTCCTTGCCCTCGTCGCCGCCTGCTGCTGCGCCCCTAGGTCGAGGCGGCGGTGGCGCCCGCAGCGCCGGCTGCGCGCCCGCCTTCCTGCCCGAGCCGAGTCGGCCCGACGCGCCCGCTGGCGAGTACCACCACTCGAGGAGGCGGAACCCAAAGATGCTGAGCGGGAGGACGAGCCGGAGCGAGTCGAGCGCGAGCGCGGGCGACAGGCGCACGAGGCGGCGCAGGATGGTGAGGACGGGAGGGCGAGTCGTCGGGGGCGAGTTGCGCGGCGCGGCAAAGAGGCGCTGTAGGGGCGTCGGGATCGAGTTGAGGCGTTCCTGCGGGCGGCGGTGCGAGCAGGGCGAGGTGAGCGACGGGCCTGCGGGTCGACGAGGGAGTGAAAGCTCGGGGCGCACATAGTCTTCTTGGCCCATGCGGCGGACCTCGATGCCGAGGAGGCGAAACCAGGGGCGCCAGTACGGGCTGCGGCCGAACAGGTACCGCAGGTTGTACACGAGGAGGACGAGCTCCCACACGAGGTTGGCGTGCGGGTACGACAGCTTGAACAGGGCTTGCGACGCGAGCTTGAGGCGGGCGAGGAGCGAAGGGTTGAGGGACGAGTTGCGGAGGATGGCGAGCGGGGACGACGAGGGTGAGGAGGGCGACGAGAAGAGGTCGGCGTCGACGCCGCCGCCGAGTCGCTCGTACAGGTCGGTCGCCTTGATCTTGAGGTACGGGAGGAGGACCTGCGAGGCTCGAGAGGCGGTCAGCCCGGGTTGACGGGGGCGGCGACAGGGGAAAGGGAGGGGACGCACGAGAAAGACGAGGCTGCCGGTCACCTCGTTGCTCCCGAGCCTGTCGCTCTTGCCCGTGAGCGCAAAGGCGGCCTTTGTGCGCTCCTCGCGTGCGCCGCCGCCGCCGCTGCCGAGGACCTTGCGGCGCTTGAGGCCATAAAAGGTCTCTGTGAACGAGCCGCCGTGGGCGACGAGGTAGTGGCGCTCGACGAACCACATGGCGAGGGCAAACAGGCCATCGTGGTGGTTTACGATGCGGAGGAGGTAGCGCGGGTGTCGCTGGGCAAAGACCTGTTGCGGTGTGCGCGAGAGAGAGGTGAGCCGGTGAGCCGGACGAGAGAGGTGGGGAGGAGGGGGGAGGGGGGCGCACCGAGAGGACGTAGCGGACGACGGGGCTAAGGAGGTCTCTCAGCTGGTCTGTGGGAGTGGGGGAACGAGTCAGTCACGGTGCGTGTGGCTGCTGCAGGCGAGGGGCGCACCTTGAGCGGCGAGTTCGAAGATGGAGGGGCGGTACGGGTCCTGGGCCGGGCCCTGGTCTGCGAGGTACTCCATGTGCGGGTAGGGTGCGCTGCAGCTGTGCAGTGGCAGCAGTGCTCACAGCGAGTCGGTGGGAGCAAGAGAGGAACCGACCCGGCTCGATCTCGCTCGTCGTCCCGGTCCGACCGCGTTTGCTCAGCGACCACAACACGCGGGCTCACTCGTGCTGCACTCGAGCCACTCGAACGAGCTCACTCGACACCGGCCATGCCTCTCGAGCTCGCCCGCACCCGCCGCGGACCTCCCGCCCGCCGGCGCGCTCAGCTCTCGTCCGCACCTCGCCTCGCCTCTCCACCACACCCCTCTGCGCCCTGATCCGCCCGCCAGCCTGCTCGGTAAGGGCACTGCGGTCAGCCCCACCCCACGCGCCACCTCGCACCAGCTCGCCATCATGAGCCACGCCTCGCCGTCCGTCTCTCTCGACCGAGCCGACTCCGCGAGGTGCGCCTCCTCGGCTCTCCCTCTCTCTGTCAGGCGGTACAGCAACCGCAGCACAGACTGACACTCCCTTGCGCGCGCAGCAGGGTCCGCAGGGTCAAGGTCACCGGTGCGCTCGCTCCCTTTCCCCTCCCCCGAGGTCGTCGTCCTGATCTTCGTCCACCTCGAGCGCAGTCACCAACGCAGGTGCGCCAGCCTCCCTCTACTCTACCGTACCGCACAGAAGCTGACATGCCCTCGCGCAGACGACCTCATCAAGCGCGACGTCTTCCAGCTCCCGTCGCCCTTCCCTCTCCTCCTCCTCTACTCGCCCTCGACCCGCCCAACCGTCTCGGCTCAGCCCTACGCGACCCACCAAGGCCCGACGCTATCGACCACGACCTCGCCGTTCTGGGCCACGTCGGCCAGCTTCGAGGTCGACGTTGAGGAGGGTGCGTGGGGCAGGGTCCGCATCCACGACCAGGCAAAGTGGAACAAGAAGGGCCAGGTGCGCCCCATTTCGCTCTCTCGGCTTCACGAAACGATCCTGACACTCCCGTCGCACAGGGCTACCTCGGCGAGGTGACGCTCGGCAACCTGTGGGAGCTGTTCCCGCCCGACAAAGGTGGCGACGGTGCGTCTCGGTCTCTCGCGTACCCTCTCTCTTCCGCCGACGACCGACTGACCTTGTTCTCGATGTCGCAGTGCACCTTTCGCGCCCGCTCGAGAAGGGGTCGGGCAACGTCGCCGTCTCGGGCAAGCTCGTCCTCCACTTGCGCTGCGACGGCCCGCCGCACCCGCGCTCGTCCGCGCCCGCCTCGATCTCGGCCTCGACAAGCTCGACGCTGCCCTACATGCACCCTTCACGTGCTCAGCCGGCGTACCCGCTCGCCGCCGAGGCCGCCGCACGCGACCCGCTCTACGCCGGCGCCGCCCAGCCCTTCCTCCCCTCTCACCTTCGACCCGCCGCCGCGACACACCTCGCGCCGCACCCTCATCACGGACCCTCTGCCCGCATCGACTCGGGCACGGCCGCCGCCTCGGCCGGCAGCATCCAGCGCCGGCTCACGCTCGCCGAGCACCGCCGCGGCGCGGCGACCGTCATCGGCATCGACGACGCGCTCGACACGGCGAGCGGCGTCGGCATCACCTCGGCGCCCGCCGGCGCCGCCTCGTCAGCCGCCCCCTCGCCGGCGCCGGCGCCGCCGCACGGCGACCCCGACGCGCTCGGCCCGCTCCCCGACGGGTGGGAGGCGCGCACGAGCCCGACGGGCCGGCCGTACTTTGTCGACCACGTCGGGCGGCGCACGACGTGGCACGACCCGCGCAAGGCGCTCGTGCGCGCGAGGGAGCGCGCGAGGCGGGCTGTCCTCGCTGCGGCGGGCGTCGAAGAGGTCGAGGGCGAGGCGGTCGGGACGGGCACGGGTGCGGCGGCCGGGACGACGGCGGGTGCGGTAGTCGAGGGTTCGTCGAGCTCCACGGGCGAGGCTGGGGCGGTCGGGTCATCGGCAGCGGCGGCAGGAGGGACGCAGGCGAGCTCGAGGGTGGACCCGGCGGCAGAGCTCGACGTCTCGGACGAGCAGCTCGGGCCTCTGCCGTCGGGATGGGAGAGGCGTACGACACCTTCGTGTGTCGACTCGTTTCCCTTCTACCCTGCCTGCCGCACGCTTACCTCGTCTCCGCCCTCGCGCAGAAGCGGCCGGGCCTACTTTGTCGACCACAACGTCCGTCCTCGCCGTTCAATTTATCCTTCAGCGACGCCTACTGACACTCTTGACCGTCCGCAGACCAAGACGACCTCGTGGGACGACCCACGTCTGCCGTCGTCGTCCGTCGAGGGCGATCAGTCGAAGCGCGCCTTCCGCCGCAAGCTCGTGCGTCCTCCTCTCCCTCTCCCTCTTCCCGTCCCACTTCCCTTACTCTTTTCTCTCGATGCGCAGATCTACTTCCGGTCGCAGCCGGCCCTGCGCCCTCTCGGCGGCGGCTGCCGCATCATCGTCCGGCGCGAGCACCTGTTCGAGGACGCGTTCGCCGAGATGATGAAGTACTCGGGCGAGGACCTGCGCAAGAGGCTCATGGTGTCGTTCCAGGGCGAGGAGGGTGTCGACTTTGGCGGCGTGTCGAGGTGCGTCCCTGCTCGCTCGCCCGACTCTGAGGATGAGATCCTGACGCTCTTGCACCTCGCAGGGAGTTCTTCTTCATGCTGTCGCACGAGATCTTCAACCCGAGCTACTGCCTGTTCGAGCCGGTGCGTCACCACCTCTCACTGTCGCCGGTCGGTCCGAGCGCGCGATTGACCTCTTGTGACCCATCTCGCGCAGACCGAGAAGACGAGCTACACGCTGCAGGTCAACCCGAACAGCAGCATCAACGAGGACCACCTGTCGTACTGTACGTCTCGCTGTTCTCCCTGCCGTCGCTCTCGCCGTCGTCGTCGTCGTTGTCGTACTGAACCTCGCTCGTTGCGCAGTCCAGTTTGTCGGTCGCTGCGTCGGGCTCGCCATCTTTCACCGCCGGTTCCTCGACGTTCACTTCTCGACGGCGATCTACAAGACGTGCCTCGGGCGCACGATCGGGCTCGAGGACATGGCCGTCATCGACCAGCAGATGCATCAGTCGCTCACCTGGATGAGCGAGAACGACATCACGGACGTCATCGAGCTCGATTTTACGGCCCAGCACGAGTCGTTCGGCACGCTCGAGACGACCGAGCTCGTGCCCGGCGGCGCCGACATCGCCATCACCGAGGACAACAAGCACGAGTACATCCAGCTCCTGTGCCAGCACCGCCTCAAGGGCCGGGTCGAGCAGCAGCTCGAGGCGTTCAAGCTCGGCCTCGGCGAGATCGTGCCCCTCAAAGAGCTCGAGGTGTTTGACGAGAAGGAATTCGAGGTGCGTTCGCGCTTTGGCCTCTTCCTCTCCCCCTCGACTTTGAGGACCGCCGTCCTGACCTTGCCTTCCTTCCTCCCTTGCCCTTTTCGTCGTCCTCGTCCGCAGCTCATCGTCTCGGGCGTCAGCGAGCTCGACCTCACCGACTGGGAGAAGCACACCGACTACCGCGGCTTCCATAAGGACGACCAGCTCGTGCGGTGGTTCTGGCAGGTGCGCCCCCTCTTTCTCTTCCTCTCTCGCTCTATCGAGCACAAGATCCTGACCTCGACGCTGTACCAGGTCGTCGGCACGTGGGACCTCGAGAAGAAGGCGCGCCTGCTCCAGTTCACGACGGGCACGAGCCGCGTCCCGGTCAACGGCTTCAAGGACCTGCAAGGCTCGGACGGTCCGTCCTCTCCCTCTCTCTCTACTAAACCTCGAGATTGCCGAACCTGACGGGTCGAGCGCACGCAGGTCCTCGTCGCTTCACGCTCGAAAAGAGCGGCGACATCTCGCAGCTCCCCAAGAGCCACACCTGTTTCAACCGCCTCGAGCTGGCGCCGTACCCGACCTACGACATGTGCGTCCCCGTGCCTCTCTCCTTCCCCTCTGTATCGACGACGTCCGTGTGGCCTGACGAGCTCGACGTCCCTCGCGCAGGCTCGAGCAGAAGCTCACGTTCGCCGTCGAGAACACGCTCGGGTTCTCGCTCGAGTGAGCTCTGTCGACGCAGCCGCCTCCCTCTTCATTCTTTATCGCCCCTGCACCTCCTTCCCTTTGTCCCTGTGACCTCTTCCCTGTCGTTCCACCCCGTACCCCTCCTCGGCCTTCTCGTTCACGTCGCCTTCCGAAGTCGCAAATGTCTATCTCTCGCACCTCAGTACTCTCCTGAGAGGCTGCGCAATCTCGCTACTGCCAGTTTCTGCTTCTGTCTCTCGCGGCGGCGCCGGCGCGCCCGGCCAACTGGCGCTTGAGACCGCTCGGGCCTCTCCCGCCCCTCGCGTCGAACATTCTCGTCCGCGTCTCTCGATCTTCCTCGGCGTCTGTTGACGTCTGTCGGTCTCTCCTGTCGTCGTCTCGCTCGTCGGACAGGAGGCTCGACGGACCAAAACGTCCGCCGGACCTCCCCGGACCGTGCGCGGCTATTCTGTCCCCCCCCCTCTCTGTTCGCTGCGACGTTCTCCTGCTTCGCGCGCTCTGCAGCAGAGTCTGCTCGACACGCCATGTCGGAGCTCATCACGGCGCAAGAGTGTGCCGCTGTCGCTGCGACCGAGGTGCGCGTGCGCCTTGACCGCCAACTGCGCGAGTTTGGCGCGCGCGAGCCTCCGTCGTCTTCTCGCCCTCTCGTCTCTCGTCGGCGTCGTACTGATCTCATGTTCGTCACTCTTTCGACAACAGCTCGACAACCGCCAGCTCTCGCTCAGCAAGTCCGCGTACGAGCCGGTCAGCCGCACGAGCCGCGTCACGAGGGCACTTTTGATGTAGCTCTCTCGGCCCCTGCATCTTTGTTTCAACGCGATTTAAAGTCTGCGTCTGTTCAGAGAACGAGACGAGAGCTTCTGCACTCGAGACGTGTCCAACAGAGCGACAGCGTCGAATGAGGGTCCGTGCGCGTCGACCTTCTCAAGTTGACCAGGCTGGGTCTCGCAACGTCCGGGCTCGGGGCAGCTGTCCCAAGCTGCCAAGGCGGCGAGTGCGCTGCACTCGCAACTGTCGGCTCCTTGCAGAGGTGACTGCGCGGCACCAGATGGCCATCGCTCTCTCTGAACGTGCGGCGGGAAGAAGACCGCTCTCGAGGACGAAATCGATTCGCGAAATTAGCCCATGATGCAGGAGACAAGTACAGACGAGGACAGACGAGGCGATCCGCGACATAGGGCGACAGGGGGATGTGGTGGCACTGACAAAGAGGGGAAGGAGTGCGAGAGGGGTTGTCGGAAGGGGATGCAGCTCGAGAGCGGGCTCTACTTGTTCGGCACGGCCATCAAGGGCACGCCGACGACGACCATGGCGACGGCGCCGACGCACAGCGCGTACACGGCGACACGCCACTGGGCGCGAGCGACGTCGGGCGAGAAGACGGCCGTGACCGGGCCCCAGACGGGCGCCGACTCGGGGACGACGCCGCGCGACGACTGGCCCTGCGAGCGGTACGACGGCGGACGAGACGACGCGCTCGCTGACTGGGGCGGGAGGGTCGCCGTGACGTCGCTCGCGTCCTGCTTCTCCCAGGGGTACGGGTTGGCCGACGTCTGGGTGCGGAACGACGCGTCCTTGTCGTCCGAGCCGTAGCTCGACTCGTCCTCCCACGACGAGGCCGAGCTCGGCGTCGTCGGGCACGCGATGGGCACGATCGAGCCCGACGTGACGGTCGGCGCGGCGAGCTCCCAAGGGAGGAGCTGGCGGTCCTCGCCAAGGAGCCAGATGACGCCGCAGATCCGGTTGAGCGCCATGACCATAACGGCGGCGCCGAACGCGATGAAGGGCAGGCCGATGACGCGGTAGCCACGGGCGTGGTTGGTGCTGCAGCGCGAGGAAGAGGGCGCAAAGGGTCAGGGCCTTTTCTCGACGGCGGGCTCGCTCGCGTCGCACGAGGCAGAAAGAGAGAGTGGACGCACAGGATGGCGACGAGAGGAGGGATGAGGCCAAGGCAGAAGATGCTCAGGCCGAGGCAGAAGCAGAACGTGAGGCGCCTCGGGCCGGCGTTGGCGACGCAGCTCTTGGCGTGCTGCGCGAGCGACCGGTTGAGCGAGTGCTCGACGATGTCGCGCGCCTCGGCAAAGTCGCGCGGGTCGCCGCTCGTGCCGGCTTCGACGAGGACCTTGTCGCGCGTCGCGCGCGGGAGGTTGAGCTCGAGAGGCCCGTCCGGCGCGAAGAAGACGTCGAGGCCGCGGCGGAGCGACTCGGCGAGGTACTCGGGGAGGTGCGACGCCGTGCGGGTCGCGAGCGGGTCGGTCGACGGCTCGAGGGTCGACGTCGGCGCGGCGTCCTTCTTGGCGACGCTCGGGTCGGCGAGGAACGCCTTGTACTCCTTCTCGTACTCGTTGAGCCACAGGATGAAGTACAGGTTCTCGGCCGAGTACTCCTTGAAGACGAGGTAGCCCTGCGTGTCGCGCGAGAGGGTGTGTGTCAGGAGACGCTCGGTGCTGGAACGCTGGACGGAGGAGGGACGAGACGCACCTCAAAGTCCTTGAGCGAGAGCGGCGACAGGTGCTTGTTGGCGATGACGTCGGCGAGGCGCACGTCGTTCAACGGCGTCGCCTTGAGCGAGCGGACCGAGCCGACCATGCCGGTCGCCTTTGGCGGCGACAGGACGCGGAGCGGGACCTTGACGAGGTTGAGGAGCGGGAGCTGGTTCTTCTGCTTGACGGGGCGGCTCGACGCCGGGAGGGGCGCCGGCGGCTCGAGGTTGCGGTGGCCCTTCTCGCCAAAGTTGGGCTTGCTCGGCGACGACGAGGAAGAGGGAGGAGCGAGGGACGACATGGTGGTGGTCGAAGGGGGGAGCGACGAGGCGGTGGCGGCTGCGGGTGCCGGTCGGGGAGGTGTGCGTCCTGGGTGACTGTACGAGTGGCTGGACGGAGCTGCTGGAGCCAGGGGGGCGGGCGATGGGGAGGATCTGGTGGTCGCCGGTGGTGGTCGTGCGAGGGTCGGAGGAGAGGGAGAGAGGCGAGCTGTCGACGTGCGCGCGCTCGACTGGGGTGGTGGTGGCGAGAACAACAGCGAGGCTCCAAGAAAGACCGCAACGACCAGGCAGGGAGAGGCGGCGGCGACTGCTCCGAAACGACTAAGTCCGCCGGCCCTTGAGCTCCTCCACAGCTCCACCCCGCACGCTGTTGCGTTGCTCGTTCCGGGCAAATCAGAGCCCAGGTCCAGGGACGCCCGTCAATTTAGCTCGTCTCCCCCGCGTACCACTTTCCCTTTCCAGCTCGACACTCGTCGCTCGACGCTGCCGGCGCCGACGCTTCTCGACGGCTACGGTCGCCCAGCGCCTTGCTGTGGGCGCTTCTGGCACTCGAGAGCTCTGCGAAAGTCGCATCGATCAAGGCGAGAGTGGCGGCGAGCGAGAGCGACGACGGCGACAGCGCGGCGCGAGAGGGACCGTGCGCGCGAGAACGCCGCTTCCTCTTCTTCTCGCCTCGCGCGACGGCGCTTGTCAATCACGGCTGCGGCTTCTCGGCCGGCAACCTCACAGCTGCCTTCTGCCGTCGCACGCGTGGAGCCAGAGCCCGCGCAACGCCGTACCGGCCCTCTCCTCCTGGCTCGGAACCGGTTTCCTCGAACGGGCCTCGCTCGGAGCCACGCTTTCGGCTCCCGCTCGCAAGGAGAGAGAGAGAGAGCGTCTTCTTCATCTCGGTCCCGCGAGATGAAAGGAGAATGAAGCCCGGTGCAGCTCCAGGTGTTGCCCGACGTGCCGTCGCCGAGTGAGCTGCGGACGCTCGGGCTGCGGATGCGACCGTCCCACGATTACGACGGCGGCAGCCCCCAGCGACATCGTCGTCCTGCGAGGTCGATCGAGCAGGTGGAGCAGACGAAAAGGGAGAGCGAGCCGGCGCGGGAGAGGGCGCGGACGAAGCGAGGAAAGAGCAGGCGGCCTTGGCGCTCGTCCCACGACTCACCCTCTCGCAAGCGCGAGGCCAGCACCGGCGCACTCGCTCGTGATCGGGACGGCTCTCGACTCTCGGGACGAGGGACGCGAGAGAGCGAGAGAGAGCCAGGCTGGTCCGAGGCGAGGGACGCGGAACGGCATTGCACTCGAATGGACGAACAGACGCTCGAGAACGACGGCGACGCCCGAGACAAGCTGCGCACGACGGCAAGGAGGCAAAGCAGAGTCAGTACTGGGCTCCAAAGGCTCGGCGAGGTGCTCGGCGTCGTCGCGACGTCCTCCTCGAGAAGGAGGGTCAGAAAAAAAGGCAAATCGGTTTGTCCACTCGGCTGCCCGTCCTTGAGAAACCTCGAAAGGAGGGCAGCATTTCGGTACAGGTCTGAGATGTAGTTCATCACGTTGGAGACGTCGACGACGACGAGGCCGGGTGGGGCCGGTCGACGACGACGACGACGAGAGGGACGACGACGACGCGAGGGGGAGAGGAAGAGGAAGAGAGGAAGGCGGGGCTCACCGAGCGTAGCAGAGGCGCCGTAGCTGTTGCCGTCAACGGCGCCCTCGTCGGTGTCCTGCCCACCGAGTTGGTCGAGGTCCGAGCCACGCGGCGACGAACGAGGTCGCGCAGCTGTACGACGGGGTCTAGAAAGGTCAGTGACGCTGTTTCGATGTCGGCCTTGGGGTGCATCGCGCGGCGGTCACGTCCTCGGGAACGTCCTCGGAAAGGGAGGACGCGAGAGGGGCGAGTTGGGCAGGATCAGGGGGTTGAAGTAGTGTCCTCATGCGCAAAATTCAACGAATTTCGATTTGGAGACAATAAATATTGGCATCGTGTCCATGCCAGGGGTAGGAGGGAGGTAGAGAGGGCCGAGGGAAAGAGAGACGGACCTCGGGAGGCTAGGCGACCGGTGGACGCGCCGTCGGCGCAAAGTGCGCGCCGCCCTTGTTGCCGAGCATCGACTCGAACGTCGCCTTGACCGACGTGATCTTGGTGGCGCCAGGCGGGGGCGTGGCGGTCGGCGGCGGCGACGAGGACGAGTCCCGACGAGGTGCGGTCGGCGGCGACGAGACGGTGACGGCTGGCCGCAGGAGCGTTGGCGAGTCGGGGCCGCCTCGGGTGAAATTGCTGGACGAGGGAGGGATGGGTGCTGGGGCGAGGACGACGTGGGTCGAGGGTGCGCGAGGTTGGCGGCCCGAGTCCGAGTCGGCCATGACCTCGTCGTCGCCTTCTTGCCCGACGTCGTCGCCCTCGAGCTCGTCGTCGTCGCTGTCGCCGCCGCCTTGGACGCTCAAGAACCGGAGCGCCTTTGACAGCTCGTCGGCCCACCGCCCGTCGTCGCCGCCGCCGGCCTTCTTGAGCTCGTCAAAGTCGACCTCGTCGTCGGACGCGTCGCCGTCGTGGAACGTGCGGCGGTTGGGCGCGTCCTCCTCGATCTGCTCCCAGCCGACTGGCGGTGAGCCCGGGGGCGAGATGAGGAAGTTTTTTCCCGAGGCGGGCACCTCAAGGAGGGACGAGGCGGGAGGAGGGTGGCCGGCCGTGCGCGGGAGGTAGGCGAGGCGGTCGAGGGGGAAAGTGGGTCCGAAGTAGACGCGCAGTGGTTGCGGGCTACATGGCGGTGGAAAAAGTGGGCGGTCGAAGGTAAAGTTGTCGAGGCGGGAGTGAGGAGAAGGAGGGAGAGGAGGGGGCGGCCGAGGCGGAGGTGACGAGGAGGGGCAACGGCAGTCAGCGCACGCTCGCTCGCTCTGTCGCAGGCGAGAGAAGAAGAGAGAGGCCAACGCACTGCTCGACCGTACGCTCGTGCTCGTCCTCCCACACAAAGCCGTCCATCTCGCCCTTTGCCCGCGCCGCCTCGTCCTCGGTCGCGTACACGGCGACGACGCGCCCAAAGCTGACGAGCGGGGTCCACGCATGGAGGGTGCCGTACGCCGACGCAAAGTGGGCGTGCAAAAGGTGCAGCAGAGGGTCGAGGACGCGCGAGGGCGGGAGGCACAGGATGAGCGAGTTGGTCGGGGCCGGCGGTGGGCCTCGCGCTCGTCGCCGGCGCGTCGCCTGCGCCTGTGGTCGCGCGTCCGTGGTCGAGTGAAGCTGCGCCATGGCCCTGGGCGAGCGTGCACAGCGAGGCGAGGCGTGTGGTCGAAGCTGGACCCGCGTGACGAGCGATCGAGGACGAGAGCGAGAAGTGGCCCGACACCATCGCCTCGAACGCTTGGTTTGCTCAGCTACAGAGACGTGCGAGCCTCTCAGAGCGAGAATGACCCGACTGCAGCTGTACATTGAGAGAGACGAGGCGCTGCCGGCTCTCCACCTGCGAGACCGCGACGGTCCTCACTGAATCTGTGCGCCTCGTTCTCCTCCGCTCACTCGCACGAGAGCACCCAGTGCACGCTGCACCGCCACCAGTCTACCTCTCGGCCCACGATCCAGCCGACCAGCGCCGCCGCACACTCGCCCGGGCGAGCCCACAGTCCTCGTCGCCCTCGAGTCGAGATGGTCCCGGTTGCGGCGTCAGAGGACCTCGCAGGAGCCTCGGCCGCGCCTCGACTTGGACCAGTCGACCCGCAAGACGCCGACTGCAACGCCTGCGCGTCGGCCTGCCCCGCCTGCACCCCTCCACCAGAAGCCGCCTTCCCGTGCTGTCCGCTTCCAGCGTTCCCTTCCCCTCTGTCGTCGTTCGCCCAGTTCCCGCCCGTCGCGTCGACCTCGACCGCGCTCCTACCGCCCGACTGTGCCGCCTGCGCGCCCGCCTCGACTAAGTCGCACCTCGCATGGTGCTGCGACGACGCCGACTGCCTCGCCGACCCGGCCTCGTCGTCGTCTTCGTCCGGCGGCGACAGCGGCGCGCGTGCAGGCGCGCCGCCGACGAGCACAAGCACGAGTGCTGCGACGCCGCACGAGGGGTCGGGCTCGGACGACGGCGAGGGCGTCCCGTGGGACCAGATGATGCTCCTCGACAACTGCGCCGCGTGCGCGACCGGCCAAGCCCCGCCCTCGACCTCGACCTCGCACGCGCAGACAGCATCGAGCTTCGCGCTCGACCCGTGCTGCGGTCTCCCGAGCCTGCCGTCCTGGGCGACCACAGCCGCGTCGTGCGACGAGCCTGGGTGCGCGCCCGGCCTGCCGCCGCCGCCGCCCGACGACTGCCCGACATGCGTCGGCGGCGGCCTCGGCCTCATCACGAACGACGGGCAGGCGGTGCACGCGCAGCCGCAGCCGACGATGGCGCTGCACGGCGAGTTGCCCGGCGGCTCGAGCGCGGCGGGGACGAGCGGGACGGCGGCGGACCAGACGTCGGCTGCGCAGGCGGCGACGGCGGCGGCGGCGGCGGCGGCGGCGCAGATGGATGATGAAGGGCACGACGGTCTTGAGGGCCTGCTGCGCGGTCTCGACGAGAAGACGATCCAGGACATCGTGCGTCGAGCGGTTCTCTCCTTTCTCGTCGTCGCGCCGAGTTGACTTACCTTTCCTGGTCGACAGATCAACTGCTGCTGCTGCGACTCGAACCTGCACGACCAAGGCCCCGGCTTCGACCCGTCTGCGCACGCCGAGCACCATGGCCTGCCGCAGCACATCCACTGCGCCGACGCCCACCACCTCGACAGCGGGCACGGGCCCGCACCGCCGCCTGTCCCTTTCTCGACTCACTCGCACACGTCGCTCCACCTGCCGCCACCGCCACCAACGCTCCAGCAGCAGCAGCAGCATCCGCTCGACCCGTCCCTCCTCTTCCACTACGCGCACCTCCTGCCCCAGCTCTCGACCCACCTCGGCGCCCTTCCCTGCCCTCCTACGCCGTACCAGCACCCGCCGTCGACGTCCTACCCTCACGCCTCGCCGCACCCGACCTCTTCCGCCCCATATTTCTCGGCCCCGTCGACACCGGCGCCCACCGGGCTCGGCGGCGCGCCCGCGCTCGTGTGCGAGTGGCGCGACTGCCCCGCCGGCGGGAACCCGTTCGAGTCGCACGAGGCGCTCGTCGCGCACGTGCTCGCGTCGCACCTGCTCGCCCCGGCGCCCGTACCGGCGCCGCCGTCCGCGTCGTCGAGCGCGCAGGCGCAGCTCTTCGCCCTCGTCGCGAGCATGTACGGCGGCGCAGCGTCGAGCCGCCTGCCGCAGGCGCACGCTCATGGGCACCCGCACCCGCATGCGCACCCTCGAGCGCACGCGCACCCTCCCCGACACGCCCACGCCCACCACCACGGCCACTCGCACGCCCACGCGCACGTCCACCCGCACCACCACCCTTACGGCGCCGCACATGCCGCAGCTGTCGGCGCTGCGACGGGCAAGCGCACCCGCACGTCGACGCAGGCGAGCACGGCGAGCGCACGCACCCCTCCTCCTCCTCCCGCCGCCTTTCCTCCCTCGTCATCCGCCGCCTTTGCCCTCCATCCGGGCTCGAACGCCGCGACACCGCCCTCGCCTTCCTCGTCGTCGGCTGCACTCGCCGGCTTCGGCCTTGACCTGGACCTCGGCGCAGTCGCGGCGCCGGCGCCGCCGAGCGAGCTCCACGCGTGCAACTGGCGCGGGTGCGCCCTCAGCTTTGCGACGACGGGCGAGCTCATGGAGCACCTGAGCACGGCGCACGTCGGGAGCGGGCGCGCGCGGTACACGTGCGAGTGGGCCGGGTGCGAGAGGTCGACGGCGTGCGTGAGCGGCGAGGGCGACGGCGAGGGGCTCGGCGACGAGGAGTGGGAGAGGAGGCGGGACGCGAGGGAGGACAAGGGTGTGTTCAGGCAGCGGCAGAAGGTGATGCGGCACCTGCAGATGCACACCGGTGCGTCCTGTGCCCTTTCCTTTCTCTCGAGCCGTCGAGCCCGACGAGCGCCATCAGGGCTCGCGGCGGCCTCGTCGTCCGTGCCGATAAGGCCACTGACACTCTGCGTTATCGTCAACAGGTGATCGGCCATACGCGTGCGAGCTGTGCGGCAAGACGTTCTCCGAGTCGCTCACGCTCACCCAGGTGCGCTTCTCCTCTGTCTCCCTCCTCCTCGGCGCCGGCCTCGTCACGCCGCATCTCGTTGAGCCTGCAACTGACTCGCTCTCATGTCGTGCAGCACATGCGCGTCCATACGCAGGAGCGGCCCTTTGTCTGCGACGAGCCGGGCTGCGGCAAGGCGTTCGCGCTCGCGTCGGCGCTCACGATCCACAAGCGTGCGTCCCGCTCTCTCTTTCCTCTCCTGCGTATCTTCCGACGACCTCAGCACCGATCCTGACGATGCGCATCTCTCGTTCCTCCCGTCCCCTCGCCGCGTCGACGCCCGCAGGTACCCACACCGGCTCTCGCCCGTTCGCGTGCCCTCACCCGGGCTGCACCGCCTCGTTCTCCGAGTCGTCCAACCTGTCGAAGCACGTGCGCACGCACGGCTCGGAGCGCAGGTACGTGTGCGCCGAGCCTGGGTGCGGCAAGGCGTTTGGGAGGAGCGACCAGCTCAAGCGGCATGGGCGCGTGCACGAGCGGCGGACGAGGAGCGGGGCGGGAGGAGGGTCGAGGGGCGTCAGTGGGAGTGTCGGGTCGGACGAGGACGACGCGTAGATGGGCCGGGCGGGCGGTGGAACGACTTTTTTGAGATCTCTGACTGCGACGAGGAGAGAGACGCCGAGCGAGAGCGAATCTAGCCGAGCTGCAGCTCTCTAGGACGCCTCTCTGCGTGAAAGGGAGCCAAAAGAGAAGAACGAGAAGTGTTTACAACGTGGACTCGCGCGAGCTAGTGACGAGGCCGCGCTCGCCGACCCGAGCGCCGCTCCGCCTCGCCCTCGACGGCCGCCGCTCTGATTAATCCGCCCGCTCGCGCCTCGCTGCCGCTCCACCTTTTCTATACCTCCCGCACGTCCGTCCCTGCTCCTTGCTCCTGCTGGCCCCAAGCGCGTGGACGCTCGAGCCCCTTGGCCGCTCCTCCTCCTCCTCCCTCCTCGCGCACTTGCATCGCGCCGACGACGCACCTCGCCGCCGTGACCGAGCCACCTCGACGTCACTCGGCGTCACGCCCTCGCGCACGCTCGACGCAGGCGCTCAGGCCTTCTTCTGCCTCGTGGCAAAGCGCTCCTCCTGGTCGCTGCGCGCGAGGAGCTTTGCGGCCTTGACAAACTGGACGCCGTTGATGATCTGCTTGCCGGCGCAGATCGGGGCGCACACGATGGCGACGAGGTGGGGCCACGAGACGCGCAGGAGGGCCTTGAGGACGGGCTTCGGGAGGCGCACGAGGTAGGGCGAGAAGGACGACGGCAACGACGACAGGAGCGGGACCGAGTACGAGTTGAGGACGTAGAGGGCGACAAAGAAGAGCTCGTTGGCGGCGCAGAAGATGAACAGGGTTGTCTGTGAGCGCGAACGAGGGCCGGTCAGTCGTGGGGCGAGGAGAGCGAGGGGAGGCGAGAGGGGGACGGACAGAGTTGTTGTAGTAGGACCACAGGATCCAGCTCTGCTCCTTGGTCACCTTCTTGTGGCTCGTGCTGCCGCTCGCGACCGAGGCGTACATGTGGATGTAGTGCGACGAAAAGTCGAGCGAGATGAGGAACATGAAGATGAGGGCGAGGCGAGGGTACGCCGACGCGAGGAAGCACAGGAGGCACGACAGCATGCACCTGTGGGCGTCGATGAGTGTCAGCTACGGGTCGAGCGCTGGCACAACCTGCAGGCCGCGCTCGGGTGAAGGAGCGCGGGGTGCAGGAGACGGTGCAGCCGTCGCCGCCGAGAGGAAGTGAGCGGTCGGACGCACCGGTCGGTCACCATGTCCAAGATGGCGCCAAACTTGCTCGTCTGGCCGAGGGCGCGTGCGGCGACGCCGTCGACGGCGTCGAGGAGGGCCGAGACGCAGTAGGCAAAGGTGCAGAATTTGGGGTGCGTCGGCATGTAGGTGAGGGCGAGGGCGCCGAGGATGACGCGCGTGTAGCCTGCGGGGGGTCGGGGAAGTGGTCAGTCTGAAGGAACGGCGGTCGAGAGGGGCCGAGAGAGAGAGGGAGACGGACCGATGAGGTTGGGGACGAAGAGGAAGATGTTCTCGTCGGTGCGGCCCCGAGGGGCGGGCGACGGGCTGCGGGCGGCCATTGTCGAGGGCGGTGCTTCGAGTCGGGTGCCTGCAAGACGGGGAGCGCGTCAGTCGAGGGCTGAGGAGGACGAGGCCGAGTGCGGGCAAGGCGCCACGAGACGAGCCTGTGGCGCTACAGGCGTGCAGGCGAGGTCCACGGCGAGGTTGACGTGCAGGGTGACAGTCGGCAAGGTGGTGTAGGAGGGAGGGAGGGCGACTTACTCGGGGTCGGCGATGAGAGGTGGAGCCGGGCAGGTGAGGGTTGAGCTGCGACGAGGGAGTGAGTGAGCGTGGCGATGGCACGAGGGAGAGAGAGAGGGCGCACCAGTTCAAGAGACGCGCTGTCTGCGAGCGCAGGCGTGGACCCGGGAACGAAGCCGAGGAGGGGGAGGACGAGGCGAGGGGGAGATGGGAACGGCGACGGCGAGTGGTGGGCGACGACTGGCGGGTGTTCCGAGTCGAGTAAGGCTCACACGAGCTGGTGCACGCTACACTGGCGCACTCGGGGGCGGTGTGGACGAGGGAGACGCCCTCCTCCTCCTCCTCGCGACCTTGATCTCCAACCTCGCCGCCTCACTCGCCCGAGCTGCCTGTGACGCGCCGTGAGCACGCTCGCAATGGCTGCAGTCGACTCGCGAGCACCCGCAACCCTCGCCCCGACAGCTCCCTCCCTCGCCCCTCTCCCCTCCGCCTGGCTCCCCTCGCACCTCGACGAGCCGCCGCAACCCCCTCCAGCAGACACCCGCGAGGAGCAGCTCGCACAGCTCGCAGCCCAAGAGAAACTCGGTCACGACGGCAAGCGCCAACGCGTACGCGCTCGCCGCACCGTCGACCCCTACGGCGGCATCGAGCGCTGGAAGATCGTGCGTCCAGCTCTCTCCTCCTCGACCCGGTCCACGGTAGGTGACACACTGACACCGACCCACCCTGCAGTACAAGAGCGTCCGCTCGTCCCACAACCAGGAGCTCTTCATCCGCAACCAGCCCTCGTGCCTCGTCGACGTCCGTCCTCCCTCTCCCACCCTCTCGCAGGCTCGCATGCCGGGACAGCTACTGACGCTCGCCCACACCCACAGCTGCTACCGCCTGAAGCGTACCAGAACTTCTCGACCTCGTTCTGCTCTCGGTACGCCCATACGTCGACCAACAAGCTCCGCTGCCCGGTCAACGTCGTCACGGTCCGTCCCTCCTCTCGTCCTCTGGCCCGTGCCCTGTGCGCCGAGGTGAACGACGACTGACTCTCAACGTCCTGCAGTTTACGCCAGATGCGCGCCGCATCTTGACGGGCTCGACCTCGGGCGAGTTCACGCTCTGGAACGGGCTCACGTTCAACTTCGAGACGATCCTGCAGGTCCGTCCCCTCTTTCTCTCGCCCGAGCAGCTCGATCTCTCCGTACATCGCAGAGCGCATGAACTCACGCCCTCTTTCCCGCTCGCAGGCGCACGACTCGGCCGTGCGCGCCCTCTCGTGGTCGCACTCGGGCCAGTGGCTCCTGAGCGCCGACAACGCCGGCGTCATCAAATACTTCCAGCAGAACATGAACAACCTGCAGGTGTTCCAGGGCCACAACGAGGCGATCCGCGACGCGACGTGGGCGCCCAATGACGAGCGCTTCGCGACCGGCGCCGACGACGGCGTCATCAAGGTGTGGAACTTTGAGCGCATGAAGGAGGAGAGGGTCCTCACCGGTGCGTCTCGCCTCCCTCTCTCTCTCTTGATCTCTCTCGACGAGGCTCCTCGCGAGAGCGCGCGCTCACGGTCGTCGCCCTCCCACCCTCGACAGGTCACGGCTGGGACGTCAAGTGCGTCAAGTGGCACCCGACCAAGGGCCTGCTCGCGTCCGGGTCCAAGGACAACCTCACCAAGTTCTGGGACCCGAGGACGGGCAACGTCCTGTCGACCCTGTGCGTGTCTCGCTCCTCCTTTTCTCCCTCTTCCCTCCTCCTCCTCGGCCCACTTCCCCTCATGCCCTCGCCCTCACTCTACCTCCGCGCCACACCTCGTCTCTCTCACACGATCTGACACTCTCCCCTCGTCCTCGCCTGCGCCCGCACTCTCGCTCGCAGCCACGGCCACAAGAACACGATCCAGGCCCTCGCGTGGTCGCCCAACGGCCACATGGTCGCGACTGCCTCGCGCGACCAGCTCGTCAAGGTGTTCGACATTCGCGCCATGAAGGAGTTTGTCACGCTGCGCGGGCACAAGAAGGAGGTCTGCTGTGCGTCGGCCGCTCGCACCCCTTCTCTCCCTCGCCCTGCTCTCGTCCTTGGCGAGCGCGGGGAGGACAGAGTTTCTCTGCGTCCTACGGTACTGACGCTCTCTGTCGCACGCAGCCGTCGCCTGGCACCCCCATCACGACGACGTCCTCGTCTCGGGCGGGTCCGAGGGCTCGATCCTGCACTGGTCGCTCCCCGACGCGCACCCGAAGGAGACGCTCGAGTTTGCGCACGACTCGAACGTGTGGTCGCTCGCGTACCACCCTCTCGGGCACCTGCTCGTCAGCGCGAGCAACGACCACACGACGCGGTTCTGGAGCCGGGGCAGGCCGGGCACGAGGAGCAAGGGCGACCGGTTCCACTTGGGGCGCGAGAGGGCCATGGAGGTCGAGATGCAGATGGGCGGGCCGCCACTCGGGTCCAGGAACGACGGTGCGTCCCTCTCGCTCTCTCTTTCCCTCTCTCTCCCTCTCGCTCTCTCTCCTCGTACTGACTTGCGCTCGCCCCTCCTCCCTCCCACCCTCGACCATCCTCCTCCTCCTCCTTCTCGCCCGTCTTCGACCCTTGGCCTCGTCCCCATCGCCTCGCCCTATCGCTCGCAGACGACGACCGCCCTTCCCTGCCCGGCTTCCAGCACCAGCAGCGCAACGGCGGCAGCAGCGGCCCGAGCGGCTTTGCCGGCAGCGTGCCGGGCTTCACGAGCCGGCCGCCGCCGCCGCCGCCCGGGATGGGCATGGGCGGCCCGGGAGGAGGAGCAGGAGGAGCAGGAGGAGGGCCGATGCCGGGCATGGGCTCGGGCCGGCCGCCGTTGCCGCCGCCGGGCATGGGCATGGGCATGGGCGGCGGTGGACCGGGAGGACCGGGAGGAGGACCAGCAGGAGGAGCGATCCCGGGCTTTGGGCGCGGCCCGCCGATGCCGCCGATGGGGCAGGGTCCGCCGCCGGGCATGGGGCAGCGCGCGCCGCTCCCGCCGGGCTTTGGGCCGCCGAACGACTTTGGACGAGGCGGACCGGGCGGAGGAGGAGGGCCGCCGAGGGGTTACGGGAACGGTGGCGGCGGCGGTGGAGGAGGGTACGGCGGAGGAGGCGGCGGGAGGTACTGAGTCGTGCAAGGGCCTGTGCGACGACGCTCTCCTCTCCTCGACTGTCGAGAGACCATGCTCTGCGCAGACCGTCAAAGAGAGAGATGGTAGAACTTCTCGCAATGCAGCATGTCTCGCTCGAGTTGAGAAAGTCGCTCAGGCGATGAGGACCGGCGCGCCCTCCTCGTCGACCCAGACGAGCCTCCTGCCTCTCAGGAACCTGTCGTCGTCGTCGTCTTCCTCGTCGCTGTCGTCCTCGGCCGTGCCCTCTTGCGGCCCAGCATCGTCCTCCTCCCCTCCCTCGCCCGCTCGGACCCCTCCCTCGCTCCTCGCCGCCGCCGTCCTCCGCCGCGCGGCGCGCACGAGCGCGCTCACGCTCACCTGCGCGAGCAAGCCCCGGAGCGCGAGCGCGAGGTGCGCCGGGCACGCGATGCGCAGCAGGGCCGGCCAGGCGCTCGGGCCCCCGTCTGCTGCTCCTGCTCCTCCTCGGCCGGCTCGCGCTCGTCCCGCCGCTCCCTCTCCTCGCCCGCCGCCGCCTCGTCCCCCTCCATCTCCCGGTCCCTCAACCTCGTCAGGCGGCCACCACGCGTCGCACCTGACGACGCCCCACGCGCCGCCCGCCGCGCCGAGCTGCGCGACACAGTCCCACACGGCGCGCACGCGCGCGTCGGTCCACTCGAGGCGGCGGTGCCCGTGAGCGTCACGGCTGCTCGTAGTACTCGTCGCGCTCGTGGACGAGGTCGACGACGAGCGGCGTCGGCGATGAGGTGGGCGGGCGAAAAAGGCGGGGACGGCGGGTGCCGTCGTCGCGGCGGCGTTGGCGGCGGACGAGGACGATGTGGACGAGGGAGAGGACGAGGCGACGAAGCTCGGGAGCGGGCCCGAGAGCGGGAGGAGCCATGCGCCGCGCCGGCCGGGCGCGAGGGCGGCAAGCGTCGCGGGCGAGTCGAGCGGGAGGGACGAGGTCGAGTGTGCGCCTCCATGCGTCTGGGTCTGGGTCTGCGACGTCAAGGTCGAGGCTGAGGTGGTGGCGGTGCGCGAGAGGGGTACGGCGATGGGCGCAGACGTCCACAGCGGGTCGACGAACGAGTGGAGGACGCGTGCGGGGTGCTGCCGCGCCGGGTTGGGCGCCTCGCCTGGGCGTGGTGGACGTGCGGGTTGCGCGTAGGGCTGCGCGATGAAGTCCAAGAAGTATCAGTCTGCTGCGCACGAGAGAGCGCAGAAGGGCGAAGGGAGGAACCGTCGACGCACGTAGGGGATGCAGCGCTGGATCGCCTCTCGAGCGAGGTCCGGGCGCTCTGGCTCCTCCTCCTCCCGCTCCTCCTTTTCCTCGCGCTCGGCCGGCTCGACGAAGACGGGCCGCATCGGCGGCGTCGGCGGCACGAGCTCCCTCGCCCTGCTCGAGCCCGCGCTCGGACCCGCATCGCCGCCCGCACTGCCCGCCCCGCCCAAGCCGAAGCTCGCCCGCCTCGCAGCCGCCTTGGCCTCGCTGCTCCTCGGGCTCTCGACGCGGACACGCTTGCGCTCGCGACCCGGTGCCGCCCCTCCTCCAGGTGCGGTCGACGGGGCGTCGCTCCATGCGCCGGCGACGCGAGGGTGCTTCTTGAGGATGCCCTGCGTCGGTGCGGGTTGAGGCGAGGAGGCGCGGCGCTTGTTGGACCGGGCGGGTGCTGGCGCTGGCGGAGGAGGAGGAGGCGAGGACGAGGGCGAGCCGGTCCAGTGCGAGAAGGCGGGGAGCTGGCGCGGCGAGATCGGCGTCGTGGCGGGCCGAGGGTGGGCCGAGCGGAGGATACGAGGCGCAGCTTCTGGAGGTGGGGCGGACGAGTACGACTTGGTGCCGGCTGTTGCGGGGAGGGAGGTGAGCGAGTTGGCGGCCAGGACGGGGAGGAGGAAGGGAGGGAAAGCAAGGACGGACCGAGGGGTTCGAGGGGCGGGTCGAGCCTGCACGCTGGTGCCGAGTGCGCGGTGGCAGGCGAGTCCCACAGCGAGCGCACAAGGCGCTGAGCGCGGTGGGTTCGCTGAGCGATGAGGGCCGGGTCGAGGTGGAGCGAGGGCGGCACCGGGTGGAAGGTGTGCACGGTGAGGGTGCAGTGGTCGGTCATGGTGGTGGCTCAGCTCGTCAGGGCGCCGTCTGCTGCCATGGCTCGTGAGAGCCGTAATCACCTCGGCCGCGAGGCGATGAGGATGGCGAACAGCTCCCTCTCTCTCTCTACCGCTAGCCAAGCACTACCAGCTAGAGCATCATGTCGTCCACCGGTCCCGACAACGCCAACCCGACCATCCACGCCGCGTCCCACGCCCCGACTCGCCGCACTCGCCTCGCCGACCTCGACCTCCAAGACGACCTCGACCAGTGGCACCTCCTCCAGCAGCAGCTCGAACACGGTCACCACCTCTCGGGCGACACCGACACCGACCTCGCAGCCGTCAACGACCTCGAGGACTTGATCGACCAGGACGAGATCTTTGGTCCGTCGTCCCCCCCTCTTTCTGGTGGCGCTCCCTCTCGTGGCCCACACTGACCCACAAGCTACCCACGACGACGCAGACCTCATCCGCTCCATCTCGGACCCAGAGCACCCGCTCACGCTCGAGCAGCTCGCCGTCGTCTCGGCCCCCCAGATCACGGTCCGCAACGGCACCCGCCCCTCGGTCCTCGTCGAGTTTACGCCCACCATCCCGCACTGCTCCATGGCCACCCTCATCGGTGAGTCGAGCCTGTCCACGCCTTGTTCGGACCTGAGCCTTCTCGAGCGAGCGAGAGGACGGCGAGCTGACATTGTCGACGGGCCCGACAGGCCTCTCGCTGCGCGTGCGCCTCCTCCGCAGCTTGCCCGAGCGCTTCAAGGTCGACATCAAGGTCAAGGAGGGCACCCATCAGAGCGAGAACGCCGGTGCGTCACGGCCTGCGCTTCCCTCTCGCTCTCCTCGTCGCCTCGAGCGCCGCACTGACCCTCGTCTCTTCGTCGACGCTCGCAGTCAACAAGCAGCTCAACGACAAGGAGCGCGTTGCAGGTACGTCCATGCTCACTCTCTCTGCTTCTCCTCGGCTTGAAGAGCGCGTGCTCAACCGCCTTCTCTCGCTCGCCCGCAGCCGCGCTCGAGAACAACCACCTTCTGTCGGTCGTGCAGCAGTGCCTCTCGACGGCCGACCAGCGTGTTACGGCGTGAGGATGGGCTCCCTTCTTTCCCCTGGACAGCCTCCCTCGTCCACCTCGCACTCTGTCTCTCCCTCCCTCGCACCCTGTAACGCTGCCGTACTTGTTGTCGCCGTCACACTCGCTCTTTCTCGTTCGAGGGCTTGCGTCACACTCGCTCGCGGTACAGAGACGTAGAGGAGAGAGAAGGAGAAAAGAGAGTGCACCACCGAGGCCGTCTACAGCTGCCCACTTCGCACCCGCACCTGCACACCTCGTCCTCGCTCGCTCGCTCGCACACGCTCGCCCACCATCGAGAGACCCTCACACCTCGTGCGGCTTGACGCCGGCCCTCCTGCACTCCCACCTCCAGCGCCACCGCCTCGCCTCGGCGCGCACGGCGGGCCACAGGAGCGCGCCCTGCATGCGCCACAGCTGCGTGTTGTACCGCGCATAGTCGGCGCGCGTGTGCTCGAGGTACGCGGCGTAAAAGGACGCGAGCGCGACGTCGGACGCGCCGCCGGCGACGGGCGACAGGGCGGCGCTCGGGCCGGGCGGGTACGCCTCTGCCGCGCCGGGCTCGCCTGCTGCGCCAACCTCGTGCGACGAGGCGTGCTGTTGCTGCTGTTGCTGCCGGCTGAGGAAGGCGTCGCGCTGGCGGAGAAACTCGGCGTTGTGGCGGGCCCAAAAAGCCTGGTTGAAGGCGTCGAGGCGGTACCGCGCGAGGCGCCACGCGAGGTCGGCCGTCGCGAGCTCGTGTTGGACGTCGCGCAGGCGCGCGAGCTTCTTGGCGCGCGCGGACGAGGTCGACGAGGACGACGAGGAAGGGGACGCGGTCGGGAACTCGGAGAGCGAGTACGGGTGGGCGGCGCGTGACGAGGACGGGGTCGACGAGGACGAGGGCGAGGCGACGGCGTGGAGCGAGGGGAACAAGGGGGCGTAGTAGACCGGGCGCAGGTTGGACAGCGGGCACGGCGGGCCGATGAGGTCGCGCGAGGGCGGGACGAGGGTTGTTGCCGAGGAGGACGAGGCCGAGGGGCGGACGCGGCGCCTGGGCGTTGTGCGGGCAGCTGTGGCGCCTGCTGCTGCTGTTGCGGACTGGGTCGATGATGCGACGGCCTGGGCGAGGGGACGTGCGGGGTTCATGGCGGCGAGGGTTGCTGGGAGGAGGAAGGCGAGGATCAGTGGGCGAGTTCTGGGTACGAGCCGCCGTGGCCGGCTCGGGAGGAGAGCAGGTGGGCGAGAGATGGTCGACGCACCCGTGCTTGAGGGTCTGGTGTGGTGAGGGCGACGTGGGTCGAGTTGAGAGATGGGGCGAGCAGAGATGAAGACGAGGGCGAGGTCGGGCGGGTGAGGGAACGAGGGGCCCGAGGTGCGGGAGGGCTGTGGTGGCGAAGAGCAGGCTGCTGAGCGAGTCTGTGGTGCGCTGCACTCGACTTTGAGCGAGGATGAGTCGGTCGACGAGCTCCTGTCGCCCAAGGTCAGGCTCTCTCTCGTCCACCGGCTCACACTGGAGCAACGAGCTGCTCAGTACCACCATCCTGCTTGCTCGTACACCCACACCCAGCTACCGACCCGCCCTGCGCAGCCCGAGCCTCGCCTCGCTCGTCCTCTGAGCTGCTCCCCACCTCGCGCCATCCTCCGGCCCGTCCGGCTTCTCTCTCCCACTGGCGCTCGCCTCGTTCAGCCTCGCAAGGGCTCCCACCAGCCTCACTAGGCTCCCGTCCACCTCGGCCACCCGCTTCAACCGCACCATGGCCTCGGCTCCACCACCGCTCCCCGACCTCGACCCGCTCGACAAGGTGCGCCCTCTCTCTCCGCCCAGTCTACCTTCTCAAGCCCACACTGACCTTCTCTACGATCGCACGACAGTTGTCGCCCTACCTCACCCGCATCCTCGGCCAGGTCAGTCGGCGCGACACCTTCTCGGCCAACGAGGCGCTCGTTCCTCGTTAGCGAGCCCGCCCGCTGACCTACCTTTTCGTGGATCGGCGACAGAATCCGGGCAAGTTCACTCTCCAGGGCACCAACTCGTACCTCGTCCACGTGCGTCCTCCTCTCTCCCTCGAACCCACTCAGCCTCGCCCTCGACTCAACCCTGTCTTGCCCTCGCACAGCACCCACGCTCGCCCTCGCTCCTCCTCGTCGACACGACCGGCCCCTCGTCCTCGTCCCCTCTCGCCCCCTCGGCCCTCACCACCTACACGGCGCACCTCGCCTCGGCCCTCGCGCAGCACCCGACCCAGCCCGCCCGCGTGACCGACGTCGTCCTCACCCACTGGCACGGCGACCACGTGCGCGCCCTCGCCCACACGCTCGAGGCCCTCGCACGCGCACGCGAGGGCGGCGCACCGCCGAGGGTGTGGAAGGTGCCCTGCGCGGCGGCGGGCGACGACGCCAAGGGCGTGTGGGCGTCCGAGCGCGGCAAGGACGCCGAGATTGAGCAAGAGCTCGAGCGCGCCGTGCGCGAGGGGTGGGTCGAGCCGGCGCAGGGTGTGGCGCGCGAGGGCGAGGACGAGGGCGACGGCACGGGCGTCAGAGATGGAGCGACGAGGGCGGTCAGGCCGCTCGTCGACGGGCAGCGGTTCGCGCTCGGCGGGGCAGAGCGCTCGGGCAGCACGGGCGCCGACGACGGCGACGACGGGCCCGTTCAGCTCGAGGTCGTGCACACGCCGGGCCACACGAGCGACTCGGTGTGCCTCGTCCTGCGGCGCTCGGACCCCTCCTCCTCGACCGCCGCCTCTCGCGCCTCGGCACCACCGCCGCTCGCGCTCCTCACGGCCGACACGATCCTCGGGCACGGCTCGTCCGTGTTCGGGTCCCTGTCGGCCTACATGTCGTCCCTCGCCGCCATCTCGGCGCTCCTTCCCTCTCCCTCCCCCTCTTCCTCCTCCTCTCCCGGCGCCGACGAGCCCAGCTCGGCCCACAAGGTCCCGCTCTATCCCGGTCACGGCGCACCGTGCGACGACGCGGCGAGCAAGGTGGCCGAGTACCGGCACCACCGCGAGGAGCGCGAGAAGCAGGTCGTCGACGCGCTCAGGGAGAGGGCCAAGGAGGACGACGAGGCGATCTCGGCGGGAGAGTGCGTCCCCTCTTCTCTCTCTCTCCTCTATTCTCTCTTCGAGTCCCTCTCGGCTTTGCTCGAGGACGGGAGACCTCGTCCGACCGTCACCGAGCGCGCACTGACCCTCCTTTCCTTTTCTTTCCCCTCTCCTCCTCCTCTCGTTCCGCCTTCCCCTTCTTCCTTCTTCCTCCTTCTTCCTCCGATATCGTCACCCTCCCCTGCCCTCCTCCCACCCCGACCGCGCTCGTCCCCCTTCTCAGCCTCACCTCGCTCATCTACCCTCCCTCGCTCCCGCCCGCGCTCCGCCCAGCAGCGACCCACTCGCTCCTGCAGCACCTCGGCAAGCTGCACGAAGAAGGGCGCGTCGAGCGCGTGCCTGTTGCCGGCCGCGACGAGGTCGGCGAGGGCGAGGGCGAGGGAGGGCCGGCGAGGAAGGCGCCCGTGGGATGGTTTGACGGGTGGCGCTCGGCTGGCGAGCGAGGCGAGGAGGCGAGGGTGGGCCGGGCAGACGAGGGGTCGGGTGCAGGTCAGGGCGGCGAGGAGGCGGCCGGAAGGTTGTAGCTGGCGCCCGACGAGCGTCCCCCGAGTCCGTGCCTGGCAACGAGACCGCTCGGTCCTCTTCCTTTTCGAGCCTCTCGTTCTCGTTCGACTTGCGAGCCGGCTCACTCTCTCGATCTCTGCTTAAGAAGACCACGAAAGGGCACACAGGTCATCGTTGCCACGGCAAGTCGTCGCGAGGACAGAAAGGGGAGCTACTCTGAGCGTGCGGGGAGGGAGGGGGAGAAGCGAGGCGAGGGTAGTAGGGAGGAGAGGGAGGGCGAGCTGCATGATACAGAGGGCGAGGAAGAGAGGAGGGGGAGCGCGCGAATACGAGGGGGACTGATGCACGGGACGAGGAGGAGGGAGAGAGACGAAGGGCGACTGGCGGTGGACGAGACCAACTCAAGAGGGGGCACTGCAGAAAGAGGAGGTGACACAGAGACAGGGAGGGTAAAGAACAAAAGGCAGACGGAGGATATATGGGCAAGAAGGAGAAAGGACGAGAGGGAGGGGGAGGTGGTGTGACGAGCTTGACGCGCTCACGAGACGAGCGCAGGCGCCGGCCCGGCACTCGGCTCCACGCCGGCGAGTGGCGACAGCCTCTGCGGCGTCGACGAGTTCGAGTCGATGACCGAGCCCGTCTGCGACGTGGGCGACCCACCGCCGCCGCCGAGGACGGGCGAGTGCGGGGTCGTCGACGACGACGACGACGTCGACGAGTGGAGCGGCGACGCGGCGCTAAAGTTGAAGAAACCGGCCTGCGACGCTGGCGACGTGAAGCCGTTGCCGTTGCCGCCGTGCGCGCCCGTCGCGCCGCTGACGGGCGCCGACGCCGAGTTGCCGCCGCCGGCCGCGCCGAGGTGGAACCGGTAGCGGTCGAGGAAGTTGCTGAACTCGAGCGCGTTGCTCGGGCGCGTCATCGAGGCGCCCTTGGTCCCGGCGACGCCCGTCGACGCCGTCGCGACGGCCGAGCCGGGCGGGAAGCTCGGGCTGTCGGGCCCGACGCTCGTCGCGTCGCTCTCGGGGCTGCTCAGGACGCTGCTCGCGTTCGACGACTCGCTGTCGCCGCGGCGGCCGTGCCCGTGGCGGACCGTCGAGAAAGACGTGAGCGACGACGAGCTCGAGATGGTCGAGCTCGTCGAGTCGGTCGCCGGGCTCCACGGGTGCGCCACCTCGTCGCAGTCGCTCGTCTCGGCGCTCGTGCTGCGCTCGGACGGCGGCGGGCTGCGCAGCTTGCGGCCGACGGCGCCGTTGCCGACGCCGTTGCCGACCTGGGGCAGCGGCGACGACGAGCGGGGCGGCGAGCCTGCCGGCGATTGGCCCGACGGCGGCGACGGCGCCGGCGACGAGAAGGGCGAGTTGCGCCCGCGACCCTCGCGGAAGGCGGGCGGGACGAGGGGCGAGAACGACGCCGCGCGAGGCGACGTGACGCTCAGGCCGTGCGCCGACGGCGACGTCGCGCCGTACTGGCCCGGGTGCGAGCTGTAGCGCGTGTGCGCCGACGTGAAGTTGCCGTAGGTCGTCGAGTCCTGGAGCGGGAGGTACGGCAGGCCGCCGACGTTGCCGCCGGGAGGAGCAGGCGCCGCCGTGGGCCCGCCGCCGTAGAAGTAGCCGGCGGGCGGTTGCAGCGGGCTGTGCGGGCGAGGCGGTGCCGAGGGAAGGGTCGGCGAGAAGTAGGCCTTGCTCTTGAGGGCGCTCGTGCTCGACGCGCCAAAGTCGGGAGGAAGGGCGGCCCGAGGGTCCTCGAGGGGCGAGCCGGGCACGCGGTGCGAGTTGATCGGCGCCGACAGCGACGGGTCGAACACGGTGCCCGGCTGACCGCCGACGAGCTGCATGTGCGGCTGCTGAGAGGGCGAGAAGTTGGGCAGAGGGGGAGCGCGAGAGCGCTGCGGCGAGGTCGAGACCGGGTCGAAGAACGGCTTGGCGGTCGCCTGCGGCAGAGAGGCGGGATAAACAGTCAGTGCCCGTCGAGACAGAGACAAGGAACAGAGAGAGAGAAAGGAGAGACGCACAGGGTCCTTAGAGGCTATTTAAGTTGCTGATTTATATTAATTTTATTGTTCAAACATGAGAGCTTAGTACGTGAAACATGAGAGCTTAGTACGCGCCCGCCTGCGCCGCCGCACCGCCCGGCGTGAACATCTTGAGCGAGTTGCCGAAGTCGTAGCGCCCGCTCAGGCTTGCCGCCGGCCCCTCGCCGCGACCGCTGACGTGCGTTTCCGAGTAGCTCCTCGACTCGGGCCCGAACCCGAGGCGGAGCGTCCTGCCCGCCGGGAGGCCGAGCGTGTTGTGCGTCGCGCTCGAGAAGGACGACGACGCCGTCGACGCCGAGTGCGAGTCGCCCGTCGCGCCGCCGGCCGTCTCGTCGTCGTCGAACGCGTCGTCGCGCACGAGGCGGTCGAGCTCGCGCCGCAGGTCGGCCATGCGGTCGGCGGCCTGGCCCGCGTTGGTGACGCTCCACGCCGTCTTGCGCTGCGCCGCCGCCGCCGCCGCCGCTCCCGCCCGAGCTGCTGCCGCCGCCGTCGGCGCGAGCGGGACGCGCTTGAACTCGACGCGGTAGTTCTGGCCGTCGTTGTTGTCCCACGTCTCGCGCCCGCCGGCCGTGTAGCGGATGGCGAGGTACATGACCTTGTGGTCGATGTTGGCGAGGAGGTCCTGGAGGCGGATCGTGAAGACGAACCGGTCGGCCTGGCCGCCGGGCAACGACTCGTGGTGCTCGCCCGACACCTCGCTGACCGTCTGCCACGTGTCGAGCGTGAACCGGACGGCGACCCACTTCTCGAACGCGAGGTTGCGAACGCGCACGATGCCGCGGATCGCCTTGCCGTCGGGCGTCAAGGTGAGCGACTCGACGTAGGCGTCGCGGTCGGTGCGCGAGTGGGTCGGGAAGTTGGGCAGGACGAGCTTGAGGGTGCCGGCTTGAGCGCGCGCCATGGCCGGGAACGGGAACGACTCGGGCTCGTCCTCGGTCTCGGTCTCGATCGGGCTGCCCGTCCTCGACACGGCCGCCGGACGCTGCTGCGCGAGGAAGTGCTTGACGTGCTCGAGCTGCGTGTCGAAGTGGACGTATTTTGGGCACAGCGGCGTCGCCGGCGCCGAGCGCGGCTTGGAGAAGTCCCGCCTCGACGTGTCGGCCTTGAGCGACGGGCGCACGAGCTCGCCGCTCTTCTTGCGGACCATGAGCGCCGGCTTGGCGACCATCATGTCGTCGGTGAGCGTCGGCGACGGCAGGGACGACGACGAGGCCGAGGCGGACGCCGAGTGGCCGAACGGGAACGCGTTGTCGAACACGCCGCTGCGAGGCGCCGTCGCTCGCGGCGTCTCCTGCCCTGCGGCGGTCGGCGTCGTCGCGCCGGGCGAGCCCGACCGCGGCGAGCCTGCGCGCGCGTTGTCCGACGACTCGTCCTGCGACGATGGCCCCGCCATGCTCGCCGGCCGGTCGGCCGCCGCGCTCGCGGCCGGCGTGAGGGCCGTGAGGCGCATGCGGCGCTGCTGCCGCGGGAGCGTGTTGAACGTCGGCCCGCCGGGCGAGGTCGAGCCGTCGCTGCGGCCGTTGGGCGCCGAGGCCGGCGCCGAGCTCATCCACGAGTGAGCGCGCCGGCCGGCGCCCTTGTCGTCAGGGGTCGCCGGCTGGACGAAGATGTAGTTGCTCGTGCTCGCGATCGGGTCGGACGAGTGCGAGCGGTGGTGATGCCGTGCGGGCCGCTTGAGCTCGGCGCGAGGAGCGGCGGCGGCGGCCACGGCGGGGGAGGGGGTGTGGTGGAAGTGGTGCGGCGCGTGGGCGAAAGACATGGTCGCGACTGGCGACGACGACGACGACGGTGGGCCGACGTAGGGCATGTCGAGAAAGACGCAGGAAGCCTGCGAGCGAGAGGGACAGGATGCGCAGCACCTCGTCAGGCTCGCGTGCGCGCACGAGGAGAGAGGGAGAGGCAGGACGCACCTGGCTCGAGTAGACGCTGACCGTGACTGACGCTAGACCTGGTACAGGGCGAGCTGCGAGATCGTGCTGATAGTCGGCGTGCGGAGTGGGCGGTGCTGAGTCTGCATGCACGCAGGCGGCGGACAAGGGGGAGAGGGCAAAGGCGAGGTCAGCTCTCGCGGGCTCGAGGCGAGGGTACAAGTGCTGGCGACGAGGCGGCAAAAGCGTTGCCGAGGCAGCTGCGCGCCTGACCGAGGCGGCCTCGCGGCGGATAGCTGGGCCGCCAACGCCGAGTCGCCAGAGGCCATCGAGCTCGAACGGCGACGACGACCCGCTCGCGCTCGCTAGCGCTCCTCGTAGGCGTGTCGACCGCACACGAGAAAGTCGCCCCACGCGATCGCGCACGCGGGCCGAGGAGAGGGGAGCGAGGGACGCACCGAAGTTGGGCTCGGCCGCCGAGCTGGACGAGGTGCACTCGGGACAGGCGAGCGCGCAGGAGCTGGCGCGGGTGGCTGTGGCGACGCAGGTGATGGGTGCAGGGCGAGTGGTGGCGCGGGCGGTGCGGGGCGACGCAAAGGGTCAGCTCTGGCACGGCGGGAGGCAAGGGCTTGGGGGCGAGCGAGAGGCGAAGGGAGGGGGAGCGCGACGGCGATGGCCCACACCGAGGCGATACGAGGACGGGGGCGCACCTGCGTTTGCTGCACTGGGCGTGCTTTTAGTGGCTGCTGTCGTGCAGGCGGCCGGCGTCTGAAAACGCAGACGGCGAGGGCGGAGCGAAGAAGGGGGGGGAAACTGGAGGTTGACGGCGACACCGCGATCGAGCCGGGGCAGAGGAGCTCCTCGCTGTCGACTGTGGGCGTCCTCGGTGGGGGCCTTCAACGCGCACGTACAGCACTTCTGTACCGCGGCACTCGCGCAAGCTGTGTGGACGTCGACGGTGGCGGCGAGGAGCGCTGCGAGGAGGTCGGTGCGCGGCGTGCGGAAGGTCAGTCTCGTCCGGCGGCCCGCGGCGTCGCTCTGCTTTCTCCTGCTCGACGTTGAGGAGCTCACGAGCTGGTTCTGGCGCGTCGAGAGAGCTTGTCACCAACGTCTCGCGACCTCACGGCTCGACGAGCTCAGCTTTCCCTTGAACCCCTCCTCCACGCCCAACCGTAGCCCCGTCGATTCCCCGCGCCGGGAGGCAATTAGTTACCTCTCGAGCCTGGAGACGGCCGAGTCTCCCGCGAGCGGGATCACCAGCCCCCACCGCACCCTCGTCGTCGCTCCCGTACGCTGTCGCACGGCGCGACCTTCGCAACTCGAGCCGCTTGCTCTCGCTCGCGAGCGCGCGGCCACCTGCGATATCATCTCGCTTGCTCTCGCTGTCGAGCTCTGACTCTGCTTTGCGATCGAGCACGCGCGCGCCCGTTTCGCCAAGTTCGCCAGCTCGTCGCCCTTGCGACGGCTCGTGCCTCGCGCGCGGGCCGCACTGAGGGCGATCTGCGACGACGGCTTCCGGCCCACGGTTCCGCGCCGGCGCCCACCCGACGCCAAGCTGATGGAGCCCGCGATGCCGCAGCTGCCGCCTGGCCCGCTCCTTCTGGCCTCGGCTCGACGCTGCCAAAGTCGAAAGTGGAGCTCTCGCGAGAGGTTGCGCTTTGGCCTCGACTTTCGCATCCCGCGAGAGCGCACCGATCTGCGCAAGACGAAGGGTCCGTGCAGACACCGCCTCGTCCTTGTTACGAGCTCACTTTGCAAATTGACTTTGTCCGGCCCGTCGGCCGCGAGGAAGGGAGGCGCAACCGGGGCGAGACACGCACGAGAAGTGCGCGCGAAGCTCTGTGACGAGAGCTGCCGTTTCATCGATTGTCGCGCGAGGTGCAGCTCGCAAGGATTCCTCTCGCGCTTCGAGCAAACTCGGCCGGCCACCGGGGAGAGCGCGGAGAGCAAGCTGGACTTGCTGCGGACCCCGCCGGCTGCGCAGGAAGGTGTTACGAAACGGGCTGGCGAGCGATCAGATCTGTGCCTTTCGATCCGACGTCGACCGCTTGGTCCGCTCACGGACAGTTGGCGGACTCGGCGGGCTGGCGGCGGGAACGGGCGAAGCGTGCACGGGCCACCACATTCCCGCAGAAAAACGCAGGTCTGCGGGTCATGGTGGGCTCGACAAGCCCTCTACGAGAGTCGCGGAACTCGAACGCGCCCGTGTCCTGCTCTGTCCTCGCCGTGCGCCGCTGGCGATGAGCCGGAGGCGGACTTCGGTCGTCGACCGGGTTGACCTTCTCAAGTTGGGCCGCCCGCTCGGCACCCTCTTTCGCTCACCACGCCTCTCTTTACCCCTCCTCGCGGTCTTCCTCTTTGAGTGTGCGCTCCCGGTGACAAGTCGAGGAAGCCGCAGCGCTGTTGAGAGGCCCATTCGACTCGCGATTTCGAACCAGACTGGCGTGGCCGCCAACTACGTTCGCCCGCCTCACGCACGCCGCCGACTCTTGACCGGTGCCGCAGGGTGCTCACTGGCTATTCCGACGTGTGGAGAACAGCGTGAGAGGGTCGTGACTTGCAGTGAGGCGGGAAGAGGCGCTGGAAGGTAACGTGGCGTCGCGTCGCTTTTGCGCCTGCTTCGGACTCCTGAGAGCGTCCCAGACCCTGATTCCCAGACGCTCGGCTGGACTGATGTGTATACGTCGCTTTGAGCAGCGACTCGAGCGGCGGGCGCAACATGAGGCCCTGCAGACGAGCTCCGACTCATCTCTCCGCGCTCTCGCACTTCGCGCCGGGTGCGAGGTCTCGCTTGGCCCGATTTTGCCGGCATACCTTCTCGGGTGACTTACGTGCTCTCGCTGATACTCAGCGCATGTGAACAAGAGGCGCAGCGGCCCGCTCGCGCGACGATTTCGAACTGGACCAGGAGCAGCGCCAACTACGTTCGCCCGCCTCACGCACGCTACCGCCTTCTGGCCGGTGCTGCGGCGCTCGCGAAGCCGAGCTCGGAGTCTTGCGAGGATATCAAGGCGCTGCGGCGGTCGGAATGGGCACATTCAGCAGCATCCACCTTGAGCCGCGCCTCGACTCACTCTTGACGGCGGCCACGAGCTTCGCGTATGCTTCTGTTCGTCCCGTCAGCCCGGGGACCAGTCGAAGGAGGCCCTCTCGTCTGCCTGCACAAGCGATCGCGCCATGAGGAGGCGAACGGGCGGTGAGCTGGTCGACCTTCTCAACTCGGACTGCCGGCTCGCCCAGATCTGCCCCGACGACAGGCTTGTGCGATGCGCGCAGGACGGTCCGGAATGGCGGCTACGAGTCGTGGGCCGGCAAAAAGAAAGGCCCAATCCCGGAATTGAACCGAGGACCACCTCAATGCTTGACTCGTAAACGAGCTGGCTCTCGCCCGAATGAGGTATCATGCGACTAGACCAATTAGGCTGATCTATAGGCTACGGGCAGTAAGCGCAATTTCAATCGTACGGTCCGGATCACTGTACTCTACTTGCAACGACTTTCGCAGATTCGATTAGTCCAAAACGCAAGTTAACTTGACGCCCCTCTCTCACGCCTGCAGTTGCCTACCTTAGGGGCACCAGCACCTCTCAACAGCAATCTCGAATGGCATTCGGTCTGCTGGGGCGAGCGGCGAGACAGGCCAAGCCGAAGCGAGTAAAGACCAGCTCGAGGAGCAAGTCGATGAGGAGAAGGAGCGTTGTAGCGTTGAGCACGCGTGCAGTGCGTGTCCGCGCTCTCGCTCACGCCGAGACAGCACTCGAAGAGACACGAAGGCGGCGTCGAGGAGGCGAGAAAGAGCTGCCACGAGCCGAATAGCGTCGAAGCCGCGTTTGAGAAGGTCGACCTCATCTCAGCGAAAGCGACGCCGGTGTCGACGCGATGCCCTCAACGCGCAGCAATCGCTCTCACAACGCGATAGAGAGAACGAGAATCGCAATGCAGGGACGAGGGGGATCTAGAGGACGACCGACTAGAGCAAAACGTTGCTCGACGAGGGGCCCGAGCGGCGCTCTGGGTGGTAGACGGACTTGGCGAGCGAGTGTTGCGCGGCGAGCTCGGTGCGCTGTGTGCGTCAGGCGAGTCAGGCCCGCTCATGGGAGGCGAGAAGTGTCGGCGGGAAAGGTGAGGGTCCGAGTAAAACTTAAAACCTTAGAGGCTATTTAAGTTGCTGATTTATATTAATTTTATTGTTCAAACATGAGAGCTTAGTACGTGAAACATGAGAGCTTAGTACGTTAGCCATGAGAGCTTAGTACGTTAGCCATGAGGGTTTAGTTCGTTAAACATGAGAGCTTAGTACGTTAAACATGAGAGCTTAGTACGTGAAACATGAGAGCTTAGTACGTACTATCAACAGGTTGAATGCTCTCCTACGCCGCGGCGCTGCGGGCGTGGTGCGCCGTGAGGCGAGGGAGGATCGCGTCGATTATCTCGAGGCCGTGCCGCCCGACGAGCCAGCGGTCGACGCTGTTCTGGACCGAGAGGAGGAGGTGACGGTCGATGATGGCGCCATGCTGTTCCTCGGGAATCGCCTCTGCACGTTGCTCCTGCACGTTGCTCCGCAGGACTAAGACGTCGAGGAGGAAAGCCCAGCGGATGAGCATGAACGCCGTATGGTGGCCGTCGGAATCGACCTCCACCGTGCTCGCGAGGGCGAGCTGCTCGACGATGACGGCGTTGCAGCCGAGCCAGCCGTCGCCATGAGGGTCGGGCTCGACGGCCTCGGGAACCACGACGACCTTGACGTGGCACTCGATCGGCTGGTCGGCGCGAATGTGGGCGGTGCTGAGCTGGAAGGCGTGCGTCTGCGCATGTGCGGGAAAGCTCAGTTGGTGCTTTCGGATGCGAGGGAGTGGGGCGACGCACCTGGAAAGGTCCGTGCAGCGTGGCGTCGACGACGAGACGATCTTGGAAAGCACGGTGGTCGAGCCGGTTCACGGTCCTCTCGTGGTCGGCGGCGTGCACGCGGACGGTGATAGGCTGCGAGGAGAGTCAGCAACGAGAACGAGGGAAGGAGAGAACGGGCGAGACGGCCGACGCACGGCGAGACGTGTCGGAATGGAGACGTTCACGAGGTGCCGGGCGATCAGCTCGACGTCGCGGCGTTGGTTGATCGCGCCCTGTGCAGCGTAGGCAAGCGCTGCGAGACCTGTAGGCTCATGAGCTTGTCAGGGAATGCCACGAGAGGCTAACAGCGGAAGAGGGAACGCACCGCCGATGCCAAAGTGGTGAATGTCGGCGGCGACGAGAGGGCCGTGGACCCAATGGATCGCGAGCAAGACGCTCTCCGAGCCGGTGGCGGAACCGACGAGAGCCATCGAGGGAGCGAGGCGGAAGGCTGACGGTGCTGAAGAAGGAGAGCAAGCGCGGGCAGGCAAAAGCGACGAACGGACAAGCCGAGGAAGCTCCGAGGACACGTCCGTCCGTCAGGGGCTCAGGAGAGAGAAACACGGAGCCGGGGCGTACAAGCGACCGTCGTAGCTGCGACGTTGAGGAGAACGCCGAGGTCCGCACCCAACTTGAGAAGGTCCCGACGCACGAGCCCCCTCCAGCCGCCTCGTGCTTCTCGCTCTCGGCTGTTCGTCAAAAGCTCAGGCTCACGTCACACACGCTCTCGGCTCGGACACGACGCGAGGAAACAGGCGAGAAGCATAATTGCAGGATCTAGAAGGTTGAGGACGACTGCGAATGGACGTTTCGCCCGATCCTCCTCGTGCTCGTGCGGCTCTGTGGCTCGTACGCCGACTTTGCGAGCGACGCGAAGTGATGTTGAGCGTGCGGGTCGATGCGGTCGCGCTGCACGAGATCGACGGCGAGACAGGGTCAGTCAGGCGAATCCTCGGGAAGGCGAGGCGGCCTTAGGCGCGCAGGGAGAAGGGAGGACTCACCGCCATCTGTGAGGTGTGAGGAAGACCGAGAGCGATGTCAGTACCGAGTCGAGGTGCCGAGAGGAAGCGAGAGGAAAGCTGGGACGCACGTAGAGCCCGGCCCGCAGGCTCTTGACGATCTCGCGGTACTGCCCTTTGAGCTCGTTGCGTCGGCCGTGCGGCGTGATCGGGTCGAGCGCATGGTACTGTGCGCCAAAGTGCGCCATCTCCCAGTCGGCGGCGCCCGCGACGCTGTCGGCGCGGAAGATGGTGAGCCACCGGTCGATCGTCGCGACGCCGGGCGCGCCGACGAGGACCTGCGCCATGGCGGCGTCGAGCGTGTGCCGGAGAGAATGATCGATGAGGTCGTCTGCGCTCTGGTTCGGCGGCGGCGGGAAGTGCTCCTGCTCGACCCAGTAGAGGGCCGTGCCGAACAAGAACGCCCACCGGGCGACCATGAGCGCGGCGTAGTGCCCGTCCGAGTCGACCGGCTCGCCGGCCGCGAGCTCGAACGAGTCGAGGACGATATAGGCCCACGTGCGCCAGTTGCGCTCGCCGGCTCGACCCGGGTCCTGCGGGTGCACCATCGGGACGATCTTGACGAAGGACCGGATCGGGCGCTGTCCCTGCACGCGCGTAGAGTACCAGCGGCATCGGTGCGTCTGCAGAAACGGGCAACAGGCATCAGTTCGTGAGCCTGTCGGCGAGGGAGAGAGCCAGCTCACCTCGAAAGGGGCGTGGATCTCCGGGTCGTAGATGATCATTCCGGCGGCGTCTTCCACCTTGTCCGGGCGCACATGGATCATGATAGGCTGCGTGCAAGAGCGTCAGATACGGTCGATTCAGGAGAGAGGGAGAGACGCACCGCGAACTTGGTCGGGACGTGGATCGTGCGCAACAGGACGGTGACCGGCGTGTCGTACCCCGCCCGATGCCACGACTCGGCTCCGGCAGCGAGTCCAGCAAGACCTGCGGCGCGTCAAAGTGCGTCAGGCCGCGACAGTCGAGGAGAGAGGGAGAGACAAAGAGACAGAGAGCGGACGCACCGCCGAGCGCGTAGGGAATTCCCCTCTCGTGGAGCTGGACCTGGACGTAACGCTCCGTGACGAGATCGCTTTCGACAGCGGTGAGCTCGAGGACGTCGGGCTCCATGGCAGAGAAGGCGGCGACGCGAGAGAGAGAGGATGGCGGAGCGAGAAAGAGAAGGTCGGGCGAGTCTGACGACGAACGGCCAGGAGGGCCCGTCGGAAGTTCCGGTCCGTCTCGAAAGGCCGAAGCCTCGGCGAGCAGAATCGGAGACGGACGGACAGCCTCGGCGCGAGAGCAAGATCGAGGAGGCGGACCGGAGAAGGAGGCTCGTGCGCGGTCGACTGGCTCGGCGAGACGCCGCGCAGCAGAGCTCCGACAGCGGGAAGCTGCTGACGCCAACCAGAGCGTGTCACAGGAGGAGCTGCGTAGGGAGGAGCGTAAGTTGCGGCTCTGATGCTGAGAGTAAGAGGGAGAGAAAAAGGGACGCACCCGAGCGACGACGACGACAGTCTCGAGTTGGCGGCAACGGGAGCGACAGGCTCGCACAGTCGCGAGAAAAGGAAGGGTATAACCGAGAATGGTGTTCCAAGTGCGAGATGCGCTCCATACGAGAATCCCTCCTCGTCTTTGCCGACCTGGTCCTCGTCCTCCCTCGCGCTCGCCGAGTATGCCTCCCGGCGTCGCTCCTCCTCTGACTCCTGCGCCTGCTCCTCGACTCGACGCTGCCGATGCCGTCGCTGACGCAGCTGGCTGCGTCGAGACTCCCTCGCGCGCGAGGGCGATCAGATCTTGCCATGCAGGAGGTTGCTGATGATGCTGCGGCCTGCGAGCGCACCGAGCGTCGTCAGGGCTGTCCAACGTGTGCCGGAAGGGTGCGAGAGAGGGAGGAGGAAGAGGACGCACCCGTGAGGCGGACCGTGTGGTACAAGGTCGGGATGTCGAGGGTCGAGAAGAACGTGTCGGCGAAGCCAAAGGGCAGCATGAGCGGGATCCAGCCTGCGGAGAAGAAATGCGTTAGACCCAAGGCTGAGGACGAATAAGTGCCACACTCGACGAATAGGCATTTGCGGCCGCCGAGAGAGGAGGAAATGGCGAGGAAGAGGGCGAGGACTCACCCTGAGCGAGCTCGAGCGCAAAGCCGCCGTCCTTGGGGAAGATGTACTGCTTGACATCGCCGCGGACGAGGTGGTGCATGTCGCCTGGGCGGTAGATCTGCGAGGACGGCGCAGAGCTTGTTGGTCAGGACGAGGCGCTCACGAGGAGAGCCCGAACACGACGAGGGGGAGGGCGGGACGCACCTCGGGCTCGAACGCGCCGGCCTTGCTCGCCCACTGCTCGCCCTTGAGGATGTGGAAGTAGTCGTCGGCCGTGTGGCGGCCCGTGTGACCCTCGGTGCCGAGCGGGGTGCCAAAGACGATGAGGTACTCGGTGATGCTGGCGTGAACGATGAACATGGTGCCCATGGCGCCGCCGGCGTTGTTCCACACCCACTCGCGGTCGGCAGGCACGTAGCTCGCCGGGTCGACCTTGCCGTCCGGGCCCGTGACGAGCGGGGTGGCGCTGAAGCCCGTGTTGATGGTCCACGACGGGTGCTCGTGAGAGAGGGACGTGATGATGTGCGACACGACCGAGACGGTGTCGTTGCCGTGGAGGGCGAGGGCGTCCTTGCACAGCTGATGGAGTGCGGGCGGGTCGAAGATGTACCACCGCGACTGTGGGCGAGCGAGGAGGGAGGATGAGCGACTTCTCGAGGTAAGGGAGGGGGAGGAGGTTCAGGGCGCACCTTGACCTGCTCGAGAAGGCCCCAGACTGCCGACAGGACGGCCAAGACGACGCCGGACACGACGAGGTTGCGGACCGACCACCGCGAGCGAGGGCGCAGGCGGACGGGGGCGGCGCCAACGGGGCGAGACTTGCGTGCCGAGATGTTCATGGTCGAGGTGCAAGGAGCGAGAGCAGCAGTGACCGGTCCAGCCTGTGGCACGTCGAGCGTGGTGGTTCGACCCAAGGAGGAGTGGGCCGATGAGAGCAAAGGCCGCACCCACTCTCGCGCCCACCTCGGCAGAGGAGCTCAGCTGCACTCTGTCACAGCTTACAGAGCGTAGCCGGCACGCCCAGAGACGCGACCGACTCGGCCAGAGCCATCGCCGTCCGCCCCTCCTCGTCGTCCAACCCTCGCTCTCTCGTCCTCCTTCCCTTCCACTCGAGCCGAGCCATGCACCCGTGCAACCGACTCCTGCGTGCCATCAAGCCCCCTCTCGAGCGCGACGCGGCCAATGCCTCGGTCCTCGAGGCCGCTCTCGCCCACACTCGCGCCCTCGTCCACAGCATCGGTGCGTCCCATCTCTCGCACTCTCTGTGGTGCCTGCGCCTGCGTCGAGCTGACTTCCTGAACCACGTACACAGGACCATGCACCACACACACACTCTACACCGCCTTGCACCACCCCTCGTCCCCACCTCTCCCTCGCCAGCCACCGCGCAACGTCCCTCCCGCCAAGGACCCCATCCTGCGCCGCTCCCGCGCCCGCCCGTCCACTCCTGCACCTCCCGCCGACCCGCACGGCCCGGCCGCCTCGTGGAGCATGGCCTTCCTCAAGCGGCGTGTCCTCGCGCATCTGGTCGCCGACGGCGAGCTCGTCAAGCTCACGCGTGAGCGGTGGGAGCGCACGACCGGCGCCCCTCTGCCGCCCCAGGTCAAGGGCGAGGAGGGCGAGAGCGCGTTCGTGTGGGTCGACAGCCGGCGGTGGGAGGAGCTCGCGAGGAGGAAGGCCAGGGAGGGACCGCCGCTCGAGGTCCGGGCGGCGCCGAGACGGCCTGAGAAGGACGACGTCGAGCGCGAGCTCGACAGGCTCGAGCGCGAGGAGGGCAGTAGCGCGCCGTGGTCCGAGTAACGCGCACGCCGTTCCCCCCCCTTTCTCGTCGAGCAGGCCTCACTTTCCGAGAGTCGTCTCGTCGCCCTGCTCGTCTCTCGCTCGGACTCGGCTCGACGATGCTCGAGACAGAAACTTTGGATTGCAGTGACGGCACGAAACAAGGCGCTCTGGTACAGCGTGGCGGGACGCAGGTGGTACAACAGACAGTCGGGTTCGACGGCGGCTCGTGCGCTCGACCTGGGACGCTCACGCGAGCTTCTTGCGGCCGGCGCCCGAATTGGTGCCGACGCGGCCCTTGGCCTGCTGCTGCTGGTGCGCGTTGAAGGCGACGAGGGCGACTGAGGAGGACGAGGGAGGGGAGGAACGAGAGGGTCAGCGAGTGGGCTCGAGAGGTGGCGCACGGCTTGACCGCGCTAGACGTGGGAGGGGGACGCACCACCAATGAGCCCGAGGACGAGGATGTTGGCTGCAGGGCGCAAAACGTGGTCAGCACACGGCGCGAGGCAGGAGGACGGAGGATGACGACGACGGACCAAACACGAGGCGGATGGTGCGCTCGACGGCATGGAACCCTTCGCCGATGACGGCACGCACGAGCGAGATGGCGGCGTCGACGATGGCGACCTCGCCCTTGATGCTGCAGTGTGCGAGAGACGGTCAGCGAGCTGCGGGAGGGAGTGCGAGCGAGGCGCGAGGACGAGGGCGAGAGGCGCAGGGGACTCACACGCCACGCCCGATGTCGTAGACGGCGGCGACGATGTTGCTGTTGGTCATGAGGAGGCTGTGCGAGTGGTGGTGCGGCGTGCGAGTGAGGGAAGCGAGGGAGAGAGCGAGCCGCGAGCAGAAGTCCTCGTTGTCCGAAACGGGCCCCGCGAATCTCTCCGGCGTCATCTGTCGATCCCTCGCGGGGCGGCGACCAAAACTTGGGCGCACGTGCCCTCTCTCAGCAGGTGGCCGGATCTGCGAGTCGCACGACGCTCGCTTCCTAGGTCTCTGCAGCAGCTTGAGTGGCTCGCTTCGACGCCCTGCCTCTCGCTCTCGCAGAAGCTGCAGACGCAGACCAAGCTCGTCGAATTGTCAAACTCGCACACCGTCGGCCTCGAGCACTCAACCGGGTCTCCTACTCGGGTCCGTCGACGGCTGCGCGACTCTCTGCCACCCGTGGTCCCACCCTGTCCGAGGCGGCGGCGCTGCGTCGTGCGGCGGAGCAGGCGTGCGGGTCGGGTCGAGGCGGGAGGTGTCGTGCGGGAGGTACGAGCGGCGGTCCAAGGGTGGCTGACGACGGCCAAGGAGCGGTCAGTCGGCGCGAGACAGGGCCAGGATCGAAGAGAGCAGGCGACGCACAGGGTGGACCGAGCCCTGACGATGCTGCGGCAGTGCGAGGTGGCTCGGGAGCCGGCTCGACGAGGACGGCGGTGCAGGCGGTGGCGGCGAGGGGGATGGCTGCGGGCGCGCTCGATGGACAGGTCAGGTCGGCTCGGGTTCGCGGCGAGGACGGGAGCGCAGCGACGCACAGGGTAGCCCCGGCTGTGTAAACGCCGCCTCGGCTCGGAGCGGAACGACTGGGCGCGCTGTTTGAGCGAGATGATCATCAGTCGCCGTCGAGGAGAGACAGGCTAGAGAGACAGTCGACGTACGTCGTCGTCCCGGTAGTCGTCGCGACGCCGCCACCCACCGTCGCGGTCCGCCGCCTCGTACCCGCCGCTCGTGCGCCGCTCGCGCCCGTTCTCGACCGCGGCCGTCCAGCCTTCTCGCGGTCCCTCGCGCCGCTCCTCGCGCCTCGGAACCCAGTCAGTGTCCCACCGGCTCGGCTCAGGGCTCCTGCGCCTCGCACCGACGCTGCCCCACTCGCGGTCCCTCCACGACGACGCCGACGGCTCGGCGGGAGGAGCGCGCGACTCGCCTCGCTGCCGCGCCCGCACGAGGCCCATGATCTCGTCGTCGCGCTCGTCTCGCGGCGCCGGGGCACGCAGAGCGGCGGCGGCCCGGGCCTCCTCGTCCTCCGGGTCGCCCTTGACGAGGAACCCGCTCGACCCGCCGCCACCGCCGGCGCCGCTCGCGCTGCAGCTCCCGCTCACCGTGCGCCAACCGACCGCTGTCGATGCGCGCGCATCGGCTGCGGCGAACGACCCGGGTCCTGGAGCGGCCGGACCACCCGCTCGGCGGAGCGAGCCGAAGATGGCGGCCTGCACCTCGTCCTGCTCGACGGCGGACGCGCTCGCGGCGCCGTCGTGCCCGTAGTAGTCACGCGAGGCGTGCGCGCCGAGCGCCTCGTCGTCGTCGGCGAACGAGAGCGAGACGTCGTTCTCGGCCTCGTACCCTGCGGCGCCGGGACCCGGACCGCCGTAGCGTGGCGTGGCGCCCGAGCTGAACGACGACGAGGACCCAGCGACAGGTCCTGGTGGCGATGCACCGGCCGAGGTCGCTGGCGCGGCGTGGATCGGCCGGCCGCGCTCGTCGTACTGGATCGGCGGCGGGCGCCTCTTCCACGGCAGGATGGTCGAGTGGCGCGGGCCCGGCTGGGTCGAGGGTGCCGACGAAGGGGCGGGCGCGGGTGCGGGTGCGGGCGGTGGTGGAGGAGGAGGCTGGCGCGAGCGGACCGCGGGAGGAGGAGGTGCTGCCGCAGCCGGGTTGACGCGGGCGATGTACTTGAGCTGCTTCTCCGACAGGCCCGAGGCAGCCGCAGGTGCGGGTGCAGGTGCCGCAGCAGGTACAGGTGGGAGTACGGGCGGTCGAGGAGGAGGAGGTACAGGGCGAGGAGGTGCAGCGTACGCGGGCGGGCGCGCGCTCGCCGACGAGCTCGATGCGGCGGCAGGCGCGACGTCGCTGCGGCCGCTGCTGCTCGTCGACGACCCGACTGGAAGGAAGCTGCTCGACGAGAGCGGGACGCCGCCGTTGGTGTCGCGCCGAGTCGAGACCTGGAACGACGAGTCGGCGCCGGCGGCTCGAGCGGCCGACGTGGACGAGCTCTGCCCTGCTGCAGTACCGTCGACGGCGCCGGCCGACTCGAGAAAGCCGGCGCTCGCGCCGAGCCCGCTCGCCGTGCGCACCCGCTTGAGCGCCGACGGCGTGCTCGCGCCCGAACCGGCCGCCCCGTCCTCGGACCCGCTCGCGGCGCCGGCGCTGCGCTTCTTGCTCAACGGCAGTGCCGCAAGGTGCTGCGGCGGAGGCGATTCATGTGCTGGGCGAGGCTGAGGCTGAGGCGGGATGGCGGCGGCGGGCTCGTCGTGCTGCGGCTCGCGAGCGTGGCCCGAGCCCGACGCGGTGGCGAGACCGACAAAGCCGGCGACGTTTGACGAGCGCCTCGAGCCGTCGCGCAACGAGCCGTCGATGTTGTACTTGTGCGTCAGGTCGGCGGGCTTGAAGTCCCTGCGAGCGCGAGAGGGAAGAGGGGAAGGGAGAACCGAGGGTCAGTGCGGCGCTTGAGGCGAAAGAGGGAAGGAAGAGAGGCGCAAGACGTACTTGATCCACGCCTTGATGAGATCGTACGTCTTGGTGTTGGCCTTGACCTCGCCCGTGAGTTTGTCGTGGACGTGAACGCGGACGAGCTCGACGAGCTCGAGCAGGTCGCCGTCGGCGAGGTGGCGGCACCGGTGCACGATGGCGGGGAGCACGTGCAGCTCGACGGGCGCGAACGCGATGCTGTCCGAGCCGAGCTTGACCTTGGCCTTGCCGTCGCGCCGCGCCGGGACCATGTCGGGACGAAGCCGCCAGACGCGATGCGGGACGGGCACGCCGTGCTGGCGCAGCGGCGCGTACAGGGGCGTATCGGGCCAGCGGTCCTCGCCGTCGAGTGGCGCGACCTTGGTGAGGGCGAGGAAGCGGTCTAGGGCGGTCGTGACCTCGTCCTGCTCGGCTTGACGTGGCGGCGCGTCCTGCCCGAGGGCCTTGACCCGCCGGACGTCCGAGTCAGGCGACATGTCGTCGACGCCGACGATGATGTTGCGCGACGCCTGGTAGGCGCCGATGAGGGCCGTGCCGCGGCTCGCCGACAGCATGCGCGGGCACAGCGAGTCGTGCGAGTCGCCGAGGTAGGCCGCCATCAGGCTGCGGACCCAGGTCGAGTAGGGCGAGTCGATCGAGTTGAGGATCTCTGCGGAAGAACGAGGCGTCAGGTCCAGAACGGCGAAGGTGCGCGGCGAGACGAGGCGCGAGCGGGAGGACGCACCCCCTTTCGTGAGGACCTTGCCGCGCTGCACGCGCTGGAAGACCTCGCGCTCTTGAGCGTTCGACAGGTTGCGGTAGAAGCCGTAGCGCAGGCGCTTCGAGTCGAACAGGGCGCGGGCGTCGGGGTCGAGGCCCGAGTAAACGACCGACTTGCCGTCCGAGCCTTTCTGCGGGTCGTGCACAGTGAGGAGCGCGACGCGTCAGGTCGCTCGAGCGATGAACAAAGGAGGGGAATGGGGACGGACGATGGCGACTTGACCCGTCATGAACCTGCGAGAGAACCGGGCGAGGGCGCGGTCAGTCCTCGTCCCGCTCTGCTGCACGGCCTTGGACGGAGAAAGGACGAGAGGGGACGCACTTGTGGATCGCCGACATGCGCTGCTTGCCATCTGCGCAGTTCCACACCTGCATGACCTCGCCGTCCTCGCGCTCGTCGTCCTCGTCCAGGTCCTCCTCGTGCTTGAGCGCCCAGCCGTCGGGGAGCGCCGTGCGGCCCTCGGGCCGGATCTGGATCGCCGACGGGATGCGGCGGTACCACGGGTCGTTGCGGTCGCGCGGCTGGTAGATGTTGAACAGGAGCTCGGGGACGTGCATGTTGCGGAAGAGCGACTGGATCAGGCCCACGACCGAGTCGGCGGTCCACTGCGGTCGGCGTAGGTCGGCGCAGGCGGGAGGCGTCGACGAGAGGGTGTGCGCGAGGTCGGGCGGATAGAGAGGGCAGGGAATGGAGGAACAGGGAGGAAGGGAAGAAGGTCAGTCGGGGGGTACGGAGGAGGCGAGGTCGACGGCCGGCAGTGGACGCACGACGACGTCGCGCTGGTAATCGGGCGACAGATTGATGACCTTGTTCTCGAGCATCATGAAGATGTCTGTGCAGGGCATGCGGGACGCAGGGATGGGTCAGTGAGGGGTCTTGGGCGAGAGGTGGTGGGGGGAGGAGGGAGGCGAGCGCACCTCGCACGGGGAGGCTGCCAAAGTGCTCGTCGGGCGAGACCGAGTCGCTGACGAACAGGCCTGCGACTTGTGGTGCTGGCTGTGGTGCCGCTGCGCGGTCGGCGAGGGCGGGTCCTTGGAGGCCGTCGTCCGAGTCGTCGCTGTCGAGCATGTTGTCGCCGTCGCTGGCGAAGCCGTTGGCAGGCTGAAAGAGCATGCTGGTGGTGGACGGGCCGGCGTCGGCCCTCATGGTGGGCTGGCCGAGGCGGACGTTCATCAGGAGCGATGAGGAGGCGGAGGGGGGAGCCGGCCCTCGATGGCGGCAGCTCGTGGTGGTGCGGGTCGGTCACGAGGCTGTTCTTGTAGCGCGTGGAGAGCTGTGGCGGGTGTCGATCGCTGCCACTAGAGAGGCGAGCGAGGTGGTGTTGAACGAAGTGCGGCCCCCTCCCCCTCCTGCTCTCACTCGCCCACACGGCCTCGTCGACAGGCCAGAGCGTGCGACAGCTGTACCGACCCTTCATCATGCCAGCCCGCACCCGCTCGCCGTACGCCCCACTGCCTCCCACCATCCCACCCGTCCTCGCCCCAGCTTCGCCCCTCCCTCCTTCCTTCGACAGCGACGTCCACCACTGGAGCAACGCCCTCACCGGCGTCGACAAGCTCAGGCGACACACCGGCCTCCGCCACGCCGCACCCGCCGCACTCGGCCTCCCTCAACTCGTCTCGACCGCCGTCTGCGGCAGGTGGGGCAACCGCGACGACGACGGCCACGACCACCCCCCGCCCTGGCTCCTCGCTCAAGCGCCTCGCACAAAGGACGACCGCAAGCGCGACAAGGCCGAGCGTCGCGCGTGGGACCTCCTCGGCGTCGCCGGCATCCCTCGCGACGAGGTCGAGGCCGCTCAGTGGGAGCTCGTCAAACGCAACTGGCGCGCCAAGGCCTACGCCGACAAGCCGCTCAAGGTCGAAAGGGTCAAGAAGGAGGCCGAGCCGCACCCGTCGAGCGGCGACAGCAAGACGTCAGCCCCGGTCCTGAGCGCCCACTTCCCCTCGTCCAAGTCGTCCATCGCCGCCAGATCCGGGTCCAAGAAGCGCCCACCGTCGTCCCCTCCTGCCGCACACTCGCCTTCCTCGCCGCCAGGTCCTCGCTCCACCGCCGACAGCGCCAAATCAGTCGCAGGGTCCAAGGACCGGCCGGCGCACTCGGCCTCGTTCCCGTCCCTGTCGTCCATCAACTCGGCGGGACGCGCTCTCGCCTCGCCCGCGCCACGTCGCGCAAGCTCGGCGCATGCGCTCGCCAAGGACGTCGAGGACGGCGTGCTCAGCGATGGCGAGGGCGAGGGGGACGAGGTCCTGTTTGAGCGGGGCTGCACCCAGGTGCGTCTCCTCGAGACCGCTCACTGCAGAGCGAGCCTCGACTCTCCCTTCTCTTTCTCGAGTATCCACGACCGGTCCCTCCTGACTGACACCGCTTCTCGCACTCAGATGGTGCTCCCCGACCCGACCCCTTCCGCCGCACTGCCCTCCTCCCGCCACCCTCGCCCGTCGACCACCTCGGCCACCTCCTCAACCGCCGCTCCCGCCGCCGCGCCCTTCTCCTCGCCCGGCCTGCGCCCCTCGGCCCCCAACCTCGGCACCGGCATCGCCATCTCGACCCCGCACGCCGTCTCGCGCCCGAGTCGCGCAGCAGCAGCGCACCTCCCCTCCCCCTCGGCCTCGCCTCGCCCGTCGCACTCGCTCACGCGCTCGCCCTCGCCGCCGAGCACCGTCAAGGCGCCCGTCGCTCGTCGCCCTGCGCCGCCCTCGCGCGCGACGACCGCGCGCAGCTCGCTGTCGACGGCGGCGGGTGGCAAGCAGGCCGTGCACCGCCTGTCGAGCATCGCGAGGACGGCGAGCGCCATGAGTGGGAGGAGCGCGGCGGCCGAGGGCGAGGAGGGGGCGTGGGACGGGTTCCTCGAGGAGGACGCGCGGGATTGACGAGGCTCGAGCGGGGCGGGTGGGTCTGTGACCTTTTCAGTATGTGTCCTTGGTGTTTTTCTGTGCGCAACGATGGCTCCCGACTCTCTGCAGCTCGCGAGGAGAGAGAGAAAAGCCGTTGCGAGACGTCGCCCTGCGCGCCCTCCCCCTCTCGCCCATCCTCCTCGAGCGACGCTACGACGGGAACGACGGCAGTGGCGGCAGCCCGCCGAGCGGCGGCAGCACCGCTCGACCCTGCGCGTTGACGCTCACGCCGCCGCCAAACGCGGCGCCCGCACCCGGGATCGACCTCGCCGGCGGCGCCTGCTGCTGAACCGGCGCCGGGACGTGCTGCTGCGGGACCGGCGCCGGCTGCTGCTGCTGCTGAGGCGGCGGGAGAGGAGCACCTTGCGCCTGCGCCGCCGCCGCGTCGAGCGACACGCGCCCGCGCTGCCCTCGCCCGGACCCTCCCGCGTGGGCGTACGAGATCTTGTACGGGTTGTCCTCGGGCGCGTGCTGCTGCCGAGGCGCTCGCTGCTGCTGCTGCTGCTGCGCCGAGCCGGCGCCGGACACGGTCGAGAAGTAGAGCGTGGGCGGGAGCGCCGACGTCGCGCGCTGGTACTGCAGCTGGGCGTGCGGGCCGGCGGCGGCGTAGCGCTCGGGCTGGGCGTGCTGGCGCCGGCCCCACGCGAGCTCGACGTCGGCCATGAGGCCAAAGCCGCTCGCGCCCGTGTAGGCGCTCAGGCTGTCGGACCAGACGAAGGGCGGGTGCGGCGAGGCCATGGCGCGCAGCTGGTGGAAGGCCGAGATGGTGGCGTAGGGGACGAGGGTAAGGGGGTCGCGGTAACGTGCGGGGAGGCCGGTGAAAGGGCAGATGCCGAGCTCTGTGAGGGAGAGAGAGAGAGGGTCAGAAAGGCTCGAGGGTGGGTCTCGCAGGCAAAAAGGGCGAGAGGAGGACGCACGGCCGACAGGCATTGGCCTCTTGCTCCAGTCGGCGTGGTCGCCAAAGATGGCCTCGAGCTCGTCGGCGCGCGAACCCTCGAAGTTGTCGAACACGAGCCAGTTGCGGGCGTACTCTTGCGGCTCGGGCGGCGTCGACGGTCCCGGCGTGTGGTCGGCCGAGTTGAGGATCGAGTTGAGCGACGTCGACGCCGTCGTCGCACTCTTGCGCCCTCGACCGGTCGCCGCGTCGTGCTCGTGAACGAGCCCGCCCGTCTCGGCGCCGCTCGCCTTCCACCCCTTGGACCCCGACTCGCCGACGACCTCGATGAGCCGCCGCCGCCCCTTCTCCATCTGGTCCTGGTCGCCCTCCTTGCCCTTGCCCTTGTTGTCGACGCGATCTTGGACCCGGCTCAGGAACGTGAGCTTTGGGCCGATGATCTCGTAGCGCATGCCGGCGACGCGCTCGGCCTCGCGACGCTCCTCCTCGGCGGCGTAGAAGGCGAGGAGGGCGGCGCGGTTCTGCTCCTCGGTCTCGAGCGCCTCGGCGATCAGGTCGGCCTGCGTGAGCGTCGCCTGCTGCTTCCTGGTCGGTCGCGGCGTGGTGGTGGCCTGGAGGAAAACGAGGAAAGGTCGGCTCATGGGCTTCGCTGGCCGAGGCACGGGGCGAACAGGCACAGAAAGAGAGAGCGAGAGACGCACCTTGCGCTGCTCGACCTCCTTGAGGCGGTCTTGCACCTGCTTCTTGTTCTGCACGGCCTGGCGCCGCGAGCTCTCGCGCTGCGGGACGAGGAACGCCGGGTCGACGGCGACCTTCTTGCGCTTCTTGACGGGTTCGCCGTCCTCGTCGAGCGTCGTCGCCGAGGTGGACGCGACGGGGCCAGCCTGCTTGGCGGCGGCGGCCTTGCGAGCGGCCTTGGTCTGGCGGGCGAACGGGTGGACGGGCGCCTGGAACCCTTTGCGCTTGCCGCGCTCGGCCTGCAGACGAGCGACGGGGTCAACACCGCTTCAGACTGAGTGAAAGGGGAACCGAGGGCGCACCTTCTTGGCCTCCTTTGCCTCGCGACGGAGCTGGCGCTCGCCGGCCTCCTCGTCGTCCTCGTCGTCGCCCGCGTCCTCGTCGGTCGAGCCGAAATCCGAGTCGAACTCGTCCTTCTCCTCTGTGGGCAGGGATCCAGAGTCAGTTTGAGCCTGCAGGAGGCGTAGAGGGGCAGGGAGGAGAGCAGACTCGCCCTTGTTCTCGAACTCGTTGTCGTCCTCCTCCTCCTTGAACATCTCCTCGACTTCTGCTGCGGCCTCGTCCTCGATCAAGGCGGCCATGCGGTTGCCGGCATTGTTGCGGCGCGTCCTGGTGGCGAGGTTGGCCTCGACGGGCTCATCTTCCTCGGACGAGGTGGCCTCGGCGTCGGACTCTTCTGGCTCATCGGGGGCGGGCGTCGATGCTGCGCGCGAGGTCCGACGGGGCATGGTGGGCGGTACGGGTGCTCAGACGCGCTCTCTGAGCCGAGCAGTGGTTGGGGCGAGAGCGAGGGGAGAGGCTCGCTCGCTCATGCTCTACCCGCATGTCCACTCCCTCTGAGCCGGTGCTGCACACTCGCCAGGCCCTTCTCGAGCTTGTCTGAGCCCGATCCCGCAAGTCTGCGCTCGAGCCACGCCGTGCGCGTGTCGCCTGTCGACCACCTCGTCGCCTCGCCTCCTCGCGCCGCAAACCTCCTCGGCGGCAGCGGCAAATGGCTGCGCAGCCAGTCGACGAGGCGCACTACACCCCGTTCTACTGCGAGGAGAACGTCTACCAGCTGCTCGCGACGCTTCAAGGCTCGCCGCGCTTCTCGCGCTCGTTCGCCGTCTTCGTCTCGAACCTGGACCGCCACGCCCTCCTGTTCCAGCAGCAGGCGTCGCATCAAGGACCAGACCAGGGCCACTACGTCGTGTGGGACTATCATGTCGTCGCGGTCGCTATGGAGCGGGCAGGCGGCGAGCCGCAGCAAGTCGCGCCGGAGCGGGTCGTCGTCCTCGACCGCGACTCGAGATTGGGTGCGGTGGTACCGATGCGAGGTGCGTCGGCTTCTTCTCTTCATCCTGTCGCCTGCGTGCGACCGCTGACTCGCCACGATGCCCACAGAATATGTCGCTCAGACGTTTCGACCGGACCTCTTCCGCGACGGCGTCCTCGAGCCTACTCTGCGCAGGTGCGTCTCCTCTCGCCTGTCGCCTTCTCCGTACACCTCATCGGCGACGGTGACTAACGGTGACGGTATTCGTCACAGCCGATTTCGCGTCGTGCCCGGCAAGACCTTCCTCGAGTCGTTCGCGAGCGACCGCTCTCACATGGTGCGTCCTCCCTCTCTCTCTCTCTCTCTCTCTCTCTCTCTCTCTCTCTCTCTTACTCGCTCGACGTCATGCTCGCCCTTCTATTAACTTGATTGACCTCATCGACCGTGCGCAGCTCGTACCGCCCTCGACCGCCGCCGACGCCGCTCCCCTCCCCTCGACTCGCATTCCTCGACCCGATTCGCCAGCTCGCCCAGCACAGCCGCAGTACCTCAAGCCCGTTCCGCCCTACCCGCCGATCTGCGGGTCCGCGGCGGCTGCGTGTGGCGAGACGCACAACTTGTGGACGCGCTTCCTCGACATGCGGTTGCCGGGCGAGCGAGAGCGCGGTGCGAGCCGCGGGTTGGCGGACGACGAGGGCAGGTACGGGAGAGTGCTCGAGGGAGCGAACGAGCTCTTGGCGTACCCGTGGTGAGGCGAGGGAGGCATCGAGCGCGCGCGTTGCGGGAGGGAAGGGTGCAACCTCGAACTTTTCCTTCCTTGACCGCGCTCTCTGCGCTTTCCACTCGAGAGATTGAGCTTTCCTCGTCGAGGTCGGAGCTGCTCAAATCTCGGGCAGTCTCGCAGCGTTGCACTCGCTCGTCACGACGCTACGCTCGCCAATCCTCGCGCTCCTTCTGACCTTCTCAAGTCGCCCGACCTCGCGTCACGACATCCTGACGATGCTCACGATCTCGCTCAGCCCGTTCAAGCAGTACATGCGCCTGCCTGGCTGCGTCGTGCGGGTCTTCTCGCACTTGTCGAGGATGCGGAGGACGGCGTCCGTGACCGCGTCTCGCCCTTGGCCATCGAGCTCGCGCCCTTGCACCCCACGAGAGACCTCGACGACGTTCTTGACGAGCTCCTCGAGAGAGGATGACGTGCGCTGCAGGGCGAGCGCCTCGACGTCGTCGGGAACGCCCTCGGGCATTCCTTTGGCCGAGGATCGTCTGTCGCGCAGCGTCTCGAGGAGCAGGTACTGGTTCAGGGTCGGACCGACAAGCTGCGCCATGCCCTTGTTCGACCCAAACTTGACGCCGTTGTTGCGCCAGAGCTCGCGGTACATGCGCCCGACGAGGACCCAGGGCGTGACCTCGAACTTGTCGACGAGGCCCTCGTCGCACGCGGCGCGGAACATGTTGCCGCGAAGGTCCGAGAGGATGAGCGTCCTGCTCGGCTCGGGAATACGGCACTCGGGGTCCTGGAGCGCGCGAAGCAGGTCCTGTAGAGAGGCAGAAGGTCAGGGCGGGGTCCGAGCGCCATGCCACGGGCCGGTGTGGGCGTACGTTGACGCCTCGGCGCGAGAGCTTGTCCCGCTTGAGGAAGAAGTGCCAGTTGCACGGGCTGTTGGTGCGGCCCGATTCCATCTTGTCGAGTTTGTGGAGGAGCTCGACCTCGTCGTGCGAGAGCGGCGCCTGCGAGAACGTGTGGAAGCCCTTGCCGCAGGCCCACTTGTGCGTCGACCAGACCTGCAAAGTTCACGTCAGTCTCGGACGGCTCGGGCGCGGCCGCAGGAAGAGAAGCTGGACGCACCGCCTTCTGGCACGCCGGCGAGCAAAAGAACACCGACTCGCACGCCGCGCACTTCTTGACCGTCTGGTTCGAGCACACTGCACACTCGTGCGCCCTCATGGTAGCAGAAGCGAGGTCGAGAGAGTGAGGGAAAGGAGCGAAGAGGCGTCGGCGGACGGCGCTCGGCAGGCGACGTCGGATAATCCGCGGACGCACGAGCCTCTCTCGAGAGGAGCGGAGGTGGTGGACGCCGACGCGCCGACGCTGTCTCTCACTTTCTCGACACCACGCAAGGCAGAGTGAGGCGACGAACAGGGTTGAGAAAGCGAGAACGATCCGCCGAGCCGGACGCTCGGAGGACGCACGAGCCTCGCCGGCTCTCTCCTACTCTCGACGGCGAGCGAGGGAACAGGGAGCCGAGGCGAAACCTGCAGTAGTACAACAAGCTCTCTGGGAGCGCTATGAACCGTCGTAAAGAAGTGTCTAAGGGGAACGTCCTCGCTCGAGAAGCCCGTGACCTGCACGGCTCCTTCTTCCTCCTGGCGTCGCACCGAGGACGGCTCAGCCGTTGATGCGCAGGGCGAAACTGCGGAAGTACGAGTGCTGCAGCGTCGGCGAGTTCTGCGGGAGGGGGCGCAAGATGTGTCAGTAAGGCAAGACGAGGAGAAAGGCGAGAGAAGGGGAGAGAGAGCCGACGCACGTAGTCGATCGACGACCCGCCGAAGAAGGTCTGGCACATGGCGCCGAGGAACCCAGGCACCGTCGTCGCGACCGTGCCGGCGCGCTTGTCGAGGGCGACGACCCGCCTCGGCGTGACGGGCGCGAGCGTCGGTGTCGGCGTCGCGAGCGCGACCGAGTTGCGGCGGCGCAGCCTGCGCGCCTCCCAGTCGAACGGCAGGCTCGTCGCCGTGATGTCGCCGTTGGTGTCCTCGTACTGCTGCGCTGTCGCCGTCTCGGTCGGGCCGACGACCTTGGTGACGAACGAGGGCCGGAACACGCCCGTGCCGTTGTCGGGCTTGAAGCCGCCGTTCGGGATCGCGACCGTGTCGGGGAGGGCGTCGTAGTCGATGAGGGGCACGAGCGTGCTGTTGGACGGGCCCGTGCCGATCTGGCCGACCGCCGAGTTGCGGTAGTAGACCTCGGACGACGACAGGACGAGCTTGCCGTTGATCCTGCAGACGCGCACACACTCGTCGTCAGTACACGAGGCACGAGAGATAAATAGAGAAGGAGAGAAATGGGGCGCACCAGATGTTGAACCCGCCGTCGGCCTTGCCCGGCGTGTTGAGCCAGACGTCCTGGCGGACGTCGGTCCACTCGCCCGTCTTGAACGTCCAGCTGCCGCGGCCGATGCTCATGCCGTACACCGAGTTGCAGTAGCTGAGCGGGCCGAGCTCGCACAGGGCGTCGACCTGCTTCTCGCGCGGCGCGTACAGGTACAGCTCGCCGGCGCCGTCCTTGCGGAACATGAGGCGCGTCGAGAAGCAGTTCTCGGCGGCGCTGCCGCCCGAGCACGCCGACTTGCCACCGTACAGTCCGGGGAGCTTGCCGCCCTTGACGAAGTTGAACCCGTCCTCGAAGAAGAGCGAGTACGAGAACGAGACGTTGGTCGCCTGGGTCACGTCGACTGCGGGCGAGGGCACGACGAGAGGGTCAGGTTCCGCCGAGAGAGGGTAGAGGAGAGAGAGAAAAGGGGACGCACTCTGCGACGTGTAGAAGCCCATGCCGCCGACCGGCGAGAAGCTTGGGTTCCTCGAGCCCGCCGGGTACGTGACCTGGAGCGCCGGCTCCGAGTCGCGCTTGACGCCACCGGTCCACTCGCTCGCCGGAACGCCCTGCGCGAGGAGCGCGAGGTTGCCCTGCGTGTCGCCCCACGAGAACCGGCCCGAGTTGATGACGTCCGACTTGAACTCGGCGAGGGTCGTGACCGACGACGACTGGGCCCACGACGTGCCGCTCGAGCCGCCCGTGCCCGAGAAGGCGCAGATAGACCCGCTCTGCGTGTAGCCGAAGCGGCAGCCTGCACGCACGTCGAGCTCCTCGTCAGTGTCGAGAAAAGGGAGAGCGAACGAGAGGAGAAAGGAGAGCTCGACGCACGGAAAGTACACACGCCACTGTCGCAGTAGCGGTTCGAGCTGGCCGGGACCGTGTTGCTGCAGTCGGACGACAGGCTGCACGTCTGCGTCGCCTCGGGCGCGGTCGAGGTCGAGGTCGAGGTCGTCTCGGCGAGGCACGACGAGCCCGAGGCGGTGAAGCCCGAGCGGCAGTCTGCACGTCGAGGAAGAAGATCGAGAGAATCAGTGTTTTGCTCAGAGAGGGCCAAGGGAGAGGAGAGGAGAGACGGAAAGGGAAAGAGGGAGAGACGAGGCGGCGAGAGGGACGCACGGTACGAGCAGACGTTGTCGGCGCAGTAGCGGTTGGCGTTGGCCGGGATGCTGTTGGTCGTGCAGTCCGACGAGATGGAGCACGTCTGCGTCGACGGCGCCGACGTGGTGGTGGTCGTGGCGGTCGTAGCCGTGATCGAGGAGGCGATGCAGGACGAGCCGGACGCCTCGAAGCCCGAACGGCAGCCTGCATGTGGTCGAGGGCGGTCAGGTGGTGCTTCTCGAGAGAGAAAGAAAGGGAGAAAGGCCGAGGAGAGAGAGGGGACGCACGGTAGCTGCACTCGCCGGCGTCGCAGTACCGGTTCGAGTTGTCGGGCACCTCGTTCGAGCAGTCGGCCGATACCGCGCACGTCTTGGTCGCCGGCGGAGCGCTCGTGGTAGTCGTGGTGGTGGTCGAGGTGGCGACGCAGGAGGAGCCCGACGCCTCGAAGCCCGAGCGGCACCCTGCGAAGAGCGGACGAGCCGAGGTCAGGACCGGTTCCAGCTGTCCAGACTCTCGCGCACGCCCTCTCGAGCGTCTTTGACGTCGAGAAAGGCGAGAAGAAGGAGAGGGGAGCGAGAGAGGGGACGCACGGTACGAGCACTCGCCATCCTGGCAGAAGCGGTTGGCGTTGTCGGGCACCTCGTTCGAGCAGTCGGACGTCACGGCGCAAGTCTTGACGGCAGGAGGTGCGGTAGTAGTAGTTGTCGTGGCGGTCGTCGAGGTGGCGACACAGGCCGAGCCCGACGCCTCGAAGCCCGAGCGGCAACCTGCGCGAGCGAGGCAAGGTCAGGACGCGTTCTCCCGGACATGCAGCCTCTTGAGAGCAATGACTGCGTCACGATCTCGAGGAGGCGGACGACGCAAATAGAAGAGGACGCACGGTAGCTGCACTCGCCCTCGTCGCAGTACCGGTTCGAGTTGTCGGGCACGTCGTTCAAGCAGTCGGCCGATACCGCGCACGTCTTGGTCGCCGGCGGAGCGCTCGTGGTAGTCGTGGTGGTGGTCGAGGTGGCGACGCAAGAGGAGCCCGACGCCTCAAAGCCCAAACGGCATCCTGCGAGAATCGGACGAGGCGAGGTCAGGAGGGATTCTGGCGGTACAGACTCTTGCGCGCTCGTACGAGAGCGTCTGCGACGTCTCGAGCAGAGCTTCCGGAGAGGCGGGAGAGACGAGGACGCACGGTAAGAGCACTTGCCGCCGTCGCAGTACCGGTTCGAGTTGTCCGGGACCGAGTTGCTGCAGTCCGAGCTGACGGCGCACGTCGTGGCTGCTGGCGCCTTGGTCGTAGTCGTCTTGGTCGCCTTCTTGGTGGTGGTGGTCGCCTTCTTGGTCGTCGTCGTCGCCTTCTTGGTCGTCGACGCGCTCTTCTTGGTCGTGGTCGTGGTCGAGGTCGAGGTCGAGACGCACGACGAGCCCGTGTCGGCAAAGCCCGAACGGCAGCCTGTCGAGGAGACAAGGCGTGTCAGTCCTCGCTCGGTTAAAGGCACAGAGAGATAGAGAGAGAGAGAGAGGGACGTACGGTACGAGCACTTGCCGTCGTCGCAGTACGTGTTGGCGTTTGCGGGGGCCGTCGTGACGCAGTCGCTCGTGATCTTGCACGTGCCGGCCTTGCGCATGCTGCTCGTGGCGCTCGCCCTGCTGCGCGCCAAGGCGCTGTAGCGCGCGCTCTGGCCGGGCGTCCACGGGGTCGGCGACTCGTGGCTCAGGGCGCGCGAGCGCACGAGCGACAGGTACAGCGAGTGGACGTCGATCTCGGACGATGCTGCGGCCGGGAGCTGGCGGGCGAGGAGGGCGGCAAAGTGCTCGTAGGGCGCGTTGCGCTTGACGAGCGCGCGCAGCTCGGACGAGAGGGCGAGCGACGTGACGAGAGCGACCGAGGGCGACGTCGCCGTCGCCGTCGCCGAGGGGAGGAGCGCTGTGAGGTCCTCGACGGGTGCGGGTGCGGCCGCCGACGAGCCGTTGACGAGGGCGACTCGGGGCTCGAGGCCTGCGAGGTCGAGGTCCGAGGCGGCGGCGGCGGTGGGCGTGCGCTTGTGGTGGGGTGCGGCTGCGACCGAGAGGGCGGTGGCGACGAGGGTGACGAGGTAGAGGGGCGAGGCGACCATGGCGCGAGAGGTGCGTCGAGTGGGGTGGGGGAGGGCGCAGGCGAGTCGACTGGGGGGAGGGAAGTACGACTAGGGGTGGTGCCCAGGTGGAGGTGGTCGCACGCACGAGGCAGGCAGGTGGAAAGCGCTGCTTGGTCGTCGGCGGTGGTGGTGGTGGTTGAGCGAGGTCGAGGCGGAGTCGAGTGAGGAGAGGAGAGGGAGGGAGAAGGGAGACGGGGGCAAGTCGAGGGTGTCGTGGATGGGCATACTGACGGCTGGTGGCCGGTAGTGCGAGTTGCAGGTGCGAGGCGAGAGGGCTGGAGGTCGTCGAGCGGTCGAGGCGAGATGGCTGGACGAGGCGGGTCCGGCTCGGCGCACAGGGCAACCGCCGCTGCTAGGTGCTCGCGTGGTTCGGTGGGCCGTGTTCTGTGATCGACCTTTGTCCATCGAACAGGTGCTCGAGTGGGCGAGTGAGCGAGAGTCGACCACAGACACCGGTTCATCGACTGATGAGGACGACGAGGCGACGAGGCGTTCCCTCCCTCACCACCACATCCAGCGAGCCTAGACGGGCCATGGAACATCTCCAGCCACCACCACAGCCCATCTCACCCGCACTCGCACTCGACCTGCGCGTCCGCTTCCTCGAGTCGCTCGTCGCCCCCTCGCCGTCCTCGTCGACCCCGCCGCCTCACTCAGCTAGCCCCGTCGCGAGGCGCATCTCGACCCTCAACACCGCACTCGACCACGCACTCGACGCTCCCGCGAGCACAGACGCCCTGCGCCGCTTTGTTCGCAACTGCACGTCCCCTTGTCCTCCTCCTCCCCCTCCCTCCTCTCTCGCTTGCCCGACCTCGGCTGACCCTCCCTTGCACGCCCCGCAGACGACCTCAACGCGCCACTCCTTTCCCCAGCCCTCGCCGTCCCCGCCGCACCCGCACCCCTCTCCGCCGACACGGGCGGCCCGGCATCGCACGCCGCCCAGCTCGCCCTCGTCCTCGAGGCAGAGCACGACCTGCGCACCCTCGAGCGCGAGCTGCGCGAGCTCCAGGTCCTCGACGACAAGGACGTCGCTGGTGCGGGCAAGCTCGGCGGTCCGTCCCCCTCGACCTGGTCTCGCTCAGCCAGGACCCGGAGCTGACCTTGTTTCCCCCACAGACCTCGAACCGCTACGGCCCGCGCTCGCCCAGGTGCAGGACGACGTCAAACCCGTCGCGGCAACCTACGCCGAGCTCGAGACGCGCACGATGGCGCTCCTGCAGCGGTACAACGACTACGTCCGTCCTCTCTCTCGCTCTCTCCTTCCTCCTCTCAACCACCTCGTCCTGACCCTCCCATCGACCCCCATTCACGCAGATCTCGACCATGTCCGAGCTGTTTGTCTCGTGGGACGACATCCTCACCGATGCCGAGGCGCAGCTCACCCGGCTCGAGCGCGAGCGGAGGGCGAGGGACGAGTACGACATTGCGTGAGCAGCTCGCGCGGTGGACGGGCGGAGGGCGTACTTGGAGGTCAGCGTGCGAGATGGTGGACGCGATACCCTGCTGGAATGATACCTGGTCCTCCTCGAGCATCGTCCTCCCGCCGATGGTTTGCCTTCGAGAGTGTCGCGCGCGCTCTTGCAAAAATGCGCAGCTGCGGTCTGAATGGCGGACGAGGGCTGCAGTCGACGCAGAAAGGCCAAGAGAGCTGGTTTCGGTCGACAGCTTTGCCGACGACCTCGAGGTTGTCCGACGCAGGCGATTGACTCGCGCACCACCGCTCTCTCGCCCCCAGAGCCAGCTGCAGCCATGTCACTCGTGAGTGCAGCTCTCTATCCAGCCTTCAGAGCCATCGCCGCGTCGACCAGAGGCCGCCGTCGCCCTCTCCCTCCCCGCCCGCCTTTCCTCATCAGCGACCTCGGGTGTCAGCGATCCCTGGCCTCGCCCGCCGAGCAAGTGCACGCCTGCAGCGCACCATGCTGACCTTGCATTCGTCCCCTCTCGCCACAGCCGAAGCTCTCGCACACGCTCGACGAGGCCCTCGCGCTTCTCCTCCCCTCGTCCTCGACCTCCGCCTCGTCGTCCTCGTCGGCCACCCCTCAGCCCGCCGGCAACTGCCTCCCCATCTGGGCCACCCTGCCAGCAGACGTCCTCACCCCTGTCATCGCCTACCTGCGCCTGACCGACGGCGCGAGCGGCGTCGAGAGCTTTTTGCTCGAGAGCGCCGTCAAGGGCGAGACGGCGGGCAGGTGGAGCTTTGTCGGCGCCAGTGAGTCGGCAGAACCTCTCTCTCTTTCGATGTCCCTGCGCGCGCTCAGGCGGAGCCGCAAAGAGTCAAGGCGCGGCTGCTGACCCACCTCTCCCTCCCTCGCAGACCCGGACAAGGTGTACCGGACAGGGCCGTCCGAGGACGTCTCGGGCGACCCGCTCGTGCCGCTCGAAAAGGTGCTCGACGGTTACAAGTTCATCCAGGTCCAGGGCGCTCCTCCTCTTACCGGTGCGCCGCCACTCTCTCCCTCTCCCTCGCGCCCCGACGACTGTCCTGACCCCGCCTCGTCACAGGCGGCGCGATCGGCTACGTCGGGTACGACTGCATGCGCTTCTTCGAGCCCAAGACGGCGCGCGACGACCTGTCGGACCCGGTCGGGATCCCGGACTCGGTCTTCCTCCTGCACGACACGGTCGTCGCGTTCGACCACCTGTTCCAGCGCGTGTACGTCGTGTCGCACGTGTACGCCAAGGACGCCGCCTCTGCGACGCACGACGCCGTCCGCGAGTCGTACGACGCCGCCGTCGTCAAGATCAAGGCCGTCGCCGCAAAGGTCACGGCCTCGACGCCGCTCCCGCTCCCGCACCAGCCGCCCGTCGTGCCCGCGTCGGTCCCCGCCGGCGAGACGCCCGAGGCGCGGTACGCTCGGCTCGACAAGCTGAGCAACGTCGGCAAGGAGGGCTACGAGCGGTTCGTCACGAGCCTCAAGGAGAAGATCGTCCAGGGCGAGATCATCCAAGCCGTGCCGAGCCAGCGGCTTCGGAGGGAGACCAAGCTGCACCCGTTCAACGTGTACCGGTGCGTCGGGCGTGTTCCCCTCTCGATTCGCTCGGCGTCGACGAGCGTCGCCTTGTCGCGGCTCGAGCGTTTTTCTTTAGGGCGTAGTCCTGACCCACTCGTCCGCTTCCCGCGACAGCCACCTGCGCCAGCTCAACCCGTCGCCGTACATGTTCTACATCGAGTGCGGCAAGGGGACGCAGCTCGTCGGCGCGAGCCCAGAGTGCCTGTGCAAGGTCGAGGACGACGGCAAGGTGACGAACCACGCCATCGCGGGCACCGTCAGGAGGGGCAAGAACCCGGCCGGTACGTCGACGTGCCTCTCTCTTCCCTTCCATGGAGCTCGTGAGCGACGGGCGCCAAGAGCGTGATCTGACCTTCTCGCCTCGTCCCCTCGCCCCCCTCTCGCAGAGGACGCCGCCCTCGCCGCCGAGCTGTCGGCCTCGGTCAAGGACCGCGCCGAGCACGTCATGCTCGTCGACCTCGCGCGCAACGACATCAACCGCGTGTGCCAGCCCGAGACGGTCGTTGTCGACTCGCTCATGCAGGTCGAGAAGTTCTCGCACGTCATGCACCTCACGAGCCAGGTCAGCGGCAAGCTGCGCAAGGGCCTAACGAGGTCCGTCCCCTCTCCTTCTCTCTTCGTGGCGCGACTCGACCCGCACCATGAGCGAGCTCGTACTCAAACCTCTCTCTCCCTCCCCCTTCCCGCCCTCCCTCCCTCTCTCGCGCCCTCGCTCTCGCTCTCGACCTCGCAGGTTCGACGCCTTCCGCTCCATCTTCCCCGCCGGGACCGTTTCGGGCGCGCCCAAGATCCGCGCCATCGAGCTCATCGCGTCGCTCGAGCGCGAGCGTCGCGGCGTGTACGCCGGCGCCGTCGGCCACATCGACTTCAGCAAGGGCATGGACACGTGCATCGCGATTCGCACCATGGTGTTCCGCGACGGCGTCGCGTACCTCCAGGCCGGCGGCGGCATCGTGTTCGACAGCGTCGAGGAGGACGAGTACGTCGAGACGGTCAACAAGCTCGGCGCCAACGTCAGGTGCCTCGAGGAGGCCGAGGGTGCGTCCCCTCTATCTCTCTCCCTCTCTGCGGACGGGACATTGACCCTCTCGACCTCTCGCAGCCTACTACGCGGCGCTCCAGGCCGCGGAGGGAGCATAGAGCCTGAGGAGGTCGACGACGTGCAATTAGAGAGCAGTATCTCAAACCGAGGCCCGAGCGAGAGAATGCCCTCCTTTCGGTCTCCGCTGTGCTTGCTCGTGGAGCCGAATCGAGAAGAGAAGAGAAGGAAGCATTGCTCGTACAGCTACAAGTCGAACCTCGTCCTCGAGAGCCGCATCGCGTCCGTCCGGCCCCTCCTGCTCTACCCGTCTCGATCAGTCTCTCCTCCTCGTCCTCCTCAAGGGTTGACGACCCTCCAGAAGACGCCCGAGCCGCCGTCGCCCGCGACAATCGCCTCCTCGACGACGGTCCCTCGCGGCAACTTGGCGTCCTTGAGGCTCGGCGTCGGGAGCGACGGCGAGACTGCGAGATGGGCCAATGACGGTCGTCAGTCGATGTCTCGTTCCAGTCGGGCCGAGAGAGAGAGAAAGAGAGAGAGAGGAGGACGCACGCTGCATGCGCTTGTGCGGCATCGGGCTCGTCGTTCCACTGCTGAGCGAGCCCTCGGGCGAAACGGGCGCCTCGGGCGCAGCGGCGATGGCGGTCGGGGCAGGACCGGGATAAGGGAGAGGCGCCAGGTGCTGAGGCGTTGGCAGGTTCGAGCGACGACCGGTGCCGAGCTGCGCGAGGGGGACGAGAGAGGAGGAGTCAGTGCGGGGTCGAGAGCGGTACGAGGCTCGGTCTGTCGAAGAGGGAATGAGAGAGGGTGTGACGGACCTGGTAGAACTCGTTGTAGCCCCACACAAAGACGTCGCGGCCGAAAGCCGAGCCGTCGTCGTGCTTGACGGCGTTGTCCTGCGAGACGAGCTCCTGGTCAGGTCCTGCGACTGTTACCGTCGAGGGACACCGTCCTCCTCGTGCCGAGAGACGAGACGATAAAGATAGAGAAGAGGCTGGGACGTACGAGGACGACCGCGACGTGGCCCTCGCCGGCCTGCACGTCCTTGATACCGACAAACTCGACCTTGCCCGTCTGCTCGTTCCCTGCGCGCCGCACGGAAGCCAGGTAAGTGTCTCTCGCGAGCGAGGAGACGCTCGACAGGACGAGAGGACTGGGACGCACACTCGCGCAGGCCGCTGACCGTCTTGACCCGCACCGGCGACGTCGCGTGCGCCCACTGGCCGTAGCCGAGCGCGCCGAACTGCCCCTGCCCCGTCTGCGTGTCGCGTGTAATAAGCAGGTCAGTACGAGACGACGGGCTCGAGGCGCAGGAACGGCGACGGGGAGGAGGAACGACGAGAGAGAGGGAGGGGGACGCACAGCGAGCAGGTCGACGCCGTTCTCCCTCGAGCGCGTGACGAAGTAGCTGACGTTGCCGCCGGCCGCGATGCGCTCACATGCGACGTGCGCCGACTTGCTCGAGCCCGTGTAGGCGGGTGAGCGGATGAAAGGAACCTCGGTCGGGACCGGGATGATGGGGTACGAGAGGGAAGGGCCGAGACCTGCGAGGAGCAAGAAGTCGTCAGGTTCTTGTCCGAAAACGCCTTGGTACGTGCGAGGCCGTTGCGCCTTGCGACGAGCCCGCAGAGGGGCGCACCGTCGACCGTCGAGGAGCCGTGCGGGCAGGACGACTCACCGAGCTGCCCGTAGTTGTTGGCGCCCCAGCCGAGGACGCGTCCCTCGGCCTTGCCGCCGAGACGAGCGAGGCTGTGCTTCTTGCCCGCGACGAGCTCGGCGACCTCGATGCCGCGCAAAGCCGGAATCTCGGACAGGGTCGTGCAGAAGTGGATCGAGCGCTCGAGAGCGGCGTGGTGCGCCGGGTCCGGGTGGAGCTGGAGCTGCGACGACTCGTTGAGGCTGTTGGGCCCGGGCGTGTTGAGCGACGGGACGAGCGAGCCCTTGGGGTTCGGGTTGGACGGCGTCGGCGGAGCGATGGCGGGAAGGAGGAGCGGGTCGATCTTCTTCGGCTGTCGCGCCTGCTGCTCCTTGCTCCAGTCGATCTCGTTGAGGCGCTCGTTGGGCTCGAGGCGGACCGTGAGGGCGCCCGCAGGAGAGCTGCCCGGGTGCGGCGGCGCGAGGAGGGTGACCGAGCGGACGCCGAGCTGGCCGTACGTGTTGGCCGACAGGCAGAGGGGGAGGGCGAATGAGCGACCGCGAGAGGTGAGGGCGAGGAGGTGGGAGGCGCCGGCAGAGAGCGAGATGAACCTGCGGGATGAGGGTTGGGTAAGCTGCGGGCAGACTCGAGGAGGAACGGCGGACGAGGGGACGCACTTCTCGCCCTTGTCGAGCTTGACGTCGGTCACGAGCTTCAACGCCTCGACGTCGCTGCGCCCGCTGCGGCCCCACAGCGTGCCCTTGCCCAGCACCCACTTCCACCCACCGTCGCGCGCCTCGTTCGCGACGTCGACCGCCTGCCCTGCCGGCCGCTGCGACGCCTTGTCGCTCGCAAAGACCCACACCTCGCCCTTCTTGGTCAGGCCAAAAACCTTGCCCTCGCTCGTCGGCACGGCGCGGACGAGGTCCTTGCCCGTGAGCGTGCGCTCGACGCCCGACCCGCCGTAGCCCGCTCCCCACTGGAGGACGTCGCCGCGCGCATCGACTGCGACGCCGTACGTCTCGGCGAGGGCGAGGTCGCGAAGGATGAAAGTCGAGAGGGCGGGAGCGGCGGAAGGGCGCTTGACGGTCGAGGGGACCGAGGCGGGCGAGGAGGGCGAGGCGACACCGTGCGCGTTGCGGCCCCAGCTGCGCGACGAGAGTACCGGTCAGTGACTGATCTGGCTGGCTCTGACCAGGCGCAGGACGCACAGGAAGACCTCGGGCTTCATCGCCTGCCCCACCCCTCCCGTCTCCCACTTGCCCTTGGCCGGCTCTGGGTCGAGGTCGAGCGCGCGCTGCTGCTGAACGAGCGTGTAGCTGCCCACTGCGGCTGCCGCACCCGCAGCGACGAGGGCGGCGCGGGTCCCGATGCTCGAGGTCGAGGGCGGCGCAGATCGAGTCGTGGCAAACGTGCGGCGAGCGAAGCCGGTGGGCGCACGGGGTCGAAGCATGGTGTGCGAGTGCTGCTTGTGCGGGCGTAGTGCGCTCTGTGGCGAGCGCGAGTGTCGAGATTGAACGAGAGTGCGCGAGCGAGCGCAGCGCGCGACCGAGTGGGGAAGTCAAGCGCGTTTTTGTATTCTCAATGACGAGCTTGAAAGGCGAGCTTTCGGTAAGCCAAAGTCAAGCGAGCGCCGAAATGAGAGGTCGAGGTGAGGCTGTTCGGAGCCGCTTCCTCGCTCGAGCCTCTTGTTGCGAGGGAGGGACATGGCTGCGATGCAAATATGCGTTGCGATGCGCTCGAATAGTGGTACGAAAGACGATACTGCTCAAAAGGAGAGAGACTGGAGAGGAGGGAAACCAGAGCGCGAGACAGGAACGAGCGGCTACTTGATCTCGACCTTGCCCATGAGGCCAGCGAGCTCGTCCTCGTCCTTCTTGTCCTGCTCGCTCGCCACCTGCTTCGGCTCCTCGGCCTCGGCGCGCTCCTCGGCCGTCTCCTCGTCCTCGTCCGCCTCGCTCTCCTCCTCTTCGTCCTCTTCGGGCTCCTCGAGCTCGTCCAGCTCGTCGAGCGCCTCGCCGTGGCCCCACTTGTCGAGCGCCTCGCGCACCTTGACAAACTGCTCCTCCTCGCCGTCGTCGCCGTAGTTGCCGTTCAGCTCGAGGTCGACGACGTGCTCGCCGTGCTGGTCGAGCGCCCGCGCGAGCGCGAGGACGGCCCGTGCGTCGAGCTCGTTCGACTGGAGCTTGACCGACGACAGGAGCGGGTTGGAGCCCGACGAGAGGGTCGTGAAGATGGCGAGACCGCCGCGCGGGCGCAGGAGGCAGTCGGACAGGTTGAGGTTCTGTAGCTTGGGCCAGCTGCGAGGGGACGGGCGCAAGGTCAGGACGTCGTCGTCGGGGCGCTGCGCGACGATGGCTTGACGTTGAGAGAAGGGACGCACGAGGGAAGGCTCTGCGCGATGGCCCTCGAGCCCTTCTCGGTCGCCGTGTTGTCCTGCAGGTCGAGCGTGACGAGGCCCGGATTGGCGCGCAGCGCCGTCACGATGGCCTCGATGCCCTCCATGCGGATGCCGTTCTGCGGCATGCGGACCTCCTCAAGGGTCGTCAGGGCCGAGAAGGCCTCGGCGAATGCGGACGACGAGCCGTTCTCGAGACGGTTGCGGCCTGCGGGTCGACGGCGCAGGGTATCAGTGTCTCGTCATGGCGGCACGAGTCGAGAAGAGGGGACGGGGCGACGCACCGCAGACGAGCACGCGCAGAGCGCTCTTGCGACCCTCGCGCTCGGCCTTCTTGGCGTTCTCGAGAAGCGCGCCGGCGATCATGGCGCCGCCTGCCGGGCCCATGCCGTTGTTGTTCAGCTTGAGGACCTGGAGCGCGGGAGCGTTACCGATGAACTCGAGCCTGCGAGCGTGCGAGGGCGCGAAGGAGGGAGACGAGGTGGGGGCGGGGAGAAGTCAGTCGCGCTTCGACGGCGTGTGAGGCACGAGAGAAAGAGAGAGGCGCGACGCACATGGGCTCGGCACTGCGACCGCCAAACGCGTTGTCGCTCAGGTCGAGCGAGGTGAGGTTAGGGAGGGTGAGGAGCGAGGTGCACAGGGCGCGCAGGCACTGCGGGATCTCGGAGATGAGGCGGCCGGTGAAGACGTCGCTGAAGTCGGCCGTCTGTCGCGCAGGATACGAGTCGGTGAGCTGGACGGTCCTGTCACGCAGGAAGGGAGGGAGAGAGGGTGCGCACCTCGAGCTGGTGCTTGTCCTCGAGGGCCTTTGCGATGGCCTCGCAGGCGGCGACGCCGAGCGTGTTGCCGCCGAAGCGGACCTCCTTGAGGTGAGGGCTGTCGCGCAACAGGTCGAGGTACGGCTGGGTCTGCTCGAGCGTGTCGAGCTTGAGCTGCTGGCCGACAAGCGAGAAGAGGGTGTCGGTGGTTTCTGAGGGGACCGGGGGTCAGCGTGGCTCGGGGGGACGCGTAAGAGGGAGGTCGTGCGAGCTCACCGGTGACCTTTGCCATTGTGGGTGGTGCTGACGAGCGAGAGCTGGGAGAGGAGGACGAGGAGGAGATGGCGGCGGACCAACACCACCTCGCCTCAGCACCGTGCACCTCGTCCGGCCTGACCTGCTCAGAGCCATGCAGTCCCTCACTGGATCCCTGCGGTCCCTCGCCCTCACACCAACAGCCACCCGCGCGACCGTCGTCCGCACTCTCGCGACCTCTGCGACCGCCTCTGCCGCCGTGTGGACCCCGCGCACCAAGCGCACCGGCGTGCTCGCGAGGAAACATGGCATGACGGCCCTCTGGGCACAAGACGGCACCCGCATCCCCGTCACCGTCCTCGAGGTGCGCTCCTCCTCCTCCTCCTCCTCCTCTCCTCCTCATCTTCGTCCCCAGGCTCACCCGACCTCTCCCTCCGCAGCTCGACGCGACCCAGGTCATCTCGTCGCAGACCTACCCGGCCGCCGGCAAGGTGCCCGCCCGCCACACCGTCATCGTCGGCACCTCGCCTCGCAAGGCCAAGAACACCAACGGCGCCCTCATGGGCCAGTTCCGCAACGCCGGCGTCGACCCCAAGATGCGTGTCGCAGAGTTCGAGGTGACCGAGGATGCGCTTGTGCCCGCAGGTGCGTCGAGCGCCACAGCCCTCCCCTCCCCTTCACTGCGGACCCAGCCTTGCTCACGCTCAACCTCACGCGCACAGGGACCGAGATCTCGGCGGCACACTTCGTTCCCGGGCAGCACGTCGACGTTCAAGCGCCTTCGTGCGTCCACAGCTCTTTTCCCTCGTCGGCGCACGCCCTCGCCGCCCGTTCGCGAAGCTGACCTCGAACCTCTCCACCGTGCAGAATCGGCAAGGGTTTCCAGGGCGGCATGAAGCGGCACGGGTTCGCCGGTCTGCGAGCGAGTCACGGTGTGTCGATCAGCCACCGTAGCCACGGTTCGACGGGTCAGCACCAGGTGCGTCCCCTCCCTCTCCTTCCCCCTCCCCTTTTCCTCCCTCTCTCACGTCACTGACCCTCTCTCGCCCCGATTCGCCTGGTTACGCCCGCAGGACCCTGGTCGTGTCTTCCCGGGCAAGAAGATGGCGGGCCGCATGGGCGGCCGCAACGTGACGACGCAGAACCTCCTCATCGAGCGCATCGACACGCTGCACAACGTCCTGTACGTGCGTGGCGCCGTCCCCGGCGCGCCCGGCTCGTTTGTCCGGGTCGAGGACGCGCTCAAGAAGGTCGGGTGGAAGGCGCAGATGCGCGAGAAGCGCGGGATCGGGCGCGACGAGGGCGAGGTGCTCGCTGGCGTCAAGGGCTTGCCCATGCCGGCCGCGAGCAGGGACATGGCCAAGAGCTGGCCGCGCGAGGTGCAGCGGTCGGGAGGGTTCAAGTAGACGGGCCCAAGCTGGCAAGCTCGTTCCTGACGACGCGCGGCGGGCTACAGGGCGAGAGCAGAGCTGGCGAGAGAGCGGCTTGAGAAGCTTTTCCTCTGCGAGAGGTTCGTTACCAGAGTGTGCGCGTTCTCGCTGCTCCATGTAGATTGCTGGGGAGCCTCGTCGAGAAGAGCGAGGCCGGGCTTTGGCGAGACGACGAGGACGGTCGAGGAGAGGCGAGGGGCCGAGGTCAACGGCGGGCTCTGGACCGCTACCGCACGCCGCGAGCGCACCTGCCTGTGACCCTTGTCGACTAGACTCGCCGCGCGACAACTGCAGCATCGAGCGCACCCGACTCGCGCCGCCCTCGCTCGCCGCCGCCTCCTCTCGTCGCTGACGCCCAAGCCCGCGACCCCACCTCGACCACCTCGCCCGGGTCTGAGCATGGTGAGTGTCCCAGTCTCTCCCTTGCACCATCCCGAGCGAACGCGACCGCGCCAGCCGCACCCGCAGAGCCTCGCTCGCCCTCCCACACTCTCGTCATCCCCGGCCTCGTCCTCGCCCTCGCTCCGTGCCCGCCAGCCCCTCCCGAGCGCCGAGCGAGTACTGACAACTCGTCACGCTGCACACAGGAGCCGCTCATGGAAGGCCCGCCGTCGCCCGAGGACGTCCCCGTGCACAACATCTCGCCTCCTCCTCCGCACGGCCACCACCCGGCCGGCGCACCGCCGCAGCCGCAACAGCTCCAGGCCCAGGGCCAGCCCGGTCAGATGGACGTCGAGTACGCCAACCAGGCCCCGGTCAGCGTCGAGGACTGTGCGTCTCCCCTTCCTCTCGCCCTCCCACTCTCCTCCCCCGCAAGCGCTCGAAGACTGACTCGTGCCCTCTCGCCGCTCTTGCAGACGAGGCGTTCGCGGCCAAGCACCTGTCGGACATGGGCGAGGAGGTCGACGACTTCCAGGTGTTCCGGTGGCCGCTCAAGGACTACCGTCGCATGGACAAGAAGACGCTCAGCCCAGAGTTCAGCTGCGGCGGGCACAAGTGGTGCGTCCCCCTCGCCCGAACCCCCTACCCCTTCTCGTCTGCTTCGACTCGGGCCAGGCCAAGAAGCGGTACCTCATTTGCCCTGTGACTGACCCACCCCGTCGCCCTCGCTCGCAGGAACATCCTCCTCTTTCCGATGGGCAACTCGAATGGCCAGGCCAACGACATGGTGTCGGTCTACCTCAACTACGGCGACCAAAAGGCGAGCGAGGGCTGGCACGTCTGTGCCCAGTTCGCGCTCGCCATCTCGAACCCGGGCGACCCGACCGTCTACATCCAGTCGCGTGCGTCTCTCGTCCGCCCTCCTCTTGCCTTGCCTGCCCTCCTCGTCTCCCCGTACGAGCCTACTGACATTGCCGACGACACGCTCGCAGAGGCGCACCACCGCTTCACGAACGAGGAGCAGGACTGGGGCTTCACGCGGTTCGTCGAGTTGCGCAAGCTCTTCTCGGTGTCCGAGGGCCGCACCAAGCCCATCATCGAGAACGACGAGACGGTCATCACGGCATTCGTGCGCGTCCTCAAGGACCCGACGGGCGTCCTCTGGCACAACTTCCACAAGTGCGTCTCGCGTCCCTCCTCCTCGGGGCCTCGTCGCCCTCATCGGTCCTGACGAGGCTCGTCCACGCTCGCAGCTACGACTCGAAGAAGATGACTGGACACGTCGGGCTCAAGAACCAGGGCGCGACGTGCTACATGAACTCGCTCCTCCAGTCGCTCTTCCTCACCAACCAGTTCCGAGAAGTGCGTCCTCTCTCCCTCTATACCTTTGACACCAAGACTGACACATACTCGCTCACGCACAGGCCGTGTACCAGATCCCGACAGAGGACGACACGACCGACACGGTGCCGCTCGCCCTGCAACGCGTCTTCTACAACCTCCAGACCTCGGACTCGTCGGTCGGTGCGTCGCCTTTCTCCCTCGTCTCGCGCCCGACGTTCCTTGAGGCATCTCAGACCCTGACCCTGCATCGCTCCCGCAGGCACGACCGAGCTCACCAAGTCGTTCGGCTGGAAGGGCTTCGACTCGTTCCTGCAGCACGACGTGCAAGAGTTCAACCGCGTCCTGTGCGACAAGCTCGAGACCAAGATGAAGGGCACCCAGGCCGACGGCGCCATCAACCGCCTGTTCTGCGGCAAGATGAAGAGCTACATCAAGTGCATCGACATCGACTTTGAGTCGGCGAGGAGCGAGGAGTTCTACGGTGCGTCCTCTCTCCTTTGCCCGACCTTGAGCCTTCCTCCCTTTCCCTCCTCGCCTCGTCGTCGCCGCCGTCGCCACCGCGAGGCCCTCGGCCTCACCTCAAGGGCGTCGAGAACTGACGTCGTCGCCCACTCACAGACATCCAGCTCAACGTCAAGAACCTGCGCAACCTCGAGGAGTCGTTCAAGGACTACATCATGGTCGAGACGCTCGAGGGCGAGAACCGGTACAACGCCGAGGGCTTCGGCCTGCAAGACGCGAAAAAGGGCGTCATCTTCGAGGAGTTCCCGCCCGTGCTCCACCTGCAGCTCAAGCGGTTCGAGTACGACATGCACCGCGACCAGAACGTCAAGATCAACGACCGGCACGAGTTCCCGCTCGAGATCGACCTCGAGCCGTACCTCGACGCCAAGGCCGACCGGTCCGAGTCGCACCTGTACAAGCTCCACGGCGTCCTCGTCCACTCGGGCGACGTTCACGGCGGCCACTACTTTGTCCTCATCAAGCCGCAGCCCGACGGCCGCTGGCTGCGGTTCGACGACGACCGCGTCGTGCCCGTCACGGACCGCGAGGTCCTCGAGGACAACTTTGGCGGCGAGGGCCCGCTCGTGCCGACCAACGGCGGGTACAACGTCGTGCCGCCGGCCGCCAACGTCCAGCCGGGCGTCAAGCCGCCGGTCAAGGGCGCCATGAAGCGCTTCACCAACGCGTACATGCTCGTCTACATCCGCGCGACCCGGGTCGGCGAGGTCCTCAAGGCCATCACGACCGAGGACGTGCCCGAGCACCTGCGCACCCGTCTCGAGCGCGAGCGCCGCGACGCCGAGCAGCGCAAGCGCGAGCGCGACGAGCAGCACCTGTACCTCACGGCCAAGGTGCGTCCCTCTCCCTACCTTCCTCGTCCCTCCCTGCGCTCAAGGACGCCGAGACTGACGGCGCACGCCCTCGCCTCCCACAGGTCATCACCCAGGACACGTTCCGCCAGCACCAAGGGTTCGACCTCGCGACGTTCGACGACCGCACGGTCCCGGCGACCGAGCTGCCGACGTACCGCGTGCCCAAGGCGCAGCACTACCTCGACTTCCGGGCCCAGGTCGCCAAGGACCACGGCCTCGACCCGAACGACGTCCGGCTGTGGGTCCTCGTCAACCGCCAGAACAAGACGGTCCGGCCCGACGCGCCCGTGAGCGACCAGGACCCGACCCTGACGATGGAGGTCGTGCGCGACAAGATGGCGAGCCGGCAGCAGGACCTCAAGCTGTACCTCGAGCACATCGACCCGCGCACCAAGAGCGACTGGCAGGTCCTGCACGGCGCCGAGCCGCCCATCATGGTCTTTGTCAAGCACTTTGACCCGAACCGCCAGACCCTCGCCGGCGTCGGCCACTTCTACGTGCACCGCAACATGCGCGTCATGGACCTCGCGAGCAAGATCAACGAGCGCATGGGCTACCTCCCGACGACGCCGCTCAAGATCTTCGAGGAGATCAAGCCCAACATGATCGAGGGCATGAAGATGAAGGCGACGTTCCTCCAGAGCGAGATCCAGGACGGCGACATCGTGTGTTTCCAGGTCGACATCAACGACCCGCCGCAGCCCGAGGGCGACCGCCAGCTCGCGTTCCACACGCCGCTCCAAATGTACGACTTCTTCATGAACCGGGTCCTCGTCACGTTCCGGCCCAAGTACGTCGACGACCCGGACCACGCGCTCGACGAGTTCGCCATCACGCTCTCGAAGAAGCAGACGTACGACCAGATGGCGCACAAGGTCGGCGAGCGGCTCAAGCACGACCCGCTCAAGCTCCGGTTCACCCAGTCGAACGGCGCCAACGGCGCGCCCAAGACGATCGTGCGCCGCCAGGCCAACTCGACCGTCGCCGAGCTCATCCAGCCGGGCTACATGGCCACCAACACGAACCTCCTGTACTACGAGCTCCTCGACGTGAGCATCATCGAGCTCGAGACCAAGAAGAGCCTGCGCGTCACCTGGGTCGGGCCGACCAACAAGGACGAGGGCGTGCACCACTTCCTCCTGCCCAAGAACACGTCGATGGCCGACGTCGCCAACGACCAGCTGCGCAAGGCCGTCAAGCTCAACCCGGACCTCGGCTCGGGCCAGATCCGCCTGTTCGAGCTGCACCACGGCCGCGTCCAGAAGGTCTTTACCGGCAGCGAGGCCGTGCGCGACGTGCCCGAGGCGACCGAGCTCTTTGCCGAGGAGGTCCTCCTCGACGAGGCCAATGCCGACGACGACGAGCGCGTCGTCCAGGTGTACCACTTCAACAAGGACCCGGCTCGAGCGCACGGCGTCCCTTTCCGCTTCGTGCTGAAACCTGTGCGTCCTCATTCCCCTCTCTCCTTCTCTCGGCGCGAGCCTCACTGACTCGACGATCGAGCGCGTCGTGCAGGGCGAGCCGTTCAGCGCGACCAAGCAGCGGCTCCAGGCGCGCACGGCGACGTCGGACAAGGACCTGGCCAAGATGAAGTTCGCCATCGTGCAGCCGACTGTGTACAAGCAGCCGGCGCCGATACAGGACGACGACGTCCTCGCCGACCACAAGTGGGCCGACGAGGACCTGCTCGGCATGGACCACATCGACAAGCGGAGAGTCGTCGGCGAGAGGGGCGTCTTCATCCGTGCGTCCTCCTCTCTCTTTGGCTCTCTCGGTCTGGTCTCGGCCTCCCGATCGCGCACTGACTCTGCGCCTCTCGTCGCACACAGGGTGATCGTCGCCTCGACTCGACGCCTGCCTCGCCCTTGCCCTCGTCGGACCCCTCGTCCACCCCCCTCCCCTCGTCGTCCTCTCTCGACCTGCGCGCCCTACACCTCGCGCGCTCTCCCCCCACCTCCTCCTCATCATGTCGTCCTCTTCCTCTCTCCTTCGGCCCTGCCGCCCTCGCACGTTCCGCCACCCGTCCGCCTGCTGTTACCCCTTGCCCTCATCCCCTACGCTTTCCCTACTCTTCCCCCTCGTCGCGCGACGTGTGCGCTTCCCCTTTTTCTCCCTCACTCGTATGCTGTGTACTGCAATCTTGCCCCAGATGTCCAAAGAGCGTCTGCGTCGTCGCACTGTGTCGAGAGCGGTCGAGCGAGGAGAGCGAGCGGAGGAGGTTGACCTCACTCACGTCCACGCCTCTGCTCTCTCGCCAGTGGAACTCGGCGAGCTCGCTCTCAGTCCCTACAGCCTCCCGCACGCACACCACGCGCCCAGCTCAGCTGCCGAGCTCGCCTCTCGTCCTGTCGCCGCCTCATCACCACCTCTCGCCTTTGCCGACCTCCACCGCTACCATGTCCGCCCAAGAGACCGCGCAAGTCGACAAGGCCGACGCTGCACCTCCTCCCGAGGTCCCGCTCAATCCCGTCTTCTTCACAGCCGAGGGCGACTTGACCGACAAGGTGCGCACCCTCTCGCTCTCCTCCTCGTCCTCGTCGCGCCTTGTCCCCGAGCTCACCGTGCTCTGTCGCACGTGCGCAGTTCTACGAGACGCTCCGCACCGTCTTCCTCAAGTACGCCAAGACCCCCGCGGCGACGGGCGCTGCCATCGACGGCGAGGCTACGCTCGACGACGAGGCCAAGGCGAGGAAGGCGGGCATGGGGCGCGAGCAGATGAACGCGTTCAGCAAGGCGACCAACGGAGCCGGTCCGTCCCTCTCTCCCTTTTGCGCGCAGCCGCGCTTCTCGCGCTCCTGCGCTCAGCTCACGACCCCTGCTTCCCGCGTTGCAGAAATCGCCGACGAGCAGTGGGACGAGGTCATCATGTACCTCGATACGAACGAGGCCACCGAGCTCACGTTCAAGGGCTTCGTCGGGCTGTACACGCTCCAGACGGGTGCGTGGTCGTCTCCTCTTCTCTCGTCGCCGCCTCGCCTGACATCTCGTCCCACGCGCTCCCGGCCCGCAGAGAACGACGAGGCCGAGACGGTCAAGGACCTCAAGCAGTGGGGGTACGACCCGGCCACGCTGGACGCTGTCGTCGCGGCGTCGAAGCAGGAGGAGAGCGGCGAGGCCAAGGCGTGATGGCTCGTCGACGACGAGGCGATACCCGAGTTGGCTAGATACCTCTGCAATGCACTCAGACTGCAGACTAGGCGGCGCTCGTCTGCGTCAGAGCGACAGGGAAGCGCCGTCTCCTCCTTGCTTTACCCCGGATCCCCGGCGACGAGAAGGCGAGGGCTGCCACCATCTCTCCCACCCACCGCCTCACAGCCGACGATGGCGACACGACAGCGATCAGCAGGAGTGCGCCGGCTGCTGCAAGAGGCGCAAGAACTCGAGCACGACGACTGCGCCGACTACGCCGCTCAACCGCTCGAGGTGCGTCGCAGCGGCCTCCTCTCCTCCCCCTCTGCGTGTGTGTGGAAGCTGACACAAGGTCCCGAACCTGCAGAACGACATCTTCCAGTGGCACTTCACCCTCCGCGGTGCCGAGGGGAGCGACTACCAAGGTGCGCCGACGCTCTCGTCCTCGCCGCCACGCTCGGCCTCTCGCGCAGCAGCATCGAGCGCGTTCACGAGGACGGCAACTGACTCGGTCTGCCCATGCAGGTGGCGTGTACCACGGCAAGCTCGTAGTGCGTGTCCTTCTCTCCTCCCTCCCTCCCCCACTCGCACACCTCGCGTGCCGACTGACCATCTCGTCCTCCTCGCACAGCTCCCGTCTGACTACCCGTTCAAGCCGCCCGAGGTCTACATGCTCACGCCGTCGGGCCGCTTCGAGGTCAACAAGAAGATCTGCCTCTCCATCTCGAGCTTCCACCCGTGCGTCCTCGGCAGTCCTCCCCTCGCGTCCTGTCGGTCACAGACCTCTATCGAGCACAAGCTGACTGTCCTCTTTGTGCGCACAGCGAGACGTGGCAGCCGAGCTGGGGCATCCGCACGGCGCTGCTCGCCATCATGGCCTTCTTCGAGACCGAGGTGCGTCGTCCTCTCGCCGTTCTCGCGACATCGTACGAGTACTCACTCTGCGCCTTTCCTCGTTGTCGGTGCCGTTGCTCTCGCAGCCGAAAGGAGCCGTCGGGTCGCTGGACGCGCCACCTGTCGAGCGCCGTCGCCTCGCCCTCGCCTCGACCAAGCACAAGTGCGCGACGTGCGGGTTCGACGCGGCAGACAAGGACTCGTTCGCGGCCTTGCCTGCGCCAAAGGTGATCGCGACGGCGGAGCCGGACGGCGTGACGCAAGTGCAGGTCACTGCGCCGGCGTCGGCGAGCAAGGGCATCTCGTCGTCGAGCGAGTCCTCCCCGACGCTTCCACGTGCTGCGGTCGACTCGGGCGACGAGCACGAGGTCGAACCCGAGCCGTCTGCGCCACCTCCAGTCGCCGAGTCGTCCCGTCCGACGTCCATCTTCCCCTCGGCCCCCTCCCCACCTGCACCTCAGCGTGCTCCCCGCTCCTCGTCCTCGTCGGGCCGGGTGCCTCACGGACCTCGCAGCCCTGTCGAATCGTTCTCGGGCGGCGGCGACGCAGGACCGCTCGTCCCTCCCGGCGCCCCTCGCCTCTCGCCCGCGCACCTGCCCCCTCGCGCACCGACCGCCGACGCCCACCCGGCTCACGAGCACGGCGCCGCGCCGAACCCGCTCCTCGCGCACGCACCACACGCACTCGCCGACGCGCATGGCCTGCCGGCGCTCCCGCCGGGCGTGTCGCTCGCGCAGCTGAGCCCCGACGGGCTCGCTGGCGGCGGGCCGCCGAGCTGGGTCGACCGCGCCATCGTCGCGTGCCTGCTCGCGCTCGTCGCGCTCGTCGTGCGCAAGGTGGCCTAGCCGCTCGAGCGGGACGATCGTCGCACCCTGTGTGCGTGCCTGTGAGCCGGCGTCGGCGCGTGTACCCGGTGTCGCTGTTTCCCCTTTGCTCTCTCGCCCTCCTTGTCGCACTCCCCTCTCGATCTATCTTTCCTGCCTCCCCTGTGTCGCTTCGTCTGTGCCCTGTTCCTCTCTGTATAGCTCGCGCGCCCTGCAACTACCTTGCCTGCCTTTCGCCGACGTCGTCTGAGTCTGCTCGCCTGCGAGCTGTCGAAAGTGTGACTCGCTTGACTCGTCGTACTCTCTCTCAGAGCATCACAAGCTGCAGTGGCACTGCTCGTCCAAGCCGCGAGACGATCCCGATCCGCCTCGCCGGACGACGACGACGACGCGCCGCGACGCCCGCGAGAGTTGTCCTCACCGCCTCGCCTCGCTCAGCTCTCCCGCCAGCTCAGCCCCGCCAGTGCACCACCCGCCAGCACTGCCACGATGGCCGCCTCGTCAGACTCGGACGCGCGCTCGCCCTCGCCGCCCGCACCAGCACCAGCCGACGCGGGCTCTCGCACCGCGCGAAGGAAGAGCGGTCGCGTCAGGAAGGAGGTGCAGAGGCTCGGTGGTGCGTCCAGCTCTCTCTGTATCAGCAGCTGTACCGCACGAGGCTCTTGGGGGCGAGCCTGGGCGCGCAGATGGCGAGGCGAGTTGGAGGGAGGTGGGGCGAACGGGTGCTCTCGCTCAGTCGCAGCGGCGCGCAGTGAGTGCTGGAGGAGCACAGGAGCCTTTCACAGCTTCTCTCAAGTCTACCAGGGCGCGTCCTGACCTTAGCCCGCCTTTCCTCCCTCCCTCCTCGCCGCCCTCGACCGCCGCGCACCCTCGTCCGTCCACAGCCTCGGACGGCAAGAGCAAGCGCAACGGCAACGCCGACTCGGACGACGACGACGACGACGACAACGACGACAGCGACGACTCGCCAGAAGAAGCAGACGACGACGACGAGTTCAAGGTGCCGACCTCGATCAAGACGGGCTCGCGCAAGCGCGCACCACCCGGCACCTCGCCCGGGCCCTTGCCCGCAGGCCGCGCTCCACCGCGCGCCAAGAAGGCGGCGGCCAAGCCGACCGCACCGCGCAAGCGCAAGGCGGCAAAGGTGGACGAGGACGACGAGGACGAGAACGGGGCCGGTGCGCCTGCGGCCAAGAAGGCGGCGGCGGCGGCCAAGGACTTCAAGATCGAGAACGACAACGGGCTCTTCAGTGCGTCTAGAGCGCGCTTCTCCATGTCCTGCATCAGCGGGCTCGAGCCTCTTGGGCGCCGGGACTGACCTCGAGCCGAGTCTCTCTCGCGCAGACGCGGTCAAGAACCCCAACACGGCGCTGCAGACGACGGCCGAGGACTGGATCGAGTCGTACCGGGACGAGCCGGGTCCGGCGATGGCGGAGCTCGTCAACTTTGTCCTGCGGGTGCGTCGCTCTGTCCTCCCTCCGACTCGCTCGTCGCGGCACCGACGAGCCCTGAACTGACACCTCTCCTTCGGCGCCAACAGTGCTGCGGCGTCAATGCCACGATCGACGAGCACCAGGCCGAGGACGAGAACGGCATCGTCGAGAACCTCAAGGACATCGTCGACGACTTCAAGCAGGTGCGCCGGCTCTCGCATCATCGGATCACTCGTCCCTCGTCTCTGACTCTCTCCTTCTTTCCTTGCTCGACGTGCAGGAAACCGACCTCGCCTACCCGCTCATCTCCAAGTCGAAGCCGTACAAGAAGTTCCGCGACTCGCTCGCCCAGTTCCTCCAGAAGCTCCTCGCCGCCTCGGCCGACGACATCCTGTTCTCGACGGCCTTCTACGAGCACTTCCAGGCGTGGGTCCACGCCCTGTCGTCGTCGCAGATCCGCGCCCTGCGCCACACGGCGACCGTCGTTGTCCTCCTGTGCGTCAACGCGCTGTCGACGCTCCACGTCCAGGTGCGCAAGGAGCACGCGCAGGCCGTCCGCGCCAAGGAGGCCGAGGAGAAGAAGAGCCGCAAGGACAAGGCGAGGTTGCGCGACATGGAGCGCCAGGTCAAGGAGGCGCACGAGCGGCTCGAGACGGTCGAGGCGTTCATGGACGAGAGCTACACGTCGTACGTCCTCGCCCCTCCTTTGTCCTCCTCTGCGTCCTCGGCATCAAGCTCACCTGTCCCTCGTTCGCCCCTCGCAGCGTCTTCGTCAACCGGTACCGCGACGCCGACGCCGTCATCCGCTCCGAGTGCATCTCGTCCCTCGGCGCGTGGATGAAGCTCGACCCGGACCACTGGATCGACGGCGACTACCTGCGCTACATTGGCTGGGTCCTGTCGGACGAGGTGCGTCCCTGCCCTTCCTTCCTGCCGTCGTCGACGACCGCCCGATCTCTCCCAGCCCGACACTGACCCTGCCGCCGGTCCACAGTCCAAGGAGGCTCGTCGCGAGTCGGTTCGTGCGCTCCTGTCGCTCTACCAGAAGGACGCCTACCTCGGCAAGCTCCACCACTTCACCGACCGGTTCAAGCAGCAGCTCGTCGACATGGCGGTCGGCGAGCACGACCTCGCCGTCCGGGTCCAGTCGCTCCAGGTCGTCCACCAGATCGACAAGCACGGCCTCCTCGAGGACGACAAGCAGCGTGACGAGGTCGCCATGCTCATCTACGAGAAGGAGCCGCGCGTCCGTGCCGCCGCCGCCGCCTTCTTCAAGAACCTGGTCGACGAGGACGCCGAAGAGCTGCAGGGCGAGCTCGACGTCAAGAACAAGAGCAAGAAGGGTCGAGGGCGCAAGGCCAAGGAGGTCGACGAGGCGCTGTCGACCGCCGTCGAGTACAAGATCCTCGCCCAGCTCCTCGTCAAGTACGGCAAGGCGCTCGACGGCCCGCCCGTCGGCGACGACGACGAGGGCGACAGCGTCGACGACTCGCAGCACCGCCGCTCGAGCGACAGCAACGGCATGACCGCCGGCGACGTCGTCCCGAGCCGCGCGGGCGCCGCCGCCGACGGCGACGATGCGGGCGCGACCGTCGTCGTCCCACGAGCTCGCGTCGCCTGCGCCGTCGACGCGCTGTGGAGCACGGTCACGAGCCTGCAGGACTGGGAGGCCATGCTCGAGTACGTCCTGCGGGACCACTCGGCGGCGGCGGTGGCGGCGGCGGGCTCGTCGGGCAAGGGCAAGGGCAAGGGCAAGCAGGGCCGAGCGGCGGGCGGTCGCGCCAAGCACCCTCGTTCAGGCGGCAGCGGCGAGGACGAGGACGAGGAGATGCAGGACGGCGACGGCGACGATGGCGGCGCGGAGGAACAGCTGCCCGAGGAGGTGCGCCTCACCGAGGAGGAGGAGACGCTCTTCATCGAGGTCCTCGTCGCGTGCTTGACGCGCATCACGACCGCCACCATGAGCAAGAAGAAGGTGCGTCCACACCCCTTTCTCGTCCTCTCGTGCCCTCGTCCTTGCGTCGCTCACTCACCGTGTTCCTCCCCCAGGAGCAGGAGGCGATCGACGAGGAGGTCGCGAACGTCGGCCGCGCCCTCATCGAGGCGCTCCCCAAGCTCTTCAGCAAGAACCAGGCCTACTCGTCGCGCCTCATCGACATCCTGTCGTTGCCTCGCCTCATCTCGCTCGAGCTCTTCCTCGAGGGTCAGCAACTTTCGGTGCGCCCCTCTCCTCTTCTCTTCTCTCCCTCCTCTCCCTGTGGGTGCACAAGAGTACTCACGCTCTCCTCTGATGCACACGCAGGCGTACGCGGCGCTGTGGGACGACGTCACGAAGCAGCTCCTCAAGCACACGCAGCCCGACCTTCTCGACCAGGCCGTCCGCACGCTCGTCACCTTCCTTTCCGCCAAGGACCTGTCAGCGACCAACCAGATCAAGCTCGGCGAGCTCGAGGAGACGACCATCGGCGCGCTCCGCGCCGCGGCCGGCGACGACGTCGAGAGCGCGTCCTTCTCCGACGACGAGCTGCACACGCTCACGGCGTGCGTCGCGAGGGTCGCCAAGCTCGCCGCCGTCTACAACATCTCGCTCGCCATGGAGGACACGGACGACGGCAAGGCGGCGAGCGTGCTCGACATCCTCGACGGCATCTTCAACCGCGGCCGGCTCGGCTACAAGGACGAGACGGCTGTGCGTCCCGATCGTCCTCTTTCTCTCCTTTCTCTCGCAGTCGACCCTGACTCTGTCTCTCTCGGTGTTCTGCAGATGGTCGAGCACGCGATCAACCTCCTCGGCGGGCACATCTGCTGGCAGATCCGCGCCGTCAAGGACGAGACGACGGCGAGCGGCAAGGCCGACCTGCCCACTATCCTTGCCGTGTCCGAGCGGCGCCAGAGCTTGCTCGACCGCCTCGAGGAGTACGCCGTCGGCGGCGAGACGAACGCGAGCGAGGGCGTCAAGCAGGCTGTGCGTCATCTCTCCCTCTGTCCGCCTCGACCCCCATGCCGAACTGACCCTGCTGCATCTGCAGGCTCTCGACGTCCTCCTCGACATCTACATGATCTCGCACGTCGTCGCCACGCCGGCGTCCGACCCAGACGGCCTCCTCGCCGACCTCAAACTCGTCGCGACCGACGAGCTGCAGGCTCGCTGCGCCGGCTTCGTCGAGGCCGAGATCGAGCGGTACGCCGAGACGCTGCGCGAGGCGGACGAGGAGGAGCAGGACGCGACGCAGCGCGAGGAGGGCAGCGACGACGGCGCGAGCAGCAGCGGGAGCGAGACGGAGACGGAGCGCAGCCAGGGCCGGTCCCAGCGCGGCAAGGGCAAGGGCAAGAAGGCGGCGGCGGGCAGGAAGGGCAAGGGCAAGCAGGCGGCGCTCAAGAAGGTCGAGAAGCGCAGGCGCAAGACGGTCGCCCAGGTCCGGGGTGCGTCTCCCTCTTCCTTCTCCTCGTTCTCCCGCGAGCGCGCGGACCTGACTCGAACTCTCTTCCTCTCGCATGCGCAGCCGACAACGCCAAGGACGAGGCCAAGCTCGCCGCCAACCAGCACTTCCTGCGCTCGGTCGTCTCGCCGTTCCTGCGCGTCTTCCACTCAGGCGGCTTCAACCTCCGCCACTGCGTCGTCCTCCTCAAGCACTGGGGCCGCTTCAGCAGGGAGTACGACGAGCAGTGCAAGCTCCTGCTGCACGACCTGCGCGACGAGGGCGTCTACAGCGCCGCGAGCGACATCGTCGCCTCGACCGTCGTCGACATCCTCAAGAGCGCGTGCGACGTCCACCTCGACTCGCCCGACGCGCCCTCGACGACGACCGAGGAGCCCCTCGTCTCGCTCGGCCGCCAGCTGTCCGGCGTCGTCGCCATCCGCGGCGCGCACCTCGCCATCGTCGGCTCGCTCCCCGCCGAGGACCACCTTCGCCTGCACGTCGACGCGCTCAAGTGGATCGTGCCCAAACTCGCCCATCTCGAGGAGACCAAGCGCAAGGACGAGCGCACGCGTGCCATCGTGTTCTTCAAGGCGCTCGCGCACCTTCTGCTCGGCCTCGACGGTCGCAGCTCGCTCAAGGTGTACGTCCCCCCTCCTTCTCCCCAAATCAGTCCGGCCCCTTACTGACAATCCCCTGAACGCATGCCTCACAGCAAGACGACACTCGACCGCCTCCTCGACGAGCACGAGCTCGCCCATGCCGGCTCTGCCACCGGGTCCAAGATCTGGGAGCCCGTCCGCGCCTACCAGCGCCGCCTCATCACCGCCATGTCTAAGGATCCTTGTGCGTCTCTCTCTCTATATCTCCTAGCCTTGTCCAAACCTCTGCGACGCGTCCTGACGAGCGAGTCGGCCTGCAGCGATCCGCAAAGCCGCGGCGACCGACGGCGACAAGAAGCCCGCCGCGGCGACCAAGGCGCCGCGCTACAGGGACAAGACGACGCCCAAGGCCAAGACCAAGTCGCCTGCGTCCGACGAGGACGACGAGCAGCCCGAAGCGGCGCTCGGCGCCGACGCCGACGAGGACGACGACCAACTCGCCGGCGCCGCCTCGGACGAGGCCGACGGCGCCGAGGTGACGGCGACCGCGTCGACCTCGGCTTCGCGGCGCGGCGCGAGCGTCAGCCAGAGCCTGTACGGCTCGCAGGCGCGCCAGAAGCAGCCTCGCCCGCCGAGCCCGAGCCAGGAGCTCTTCGGCCCGGGCGCAGGACCGGCGGCCAAGCGCAGGAGGACGAGCCCGCCGGTCGAGGAGGAGCAGGAGTACGATGCGGAGCAGCAGGCGTCGGGCTCGTCGGCGCCGCAGGCGAGCGCGTCGCAGTCGCAGGCGAGGAAGCGCGCGCGCGAGGAGGAGCAGGGCGACGAGGACGACGATGCGCTCGGCGCGACGGGCGACCTCGGCGTGACGCAGACGCAGCTTGACGACGAGGACAGCGGCGTCGTCTCGTCGGGCGTCGTCGGCGCCGGCGGTGCGGCGCGGTCGGAGCGCGAGATGTCGCTCGAGTCGACGATGAGCTTGACCGACCTCAAGGGCAAGAAGCGTCGGCTCTGAGCCAGCGTCGCTCTCTCGTCGTCGTCGTCGTCGCCGCCGAGCCCTGTTAGTGTACCGCTTGATCAGTAACTCGCAGTCTGTCTCTCTGTGCATCGTCGCCGTTCCCGAGAGGCTCGAGACCTAGGCTCTCGCTCGCAAAGCTCGCTCTCAAAAGCTCGACAGCCGAGAGAGAGACGCTCTAGTACTGCAGCAAGTGTCTGTTCCGTCCCCGGCTACGGTCTCACGCCGCCTCACTCGAGTTTCAGAGCTCCCTCGTCGTCGTCCCTCCAGCCGAGCGCCCTCCCGTCGACGACGCCTCGCCGGATCCAGGGCCGCATGCGCGACTCAAAGTCGCGGAAGACGCTCTCAGACTGCATGACGGTCGGCTGGGGCTGGTGCGAGAGCCAGTAGGCGTGGAAGAGGGAGAGCAGGGAGGAAGAGAGGGAGAGGAGGGGCTCGAGCGCGGCCGATGACGAGGAAGAGGACGAGGATCGGGGCGAGGGCGTGTCGGTGTCGATGCTCGATGCGGGAAGGATACGGAGGAGGTAGAGCTGAAGGTCGCGCTGCGGTCGAGGGCGAAAGGGATCAGTCGCTGGCCGAGAAGGAAAGGGAGACGAGGACGGGCTCACCTTCTTGGCCATGTCGAGGACAAACGCCGTCACGTGGATCGAGGCGAGTGCAAGAGGGTACCTTTGCGAGTCGATCGAAGAGTGAGTGCCGGTACTCGAAACGCTGCGCGGCGCAGAAGGAGAAGCTCGGCGACGCACCAGTGCTCGCCTCCTCCCACGCTCTCTTCCACCATCTCGGCCGCTCGCTCGCCGTACGTATGCGCAAAGTTGAGGAAGGCGTCGAGTCTGTGTATCGTCACAGGCACGTCGAGGTTAGTGACCTTCTCGCTCAGGAGGAAAGCTGACCGGGACTGGCGCTCGACGCACCCGAGCATGCCGACCGCGCGAAAGTCGGTCGCCGGCGAAACGTTCCTGTGTGCAACAGCTCGTCAGTCCGAATTCGTAAAGGTTCGAGGAATCTTTAGGCGCGAGGAGAGAGCGGACGAGGACGCACTGGAACCCGACCTCCTGCCACTCTTTTCCCTTGACCTCCTTCCACTCGCTCCTTTCCGGCCTCAGGAGGCCCCACAGCTCTCTCAGCTTCTCGTCGGCGCTCGAGTCGTCGGGGAAAGGTGTCGATGCGCGCTCTTGGGCGGCGGCGGTGAGGAGGTATGTGCGGCGGACGGTGGCGAGCGAGGAGAGGAGGAGGTCGTGTGCCTGCGGGACAAGAGGTGGTCAGTATCGTCGCTCTGGAAGACAAGAGGAGAGAAGGAGAGGAGGAAGAGGACGCACAGGTGAAGGAATCGCGATGCCCTCGAGCGTCGCGATGAGCCGGCTCAGCTCCTCGTCGTCGTCGTCGTCGTCACCGGGAGCGCCAGGCGAGGCCGCCGACGACAGGGACATGTAGCCATTGCTGTTTGGTGCCGACGTGGACGTCTGCGAGAGGGCGAGCAACGGTGAGGACTCGTACAGGGACGCAGAAAGACGATCTTTGATAGCGAGAGAGAAAGAGAGTGCGCACCTCGCCCTTGAGCGCCTTCCACCGCGCATAGTCGACGACCCTCAACGTGCCCGCACTGACCGTTCCCGTCGCCCCCTGCCGCTCCTCGAGCTCCCACTCAAGCGTCTGGCGCAACAGCGCCGGCCGCGTGAGGTACAGGGCCCAGCTGGCGAACCACGACGACAGGGTCGGCGGCGCCTCGCACGCGAGGAGGAGGGAGAGGGTCAGGGTGGGCGTGAGGTAGTATTCCCAGGCGGACGACATGGTGTTGGCGAGGATCTGGCGCGTGGTCGGCTGCGGCTGCGGCGGCGCCGAGAGGGTGGGCTGGAGGCAATGCGTCAGGGAGAGTTCCGGCACACAACAGCAGAAGCAGGTACGCTGCCGCTCGAGCGACGTGCCCGCACAGTCTAGGGAGAGCCGGGACGCACCTGGAAGGCGACGAGGTGGAGCCGCGGGTCGCTGCGAGGGGAAGGGGTCAGTTCGGGACGGCGCGCTCGGACTGAGGCAACTGGGGCTTGCCTCACGAGTATCGGACAGGCTGCGCTGCCCTGGGCGAGGCTTGACGAAGGTAGGTGGTCGAGTCGAAGTTGGGCCGGGTGATGAGGACTGGCGGCGGTTCTGGACGGCGAGGGGGTGTTCTTGCTGGACGGCGAGGCGCGCAGAGAGTACCGGGACGGCTTGTGCAGCTAGGTGGACCCGCTCAGCAGGTGAGTCGCGGCTGTGGAGCAGCTCAAGCCGTGAGCGGCTCCACCTCGCGTCGCCAAGTCTGAATCCGGCACCACCGCGGCAATCTCGCCCGACCAGTCGCACTCGCGCGAGCGCGCTCAATCGCGTGCGGTAGCTCTCTACTTGCCGTCTCTCGGAATCATGCGATCAAACCGGCGAAAGAAGAGAGGCCGCCCACTCCTTGCGCCTCGTCCTCGTTCCCTCGAGTCAGGTCACGCTCGTCTCGCGAGCTGCAGACACATCTAGTACAACAACGCGCCGTCTATGTCACCTCCCCACCGACACCCTGCTCCCGCCCGACTCTAGTCGCGTACGAGGAACCCGACGAGGCAGTTCTCGAGCAGCGTGTCGTAGTTGACCCACGCGTGCGCGAGCACTGCGCGAGGAAAAGGGCGAAGCAGTCAGGCTCGACGCTCGCGCCACAGAAAGAGAGAGCGAGAGGACGCACTGAAGAGCTGAGTGGCTGCGAGAGGACGGAGGGAGGGATGACAAGGAGGTCGTCAGAACTCGTGCTCGTCCAGGCTCGAGGCGAGCATGCGCAGCGCTCGCCCGCGAGACGGTCGCTCGTCCCTGCGCGACCGTACCGACGCCAATGAGAGAAAGAGAGCTCGTAGACGCACCGTCCTTGCCCGCACCGCGCATCATCTCGCCGTCGCCGCCCGGGTGGAACTTGAGGAACGGGCCGACGTTGTACACCTTGCCGCCGTACGCCTGCCAGCAGTCGTCGCGCGTGTTGTGCCGCTCGAGCTCTGACGGCGTAATGCCGCGCAGCTCGGTGACGCCGCCCTGTACGAGGAAAGCGAGGGTCAGTAAAGGGCCGGCGTGGAGGTGTGCGGGCTGTGCCCGGCAAGGAGGAGGAGAAGAGAAAGGGACGCACGCGCAAGTCGACGTCGCCGCTGCGGTTCAACCTGGCCCAGTCGAGCTGGCTGAAGCCCTTCTCGACCCGGACCCGCCCTTTTGCCGCCTTGACCACCTTCTTGGTCGTCGTCGGGGGAGCGAGCGCGCCAGCTCCGCTGACCTGGATCTCGGGCAGCGCCGGCTTGTCGTCGTCGGCGTCGCCCTGCCCGTCTTGGTCGTCGCCGTCGTCGGGTGTTCGAGGTGCGTCGGGCGGCGAGAGGGCGAACGAGGGGGTGGCGGAGGAGGGTGGTCGTGCTCGCTGCTGCGAGTTGGCGGCGGGGAAGGCGACCGAGGTGGTGTCGGGCTCTGCGACGATCGAGGGGACGCTGCTGGTCGAGGCTGAGGGAGCCGAGAGCCCGAGGGCTTGCTGTCGACGTGGGGAGAAGGCAGGGATGAGCAGCGCTCGGGAGCGCGGTGAGAACGCGTCCGGTGCTCACAGTGATGCTGCTGAACATGCTCGAGCTGCTGTTGTTGTAATCGCGCCGCGTGGTGTCGAGAACCGAGGTCAGAGAGAGTCGACGAACTCGACGAACTGATGAAGGTGGTCCAGCTCGACGACTCGCAAACTCGCCCTCACACACGGCAAGAGCTGCTGTGGTGCGCCTGTGCAGGTCCTAGCACCCGCCATGGACCGCCCACATCCGCTGCTCGACCGCCTTGAGGCGACCACACGCTCTCCGCCGTCACTCAAGTCGTCGGCTCTCGCAATCCTCCGCGCCGCCTGGCCAGTGAGTCCCAGCCCGCCTGATGCAGCCATGCCATGCGAGCTGACCCTCGCCCTCCCCTGCGCAGGCCGTGACCGACCTCGGCGACGCCCATTACTCGCTCATCGCCGACCTCCTTCCGCTCAGCACCGCCTCGCAACTCGCCATGCTCGAAGACGCGTCGCCTCACATCGCCCCGCACACCAACCGTGAGCACACAGCTCCCGCGACGTCCGTCATGGCGCGCCGCTGACCCTCCCGCCCGCCGCGACAGACATCTGGCGCGAGCTCGCCATCAACGAGTTCATCGAGGTGCGCAAGGTCATCGAGGACGGCCAGCTCCGCCCCGACGACGAGCCACAGTCGTGGCGCGAACAGTACGAGCGAGAGGAGGCCCGTCGCGAGGTGCGTCGCCGCCATTCCGCCCCTTCTGGTCGCCGACGCTCGAGCCCAGACCTGACGCGCTCGTCATCCTACAGGCCAAGATGGAGGAGCTCCTGTCGCGCATGCGGGGACAGCTCCAAGACTACAAGGACCGGCGCAAGACGATCGAGCGCGTCGACGGCGTCCAGCTTGCCAAAGCTCGCAAAGCCGGTCCTCCTCGTGCGTGGCCCTCTCTCCCCTCGCCTCGCAGCCGGGGCCTGACTCGGTTCCTCCCTGCAGCACGCGTCAAGTCGCTCATGGACAAGGCCCGGAGCAACACCAAGGCGATCAAGAGCATCTACGCCCCGAGGCGTCGCAAACCTGCCGCGCCCGCCCAGCCTCGACATCCGCCCAAGCCCGTCCTGCCCGCCGTGCCGCCCGCCCTCGCCGGCGCTCTCCCCAGTCGACCTCCTCCGCCTCTCGCGGGCTTCCCTCCTGGCCCTCCTCGTCCCAAGCGCGACCTCCTCGCGGGCTTTCCCGACGCGTCCCCCGAGCAGCCGAGCGCATGTTCCGCTGGCGCGCCCGCCTCGAGCTCGACGTCCGACGCGCCGACATTGCGCCCGTACAAGGAGTCGACGGCGTCGCTTGCGAGGACGGGCAGGCCCGTCTCGGACGAGCCTCGCTCGCTCAAGCGCGGTGCGGGCCCGTTCGCGGCCGAGGAGGGCGCGCCGCACGCCCACAAGCGGGTCGCGCTCTCGCCGCCCGCATCGGCAACGTCGTACGCGAGCAGCAGAGCATCGTCGAGCCGGCAGCCGAGCTTCTCGCCGCCGGCTCCGGCCTCTTCCTCCCACGCCCGACCCACCCCTTCCACCGCCGACCAAGCCCGCTCTCCCCCTCCCACCACCACGACTCAGCAGCAGCCTTCCTCTCGTCCTCGAGCCAGGCCCGTCATCACGACCGTCAAGCGGGTCGTCGCCGTCCCTCGCCCTCGTCCTCCTCCACCCGCACCTCCACGCTCGACAGCGACCTCGCCGGGGTCCTCGCCGCCACCGCCGCCAGCATACCTCCCCGCATTCTCGGTCGCCGCAGCAGCTCCCGGCGCTGCCTCGCGCCGCACCTCGACGCCGTCGGGCGCCTCGCCGCCCCCTCGTCCTCCTCCGCCGCCGCTCGCGTCCCGCGCCGCCACCGCAGCGTCGCGCGCCGCCTCGCCACCCGCAGCGCCAGGGCGGGTCCCGAGCGCGCGGTCGGTCAACGGGCTGTTCATCCCGCGGCGAGGAGGACCGGGCGCGGGCGCACGGTGAGGCGCGGAGGAGGAGAAGCTTGAGGTCGTCGTCGAGGAGGAGCTGGTAGTGAATTTGGGGAGCAACGTCGTGCGCTTTATCTCTCGAGTGGGTTCGACCTAGATGAGCACGAGAGCGATGGAAGGGAAAGCGAGAGCGAGAGCGGTTGTCCTCTCGCCGACTCATGCCCTCTCGTCGACCGCGCACAAGCAGAGGCACGAACGAAAGAGCACATCCTTTGCGTCCCTATCTACACAGTCTGTCTCCTCGAACCGAAAGGAAAGCCCGGGCGCAACGAGCGCGCGCTCACTGGTCGGCCGAGGTGGCGGCGCTCGAGCCGTCGGCGCTGAACTTGGCCGACTCGCTGTCGGTCTTGATGTTGGCGCCGGCCTCGCCGTTGGCGGGGTACTCGTTGTTGACGTCTGAGAGAGGGCGAAAGACGGGCGCAGAAGGAGGGACGAGAAGGGAGAGTCGAGGAGAAAGTGGGGGAGGAGCGGAGAGGAGGAGAAGTGGGAAAGGGACGGGAACAAAGGTCAGCGCTCGGCGCTTCTCTGTCTGATGTGGTAGAGAGGAGGAAGACGCACTCGGCTGGGACGACTGCAGAGATTGGGAAAAGGTGCGACGAGGCGGGGCAACATGGGCGAGCTACGTCAGTGGCAGGTCCAGTGCGCGCACCCAGTCGACGCGGCGCAGGTGCAGAGCCGCGCGCACGCTCGACTGGCACAGTGGGAGAGGAACGAGAGGGACGCACAGTGTCGCCCTTCATGCTGCTCTCCGAGTCGTTCATCTCGCGGCCGCCGGCCTGCGAGTCGGCGCCCTGGCCCGACGGGCCCTTGGTCGAGCCCTCGCCGATGGCCTGGTTGTTCGCGCCGAGTCCGGAAGCAGAGTCTGCGGGCGTGCAGGCGAGGTCAGTCGGTGTGACGAGGCGAGAGAGGGCGACGAAGGGTGGGGCCGCACTGGACGACATGGTGGAGCTGCGCGAAGGGGAGGAAGAGTCAGTGAGGGTGCGCCATCGCATGGACAGGGTGCCGAGACGCACAGTGGTACTGTGCTGGTGGTGGCTAGAAGTGCAGAAGCGAGTGGAGGGAGAGAGCGAGAGAGCCGACGTCTCGTCCTCGTCGACCTTCCCCGTCTCTCCGCACGGATGACGACGACGCAGCCTCGTCTTCACCGAGGGTCCTTCTCGGCGCCATTTCGCTCGCGAGCTCGACTGCTTGAGCGACTGCTCTCGAGGCTAAGCGAGAGGAACCGAGCCGTCGAGCCAGAGCACTTCTCGAGCCGAGTTTCGACTTCTCGGCTGCGGCGGAACCTCTCCTCGTCGCTCTCGACGACAACGGCGGCGGCGCACGTCTGTGTACAGGGTTCCTCGGCGTGAGCGAGCTGGGGGTACTGAGAGGGGAGGGACGAGTCTACTTCTTCTCCTTCTTCGAGAACTTGGTCGTGTTGGCCTCGGACGCGAGGCGGATCGCCCACGACAGCGCGTACGTCTTGCTCGCGTCATCGAACGATGACAAAATGGCGAACGCGCGTCCCTCGTCGTCGTCGGCGATGGCGCTGTCGTTGTGGGCGGCAGGAGCGCCGGCGGCCGTGGCGGGGATCTCGTCGAGGAACGCGTTGAGCTCGCCGGCATACGGGTCGTCGTCGCCGAACTGCAGGTGACGGGTAAAGACGTCAGGATCGTACACGAGGAGAGAGGAGGCGAGGCAGGAAGGAGGTGAGGCAGGAAGGGGGAGGGGGCCCGAGCGCGCGGACGGCCTGCCCGGCCTCTTGCTGCCCCGACCGCGAGAGAGAAGAGAGAGAGTCGCACGCACACGGTAGACCTGCTCGTCGTCGCCGCCCGGGGTGCGGACACGAAGCTCGGGGTTGTTGTACGGGTCGATGAGCCGGAGCTGGTACCCGTCGGCGAGGACCTCGAGCTCGACGCTGCGCACGAGGAGCCAGGGAACGGTCAGGACGACATTCCGCAGAAACGAGTAGGGCGCAGAGAGAGAGAGGAGGGGACGCACTTGTACTTGTAGCCCTGGAGCGTGAGGGCGTGCGTGAGGCTGCCGATCGCGCCGTTCTCGTACTTCCAGGTCGCGCTCGTGACGCGCGGGATGCGGTCGTCCTCGGCAATCTTGGACTCGTCGACAGGGATGGCCGACAGCTGACCGGCGGGCTCGTCCCACTCGAGCGCCTGCGCCTGGACCGACTTGAGGTCGACGTCGCCGCCAAAGTAGCGCGACCTGCGGGCGAGGAATCCGGGTCAGCGACGTGCGCTCGTGCCAGGACGCAGAGAACGAGGTGCTCACAGGTCGACGAGGTGAGTGCCCTGCTCGACGACTGCACGGCGGTACGAGGTGAGGGTCAGTGCGGCCGACGGGAGAGGGAGGCCAATGAGGGGGACGCACTCGGGCCACAGTCCTTGCTCTTCATCCACCAGGCCGGCTTGGCGATGTTGGCGTACGAGCAGTAGTAGCGGGCGTTGGTGGCCATGACCTCGAGCTCGTTGTCCTCGATGATCTCGCGCATCTTCTGGACGACTGCGCGCGAGGAGAAGAGGTCAGGAACGTCTGCTCAAGCTGCGGCACCTCGTTCCGCCGCCACGTACGATGAGGTGAAAGAGCTAGGACGCACCACGAAGGTAGCGAAGGAAGTAGCCGACCGAGACGACCGCGCCCGACTTGACGAGCGCGTCGGCGACCTGGAGCGCGTTGTCGACCGAGTCCGCCGAGAGCGGCTTCTCGATAAACATCTGTGGGCAACTGTGAGTCAGTAAAGGTGCGTCGAGGCGAGACGAGCCGAACGAGAGGGCGAAACGACGGACCGCGGGCGTGTTCTCGGGGAAGAGCTTGAGGACCTGGAGCTCAAAGTCGCGACCCTGCTGGGTCGAGCCGCGGAAGGCGGCCGGCGAGCCGACAATGAAGGCGTGCGGGCGCTCGTGCTCCTTCATAGTCGAGACAAAGTCGTCGAGCGAGGGGCAGATGCGCGTGTCGCGGTAGGCCATCTCGACGAACGACGAGCGCTTGACGTCGAGACGCTGCTTGGCGACGGCCTCGACCGGGTCGATGATGGCGACGACCTTGAGGCGCGGGCCGAGCTGTGTTCGCGCGAGGGAAGGAGTCAGTTGAGGCGGGAGAGGGAGTCGTCGAAGGAGAGAGAGACGGACCCGGTTCTCGAGGCGGAACGAGTGGTCCCAGGGGCCTGTACAGCTCGCCAGACGGCGTCAGTACTGCCGTCGAGAGAAAGTACGGCGGCGGGAAGGCAGGAGAGAAGGTTGAGGGAGGAAAGGTCGGAAGGAGTGGGACGCACCCTCATCACTGCCCTGTGTGCGCGAGAGGACGCCGCGATGCGCAAGATCGTCAGTACGGCGAACTCTTAGACGCTGCAGAAAGGCGAGCGAGGGCGTCGGGTCGAGGAGGAGCACCGCCTCTCCTGCAGCCGCCCTCCTCGCACCCTGGCCCTCCTCGCTGCCCGCACGGATTCGAGAGCAGGACGCACAAAGTTGATGTTGCCGGCACCGACAAAGACGAGGTTCTGCAGGGGAACGGTGCTCGAGGTCAGCTCGTTCGGCTCGGTCTCGTCCGCCTCCTCCACGCACGCCTCGAAAAGGTGCGAAGACGCACAAAGGGCGCGCCGGGCTCGGGCTTCTTGTGGTGGGTGAGCGGCGCGAGGCGCGAGTTGGCGATGGACGGGCGACTGTGTCCAGGGGTGGCAGGGCGGGCGCGAGGGCTCAATCAGCCTGGGGACGAACGAGACGGGGGGAGGAGGTGGGGGGAAAGGGGAGGGTGCTCACCGGACGCTGGAGCGCCTGCGCTGGCCGGTGCTGTCGCTGAAGGATCCGCCGGGCATGTCGGGAGCGGTGATCGGGATGAACTGGAAGGGTGGGTGGGAAGGAAGGAAGGGCGAGCAAAGAAGGCCAACCTGTGCGTCAGTCTCGACGTGCCGGCCGAGGGTGGAGAGAGAGAGGGCGGGGGACCGCAGGTCTCGCAGCGCACCTCTTGCTCGGCTGGCTGCGACGCGACAGTCATCTCTCGAAGGTGCTTGTGCGAGTGCTCTCTCCAAGCAAGAAGAAAGTGGGCCGACGAGGAGGAGAGGAGCCGAGCTTTCGACGGCCTCCGCGTACGGAACGTCGTCCGTCCGCGTGCGAGAGGAGAGGGCTGCGAACGTGCGCCGCACAGCTCGCACGGGCAGCAGCCGAGACGCTCGCGACGGACGAGCGGCAGGCCGACGAGCCGACGACGCGGTTGGTGAGCGAGGAGGTCAAAGCGGGCTGCGTCCGACCTTCAGCGAGCGCTCGAGGCCGCATGAGCCAGCGTGACCGCCTGGGTCAAGGCGAACTCTCGAAAGGAGAGCTGGCTCGTGCCTTGCAGCCCCACGGCGAGCCAGCAAGAGACGAGGGCGAGCGGATTGACGGCCGAGAAGGCGAGTTTGGGAAGGTCGAAAGGGCGCTCTCGCTCCTCGACGGTTGGCGCTCTCTCGCCTCGAACGGGACGGGCAGACTGCAAGACTCGGAAAGAACGAGTGCATGGCAGACAAGAAAAGGTGACTAGGCAAAGGTGAGGGGACGAGTCTACACAAAGACGCTCACGCGCTCGTCCCGCCTGCGAGCCGTCGCGTCGAAAGCCGACTTGTCGAGCGAGTGCGCGCCTGGTGGGTGCACCTGTAACAAGGAGACGCGAGGAAGGGAACAGGGTATGCGAGAGGTCAGTCAGGGTGCTCGGATTGGCAGGCAAGAGAGTCGGGGAGAGGACGCCGACCAACTGCGGGAATGCGCAAGACGAGTAAGCGACCGACCGAGGAAAGTCCGTCGCACAGAAGGAGGAGAGACGGGGGACGCACGATGAGGATGGCCCGCAAACTGTTAGTAACCTCCTTGAAGCGCTCGCCGAGCGAGGCGTAGGCGAGTTCGCGACGCTCGCGAGCGACGCGCGACTCGTTCTCCGCCGACGTGCGCCACTCGTAGTCGACAGCCGAGCGGCGGTAGTCGTTATTGAGCTTTGCGAGCCACCGAGTGACGACGTGCGCACGGTGCTCGACCGGGATCATGTCGCGCACGGCGACGGCGACGTGCGAGTGGACCAACTCGTCGCGGTCGTCGTGGTGCACGTCTGAGTGCAACGCGCGGACCTCGTCGATGCCGAGGAGGAGCGCCCACCGGATGACCATGAGCGGCGCAGGACACTCGGCGTCCGCGCCGAGGAGCAGCTCGCCGGCGACGACGCCTTCCCAAGCCGCATGCCGGATAACGTCCCCGCCAAAGGCGACCTGTCGGAGTTGATGCGGGCGAAAGATGAGAGGCAGGACCTTGAGGTGGCCTCGCACGGCCTGTTGACCCTCGGGATCTCTGGCGAAGAAGAGGTTGGTCTGTCGGCGAGAGGGGGTCAGTAACGCGCTCCTTGTGCGTCGGCTCAGTGATCGAGAGACGCACAGAGAAAGGCTCTTGCAGAGTAGGGTCGAAGGCGGCGAGCGAGCGATCGTTGGCGGACCGAGCGCACAGAGCCTGCGCAGCTTCCTCTCGCTCACGCAGGCTCCCGGTTTTGTGCACGACGATGGGCTGCCCGGGACAACGCGAGTCAGTTGTCACCTCCCTGATGGCCGAACGAGAGAAAGGAGGCGACGCACCGTGTCCTGCGTCGCCAACTTGGCGGTGCGAAGCGCGTTGACGACGAGCTGTCCGTGCGGCGCGGGCGCAACGTGACAGGCTAGGGCAGCCAGGCCTGCGGTCGATGGACGTCGTGAGCGTGACTGGCTTCGAGAGAGGGCCGACAAAGAGAGGTCCACGACGCACCGCCGACGACGAAGGTGTCAAGCTGCGCGGGCGTGCGATGCGCCGGGAGGAACTGGTCGAGAACGGCCTGTGCCGCAAGCCGCGAGCTGCGGTTGGCCGTCCAGGTCTGTACGATGTTGGCCATGACGCAGAAGACGAAGCGAGCGAGACGAGCACAGCGGGAGAGCCGAGGAAGAAGAGGCGAAGCTGAGCGAGCCGCGCGGCGTGCTCGGTCCGCGGCAGCTCCGGTGCGTCCTCCGCCCCCGCAAGGCGCTCAGGAGAGACGTCCGAGTGCACTTGAGCGTGTGGACAGGACCGAGGCGTGACTTGGGACGTGCGCGCCGCCGGCCTGATCGTCTCGAGCGCGAGGAGCGGTCAAAGCGGCGAAGAAGGAACGCGACTCTCGCTGCCTCTCAGCGTTGATCAAGTAAGCGCATCGTTACAAGCACGCCCTCGTCTCGCTACAGCTCCCTCAGACCTTCTTCTGCACAAAGACCTGGACCACCTGGCGGGCGTACGAGGCGACGAACCGCTGCTCGGCGGCGCTCCCGAGCGACAGGCCTTGCGACGCCGCCTCGATGCGCGCGAGGGCAAGCTTCTGCGCACGCTTGATGCCCATCTTGGTGAAGCCCGACAGGGACGGGCTCGCGATCGTCCAGTAGTTGAGGACACGGTGCAGGACCGGCGCGAGGTCGGCGAGCGTCGCGCTCTCGTACGACGGGACGTTGGCCGCGTTGGTGGGCACGCGTAGGCCGTCGAGGATCCAGCGAGTCGTGAGCGCCGTGTAGCCCCAGGGCGACAGGACGACGCCCGGCGCGAGCTGGAGGTTGCGCATGTTGAGGAGGAAGAAGTGCAGCTCGACGAGCATGGCGGAGCGACCCGGCTCGGCGATGTCGGACGTGCCGAGAGCGAGCTTGTCGAACAGGGCCTGCGAGACAGGAAAGGACGAGGTGTCAGACCGACGTTCGACGCCGTCGGCGTCCCTCGAGAGGAAGAGGAAGAGAGAGTCGGCGCACCGGGAAGTCCGAGTGCTGCCAGCCGTGCTCCTGCATGACGGTCGTCGCCTGCCACAAGCCCTTCATGTCGACGTTCGAGCTCGTGTAGGCGAGCTTGAGCTGCGCCGCCTCGGCCCCGGTGAGCGGCGCGAAGGTAAAGGTGCCGCCGGGCTGGGCACAGACCCACGGGTGCGTGGCGGCGAGCTGCTCGTGCGAGTGGGTCAGTGTCGGAGGTACAGGTGAGAGATCGAGGCAGAGGACGCACAAGCTGGCTGCAGACGACGCTGCAGTAGGGCGTGTGGTGGCAGCTCGCGCAGTGGAGCGGCGTCTCGCGGTCGCACGCGCGGCACTCGGGCAGTTGCGAGGTGGCCATGTCGAGCAGTCGCAAGCTGAGAAGAGCGCTGTGGGCTCGCTCGAGGCGGGACGAGGAGAAGCGAGTGAGAGGAAGGGGGGAAGAGCGGGGCGCGCCCTCCTCCTCGTGCCCGAGGCCTGAGCTCCACGACCTCTCCAGCTCTGGTCCGATGAGCGCGTGCGAGCTGAAGAGACGAGTCACGGACGAACATCAAAGATAGCTGCGGCGACGAGCCATCTCTGCGCTCGCCAGAGAAGAAAGAGCGCTCGAGCCGCGAGAACCAGCCTCGCTGACCGACGGCACGACAAGCTACTCGCCCTCGCCCTCGCCCTCCTCGACCGTCTTGGCCCTCTTCCTCCCCTTGCCGCCTTTCCTCGGCGCGCTCTTGCTCCTCGCCCGACCCCTCTTCCCTCCCGCTCCTCCTTCCTCGCCATCCTCCCCCTCGCCTTCCTCCTCGCCCGCACTCGCCTCGCGCCCCTCGCGACTCTCGACGACGCGTGTCACCTCGACCCCGACGCCGGCGCCGAGGAGGACGTCGATCCACACCTTCTGCGTCTCGGACAGCTGGTCGCCCGGGCCCTTGATCTCGGCGAACAGGGCGCGCCCAGTCGACGGGTTCCACAGGCTGCGCACGAGGAGGGAGGAGAAAGGAGAGGAAGAGAAAGAGCGTAAGTGTGGGCGCTGTCGAGCAGAAGGGGAAAGAGAGGGAGAAGCGGGCGCACCAGAGGTCGGGGATGCCGCCGGTCCGGTGACCATATTCCTCGACGAACACGGTGAGGATGGACGCCAAGGCCGGCCCGCCGATGCACTGGGCAATCTCCTCGAGGTCCTCGAACGCGTAGCGCTCCCAGTTCGTGCCGACGGCGAACGTGCCGCGAGGTCGCTCGCGCTCGTCGGTCGAGCGGAGGAGGGCAGGCGCATCGCCGGCGGCGATAGAGGCGAGGCGAGCGTCGATGGCGGGACGACGGACTGTGTGAGTCGAGAGAGGTCAGTGAGGGAGAGAGGGAGTACGAGAAGGGAGGTAGGACAAGGATGACGAGGACGCACCGATGGCGAACGCGTCGGACGAGAGATCGAGGGGCGCCGTCTGGAACGCCGTCTCGAACACGCCGTCGACAGGCGCAAAAAGGATGTCCCAGAAGGTGAGGGCGAACTGCGGGCGCGACGAGGGCGTCAGTCGGCGGCGAGAGAGAGTCGGAGAAAGCGCAGGACGCACGATCATGGTGAGGACGCCGTTTTCCGAGTGGAACCTGCGGAACGAGAGGTGCGTGAGCCTCGGGGCAAGCTCGCCACTGCGAAAGAGAGAAGGAGAGAAGAGAGACGGACCCTTTCCAACCCTCCCGGACGTACTGCTCGAGGCACAGCTCCTCGACGCTGATCTCGGCGCCGTCGCTCGCGCGCCACACGCTCTTCTTGCCGATCGTCGGCGTGTCGACACGCTCACCCTCCATGACGCGCGTCGTCGACTTGGCGAGGAGGACGTCGAACGTGCGGCGCTCGTCGGGCGGGACCTGGAGGGCCGACTCGATGCGGGCGATGCGGCGCTGGAGCGACGACTTGTAGACTGCGGGCAGGCAGGACAGCCGTCAGGTAAGTCGGCGAGGAGGAAGAAGAGGAGGCAGGGGAGAAGAGAGAGAGGACAGGGGACGCACTGAGATGGGTGAACGGGTCCTTGAGCCCCTCCTCGCACACGCGCAGCGCCTCGTCCCTCCTCTCGCGCAGCAGCCGGTCCTTGCGCTCGCGCTTCTTGCCCTTGACCTCGTCGCCGAGGAGCGCCTCGTCGCCGAGCGGGTACTTCATGAGGACGAGCGCGAGGCGGTCGTACCAGTCGCCGCGTTTGCCCCGGCGGAACGACGTCTGTGCGAGGAGGTGACGCAAGATGGCGACCTCCGAGTCGTGGTCGCCCTGAGCAGGAGAGGAAGGAGGGAAAGGTCAGGGCGAGGCGAGGCGACGATTAGGGAGGGCGAGAGGGAGAGAGGGGCGCACCAGCTTGGCGTAGCAGGCTGCGGCTTTGTAGGCCGCCCGGCTCAGGGGCCAGCCCGGGTGGAACCTCCTCCGGTAGTACAGCCTCCCATGCGCGCCCCGCTGACCCTTGCCCTCGCCCTCGCCATCTCCCGCCGCTCGGGCCGCCTCGACCGCCTCGTCCTCCTCCTTCTTGACCCTCCTCGCCTCGTCCTCCGCCTCGGCGCACAACCTGCTCCACTCGCCCTCGATCTCCTCCCATGCCTGACCCCCTCGCCGTACCGCTCGAGCCGCTCCTCCTTGGTCTCGCGCTCGGCCCGCTTGGGCACGCCCGGCCCCCACACGCCGTCGAGCGCCGCCTCGACGCGCTGCTCGATCGCCATGGCCGCCTCAAACTCGCGCAGGACGGCGCGCGAGGGAAAGAGGGCGAACGAGCGCGAGACGGTGTAGGACGGGTAGGCGCGCTTGCCGAATCGGGCGAGGAGCGACGCCGTGAGGGGCGAGGCCGACGTGGACGAGGTGCCGGCCGTGTACGACGTGCGGTGGTAGACGAGCGAGAGGCGGTTGAACAGGGTGAGGAGCGCGGGCGAGAGGCGGATGACGGGACCTGCAGGATGTGTGGCACCGTGAGCTCGAGGGCCGAGGGGTCCGAGAGCGAGGAAGGCGGACGGGACGCACCGATGAGCTTGAGCGCCTGAGCGGCGACGACACGCGACTGCGACAGCTTGTTGCCCTTGGCGTCGTACCCGACGCCGACCGAGCCGACCGACGGTTTGCGCTCCATGCCGGCCGAGCCGACCGGCGACTGGACCTTGGGGGTTGGCGGTGCGGCGAGGAAGAACGACAGGGTCGACTGGTTCGACGTCTTGAGGAGCGCCTTGGTCCACTCGCCGCGCTGCGCAAAGGAAGAGAGAAGGACGAGGTCAGGTCGAGTCGCGCGAAGACGCGCGTCGGAGGAGGAAGGGACCGGTCGACGCACGCTCGCGCCGCTCTTGCAGGGCACCTTCATGCGCTTGCCGAGGGTCGTGAGCTCGTCCATGCTCAAGAGCGCGAGCGTGTTTTCGGGCGGCTCGTCGACGAGGACCGACTGGTCGAACGCGAACCGCGACAGGTCGCCGAGGTCGAGCGAGTCGGGCACGTCCGAGATGAGCTTGCGCGGCGTCGCTCGCGCCTTGCCCTTGTCGACGCCGCTCTTCTTGCCCTTGTTCGAGACGGGCGGCGCGACGTCGTCGTCCGAGTCGGTGAGGGTGAGGTCGAGGAAGCCCTCGTCGCGCGGCTGCTCCTTCTTGGGCTCGACGAGCGCGGCGACCTGCTGACGCTTGGGCGGGGTCGATGGGCCGGCGACGGGTTCGGCAACGCGCCACAGCTCGGCGCATGCGGCGGGGAGGTCCGAGATGTCGGTCGAGTAGGACGACGACGCGAGGAGGGACGAGAGGCGGATCCAGGTAGGCTTGCGGAGGAGGAGGCGCGAGAAGAGGTAGCGCGACTGGTCTGTGGAGGGGTACAGACGCCTGTCAGTAGTGTGACCAGTGAGGGCACTCCGGGAAGAGAGACAAGGGACGCACACTCGAGGTTGCGGAAGCGCACGAGGGCGGCGAGCTCGTTGGGGTCGAAGAGGAAGGCCTCGTGGGCGAGGACAGCGTCGAGCATCTCGTCGACGGCCTGGACGTAGAAGCTGACGCGCTTGTCGGGCTCGAGGGCGTCGACGCCGGCGGGCGGTGGGGGCGAGTCGTCGTCGGTCGTGGCGGGAGGTGGTGGAGCGTCGACGACCACTGACGGCGAGGCGGGCGGGTCGAGGGAGGCCATGGTGGTGCTGTACGCGTCGTCGGGTGGCTACCTGGCCCCGGCTGTCGGTGCAGCAGCCGCGGCGGAGGGACGCGCGAGGTGTGGCGGTGCGCGACGGGTCCGGCTCGGCGTGGTGGCGGATACAGGGCAGGCAGCGCCTCTCTGCGAGCTCGACGTGCTGCAAGTGCAGCCTCTTGCGCGGACAGGCGACGCTCCTGGCGAGAATGGGACGACGGCGAGGATCAAGTTGGTCTTCATCGCTGTGAGCCACCTCTCGCTCTTCCCCTCGTCCAGTCCGCACCCAAGAGCGACGATCATGCTGCGCACACTCGCACGAACAGGTGCTCCACTGCGAGCACCCTCGACCGCGCCCACCCGGGCCGTCCTCACCTCCGCCTCCTCGCCGACCTTGCGCCCGCTGTCGTCCTCGGCCCTCCTCCTCGCCCGCTCCACCCGCGAGCGCAAGCCCGTCGCCCAGCTCAAGCACGACTCGTCACCCGCTCCAGCCTCCCCACCAGGCAGCGCCGGCAACAAGATCCAGACCATCCCGTTCCAGCTCGCACCCGATGCCGCCATCCGTGTGAGCGAGACGGCCGCCGCCTCGGCATTCGGCGTCCAGAGCGTCTTCCGCCTCCTCACGTCACGGTTCCTCAAGCGCTGGTTCGGCTTCCACCTCGACGACGACATCCGCCAGATCGCCTTCACCCCGCTCCTCGTGCCCGTGTGGAAGGTCGACCTCGCCATGAGGGGCAAAGCCCTCGTCGGCGACGTCCAGATGCAGCTCAACAGTGAGTCGACCGACGTCTCTCCTCGTGCGCGCGCATCGCCAACCCCCCTGGCTCACTCGCCTCCCTCCCCTTGCCCGCAGTCACCGCCCTCGACTCGTCCCTACCTGGCTTCCGCCTCCCTCCCCTCAGCGACCTCACCGTCTCTCCGCCCTTTGCCTCTGAACCCGTCCCCTTCTCCTCGGCCGAGCACCTCAACCAGCACGGCCAGGACATCACCCTCGTCCCCTTCACTCGCCACCCGCTCCACCTCGTCAACAAGCTCAAGGCGTTCCCGCGCAAGTTCTCGGCGCCGGCCGCCAACGAGGACGGCGATGACGAGCCTGGCGCGAGCCTCGACCCCAAGAGCTTCGACGAGACGCTCTTTGCGGCGTACCCGATGTACCTCCCGCTGTACCTCGGCGAGTTTGCGCACGAGGGCGCAGAGGGCGAGCGGCGTGTCACGACGGCGGCATTCGCGACCGTCGACGGACCGGTGCGTCCCCCCTTTCGCAGTCTCGTCCGTGTCGGTCTCACCTTGGTCCGGCCTGACGGATCTTGCGCTTCTCGCGCGCACAGGCCTTTGCCGTCTACCCGCAGTTCCTCGAGCCGCCGACCTGGCTCCCTCCCTCGGACTCGGTCTCGCTCAGCATCACGGGCCGGCCCATCCTGTCGCCTTCGAGCGCGCCGCCCGCACCCGCCGAGGTCGCCGGCCTCCAGCCCCGGCTCCTCAAGGCGCTCACCGAGTTCAAGGACGAGGCCGAGGAGGGCAGCTTTGACTTGCTCGACCCGGTCGAGGGCGATGTCGAGGAACTCGTGAGGGGGCACGCGGGCGCGATGGCGTACGGCGAGTGGGCAGAGTGCGTCCCTGCTCCTCTCCCTCTTTCTCCCTCTTCTTCGCCCGGCTCAAGTCGCACTCACTGATCCTCGGCCTCTTGCGCAACAGCGTCAACCGGGCGTACGTCGAGGCGCAGGGCGAGCTCGAGACGGCGCAGGCCATGCTCGAGCAGGTCGAGGCGCTTGTGCGTCCTCTCCTCTCTCTCTCTCGGGGCCTCTCTTCCTCTTGTATCGTGCCCATCGTCCAGCTACTAACATACTCTACACATCTCGCCTGTCCCCTCGCCGTCTCTCGTCCTCGCCTTGCTCGCGCTCCACCTCGACCCGCGCGCACCCTCTCCTTCTCTCCTTTCCCCCTCGCCCTTGCCCTCGCCTCTCGACCCGCCCAACAGCCCGAAGCCGCCCGAGGTCTCCTCCTCTCGTCGCGCGGTCCGCGACTCTCGAGCCGGCAGGACCTCGTCGGCGACATGCAGGGCAAGGTCGACGCCGCGCGCGACAAGGTCGACGAGGTGCGGCCGGCGTGGATCGCCGAGGGACGGGCTGCGGCGGGTGCGGCGGCGCTCGGGGCGGGACGGGGAGCTGCCGGCGAGGAGGAGAAGTAGACGAAGCGGGAGCGGGGCGTGCTATTGAGGCATGCTGCGTCGTCGCAGACTCGGAGCGAGGAAAGCGAGAGATGGCCGGCGAGCTCGCGACGCGCTCGACGCGAGAAGGACCTCGAGAATGGTACTCGATGCACGGCAAGGTGTACAACAACACGGCACGACCCTCCTCGTTGCGCCCTCGTCCGCCCGACTTGCCCCGCTCGGACCTCATCGCTCCCGGACCGCACCGAGTGCGCTCACTCGAGCAAGTCGAGCAGGCCGCCGCCGCCGAGCGAGTCGAGCTCGTGCTTGATCGTCTGGCGCGCGAGCGTGTCGATCTCTTTCGACAGGAGCGCGACGAGTTTCTGCGGCGAGGGCGAGGATGGCGAAGGGTTGGACGGCGACGAGGGAGGTGGAAGGGAAAGAGTCAGTCTCTGACGCTGTCGCGAGTCCGTCTCTGGTGCGGGTTGAGCAGAGAGAGGGAAAGGGAGAGAAAGAGAAGAGCGACCCGCTCGAGACGCACCTTGAGCCTCGCATCCACCTTGTACACGACGTCGGCAAGCGCCTGGCTCAGCCCCGCGCTGCCCGTCGCTCCTGCACCTCCTGCACCTCCTCCCGCCGAGACCGGGCTCGTGACGCTCCCGCGGTGCTGCTGCGCGCCGACGCCCGGCGGCGAGGGGAACGAGCCCGCCGCCGCGCTCGAGCCTGCGCCCGCGCCCGCCGGGCCGAGGTAGGTCGCGATCTTGGTGTAGGTCTCGATCAGGAGCTCGCACGTCGTGACGAGGACATGGAAATAGTCGAGGTCGAACGGCTGCACGAACGAGGGCGAGCGAAAGGGGAGCGAGTCGAGGGGGGAGGAGGCGAGGCAAGAGAGGCTCGTCAGGGCGCCGATCCCGTACGGAGAACGAAACGGATAGGAGAGGCGGTGGACGCACAATGTTGGGCGTGAAGAGAAAGCTCGCCTCGCCGCCTTCTTGCGGCAAGCCCATTGGGAAGTCGGCGCCGCCATTTGCCGCCGACCCTGCGCCGCCCGCTCGCCGCGACCTCGACCCGACCTTGAACAAGCTCTTCTGCTGCTGTGCGGGCCAAGGATACCTCTATCAGCCGCATGCCCGTCTCACAGGCGCGCAGAGTGAAAGAGAAAGCGGCGACGCACATTCCGCCCGCCGTACCGATCCTCGGGAACGGCCTCGAACTCTTGCGCAAGGCTCAAGAGACCTCGCAGGAAGTCGTGCGCCGGGGCGATGTCGAGGAGGGACGAGAGCGACATGCCGAGGACCGCAAAGCGCGTCGTGCTGTGGGTTGCGAGCGGCCGGGTCAGTGAGTGTTCGAGGGTGGCGAGCGAGAGTGGACGGACCGGTTGCGCATCTTGTCGTTGGGAAAGGTGCTCTTGAGGTCCTCGGTCGTGAGGAGGATCGTCTGCGTCGGGGCGACGAGCAGGTGAGTCTCGAGAGTGCGAGGCGAGGAGGAGGGGGAGGTGAGGACGCACGTTGAACCAGTAGACCCTGCCCTCGCCGGCGTTCTTGAGGTAAGTCCACGCCGTGATGCGCTTGGCGACCAAGGTGCGCAGGCCGTCGAGGGTCGAGCCGAGGCTGGTGCCGGGGACGTTGGGCACGCTGCCGACTGAGGGACCCACGCTGCCGCCCGAGTTGATCGAGTGGGCTGTCGACGAGAGCGAGGTGGACGAGAGGGTGCTGGTCATGATCGGTGTCGAGCTCGAGCCGGGAGGAGGGCCGACCCAGTCGAAGGTCGAGGTGTCGTCGACTGGCGGGGTCGGGTGCGCAGCGGCGAGGGCGGCCCAGGACGCGGCGGTGCTCGCTCTCGAGAGGGTGAAGGTCGACGACTGGGCGCAGGGACCGAGGAGCGTGAGCGTCGTCGTCGAGGGAGAGCGAGAGCGAGAGGTGGGGAGAGGAGGTTGACCTTGCGCCGCACTCGAGGCCGCGAACTCTCCATCTCGAGCCACTGCGCACCTAGCTCGACTGAGCAGCGACAAGGCCAGAGCCGACCGTCCCCATCCACCCGCGCCCCGACGAGGTGTGTGCCTTCGTCCTCATCTCCCTCCATCGCCGCCACGCTCCTCGCGTCCACCTCGAGGGCGGGTCTTAGTGCAGCTTGAGCCCGTATACTGACTGCTCTCGCCACACAGCCCTACAGCAACACTCGCTCCCGACCTCCTCCCCCTGCACCGCCCCGCTCCTCGACCCCCCCTCGCCCTCGCACCATCATGGTCCTCCAGGACAAGTACGCCCGCGCCGCATCCCGCAAGTACGCTCGCACCCACGCCCCGACCGCCGACGAGGCCGCCGACCACGCCGCCGTCGACGCCGCCCTGCGCGAGGCAGAAGGCCGCCGCCTCGGCACCAACGCCGACCGCTACCGCGAGGACGACGAGGAGCGCGCGAGGGAGCTCGGGATCGTGCCGCCAAGGGAGGGCGACGACGAGGTCGACGAGGAGGAAGGTGCGTCCCTCGTCCCCCCCTTGCCTCGTCACTTCCCTCGACGACCTGCTCACCCTCTTCCTCTCTTTCGCAAACAGAGCGACGAAAAGCCGAGGAGCAAGAACAGCTCGACGCCTTCCTCGCGCGGCAGCGGGACAAGCTCGCGGCGCCGTCGGACGCGCCGGGCGAGCACGACGAGGACGAGGACGACGTCGACCATTCGTTCGCGCACCTGCGCATCGGCGGCAAGGGCCGCATGCGGCCGCCGCCGGGAGGGCACAAGGCCAAGGTCGAGACGGACGAGGACAAGGAGGAGCTGAGGAGGATGCAGGACGAGGCGAGGAGGATGCAGGCGGTGCGAGGTGCGTCCCTCTGTCTCTCTCTCTCTCTCTTGCGCCGTCTCTCCACGACCTCCAGTTCTCCTCCTCACTCCTCGTTGACCGTCGACAGACCTCAAGAATCGATTCTCGGGCTCGGCACCACGCTCTGCGCCACCGCCATCGACACGACCGCCACCAGCCGCCTCGAGCCGACCGAGCGGCCCCTCTGCCACCACCGCCCTGCCGACCAAACCGGTCGTTCGGCCCGCTGCACAAGGGCAGGACTTTCTCGATACGCTCCTCTGAGTTGTGCGTGTGCTGCAACTCGAGCCGGATTCGTCTCGCGGCCCTGCACCGCCCGACCGACCCTCGAGAGATGCGGGGGCTCGAGCGACGAGAGGGCCCGGAACTGCAGGCCGCCTCTGCTTGACCTTTCACGTGCTGCGCGTGCCCGGCGCGCGACGAGGGCGACCGACCTGCCCCGCTGTTCGAGCAAGCTTTGTGCCGCCTCGGCGTATCCGCTCGATGCGGCTCGTGCGCAGCAACTGCTCCTCGTCGCCCCTCTCGCGCAAGGGTCTGCCCTCGAGCTCGCTCGCGCCACCGTCGTGCAGAGCTCGTCGCTGAGCTGCCCCGGGCGCATGCAGCAGGCCGCGCTCGAGGCCGGCGGGGTGCATTCACCCGACGAGCAAGTTGATGCGCGGCTCCGCTCGCCACGTGCGCAAGGCGAGGCTTCGATCACGCTCCCCAGACGAGCTCGCGGCTTCCTCCCCGGACCCTCGATTCTGTCCGTTCGTCCGGAGGAGGAGGCTGGGGAAGCCGTTTGCTCGGGGCGCGAGCAACGAGAGCGCTGGCCATTCAGATTGTCGAGGGAACGAGGGCAGCTCCTCCCTCTCTCCTCTCGTCTCCCTCGCACTCTGAACTGTACCCGAGCCCGCCAAACTCTCGCGCGCAAAGCCGCTGCACAACAAGCGGCCTTCCCAGCCCACGTGCCCACCCGACGCTCTCGCCCACTCGCCGTCTCCGACCGGCTACCATCGCCGCGCCTAGATTGGTTCGCCGGCCCCCCGTCGCTCGCCCAAGTCAAGGCCTGCCCCCACGCTCGAGCGAACGAACCCGGCTCGCCGTCGTCCGCCGCGTGCCGTACTCGCCAGCCATGTCGCCCTCGACCTCTCCCCCTTCCCCCGCTCCCCCGCCTCCTCGTCCCTCGTCCTCGACGACCCGCGCACCGTTCTACAAGCTCTCGTCCCTCTCCGAGCTCGAACTCGCCAACCTCTCGCTCGCCGACATGTTCACCGGGTACCGCCCGTCGGCCATCGACGACGCCGACCTCGACGACGACGACGAGGCGTGCGACTTCCCGACCCTGACGCTCGGCGAGTCGGTCGTCGAGGAGGCCGAGCACCGCTTCCACGAGCGCGCGCACGAGGCGCTCGTGTTCGCCGCGACCCCAAACGGCTCGAGGAACGCCTCGGCGGCGCCGTCGGCCCTGTCGTCGCCCACCCGCACGGGCTTCTTCTCGCCCAACTCGACCTCGTCGTCGTCGTCGCGCGCCTCGCTGTCGCCCTCGGCGCCGACCCGCATGCGGCCCCGTCCGGCGTACGCCCCGAGCGAGGCGGCCGACCCGTCCTACTTTGCCCTCTCGCGCGCGTCGCTCTACTCGGACGGCGACTCGTCCTTCTCGGGCTCGTCGGCGACGACGCCCTCGCTGTGGAGCGCCTACTCGCCGTCGCTCAGCGGCGCCTCGAGCGCCTTCACCGGCACGCCCGCCGACAGCGTCGCGTGCTCGCCGCTCGGCCCGCGCTCGCCGGCCAACGGCCTCGCCGTGCCCTCGTCCGCCAGGAAGGCCGCACCGGCACCTCCCCTGTCGCTCGCGCTCGCGCAGCTCGACCTCGGCGCGGCGCCGGCCGTCGAGCCGCAGCCGCAGGACGACGACGCGGCGGTCGCGCCCAAGACGGCGACGATTGCCGCCCGGCGCAGCGGCGTGAGCGCGCTCAAGCTGTCGCTGTCGCTCCCGCCCCTGCGCACGTCGACGAGCTTCTCGTCGCTGCGCGTCCAGGGCGGCAGCAAGTCGCCGGCGGCGCCCGCCACCCTGAGCCACCTCTCGGCGCCATCGTCGCCGTCGCGGGTCGGCCGCAGCGGCGCCAGGTCGTCGTGGGTGCGCGACCTCGAGGTGCGTGCGGCGGACGTGCAGGACGGGGTGCGGCTCAAGAAGAACCGCAGCACCGGGTTCGCGTTTTGAGGGAGGGGTCGCCCGTAGTCGTCTTTCTTCCTCTCTCCCCCTTCTCTCTCTTGCCGCCGTCGTCTCGCCCTATCAGTTTGTTGACATCATAGCCCAGTTCAATATCTCTCGTTCGCCCGTCGCGAGAGCTCGAGAGCTCGAGAGAGGCTTCGGCTACGGGCTTCTTCCACGTGTGGCTCGAACGCTCTCTTGCGCTCTCTCGGTCCGCGCACGAGTGCTCAGAGAGCGAGTGCTCAGAGAGCGAGTACACAGAGAGCGAGTGAGAGGTATCGTCGTTCACTGCAAGCGGGTGTACCAACAACAAGCGGGTCCCTCCTCATCGTCCTCCTCCGGCTCGCCACTCCTTTCTCCCTCGCCGGCCGCGCTCAGTGCTTCTTGCGCCCGGGCGACTTCTGCCCCTTGCCCTTGCCCGCTCCTGCGCCCTTGCCCTTGGCCCCACCGCTGCCGCCACTCGAGCCGTCGTGCCCGTACAGCGCCTGAAGCTCCTTGGCGAGGCGTGCGCTCGCGTCGGCGTGCTTCTTGGCGGCGGCGGCGAGGGCGGACTCGGTGTCCTTGCCTGCGAGTAAAGGTGAGAGGACAGTGTCAGGTAAGGACGGCGGGACGACGAGGAAGAATGAGAGAAAGGGAGCGCACGGATCGCCTGCAGGTCCGAGAGCGTCATCGCGCGGTTGGCCTCCTCCTGGAGCTCCAGCTCGACGAGTCGGTCGAGCAGCGCCTTGCCCTGCGACTGTGGTCATCGGCCACGAGGATGAGTCAGTGTGGTGCGACTGGACGGCCGCACGGCGAGACAGGCTCGAGAGGCGGACGCACCGCTCTTTGCTGCGCCGCCGTTGCGAGCTTGTCCTGCTCCCGCGCGAGCGCTTCGAGGCCCTGCTCCTCTGCCGCACCGACCTTTTCAAGCTCGTCGCTGCAGGTGACATGACGAGGTGAGCGCGTCGGCCATACGGGCGCGGAGAGGAGGAGGAGAGGACGGACCGGAACGCGGCCGGCGCCGTCTCGGCGGCAAAGCGCAGGATCTTCTTGGTCTGCTTGAGGGCCGAAGAGGCGAGGATGTTGACGTCGTCCGAGTGCGTCGTCGAGTACAGGGTGGCTGCGGCGCGTCGAGGGCGGGTCAGTGAGGTCGACGAGGATCAGAGGTCACTAGACGCACTGTGCGTGAACGTCGCGATGGCGGATGCGGCGCGTTCGGTAGCGGGCGACGGCTCACTGTAGTGACAAAGGGTCAGCTCAGGGGACCGGAGGAGAGAACGAGAGGGCACGAGACGCACTCGAACGCCTGCTCGACGACCGACACGTCCTGGCTCGAGTCGGTGTCGAGGTCCCAGCCCTCGTCGTCGTCCGAGTCGCGCCCGCCGCCGAGCCCAAACAGGTCGCCGTCGTCGCTCGCAGGCGCGCGCCGCCTCGCCGGGCTGCCCCTGGCCGCTGCCTGGCCCCACCCTGGCGCGGTCGGGCGGAGAGGGAGGGACTGGCGGGCGTGCGAGTGCTTGTCGGTGTGCTTGGCGGGTCCGTAGGGGTCGGAGAAGCGGGCGTGCTGGCGGTGCGCGTGCGGCGAGGGCGGCATCGTGGCGAGGCGGGACGAGGAAGCGAGGCGGACGACGCGAGGCGGGGGGCGAACCGAGAGGTGTGTGCTCGAGCGAGGTGGCGGGCGCGCCTCGCGAGGGGTGCGAGAGGGTGCTAGGACGCAAGCAGGACCAGCAGGCGGTGGATCCAAGTCGTGGGCGAGATGTCAAGAAGAGAGCGGCGAGGCCAAGATGGACGACGCGTTGGTTTCGCTCCCACCGCTCGCCCTCGCCGACATGGCGCCAAAGGGACGAGCCAACGAGGCTCAGCAGACCCTCTCGTCCTTCTTCAAACCCGCCCCGACTGCCAAGAAGCGGCCCAGCGCCCTCGTTGACGGCGTTCTCCTCCTCTCCGACTCGGACGACGACGACGACCAGGGCGACACCGCCCGCCAGCGCTCCAGTGCGCCCGACAGCTCGTCCAGCACCGCCAAGCGGGTCAAGACCGAGCACTCGACCGCCGACTCGCAGCTGCAGCCCATCGCCTCGACCAGCTCCCTCCCCACCGCCGCACCCTCGGCCGCCACCCAGCGCCTTGCCGCCTTCGCCTACTCGCACGACGCCGCCAGACAGGCGCCCCGCACCCTCACCCCCGCCGACCAGAACCGCCGCGACGAGTTCGCCAAGCGCCTCGCCCTCGGACCCGACCTCCTGCGCAAGTCGCGCTCGAGCTACCTCGAGAAGGACCACTACCTCGCCGCGCACGGCGACGACGACGGCCAGGGTGCGTCGGCGGGCGGAGGCGGCGCGAGCGGCAGCGACGACGGCTCGAGCAGGACCAAGGGCAAGGGCAAGGGTCGGGCCGACCACGATGACGACGACGACGACGACGGCTCGGCGTCGCCGTTCGCTCATTTTGCGGCCAAGGGCTCGACGTCAACCGCGGGCGCCAAGAAGGACACCGCCTCGTCGGGCAAGATCAAGTACACGCCGCTTTAAAAGCCTTATATATTCTTTTTTTTCTTATAAAACTTAAAACCTTAGAGGCTATTTAAGTTGCTGATTTATATTAATTTTATTGTCGGTCAGCTCCTGACCCGCCACACGCGTCGCAGGTCGGCTACAAGTGCGCTCGCCCGCCCCCCTCTTCCTCCTCGTCAGCGACTGACTTCCTCTGCTCGCGCGCAGGTTCCGCTTCTTCGGCGAGGACGCCCAGGCCGCCTCGCGCGTCCTCAACATCGCCTGCTTCCCGTCGCAGCACATGCTCACGGCCTCGATCCCGACCCACCGCCTCGACTTTCACGTGCGGCGCCTCCTCAACGCGGGCCGCAAGGTCGGCGTCGTCCGTCAGCAAGAGACTGCTGCGTGCGTCCCCTCGTTCCCTTGCCTCTCAGTCTCCTTGCGCGAGCGACCTGACGATTCTCGCTGTACAGGCTCAAGAAGGCGTCCGACAACCGCTCGGCCCCGTTCACGCGCGCCCTGAGCGCGCTCTACACGTCGGCGACCTACGTCGACGAGCTCGGCGCCGACTCGCTCTCGATCCAGGGCGACGGCGAGACGGCGACGCTCATGTGCATCGTCGAGGACGCGCCCAAGGGCGGCAAGCAGGGCGCCGACGCCAAGATCCGCATCGGCATTGTCGCCGTTGTCCCAAGCACGGGCACGGTCGTCTACGACGGTGCGTCTCCTTCCCTCTGCCCCTCTTGCGCCCAACGTCTCGAGCCTGGAGAGTCGCTCCACGTCCGCAGAGTTCGACGACACGCTCATGCGCGCCGAGCTCGAGACGCGCATGCTGCACCTGCAGCCGTCCGAGCTGCTGCTCCAGAAGGAGCTCAGCGGCAAGACCGAGTCGATGGTCAAGTACCTCGCGAGGCAGTACGCGTGCGTCCTCTCCGTCTCTCTCTCTCTCTCTGTCCTCCTCCTCGCCGTCCTGACCCACCCCTCTCTTCGAGCAGCGCCGGCAAGGACGACTTTAGCGCTCGCGTGGACCGCATCTCGAAGCGCCCGACTGCAGCTCAGGCGACGAGCGCGATCGCGTCGTTCTACGCCAAGAAGGCGACCAAGGGCGACAAGGGCGACAAGAAGGGCAAGGGCAAGGCGGTCCAGCACGAGCCGAGCGAGATCGTGCTTTCGTCCGACGACGACGACGACGACGACCATGAGCCACGCCAGCCGTCGATGACGCCTGGACCAGACGGTGCGTCTCTCGCGATCATGGCCTTTTCTCGTCGACGTCGACCTGACCTCCTTTTCCGCCCTTGCTCGCAGGACGTCCCGCCGCCGTCCTCGACCTGCCCAAGCTCGTCCTCGTCGCGCTCGCGTCGCTCATCTCGCACCTCGAGCCGTTCGGCCTGTCGCGCATCCTTAAGCACGCGTCGTCGTTCGCGCCGTTCGCGTCGCGCGCCGCCATGACGCTCAACGGCAACACGGTCGCCAACCTCGAGCTCCTGCGCAACTCGACCGACTTTCGCGAGCAGGGCAGCCTCGTGAGCGTGCTCGACCGGTGCAGGACGGCCATGGGCAAGCGCCTCTTGCGTCGCTGGGTCACCAAGCCGCTCCTCTCGCTCGAGTGCGTCCTCCTCTTCCTCCTTCCTCGCCTCTCGAAGCGCAAGGTCTAATCTTTCTCCTCGCAGCCTCATCACGGAGCGCCACGATGCCCTCACCGCCATCCACACGTCGTCGGCGTCGCTCACCCTGTCCAAGCTGCGCGACCTCCTGCGCACGCTCCCCGACCTCGAGCGCGGCCTGTCGCGCATCCACCTCGGGCGCGCCAAGCCGCAGGAGCTCCTGCGCGTCCTCGAGTCGTTCGTCCGCACCGGCAGGGTCTTTGAGGAGCTCGAGAGCGAGGAGGCGGGCGAGGACGAGGACGGCGCCGGCCGCGGCCGGATCAAGAGCGCGCTCCTCAAGCGCATTGTCGAGGACTTGCCGCGCGTCAAGGACACGGCCGAGGCGCTCGTCGGCGAGCTCGAGCTCAAGGCGGCGCGCGACGGCAACAAGGAGGCGCTGTTCGCCGACGAGGACAAGTACCCGGACCTCAAGGTGCGTCTCTCTCTCTCCCTCGTCCGTCCACCTCCTCCTCCTCGAGTGAGACTGACTCTCTCTTTCTCTCACGTCGTGCAGGAGTGCAAGGACGGTCTCGCGCGCACGATGGAGGCGATGCAGGACGAGCTCAAGTCGGCGCGCAAGATCCTGCGCAAGCCGGCTCTGCAGTTCACCAAGGTGTCGCAGGAGGAGTATCTGTGCGTCTCCCTCCCTCTCTCTCTCTCGCCCTCATCTAGCGAGCGACGACTGACTCGTCGACGTGCACAGGCTCGAGGTCAAGGTCGCCGAGGCCAAGAGCGTCCCGGCCGACTGGGTGCGCATCTCGGCGACCAAGCAGGTGCACCGCTACCGGTCGCCGGCGCTGCAGAAGAAGATCGACAAGCTCGAGCAGTGGAAGGAGAAGATCGCTGGCGGTGCGTCCTCTTCCCTCGTCATCGTCGTCGTCGCCGTCATCGTCGAGCCGAAAGTGACCTTCTCAACTTTGTTCCGCAGCCGCGAGCGACGCTTTCCTCGCCTTCCTCCAGTGCGTCGCCTCTTCTCCTCTCTCTCGTCGTTCTACTACTAACCCCTCCCCGTCCACAGGGAGGTCGCGTCGCACTACGAGCTCTTCCGCCAGACGATCGTCTCGCTCGCCACCGCCGACTGCCTCTTCAGCCTCGCCCTCGTCGCGCACGAGAACGACTGGGCACGCCCGACGCTCGTCACCGAGGCGGGCAAGGTCGAGCTCAAGGGCGCACGTCACCCGATCATCGAGGCCATCTCGCACGAGGTGTTCGTCCCGAACGACGTCGAGTTTGGCCAGGGCAAGCGGCGCCACATGCTCCTCACGGGCCTCAACATGGGCGGTCCGTCCCTCTCTCTCTCTCCCTCTTCGACGTCGCCGTCGTCCTGACGTGTCGGCACTCGCAGGCAAGTCGTCGCTGTCGCGCAGCATCGCCCTCATCGCGCTCCTCTCCCAGATGGGCTCGTTCGTCCCCGCCGCGTCGGCGACGCTCTCGCTCTTCGACGGCATCTTCACCCGGTACGTCCTCCTGCTCTCTGTCTCTCTTTCTCCCTCTCGAGACGGGACTGACTCTCTGCGGCATCGACAGCATGGGCGCTTCGGACGACCTCGCCCGCGGCCGTTCGACTTTCATGGTCGAGCTGAGCGAGACGTCGGCCATCCTGCGCGCGGCGACGCCCCGGTCGCTCCTCATCCTCGACGAGCTCGGGCGCGGCACGTCGACGCACGACGGGCTCGCCATCGCGCACGCCGTCCTCGAGCACCTCGTGCGCGCCGTCGAGTGCACGACCGTCTTTGTGACGCACTACCCGGCGCTCGGCGTGCTCGCGCGCCGGTTCCCGGGCCAGGTGACGGCCGAGCACATGGCGTGCCGCGAGGAGGAGGCGCACGACGGCGAGCCGCCGAGGATCACGTTCCTGTACAAGCTCGTCGACGGCCTCGCGAGCGCGAGCCACGGGCTCAACGTCGCGCGCCTCGCCGAGATCCCCGAGCAGGTCGTGCAGAGGGCCAAGGACAAGGGCCTCGAGATGGAGCGCGTCGAGAGGGAGCGCACGGCGAGGAGGAGGGAGAGGAGGCTCGCCGAGGTGCTGCGCCGTGTCGACGGGCTCACTCGAGGCGGCGAGGCGCAGAAGGCGGGACGCGAGGTGATCGAGCTGTGCGAGGTGGCGCTTGCCAAGTAGCTCTCGTCTGTAGAGCTCTCTCTCGAGGAGGTCGCGCTTGCAACGAGAACGAGGAGACGTCGCTTTCACACCCTGTCCCTCGCTGCGGCCGCGCTACAAAGTCCCGCTCGCTGCCGCCACCTTGAGCGCATAGTCGACCGCGAGCCCGCTCCACACGATGGCGCCCAAGTCGCGGTTGCTCGCGAACGTGCGCCAGCAGCTCTCGCGGCTGTCGAGGTCGACCGTGCGCAGCTGCCACGCGAGGTGCGCCGCCGCGCCGGCGACGCTCAGGGCGTAGAACGCCGGGCCTTGGCCGTTGAGGTATCCCGACAGGGCGAGGAGCGACACGAACGACGCCGAGAAGGCCGACAGGATCGGGCGCGTCTGGTCGCCAAACAGGAGCGCGGTCGACTTGACGCCGGCGTGCACGTCGTCCGTCTTATCCTGGTGCGCGTAGATCGTGTCGTACGCGATCGTCCACGCGACGCTGCCGGCGTAGAGCGGGAGCGCGACCGTCCAGTCGCACTGGCCGAGGACGGCCGACGAGCCGAGGAGGGCGCCCCAGTTGAACGCAAGGCCTGTTGCCGATAACGCACGAGAGAGGTGTCAGTGACTCGGACGGGCAAAGAGAGAAGGAGAGAGCAAGGGGACGCACCGAGGACGAGCTGCGGCCAGTGCGTGATGCGCTTCATGAGCGGGTACAGGACGACGAGCGACAGCGACGAGGCGCCGAGGGCGATGCTGTGTGTGCCACGAGTCAGTTCTACACACGCATCGTCGCCTCTCGCACAGAGGAACGGCCAGGCGAGAGAACAAGAGAGGACGCACCTGTACCAGTTGAGCTGGGTGAGGACGGCGAGGCCGAGGCTGAGCTGCCCTCCGAGGAACGTCAACGCCTGCAGCGGCTTGACCTCGCCGCTCGCGAGCGGGCGCAGCTTAGTGCGATCTGTGGGCCGCACGGGTGCGCGCATCGTTAGCTCGCGTTCGAGGGGAAGCGAAAGGGGAGAGCGAGCTGGGACGCACCGACTTTCTGGTCAATGTCGCGGTCCCACAGGTCGTTGATGGTGCACCCTGCGCCGCGCATGACGACAGCGCCCGTGCCGAACAGGGCGAGGTTCCACGCCCAGGCCGACGGCGGCAGCGCCGACGAGTAGGCCGCCATCGTGATGCCCCACGCTGCGCGTTCGCGGGCGTCAGTGCGGCTCGGGACGTACGAGAGAGGGACAGAGAGACGGGACGCGCCGCAGGGCCAGTAGAGGAGCCAGGTCCCGATCGGCTTGTCCATGCGCGCGAGCGACAGGTAAGGGTGGGTCCACCGCAGCGCCTTTGGGAAGCGCTCTGCCCATGTCGGGATCGGGTACTGCGGTGCTGATGGTGGTGCTGGAGGAGCGGCGGCGGGCTCAGAGGGCGGTGGTCGAGATGGCAGGGTCGACAAACGGCGGAGGGCGATGAGAGTTGGAGAGGGCGAGGGGCGGCGCCAGGCGAGGCGCGGCGAGGCGAGAGGGCGCGCGAAGCATGGTGGAGGGTGCACAGCTGCGCGAGAGAGCCGCACGGGCAAGCGGGGCGCCGTTCGGAGCAGCATCGCGGGTGGAGAGACGCCCACAGCTCCGAGCCAAAGTCCGCCTGCTCGCTTCGTCCCTCTCGGCTCGCGCTCGTTCCTGCATTTGTCTGGCGCACTCGCTCAGACTCTCAAGGGTCGCTGCAGCGAGAAGCGCCGAGAGGAAGAGAAACGAGCGCGCTCTCGATCCTCAACCAGAACTCGCGCTGCAGGAGACGACGACGCGGCTCTAGAGTTACATACGACAAAGGGCAGACGACAAGGTACACCGAGACGACGACGACACCGGACTCGCAACGAAGCTCGCCGGCTCACTGCGACGCGAGATCCCACAGGCGCTCGCTCCACTGGTAGTCGCTCGTCGCCTTGTCGAGCTGCACCGTGCGCGCGTCGCGGCTGTTCTGCGAGCCTGTCGGAGCAAGAAGAGGGAGACTGCAGGGGTGAAAAAGGTCCTCGAGGAAAAGGAGGAGGCTGGGGGGGAAGGACGCACGGACGACGACCTTGGAGAAGACGCCGTTCTCCTCGATCGGGAGGAAGCCCATGTCGCGGTACAGCTTGATGCGGAGCCTGCGGACGTGGGCGTACGAGGTGTCAGTTGCCGTCGTCCGCACTCATCGAGAGCGAGAGAGGAGAGAGCGGGACGCACACCTCGCTGTCGAGTTCGAGCGCGTCGACGGCCTCGCTCTCCTCGTCCTTGAGCTCCTGCTGGAGGCGCTCGAGCTCGCCCTGGAGGTGGTACACCTGCTGCTCGAGCTCCGAGTTGTGCTTCATGCCGCCGAGGCGCGCCTGGCGCATGGCCGTCATCTTGGCCTCGTGCGCCTCGACCGAGGGGAGCGCGCCCGAGCGCTGCGAGGCGACTTCGGCCTGCTTGTACTCGCGCGTGATGGCTGCGTGGACGGGGTGCGAGTGTGAGTGGCTTTGCCCGAGTGTTCGAGGCAGAGAGAGACGGAGAGAGAGACGCACCTCGCAGGTCGTCGCGGGCCTGGTCGACGCGGTGCTTGGTCTCGGCGCGCCACTCCTTTACGCGCTGTTCTGCGACAAGGACCTTGTCGACGTCGTTCTCGACGCCGGTCGAGTCGTCGAGCGAGAAGAGGCCGAGAGCGCCGTCGATGAGGTCGGCAAACTGGAGCTGGAAGTCGTCGGCGGGAGCGTCTGCGGCGGCCATGCTCGGAAGTACTGGAGGTTCGAGTGCTGCGGAAGAAGTAGAGTCAGTCCTGAGGGTCTCTGGGGGTGTCGTTGAGGACGAGACAAGGTCGGTGAACATGGGGGGGAGGAACGCGACTCACGTGGCGACGGAGGGGCTGGGGGACGACGCGGGATGGTGCAGGTGGACCTTGGAGTAGAGTAGAGCGGGTCTAGGACGCGACTGGCTGACTCTGGGCGCGAGCGAGTGAATGCTGACGACGAGAGCCTGGTGACCGACGACGACGACGACAGGGTCGCGCTGTCGTCCTCGTCCACCGCCCAATGTCGCCCGCCCTGACCGTGAGCGAGCTCAGGCAGGCCCTCACCGCCCTCTCGCTCGACTCGCGCGGCACAAAGGACACGCTCCGCAAGCGCCTCGCTCGCTACACCCGCTCCGCCTCGACCTCCCGCCCCGCGTCTCCTCAACCCAGCCACGCACTCGACAAGCCCGACTCGCAGCGCTACCACTCGTTCCTCGTCTTCGACGTCGAGGCAACCTGCGAGCTCATCCCCGAACCCTGGGGCAAGCTCGCCTTCTCGTCCGTCCCCCCTCCCTCTCTCCCTTTCTCCCCCTGCAAGCCCCTCTGACGCAGGTCCGCACCCCCAACAGGTACCCGAACGAGATCATCGAGTGGCCCGTCGTCCTCCTTCAGTGGCGCCGCAAATCACGCACCGCCCCCTCGACCACCGACGACGCCAACGCCGACGACGACGACGAGTGGGAACTCGTCAAGACGGCCGAGTACCACTCGTTCGTCAAGCCTGTGTGGGCACCGAAGCTCTCGGCCTTCTGCACCGAGCTGACGGGCATCACCCAGGTGCGTCTCGTCCTCCCCCACCTCCCCCCTCCTCTCGCTTGGGTCAACCGACCCGGCTGACCTCTCGACCCCTCGCAGGCCGACGTCGACAAGGCGCCGACATTCCCCGACCTGTGCAAGCGCTTCTACAACGACTTTATCCTCCCTCGCCGCCTCTTCACGCCCGAGAACCGCACCGTCTGGGTCACCGACGGGCCTTGGGGTGCGTCCCCTGCGCCTCTATCCTCGTCCGACCCGCGCCGACTCGAACCTGACTGCCTTAACGATGCACCTAGACCTGCGCGACTTTGTCGCCAAAACGTGCTACCTGTCCAAGACGCCGCGCCCGCCCTGGCTCGCCGGCGACATCATCGACCTGCGCAACCTCGCCGCCGCCTTCTTTTCGTCGCTCAAGAAGCGCTCGCCGTCGCCGCCGGCGGTCCCTGCGTCGAGTGGTGCCGGAGCGCGCGACGAGGGCGACGCTGTCGAGGTGCCGTCGACGCCTGCGCCCCTGCCTGCACCCCTCGCGCCGGCCGATGCCGCCGTCCCCCCACCCTCGACCTCACTCGCCTCGTCCGCCCCCTGCGACCCAGTCTACCTCCCCTCGCACGCCCTCACGGCCCCGCCCAACCTCTCGCTCCCCTCGGTCCTCGCTGCGCTCACGCTCGCGCCCTTCGAGGGCCGGCTCCACTCGGGCCTGTGCGACGCGCGCAACGCGGCCCGGATCCTCGTCGACCTCGCGGCGCGCGGCGTCGTGCTCGACGCGAACAGGAGGGTGCCCGAGGGCGGCAAAGGCGCGAGGGAGAGGAGCTGGGGGTGGATGAGGACCGGGGCGGCGGCGGCGACGGCGGCCGGAGCGGGCGGCAGGGCGGAGGTAAAGTGGGAGGAGTGGAGCAAGAAGGAGGGCGAGCGGTTCGAGCGCGAGGTGCGCGAGGGCAAGCGGCAGCCGTGGTTGAGGCGGTGAGGAAGGAGCCCGTGCGCAGGCGTCGAGCCGCCCTCACGAGGACGTCGTCGCCTCGTCGCAGCCGAGCCTCTCTGCGTCGTTCAGTGCCGTCTGTTGTTGTACTTTGGCCTGCAGTGCAGCCCTTGTTTGCCCTTCTCTCGCACGCCGCAGCAGCTGCAGGGCGGACCGACTTTCGCTCCGGCTCGAATGTTCTCGCAGATGTTTCTGCACCGAGCGAGCTTGTCATGGACCCGCAAGTACGCTCTGGAAGCTGCATGCACCCCTCGAGAGATGTCTCGGCCGTCGAGGTTGGACGAGGAGGAGGGACGAGAGGAGCGGCTCGCTTCAAGCTACACCACCTCTCCGCGCCCGCCATGTTCTCCAGCGGTGCAGCAGGCACGCCCTCAGCCGCGCAGCGCACCACTCGCCGCTCGACCCGCGCTGCCCGCGCAGCGTCGGCCCTCTCTGGAGCGTCGACCCCGCTCGTCGCCTCGCCGCCTCCTCCCGGCCTCGCCCCCCAGCAGCAGCAGCAGCAGCGCACGCTCGGCGCCAACCTCGCCGTCACGACCAAGGCCCTGTCGAGTGCGGCCCCGAGCCGGCGCACGAGGAGCGTCGCCGCGGGCTCCGACGCCGGCACCAGCGCGACCATGCTGATGGACGTCGACGAGGCGGGCCAGTCGCAGCAGCACCAGCAGGGCAAGGACGCCGACCGGCTGCTCGTCAAGGACGAGAGCTACGCCATCACCGAGCGCAAGGGCTTGCCCGTCGAGGTACAGGAGGCCATCGCCGCCAGCGGTGCGCTCCCTTCTCTCCCTCCTCTCTATCCCTCCTGTGTGCGTAACTGACTCTGTGCTACCCCGCAACAGACCCGTACACGCTCCCTGTCAAGGCCGTCCTCGACCCGATCACCGGCTTCGCCCTCCTCGTCAGCTCCGACCGGTGCTTCGTCTGGAACTGGGCGAGCGTGCGTCCCCTCTCATCTCCTTGCGCTGAACGGGACTGACATCACGAACCTCCACAGCGCGCCGGATCAACCACGACCTACGTCTTCCCCCTCCCGGCACAAGCGCCCTTCCCTCCCGGCGTTACCGCCGGCTCGCCCCTCTCGTTCGCCTCGCTCGTCCCCTCGGCGTCGCAGACGGCCCAGCGCGAGCCGGGCCTCATCGCCGTGTCCAACACGGGCACGATCCGGTTCTGGGACTCGATCTCGCTCTCGCTCGCCGGCGCCGACCGCTTCAAGTCGGTGTCGCTCGCGCTCGCCGAGGGCGAACTCGTGCGCCACGTCGCCCTCGTCAGCCCGACGACCTACCTCGCCGCGACGTCCCAGTCGCGCGTGTTTGCGCTCAGCGTTGCGTCGCAGGGCGGGCGCGCGACGCTCGCGGCCCGGCCGTTCGAGCGCGCCGTCGGCTGGGCCGGCAGCGTGTGGTCGGCCGTCTTTGGCACCAAGACGGTCGACCCGAGGGCGGGCATCCTCGCGCTCGCCGTCGCGCAGCCGGCGTCGAGCGCGATCGGGCCAGGAGCAGGAGCGGCGGACGGCGCGCGCAGGGTGTACGCCGTCCAGGAGAAGAGCGCGCAGGTGTGGGACGTGCCGCCGAGGGGCGAGGGCGGCGAGCGGCTCGTCGCCGAGCACGACGTGTTTCATGCCGTGCTCGAGGCGATCGCGGGGGAGAAGGTCGGCAACGAGCAGTGGGCGATGAACGAGGGCAAGGTCGAAATCGTCGACGCGGCCGTCACGGCGTGCGTCCTCTGGTCCTCCCCTCTCGCGGTGGCCCACCCGCCTCGACGATGTACTGAAGCCTCACTACGCGCAGGACCGGCCACCTCGCGCTCCTCGTCTCGCACGTGCACGATGCGACCGCCGACGAGTACCGCTCGTTCGCCATCGTCCAGCTCGACGTGCAGCACGACGCCGTCACGCCCATCGGCCTCACCCTCCTCGCCTATCAGAGTGTGCGTCACGCCGCCTGAGCCTCGCCCGTCGACGTTTCCCTGACTCGCACCTGCCGCCCGCAGCGCCCGGACCCTCGACCGCTCTCGACCGCAAGACTCAGCATCGGCGCCGGCGAGGTCGCCTTTGTCACGTTCCCTGACGCGGTCGTGATCGCCTCTATCGCTTCCGGTGCGTCGTCGCAGGCCCTGTCTTTCGACTTCAGCACCCTGACGAGCAGCCACCCGCAGACTCTTCCTTCGAGGAGGCCTTCCCGCTCCGCCAGAACTCGACCCGCTTCCTCGGCCTCTCGATGCCGTCGTACCTACCCGCACCTCCCTCCCCGACCGAGACGCTCTCCCTCCTCACCTCGTCGCCGTCGCTCGTCACCGTCACCGTCTCGGCCCCGCATGGCTCGCAGCAGCGCGTCGTCCCGGGCGGCGTCGAGGCCCTCAAGACGCAGCGCCTTAAGACTCGGCTCGAGCAGGCCATCTTCTACGGCACCCGCGAGGCCGAGAACCCGCTCGCGTTCGACATCCAGCCCGACTTTGAGGGCGACCTCGCCAAGGCGTCGACGGCCGTCAGCGCCGACATCCTCGCGTCCAGTACGTCCACTCTCCCTTCCTCTCCTTTGTCGATGAGCGTGACTGACGCTCGTCTCACGCAGGCTCGAGCAACATGCCGCTCATCCTCGACCTGCGCGCTCAACTCGCCGACCGCGTCCACCGCTGCAAGGCGCTCGTCGAGTACATCAACGCCAACGGCATCCTCTCCAAGGTGCGTCCTGCAATCTCCCTCTCTTTCTCGACGGCGGACTGACGGCTGGGTCCTCCACAGCTCCCGCAATCGGCCCGCAAGCAGCTCAGCTGGGACGCCGAGCGGCTCCAGGCCGCCGTCGCCCTGTGGGCGCACGTCAACGCGCGCATCGGCGCGTCGGGCCACAGCATCGTCGGCGACGCCATCCTCACGTTCATGGACGAGGTCGGCGAGGGCTTCGGCGAGGACCCGCTCCGGCTCTTCTTCCGGACCAAGGTCGGCGCCGTCGGCAACGTGCTCGAGGAGGTGGCCAAGCAGGCCAAGGGCGTCGTCGACTCGAGTGTGGGCGCCGAGGACAAGAGCGAGAAGCTGTTCGAGGCGAACCAGGTCATCCTTGTGCGTCCCGATCCCCTTCCTCTCGGTCGCCCTCCCTCTCTCGCCTCGAGCTTTCTGACTCGTCCACGCCTCTGCAGGCCGCTTTCAAGGCCGTCGCCCGCCATCGCGCCGACACGGCGCAGCACTACGGCTTGACCTCGTCGGCCGAGCCGACTGAGCCGTGGTCGTCGCGCCCGGTCCTCCTCGAGGCGCTCCAGTGGCACTTTGACGCGACCGACGCGCTCCTTCGCGAGCGGGTGCGCGAGCTCGGAGCGCAGCAGCGCAAGGGCGCGGTCAAGGGCGAGCCGGACGAGCTGAGGAGCCAGATGGCCGGCGTCGCCGAGTTCGCGTTCTCGGCGTTCGAGGAGCGTCTGCGGTACCTCAAGTCGTACGTCCCCAGTCTTTCACTCCCGTTCTCCCTTCTCCCACGACAAGGTCCTGACCCTTGCGCCGTCGCTACAGGGTCAACGGCGACGCGGCGACGCCTGAATCTCGCCTCGTCACCGAGCGCTACTACTCGCTCCGGCCTCGCTTCATCAACACGCTCGGTGCGCTCTGTCTCTCTCTCACAGTTCCTCGCCCGACATCTCATTGACGTCCTCCTTCTGCAGTCGCTGTTGGCAAGGTCGGCGCCGCGTTCGAGCTCGGCGAGCGTCACGGTGACTTCAAGTCGCTCGTCCGCCTGTCCAACGACGCAGCACGCGGCTCGTCGGCGCGCATCTCGGCCTACCTCGACCGCTACGGCAAGGACTTTGCGTTCCCGCTGTACACGTTCTACCTCGAGCACGGCAAGTTGCGGACGTTGCTCGAGCCCGAGGAGGCTCACCGCGACCTCCTCACCGAGTTCCTCGACTCGACCGACAACGACGGTGCGCCCTCCTCTCCCTTTCTCTCCTTCTCTTCCTCTGCGACCCGTGACACACGAGCCGACACCTTTCCTCGTGCGCAGAGCTGGCGTGGGTCAACGATATCGCGATCGGGCGCCTCGAGCACGCGACCGACGTCCTCTTCACGGTCGCCGAGAAGGAGCAGAACGTCGCACAGAAGAAGGTGAGCCTACGACCGTCCCGTCATCGCCTCACCCGCCCTGCCTCCTCGTCCTGACGCCTCGAGTCCGCCCGCAGATCATGCTCTCGCTCAGCAAGCTCGCCCAGGTCGCGCAAGTCGACACGCAGTCGATCGAGGAGGTGCACGTGCAGCAGACGCTCGAGAGTGCGTCGCCCTCCCCTTCCCTGTCCCCTTCTCGCCGCCGGACCTGACGCCCTTGACCCGCAGCGCTCGACGACAACCTCGACCTCGTCAACACGCAGGACGGCCTCCTCGCCCTCTTCGAGTCGCTCCTGTCGGGCCAAGATGTGCGCCTGTCGCCGGCGGAGCGGGGCGAGGTCATCGCGGCACGTGTCGCACCGGGTCTCGAGGATCGTCCGGCACTCGCTCAGGTGCGCCCAGATCTGCCCTCTCTCGCCACTTGATGGAGCGCGCATTGACCACGAACCTTCCCTGACACAGCATCTCGCGACGCTCGTCGGCAAGCTGTTTGAGGAGCGCACCCTCTCCGCCGAGGACTTGATCGACCTCCTCACGCTCAAGGAGAACGTCGGCGAGCAGGCAGGCGACTTTGCGGCGGCGCTCGACGTCATCGTGCGCGCAAAGGTGCGTCTCACGAGCCTTCCCAGAATCTTCAGGATGAGCGGAACTGACTCTCCTCGCGCGTCGTGCAGGACCTTCCCGCCGAGCGCCGGCAAGTCGCTCTCGAGAGCATTTGGCGACGCGTGTTCATCCAGGACGAGTGCGTCCTGTCGCCCCCTCGTATCGTGCGCCTTGTACTGACTACGTCCCTGAGCGCTCGCAGCTGGGCGTCGCTCAAGTCGGCCGTCGGCGTCAGCGACGAGGAGATGGCCAACGCCCTGCGCCACACGGCCTACTACGCGACGCTCGCCGCTGCTTCACGGTCCGGTGCGTCCTCTCTCTCTCTCTCTCTCAGCCCGGCCCCGAGACGACGTCGCTCACGCTCGTGCGCATGCAGACCACGAGCCGTCCGACCTCCTCCAGCCCGCTCAGGCCTTCTCGACCGCGACGCCGACCTCGCTCTCGGCGCGCTCGCCCGACCTTCCTTCGCCCTCGGTCACCCTCCTCCTCAACGACATCGAACAGGAGAGCCGCCTCTTGAGCGAGTGCGTGCAGAACGGCCTCGAGGCGTTCGCGAGGGAGATCGTGCGGCTGCTCGAGGAGGGTACGCCGGTCGTGCAGGAGGAGGAGCTTGGCGGCGAGGCTGTCATGGTCGAGTAGCGCAGCCTGCTGGCCCTGTGCAAGACGTGCCGTCCACGCTGTTCGCTGGTCTTCGCGCGAGGAGAGAACGAGCCGAGTCCGCGCTTCCTCTCCCTGCTCGTACCCTCTCGTGCCCGTGCCTCTCTCGTACTCGAGTCGACATCTCGAGAGCAACGGCGAGCACGTCGAGTGCACGGAAGCCTGACTTGGCGACCGGGTCGGGCCTCGGCTCGTCGGCCGATTTGTCCGAGTCGGCGCGTGGTGGTCCCCCGCACGCGCCTCGCTCCTCCTCCTCCTCCTCTCCCTCTCACCGCAGCGCCAGCACAGCTAGCATGGCTATCGACACCGCCACTATCGACGCTGCTATCCGCCAGGCCGTCGCCGACCCCTACACCGGCCTCCCGCGCGCCATCGCCATCGCCGCGACACGCGACGCCGAGGTCTACCGTGGCTACGGCGGGTGGGCTCAGCTCCCGCACGACCCGGCCAAGCTCGAGGAGGAGGGCGTGCCTATCGCGGCAGACTCGATCTACGAGCTCTACAGCAGCACGAAGCTCTGCGGGACCGTCGCCATGCTTCAGCTCCTCGAGCAGGGCAAGCTCTCGCTCGATGACGACGCGAGCCAGTTCGTCCCCGAGCTCAAGACGGTCAAGATCTTCAAGGGCTTCGACGACCAAGGCGAGCTCATCCTCGAGGACAACGACGCGCCCATCACGATCCGCCAGCTCGCGACGCACACCGCCGGTGCGCTCCTCTCTCTCCGCCTCTCCCTCGTGCTGCGAGCTGACCTTCCTTCCTCCTCCAGGCTTCGCCTACTACTTCTACGACCCGCGTATCCCCAAGGTCGCCGAGAAGCTCGGCATCCAGACGACGCCGTACATGAAGGACGGTTCTCGGGTGCGCTCCCTCTCCCTCCTTTCTTCCCGAGGTACGGCTCCCCTGACACCTGTTGACGCCTGCAGAACGATCTCGTCAAGATGCCTCTCCTTTCGTGAGCTCGTCGTACCTCAGCCTCGTCCCTCTGCCCTCGGAAACTGACGCCTCGCTCGACCGCCCCTGCAGCAAGCCCGGCGAGCACTTCAAGTACGGCACGGGCATCGACTGGCTCACCCTCGTCGTCGAGAAGATCAGCTCGTTGCCCCTCGAGCAGTACTTCCAGCAGAACATCTTTGCGTGAGCCTCGTCGTCCTCGCGCGCTCGAACCTGCGGGGCGCCGACTGACTCTTCGTCTGCCTCGCAGTCCTCTCGGCATCACCGACATCTCGTTCAAGGCCAACCCGTCGCAGATCAGCATCGCGCACGCCACTGAGGACGGCAAGTGGCGCTTCGAGACGCCGCCGGCCATGAACTCCAAGGAGCACTTTGGCGGCGCCGGCCTTAAGGGTTCAGCCCCCTCGTATCTGCGCATCCTCCGGGCTCTTCTTCGCGGCGGCGAGCTCGACGGCGCCCGCATCCTCAAGCCCGAGACGGTCGACCTCATGTTCGAGGAGCACCTCACGAACGACCAGCAGCGCGCCGACTTTGGCGTGTTCGGCACCAACGACCAGGAGCCCTTTACGCGCAAGGCGGGCAAGCCTCTTCCCGACATGACGTTTGGGCTCGGCGGTGGCCTGAGCGGCAAGGGCGTCGCGTCGGGCCGAGGCGCGAGGACCCTCACCTGGAGCGGCATGGCTGTGCGTCCTCTCTTTCCCTCTCTCTCTTTCTGTGTCTTTCTCTCGGTCTGACCTCGTCTCCCCTGGATCGCAGAACACGTACTGGTGGGTGGACAGGGAGCGAGGCGTGTGCGCCGTCGTGTGGACCAACGTCCTGCCGTTCGGCGCTCAGCAGGTGCATGATCTCTGGGAGGTGTTCGAGACGGAGCTGTACAAGGGCCTTTCGGCGTAGAGTCTGACTAGACTTCTGCAAGGAGTGCATGCGCGTTCTCTCGTGCGACGACGGGCCGAGAGGCGGCCTGCTTTGGTCGGAGAGAACGGAAGCTCACGGGCCGCGCGCCTGAGCGGGTCCGGTCACCGCACGGGCCTCGCTTTGCGGCGATCTCTTCCGGGCAGCGGCCGTTCGTCGACGAGCGCTGTGGTGGGGCGGCGGCGGCATTTCGTTCTCGCGGGTCCGCTTTGAGATTGGCCAACGGCGCGTATCAAATTGAGTGGGGATCCGCTTGCTCAGCTGCAGCTCTCGTCGTCTCTTGCGGGCGCTCTCCTCCTCGCGCGCTCTTCTCTCTACCTTGCTCCTTCTCTCGACGATGCTCTCGACTGCTTCTACCATCGACGCCGCCATCCAGGAGGCGACCGCCGACCCGTACACGGACCTCCCGCGCGCCGTCGTCGTCGCGGCGACCTCGACCGACGAGGTGTACCGCGGTCACGGCGGGTGGGCCCAGCTTCCGCAGGACCCGACCAAGCTCGAAGCAGAAGGCGAGCGCATCAAGGTCGACTCGGTGTTTGAGCTCTTCTCGATGACCAAGTTGCTGGGCGCCCTCGCCGCGCTCCAGTGCGTCGAGCGGGGCCTCTTCTCGCTCGACGACGACGCGAGCCAGTACGTCCCCGAGCTCAAGACGGCCAAGGTGTTTGTCGGGTTCGACGAGGACGGCAACCCCAAGCTCGAGGACAACTCGACGCCCATCACGATCCGCATGCTCGCGACGCACACGGCCGGTTCGTCCCGACCCTCCTCTCTATGTGGCGCCGCTCTCGAGGCAGTATTGACCGTCGAGCAACCCTCACAGGCTTTGGCTACCACTTCTGGCACCCGGCCGTCGCGCAAATCGCCAAAAAGGTCGGCGTCTCGCCAATGCCGTACGTGCACGGCGCGACTCGGGTGCGTGCGCTCGATCGGTTCTCTCTTCATTCCTCACATTCCTCACACCGGGGACTGACGAGGCCGCCCTGTGCAGAACGAGATCGTCTGCGTCCCCATGGTTCAGCAAGTCGACCCTCACCCCGACCTTCTCAAGTTGAGGAGCTGACCTTCCCTCTCCCCCTCGACCCGCAGCAAGCCCGGCGAGCACTTCGAGTACGGCACGAGCATCGACTGGCTCACTCTCGCAGTCGAGGCGGTCACTGGCACTGAGCTGGAGAGCTACCTTCAGCAGAACATCCTCGGGTGCGTTCCTTTTTCTCTCGTTCTCTCTCGGCGCACGGACCCGTCGTTCTCGATCGATGTTTTCTCCTCCTCCTCCTCTAGACCTCTCGGCATCGCCGACATCTCGTACAAGCCCAACCCGAAGCAGATCTCGATGGCGTACGTCGGCGAGGACGGCAAGTACCAGTTCGCGCCGTCGGCGCCGCAGACCTCCGTGCAACACTTTGGCGGCTCGGGCCTCAAGGGCCCGATCACTTCGTATCTGCGCCTCCTTCGCGCTCTTCTTCGCGGCGGCGAGCTCGACGGCGCGCGCATCCTCAAGCCCGAGACGGTCGACCTCATGTTCGAGGACAACCTCAACGAGCAGCAGCGGGTCGACTTCCAGACGTTCATGGTTCGCGATGCCGACCCGTCGACGCGCAAAGCGGGCAAGTCGCTGCCCGACATGACCTACGGCATCGGCGGCGGCCTGAGCGGCAAAGGCCTCGCGTCGGGCCGAGGGTCCAACGCGCTCTTCTGGAGCGGTCTCGCTGTGCGCCCTCTCGTCCTCTTCCTCTTCTCTACACGTCGTACTGACCAACGGGCGCATGCAGAACACGCACTGGATCGTCGACAGGGAGCGCGACGTGTGCTTCCTCGTCGCGACCAACATCCTCCCTTTCTCGGAGGAGCGTCTCTACCAGCTGTGGGACAAAGTCGAGAAGGCCCTCTACGATGGCCTGCCCAAGGCGTCGACGGAGACCCAGTGACCGTCGCTGGCCGTTCCCTCCTCCCGGCCCGCCGTCGTCGCACTTTCGTCTCGCAGTCTGAATTACAATCGCTCGTCTCTGTCCTCCTCTCAGACTCAGACAGTCTCCGAGAGCGGCGGCGCCCCACTCGATGCACTTGAGAGTCTGCGAGCCTGCCGAGCGTGCCGCGAGGGCAGAAAGAAGGACGAAGCGCGAGCCAATCGTCGCCCCACGTGCGCCCGGTCCCCTCGTCGCCTGAACGTGCGCACGAGACGGGCTCCCTCACACGACCCGACCGCCTCGGCTCTCGCGCTCTCCTGCCTCGCTCACCACCGCACACGACCATGTCTGTCGACGAGAAGCACGCACACGCAACTTGGCAGCCGCCGACCCCGCAGTCGACCTTCCGCCCCCTCGCTCCCACATCGACGCTCCCTGTCGACCACCTCGTCCTCCTGCCGCCGCCATTCCTCTCGCCCGACGAGCCGAATGCTCCATGCAGCCCCTCGTACGTCATCGGACAGCGCCCCTCGCCGCCAGCCTCGCACGCCTCGCACGACCCGGACCACACCACATCGCCCTCGGACGAGCACGACGACGCGCGCGACAGGGACTGGGTCCCGCCGACGACGTCCTCGTCAAAGCGCCCACGTCGCTCAGCCGCGATCGCCGCGGCGCGCAACATTCCTCGGCAGCCGTCGCCGTTCGACCTCGAGGGCGGCGAGCCCGACGAGCAGGACGACGACGACGACGACGCGGACGCGGCGAGCCCGTCGGCGTCGCCACCGCTGTCGAGCGCACGCGCCGGCTCGAACGCGTCGAGGCGCAAGGTGTCGCACTCGCTCATCGAGCGGCGGCGGCGCGAGAAGATCAACGAGTGCCTCGCGCAGCTGCGCGAGACGGTGCCGAGCTTGAGGGAAGAGGGCGAGCGCAAGGTGGCGAGGGCCAAGGAGCGCGGGAGGAAGCGGGGGAGGGGAGGCGGAGCCGGGGGCGAGGGCGCCGGGCTGCACAAGCTCGAGATCCTCCAGGTGCGTCTCGTTCGCTCGGAGCGGCAACTGAGCGACGGGCACTGACTTTGCGAGAGCGCACGCAGGGCACGATCCTCTACATCGACCGTCTGCGCTCGCGCGTCGACGAGCTCGAAGCAGCAGGGCAGCAGGTGCCTCGAGCCGAGCAGCCGCGCTCGCGCGAATCTGGCGCAGGCCCGACGTCGTCGAGCAAGTCGAGCGCGCCGCCCGTCGCGGTCAAGCTCGAGCCCGACGCACCGCCGACCCCGCCCCTGGTGCAGACGCCTCGGCTGAGCTCTGCGGGGACGGTGGACGACCACGAGGCGAGCCTGCTCCTGCTCGAGTTGTCGACCTCGCCCGAGCTGCGGCCCGTGGTCGTGTGACGGGGCACGCCGTGTGCACATATGCCGTGTCGCCGTTGTAGTCGTCGTAGCCGATGTTCCTGCAGTCGAGTTGTGCTTGTGCGGCGGTCGAGGTTGGCCGGGGAGATGAGGCGGGGGAGAGGATGGAGGGGAGCGGGACGGCGCGGCACGAGGGGCGGACGACAGCAGGAGGATCGTGACGGGTCGACCAAGGACAGAGCTGGAGCGAGCACGTCCACCCAGCGCGTGGGGCGCGAGAGGTGGGAGCAGCAAGCCGGTCGAGTGGCCGGGCATCGTCTGATCGCTGTCGCCCAATCGTGCAGAGCTTCTGCGAGCTACAGTACCCGCACACCATGCTCGCCCGCACCGCCCTTGCCCGCCCGAGATCCGCCTGCGCCGCCCTCGCCCTCGCTCGCTCCTCCCCCACCTCGCCGCCGCCAGCACTCGGCCGCTCCCTCGCAACCAGCACACTCGACGCCCAGCCTGGACATGGCCACCTGCGCATGATCCTCCTCGGCGCACCGGGCGCAGGCAAGGGCACCCTCAGCGACTGGCTCATCGACAAGTACGACGTCGACACGGTCGTCGTCGGCCAGCTCCTCCGCAATGAGATCCTCAACCGCACCCAGCTCGGCAAGACGGCAGAGGCAACCATGCGCGCAGGAGGACTGCTCCCCGACGACCTCGTCCTCGAGGTCGTGCAGCCCGCCGTCGACGCCCTGCGCCATCGAGTGCGTCCTCACCTTCCCCTCCTCTCGCTCCTTCACCTCACTGATCAGCCCCTCTCCCGCCAGAACTGGATCCTAGACGGCTTCCCTCGCAAGGCGTCGCAGGCGGCGGCCCTCGACAAGCTCCTCGGCAAGACGGGCGACCACCTCAACTTTGTCGCGTCGCTCAAGGTTCCCGACCAGGTCATCTGCGACCGGATAGCAGGTGCGCTCTCGCCCTTATCCTTCGTCCCACCGAGTCGTCCTGACGACTGTGCACCCGCAGAGCGCTTCATCCACCTCCCGTCCGGCCGAACGTACAACGTGAGCTCCCCTTCCTTCTCGCGTTCGCGCTCTCTCTCTCCTCTCGAGACCCGAATCTGACCCTCGCACGCGCCCACACAGCTCAAGTTTAACCCGCCACAGACCCCGGGCAAGGACGACGTGACGGGCGAGCCGCTCAGCCAGCGGCCCGACGACGAGCCTGTGCGCCCTCTCCGCCTCCCTCTTTGCCCCCCTCCCGTCTGACCACCCCGCCTCGTCGTTCGCAGGAGACGGTCCGCCGACGCCTGTCGGCCTTCCACGCCGAGAATGACCCGCTCCTGGCGCACTACGACGGCGCGCTCGTCGCGTTCGAGGGCGAGACGAGCCGCGAGATCTGGCCTGGCCTCGAGCGCGCTCTGCTCGACAAGGTGCGCCTCTCGCCTTCTTCTCTTGTCTCAGTCCGTCGTCGTAGACGTTCTCGATGGCCCAGAACTAACGAGCTCGTCGACCCGACAGTTCCCCGACTTGCCCCTGCGCACGACCCCTCGCACGCCCTGATTCTCGCCCTCTCTCGCTCTCGCACTCTCTCTCTCTCTCTCGCATCCTCGCACAGATCGCAATGCACATACGTCGAGTTGCAGAACATGCCCGGACCACTCGAGAGGAAGAGTGAGCGTGAGCGCGAGAGACTTAGAAGCGCTGCGCCGGCGGGATAAAGTGGGTCCAGTGCGGGAAGCGCTGCTCCATGTTGCCCCAGTACAGGTGCGGGTACTCGGCGAACAGGAGCTCCGAGATGCCTGTGTGCGAGAGGGCGAGACGAGAGGCTCGTGGTCAGGCTTTTGCGGGAAAGAGAGAGAGAGAGACGAGGACGCACCGGCCGTCACGATGCGGTACCCCTCTGCCGTCAAGTGCAGGCCGTCGCTCAGGTACTTGTCGAGCTTGCCGCCGTCGTTGTCGCGCGCAAACTGCATGATGCGGGCCCACACGTCGACGACGGGCACCTTGCCCTGTGCGCCCACCTCCTTGACCGCCTCGGCAAACTGACGCGTGCGCTCGGCGTCGCGGTCGGGCACGCGAGCGGGCGTGCGCGAGGCAAGCTCGGCGTTGCGGGTCGAGTCGTCGACCGGCGGGGGCGTGAGGAGGACGAGCTGGGTCGAGGGCGAGTACCAAGGCGACGAGGGGAGGCGCAGCATGTCGAGGATCGTGTTGAGGTTGGCCTTGAAGCGCTCGAGCGTCATCTGCGGCGGGAGTTACAGCTCGTGCATGAGTTGAGGGTGCGTCGGGAAAGCTCGAGAGAGAGGTGCGGGAGGTCGAGCGCACAGATTGAGGAGAGGGAGGGACGGCGGCGTCGTTGGCGCCGAACCAGACGACGAAGATGGCCATCTTGGGCAGTCCTTCTCCGGCCCTGGGCAGGAACTGTGTCACTCGAGGGCTTGTCAGTGCGGCGACGGTGTAGAGAGGGAGAGCGAGAGCGGGCGCACCTGCTTGACGACCTCGAGGCCCATCTCGGCTGCGAGGGCGACGCGGTCAGCTCGGGTTTGCGCCTAATTTTGGACCGTGGGGACGCACTATTGTAGCCTGCAGGATGAGAGCGAGTCAGGCGGCTGCCAGAGTGCGCGAACGAGCTGCGCTCGAGAGATTTAGGAACGCACCCGAGAACCCGCGGTTGACGACGTCGCTGTGTCGCGCTCGTCCGAGGTCAGCTGGGCCACACGAGTCAGGAAGAGGGACAGAGAGAGGAGACGCACAGCTTGCGCTGCCAGGCATCGGCGAGGACGGCTCCCGTCCCGCCCGGCTGCCACGAGCCCTGAGTGATCGAGTCTGCGAGGGGACGAGGGTCAGGGCACGGCGCAGTGGGCAGAGAAGGGAGCAGGGGACGTACCGCCAAAGAGAACGACCTGGTGCATGCGGATGCTGCGCTCCTGCGACGACGAGTCCGAAGAGTCCCCCACCTCCTTCTCGAGGTCGATGGCGGTCATGGGTGCGGTCGCGGGCGGTGCGGCGTGGCGGTAGCGGGCGTAGAGAAGCGCGGCAAAGAGGGCGAGCAGGGGCGCAAGAGCAAGGCGGGGCATGCGGTGCAAGGAGAGCGAGACAAGAGCCGCCGCGGGCGATGAGAACGAGGAGGCGGGACACGTCGACTTCTCCGAGACGTCGCTCTCGTTAAGCCTCGAGGCTCGCTCCGATGGGTCACAGGAACGCTCTTCAGAGTCGCCGCAACCGAGTCTGAGTTCAGAAAAGCGTGCATGCAACTTCGACCGCTCCTCGTCCGGACCGCCATCTACCTCCCGCCCTTGCCCTTCTTGCCGCCCTTACGCTTTTTCGGCGTCGTCGACGGCGTCTGCCCGAGCTTCGGCGAGCCCTTGGCCGGCGACGCGGGCGTCGACCCGGCCGGCGTCGACGCGCCCGAGTCCTTCTGCTCCTCCTCGACGGTCGCCGGCGCGCTCGCGCCCTCTGCCGCCGCCTCGACCACCTCCTTCTCCTTTTTGTCCTCGACCTGCGCCGACGCACTCGAACCAGCTGCCGCCTCGACGGCGGCGGCCGGTGTCGCGCCGCGACTCGGCGGCACGCTCGTCACGTCGCCCGCGCCCGCCGCGCCGAGCGGTTCGAGGCTGCGGAGCGCGCACGTGGCCGACGGGGTCGTGCCGGCGAGAGGGAGCGGGTTCGAGGGCGCGAGGGTGAGCGAGGACGGGGTGAGGTACGGGGTCGGGGCGAGGACGGGGGCGGGCACGAGGCCGGACGAGAGCTTGGCGTCTGTGCGCGTGGGGGGATGTCAGGGGTCGCGCAAAGGGACCAGAGAGAGAGAAAGTGAGGGGACGCACTCTCTTCGGCGCGACGTTTGGCGATGTCGCGGTAGACGTCCTTCCAGCGCTCGTGCGAGACCATGTCGCTCGCGGCGTTGAAGATCTTGTTGCCGTAGCCCGGCTCGAACGTGTTGGCCTCGCCGACGACCTCGACGATCTCGGCCTCGAGCTCCTTTTCGGCGAGGAGGAAGCGCTCCCACAGGTCGTCGCCGATCTGGCCTTTGCCGAGGAGGGTGGTGAGGGACGTCTTTGCGTCGCGGATCTGCCAGATGAGCTTGACGTCGTCCATGGCGCGACGGAGGAGGGCGGCGACGAGGATCGGGCGCGGCGGGGGCGGGTCGAGCGAGAGGAGCGAGACGTAGATGTCGCGCGACTTGTGCGGCGGGAACCAGGGCTCGGCGCGGGGTTTGTTGGCCTGCCTGCGGCGGTAGATCTTGGAGAAGAGCCAGAGCGAGCCGACGAGGAAGCCGATGTAGCTCAAGGGGGCGAGAATCGAGAGGGTCCTGCAGGAGGTGGGAGGAGGAGGAGAGGGTGAGTGGGGCAGCTCGCGCGGGCGAGTGGAGGGGATGGACGCACATGGTGGCTCGATGTGACCCTGTTGGAGCTTGGTGTGGCCCAGACTGAGCGACGGTGGGTGCGAGAAGGAGAGCGAGAGGGTCGTCGCGTCGTCGTCGTCGTTCGGAGGAGACGAGAGGCGCGACGGCCTCGCCTCGCCTGCCCCCGTCCCCGACGAGCAGTCTACTGCCAGTCGCCAGCTCTGCACGCGCACCCGACCCGCCAGCGACCACCCACCCCATCGCCGTCGCCCGCCGACCGCCTCCCTCCTCCTCTCGCCCCTCTCTCGTCACTCGTCGACCTCGCTCGCTCCGTCTCTCTCCCCTCACCGGGCCAGACTGCGCCCCGACCGCCACCCATGAAGTCGCTCAAGAAGTCTCTCGTGCGTCCCTCTGGTCCCCCGCCCACGCCTCGAGTCTGCCCGTGTTGACCCTTCCCTCCTCCCCCTCTCCCCCCTCTTTCGATGCTCTCGATCCCACCTCGCCCTCGCTTGCGCACCGCCCAGCTCAACCGCACCGGTCGCGACTCGAGCCCCTCTGGCCAGCAGGCCAACGGCAAGAACGCCCAGCAGCCCTCGGCCTCGTCGTCGTCGGCTCAGGGCTCGCAGTCGTCGCCGAGCGGGGCGAGGGGTCCCCATCCTTCGTCGGCCAACATCGCCCCGCAGCAGCAGCTCTACCAGCCTCAAGGCTACCAGCCCAACTCGTCGGGTCAGCAACAGCAACAGCAGCAGCAGCAGCAGCAGCAGTCGGGCGGCCGCCCCGGCAGCGGCTTCGTCCAGCCTGGCCAGCAGGGCAAGGGCGCCGGTCAAGCTCCTTCGATCGTCGTCAGCAACGACAATGTGCGTCCCCTCTCTCTTCGGCGGTCCATTGCGTCCCGGGCGACCTTCCACCTCGGGCGCGACGGTTGACGCGCCGGACGTGACCGAGCCGACCTCGAGAGAGACTGACTCTCCCTTTCCTGCGCACAGGCCGTCATGCCGCAAGACCCGCTCCCGCACCCGTCGTTGTCGCCGCACCACCCGGTTCCCGGCGGCCCGCAGCGCACCTCGGCCGTCCCCTTCCCCACCTCGTCCGTCTCGCCCCCTCCCGGCACCGCCGCCGCGACCGCCGCCGCCAACCTGTCGCACGCCCTCCACGGCGGCCCGACCGACCTCGCGACGCCCCCCAAGGTCCAGCCCGGCGCGGGCAAGCTCAAGGGCACCGCCGGCGGGCCGCAGGGCACGCCAAAGGACACGATCCCGATGGCGCGCACGCCGCGCAAGCAGCGCAGCTCGCGCGTCCACGTCACCGAGAAGGTCGAGCTCGAGCGGTTACCCGGCTTCCTCGGTGCGTCCACCTTCTCTGCCTCTTTCGAGCGCCCGAGCGCCCGAGCGAGCGAGCGAGGACTGACCATCCCTCGCGACGCAGAGGTCCCCGTCATGGAGCGCCACGACCTGTTCCTCCAAAAGCTGCACCAGTGCTCGCAAGTGTTCGACTTTAACGACGCGAGCGCCGACGTCGCCAACAAGCAGATCAAGAGCCAGACGCTCGCCGAGATGCTCGACTGGATCACGACTCAGCGCGGCGTCGTGACCGAGAGCGTCTACCCCGAGGTCGTCCACATGGTGCGTCCTGCGACTCTCCCCCTCTCGTCCGTCTCGAGCGAGCACGACGCCTGACGCCTCGTCGCCGCCCTGCAGTTCGCCTCGAACCTGTTCCGCTCGATCCCGCCGCCCGTCAACCCGACCGGCGACGCGTTCGACCCCGAGGAGGACGAGCCCGTGCTCGAGCTCGCGTGGCCCCACCTCCAGATCGTGTACGAGTTCTTCTTGCGGTTCGTCGAGAGCCCCGACTTCAACACCAACATCGCCAAGCGCTACATCGACCAGCAGTTTGTCCTCCAGGTGCGCCCCTCTCTCCCTCGCCTCGACTCGATGACAGAGCAAGATCCTGACGCCGTCACCGTGTGCAGCTCCTCGAGTTGTTCGACAGCGAGGACCCTCGCGAGCGCGACTTTCTCAAGACGACGCTGCACCGCATCTATGGCAAGTTCCTCAACCTGCGCGCCTTTATCCGGCGGTCGATCAACAACGTGTTCTACATGTTCATCTACGAGACGGAGCGCCACAACGGCATCGCCGAGCTGCTCGAGATCCTCGGGTCCATCATCAACGGGTTCGCGCTCCCGCTCAAGGACGAGCACAAGACGTTCCTCACGCGCGCCCTCATCCCGCTCCACAAGGTCAAGGGCCTCGCGCTGTACCACCCGCAGCTCGCGTACTGCGTCGTCCAGTTCCTCGAGAAGGACGCGTCCCTGACGCGCGAGGTCGTCGACGGCCTCCTCAAGTACTGGCCCAAGGTCAACTCGCCCAAGGAGGTCATGTTCCTCAACGAGGTCGAGGAGATCCTCGACGTCATCGAGCCGGCCGAGTTCACCAAGGTCATGGTCAAGCTGTTCCAGCAACTCGCGCGCTGCGTCTCGTCGCAACACTTCCAGGTCGCCGAGCGCGCCCTGTACTACTGGAACAACGAGTACATCGTCAACCTCATCGGTGAGAACATCGACGCCATCCTGCCCATCGTCTACCCCTCGCTCCACACCATCTCGAACGGCCACTGGAACCGGTGCGTCCCCGACCCTCTCTCTCTCTGTCTTCCTCCTCCCTCCTTTCTCGCTCTCTCGACACGAGACTGACCTTGGCCCCCTCCACGTGCCACGCAGGCAAATCCACAACCTGGCGTACAACGCGCTCAAGCTCCTCATGGACTTGAACGCCGACGTCTTTGAGCAGTGCTCGGCCGAGTACAAGCGCCAGCGGCAAGGGTGCGCCTCTCGCTCTCTCTCTCTTCTCGGTCCCCCTGCGCCCCGTCGACGTCGTCTTGAGGAACGAGGACTGACCGTCCCCCTTGCCCGTCCTCCTCCCTCCTCGTCCGTCTTCCCGTCCTCCCTCCTTCCATTCTCGGCCGCCCTCCTTTCTCCTCGTCGACGCCTCGCACACACACAGGGAGAAGCAGCGCGAGAAGCAGCGCGAGGACAAGTGGCACGCCCTGCGCGACACGGCGCTGCACAACCGGCGCCAGAGCGGCTCGACAATCCCGCGCGCGCTCCTCGACGACGACCCGGTCCCGCGCGGCACGTTCGACCCGCTGCGCGACGCGCAGGACCTCGACGACGCGCGGTTCGACGAGATGGACGAGGAGATGGGCGTCGGATTGGCGCAACAGGGCGGCGGCGGCGGCGACGGGCAGGGCGCGTACGGCGGGGCCCAGGCGGGCCCGTCGTCGTCGTCGGGCGGGTTCGGCGGCGCGGCAGCAGGGCTGCCGCACCCCGGTGGCGGCGTCGGCGTCGGCGGCGAGGACGGGTACCGGACAGGCGGCGGGTTCGACGGCCACGGCGACGACGACGCGCACGGCGACCTGCCGCCTGAAGGGCAGTTCCCCGACACGCAGCGGCGCGTCGTGCCCGGTGCGGGAGGTGCAGGAGGAGGGTCGGCGCCGCACGTGCGGAGGAAGAGCGTCATCCCGATGGACCCGAGCATCCTCAAAGAGCTCCAGGGCCACAAGCCGTGCGTCCACCTCTCTCACTCTCTTTCCCTCCACGACCGTCTCCTGACACCCTTGCTCTCTCGCGCAGGCTCGACGACGCGCCCCTCATCTCGCCCGGCGGCGCGCACCGTGCGCCGGCAAGTCGAGGAGGCCACCTCCCGCCCGGGCAGGGCTAGCTCGTCGCTCCCGCCCTCGTCCGTATTCGCCCCACGTCCCCTGTCTCTCTCTCTCTCTCTCTCTCTCTCTCTCTCTCTCTCGTCATGATACCCCTCGCTCGCGTCGTCGTGCCCACCCCTTCCTCCCCTCCCGACTTTGAGCAGGTCACTCGCTCTCCCTTGTGCACGTCTTTCTCTCCTCTCCTCTTTCGCGACTGTACCTATATCGAGCGCGCCGAGTGAAACTAGCAGTCCCTGCACAGCCTTATGCGGTCGCGAGAGCGGTGAGGGCGCGAGGGAGAGAAAGAGAGGCCGAAGCGCGCGGAGCTCGGAGTGTCCGCCGTGAGAGACGACGGACGGCGGTTTGCTCTCCAAGGCACTCGGCGGGTCACCCTCAAAGTTTCACAACACCTTGTGCACAGTGAGCCGCTTCTTTCACTTTCTACGGTGCGCACGCAGTACAGCTGGACGAGGAGACGAGGAGCGGAGTCAGGCGACGGGCGATTTTCGACGGCGGAGTCGCGAGGGGGACGCCTCGCGCTCGAGGGACGGGCAAGGGTGGTTCGGTTGGATAGCTGAGGAGTTCAGGGAGGCTTTGCGGGTGCAGCAGAGCCTGCAAGAGGCTGCCGAGGCGAGTTGTTCGACCGCTGACTTTTGCCCCCGCCTTGGTCCTTCGCCTCGCTCGGTCGCGCCTCCTTCCTCTCTTCTCCTCACCCATCCTCAACCGCACAGATGGCCACTTCGGAGCTCGCGTCCACCTACGCCGCCCTCATCCTCGCGGACGAGGGTCTTGAGATCACCGTGCGTCCCCTCCTCTCCCCTCTCCCTCTCAGTCGCGTCGAGCTGACCCGTGCTCCTCCCCCTGTCCCCCCCCCCCCTCCTGCCGTCCACCCCTGCAATCTGCGACCTCGCACACCTACCGACGACCCACCAAACAGGCCGACAAGATCGTCGCCATCGCTTCGGCTGCCAACGTCGAGGTCGAGCCCATCTGGGCCTCGCTCCTCGCCAAGGCTCTCGAGGGCAAGGACGTCAAGGAGCTCCTCACGTGCGTCCCCCTTCCTCTCTCCTGGTCTCTGTGTGTGTGCGCGCGCGGTCCTGACGAGCCTCTCCCCACGCGCAGCAACGTTGGTGCGGGCGGCGCGGCCCCGGCTGCTGGCGCTTCGTCGGGCGGCGCTGCCGCTGGCGGTGCCGCCGAGGAGGCCAAGGAGGAGGCGAAGGAGGAGGACAAGGAGGAGTCGGACGACGACATGGGGTGCGTCCCCCTCTCCCTCTGTCGCCTTGCGCCCGAGTCGGGCTCGCCAGAACGAAGCGCTCACCGGACCTCTCGTTCTCCCTCCCTCCCTCCCCTCGCCCACCTGCCGCCCGCACTATACACTCGACAAAACTGTCGCGCCACTCTCTTACGACCCGTCGCTCCGCCCGCCTCCCAACGGCGCGCCTCACCTCGTCCCCACCTCCGCCTCCCTCTCGACCTCGTACGACCTTGTCGCCGTCTCCTTCGCCTCTCCACCTGCCCCCCGACGTCTCGGCCCTTTACAGCTTCGGCCTGTTCGACTAAGCGTCGAGCTTCACTGGTCGTCGGCGCTACCTTGCGTCTGCAACTTCGTTCAATCCACTCTCGCGCGTGCGGGCCCTTTGCGAGGAGAGAGTGAGAGAGTCTGCGAGCGCCGCGTTTGCGAGAGAGTGTCGGCGTGCCCACAGAGAGTCCTTGTGAGCTGCTGCACGTACTGCAGAGCGTCAGAGAGCCGCCGGCCCCACTTGAGCGTCGCTCTCCGCCTCGTCGTCCTCTCGCTCTCGATGCGACAGATGGCCGGCTACAGCGCCTCGTTCACCCCAGGAGGCGGCCTGCACCCGATCCTGCACCTCTCGGTCCCTTCTGCACCCGCACCCGCACCCTCCTGCGCCCTGCACGCCCTTGTCGCCGTCCCGCCAGAGCTCATCGCCGACCGGTACCAGCTCTCACAGCTCGAGCGCGACGGGCGGCTCGGCAGCGCAGGGATCGGCGGACAAGCAGTGTGGCACGCCGGAGAGGGCGACCTCGAGGCGCCGGCGTGGTGCGCGGGGCCGGCGAGCGTCCTCGTGCGGTTGAGCAACGGCGGGGCAGGCGAGCGCGACGGGCACGGCGCGGACAAGACGGCCGAGAAGGAGCGGGACCAGGTCATCGAGGTCGACGTTCCGCTACACTTGCGGTACCAGGAGCCGGTCGAGCGGCGGTGGCTCGCGGGCGGCGCGAGGGCCGACCCGAGGCTCGTCGTGGTCGAGGTGCCCTGGGTCTTCTGGGCGTGCGCGGCAGGTGCGCTCACTCTCACTTCCTCTCGAGCACCCTTCGAAAGACCCAGACCCTTGCGCCGAAGCAGATGCGGGCGTCACCGCGCCTTGCCCCGCGTCTTCTCTTCCTGACCTCGCCTCCTCTTTTCCTCACCTCGCCACCTCAACCCTGCACTTCCTCGCCCCAAAAGCATGCCTCCGTCTCGCATCATCCTCCTCGTCGACCTGCCCTCCTTCTCGCCCTCCACCACTCGTCCTCGTCGCCCCAACCGGCGTCCTCACCGACCTGCCGCTCGTCGAGGGCGTCACGGCCGCCGCCGTGTGGGCGTGCTTTGCCTTCCTGTGCTGGACTGCCGTGCGAGCGTATCGAAGAGGAGCCGTAGCAGGGCAAGTGCGCAAAGATAAAGCGGCTTGAGCGCCATGCCGAGCGCCAAACGAGCGAGAGGTGCGAGCGCGGCATCGAATCTCTCGAGAGCCGGACAAGGACCGAGAGCGGGACTGAGAGAGACGCTGCGAGTTTGGCAAATCGACAACACTGACGCACTACAAAGCGATACTGCGGCCGCGACACTGCTGGCGGCGAGAGAGAAAGCGGAAAGTGGAAGAGAGCGAGAGAGTTCAAGGCCCGTCGTCGGCGTGTGTGCGCCACCGATACACGCCGTTGCCGGACCTGCGTAGGTACGACACGGAGAGAGAGTCAGATTGACGTCGCGAGAGAGAAGAGAGGCAAAGGGGACGCACTGGGCCTCCTTTTCCTGGTACGAGCGCCGCTCGTCGTTCTGCGCCTTGGCGCGGCGGTTGATCTCCTTGATGTGGCCCGAGCTCGGCATACCTGCTCGACGAACAGAGAGTGTGTCAGTGGAAGGTCGAGGAAGGAGACGTCGGCGAGGGAGAGGGAGAGAGAGAGAGAGGGCGTACCCATCTGCCAGTAGTCGGGCGGCTCCTTCTCGGCTGCGCGACAAAGACCACGAGTCAGTACGGCTCGAGGGATCGAGACAGTGGACGAGGGACGTACTGCGCTGCTGCACGCGGTGGCGGCCGACCTGCTGGAGGTTGCGCGCCGTGATCTCGTCGGCGCGAAGGTCGAGGTGGCGCTTGACGGTGCCCGGACCCTGGTGGACGTGCGTGCACCGCACAGGCTTGCCGGCGCGCTCATAGTACTGCAGGACATCGTCACACGAGTGAGTGACCGACTCGAGGCGGCCTCGGGCCGGGAGGAAAAAAGAGAGGCTCGAGCGCACCTCGACGCATTGCTGGCACGGCTCGGCGAGCATCTTCTGGCGCTCCTTCTTGCGCCGCTCGGTCTCCTTGAACAGCTGCGCCTCGCCGCGGTTGCGCTCCGGGTTGACCTCGAGCTTGCTGCGCTTCGACGCGCTGCGGACGCCGACGAGACGAGGTCAGTACGTGCCGAATTCGACGACGAGGGAGAGGTGGACGCACCTCGCGATGCGCTTCTCCTCGGCCTCGTCGGCCCACCGCGCCTTGCGCTTGACGCGCAGCCTCGCGAGCCACGCCTTCTTCTCCTTGTCCGTCATGTCGCCGTCCGGGAACTGCTCGGTCGGGTACCGCGCGTCCTCCTCGTTCTCCTCGTCGCCCGACTCGACCTTGGGCGTCCTCGACGTGGCACGGCGCTGCTTCTTGTGCGGCGAAGCACGAGGCGCGTTGAACGCGGATGCAGGCGGGTCGTCGAGGTCGAGGTCGTCGTCCTCCTCGTGCTTGATGGCGACGAGGTCAGGCCCGGCCCTCGTGCGCATCTTGCTCTTGCCCTTGGCGCGTCGACCCTTCTGGAACGTGCCGAGCTTCGGCGGGCTCGGCAGTGCCGCCGCCGACTGATTCCTCGGCGAGGGCGACGGCGAGGGCGAGCCCGTCCCGAGGAGCGGCGGCGTCCCGAGCGCGCCGAAGAAGCGCAGCTCGCGCCGGTAGGCGACCGAGCCCGGCACGTCACCGCCGTCGTCGCCGGCGAGACCTGCTCGCGCGTCGCCGAGGCGGCTGCCCGGCTGCGCCGACGGCGGCATCTCGAGGCTCTTGTCCTGGGTCCGGCTCGGGCTCGAGTCCGGGCTCGAGGCCGCCGCGCTCGCCGCACGCTGTCGAGCGGCGGCAGAGCGGGCGTTGGGCGAGGGCTGGAGCGGCCGGGCGAGGAACGGGTCGTCGGCGTCGGTCGCGAAGGCGGGAACGGCGTCCTGCCGCTGCGGCATGATGGACGATGAGCGTCGCGGCGTCGGCTTGCGCGGCGAGCGCGACGACGAGCGCACACGCTGCTGCTGAGACGAGGCGTCGGTGCGGAGCGTGTCGGGCTCGGGCTCGAGCGTCGAGCCGTGGTCGCTCCACAGCTTGCGGGCCGGGCCCGCGACCGCGGGCTCATCGTCGTCGCCGCCGAGGAGCTGCGTGTCGTCAACGAGCACGGCGCTGCGGTCGGCTGCCGCCAATGCGGGAGCGGCGGCCGCGTCGCCGGCGCGCCACAGCTGCGCCTTGATGCCCGAGCCCGACAGCTTGAGCGGCGAGATGCGCCCTCGCTTGTTGGGCGAGACGAGGTTCCAGCGCGGCGTCTTGCGGTCCGAGCCCTTGGGCGACGACGCGACGACGGGCCGGCTCGGCGTCATGAGGCGGGCGACCGGGTCGGCGAGGGGAAATGCCGCGAGCGATGGCGCAGGTGCCGCAGCGACGGGTGCGGGGAGGCCCTGCTTTGCGGCGGGAGCGTGCGTGATGGTCGACTGCGGCACCGGCGTGGCAGACGGGCCCGGCGTCGCCGTCTTCACGACCTTGCGCCGCTTGCGGACCGCCTGGGCCGTCGCCGTCGGCGTCGCCAGCTCGCCCTCGATCGCCGACACGCCGCGCTTTTTGCCCTGGCCCGTACCGACAGGCGTGCCGGCCTGCGCTCGCGCGCCCTCGCCCTCGCCCTCGCCCGTGCTCGCCCCCGCCGACGTCGCGCCGCGCTCGAGCCGCTTGAGCAGCCTCATCGCGCTCTTCTCCCACGCGCGCATGAGGCTCACGAGCGCGCTCAGCTCGCGCTCCTTGCCCTCGACGTCGCCGTACAGCTCGCCGAGCGTGCCCTCGCGCGCCATGTCCTGCCGGGCGCGCGCGTCGTCGGGCAGCGCCGGCGCGGGCGCAAAGCGCTCGAGCTCGTCGGCGGGGAGGATCGGCGGCGAGCGGTGCTTGAGGCGCCACGAGGCGGTGGCGTGCTCGGGGAGGGCGGCGATGCGCGCGTCGAGCGCGGGGAGGGAGGACTGGAAGACGAAGAGGGCGTCGCGGAGCGAGGTGTACTCGGCGAGGAGGCGCGGGTAGAGCGAGATCTGCGTCTTGGCGGTGACGATGCCCTCCTTGCTGAGCGTTTTCGGCGTCGAGCTGGAGGAGGAAGGGAGGGCTGCAGGAGTGGAGGGAGCGGCGGACGAGGGCGAGACGACGGCGGAAGGAGGTGCGGGGGAGGATGACGCGGTAGGGCGGCCGATTGCGACGACGCGAGGGTGGACGAGCGACGCCGACGTGGCCTGCGTCACGAGAGGGGCTGCCGGCGGCGGCGGGTCGAGAGGAGGAGCTGGCGAGGGTGCCTCGACAGGTGCCGGGTCGACGGGTGCGGGTGCAGAGGGCTCGGCCTCGAGCAGGGCCTGCTGCGACGACGGTTTGGGCGTGCGAGACCTGCTCGTGGACGTGGACCGCGCTGAGTCGTTCGGGCGAGGCGACAGGGCGCTACTTGCGGGAACGTGGCGAGGTGTCGGAGGTGCGCGAGGCAAGGCCGACGAGGCGAGGGCAGAACCCGGACTGGAGGGAGGCGGCGTGTGAGTGCATGTCGCGCAGAGTCTGAAGAGAAACTATGAGGACGGACCGAGGTGTCGGTGCAGCTGCAGACGAGGCCGTCGGAGCCGGACTCGCCGAGACGAGCCTGTCGACGCCGAACACGGCCGGCAGGACCGCCGCGAGGCGCTCCTTGATCTGCGCCAGCTCGACCGCCGCCGCCTCGCCACGCGCCTTTTCCTCCTGCACGCGCTCGAGCTCGTCCTTGAGGTCGCGCAGCTCGACCTCGCACTCGTCGCGCGCCTCGTTGGCCCGCTCGAGTGCGGCCTCGAGGGCGCCGACGTCGGCCTCGAGCGCCGCGATGTCGTCCCAGCAGTGGCTGAGCTCGACCTCGACAGGGAGGGCGGCGGTGGGCGACGACGGGACGGCGCCGGACGAGCGGCTCGCGAGCGTGGACGACGGCGGGACGAGGCCCGAGCGGTGCAGGCCCTCGGCGGCGTCGAGCAGGCGCTCCTTGTCCTTGAGGAGGGCGGCGTTGGTGAGGCGCTCCTTTGCGACCTCGGCGCGGGTCCACTCGAGCTGGTCGCGGGCTTGTGCGAGGTCACGGCGGAGCTGGGCGTTCTCGAGCTTGCGCTCCTCGTTGCGGCGGGCGTGGCGCGTGTCCGAGTACTGGGTCTGGGTGTCGTCGAGGGGCAAGGTGTCGCGTTGGGCGGCAGGGACGACCTTTGCGGCGCCGTGCAGGAAGACAAAGTCCTCGAGGTCGTCGAGAGAGGGGAAGCCGAGGACGTTGACGAGGGCGGTGAGGCGCTCTTCCCGCTCTGTGCCGCGCAAGAGTGGTCAGGTGTTGTTCGTGTGCTGGCTAAGAGGCTCAGGAGGGGGAGAGAAGAGACGGACCGGTGACATGGTCGACGAGGTGCGGGGGAGGAGGGTGGCACCCACCTCCGTGGGCGTTGGTGCTCGGCGGGTGATGTGGGTCCATCGCAGGAGCTCAGGCGAGCATGGCGCGCAGCGTGTGTGCGAGCAATAGCGAGTGGCGGGAGGACGAGACGCGACGACGACGCGAGCAGCTTGGCCTCGCTTCGACTCACCTCGCTCTCACCGACAGAGCCCGCCAGACCTGTCCAGTGCGACTCAGAGCCACATCGACACGCACCGACACCCTCGCATCGGCCCAACAAGCTCGCCCTCTCGCCCCGACCCCGTCGTCCCTCGACCAGTTCGCCGAACGACCGATGAGCTCCTCGCCCTCGACCCTCCCGCACCAGATGCCCGTCGCAAGGCCCGACGCAAAAGTAAAGCTCACCTGCGTCGGCGACGGTGGTGTCGGCAAGGTCCGTCGCCGCCTCTCCTCTCCCTCTCCTCCTCTCGCCCGTCCTGGTCTCGACCGAGGCGGACCGACTCGCTCTCGGCGCCACACTGACTCTTTGCGCCCAACCCAGACCTGCCTCCTCATCGTCTACTCGCAAAAGCGCTTCCCGACTGTGCGTCAGCGCTCTCCTCGGCCAGACGAGCTCGACGCCGACACCTTGCGTCGTCGACCTCTACTGTGGTCGGGTGACAACGCTGACACTTCTACCTCGCCCAGGACTACGTCCCGACCGTCTTCGAGAACTAGTGCGTCCCCTCCCCTCTGTCCTTCCGTCGCCGGGCCGAGACTTGCGGCTGACCTCCTCGGCCAACTCGCGCAGCGTCCTCAACAAGCCCTACGGCGACAAGATCGTCGAGTTTGCCCTGTGGGACACGGCCGGGCAAGAAGAGTACGACCGACTGCGGCCCCTGAGCTATCCCGAGACGCACGTCCTCTTCATCTGCTTCACGGTCGACCACCCGCCCTCGCTCGAGAACGTCGAGGACAAGGTGCGCCCCCGTCCCTCTCCCTCCTTCTAGAGCGACTCGCACTGACTCGAACCGACGCGCGCAGTGGTACCCCGAGGTGTCGCACTTCTGCCCCGACACGCCCCTCGTCCTCATCGCGACCAAGACGGACCTGCGCACCGACGAGCGCGCCATCTCGCTCCTGCGCGCCCAAGGGCGTCACCCGATCACGCACGACGAGGGCGCCGCCGTCGCCGAGCGGATAGGCGCCAGCTACGCCGAGGTGAGCGCCATCAGCGGCAAGGGCGTCGAGGACGTGTTCGACCTCGCGCTGCGGCTCGCCATGAGGGGCTCGGCGACGGCGGCGGGCGGTGCGGGACTCGGCTCGAGCGGTCGGTCGCGCTCGAGGGGCGGCCGACGCGCAAAGTGCATGCTCTTGTGAGCGCCCACCCCCCTGCATCCCTCCTCCTCTCGCACAGACACTCGCCCTCTCGATCCCGATTCTCTCTCTTTGTCTCTCTCGTTCTCCCTTGTTGTCGCGCCGGCGCCTCGACCCATAGATTCTCGCAACCTCGCAACGCAGCGTCTATGCTCCCTCTGGCCCAGATTCGCGTCGTCTTCGTTGCGAGAGTGCGAGCGAGAGAGCAAGTGAGGGTCCGAGCGAGACCGAGGACAGCGCGAGACGGACGACGCAGCTCTCGCTCGACCTCGAGACAGACAGGGGCACATCGATGAAGCTCTATGGTTGCACACGACATGAGAGAGATGAGAGGGATTGTGCAAGGGAGGAGAGGGAGAGGAAGGGCGAGAGAGGGAGAGGAAGAAGACCCTTTTTGCGATTCACCGCCTCGTCACGACCCTCGAACGCCTCGACGACGACGACGACGATGACGCTCACTGCGTCGGGTCCTCGCCGTTGTAGGCCGCCTCGTGGATGGCGACGGCGCGGCCCGAGGGGTCGGCGGCGCAGCCCCAGTCGGCGCGCGGGATCCAGCGCACGGCCGTCTTGGCGGCCGCCTCGGTCGGGAAGTGGCTCTCGAACGTCTGGCGGATGAGGTACGCCTCCTTGGTCTCGGGCGTGTCGAGCGGGTAGCGCTCGGCGGCGCCGGCGAGCTGCTCGTCCGAGACGACCTGCGCGGCGTGGTCCTTGAGGCCGTCGATCCACGAGTAGCCGACGCCGTCCGAGAACTGCTCCTTCTGGCGCCACAGGATCTCGTCGGGGAGGTACGGGCGCTCGCCGAGCGGGCCGACGTCGAACGCCTTGCGGATGATGTACTTTTCCATCTTGGGGCGGCCGTCGGCGTCCTTCTCCTGGAGCGAGCCCTTGGAGAAGAGCTTGTCCTCGGGGCGGACGTTGAGCGCCGCCTCGAGGAACTCCTTGTCGAGGAACGGGACGCGCGCCTCGAGGCCCCACGCCATGGTCGACTTGTTGGCGCGCAGGCAGTCGGCCGTGTGCAGGTTCTTGACGCGGCGGATGCACTCCTGGTGGAAGTCCTTGGCCGTCGGCGCCGCGTGGAAGTACAGGTAGCCGCCAAAGATCTCGTCCGAGCCCTCGCCCGAGAGGACCATCTTGACGCCCATGGCCTTGATCTTGCGCGACAGGAGGTACATGGGCGTCGACGCGCGCACCGTCGTCACGTCGTACGTCTCGAGGTGGTAGATGACCTCCTCGACGGCGTCGAGGCCCTCCTGGACCGTGAACGTGTACTCGTGGTGGACCGTGCCGAGGTACTTGGCCGCGACGCGCGCCGCGAGCAGGTCGGGCGAGCCCTCGAGGCCGATCGAGAACGAGTGCAGGCGGGGCCACGCCGTCAAAGTCCCGACCTCGTCGGCCGCCGCCTCGTCGTCGACGCCGACCAGGCCCGCCGAGTCGCCGGCCGAGCCCTGCTGCGGCACGCCGCCCTTGTCCTGCTGCGCCTGCTGCGCCTTGGCGACCTTTTCCGTTTCCCGGGCGGCGATGGCGGCGATCAGGGACGAGTCGAGGCCGCCCGACAGGAGGACGCCGTACGGGACCTCGGACATGAGGCGCTTCTTGACGGCCTTCTCGAGCGTCTCGCGCAGGACGGTCAGGTCGCCGGCCTGGGTCGGGACGGCGTCGTCCGACACGTCGCCCTCCCACCACGTCGGCTTGAAGTAGCGCGTCGTCTCGCCCGTCGCCGAGTCCCACACGTGGCCCGGCGGGAACGAGCGCACCTCGTCGCACTCGTCGTGGAGCGCCTTGAGCTCCGACGCAAAGTAGACGGTGCCCGGGCGCTGCGAGTTCCAGCCCTGGTACAGCGTCGTGATGCCGATCGGGTCGCGCGCCGCGATCATGCGCGACGGCGTGACGGACGTGTCGAGGAGGACGAACGAGAACATGCCGTCGAGCTTGCTGCACAGGTCGGTGCCGAGCTCACGGTACTGCGGGCTCGCGAAATGGGGTGTCAGTCGACGAGAGACTGGGCGAGAGAGAGAGAGAGAGAGACGCAGGCGACGCACGAGGTGTAGGATGACCTCGCAGTCCGAGTGCGTCTTGAACGAGGCCGGGTTCTTGAGCTGCTTGCGGAGCGCGCGGTGGTTGTAGATCTCGCCGTTGACGGCGAGGAGGAGCTTGTCGTCCTCGGACGTGATGGGCTGGGCGCCGGTGTCTGCGCGACAAGGAGAGGAGAGTCAGCGAGTGCGCCGACGAGGAGCTCGAGAGCTGCGGCGACATCGGCTCGTGCGGGCGACGGGGCCCGCCAACACCTCGACGAGCTCGTTGTGGGTAGACTGCTCGAGCCGCCAGGCCCACTGCGCCGCCGCACGACGAGCCGTCTTTTGCCGCGGCGGTGCCAAGAGAGAGAGAGAGAGAACGGGGCTCACCGACACCGACGATGGCGAGACGCTCGTGGACGAGGATCGAGTCGTCGGTCATCTTGCAGCCGGACCAGTCGGGTCCACGGTGGCGCATGCGCTTGCTGAGGGCGACGGCGCGGGCGCGGAAGGCGGCGACATCCTTGTTCTCGCCGTAGTGGTGGGCGGCGAAGATACCGCACCTGCGCGAGGGGATAAGGGACGAGTCAGTGGGTGCTCTGTGCTCGACCTTGCGCGGTGCTCGCAGCTGTGCAGCGGGGAGGACGGCCGAGGTGGATGAGGTGAGGCTGCCGTACATTTTGCTGTCGGCGGTGGCGGGGCGAAGTGCGGCTTGTGCGCGGTGGAGGGTGGCGGTCGAAGGTGGGAGAGAGCTGTGGCGAGCTGTGCGTAGCGGTTGAGGGAGCGGGTGAGGGAGGGAGTGAGGTGGTTCGCTCGCGAGATTGACTCTGGCGGACCGAGAGCCAAGCGTCACAACTCGAGGGGAGGTCTCACTTGGTCGCCCCCTCTCCCCGTCGTCCAACAAACACTCCCTCTCCCGCGCCACCAACCAGCTCGCACTCGGTGCACGCCCCCTGCAGCACTCGCGGGTCCACCTCGTGCACACCCACCAAGCGCGGCTCTCGCCCATGGCCTCGCGCCGGCCTCCTCCATCGTCAGCGACGGCGGCCGCACCTCCTCCCCCGCCAGCGCTCGCCTACAAGCTCGCCCTGCTGCGCCACCTCGTCCACAACGCCCTCCCGAACTCGCACAACACCGCTCTCTTCTACGCCCACCAGCTCCACGCCCTCGAGCCCTCGGCTGAACCCTCGGCCCACCTCGTCGCATCGGTCCTCATCGCCGCCAACAAGCACACCGACGCCCTCTGCCTCCTCCGCCAGCCCGTCACCTTCACCCCGCACACCGACAGCCCCGCCACCGCAGCCCCCGACGACCCCTTCCTCGGCGCCGGCCGCCGCTGGCCACCGCAGGCCTCGACCAGCGCCGCGAGGCTCACCCGTCCCGCGTGCGAGGCCAGCGTCCGCTGCGCCCGCCTGTACGGCCACGCCTGCCTCGCCCTCAAGCGCGACAAGGAGGGGCGCGAGGCCCTTGCCCGCGTCCTCCAGCCGGGCACGCCCCTCGCCTCGAACCTGGACCGCCACGACGCCCAGCTCGACCCGAGCCTCGTGTGTGCCCACGCCCCGTGGCTCGCCCCGGTCGACGAGGCGGCCGTCGTCGAGCTCGAGATGGCGCGCCTCGCCCGCAGAGGCGGCGACTACGAGCGCGCCGTCCAGGGCTACCGCGCCGTCGTCGCAAAGGCGCCGACGTGCTGGGAAGCCATCGAGGCCCTGTGCGCCCTCGGCATGCCTCCCGACATCGACGCGCTCCTGCCCCTCAAGCCTCGCTCGGTCCCGTCGTCGGCCCACACGGTCGCCCCGTCCGCCGCCCAGCAGCAGCAGCACTCGCGCGCGCTCTCGGCCGTCAACCCCGTCCCGGCTCCGCTCGGCCCGTCCAACACGGCGCACGGCGGCGCCATGCGCACGAGGAGCAGCGTGCACGACGGGCCCGGCCTCGGCGGCGCGGTCGGCGGCGGCGCAGGAGGAGGAGGAGGAGGAGGGCTCTTTACGCCGACCGAGGTCGCCGTCAAGCCCGGCGGGCTCTTTGGCGGCGCCAACGGCAAGGGCAAGGCGAGAGACGTCGGGCAGGGCTGGTACGGCGGCGCACAGCAGGTGCCGCCAGGGCTCAGGAGGACGGGCTCGGGCCGGTACGCCGACACGACGGGCGACTTGAGCACCGCCGACGAGTGCGTCCACTTCTCTCTCGTTCTTCTCGGACGAGTTACTGACCTTGTACCTCGCGCGCAGGAGCTCGTTCGACGCCTCGTTCTACCCGACCGCCCCACTCTCTTTCGCGCCCTCGACTGCGGCCCTCCCTCCCACCCTGCGCCAACCACCCTCTTCCACCGCCACCGGCTCGCTCTTTACGCCTCCTGCCGGCGCAGCACCTGCGGCGACCGCCCCAGGCGTCAAGCGCACGCGCGCGGGCAACATCGCCCCGGCGTCGATCGCGGCAGCGGCCTCGACGGCCGACGACGACTCGGCGCGTGTCGGACGGCGCATCGTGCGTGGCGAGGGTCGAGCGCGACGAGGAGAAGGGTCGGTCGGTGCGGCTGGTGGAGCGGCAGGAGGAGGAGGAGGAGGGGGCTCGAGCGCGGCACCGCCGACGAGGCGCTCGTCCCGCCTGTCGGGCCATGCCGCGTCGGCCGCAGCAGCAGGAGGCGCCGCCATGGCCGTCTCGCGCTCTCAGACGAGCGCGACCGGCGGCAGGGCCGGCAACGGCGCCGGCGTCGGCGGCGGCTCGCGCGACAAGAAGCGCAACAAGGGCGGCGCCGGCCCGTCGGTCCTCTCGGACGCCGGCAGCGAGCCGACCGTGTCGCACTCGTCGTCGCCGGCGCCGTCGTCGCCCGCTCACGGCGGCAGCTCGGGCCCGTCGTCTGCGAGCCGGGCCATGGTCGACCTGGTCGCGCGCGACGAGGCGCACGACTACGTGCTCGGCACGCTGCGGGCGTTCGCGAGGGCGGCGGCAGCGGCGGCCACGTACGAGATGAAGGGCGCGATCGAGGCGCTCGCCGAGCTACCGGCCGAGCAGAGGCGCGCGGCGAGGGCGCTCGTCATGCTCGCCAAGATGCACTACGAGCTGCTCAACTACGCCCAGGTGCGCTCCCGCTCTCTTTTACCCTCGTCTCGTTCTTCGTGAGCAAAGTCCTTGACCCTCATCGTCGTCCTCTTGCAGGCCGAGAAGGCGTTCCAGCTGGCGCGCCAAGTCGCGCCTTACCTCGTCGACGGCATGGAGCTCTACTCGGCCACCCTGTGGCACCTGCGCTCGTCGACCGCCCTGTCCTCGCTCGCGCAAGAGCTCATGGTCGTCGACCCGCACCACCCGTCGAGCTGGATCGCGTCGGGCAACGTCTTCTCCCAAGTCGAGGACCACGCGAGCGCGCTGCGGTGCTTCAAGCGGGCGGCGCAGCTCGACGACGCGTGCGTCTACGCGTACACGTTGAGCGGGCACGAGTGCGTCATGCTCGAGGAGTGGGAGCGCGCGCTCGGCTTCTTCCGCGAGGCAGTCCGGCGCGACCCTCTGCACTACAACGCCTGGTGCGTGGGAGCGTCCTCTCTGTCACTCCTTCTCTGCCTCTCTCGGCGTCGAGCAGGAACCTGACTCGAAGCACCTTTTCTCCCACTGCAGGTTTGGCCTCGGCAACGTCTACCTCAAGACGGGCAAGCACACCCTCGCCGACTACCACTTCCGGCGCGCTCTCGAGATCAACCCGGCCAACACGACCCTCATCTGCTGCGTCGGTACTGTCCTCGAGAAGCTGTGCCGCCCTCGCGACGCCCTCGAGATGTACGAGCGCGCGGCCGCCCTCGAGCCCGAGAGCCCGCTCGTGCGGTTCAAGCGCGTCCGGCTCCTCATCGCCCTGCAGCGCTACCCAGTACGTCCCCTCTCCTTCTCCCTCGCGTATCCTCGAGCGCGAGCAGGGACCTGACCAGCCGTTCTCGCCGTCCGCAGGCTGCCGAGGCCGACCTTCTCGCCCTGCGGCACCAGGCGCCAACCGAGCCCAACGTGCACTACCTCCTCGGAAAGCTCTACCGCGTCCTCGGCCGCAAGGCCGACATGCACCGGGCGTTCGCGCTCGCGCAGGACCTCGAGCCGCGCATGGCCAGGTGCGTCCCTCGCCCTCTCCTATTCGGCACCTCGCGCAGGACGCCCTCACTCACACTCTCTCGCCGTGCGACAGTCTCATCCGAGAGCAGATCGAGCGTGCCGCTCCAGATGCCGCGACGGGCATGGACGTCGACGAGCCGTCGAGACGATCCGGATGAGCTGCCTCTCGTCCGCCTCCCCCACCCCCCTCTCCTCTCTAATCTTGCAATTCGTCGTCGTTCGCTCTCTGCACTGCAATTCTTGCCTCTCTCTCTGAGTGCGCGACCTCGATGAGCGAGAGCAGCAGCTGTCGCCGACGCGAGGCGGAAAGGAGAGCTCGCGCTCAGGCCTCTTTTCGAGAGCGGCCGACCGAGCTCGACAAGGGGCTCGCAGCGGTACTGGGACGAGCAGCACCGCCCGGTGCACTGTACCGCGTTCGTTGCGTCGGCCGACGACGGCCTCGAGGTCGACGCCGAGGACGCCTTTGCTTGAGAAGGTCGGGCGAGGAGGAGGAGGTCTCTGTTTCGTCGATTCGCTCTCGTTTCCCCTTGAAATTGTACACAAGCATTCTCTTTCTTTCTCTCTGCGCCTCTCTCTCGTGCGGCTCCCGGTGAGGAAGTGAGAGAGACCGAGCCCGACGTCGAGCTCGCGAAAGTCGTCAAAGCTATCGCTCGAGTTGCAACAACAAGCTCGCCTCCCTCGCGTTCTCGACAGCGACAGCGACTACGTCGCGAGCTTGTCAAGAGCGGCGACCGACTGCGCCCAGGCGCCCCTCGAGAGACCGACCTGCGCGTGCGCGACGAGGCGCTGCTTGACGAACTCGGGAAGGTCGGACGCCTCGAGCAGCTTGACGGCGCGCGTCCTCCCTGCCTGCACGAGCTCGAGCGCCTCTTCCTGGCCGACGAGGGACGGGCGGTTGTACGACTGGCACGTGATCGTGGCGTGCACGAGCTGCTGGCGGAAGAGCGCGTTGAGGACGGTGAAGCTGCCGATCTGCGTCGCCTTGTCGAACGCGGCCGCTTCCGGCGTGTTGCCCGACATCTTGGCGACCGCCTCACAGTACTCGGTGTGGAACGCCATGCAGGACTTGGCGAACAGCTGCCATGGCGACCGGCGTGCCGGAGGATTGCCGGCGAACAGCTCGCGGTCGGCGGCGTGTCCGAGGAACTCGTACGCGAGGGCGACGTTCTCGAGGCGCTCGTTCTCCTCGTACGGGTCGTCGTTGGCGGGTGCGGTCAGGCGCTGCCAGAACGTCTGCGGGGAGCGAGACCCAGGGTCAGTCGAGGCGCGTGCGAGGTCCAGATGGAGCGAAAAAGGGCGACGCACGGTCCACAGGAAGTCGGCGAGAGGTCCCGGGTAGCCACCCTTGACGAGGCTGACAAGCGACTGGCCGCGCAAGCCGGGAACAAGGCCTGGCCTGCTCTTGACGTCGTCGAGCGACCGGATCTCGTCGGCCGTCAACGGCGGCAGGTAGAACGTGTCGACGCTGCGCCCGCAGAGCACCTTGTGCGTCGGCCAGAGCTGTGTGGAAGACTGATCAGCTCGGTTCGGACGAGCGTGACGAGGGAGAGAGAAGGGACGCACGATGCGTTGGCAGCGCTCCGAGCACAGGCGAACGGCGCGGCACGCGCTGCACAGCTTGGTCGTCGCCGTGTAGCAGACAATGCAGTGCTCGGGGAGGTCCACGGTGCTGGCCATGAGAGCGCGAGAGCGAGCGAGGGAGAGGGAAGGAGAGCTGATCCGCGGACTCTCCGAAGCAGTCCGGAGCGGCGGGCGAGGCCCGTGCGCGGATATCTCGCGAGGCCGCTCTCGCCGACTCGCAGTTCGAGAGCTGCGTTCGACAGGCTCACGACGTAGTCGCAGTCGCTGTCGAGAACAGGAGGGACACGAGCTTGTCGATGCAACTCGAGCGATAGCTTTGACGACTTTCGCGAGCTCGACGTCCGGCTCGCTCTCTCGCTCTCTCGCCGGGAGCCGCACGAGAGAGACGCAGAGAGAGAGAGAGAGAGAACGCTTGTATACAACTTCAGGGGAAACGAGAGCGAACCGACGAAACAGAGACCTCCTCCTCCTCGCCCGACCTTCTCAAGCAAAGGCGTCCTCAGCGTCGACCTCGAGGCCGTCGTCGGCCGACGCGACGAACGAGGTAAAGTGCACCGGGCGGTGCTGCTCGTCCCAGTACCGCATCGGCTGGCCGACGAGCGTGACGCTGTACGGCATCGTCGGCGAGAAGGCGGCGCCGAGGCCCGTCGAGTAGTTCCACACGCCGCCGACCGGCGCGAACGACGAGCCGAGGATGCGGTCCGACAGCAACAGCTGCGCGCGGTCGACCATCGACGCCGGGTTGTAGCCCGCCGGCGAGTTCGGGTCGGCCGTCCTGCCCCACTCGAAGCCCTTGGGCGTGAGGGCGTACGCCGACAGCGACAGGGAGCCCGGCGTGAAGGCGACCGTGAGCATGATCGACGAGCCGTCGATCTCCGAGTGCTGCGCCATGAGGCGGGCAAACAGGGTCGCGTCGGCCGGCGACAGCGACTGGGTCTCCTGCGCCTGGGTCGTGATGAGGCCGACGACCTTGAGGTCGGCGAGGAGCGGGTGCGACGGGAGCTCGTTGACGAGCTCGACCGAGCGCTGCGTCGAACGCTGCGGGACGACGACGACGGCCTTGACCTCGACGACGCGCGAGTTGTCCGGCGCGACTTGGCCGTACAGGTAGGCGGCGGCGGGCGCGCGCAGGTCGGCCGCCGTGACGAACGCCTTCATAACGTTCTTGGCGAGGACGAACGTCGGGAGCTCCTCCTTGACGTCGTCGTTCGTGACGTAGACGTGCTGGAGGCGGAGCGGGATGTTGGTCGCCGAGATGGCCCGGATGCGCCAGTCGGTCTTGCTGCTGAACACCTGCTGCTCGTACGCCGTCGTCGTGACGACCTGGATCTCGTCGCCCATGACGTTGGTCGTGCGCGTCTGCACCGCCGTCACCTGCGCCGCCGCCTCGGTCGACTTCTCGATCTCGGCCATCTGCTGGCGCTGGACCGACGGCGCCTGAATCTCCATGCCGAGGATGATGTCGCGGATCTCGCTCGAGGTGAGGGACGCCGTGTTGACCGAGTTGCGCTTGGCGTAGTCGGCGAGGATGAGGTCGCGCAGGGCGATCTCGACGCGCATCCACTCCTCGTCCTCGAGCGTCGGCCAGACGTGGTGCGGCTGCGTGATCGTGTTCTTGTTCGGGCGCAGGATAATCTTGGCCTTCTCGTTGTTGACGTGGATCGCGCGCAGGAGGAGGATGAGGCGCGAGAAGGCCGTGTACGACGAGATCGACTTGAGCCAGTCGTCGTACATGTTCGACAGGACCATCTGCGGCTGGCTCGCGCGCAGGATCTGCGCAAGAGAAGGAGAGGGGAGAGGGCGCGAGAGAGAGGGGAGAGGGCGAGAGAGTCAGGAAAGGGCTCGACGGGAAAGAAAGAGAGAAGGTGTTGACGCACGAGGTCGCCGAACTTCTCGAGCTTCATGCACGCCTGGAACGGGAGCTGGAGCTCGGAGCCCTTGATGACGATGTTGGGGAAGTCGAGGAGGTGGACCTCGAGCGGGTCGAGCATGCCCTTGCGCGTGACGATGACCTGCTTGGGCTGCTCCTCGACGGGGAGCGAGCGCACGAGGGCGGCGACCTCCTCGGCCGTCTTCCACTTGGCGAGTTGACCGAGGCGCTTCTGGCCGGCCCAGACCGACGTGTGGATGATCTTGATGAACGCCTGGCCCGTGCGCGGGTTGAAGATGAAGATGGCGCCGTTGATCGGCTTGGTCGTCAAGTTGCCCTCGAACGTCTTGTGGATCGTGACGCGGTAGACCTGCGTGTCGTCGACGAACCAGATGATCTGGTTGCTGAATAGCTCCGAGTAGTTCTGCGAGTTGAGGTACGGCTCGGTCGGCTCGGACGAGTAGAGCTGGAGGCCCTTGCGGATGCGCTCGCGCAGGACGTAGAGCGCCGGGTTGGCCTTCATGACCTTGCCCATGGCCTGCTGCACGAGCGGCTTCATGCCCGGGATCCAGTTGCCGTACGCCGAGTGGAGGTTGTAAGCGAGGTCGATGCCGATGAGGAGGCCGGTCGGCGACGGGTAGATCGACATGTTGTCCGACGTGTAGTCGAGGAACTTGGCGCGCGTGTACCGCTCGATGTCGTGCGAGTCAAAGTCGCCCCACCGGAGCTGGACGTCGACCCAGTACTTGGAGCTCGTCGTGCCGTCCATGACGTCCTTCGAGTCGGTGAGGAGCGACGGCCGCGTGACGTTCCACTTGTAGGACGAGAACAGGAGGATGTCGGCGCACGACGAGTTCATCTTGTACGACTTGCGCGGGTGGATCGTCTCCTTCTGGACCGTCTCGATCTGGAGCGCCTCGAGCTCCTGGTCGAACACCTGGCACAGGTCCATGACGACCGACTCGTGGATCTTCTGCCACAGGTGGGCGCGGAAGATCTGGATGAGCGAGATCTTGAGCGTCGGGATCTGCTCGGGCGAGAGGGCGAGAGGTCAGTCTCCTTCTCCTCGACGGCGACGACGACGACGACGACGACGGGCGAGAGGGACGCACCTTGCCGTGCATGAAGACGCCCGTGAGGTCGAGCTGGACCTGGAAGCCGACGTAGACGTTGGCGCGGTTGATCGTGGCTGCAATAGGGCGAAGAAGAAGGTCGAGGGGACGAGGGAGGGGAGAGGGGGCGAGGAGGGCGGCGAAGGAGGTCGTGCGACAGCGTGGCGGCAACGAGTGTACGAGGGAGGTGACGAGAGGGCGAGAGAGGCGAGGGGCCGAGAGAGGGGCCGAGGTGAGGCAGGGCGGGGTGAGGGGCGAGGTCAGCTCCGGTCGCCACGTACAAGGAGCGGCAGGGGACAGTCGACGCACGAGACCACCAAAGCGTGAAGCGCCGGTTCGGGATTTGCGACAGGCCCGAGCGCTGGGCGTTGGTGAGTTTCTGCAGGCACCGAGTCGTCAGAGACGTGTTCCCCAATCTGCACGACGAAAAACTACTCGAGAGTTCTTGAACTCGCCTTAAACTTCATGGATTCTTCGAACCCCGAAGCCTTCTCCCTGCGTGTACGACGTCGAGAGGGTCAGGAGGGATCTCTGGGAGGTCGCGAGGACCTCAGAGGACGCGAGGAGGACGACGACGGCCGAGACGACGAGGAAGGGCCAGTGACGCACCAGAACAGTCCCTCCTGTGTACAGAGAGCGTATGCGAGTGTCAGTAAGGCGTCGCAGAAGTAGGAGAAGGCAGAACGGGGAGGTCGAGGCAAGGGAAGGCCGACGATGATGACGACGACGACGAGGGGAGGGAGGGCTGAAAGAGGGTGACGCACCCAGGTCGGGAACGCAGTCGCCTTGAAGAGCGTGTCTGTAGGCGGAGCAGAGTCAGTGAGGTCTGTCGGGACAAAAAGAACGCCTCGAGGAAGGAGGAGAAGTGAACGCACGCTCGAGGATGCCCTCGACGCCGCCGAGCGCCGCGATGACGTCGACGCGGTAGTTGTTGAGCTGCCAGAGCTTGCTGTAGGCGCAGAGAGGGCGAGTGAGCACGCAGAAGGAGAGGAAGAGGAGGAAAAGAGGACGCACCCGTCGTGACGCTGCGAGGTCCACCAGAACGGGTTGTGCTTGAGGAGCTGGTAGCGCTTCCACTCGACGCGGTTGCGCCAGCCCTTGTCGTACGCGAGCGTGTGTCTGCGGGCGAGGGAGAGGCGTTAGTGACGAGGCGAGAGGGCGACCTTCCCAAGTCGAGGGCGACCTTCTCAAGGTTGGGGAGAGGTCGACGCACCGGTCCTTCTGGAAGAGCGTGTTGATGCGGGGGATACCGCGGTCCCACGAGTCCTCGAGGTCCTCGAGCGTGAGGCGGCGGTTCTGCGCCTGCGCCTCCTTGCGCTTGAGCGCGTACTCGGACCAGACGCGCGCCGAGTCGAGGAACTCGGCCTCCCACGGCTGGATGTAGCGGAACAGGTTCGGGATGAGGCTACAGGCACGAGGAGAGTCAGGACGGGCGCCCTGGGCCGACGAGAGAGAGAGAGAGAGGGGACGTACACCTCCGAGTTGCCGCCGCCCATGCCGGCACGGAAGTGGGTGATGCCCGTGTCGGTCTGCTTGCTCCAGCGCAGGTCGGACGCCGGGATGAGGATGTGGCCCATCGAGAGCATGCCGAGACCGCCGAGCTCCTTGGGCGTGTAGAAGACGGCCGGCTGCAGGAGAAACAGGTCAGCGACGACGCCCTCGAGCGAGGTCTGGGACGAGCGGGACGCACCGGGAAGCGAGACGGCATCTTCGAGTTGAGGCTGCAGGGTACGGAGGGTGTCAGCAGGTCGACAAGGAGGGTCGAGAAGAGGAGGGAGGAGGAGGACGGACCCGATCTTGACGCGGGTCTGCACCTTGTTCTCGGCCTTGACGAGCGCGTCGAGGAGCTCGGTCGTGTGGATGACGGCCTCGCGGTAGAACGTGAGCAGGCCGATGATGGCGGTGTTCCACTGCGAGGGAAAGGGCGAGAGGTGAGTCGTTTTTCATGCCCGAGTCGAGCGGCGGCTGGGGCGCACCTTGTTGATAACCTTGGCGAACGGCGACGAGCCCGACGACATGAGGATTTGTCGTATGCGGTTGTTGAACATCTGCACGGGACGAGGGGGAGGAGGAAGAGGAGGAGGAAGAAGAAGGTCAGGGAGGAGGCGAGGAAAGGAAGGGAGGGGGAGGGGGCGCACCATGATGCCCTCGTCCGAGACGCGCAGGAACGCCTGCGCCGTGCGCTCCTTGGTCGCCTCGTTGGCTGTGAGGAGGAGGAGTGACGAGGAGAGTCAGGAGGGGGAAGGAGAAGAGGAGGTACGAGGGGGGACGCACTGAGGTTCCAGACGCCGTCCTTGAGGGTGAACTGCTCGTTGACGTTGCGGATCTTGGGCAGGATGCGGATCTCGAAGCCCGACATCGAGAAGAGGAGCTGAGGGTTGTCCTTGGAGTAGACCGAGACGAACGTGTCGTCCCAGTCGATCGTCGTGAGCGAGCGCGGCAGGCGGTTCTTGATGTCCCAGAAGACGGCGCGACCGAGATTGACGTCGTGCTTGATCAGGCGCATGCGGCAGTCGCGAGGCCAGCACTTCTTGTTGTTGTAGCCGATCAAGTTCTCGTTGTTCGGGTCCGGGTTGGCCGACAGGTACCGCTGGATGAGGTCGCGCGACTCGTCGGCCGTGAAGCGGAACATGATGTGGACGCGGTCGATGTAGCGCGAGTAGAGGCGGATCGGGTGCCGCGTCTCGGTCGCCGTGTCGCGGAACTGCAAGAAGTTGTTGGGCATCTGCGGCGGGCCGGCCATCTCGCTCGCGCGCTGCAGGCCGAGGATGAGGATGTCGAGGATGAGGCCGTAGTACTGCGAGGGACGAGTGCGAGAGTCAGTCACCGAGTACGCGAGGGAAAGAGGGCGAGGCTCGAGTTGAGAAGGCGGACCTGGAAGATGAACGACGAGAACTGGAGGCCTCGGATCATGCCGTAGGCGTTGACGTGCGACATGTCCTTGTACGTGAGCACGATGTTGTTCTTGGCCGTGCAGTAGTCGGCCTGCGAGGGAAGGGAGAGAGGGTCAGGGCGATCCTCAAGGGGCAAAAGGGGAAGGACGGCGACGACGACGACGCACGAGGTTGTGGTCCATGATGAGGCGCAGGAGGCGGTTGAGCAACGTCAAGTCGATCTTCTCGTAGACCTTGCTGAGCTGCGTCTCCATGAGGACGTTGCACTCGCCCTCGCTCGTCTCCCACACGTCGTGCAGGTTGTTGATGCCCTGGCACCACTTGTACACGAGGAGCGGCGGCGGCTCGGTGTCGGCCGGCTTGATCCAGGACGGGAACAGGCCGCGCTTGTCGGCCTCGAAGTACAGGAACTGGTCGAGGTAGGCGTCCGTGATCTTCTCCATCGGCTCGATGTCGTAGCACGGGATGAGCTTCTCGTACGTGTCGAAGAACTCGATGCCGGCCTCCTTGAAGGCGCGCTGCGTGAGCAGGAGGCGCTTGATGCGCGACAGGGTCTCGTGCGGGTTGTCGTACGCCTGCTCGATGAGGGCGAGCTCCTCGCGCTGCGACTGGTTGAGGCGGCCCTTGACGCTGTACGCCTCCTTGAGCTTCTCGAGCGCGAGGACGAGGAGCTTGGTGTCGTGCTTGTACGACAGGGGCGGGAACGGGATCGGCGCGAACTTGCGCGACTCGAGCCAGTGGACGGTCGCCGAGTAGATCGCGACGGCCTCCTCGGACGAGACGTACGGCTGCGAGGGCACGTGCGACAGCGTCAGGAACGAGTCACGAGGAGGGACAAAGTGAAAGAGGGACGCACGCCGTCCTTCAAGTACGCGTTCTGGCGCTCCTGCTCGGCCTTGAGGTACAGGCGAGTGAGGCGACCGAGGTTCTTCTTGGCGACGGTTTTCTGTCAGGGTCGTCGAGAGCGTCAGGAGGTGTGCGTGCAGGCGAGAAAAAGAGAGAGAGAGAGAGAGGACGCACGTCGACAGTGGCGCCACGGCGGATGCGCTCGCGGTTGTAGTGGGCGACCGAGGTCCACCAGTCCGACTTGGCCTTGACGAAGCGCAGGATGATGTTCTCGATGGCCGTCGGCATGCCGGGCACCTTCCACGGGATGTTGGCCTTCCAGCAACCTGCGCGAGGAGGGGCAAAAGAGGTCAGGAACGGGGTCCGAGCGACGGCGACGGGCGACGGCGAGAGAGAGGGGGACGCACGCCACGCCTCGGACAGGTGCTGCAGGATCGTCTTGGACTTGTTCTGCTTGATGCCCTCGGGCATCATGTCGAGGATGTCGTGCATGACGGCGGCGCGCAGCTCGAGGTCAAAGTGCGAGTCGACGCGCTGCTTGGTGACCGTCTTGGCGACGCCCTTCGAGTTGCGGCCCTCGAACTGGCGGGCGAGGAGGTTGCCGAGCCACCGCTCGAGGAGCGGGACGATGCCGCGCAGGAAGAAGAGCCACACGCGCCAGCCGGGCGCCCAGAAGCCGACGCCGGGACCTTTGCCGACCGGGCCCGTGTTGAAGCGGGTGTAGATGACGTGCTTGAGGTCCTTGCACATGCGGATCTGGCGCATGAGCTTGTACTTGTACCGGTACATGCCCGTGAGCTGGCCGACGTGGGCGAACATGAACTGGAGGCCGTCGGCGAGCTGGAACGCGTCGACGTTGCCGAGGCGGTACTGGACGTGCGAGTCGACGATGAGCTTGGTGAGGCGCAGAATCTCGCGGCACAGGTGGAACGCGTTGCCGAAGCGCGACTTTTTGCGCTCCTTGGTCGTCAGGGTCTTGACCGGCTTGAGGTTGAGGTTGAAGTCGAGGTGGAGGTAGTTGAGGTTCTTGCGGTGGATGAGGAGGTTGAGCATGTTGTAGCCCTGGCGGCACACTTGCAGGCCGGCCTCGACCCAGTCGATCGTCGTCGTCTGGAAGAACTTGGTCGCCTTGAGCTGCTTGAGAAGGCTCTTCTTGACCTGCGCCTTGGGGCGACGGTGGTGGAGCTGGTTGAGGACGTAGCACTTGAGCTGTAGGGCGGGCGAGAGAGAGAGAGCGAGGTGTCAGTGACCGACGTCGAGGTGAGGGGCAAAGAGAGGGAGAGAGAGAGCGAGAGGGACGCACGAGCTTCTGGTACGAGACGCGGACCTTGACGGCCTGGCCGGGAGGGCAGTGCTCGAGGTACCAGTTCTTGACGAGGGGCACGTCCTGGGCGCGGACGGTGCGGCCCGAGCGCTGGTTGTACGGGTACGGCGCCCACCACAGGGCGATGGCGTCGGCGGTGCGGTCCGTCTCGACGTCGTCGTCGGCGAGGAACGCCTCGCACTCGTCGGGGAGCTCAAACTCGTCGTCCTCGCCGTTCGAGTCGCCGCCGAACACGTCAACCTCGTGCGGGACGAGCTCGTTCTTGGGCGCGACGCCGCGCGACGAGATCGGGTGGATCATCGGGTCGAAGTAGAACGCGGGCAGGTCCGGGTCCTCGGTGCGGATGTACAGGTTGTGCGGCTCGTGGTACGGCGAGATGTGGACGCTGCGCGGCCGCGAGTTGTACAGGTGCGGGAACGCGATCTTGTACTCGGTCCGGATCTGCTGCCGGATGATGACCTTGTTGATGTCGTTGAACTCGTTCCAGTCGTCGTCAAAGTTGTCGGCGTCGCGGAACAGCGGCTCGAACCGGGGCCCGCCAGGGATGGCGACGTTGAGCGCCTTGGCCGTGAAGAACGACTTGGGCTCGAACAGGTAGAAGTAGTTGCTGTCGTTGAAGTCGCTCAGGAGGGTGCGGCCGAACCGGTACAGGTTGGCCATCTGCGGCAGGTCGAGGTTCCACAGCTTGTAGCTCGAGCCGTTGACGTGCGGCGTGTCGACGAGCGGCTTCGAGTCGTAGAACCACTCGGCGATCGGCGCGTCCTCGTCCTCGTCGAGCTCGAGCTGGATCGCCTCGAGCGGCTCGGTGTCGAGCACGTTGTCGCCGTAGTCGAGCGGCGGCTCCTCGTCGTCGAACGGCGGGAAGCGCATGCGCTTGAAGTGGCGGCGGTCGCGCTTCTCGCGACGCATGGCGAGCCACATGGTGGCCCACTGGGCGTGGTACACGGGCGGGATGACCTTGGGCACCTCGTTGACGAACGTGATGGCGCCGGTGATGTGGTACACGACAGGCACCTCGCGCACTTGCTCCCACGGCATGGGCATGTTCTCGAGGAGCTTGAGGACGGCGTGCGGGACGTACTGCGGGCGCGATCGACAGGTCAGCGTCACGCTCTCGTCGCCCCGAGGGATAGAGAGAGAGACTGAGAGAGAGCTTGACGCACCTTGAGCGCACCGAGGTGAACGCGCTTGTCCTGGCGGAACTTGCGGTTCGACATGTCGCCGTGGTCGCGGATGATCTTGCGCAGGTGCTCGGCGGGCATGGCCTGCTTGCCCGTGTCGATGACCTTGCCCTTGCCCTTCTTGTCGCCCGGGAAGCGCCTGGTAGAGAACGCTCGCCACTTGCGGGCCTTGGCCTCGAGCTGCTCCTGCGACATGGCGGGAGGCTCCTGTAACCGGGGAAAGGGTGACGGCGACGTCGAGGGTACAAAGTTGGGTCAGTTGGTGCCCTCGGCGGCAGTCTGGAGGGGCGAGGGAGGAGGCACCTGGTAGGTGGGAGGTGCGGAGGGCCCTTCGCCCATATCCTGGGGGAAGAAGCCGGGTGGAGGTCCGCTCGCCATCTGCAGGGTGTCGAAGATGTGTGTCAGGCGTCGATCGAGGTGCAACGAGGACTGGAGAGGCTGACGATTGTGGCGCGGTGGTGGAGAGAGGGAGGAGGAGCGAGGCGAGACGAGGCGACCAAGCCGCGCACCCTCTTCCTCCTCAACTACCGCTCGATCTGCTCGAGTCGGGCTATGCTTGAGCACAAGCTCGCTACAAAGCTCTGCGACGCGCCCGCGCACCCGCAGCATTCGCCTCGAGCCGACCCCGCCCGCGGCAGCTCATCTCGCCTGAGCCACCCCGACACCGCCGTTCCACCTCCACCTGCGGGGCAGGGCACCGGCGTAGCCCGCTTCAGCATCCTCATCGCGCTCCTTGCCGCCGCCGCTGGCCACCACGAGGTGCCCTCGATGCCGCAAGGCCGACCCTCTTGCGCCCAATCAGCGCTCCTCGACCCTCGTCTCGCGCCGTCGCTCTCGAGCACGCCCAGGACACGGCCAAGATGCTGCACTACATGCTGGGAGACGGAGCTACGGAGGACAGATGAACAGGGTGCGGGAGAGACGAGGGGGAGAGAGGTTCAGGGCGCACGACGGCGTCGAGCGCTCAGTGCGCGGCCGATTTGGCGGCGAGGCGGCGCAGCTCGGCCGGCGTGAACTGGAGGATGACGCCGAGGACCTGGACGAGTTGAGGCTGCGGGCAGGAGGAGCGAGGCAGGTCAGGGTCGGTGCGGCGGTTGAGGGAGGAGGGGGAGGAAAGGGTGGGACGCACGCGCATCTCGGGCCGCTCGAGGAACTGGAGGACGACGTTGCGCAGGTACTCGTACGAGATGGCCTCCTCGGCGTTGCCGTTCGGGTTGGGCACCATCGGCTGGCCGGGCGTCGACGCGTTGGCGGTGGCCGACGGCGGCGTCACGAGCGGCGGCGACACGAGGGAGGTCGTCGAGCCGTGTGCGGCGTGCGAGCCCGAGGGCTGCGAGAACGTTCCGAAGTAGCCGACGCCTGGCTGGCGCTGCTTCTCGGCGAGGAGGACGCCCGACTGCAACTTGCGAAGCTCCTCGCGCAGCGTCTGCGGCGTGACGAGTCAGAGAGTCGCTCACAAAGAAGGGAGAGAGGGAGAAAAGGAGAGAGACGCACCCGGTTTGTCGAGCGCAGGTTCGACTCGCGCGTCTGGACCTCCTCGAGCCGGGCCTCGAGTTCTGTCGCTCGCTGCAGCCGGTCGCTCAGCTCCTCCTTTGCAGCCGCCTGCGAGCGAGAGGAAGAGAGTTAGTGATGCTCGCGACTGAGAGAGCCGAAAGGGGAGAGAGGGACGCACCTCGCCCTGCCGCGCCCGGTCGGCGTCGTCCTGGAGCGCCTCGAGGCTCGCCTCGACCGTCTTGAGGCGCTTCTCGAGCTCTGCGCGCGCCTTGTGCGCCTCGTCGATCTCCTTCTCGCGCTTCTGGCTGTTCTGCACGCTGTCGGCAAAGTCGACGTCCTTCTTGGCGAGCGCGGCGCGCAGGCGCTCGACCTCGCGCAGGCGGTCCTGCAGGTTGCGGCCCATCTCGTCCTCGATCTCGCGCCGGTCGCGCTCGAGCTGCTGCGCGCGCGCCTCGAGGTCGCGTACCTTGTGCGCGTGGCGCTGCTCGGCCTCCTCGAGGAGCCGGCGCGTCGTGCCCTCGTCGCGCGCCGAGTCGTGCCGGTGCCGCCGCAGCTCGTCGACCTCGTCCTGGAGCGCGGCGACGCGGTCACGCTGCTCGGCCGCCTCGTACTCGAGCTCGGCGGCGCGCGTCTTGAGCGCCTCCTGCTGCGCCGCGCTCGACTCGACCTCGGCCTGGCGCGCCTGGAGCTGCGCAAAGACGCCGTCGCGCGCGGCGCTCAGGTCGCGCACCGTCGTCTCGAGCTGCTGGATGCGCGCCTCGCGCGCCGACAGGTCCTTGGCCTGCTGCGCCTTGGCCGTAATGGCCGACAGCTCGAACTGGCCCTTCTTGTTGGTCGCGTCGCGCTCGTACTGCTGCTTGAGGGTCGCCGTCTCGCGCTCAAAGCTCTGCTTGAGCTTGTTGACCTGCTGCTCCTGCGCGGCGCGGAGCGCGACAATCTCCGAGTCGAACCGGGCCCGGTCGGCCTTGAGCGTGTCCTGCGCCTGCTTCTCGCTCGCGCGCGCCTCGGCGATGACGCGGTCCGAGTCGCGGTTGTCCTGCTCGTTCTTGACGAGCTTCTGGCGCAGGGCACGGAGGAGCGACAGGGCCTTGATGCGCTTCTCCTCCTCCTCCTTGGCGACGACCTTGAGCTTGTCGTACTCGGCGGCGGCGGCCGTCACCTCGGCGCGCGTCTGGGCGGCGGCCGACTCGGACGCGGCGAGACGCGAGTCCTTGTCGGCGAGCTGGGCCCGGAGCGAGTCGATCTCGTCCTGCTGCGACTTGTGCTCGAGCCGGTGCGTCTCGCGCAGCTCCTCGACGGCCTCCTTGCGACCTGTGTACAAGTACAGCCCCGAGGCTCTATCAGTCTCTGCAGTCGGGGGTCGACGACTGGAGGGAACGAGGAGAGGGATGGCCGGACGCACGTTCGAGCTGGCCCGTCAAGCGCTTGATCTCCTTGGTCGCGAGCTCCTCCTTGCTCTTGAGGTTGCCGAGCGCCGACTCGAGCGCCTCGACGTCGTCGATGCTGTCGAGCGGCGCGAGGTAGGTCGACACGAGGCGGTCGAGGGACGACTTGAGGGCCGAGGGAAGGGGTGCGAGAGCGGTCGAGGAGGGCGAGGACGACGAGGGTGCTGCGAGCGGTTCGAGGTGTGAGCGAGGCACATCGGGAGACAGGGAGGCGAACAGAGACGCACCTGGAGCAGCTGGAACAGGCGTCTCCTCCTTGATCTCGATCTTGGCCGCGACAGGATCCTCCCGCTCGACGACCGCCGGCGCCTCGTCCTCAGCCACCGCCGCTCGCTCAGGCTCGACAGGCTCGGCGGCACCCTTCTGCTGCACGACGTCGGCCTCCTCGGGCTCGACCGCCGACACCGTCTCGACCGCCGTCGGCTCGGCCGCCGAATCGGCGCTCGGACCCTCCTCCTCCTCCTCCTGGCTCGGCACGACGGGCACGACTGTCGCCGCCTCGGCCTGCGACGACAGCTCCTCGTCCGCCGCCGTTGCCGCCGCCGCTGGCGCGCTCGGCGCAGGCTCCTCGGTCGAGACAGCGACCGCGTCGTCGACAGCGACGGCCGGCGCCTCGACGCTGCGCGCCGCTGCCGCGGCCGGCTCGCTCGAGACCGCATCTGCCGCCGAGGCGGACGAAGGCTCGTCTGCGGCCGCTGCGGCGTCGACCGCCGGCACTGCGCCCGCGGGAGCGACGGGCTCGTCGGCGGCGACGCCGCTCTCGGCGGCGGCAGCGTCGTGTGGCGCCTCGGCGGTGTCGGACGCGTGTGTAGGGTCTGCTGCGACCGCTGGAGGAGGCAGGACCGGCGCCTCGAGCTCAGTAGGGTCGGCTCGCGGCGCATCGGCCTCCTCGACGACGGGCGCCGCTGCGGGCTCGACGACGATGGGCTCGTCGAGGGGGACGGCGGCGACGGGTGCATCGAGAGCAGACGAGGATGCGTGGGCGGCGTCGGTATCGGTGTCGTCATCGAGCGTGGTAAGGACGGCGGGCTCGTCGACGGGAGCAGGAGGGGGCGCAGGCTTGTCGTCGAGCTGCAGGACAGCGGTCTCGACGGCGGCAGGTACGGGGCCTTCCTCGACGCTAGACGATGCGGAAGGGCCGGCGGGGGAAGAGGTGGCGAGGTCGGGGAGGACGGTCGAGGCCGGCGGCGCAGGCGAGGGCGCGACGTCGACGGGAACAGGCGCGGGCTCCTCGGGCTCCTTCTCGGCATCTGGTACGGGCGCCTCGGCGACGGTAGACGACGAGGCTGTAGGTGGCGCGACATCGTCGACAGCCGCCGAGGCCAGGGCGCCGAGCGGGTCGCTCGTGGGCGCCGACTGCTCGTCTGCGACATCGCCGAGAGGCGGAACGGCCTCCTCTGCCGGCGCCGCGACAACGTCACGCGTCTCGACTGACGCCTCGGCGGTCGTGCCCTTCTCGCTCGCACCTGCTGCCGCGTGCTCGACGCCGTCTGCTCGCGCCGCCGCCGCCTCCTCCTCCTCTTGCCCGTCCTCGACGCCGTGGGGCACGACGGGCGTCGGCGGGATCGTGCCCAGGTCGTCGACGCCCCACGCGTCGTCGTCCTCGGTGACGCTCTCGGGCCGGGGCGTCGGCGGCGCGAGGGACGACTTGCGCGACAGCTCGGGGGCTGCGGCGGCAGTCGGGCGTAGGGTCGCCGCCGAGGAGGGCGAGGAAGTAGAGGTTGGGGAAGAGGGTGTGAAGGGTGCCGCGGTCGGCGAGAGTGCGCGAGGGGGAGAGGGCGAGAGGGCGGCAGTCGAGGACGAGGGGACGGCGAGCGGGTCGTCGGCGAGGAGGGGTGCGGGTACGCTGGGCGGGGCGACCGGGGTCGGCGAGAGCAGGTCGGAGAGGGGCTCTGCCTCGCGCGGCGTCGGTGCGACGGGCGCGTCGTGGTGCTCCTCGCTGACGGAGGGCGGGGGCGGGCTCGCGAGCTCGCGCAGCTTGCGCAGCTCGTCCTCCTCGCGGACCGAGTCGACGCTGCCCTCGCGACGGAGGGAGCCAGGTGCCCTCCTGCGCTGCGGGCTGCCCCTTGCGGGCCCGTCGAGCGAGGGGCGCGCGGGGCTGCTCTCCCCACTCGGGCGGGGTGCGGTCGCGGTCGAGGGGGCGTTTGCGCCCGTGACGCTGTCGAGGCTGGCGCGGCCTTTGCGGAGGCTGGCGCGGAGGCTCGACAGGGCCGAGTCTGCGAGCTGCGAGGCCGACTGCTGCGCGGCGGTGGCCGTGGGCGAGAGCGGGCCGACGAGGGACGCGGCGCGACTGGCGAGGCCGTCGAGCGAGGGGCGGGTCGGGGTAGTGCCGGTGGCGGTGGCGCGTGCGGATGCTGGCGGTGGCGAGGTGGCTGCGCGTTGGCCAGGTTGCGGGCGAGAGGGGGACGACGACGAGCCGGAGGACGAGGCGGAGGGGGGCGGGGCTTGGCCGCCGAGAGTGTGCTCGAGGTCGTGGAGCGAGTCGGTGAGGCGGTCCTGCAAGCCCTTGAAGTTGAGCCCGCCAAACATGGCCTGCGAGCTGAGCTGTGCTGGCGACGAGCAGCCTGCAGGAGGAGGACGAGGAGGGGAGGAGGCTGGGCTCTGAGGCTCTCGCTCCTCTCCTCCCGCAGAGCTCAGTGTGCTGCACAGAGCTCACACTCGGCATGGCTCGAGGCAAAGGCGGCACCCCTCGCCGCAACCAGGCCCACCTCGACGACGACTACTCGCCCACCTCGCCCTCGCCCTCGTCCAACACCAACTCGCCCTCGCGCCGCACCGCATCGACCACGCCTGGGCCGGCAGGCTCTCCAGCTCGACTCAACTCACCAGGACCCGCCACCGCCGCACCAGGCCTCCCCGCCAAGCCCGAGCGAGGCCCGACCCCGCTCACCGCAGAGACCACCTACCACTCGCGGACCCGCCAGCTCCTCGTCGAACACCGCAAGCTCCGTCGACAGTGGAACGAGCTCATCATCCGCGGCCTCGTCGGCAGGACCAAAGCCGCCCTCGAACTCTGGGTCGACGTCGAGTCCGTCTCGCCCTCTCTCTCGCTCTGGCCTCCCCGTGTCGCGCACGCTCACCCTCGTCGCCCACAGACTCGCGCTCAAGGCCATCGACAAGCAGGCAAAGGGCGACAAGGTCACGTCGGCCGTCCGCGCCGGCTACCTCTTTGCCCAGTCGGCCAAGCTCTCGGACCAGGTCGCCGCCGTCGAAGCCGTCTTTGCCTCGCTCGTGCGTCCCCTGTCCCCTTCCTCGAGACACCTCTCACTTGCGCACGCACTGACACGCTGCACGCGCGGACGACAGACCGAGGTCACGCAGGGCATGGCACTCCTCGTCGACCGCGCAGAGTACCTCGTCGTCGAGGCGGCCAAGACGCGCGGCACCCTCTTTGCGTTCCGCGAGCCGCTCTGGGTCACCTGGCCCCTCTCTCGCTTCGGTGCGTCCCTCTATCTCTCTCGCCTTGTCGAGCGCTCGGGCGCGAACTGATCCCTGGGCCGCCCGCAGCCGACGGCGTCGCAGCGCTCAGCAAGCCCTACGCCGACTCGCTCGCCCTCATCCGCGCCCAGCTCGACGTCCTCCTCCTCTTCCCCGAACTTCCTTCCTCCACCCCATCCACCGCCGCCTCCCCCTCGTCCGACGACCGCCCGAGCGCCGAGCGTACGCGCCGCCGCCCGACCAACGAGCAGCTCCAGGCCGCGCTCAGCCTCCTCGCCGTCCAGCCGCTCCTGCCCGGCAAGGCGAGTGACGCCGGCGCCGAGGCGTGGGAGGAGGTGCTCGCCGTCGAGGTCGGCGGCTGGGAGCGGTGAGCGGGGGGTGGACCTCGGGAGCTCAAGCGCTCCTTCTCCCTCCCAGCGAGGTGCGCGGCCGACGGCGGCACTCGTCCTCGCGGTCGTCAGCACCGCGCCCGCTCGATCTCGTGCGACACGTCGATCCGCCCGTCGTCCTCGTCGTCGCCGACGCGCCGGCGCCGCAGGTCCGCCTTCTCGTCGTCCTTGTGTGCACGAGCCGCCACAACGACGCCTCTCTCTCGTCCTGCCCTCTCGGGTTCTCTCTCTTACTCGATAGATGGACGACGTGCAAACGAGATGCTGCATTGCGAGCTCGACGTGCCCGAGGCGACGACGATCGGAGAAGAGGGTGACCGGGTGCAACCGAGAGAACGAGACAAACTAGACCGAGAACCGAGAGAGCGGGAGAGGAATAGACAAAAGGAGAGAGAGGGCGCGGTATCTAGAGCGCAAGAGCTGCACCGGCCGCGATGAGCGCCGCCGCGCCCGCACCGCGAGCGACGAGGGCGACGCTCGCGCCCGACGTGCCCGATGCCGCGCCGGTCGGGGCAGAGCTGCATGAGTGAGAGATTAAGTCAGGAGGGCCCGAGGAAAGCAGGAGGAAGACGAGGGCGACGCACCCAGTGGCAGAAGCGACCATGGACGAGACGGACGAGGCGGCGGACGAGGCGGCCGAGGCGACCGACGAGGTGGCGGCGGCAGAAGTTGCGGAGGAAGAGCTGTGAGGGCACCAACTCTCGAGTCAGGACCAGGGCCTCGCTGTGCAGGAAAGCGAGAGGGGACGCACGTCTCGGCAGCCTCGGACGACGAGGACTCGGCGGCAGCGGAAGAGGACGACTCGGTCGCGACCGACGACGTCGCCGACTCGGTTGCCGCAGAGGACGTTGCCGAACCGAGGTCGAGCGAGACGCTGACGCCGACCGCGGCGCAGTACTGCAGTACGACCCGCTCGCATGTCAGTCGCCGCCCTGCTCGTTCGAGAGAGGGGAGGAGAGAAACAGAGAGCGCACCTCCTCGCCGACGGCTGCGCCCGCCTGGAGCTCCTCGGCCGAGCACTCGCCCTGCATGCAGCTCGACACGTCGGTGAGGAACGTGTCGGACGAGCACAGGCACTGGATGTCGTTGGACGCGCACGACGTCGAGCCGGCGGCCGAGGCGATGCAGGTCACGACGCTGCGGGACGGAAGAGAGTCAGCTACTCGGCGTTCGAGTGACGGCGAGGGAGAACGAGGGCGCACCAGGTCGGGACGTTGACCGTCTGGGCGAAGGCGAGAGCCGGGGCGAGGGCGAGGGCGGCGGCGATGACGGTGTAAGGGCGCATATTGAACGAGGCGATTTAGTGCGGCGGCGGACGAGAGAGCAAAGGCGGGACGGCTGGGTGGAGAGCGGTGTCGAGAGCGGCGAGGATGAGGACGAGGAGGAGAGGGAAAGCAGGAAGCACGGCGGGCGGCGCAGCGGGTGCGCCGAGCAGCTGCTCAATGAGCGAGCGCAAGCTTTTGTGTGCCCCAGAGTCGAGCATCGCTCGCTGGATGAGGGAGGAGGTTGACAAAGGACAAAGGGAAGCGGCGGCCAGGATGTCTCATCAGGCACTCTCTCCTGCGACGGGCGCAAGGCTCTTTGCAGTGCGAAGGAAGCCGGGTTATAGTGCAAGGACCCGACAGAGTGCGGCGGGGATGACGAGAGGGCGAGACGAGGGCCGGCTCGTGCGAGAGGGAGAGAGACGAGGGGAGGGCCGCGCCGGGGTACACACAGCGGGGGCGAGCTATACAACGCGGGAGTGGCACAACATGCGGCGACAGGGACGGGACGAGCGAGTACGAGGGAAGAGAGGGCCAGGGAGGGAGGGTGGAAGGCGGCGACGGCGGGCGACCACGACGACGGACGACGCGCGCTCACAGCGCCGTGTTGAGCTTACGCACGAGCTTCTTGCTGACCTTGTGCGCGCCGAACCGCATGTCGAGCTTGAAGCCGTCCCAGCTGCGGTTGAGCCCGTGCATGCCCGCGTCGAGCGCCGTGCCGTCCATCTTCGGCGGCCGAGTCGACGGGGCCCGCGCCGCCTTGGCCGCCTTGTTGTACCCGCTCTCGCCGGCAATGGTGGCCGCCGACTCGACGAACGACGGCGCGCCGCCGCCGCCCGACACGGTCGAGCTCCCCGGCCCTGCGAAGCCGGCGACGGGCATGCCGGGCAGCCTCGCGGGCACGTCGTTCGGGTTGTACGCCGGTGCAGGGGGCTGGTACGACGCCGTCGTCGCCGCGTGGTGCCGCATCGGCGGCGACGAGGCCGTGCGCAGGGTCGACGACGTGACGCGCGAGCCGTAGCCGGGCCCGATGCGGTCGTACGCGACGCCGCTGTGGCCGCTCGCGCCGTCGTAAAGCGAGGCCGAGGCGCCGGCGCCGACGCGGTGGTGATGCGGGCTCGTCGAGCGTGCGCCGCCGTGGTCGAGCGAGGAGCGAGATGGGCCGGCGAGGTGAGGAGGGACGGCGGACAGGGTCGGCGGGTACAGGGAGGCGGCGGTAGTGCGGTGCGACGAGGCGGTGCGGTGCGTCGACTGGTAGGTGTACGGCGACGAGTGGAAGCCGGACTCGCCGTCCGACTCGGAGGCGGACGAGGAGGACGCCGAGCCGTCGTCATTTGGGCTCTCCGGGACGGGCTGCGGCCGCATCTGGGCGAGTAAGGGTGTTGGCGTACGGAACTGGACGTCTGCAGGGGAACAGAGGGTCAGGAGGGCCACAACGAGAACGAGAGGAGCGCGACGACGCACATTCGGCGTCGTGAGCGTTGCCGTCCTCGTCGACGACGAGGTTGCGTTGCTGGATCTCGTCTGGCCGCCGCTTGGCCTTGTGCCGCTCCCTGCGCTCCTTGCTCTTCTCCTTGGCCTCCTCGATCTTCTGCTGCAGCCGCCCGCTCGTCGTCGCCGTCCCGCCGCCGGCGTACCCGCCCCCGGCGCGCAAGCCCGAGGGCCCGCCGTACCCGCCGGTCGCCGTCGTCGTGTAGCTCGCGCCGTAGGCCGACCCGGACGTGCCGCCGTATCCGCCTGCGCCGAGCCCTGCGCCGGACGTCGCGCCCGCGTAGGCGGTCGTGGCCGAGGACGAGCCGTAGGCCTGGTAGCCCGTCTGGCCGACGCCGCCGAGGCCGTTGGTGGCGTGACCGTAGATGTTGGGCCCGCGCTGCCACTGGCTCGGGGGCGGGAGGACGCTGGCGGTGCGCTCGTCGCGGTGGAGCTTGTTGCGGCGGGGGCGGTCGTCGGCGACAGGCGCGCCGCTGCCGGCGAGGTAGGCGTGGGTGCGTGCAGACATGGTGCTTGTGACGGCGCTGGGGCTGGCGATGGCGGTGGGGCCCGAGACGAGAGCCGAGTGCGAGATCGCCGAGGAGCTCGCGTCAGGAGACGACGAGAGACGGCGCAGGGCGTCCGGCGGCCGTGGCGGTTGGCGGGTCGAGTCGGTGCTGCTGCAAAGGAACTGCTGGGGCGCACAGGCAGCTCGTCCCGAGCCGGGAGTCGACGGAGCGAGACCAAGAAGCACCAGAGTCCGGCCCCGCTCGCCTCGTCGTCCTCGTCCTCTACACCGCCCCCTGCCTGAGTTCTGCTGGCTCCAGAGCCTTCACTCAGCCCTCCAGAGCACATTCCGCGATCGACCGACTCAATCGTGTGCCGTGACACCGCCCTCCTCCGGCTCGCCTTCTCGACTTCATCGCTGTTGCCGTCTCAGCTCGACCACCACCCGCCTGAACCTACTCGAGCAGCTGGCTAGATGCCTGAGCTCCCCGAGGTCGAAGCGGCGCGCAAGCGTCTCGCTAGGTGAGCTCTCTCTCCACTCGTCTCCCCTCCCCACCTGTCCGAGCGAGGTGGCCGCCGCACTGCGACTCGGGCACCCGAGCTGACGCTTGACCCGCCGACAGCATCGCTGCCGGCAAGCGCATCAAGAGCGTGACCACAACCGACGACTCGATCGTCTTCTCCGGCACGACCCACACTCACTTTGTGCGTCTTCCTTTCGCCGGCCCCTCTCTCGCTCTCGAGGTCTGAGCTGACTCTTCTCGGATCTGCAGGCGACTGCGCTCGAGGGCAAGACGGTCAAGGCGGTGCGGCGACGTGGCAAGTGCTTCTACGTGCGTCCACTCTCCCTCTTCTCCCGCGCCCGCTCGTTCCTCCTTTCCTCGTCTCGCAGACTGACTCGTCGCGCCGTCAAGCAGATGGTCCTCGCCGATTCTACGCTTCATCCTGTACTGCACTTTGGCATGAGCGGCATGGCTCACGTCCGAGGGCAGCCGTCGCCCGTGTACCGCGTCCCTCGTTCGGCCTCGCCCACCGACGACTGGCCGCCCAAGTACATGAAGGCGGCCCTCGTCTTCGAGGACCCGGCGACTGGCGCGACGAGCGACTGGGCATTTTGCGACCCGAGGCGCCTCGGCCGCATCAAGCTCGTCGAGGCCGCCGAGGGCGACGTCGAGCGGGAACCACCGCTGAGCGAGCTCGGCGCCGACCCGCTCCTCGACATGCCGCCGGTCGACGTGCTGCGCACAGCGCTCGCGAGGCGCAGCGCCCCGATCAAGGCCGTCCTGCTGGACCAGAACGGCGTGAGTCGGCCTCTCCCCCTCTCTCTCTCTTTCACTCTTTCGAGCCGTCGACCGGTCCCTGACGGCAAGGTCTCCTGTCTGCAGCCTTTATGTGGCATTGGCAGTGCGTCCTCCTCTGCGTGTCGGCTCGAGTCGTTCCGCCCTGACTCGCTTGCCATCGCAGACTATCTCGTCGACGAAATCTTGTACCAGGCCGCAATCGTGAGCACCAACGCCCTCTCTCCTTGGTCACTTCCCTCTTGATGCCAGTCTGGATCGCTCGCCCCTCACAATGACCTGACATTGCCTCTCGTGCTCGTACAGCACCCGTCGGTCCCGGCCTCGTATCTCGCCCTGCCCGACCAGTCCGCCCTTTTCGACACCCTGCACACCCAAATCCGCACTATCGTCGAGACGGCCGTTGCCGCCGACGCCGACGCGTCCAAGTTCCCGCAGTCGTGGCTCTTCCAGCACCGATGGAGCAAGGGCAAGAAGAAGAAGGACGACGACCTCGGCTTCACGCTCGTGCGTCCCGCCTCTCTCTCTCTCTCTCCGTCTCTCACTCTCACTCTCGACGTCGCTCTGACGTCCTCTCGAGCGATGACAGCCGAACGGCCGCAAAGCCACGATCTCGTTCGTCACGGTCGGCGGGCGCACGTCGGCCGTCGTCGACGAGGTGCAGGTCCTCCCTCCCGACTTGGCGGCGACGGCGGCCAAGAAGCGGGCCGCACGAGCTACGCCGACCAAGAAGCGCAAGGTCAAGGTCGACGAGGGTTCCGAGGACGGCGCGAGCGACGAGGACGTGCGGCTGAAGGAGGGCGACGATGTTGTACGTCCCGCTCTCTCTCTCTCCTTTCCCCTGCCTCGACAGTATGCCTGCACGTGAGTATCCTCCTGACCGTCTCGGCGTTCCTGCAGACGTCGCCGCACTTCAAGCGCGCCAAGAAGCTCGCCGACTCGCCCTCGCCGACAAAGCGGCGACGACGGCTCAAGCCCAAGGAGGAGGACGAGGACGACGAGCAGTAGCACAGCTCGTGTACATCGCTGCAAGGAGCTCGAGCCTGCGCAACGGTCCAGCATGCAGAGCGGCCCGAGAGCGCTTTTTGAACCTGAGAGCGGTGGCGAGGCGGTCGAGCGTCTTCTTCTTCGAGAGCTTTCGCGCTGTACAGAGGGTCCTCGCCACGTATTCGCCTGAAGCCTTTGCCTCTCTGCGAGCCCGGTTTCGCGAGCTCGAAACCACCGATCGCGAGCCGGCCGCCTGCAGCCTGATGAAGCTCCCTCCTCCGCACCTCGCTCTCGCCTCGCTGGCCTCACGCTGCTAGACATGGGCGACACGACGCACCGCTCCACGGTCATCATAGGCGGTGCGTCCACCTCCCTCCCTTTTGTGCGCCGTCCTCACCAAGCTGACCCCCACCTCCCGATCCCTCCGTCCCTCCCTCTCCAGGCGGCCCTGCCGGCCTGACCGCCCTCAAGACCATGCGCGAGAACGGCATCAGCGCGATCCTGTTCGAGGCCGAGGCCCTTGTCGGCGGCACGTTCCGGTACCGCGCCTACGAGGCCGCCGAGCTCGTCTCGTCGAAGCAGCTCACGGCGTTCTCCGACTTCCGGTTCCCGCCCGACCAAGGCGACCACGTCAGCCTGCCCGAGTTCTGCGCCTACCTCGAGCGGTACTGCGACGAGTTCCAGCTGTGGCGCGACATCCGCCTCGAGTCGAGGGTCGTCTCGGTCCGGCGGGCGCGCGAGGGCAAGGGTCACGTCGTCGAGGTGCAGAAGCGCGGCGAGGACGGTGCGTCCTCATTCCTCACCCTCTTCCGACCCACGAGTGCGAGGAGCTGACCCCCTCGCCTGCGCAGGCACGACGACCTACACGTGCGACTACCTCACCATCTGCACCGGGCTCCACGTCGTCCCGCAAAAGCCGCACATCCCGGGCATCGAGCACGTGTCGAGCAACCCGCACAAGGAGGTCCTCCACTCGTCGCAGTACAAGAAGCTCGCGCAGCTCAAGAGCAAGCGCGTCCTGATCCTCGGCACGGGCGAGACCGGCATGGACCTGTGTTACTTTGCCATCAAGGCCGGCGCCGAGGAGGTCGTCCTGTGCAGCCGTCAGGGTTTCCTGTCGTTCCCGAAACGCCTCGAGAACTTCCGGGTGTTCGGCGTCACGTTCGACGGCGACCTGCCCATCGACGGCCTCATCACGAACCTGTTCGAGTCGACCTAGTGCGTCCCGTCTCCCTCGCCCTCCCTCCGTCTGCCTGGTCGAGCCTGACCTGACCGTCTCTGCGCTCGCAGCGTCCATCCCTGGGTCGCCGCGACGCACTTCAGGTGGTTCATGAGCGACTTTGTCATCAAGCGTGTCCTCTGGCTCCTGACGGGCACTTCTGCTGGGTACGTCCCTCGTCCTCTTCCCCCTTTCCCCCCAGTCTCTCGTCGGCATCGAGCTGACACTCGCCTTCCCGCCGCAGCTGCAACCAGTGGGTCGGCGAGCTCCCTCCTGAGCGCCTCGGCCGAGCGTTCGTGTTCCTGAACAAGTCGCACAAGGCGTCGACGTTCCTCAACCGGCCGTACCGCAAGCGGTCCAAGTTCCTGTCGCTCCTGTCCGAGTACCACGACCCGCCCGAGGACGCGGCCACGCCCGGCGTCGCCGAGATGGCGCCCTGGCCGACCGGGTTCAGCGAGGACGGCGCCGTGCAGTGGGACTGGGAGGCGTGCGGCAGGAGGGGCGGGAGCTGGAAGAAGGTCAAGGAGCGCATGCAGGACCGGCGAGTCGAGCCCAAGTGCGTCCCGCAGTCGTTCCTCGTCTTCCCTCGAGCCGTCTCGACCTCGGACTGACCTCGCCTCCTCCCGCCCTCTCCCCTCCCCTCGCGCAGCCTAGTCCTCTTTGCGTCGGGCTACAAGCAGGAGTTCTCGTCGTGGCTCTCGGACGAGTACCCTCGGCCGTGGGACGCCGACGTGCGCGACATCGTCTCGTCCGACGCGCCCGACGTCGCCTTCCTCGGCTTTGTGCGCCCCGGCGTCGGCGCCATCCCGCCCATCGCCGAGCAGCAGAGCATGTGGTGGACCGCCTTCCTCCAGGGCAAGATGCAGCTCCCGACCGACCGCCCGCACTACTACCTCTTGTCGCGCCCCGAGGCTCGCATCCAGGTGCGTCCCTGCTCCTCCATCTTCCCCTCTCATCTCTTCGAGCACCTCCTGACTGACATTCGCCGCCCCGTGCAGTACGGCGTCGACCACTCGACGTACATGTCGACCCTCGCCAAGGACATGGGCGCCGCCCCGTCGCTGTGGCAGCTCCTGCGCGAGCATGGCCCGTTCATCACCCTCGTCTACTGCTTCAGCGCCTCGTTCACGTCGCACTACCGCCTCGTCGGCCCGTTCAAGTCGGCCAAGGCGCCCGAGGTCGTCCGCACCGAGATCTGGGAGACCGTGCAGCGCCGTGGCCTGATTGTGCGTCTCGCCCCTCTTTTCCTCGGTCTGCCTTCCCCAGGGGCCTCACTGACTCGATGCACCGTGCGCAGGGCAACCTTTTCATGGGCGTCATCCCCATGGCCTTCTACGCCCTCGTCAACGTGCGTGGCCTCGCCCTCTCGTCCTCCTCATGAACCGCGTCCCTGACCCTCTCCCTCTCCCCTCGCAGCTCACCGCCCTTCTCCTCGAGACGGTCTGGGTCGCAGCAGGTCGCCCCGACGTCCTCGGCGCGTACAAGCGTGTCACGGGCCGCCAGCTCGTCGACATGGACCACGCCGCGCCCGAGCCGAGGGAGAAGAAGCGCCGGGCGGTCCCGGTCGAGGAGCGGTTGCGCAACTAGCTCGCGTGTGGAATACTAGTTATTGTTGTGGTCGTCGATGCTGCTGCAGCGAGAGGCCGGCGCTCGAGCGAGCAGAGAGGCTCGAGAGCGATGCTGGACGAGGAGGAGCAGGTACTTTGAGCGCCGTACTGAGCGTCCCGGGTCTGGGTATGTCTCGAGCACTGCTTCGAAACCTGCTCGCAAGCTGCACAGATGTCCCGCCCTCGCTTCCTGAGGCGTGACGAGGACGACGGCGTCGAGAGCGTGACCTTCTCAAGTTGCCTCTCCTCGACCTTTTTCTCGGCCACAACCGCACCTTGTCAGCTTCTTTCGCCTTCGAATCGTTCAAGTCGTGCACAGACGAGGCGCTCTTGCTTCCAGAACGCAAAGTTGCAGCAAGTTCCGACGGTGAGCAGCGGTACTTATGCGCTCAGGCCTTGCGATCTTCACGGCAGCGACGCTCGCGGGAGCGTCAGGGACGACGGCGGATCGGAGGGCCTCGGCTCGGCAGGGAGATGACGACACGGGTTTCGAACCGCAGGGCGGGCGCGGCGCGATTCCCCTCCTCACGACGCCCCCCTTCTTGTCTCCTCTCTTCCCACCACTCTTTCGCGCTCCACCACAACCACAAACTGTGCGTCCTGCTCCGGCAACCTATTCATCGCGTTCTTACGCTCACTCTCGCGTTCCCCCCTCCCCGTTCCACTCGATCCCCGCACGTCGACGCCCTCGCCCGCCCTTGTGACCCTCTCGACTGCGGCCGCCTTCCCTCCTTGGCTCGCGTTGCTCCCGTTTCGCAGACCACCTCCAGCACATCAACCATGTCCGGCCTTTCGTCGCCCTCGTCGCTCCTCACCGCCTCTGCCTCGAGCACCGGCATCAACGTGCGTCCCTCGTCCCCTCCCCCACTCTCTACTCTCCCGATCTCATCTCGCCCGGTTGCCTCACCTCTCGACCTGTACTGACGCCTCGCTGCACACACAGGTCTACTCGCTCCTCAAGATCGGCATCGGTGCCACTGGCCTCATCCTCCCGGCCTTCGCGACCTCGACCACCACCCCGTTCAAGTGTGAGTTGCCTTCTCGCTGCCTCTGTGGCCTGTGCTGCTCGAGTGCAGTATCGTCGATGGTGGACGAGACCATGTGGACTGAATTTTCCTTCAACTTGCGCAGTTGCCGCTCGCGGCCAGCTCCGCGCGTCCAAGCCGACCGCCAACACCGTCTCGCCGCCGGCGGGCTCTGCCACGGAGGGTGCGCTCGCCGTCAGGCTCACCGCTGCCCGTGACGTCGTCATCGGTCTCCTCATGCGCGACACCACCGCCGCTGTCGTCGTCCGTGCCCTCCAGTGCGTCGCCGTCACTTCTCTCGAGCCTCTCGACCGTCCCTGACCCTTCCTCCTCTCGCTCGCAGGGCCGACGTCGTCATCTCGATCCTCGACATCCTCTCGGCTGGCGCCGGCTACATCGAGGGCACCCTCTCGAAGGAGCTCGCTCTCTCGACCGCCGGTACGTCCCTCCTTCTCTTCCTCGTACCTCGCCCTGGTCCTGACTTCTTCCCCACCAGGCTTCGCCGGCTCGTTCCTCGCCTACGGATTGTGGTTGCTCAAGTTTGTTAACTCCCTCACTCTTTTTCCCGGCACGTCCTGACCTGTGTCGCTCCCGCAGCGCGTAAACGACGCCCGTCCAGCTTGCGTCCCGTGTCTAGCCCTGTGTTCGAAGCAATTCAGTCCGCAGTACCCTTTACAGTCACTGCGAGAGACCCGAAAGGAGAGAGCGGTCGAGCGTCGCCAGCGAGAGCGAGAGCCTACTAGCTGTGGTCGGTCGAGCTTGCTCTTGCTGGCGCTGTGGTCGGGCGACTCGAGGGTTTCCTCGCGTGGTCGCAGCAGTGCGAGTGCGACACGGTCTTCTCTCACCGCAGCCCCAATCTGGAACGGGCTGTGTGGAACCGCTCGAGCGAGCGAGGAGACAAGGTTCGAGCGCGACCTTCCCAAGCTGCAGACCCGCGCTTTCTCGGCTCTCTGCGGCCTCGTTCGCTTTCTTCTCGCTCTCGGACGCACTCGCGAGGCTCGAACGGTGAGATCAAGGTCACGAACCTCGTTGCCGCCGTGTCCAAGAGCTCGCTGCACCTGCTCGGCTCGGCTCGACGCGAAAGACAACTTCAAGGAGAGCTGCGAGGAGGGTTGGTGCTCCCGAACGGGTGCGGGTACGACAGGCTTGGGGAACAGACTGAAAAGCGAAAGCTGCGAAGAAGGAGCAGCGAGTGGGAAAGAGAGATGAGCGTTCGAGCGCGACTGAGCCGGCAAAGACGTGTCGAGACTGAGCCAGAGGCGAGGAAGCTCTCGCTCGGTCGGACAACAAGACAGACACCGTATCATGGCAACAGCGACGCTACTCGAGCCGTACAACATGCGCCTCTCGACCTCGGCGGCCGTCGCCCTCGCGACCGTCCACCTCGCTCGTACCGCTCCCTCGACGCCCTACGCGCCCTCGGCCGCACGCCCCACCTCGAGCGCACGACATCATGCCTGAACTGGCGTCGCTGCGCCGCTGCCCTCGCCCGAGGCAGGCGGCTGTGAGCCGCCGTCGTGGTCGGCGTCGTTGCGGACGGGGATGCGGACGAGCTTGGCGGGGAGGGCGTCGGGCCCGAGTGCGGGTACGTAGCCCTCGGGGGCGTCGGGAGGTGGAGGGACTGCGGCACGCTGCTCGGCGATCGAGGCTGTGGGCGCAGGAGAGGAGGGTCAGGTTTGGGGGAGGGAGCAGGAGAGAGTCGAGACGGGATGAACGGACCGATGGCGAGACCGGTTGCGCGAAAGACGTTCTGCCAGTGCTCGACGACGTCGCCGACGGCTGCAAGGCGAGTGGAGGGGGGGGCAAGAGTCAGGGCGACGAGGTTGAAAGACGCGTCGAGGAGGAGGAGGAGGGAGGGAACGGACCCTCGCTGCCGCCGACGAGGGTGTCGCAGCGGGTGGCGTACTCGTCGAGGAAGGTGGCAAGCTGTGCGGCGTGGTTGCAGATGTGTGAGAAGGCGGTGAACTCGCGTTGCTTGTCGAGGAGGCGCGAGTGGGCGGGAGTCTGGGCCGACGAGGCGAGGGACGCGTTCGAGGGTGCGAGGTTGGCTGCTGCGCCTCCTGGGTACATGGACTGGCGGTAGCTCATGGCCTGCAGTGCACTCGAGGCGGTAGGTAGGAGGAGCGAGGCCCGGAGCACTCGTCCTCCTCGTCCTCATCTCTGTCCCGCCCACTCACCTCGGCGCTCGCTCGAGCGCACCCGAGCCATGAGCGACTCGATTACAGACCTGCTCCAAGACACACTCGACCGCGCCAACGCCCTGTCGCAAGCGGCGTGGGACTCGCTCGTCCCCCCCTCGCTCGACAACCTGCACGACCTCCCCTCGCACCTGCACGCCACCTGGACCGACCTCGTCGACAAGCTCACTCTGCGCCAAGGCGTTCCCGACCCGCGCAACTGGCTCCCCGACGCCGTCCTCCCGCACGCCCCCGCTCCCCCTCCTCCCCCTCCTCCCCCACCCGCACCCGCCTCGTGGCCTCGCGCCCTCGCCTCGCACGCCGCAGCCCACCCGTGGGCCTACACCCTCGCCGCACTCGGCCTCTCGACCGGCACCGCCTACGCCCTCTACCCGCTCGAGACGACCGCGTTCCTCTCCCCGTCCCTCGTCCGCCTCGTCCCGCGCGCCCTCCTCCCCGACCCCAAGCACCGGCCCCTCCGCCTTGTCCCGACCGAGCACGGCGTCGCCCACGAGGTCCGCAAAGAGTGCGTCGTCGTCCTCGGCGCCGAGACCCCGCACGGCCGCGACCTCGCCCTCGACCTCGAGCGCCGCGGCTTTGTCGTCGTCGCCACCGTCGCCGACCCGCGCGAGGTCGACGTCCTCGAGAAGTTGAGCCGTGGATGGCTCAAGGCCCTCGTCCTCGACCCGAACGAGGTGCGTCCGCCGTGTCTCTCTCTCTCTCTCCCTGTCGAGGTCCTCCCACCTGACCCCCTCTCGTCGCTCGTAGTCGTCCTCGGTCGCGCCCTTCTTGCGCTCCCTGTCGACCGCCCTCTCGCTCCGCTTCCCGCTCCACACCTCGGGCGACCCCTTTGCTCGTCCGGCACACGCACTCGCCCTCACCGGCGTCGTCAACTGCCTGTCGCTCGCCGCCGCTGACGCCCATCTCCCCGTGCCGCTCGAGGCCGCCGAGAACGACGACGCGCGTCGCATGGTCGGCGAGAGGGTTGCTGTCGTCGTCGGCGTCGTCAAGGGGCTCGTGCCGCTCCTTCGCTCGGCGGCGGCGCGTCCGGGAGCGCCGACTGGCGTCCTCGTCTCGCTCGGTGCGTCCCACTCTCGCTCTCCTTCTTTCTCGGCCGCACCGCATGGATCTTACCCTCAACGCGCGCTCGCAGTCCCGTCGGCCTCGTCGCACCTCGCCCTCCCGTTCCACGCCTTCTCGTCGGCCGCCGACGCCGCCATCTCGTCCCTCCTGCACTCGCTCCGCCGCGAGCTGACGGCCTCGACGACGAGCAACGTCCACCTCTCGATTATTGAGGTCGGCTTCTTCGAGTCGTCGTCGTCGCCGTCGTCCAGCAACAACGCCGCCGCCTCGACGACGGGCTCGACCGCGGTCCAGCTCCCGATCCGCCTCGACGCCATCTACGCCCCGGCCCTCGCGCGCCGCCAGCCTCGCTCGACCTCGACCTCGAACTCGGCGTCGCAGCCGTCCAAGGGCCAGCGCAAGAGCACCGAGCTGCGCCGGTTGAGCAAGCGTGTGTGGACCATCCTCGTCCGGCCGACGCACGCCGGCGCCGTCGAGCGGGTCGGAGCTGGCTGTGCGTCCACTTTTCTCTCTCTCTTCCCCTCCCTAGCGTGCTCGACCCCCTTCCCTCGGCACCGTCGTCGCCAGAAGCCCTCATACTGACCCGTCCTCCCTTTGCCTCCCCGTGTCGCCCTCTCCCTCTCACCCTCTTCCGCCGACGCTCTCCTCTCGACCCAACCTCCCCATCTACAGCTCGCACCTACGCCCTCGTCTCGCTCGTCCCGCACGCCCTCGTCGACACGTGCCTCTTCGTCCAGGACCGCCTCTTTGCGTTCTACCTCGCGCACGTCCAGCGCGCGCTCGCGCTCCGCAGGCGCATCGCCTCGCGCGGCGGGGACCGCACCGGCTCCGGTGCCGCTCATGGAGCGGGCGGGCAAGGAGGGGCGGCAGGTGGCGCGGCGCGCCCGCCGCTCCCGAGCGTCCCACCGTCGCTCCGCCCGGCGAACAAGGACGCCCCGGCGCCGAGTCACGTCGGCGCCGGCCACGGCCACCACCACCACACGCAGGCGCCGTCGTCGCAGGCGGCGAGCACGCGCGCGTCGTCGAGCGCGGGAGGCGACGACGACGCGCAGAGCGAGTCGAGCCTCGAGGACTTTGGGCCGCTCGGCGGCGGCGGCGGTGCGGGTCCGGGTGCGGGTGCTGAGGCGCCGAGCATGGATGGGAGCTTTGTGCACGTGTGACGGAGAGCGGGCGATGGGCGGTTTGTACAGTGCGCGCTCGGTCCTCTTCCCCTTTTTCGGCTCGTCTCCCTTCTCTCTGTTTCTCTCCCTCTCGTCCTTCTCATCTCATCTCTCTCTCTGGACTCTCTCTGTGTACCCCTCAGTCGAGCTGTAACGTATCGATTCTCTTCGCGCGCTCTCCCACGAGCTTGCGAGAACGAGAGCCTCGGAACGGGCGACGACGCGGCCACGACTTCTCGGTCGCTCTCTCGGCTCGAGGAGGACAGGACTCGGATCACGATCGACTCGCGTTGCATAGACTGTACGGCACTGCAGAAGACACGAGAGAGAGAGAAGGTGTACGGGCAACAAGGGAGATAGGAAAGGCGAGCCGAGGCGCGAAGAGGATAAAGGGCCGGTGCGCGCTCAGGGCGCCATCTCGACGTCGCCGTCGGGACCGGTTGCGCTCGAAGAAGCACCTGGTTCGCGCTCGTGCAGGAACGAGTGCAGGTCGAACGCCGGCGCCGTCTGTGTCAGTCGAGAGAGCATCAGTGAGGGATCGACAAGGGCGAGCCGGGAAGGGCGACAAGCAGAAAGAGATAGGGGGGCGCACCTTTGCGGGCTTGGCCTTGCCGTTGCTCGACGCGTCGTTCGACGTCTTGGTCGACGAGGGTGGCGGAAAGGGCACGTTCATCTCGCGCAAGGTCGACCAAAAGGCGGTCGCTTGCCGGGCGGCGAGCGAGAGGAGCGGCATCGGCGTGCGCGACGTGTGCTCTGCGTACGAGCACACAGACCTCAATCAGTACGTCGGCGAGTGTGACGCCGAAGCAGTGAGATAGGTGCGAGAGTAGGGACGCACGAAGGACCGCCGCGTTGACCATCTCTGCGAGCGCCTCCTTCCTCGCCTCGTCAAAGTAACCCCTCACCTCGCACGTCTCGATGTTCTTGTACGCGAGCAGCGCACTGACGTCGACGCGCTCGCGGTCCCACCCCTCGCGCTCGCGCCCGGGCGGGAGGTGCGACACCTTCTCGGCGAGCGCCTGCGCCTGCGCGATGGCGACGTTGAGGATCGAGAAGGTGCCGAGCGACGACGTCGAGGCCGACATGTCGGCGTCGTCGCTCGCTCCCGCCCCTCCTCCTCCTCCCGCCGCCGCCGCCGAGGGCGTCGGCGTCGAGGGCGTCGAGTGCGCCGACGTCGCGTACGCCGAGCGCATGAGCTCGACGAACACCTGGGTCTGGAGGTTGAGGCTGAGGATGGCCGGCGCGAGCGACTGGGCGTGCGGGCCAAAGTGGGCGCCGATGAGCGACTTGGTCGACGAGAGGGCGGCGGGCGCGCCGGAGGAGGAAGAGGGCGACGGAGGGGAGGGTGCGACGAAGAAGGTCTGAGGGGTGCAGCGCGTGTTCTTGGGCGACAAGGGATGGGACGGGGCGAGCTTCGAGGGCGACGAGAGGCTGGATGCGGTCGGCGGCGTTGTGGACGGGGTAGTTGTCGCCGCGAGGACCGACGGGTAGTGCTCGTTGAGCAGGTCGACGGCGTGCGAGATGCGCCCGCCCAGGATCGAGTCGCGGATCTCTGCGTGGCGGGAAAACCTCGTAAGTCGGTTGCGCGGGCTCGTTCACGCGCGGTAGAGAGGGAAAGAGGGGACGCACTGCGTCGCAGCCGAGCGTCTTGGACGTCCGCCTTGGACAGCAAACTGCCCTCGATCACGTCGCCGTCCTCGTCCTCGTCCTCTGCTCCATCGCCGTCGAGAAACGCGACGCTCTTGCCGTTCGACACTGGCGGCGCGTCGCTCGAAGCCCTCGGCTCGTCGCCCGCGTGCGGCTCCGGCGTCGCCTCGATGCCGTCCATGCCCTCGCCCGCCTGTCCGCCTCGCTCGACGAGTGGCGCAGGCTCGCCCGCGCTCGGTCCCGTCGCGGCCTCGTCTGCGAGGGCGAGGTCGCTCGCGAACGCCATGGCCGTGTCGACGTAGCACCGGCTGCACAGGTACTCGAGGACGAGCTGCTTGAGCTCGCGCGGCGTAAAGGGCCGCAGTGTCGGCGACGGCGCTCCCGGGATGGGCTTGGACGCCGAGGATGCCGAGGGTGCGCCGCTCGACGACGACGACGAGGTCGGGTTGGCGGTGGTGGACGCGAACGAGGTCGAGACGGTCGGGGCAGGCTGGACGGCGTAGGCTGGGGCGGCGTGGAGGTGTGCTGCGGGGCTCACGAGCTGCTGGCTCGGGCCTGGAGCGCTCGAGGCCATGTCGGTGAAGGCGCGAGGACGAGTGGGGGCGTGTTGCGAGGAGGAGCGAGATTCGACGTGGCGAGGCGGTGGGTGGGTGTGTCGATGCGAGTCGATGGTGCTGGGCTCGGCTGCAAGCTCGACAGGGTCGCGCGCGAGGTGTGGCAGGAGCGAGAGCTCGACCTCCGCCTGGAACGGCGCCGCGAGTCGACGAGGCAGCCCGAACGACTGCTCACTCGCGTCTCTCTGCAGCGAGCGCAGCTCAGTAGTGCTCTCGAAGGATGTGCTTGAACCCCACCCACGCTCTCGTACCTGCCGCCGGCGCGACGAAAAGATGCGTCAGCCTCGCTCGCTTCGAGCTGGCTCAGCTGGCGGCTGATGCGGGAGCCACGCAGCTTTGCAGCTCTCGAGCAGCCGAGGCGCAGGAAAAAGAGCTTGCGCGGAAGACACAGGGGCTTCGCTGCTCTCTCGGCTCGAGAGGAAGGACGGAAAGGCTGTGCGAGAAACTGGAATCGACTGCACGGCGCTCCTCGAGAGCGTACCACTGCCGCGCTCCTCCTCCTCTGCGAGCCCTGCAGGACCTCCCACCCGCGACTGAGAGCGCGCTGTACGCCCGGACGCGCACAGGAGGACCGCGCGTCGTGCTTGAGCCGGCACAAGCGGTCGGAGGCGAGCTTGATGCCGCAGGCCAGGACGGGTACCGCGAAATGGAGCGCTCAATCGACGTCGCGATGTCTGTGCGAGGCCGAGAAGGTCAGTACATGACTCGGAGAGAGAGAGAGCACGCGGGCGCACCTGAGCGTGAGCTCAAGGACCGACGACGATGGTGGTCGGCGGTCGTGACGCCGTCGAGGATGCGCTCGCGAACGACGTATACAGGCTGCGACGCTCATGGAGCATGCGCCGCCTCGGGTCCCTCGTCGTGCAGGTCGTGGGCGCGCTCGCCGCGCTCCTGGGCGACGCCGGCGAGCTTCTCCATGAGCTTGTTGATGCGGGCGGTCTCGAAGGCGGGCGAGATGGCGAGAAGAAGGTCGTCGAGCGTGTCGAACGAGCGGCCGGGCTGCGCAGGCGGAAGGCGCGGGTTGGGACGACAGAGGAGGGGGCGAAGGTGGGGGAGGAGGAGGGTGCAAGAGTCAGCGGCGAGGGATCAAGAGGAGGGAGAGATGGGTGCGCACCTTCATGCACCTTCCTCTGCTGCCGACGATGGCCCAGCCGGACTCTGCGCACGCGACACTGACGGCCGACTCGTCGTCGTCGAGGAGAGCGATCTCGGCGCGGGCGGCACTCGGGGTCGAGGGGTCGTCCGGCAGAAGCTGGTGGGTGCGGATGCCCCAGGGGATCTCGGACAAGGCCTGCTCGAGCTCTCCAGCAGCGAAGGTCGAGGGCATGGCGAGCGGTCGAGCAAGGACGAACGGCTCATCTCCCTTGACTCTCCTCACCCTCGCCGTGCTTCGACCACGGCTCGAGCCGCTCTGCTTGACTGCTAGCAGCCTCTCCCTAAAGGTCTGCTACAACCGCGCGCTAGTCTCGTTTTGAACGGCGCCAGTCTCGCCAGTCCCCACCCCGACCTCTTCTCGTCGCCCGACTTCATCTACCGCGGCTCGCCCATCATGGTTCAGCCTCTGACGGTCGTCATCAAGCTCGGTACGTCCACCTGCACTCTCTCTCGCCCGCCTGCCCTGACTCTTGCGCCCGCACAGGGTCCTCGTCCATCCTCCACCCCGAGCCGCCGTACCTCCCTCAAATCGCGACCCTCTCTGCTCTCGCCGAGACGTGCGTGTCGCTGCGCGCTCTCGGCCACCGCGTCGTCATCGTCTCGTCCGGCGCCATCGGCATGGGCCTCCACCGCATGGAGATGCCTGCGCTCGCCGGCGGCAAGAAGCGCGCCATCGGCGAGAAGCAGGCCCTCGCCGCCATCGGCCAGGGCAGGCTCATCGCCCTGTGGGACCAGATCTTTGGCGCCCTCAAGCAGCCCATCGCCCAGATCCTCATGACCCGCAACGACATTGCCGATGTGCGTCCATCACTCCCTGGATTCCCTCCTCGCCTCGCGAGCTCACTCGGGCCTCTCCTCCCGCAGCGCTCTCGGTACCTCAACGCGACGACGACCCTGTCGACCTTGCTCGGCATGGGCGTCATCCCCATCATCAACGAGAACGACACGATCTCGGTGTCCGAGATCCTCCACGTCAACAAGTTTGGCGACAACGACACGCTGTCGGCCATCGCTGCCGGCATGTGCGGCGCCGACTACCTGTTCCTCATGACCGACGTCGACGGCCTGTACGAGGACAACCCGCGGCGCGTCCCGGGCGCACGCCGGGTCGCCGTCGTGCGCGACATCGAGGAGGTGCGGCGCCTCGTCAGCACGTCGACGCTCGGCTCGTCGCTCGGCACGGGCGGCATGGAGACCAAGCTCATCGCGGCCGAGCTCGCGACGGCGGCAGGGTGCGCGACCGTCATCACGATGGGCTCGTACCCGGCCCGCATCGTGAGCATCGTCCAGGCGCACCAGTCGCGCACGGCCCCGCCCTCGCCTCAAGCTCCCTCACACGCCACCCTCCCTTCCACCTCGACTTCCTCCTTCTCTTCCTCGGCAGTCGCCGCAGCCGCCGACCCCGGCACTGCCCCTCCCGTCGAGCGCGACCCGCCCTCGGTCGCACACAAAGCCGGCGTCGAGTTCGCCCTCCCGACCTCGACCGTCCCGCCGCACACCCTCTTTACCGCCAAGCCCTCGCCCCTGTCGTCTCGGCGGTTCTGGATCCTGCACGGCCTGACGCCGCGCGGGACCGTCTACGTCGACGAGGGCGCGTTCCGCGCGATCGCGCACGGCGAGCGCGACGCCGGGTCGGGCGGCAACGGCGGCAGGCTGCTCGCTGCGGGTGTCTTGCGCGTCGAGGGCACGTTCGCAGCGGGGCAGGCGGTGCGCGTGTGCGTCATCCGGGGGCGGACGGGCAACTCGGAGCGGAGGAAGGCCCGAGCGGCGAGCCCGAGGCAGGTGGGCGACAGCGACGAGCTCGTCGAGGGTGTCGAGAAGCTCGAGATGGGTACGGTGGCAGCAGACGAGGCGGTACAGGAAGGCGAGGAGGTCGTCGAGTTCGGGCGCGGGTTGACCAACTACAACTCGATCGAGATTGACCGGGTCAAGGGCTTGCGCAGGTGCGTCACTCTCTCTCACTCTCTCACTTCTCTCTTTCTCTCGTGCGTATCCTGACGTTCATGCGCCCTTGCAGCTCCGACATCGAGCGGGTCCTGTCGCACTACGATGCCGAGCACGTCGTCGAGAGCATCGTCGAGCTGCGGCTAGCGGGCGGCAAGGGACTGTAGATCGTGCACTGAATAGACTCGTGTTGCACAGACTCTAGATCTGAGAGTATTACGACCCGAAGTGAGCAGCCGCTCGCGCCCTCGAGACAGACCGGCCGGCCCCGCTCCTCGCGCTCGCTCAGCCACTTCGACGACCCGTCACCTTCTCGGTCCACATGCGCAGGCCCATGGCGAACATTGACGAGCCATAGTGCTCGTTGATGTCGCTCTTCTCGACGGCGTACTGCAGGTTGAAGTGATCGTGCGTCGTGCTCATCTTGAGGACGGCCTTGTCGTCGGCGTTGGTCCACCAGCTCGGGAGGTGCTTGCGCGCCTTCTTGACGAAGCGCACGAACTATCGGCGGTCATAAGGCCGTGAACGATGGGCAGGGAGTTGTCGGGGGAGAGAAAGGGGGAGGAAGGTCAGCTGCAGCTCGTCGAGGAGCCGCGTCGAGGATGAGGGAGAGTGGGGCGCACCTCGGGGTACGGGTCGTCCTGGGCGTACAGGCCGATGTGGTCGCCCTGAAACGCGTACAGGTCGTCGCACCACAGCCGGAACGCGTCGATGAGGCGCTGGTACGTCTCGTCCTTCGAGAGCGACTCGGAGAAGGGCGTGAGGGCCGACATCATGGTGGCGGGCGTCATGGTCGTCACGCCCTGCATGAGGTCGCTGTATGGCCCGCGGTCCTCGGCCGCCAACTTGGACACTGTGGCCGCCGGGTCGAGGATGTCGGACGAGGGGAAGGGGGAGGAGGGGATGGTCGGACGGGCATTGAGGGTGCAGGCGGGCTTGTGGGTACGCCAGTGGTCCTTCTGGTGCTGCGCTCCACAGTAGGCGACGTCTGTGGACGGCGAGAGCGGGTCAGCAAACCTTGGGGAGCTGATGACGAGGGAGAGCGAGGACGCACTGTGGCAGCGCGAGCAGCGCATGTGGCACTCGGCCTGGCAGACTGCACATGGTCGATAGCTCGCTCGAGCGTGGTGAACGGCGTGTAGCGCCCCGATGAGGCGGCTCTGGTCGGCTGCTCCTCTGTTGGCTCCGGTCCGCACGGCCGCTCGCTCGCTTCGGCCAGCTTGCGATCAGAGTGTGTCCGCATGCGCTCCTGAGCTCGTCAGACGCTCGCGTCCCGGACCGGAGCGGCCTCGGCGACGCCGCTCTCGCCGAGCTCTCCCCGCCGACTTTCTGCTCCTCCTCGACTCTCTCGCTCGCCGGCTCGCCGTCATGAAGCTCGCCGAGCTCATTCGAGGAGTCGTCGAGGTCAATCGTTTGCTCGGCGAGTACAAGTGCTACTACCTGATTGCCGGTGCGCCCCGTGCCCCCTTCCTCTCCTCGCAGCCCGGACGAGCTGACCTTTCGACGTGCAGGACAAGCCGCTCTGGCCGCCCACCTTGCCCACCTCGTCACCAAACTCGCCACCCTTCAGCTCGACCCGTCGCCTGCCATCAATGCCTGCCTGTACGGCGACCGGCCTGGCCCTCTTGTGCGTCGCGTCCCTCTTGTTTGAGCGTTCCACTCGAGACCCTCGCCCACCATTCCCTCGCGCACGCAGTACATTCAAGTGCGCGTCGAAAGCATTGTCCTGCGCGACTCGGCATTCTCTCGGCAGGCCAAGGCCGCAGGATGGAAGCTTGAGCAGGACCGCGGGCAGCCCAGATTCGGCGTCGTGAGTCCAGGATCCTCCTTCGCACGTTCGCGAGGCGTACTGAACCTCATCTTTCGTCAGGTCTATTGCGTGACGGTCAAATCGTGAGCTGGACCCCTTCCTCGCATGGTCGCGAGCGCGCCGAGTGACCTGGCCCCTCTTCTCGCTCGCAGGGGTAGGTTCGTCGTCGAGCTCGTCCCGAGCGACAATCTGAGCGCCGCGACACCTCGCAAGTACGTCGCCGTCGCCGTGCCCAAGTCGAACGAGATCGTCGAGGTCCCGACGTCCCTCGTCGTCGACCGGACCCTGCACCTCGTGCGGTCGTGGCTCACCTCGCTCGCACCGGGTCATCACGCGCCCATGCCCCTCGAGCACCTCGAGGAACTGCGCTTGCTTGTCGGCACCCAGTCGTACGTCGACTTGTCGCTCGGCCACCCGCACCTGTTCGACCTCAACGCCGGCCAGTGGACCCGGCACGTTCCCTACCTTATTCAAGAGAAGGCGTACAAGGCGACGGCCGAGCTCCTCTTCAAGCTCAGGTCGCTCAAGGGCGTCCCTCGTCTTGCGTGGGACAACACGACGGCCGAGCATTTTGACTCGGCGTCGCTCGACTTCGTTCAGATCCAGAGCCAGTGGGCGGCGGCGCTCGGGCTCCTCATCACGCGCTTCCAGGTGCGCTCTCTTTCTCTCTCTCTCTCTCTTACAGCACACTGTGGGCCCTGCGACTGACTCCCTCCCTCGAGCAGATCATCTACCCGACCTGGCGCGCCGGAACCGCGACTTGACAGCCCCTTGTCCCTTTCTCGCACCCTCTTCTGATATTTCATGGCCCGTCTCACCAGTATCGTATCGTTGAGAGAATTTCGAGCCGCTTTCGTGCATGTCTCCTTTTCGGCGAGCGAGAGATTCGACGAAAAGGCAGAGGCGGCTCGACTTGAGAAGGTCGTCCGAGACGCTCGGACCGCTCCTCGTCAAGTCTGCTTTCCCGCTCGTCCTCTTCGCTCACGAGCTCTCGAACGGTCGACAGGCTGAGAAAGATACATTGCCGGCTCCGACTATCCAGAAAAGACCGTCCTCCTTTCGCCTCTGGCGCGACGGGCTGGCTCAAACGACGACGGCCTGGCGAGCGAGGATGAGGCCACGGCAGCCTGCAAGGCGTCGTGGGCGGCGTCGGCGCGGACAGGGGCCGCTCGAAGCTGTTGCGACAGGTGACCAGAAGGAGGTCAGTGCGAGGATTGAGGAGAATCTGAAAAGGTCGACGGACGACTTCCTGCGTACGCAGATGAAGTGTCAGTAGCGAACGTGCAGACGAGGGGATGAGCGAGCTCGAGCGCACTCGTAGGACATCGAGGAGATCGTCTCGAAGCCGGCTGTACTCGTCGCCGAGCGTAAGCCACGGTCGCTCGTCGTTGCCGAGCGGCGACGCGTGCTCCCACGACACGACCTGGTGGACGATGTCGCCGTCGCGCCGATGCCGCAGCTTCTCGATCCACCACTCGACGAGCGACTGATGCCCGGCCGGCACGACGGGAGGTGCGCCGCTGGGGCGAGCGCGATCGTCGTCGTCGTAGTCGGGAAAGAGCAGGCTCATGAGCGCGTCGGCCATCGTTTCCCTCGCAAAGTCGCGCGGGACGTGAGGTCCTTGCCGCGTCGCCTGTACGCCGGGGGACATCGACTTGGCGTGCAGGACGTGCCAGGCGTAGCGAATGGTGCGCAGCGCTGCGCAGATGGCGTGCCGCTCGTGGGCCGGATGCAGAGCTACGCTCGACGCTGCGAGCGCAAGCTGCTCGACGACGACAGCGCCCGGCCGCAGGTAGTAGTACTCGCGCCCCTTCGTGTCCATGGTGCCCACGAACTCCTGAACGGCAATGTTGGGCGTGCCGAGCCGACTCGAGAACTTGACGTGGCCGAGGTACTCGACGCCGCCGTGCATGTTCTGGAAAGTCGACGTCTGCGGGGCGTCGGGGTCAGTCGGTCGTGTTCAAAGTAGAGGAGCGGGCAGAGCTGCGGACCTGGAAAGGCGGAACGCCGGAAGGCTCCGACGAGAACGAGGCAGGAACTTGGTCGACCCTGTCGGGCGTGGGCGGCATGTGCACGATGATGGGCTGTGGGACGTCGAGGAGTAAGTGTACATGCTCTTTGGTCGAGCACAGAATGAAGCCAAGAGAAAGACGCACGAGCTCGTTGGTGGGCAGAGCACGCTGCGGCAGCGCCGCCGAGATCTCGCGTTTCCTCCTCTCGCTGAGAGCTTGCGCATGAAGGGCAATCGCCTGTAGCCCTGCACGTCGAAAGCGAGTGAGTCTCTCTGTCGCGGCGAGGAGAGAAAGACGAGCGACGACGCACCGCCGAGGACAAAGACTTGCCCGGGCAAGTCGCGCTCGAGTAGCGGGATCACGTGAAGGATCGCGATGTCGGCGCCGACCTCGGCAGTCCAGTTTGTCGCGGTAGGGTGCGCCATCGAGCTGACGAAGCCGGAGGAGACGAGGCGCAGAGAGCACAGCCTCAAAGCCGGGCGAGCTGCGGACCCGGCAGCGAGTCCAGGGTCCGCGGACGCTCCGGTCCGGGCTCGGCTGGAAGACGAGAGGACACAGAAGCGAGAGACGCTGGTAGCCGAGGCCGAAGAAGCGTGTTCTGAGCGAAGCAGACGACGCGAAGGCGACGCTCGGACCCCTTCCCTCTCCCTCGTTGTCCATGCTCGTCTCGCCGACCTGCGCGTTCCCGTCGCCCGCGCTCAGCCAGCTACGCCTCCTCCCGCTCGGCATGCTCACGCCCGCACGCCCTCGTCCCAGCCGAGCGCGCCGCCCCACCGCTCCAACCTCCGGACGAGCGCCCTCCTCTCCCTCCCTCCTCCCGCCGCTCCGCCGCTCTCGAGCGCGCGCACGTCGTCGAGGAACGCCGCACGCAACTGCGAGTCGCGCTTGGGGAAGAGCGGGCCGTGGGCGTAGGTGCGCAGGGTCGACAGCGAGAGGACGAGGTTGCCCTGGGTGAGGGCGGCGAGGGGCGAGGCGCGCGACGGGGGCTTGGCCGACGAGGAGGAGGTGCCGAGGGCGAGGGAGGCGGACGTCGAGGTACGTCGAGAGGATCGGGGCGGGGACAGGAGGAGGTCGAGTTGCCTGCGAGCGCGAGGTGCGAGGTCGAGTCGCAGAAGATGTCAGTCACGGTTACCGTCGTCGCCATCTTTGAGCGTCTGAGAACGAGCGAGAAAGAGAGAACGCGCCGACGCACCTGAGCGTCATCCAGCACCTCCTCTTGACCTCGGTCCTCTTCTTCCTCCCGCCGTCGCTCCTCGTCAAGCCGCGCATCCACCTGCCGACGACGGCGAGCACGAGCATGCTCGGCGCGACGCCGACGAAGCCAAAGGTCAACTCCTGGCTGCGGAGCATCTTCTCGATGCCGTCCATGGCGAGCGCGACGTCGACCTTGACCTTCTGGACCTGGATGAGGAGCGTCCGAATGAGGGAGCCGCTGACGGCCGAGCGGATCGGGGCCTGCGCGAGAGGGAGAAAGAGAGAGACTGTGTCAGTAACGAAGGCGCACAGAGGGGAGCGCAAGAGAACGAGGGGGCAGGAAGAGGAGGAGGATGAAGAGGAGGAGGAGGAAGAGGGCGCACCTTGATGTCCTTCTCCCACGCCTTGAGGACCGCCGTCAAGTCGCCGGCCCGGACCCGATCGCGCAACGTCTCGAGCTCGACACCGCCGAGGCCGTACTCGTCGCGCGCAAAGTCGACGACCATGCGCTCGAGGCTGTCGCGGTCGCTCTGGAGGCTCTCGCGCCCGAGGAGGGCGACGACGCCGTCCTCGCCGCCGCGCAGCGTCTCGAGGATGTGGCGCACGGGCTCGACGACCCAGTCGACGACGAACCCGCGCACCGTGTCGGCCGCGTCGCGCGCGTACTGGGCGAGCTGGGCGCGCCGCGCGTACACGAAGCGCGACACGACGACGGTCGCGAGCGGGAGGGCGACGAGGGCGGGCCACGCGCGCGCGAGGGCGCCTGGCGGGGCGAGGGCGCGCGCGACGCGGCCGTGCTGGGCGACGTGCGCCGGCAGGGTGCGCGACACGAGGAACGACAGGGCGTGCGCGAGGTCGGCCGGCGTCGAGGGCGGGCCCGACGTGCCCGACAACGACGGGACGCCCGACGAGGGCGTCAGGACGAGGTCGAGGTGAACGAGCGTCTGCCAGGTGGCGGCGCGCACGTCGTCGAGCGAGAGCTGCGCCGGGCTCCCGCCCGCGCCGTTGCCGCCCTGCGCGCCGGCACCTCCCGTCGCCGCCGCCGCGCGCGAGGTCGAGAAGAGCTGTGCGAGCCCGGGTGGCTGTCGCAGCTCGGCCCTGCCCTCGTCGGCCTCGTCGTCGTCGCCATCGCCGGCGTGCTGCTGCTCGCCGCCGAGGAGCTTGTCGCCGACGTCGCTCTGGGACGCGGCGAGGGTGAGCTCGCCGATGCGGAGGGCGAGCTCGTCGCGGGCGTTGCGGATGCCGGCGCGGCGGTGGGCGATCTCCTGGCGCGTGAGGGCGAGCGGCGACAGGGTGAGGAAGACGAGGGACCGCGCGGCGTGGCGCGTGAGGCGGGTCGCGCTCGACAGCGACAGGGAGGTGCTTGCGCTCGTGCTGAGGGTGGGGGCGGTCGCCGTCGAGGACGAGGACGAGGAGGGGTCGAGGTCCGAGTGGTCGAGGTCGGCGAGCGAGGGGAGGCCCGACGTCTGGGCGAGGTGGGGGAAGACGGACGCGAGGAAGAGGGAGGGAGGGAGGGCACGTCGCCACGTGTTGAGGTCGAGGAGGGACGGGCGCAGGTCGGCGGGGCCGTCGCCGTGCGTGAGCTTGCGCAGGCGGGTGGCCGTGACGGACGACAGGGCGACGGCGCGGGCGGGCGAGGTCTGGACGAGGTACAGGGCGGCGTTGTACGGGTCCGACTCGAGGCGGGCCCAGTAGTCGTCGTCGTGGTCGAGTTGGGCGGCGAGGTGGATGAGGGTGCGCAGGACGAGCCCCCAGGCGTGGATGGTGAGCTGGGCGAGGGTGACGAGTTCGACGGTGGCGGTCTGGGGCGACAGCGGGAGGGCAGCTGTGCCCTGGAAGGGCGGGAAGGCCTCGTCGACGAGGCGTGCGAGGTCGGTCGACGAGAGGGCGGGTGCTGAACGAGCCCCACCGGGCGAGGAGGGGGACGACGACGACGACGACGACGAGGCGTGCGAGGTGCGCAGGCGGCCGAGGACGTGGCGGAGGGTGTGCTCGCGGTCGTCGATCTGGTCCTGGTGCGGGTGTCGGGCCGTGTCGGGTTGGGCGGGGTCGAGGTGGTCATGAGGCGGGGACGAGGCGGGCGAGGGCTCGACGAGCGAGGGGGCGACGGCCGTCAGGGCTTGGCTGAGGTGAGCCGTGAGCTCTGCTGCGTAGCTGGCCATGCTCTGCACGTGCGCTCGGAGCGTAGGAGGGACACAGAGGGAACTCCTCGCCAGTCGCGAGTCGCCGTCATCTCGACCACCTCGTCCTCTCACTCCTCGCCACTGAGCTCAAGCGACCAGCTGTCCGGCCAGATGAGCGCACCCGCCCTCCAACTGCACGCCCTCCCCGGCTCGAGCAAGCACGACCTCGCCTCGCTCGACCCCGATTCGCTCGGTGCGTCGACCCTCGCGTCCCCGTCTCGCCGCACCGGGACCAGGACTGACCAGCTCTACGCGCCACACAGTCGCAGCGTCGTACCTCCAACTGCTCCACCCGGGCGAGTGGGCACTCGTCTCGACACCGGACCCGGGCTCGTCCTCGTCCCCCTCGGCCCCCGTCCTCCACTCGCACAACGACACCTGGACCGGCTCGGCCATCCTCCACCACCTCGTCCAGACGTCCTCCTCGCCCCCCAACCTCGACCCGCGACACGAGGCCGACGCCCGCGCCTTCCACGCCTTGCTCGACCACAACCTCCTCCCGCTCGTCCTCCACTCGCTCTACTCGGTACGTCCACACCCTCTCTCTCAACACCGCCACGTTCATCACTCACTCACTGACCGTGCGCCCCGACAGCTCCCGCAAAACTGGGCCTTTGTCCGCTCCCTCCTCCTCCCCTCGTTCCCCTTCCCGACCGCCTTCACCCGCCCGACCGCCCTGCGCCACGCCGCGCACGCCGTCGTCGACGCGACCCACCCAGACTGGTGGGGGCTCGGCGGCGAGGCCGACAAGGAGGCCGACGACGAGCGCAGGCGCAAAAAAGCCCTCCTCGAGACGGGCATCGACGGCATCAAGGAGCGCAACGACCTCACCCGCCGCGACGGCAAGGAGCGCGTCAAGAAGACCTTTGGCGAGGGCAAGGTGCGCTCAACGCTCCCTCTCGTACCGGCGTCTCTCCCTCTCTCCCGGTTCGACGCACTGACCACGTGCGCCCGGTCCCGCAGATTGTCGCCGCCGCACGCGAGCTCTTCACGGCGCTCGAGTCGACTCTTGCATCGTCGTCGACGCCCTTCTTCTTCTCGTCGTCGTCGTGCGTCCCTCGACGTCCCTCTGGTTCCTCGTCCCTCACTGACGAGCCGCCCTTCCCCCAGCCCGACCCCTCTCGACGCCCACCTCTCGTCCCTCCTCTCGCTCGTCCTCTTCCTCCCGCTGCCGACCCCGCTCCTCGCCGACCTCATCAACGCCTCGTTCCCGCGCCTGTGGGCCCACGCCGCCCTCCTGCGCCGCGCCCTGTGGTCCCCCGAGAGCGTCCCGCCGCCGGTCGCGCTCGGCCCCGCCGCCTCCTCGAGCGCCAAGCGCACGTCGTCGTCGTCGTGGCTCGCGACCCTGCGCGCCCTCGTGCCCGACTTGCCCTTTGGCCTGACGGGCTCGAGCGGCGTCACGCGCGCGGGCAAGGCCGTCCCGCGCTCGGCGCCGCCGACGGCCGCCCAGCGCGCCCTCGCCCGCAACCGCCGCGCGTTCGTCGCCGTGTGCGTCGTCGGCGTCGTTGGGTGGCTCGCCGGGACGGGGCAACTGCCGGTCCCTGGCGGCAAGTTGGGGAGGTTGCTGCTGGGCGGCAAGGCGCCGAGGGGCGGCTGGGTCCGGTTCAGGGCTGGGACGGGCGAGGGGGACGACGAGGATGACGAGGACGGCGAGTGGGAGGAGGAAGAGGACGATGAGGAGGACGACGAGGACGACCTCGACGACGAGTAGCAGATCTTCAAGGCTCTGGCTCTGCCGAGCTGTCCTCTCGCAACGCGCAACTCTCGCACACACACACACACACAGTGAGAAAGAGAGAAAGCGTCGATGCAGACTATTGAAAACAATGACAAGTGTCGCGAAGGATGTAGAGAGAGAACCGGTCCAGGCGACGATGACGAGGGGCGCGTGCGCCAGCGAGGATACGATGAGTGTCTGTGTGGAAGCGAGGGGACCGACGAGGAGGGGCTGATATTAAGGTGGGGCACTGACGAGAGGAGAAGGGTACAGGATGGAGGAAGGAAGGGAGAGGCGAGAGGGGACGAAGGTCTCGAGGACCGGGTTGGCGAGGGTAGAAGAGAGGGGCTCGGCTAGTACTGCAGCCAGTCGTGCTTCTTCTTGGGTGCCGCCTTGTCCGCCACGCGCTGCAGCAGCGCCGCCTCGCCGACGCCCGCCGCCGCGACCGCCGCAGGTTCACGCACACCCGCCGTGAGCGTGAGCGCGCCGCCGCCGACCGACCCGCTGCGGCGCCACGCCGCCACCTTGTCGACACGTGCGCTCGTCGCCGGCGGGCCATGGTGCGGCACAGGGACCGTGGCAGGCGCGCCGTCGTCCCGCGAGGAGGACACCTCGAGCAGCGTCCCGAGCGAGTGGCGCCGCTGCGCGCTCGGGCGCACGGACGCCGCGCTCGGGCGTGCGACCTGCTGCGACGGCTGCTGCTGCGAGACGAGGGCCTGCGTCGAGGCGCGACGAGGCCGCTCAGGCCGAGCGAGCGCGAGCGACGTGCTCGACGAGTGCTCGCGGCGGAGCGCGCCGAGCGGGACGTCCTCCTCGCGCTCGCGCTCGATCGAGGTCGACGTCGTGCGCGCACGGCGCTCGTCGAGCTGCGGCTCGGGCGGCGACGAGGGCGCGCCGCGCTTGAGCAAGCCCGAGAGGCTGCCCATCGACGCGCTCGCACGCTTGCGAGTCGCCCGCGCCTGGGCGGGGTCCGGGCTCGCCGCGCGCCTCGCACCGGCGCCGAGGAGGTGCAAGTTTGAGTCGACGCTGCGGCGAGATTCGCGCTTGCGCTGCGCCTCGGCCTCGGCGCGCTGCTCGGCCTGGAAGCGGGCGAGGGCGGCAGACGACGTGAGCTTGTCGTTGGCCGTGCTCTGCAGCCTGTCGCGGGAAGGAAAAGCGACGTCAGAGCTGGTACAGGGAGGACGAGAGGAAGAGAGAGCAGGGGACGCACGTCGAGAGCCGCTTGCGGTGCTTGTCCTCGAGGTCGCCAAAGTCCATGATGCGCGCCCCGCCGCCGATGTCGACCGCCTTGCCCTTGCCCTTGGCCGTCTCCTGCTCGACCTGCATCGGCGTGCTCTGGACGCGCCGCCTCTCGCCGACGGCGATGCGCTCGGGCCCGCGGCTCGCCTCGTGCTTGACCTGGCGCGCCCGGTCGTGGTACGGGTCGAACGTCGACGGCGCCGTCAGGTCGAGCAAAGTGCTGCTGCGCCCGAGGCCGACACGCGCGAGCGTCGCAGGCCGCTGCGGCGAGACCGACAGGGGCGGCGATGCGGCGGGAGGCGGTGCGGCGAGGACGGCGGGCACGGCGAGGCTCATGCGCGAGCGCGAGCGCGGAGGCGGCGCGAGGCTCGTGCCGCTGCCGTTGGCCGGGCGCGACAGGTTGGGCGCCGAGGCCGACGTGAGGTCGTACATGGTCGACGGACGAGGCAGGGCGCCGGTCGACAGCGAGCGCACCGCCGCGAGGGGCACGTCGTCGTCGTCGTCATCCTCAACCGGGACGGCGGCGACGCGGTCGTCGACGGCGTGCACCTTGACGCTCGGGGCACGCTCGCTCCCACGCCGGCCGATCGAGAAGAGCGACAGCGTGCGCGAGGCGCGCTTCGGCGGCGCAGGCGGCTTGGGCTCGGCGACAGCGACCTTGCGCGTCGACATGTACGAGTTCCACTCGGGCTTGACGTTGCGCTGCGACGGCTGGATCGAGGCGAGGACCGGGCGAGCAGGCGGACGGCCAAAGTCGTCGATGGGCGGCGACGACAGGGCCGCCGACGGCGGGTACACGCCGAGCTTGGGGAGGAAGTCGATCGAACCAGACGGCGTCGGCTGACGTGCTCCGGGCGGAAGGAGGGACGCCATGCTGCCCGTCGAGCGAACCTTGTCGATGTCGCCGCCGACGCCCGTCAAGGTCTGCTCGTCGCTCGCGCCGCTCGACGTAGCGCCGGGGCCGTACTTCTCCTCCCAGTCGTTGAGCTCGACCCGGCTGCGGCGCCGGTTGGCTCGAGCAAGCTGGTCCTCGCGCGCCGCCTCGTCGCGCTGCGTGCGCTTGGCCTCGGCGTCGCGCCGGACAAAGATAGACAGGAACCGCGACTGGATGGCCATGACGATGAACACGAGGCGTAGAGCAGTCGATGCCGAGGACGACGACGAACGCGCCGATCGCACAGGTGCAGGCGACGAAGGCGTGCGGCTGGATGCGCTTGACCGAGACGAGGACGAAGCCGACCGCGATGAGGCCTGGAGGAGGGACGCGACGAGGGGGAGGGAGCACAGGGTCAGCTCGCCGCTCGCTGCCCGCCGCTGAGAGGAGGACGCGTGCTCACCGATGACGAGGATGTAGCGCAGGCCGACTGGGCGAGCGAGGGCGTCGGACCGAGTCGAGAGGAGGAAGACGGCGGTGGCGAGGCCGGCGAGAGCGCCGACGAGGGGATCGGGAAGAGGGCGCAGGGGATGGCGGCGACGAGTCCACAGTCGACTGACGCGAGCAGGTAGAGCCCGCAGGCCTGCGCGAGAGAGCAAGAGGACGAGTGAGCGCGAGGCTAACGAGAAGGACGTCGACGGCTCCGAGCTCCCGGCGCGGGGGAGGGCATGCACGCACCGTTTGCAAGGGGGGCTCGAGCTTTGGCGCGACGGCGTAGTCGAGGAGGACGAGTGAGACGACGAGTGCGCCCGAGTAGAGCCCTGCGATGGCAAAGCTGGCCCTGTTGAGCGAGAGATCGGATCATGAGCCGAACGGCTCCCCCCACATTGTGTCCGACCGAGCGACAGAGAGAGAGCGGGCGCACCTGGGAAGCTGTGCGGCTGCTGCACCGGTGCAGGTACCAGACAGGACGAGGATACCGCCGAGGGTGCTGCTCCAAGGCGTGAGGTGCGTGACGAGGGTCGCCCCGGCCGAGTGGCTCGCTTCCGAGGGAGCCGACGACGCGGACGGGCTGGCGGTGGTCGCTGCGAGGCTTGCGGGCGGTGCTGCGGTGCTGGACGCGGCCGCAGTGGTCGAGCTCGAGGCAGGGACGGTGCTGCCCGCGAGATGGGAGGTGGTCGAAGGGAGAGAGGGCGAGGGGCGAGACAGCGACGCTCCCGACGACGTGGGGGTCGAAAGCTGGGCGCCGCACAGCGGCCGCGAGCACAGCGCGAGGGCGTACAGCACAGTACGCAGCCGCACCAGGTCGAGCGGAAGGCGGCGAGCCACCGAGTCTCCCGACTGGTCGACAGGAACGCTCGACAAGCTCTCGCACGTGAAGACGATCGCCAAGCTCGCACGGCACGACGAGGGGCGCTAGACATTGAGCAAAGAGGGTGCAGGAAAGGAGGGACTACAACATCAGACTGGGTGCGACGAGACGAGGGGACAAAGTGGGCGCGACGACGAGGCGAGGCGAGGGAACGAACGACCAGGGACGGGGAGGGGGGGCGACGAGAGGGAGAGAGGGTGCGTGCTGGGTGGGACGATACAGAGAGTGAGACGGAAAAGGCTGAGACGAGGCGAGCGAGGCGCGCGTGCGCTCAGTCCCGCATCGCGCGGTCGAGAGGGCGCAACCTCGGGCCTCTCCTCGTCGAGGCGCCGTTCTCACCTCCTGCCGGCGACGACGACGGCGGCGGCATGCCCCACACGCGCACAGTCCTGTCATCCGAGCAGCTCGCCCACATGGGCCCGCCGCCGGGCGCCTTGGCGTTCCACGCGACCGCGTTGACCGTCGTGCGCTCGTGGCCGCCGAGCGCGTGCAGCAGTCGGCCCGTGTCGCGGTGGTACACGTACACCTTGCCGTCGGCCGAGCCCGACAGGATAAAGTTGTCGCTCGCGCCGCCAAAGCACGCCCGCACGACGAACTTGCCGATGTCGTGGCCCTCGAACCGCCGCACGATCGTGCCGTCCTCGAGGTCGACGTAGACAATCTCCTGCGCACGTGGCCGGCTCATGAGCTCGAGGACATTGAGCGCGACCAGGGAGGAGAGAAGGAGGACGCACCTTGGGCGCGTGCGTGACGATGGCGTACCGCGAGTCGCTCGAGATGGTGACCGACGAGAGCTCTTGCGGCTGGACGACCTCGCTGCGGGCGATGACACTGCTCAGTGAGCAATCGCGTTAGGAGAGAGAGACAGAGGAGTGCGACGCACTAGAGGAGCTCGCTGTCGCCTCCTGCACCTGCGCTCGCGCCCTCGGGCAGCCGAAACACGCTGATGCGCTTCTCGTTCTTGGCGCCGATGGGCGCGTGCCCGCCCGCCGCTGCCGACGCGGGGTTGGCCGGCGTCACGCTCCGGCTCGAGTGCCGGCTCGGGACGAGGTGCGGCTCGGTCGTGTCGGCGCGCCCGACGCAGACGAGCTTGGTGCCGTCGGGCGAGATGGCGAGGTCGACGACGCGCGATGGGCATCGGGCGAGGTGCGAGATGACGTTGCCGGCGAGATCCTGCACGAGAATGCGGACGAGGCGTGAGCGAGGTCGAGCCGAGGTTGAGAGAACGGGAGAGGGAGAGTGAGAGAGGGGTGCTCACCCAGAAGAAGAGCTTCGAGTCCATGCCGCCCGAGACGAAACCGCGACCGTCGGGCAGCCACGCGAGCGCACCAATGGCGTACTCGTGTCGCACGAGCGTCGCGATGCACGAGCCGGTCTGCGGGCGCACGAAGAAAAGGTCGGCTCGGGGGCGAGAGGGGGCACGACGAGGATGAGGACGGTCGGCGCACCTCGGTGTTCCACATCTTGATGACGGCCTCGGCCGCCGTGAGGAGGATCGAGTCGTCGGGCGACCAAGCGAGGCACGAGACCGGGTCGGCGTGGTTCCGAAACACCTTGTCGAGCGTGAAGCCGGTCTGCGTGAGCGAGAGAGTCAGTTCGGCGACACGGGGGCAGCCACACGTGACGAGTGACGCCCAGCCGACGCACCTGGACCCTCCAGATCATGGCCGTCCGGTCCTTGCCCGCCGTCGCGAGCCACTCGCCGTCGTGGCTCCACTGGACGCGCCACACCTCGTCCGTGTGCTCCTGCAGGACGTGCGTCGTGTAGGTCGGGAAGCCGGCGACGCCGTTCGGGTCGGCGTCGACGAGGAGCGAGAAGGGCTCGTCGGCCGAGGGCGGCAAGGCGTGGTGGCGCTGCTGATGGGCCTGGGCCTGGGCGAAGAGCGTCGCGAGGCGGCGTTGAGGGAGCATGACGGTCGGCGAGATGAAGTCTAAGGGCGCAGGAGAACAGTCAAAGGCTGGGCCGGATACGCTTGGGCCGAGGAGAGAGAAGGAAGCGCACCTTGGAGCTGGACGAGAAGTCGTTGCCGAGACGATCCAGAAGCGCCGTCCCACCTGGCTCGCGCACGCAGGTCGTCTGCGCTCATGCACATGACGAGGCTGCAGAGGAGGAGAGCGCAGAAAAAAGTTAGGGCTCGTGGCGGCGTAACTCGGGGAAAGAGGAATCGAGACGGACCTCGACAGGAAGTGCAGCCGGTTCGAGTCGTGGTTGAGCGGCGACAGCTCGTTGCGGAGGACCGACAGGGCCGTCTTGGTCTCGCGCGCCTCGAGCGCCTCGAGGAACTTTTGCTGCCGAATCGCGAACTTGACGGGCTGCGACAGAGCAGGCTGTCAGGAACGCTCGGGCACGACCGAGTGCAGGCGAGGGACGCACCGTCAGGTCGAACGAGGGGTCGATGGGCAGCTCGCTCAAACGCTGCTCGACGTTGGTCCACTGACCGTCGAGGACGCCCTGGCGGAAGAGCGCGACCGCGGCGGGCTCGAGCGAGAAGCCCGACTCGGCCTGGAGAGCTTGCGCCGTGTTGCTGCAGGAAAGAGCTCGCCGTTAGTATACGCTCGTAGGAGCGCCGGAGGACCATGAGAGGAGGGGAGAGAGAGAGACGGACCTGTAGCCCATGTCCTGGAACGCTTGGAGCGCGATGCGCACAAACTCGCGCCGGTCGAGGTTGCTCCCCTCCCAAAGCGGGACAAAACCCTCGTCGCCCTCGTACTGCGCCGCATCTTTTACGGCGACGGCGACGTGGCCGTTCGTCGCCGAGGCAGCCGACGTCGTGCCGTTGATGGCGAGGTCGGGCGAGGTGCAGTTGGTCGAGGAGGGTGCGGCGGACGAACTGTCGGGGAAGGAAGAGGAGGAGGTCGACTGGACCATGACGCCGTCGAGAGCTGGCGCACTCGGTGCCGGGGCGGAGGAAGAGGGGAGGTGCGAGGGCGGTGGGGCGAGCGAGGTGGACGAGTCGGACGCCTTGCGCTTCTTGCTCGCGGGCGGCTCGTCGTCCTTGTCGTGGTCGTCGACGTCGGCGAGCTCGAGAGTCGGAGGAGCGAGGGACGACTCGCGGCGGCGTCGGCGGCTGGTTGCGGGAGGTCGCGGGTCGACGGCGGCGGAAGGTGGGGAGGTCGTGGTGGGAGGAGAGCGGGGGTAAAAGGGGACGAGGGCGGGAGCTTGCTGAGTCGAGAGGGTGCTGGCAGGTGCACGCTTGGTCGCCTGGATGCGCCCGGACTGGTCTGCGGCCTCGGTGCGGCGCGAGAGGGAGACGAGGGCGAGATGAGCAGGTCGGGAACTGGCTCGCTCTGGGTGGCGCGACGAGACCGGCACGAGGATGGAGCCGCTGTGCGTGGGGCGGTCGACGGTGTGCTCGAGCTGGTGCGAGTGTGCTCAGGAGCGTGGGCGGATGAGGTCGAGGTCGGCCCCTCCTCGTCGTCGCAGTTCGGATCCAGCCTCGCAGAGCGTCTCGTCTCACGTCGCACTTTGCTCTTTCGCCTCGGTGGAACGGACACGCTCTCTCTATCGCTCACGATGGACGAAAGGGACGACGAGGCAGAGCCGGTGTTGGCTCGCTTCTATTCGACGGTCGCTCTACTCAAACCGCCTCGCCCTCGCGCGCCGGCTTGACCTTGAACTCGCCCTCGAGAAAGCCCTTGACGGCGCCGCCGACGCTCACGACGTCGAGGAGGAACGTGTCGTGACCCCACGGCTGGTTCAGCTCGTAGTAAACGACGTTTTCGTTGCCGTTCGCCTTAAGGCACTCGGCGAGCTCGCGCTGCTGCTCGATCGGGAACAGCGTGTCCGACTGGACGCCCATGACGAGCGTCGGGTGCGACCGCAACCGCGACAGGCCGCGTGTGAGCCCGGGCAGGTACGCGTGCGCCGACGGGAGCGACGAGATGAACGGCTTGGCGTCCTTTTGCCGCTTGGCGGCCGCGGCCCAGGTCGACGACGACGACGACGCGCCGCCTTCTGGCGGCGCCGAAGAAGAGGGAGGCGGGACGGGACACAGGGCGTCGGCGGGCAGCGCGCCCTCGTCGCGTGCGCGTCGTCGCGCCTCGAGGTCCTCGAGCGCGTCGTCGCTCATGTCGAACAGGTCCATGGCCTTGCTGATGTAGATGAGCGAGTTTGCGTCGTACTTGAGGCAGAACTGCTCGCCCTGGTGGTCGAGGTACGTCTCGATGAGAAAGTCGGGGCACAGGACGGGCGGCGACGGAAGGTGGGCGGCCGACGGGTCCGAGCGAGGCGCCGCGAGGTCACGCCGCCGACGGCCGAACCGCTGCTCCCACTCGGGGCCCGAGCGGTACGTGATGGTGGCGATTTCTGCGCCGGGGCGTCGACAGCTAGTCAGTGCGTGCACCGAGAGAGCGGCCAGGACGAGCTGGCCGGCGGCTCGAAAACGGCGACGGCGACGGCCGAGAGACCGAGAGAAAGGACGACGTACGGCGAGCGAGCTTCATGCCCGTGTGTGGCGGCAAGTCGTCGTAGTAGAAGCCGCGCTTCCAGTTCGGGTCGGCCATGAGGACTGTGCGCGAGGGAAAGACTGAGTCAGAGGTCGAGGCCATGCGTCGGACGCGCTCGAGAGGGGGCAAGAGAGAGAAGGGGTAGACGCACCGCTCCTCTGGGCAAAGCGCATGGCCATGCTGGCCGGGCTGCTGCGCGCCGTGCCGCTGATGCTGACGACCTTGCCGACGCGGTCGGGCTCGAGGTGGGCGGCGGCGATGCTCTGCATACCGCCCATGCTGCTGCCGACACTCGCCGCGAGCTTGTCGATGCCGAGGTGCGACAGGAGCTCGAACTGGGCGCGCACCATGTCGAAGATGCTGACGATGGGGAACCTGGACGCGTACGGCTGGCCGTCGCTCGGGTCGAGGCTCGAGGGCCCGGTCGAGCCGTAGCACCCGCCGAGGACGTTGGTGCACACGACGAAGAACTTGTCCGTGTCGATGGCGCGGCCGGGCCCGATGAAGCGCTCCCACCAGCCCTCGGCCGGGTTGGCGGGCGTCGAGTGGGCGTGCGACGAGGCCGAGAGGCCCGTGTGGAGGAGGACGGCGTTGGTGCGGTCGGCGTTTCAAGGTGCCCCAGGTCTCGTACGCGAGCGAGAACGAGGGCAGGTGGCCGCCGTAGTCGAGCGCGAACGGGCGCGGGTGGTCGTAGACCTGGTAGCCCGTTACGACGTTGGCGTACGCCGGCTCGGGCCCTTCTGCGTCCTCGGCCGAGGTCGGGGTCGGGGTCGACGGGCCGAGCGTGTTGTACGACGAGGCCGAGGTCGATGGCGAGGGTTGTTGGCGCTGCTGACGTTGCTCGAGGAGGCGGGCGGTGCGCAGGTCGTTGGCGTCGACGCAGGGGAAGCTCATGGCCGGGTTGGAGCCATGCGGGCGACTGAAGCGGTCGGTCGACGTCGCGGTTGTCGGTGGTGGTGCTGGTGCCGAGGTGGACGGCGCGTCGGGCGGTGCTGGCGACGAGTGGGGAGGAGGGTGGGTGCGGGCGGGGGCGGACGAGTGGAGGGAGCGCTGCAAGAGGGCGCGTTGCGCCGAGCGGGCGATGCGTGCAGCCATGGCGAGGGTGCACTCGCAGCTGGTCGAGGTGGGAGGAGAGAGAGACGAGCTGACCAAGTCCAACTCCAAGTCGATGAGGTGCTTGACCAAGTCCACACCTCGCTCTCGCCCAAGGGGCCCGCCCGCTGCTTCGAGCCTGCTTAGGCGGACTTGTGCAGTCACCCTACAGCCTCGCCCGCCGCCCGCACGCCCGGCCGACGACGCTGGCTGACTCCCATCTTCAACCTCATCAGCTCGCGGTGTTCGTCGACCTCTCCTCTGCGGGCTCGCTGTCCTCGCCAGAGCGCTCCACCGAGGCCTCCGGGTGCGAGACGTCGAGTCTGCCCTCCTACCTCGCCGTGCCGGCACGATCATCCTCGTCCCCCCTCGACCTCCCCCCGTCTTCGAGTCGCGCAGGTGGCCGGTCTCGCTCCGCCACAGGTTCTCGCGCCTCGAGATGGTCTCGCGTTGCTCTACGGGCATTTCCAGATGCGCACGAGTGGGTGCGCGAGCTTGAGTCGGCGCAGAACCTTTCCTTCCTCGTCGGACCTCGTCGACGCTCTCATCCCCGGCGTATCCTCCGGCCGAGGCGCATCGGCACCCTCTGGGGTTCGTCGAGACTCTGCAGCTCGCTTCGAGTAGTCGAGCGCACTCGCACTGTCACTGGTCGCACCCGCTGCGCGGGACGGCGCGCTCACAAATGTTCTTGGTCGAGCGGCCTCACTCGCAGCTCGCGGGCAATCCTGCTCGCCCTGACGAGTTCTCTCGAGTCCTGTGCTTGGCGGTCGAGCTCGGTCACAGCTACGCGCGGAGCGGCCGCAGTTCGCTGCCGTGAAGCAAGACCCTGCTGCTTCCAGGCGCGACGGCGCGGGCAGGCTCGCGACCGAGCAGGCTTTCGTCCCACACTCAGCTCCTGCATAATCACGTGCTCGTTCGACCTCGTTCTCGAGCGAGGCGAGCTGCACTTACGTTGCTGCGCACGGTGCGACGAGCCGCGGGTGCGGGACCCGCGGCACGACGAGCTTTCGGCGCCTCGAACAGCCGCACGGACAGGGCAGGGTGGATCGAGAGCAGGGCGAGATCACGCTCGCTTGCAAGCGCGTCGCATTTGCGCACAGGCGAGAGCGAGACCGACAAGCTGAGAGACAGCCGTCGCGAGGCGAGCTCTGCTCTCGCACCCGCACGCACGGCTCCGCCTGCGCTCGAAGCAGCACGAGCGCGCTCTGCGACACGACCAACGCCCAGCGAGCGCGCCAGCAACGCCGCCGCTCGCCTCGCGCCCTCATCTCGCGGCCTCTCCCCCGCACTCGCTCGTCGACCCACGACCATGGCCACCACGCGCAGGCCAGCCGACGAGACGCCGCCAGTGCGCGCCAAGCGCCTCAGACGGTCAGCTGCCGCGTGCGCGTCCTGTCACCGCTCGAAACAGTGCGCCCCCCTCCTCCACCTCTTCCCCTCCCCACCTTGACTCTCTGCACGTGGAAGCTGACCCTCGCCTCCCTGCAGTCGCTGTGACGGGCCACCAGGACCCTGTCACCGCTGCGCCACGTCGGGCATCGACTGCGTGTTCCCGCCGTCGACCGGGCCAGCACCCTCTCGCGCCTCGCCCGCAACCTCCCTCCCTCCTCCTCTCGCCCGCACGCCCGTCGCCGCACAGCCCGAAGCGAGCGGCTCGACCCCCATCGCGACCGCTTCCTCCTCGTCCGTCACCTTCGACTCGTCCCATGCCACCGACATCTCGCAGCAGCTCGCCCTCGCCAACTCGCGCCTCGAGATCCTCCAGGCGACGCTCGACTCGGTCCTGTCGCGGCAAGATGTCGTCGCCCCGCTCCGCTTGCCGGCGCAGCAGCTGTCGCCGAGTCGCCCCGCGTGCTGGCGCAGGAGGCGAGCCAGCACAGCTCGGACGCCGCGAGCGCGGCCCTGCAGGGCGGCTCGTTCCTGTCGAACGACGCGAGCGCCGCCGCCGACGAGACGAGCGCGATGAGCGCCCTCATGCTCGCCGAGGCGAGTGCGGCGAGCGTCCTCGCGTCGGCGAGCATCGCGAGCGCGGCCAAGCGGCAGCGCGAGGGCGCGTCCAGCGCGCAGGAATTGCTCAAGCCCGATTGGAGCATCGCCATGCCCGACGTCCTCGAGCGCGGCATCATGACGCTCGACGAGTGCGAGGCCGAGTTCGACATCTTCTTCACCCACATCCAGCCCTGGGCAGCCCTCCTCTCGGTGGCCCTCGACCGTCAGCCGCTCGCCGTCCGGGCGCGCTCGCCCCTCCTGTTCCACGCCATCCTCCTCCTCGCCCTGTACTACCGCCCTCGCACCCGCGCCAACCTCGCCCGGTACTGCGCCGTCTCGTCGCTCGTCGACGCCCTCCTGGCGCCCCAGATCCTGTGCCCGCAAGCCAACGACCTGTCTGGCGGCGACTTTGTTCGCGCCGTCCACCTCCTCCTCATGTACAAGCCGGTCCAGTACGCTCGCCTCGAGGCGTGTGGCGTCACCGACGCGAGCGCCGTCGAGTCGTCGTCGAAAATGAACGTCGCAGCCTCCTGGATGCTGAGGCTGCTCGTCTCTCGCGTGTCGACCTTCATCGGCCTGCCCTCGATCGCCGACAGGTGCGTCGCCAGCTCTCTATCTCGCTCTCTTTCTCTCCGCCCGTCGCCTGAACGCCTCCCTGACTCGCCTCCTTCCCGCAGCTTCGCTCAAGCCTTCGCCAACCAGCAGTTCGTCCCGATCGCCGACACGCTCGTGTCGCAGGAGCGCCTGTACCTCGACTGCGTCTTTCGCGAGCTCACGGGCGCCCTCCAGTCAGGCAAGAGCGCAAACTTCACGCCTCAAGCAGCCTGTCGCACGACCCGCCTCTTTGCGCACCTCGCCCGGCAGCCGTCCGACGTGCGCCTCGCCGCGAGTGTCGAGCTCGTCGCTGCGGCGGCCGAGGCGCTCGCCATCTCGGGCGTCCCGTCGAGCGACACACTGCGCCAGTTCGACGTCGAGCTCGCCAACTGGACGTCGTACTGGCGTCCGAGGTTGACGCCGGCGACGGCGCCGGACGACGCCGTGCGCTGGTCCGTGTTCGTGCCCTACGCCGGCTTCACCCGCCTCGTCGTGCGCGGCTTCCTCCTGCCGACGTGGCGCGCCAAGCGCGAGGCGGCGAATCTGGCGGCGAGCGCGAGCGGCGCAGCAGGCGCCGTCACGCTCGGCGACGAGGAGCACGAGCACATCGCGCACGTCGTCGCGGTCGCCGAGGAGATGCTCCTCGCCATGACGGTCGAGGGCAGGAGCCTGAGGGAGGGCGTTCCCGGTGCGAGGGTCGAGTGGGACAGCCTCGTCCAGCAGCTCGTGCCGGACCCGGCCATGTGCGAGCTGTGCAGGTGGGCGACAGATTCTTTGACTTGCGTCGTGCGCCCCTCTTTCTCTCTCTCACCTCTGTCCCTGTGCGACGACTGACCTTGCATCGCCCTCGCAGATGTTCGCCTACCCGCTCATCATGCTCAACCAGCTCGCCGAGGAGGGCCTCGTCTTTGGCGACCTGTCCGTCCTCGCGTCGGGCTCGTCGCCGAGCCAGCCCAAGCCCATGTCGGCCGACGACAAGCTGAGCCGGCTCCTCGCCCTCGGCGCCGAGCTCCTCGAGGCCGTCGCGCCCAACCCGGTCCACCCGGCGCGCGGCCAGGCGGCGTTCCTGCGCAAGGTCCGCCAAGCGCGCATCGCGCCGTCGAGCGAGGACCCGACGCCCCAGATGTCGCCTCGACGTCGCGCATCGGCAAGTGCAGCCGGCGCAGAACACCCGCACCTCTCGACGGCGACGCACGACTCGCTCGCACCCTCGACCGCCTTCCTCCCTTACGCCTCGACTGCCGCCGTCGACTCGCTCGCCATGGCGTACCAGCCGACGCCGCTCAACTCTCCGCCCTTTCCCGCCACGACGCCGCTCACGGGCATGAGCGGCGTGCCGCTCAACCTCGACGCGCTGCCCGGGCTGTTGGCGGGCGACGGGTGGACAGGCGGAGCGGTCGGGGCGGGCGTGTTTGACGACCCGCTGGTCGGGTGGAGCATGTTGTAGAGGGTCGTTCGGCGTGCAACGATGGCGCGCTCGACGACGCCGACGAGAGCAAGGTCCGTTGCCCGGCTGGTGGAGCGCCTCCTCGCCGAGAGCTCGAGAGCCCGATCCCCCTTCCGTCGGCCCGACCTTGCCTTTCCCCCGCTCGCGCTCCTCTTCTCCCTCTTCCTCACCATCAACCTCACCCGCACCATGCCGTTCACCTACCTCATCACCGGTGCGTCCTCATCCGTCTCGACCGCCGCCCGCCGTCGGCTTCCTGCCCCCGGCGATCCCTCCACATCTCGATGATGAAGCCGGACCGCGAAGCTGACCCAGCGCTCTCGTCCCACTGCAGGTGCATCTCGCTCGCTCGGCCTCGGCTACGCCAAGGAGCTCCTCGCGTCCAGCCCCGACGTGCGCGTCGTCGCCGCCGCGCGCAACCCGTCCTCGGCCGAGGGCCTGCAGGCGCTCGCCAACGATGCCGCCAACAAGGGCCGCGTCTACCTCCTCCAGCTCGACGTCGAGAACAAGGAGCAGGTTGCAAACGCGGCAAAGGAGCTCGAGGACAGCGGCTTCCTCGGCGAGAGCGGCCTCGACGCCCTCGTCAACAACGCCGGCGTCGCGGCCGACGCCAAGTTCAAGCCTTCCGAGCTGTACGTCCAGACGTTCTCTTGTCGGTCAGGATCACGTCTCGAGGCGCAGGACCGCTCACGCAGCCTTCCTCCCGTCGCAGCGAGCCGGAGCACGTCCTGTCGAACATCGGCGTCAACGTGTTTGGCGTCCTCAACGTCACCAAGCAGTTTGTCCCGCTCCTCAAGAAGGGCCAGGGCAAGCAGATCTTTGTCCTTTCGAGCGTGTGCGGCTCGATCGAGGAGTTTGGCAAGAACACGATGGTGACCGGCTGTGCGTCCTCGTCCTCCCTCTCTGCGACTCGTCTCGCCTGACCCTGACCGCCCCGGCCCACAGACTGCATCAGCAAGGCGGCGGTCAACATGTACACCGCAAAGCTCGCGAGCGAGCTGGGTCCGGTACGTTCGGGCCGCTTCTCTTTCTCGTTCGGCCCTTTCGCCGACGCGCTCGGCGGACGATACTGATGCTCTCTCACTACCACCTGCAGGAGGGCTTCACGGTCATCATGGTGCGTCTCGGGCCTTTCTCTCGTCAATCTCCTTGGCCGTACCCGTCGCTGACATCCTGTGCCCCTTCCCTTTCCTCCCCTTCCCACTCCTCCTTTTCCTTTCCGCCCCTTCCCGCTCCGCTCCTTTCCTTTCCCCTCGTCGTCCTCCCTCGCCCTCTCCGTCGTCTCGTTTCTCCTCTTCCATCGCTCGCGCACCTAGTTCCACCCCGGTAAGTCTTTCAGCCCGTCGCCTTCTGCAGGCAGCTCCTTGCCTGCGCACGCTGACTCTCTCTCTCCTCCCTCGGCGTGCAGGATACGTCTCGACCGACATCAACAACAAGAGCGGAGAGATCGAGGTGGAGGAGGCGACTGCGCTCGCGTGCGTCCTCAGTTCGCCCTCTGTGTCGGCTCGGCGGATCCAGCTCACGGCGTCATCGCGTCCCGCAGGCTCAAGAACGTGTTCCAGGCGGCTAAGCCCGAGCTCAACGGGTCGTTCCTGCGGTACACGGGCGAGAAGATGCCGTGGTAGACGAGCGACGAGGCGGCGACGCCCGGACCTCGAGTTTCCGCTCTCGCACCCGATCTGCAAAATGCTTCGCGTTCGCTTTACTGTACCTTGCGAGTGACAGGAGAGCCGAGAGCAAGCTTGCTTGAGAGTGTGCGCTGTCGATGTCGCAGGGTTTCCCTTCCCCACTCTGCCGCTGTCGCCGAAGTCCGATCTCGCCGCTCGCATCAGCGCTCTCGCTCTTCTCCCAGGACCCGCACCAGCTCAAGGACTGCAGCAGCCATGTCTACCTTCACCTACCTCATCACCGGTGCGCCCCCCTCGTCTTCCCAGCTCGCCCTCCCCTCCCCTCCCTCGTCATCAGCGAGCTGACCTGTTCCGGACTGTCCCTCCTCCCCACGACCTCTAGGCGCCTCCCGCTCTCTCGGCCTCGGCTACGCTCGCGCGCTTCTCGCCGCTCGCCCCGAGGCTCGCGTCGTCGCCGCCGCCCGCAACCCCTCGGCCGCGACCGACCTCCAGGCGCTCGCCAACGAGGACGCCAACAAGGGCCGCGTTCACGTCCTCCAGCTCGACGTCGAGGACAAGGCGCAGATCGCAAAGGCGGCAAAGGACCTCGAGGCGTGCGGCTTCCTCGGCGAGGCGGGCGGCATCGACGCCCTCATCCACAACGCCGGCGTCGCGCTCAACCACCAGACCAAGCCCTCGCAGCTGTACGTCCCCCACCCCTCTCGTGCGAGCCCGTCTCGATCGAGCCCCCAGAGCTCACCAACTTCCCTCATACGTGCAGCGAGCCCGAGGACGTTCTCGACAACCTCAAGATCAACGTGTTCGGCGTCCTCAACGTCAACAAGGCCTTCCTGCCTTTCCTCGAGAAGGGCAAGGGCAAGCAGATCTTCGCCTTGTCGAGTGTGTGCGCCTCGATCGAGCAGTGGGGCAACAACGTCATGACGCCGGCGTGTGCGTCCCTCTCTCCCTCTCTTCCACTCTCTTTCGCGCGCGGCAGCCCCCTCGTTCCGACCCTGACTCGCACTTTCCGCAGACTCGGTTTCCAAGACGGCGCTCAACATGTGGATGAGCAAGCTCGCGGCGGAGCTGGGCCCGGTGCGTCGTCCCTCCTGAACTGCCTCGTCGCTCAGCGTTCCTCGACTGACACTGCCTTCCCCGTTCACAGAAGGGCTTCACGGCAATCATGGTGCGTCCCTTCTCGCACGTCGTGGTCTCGGCAGGTCCCGCCGCATCAACCACTGACCTTGCCTTTCCCCTCTTCTCCTTCCCCCTCCTTCCCCCTTCTCTCGATCCACCTCCTCTTCTTCCTCTACCTCCCCTCCTCCATCGTCATCTCGTCCAATACAACCCTCTGTCCTCTACGACCGTGCATCCAGTTCCACCCCGGTCAGTCCTCCGCCCAACGCCGCACGTGCCGCCCCTTATGCGTCTCCCACATCTCGGGCACACTGACCCTCTCTTCCCCGTCGGCGTGCAGGATACGTGAAGAGCGACATGAACAGCGGAGCAGGAGAGATTACTATCGAGGAGGCGGCCGACTTTGCGTGCGTCGCCTGTTCCTCCTCTCCTGTCGGTTTTTCGAGCCGGCCCACCTTTTCGAGCGGCCGTGACAGCCGTCTCATCCTGTCGGGCATTCATCTGAGAGTGTGCTCTGACCTGTCTTGCACCCCTGCAGCGTCAAGAACGTCTTCCTCGCGGCCAAGCCCGAGCTGAACGGCGCATTCCTCCGCTACAGCGGCGAGAAGATGCCGTGGTAGACTTGCAGAGCACCCTCGGCGGCCGATCAGGGAGACGCAGCAGTGCAATGAAAGTGCTCCCGGCGCGCGTGAGCTGTCTGTTCGAGAGATTCGAGAACAGGGCGGACGGGGTCCGAGCGAGGCGAGCAGGAAGACAGACTTGACGCCCTCGCTCCTGTCCATGGTTTCTGACGCTCGCTGCATCTCTCGGTCGACAGCGACGACGACACGAAGGAATGTATCGACGCAAAGTGTTGACGATGCTGTGCGTCGGGCGCTCTAAAGAAAAGTGCTCTCCTCCTCGTCCACCTCGATCGACCCTGCTGCGTCGCCGTTCGGTTTGTCCGACTCGACTTTGTCCTCGACCTCAACTTCGAGCTTCTCCTCGCTCGGCTGCTGCCCGCTCGCAGCAACAGGCTGCTCCACCTCTGTCTCGGGCAACGCGCTCGCGACCTGGGTCGGGCTCGTCACGACGCCCTTTGTCCTCGCCGACGCTGTGACCGGCGCTCTGCAGCATTGCGACTGGCGACGACGCTGCTCGACGACGCGCGAGGGCGATGTCGGCGGGCTCATGAGGATCAAGCCGGAACCGCCGCTGCTGCCGCGCCGGGCGGCCTCAGCAAGGCGCTCCTTGAGCGTCTTGCGTCGAGGAGGAGCGGTCGGGTCGATGACGGCAGGAGCAGGAGGGGATGTGGACGAGGATGCTGGTGCAGGTGAGGCGACAGGAGGAGGAGCTGGCGCAGGCTCGACGGCAACGCCGGCGGCCGATGTGGAGGGGGCGAGCGGCGCGGGCTCGGAAGTCGATGCCGGCTCGAGAGGAGGGGCGACGTCGGCCGACGGCGTCGCAGCTGCAGAGACGGCCGGGTGTTGAGGGGCGGATGCCTCGGCGGTCGGCGGCAGCTGAATGACGGGCGCCGACGACGGCATGGTGGCGTCCGCCGATTCGAGGACCGTGTCGGTCGCCGACTCGACGCCGTCCTCGCCAGCGACGTCCTCGCGAGCGACGTTGTCGACGAGCGACGTCACGTCGACAGCGGCAGACGGTGGCGCGGCGTCCACGAGCGCCTCTGCGGCTGCGGCGTCGCCGTTCTCGACGGGCTCGGCGTCCAATGCCGGCGGGGCGGGCTCGATGTCGGGTTCATCGGCGACGGGGCCCTCGAGAGGGCGAGGGTCGGCCGAGGAGGGGATAGGCGCTTGGTCGTCGAGAAGAGGGGCGTCGGCCGTCGACGAAAGGAGCAGGTCGGCGACTGGCTCGCCGGCAGTGACGGGCTCTTCGACGACGGCGGGCTCGATGACGATGACAGGCTCGACCACGGCGACGGGCTCGTCGAGGTTGTCGGCCGTCACGTCGACCTCGACGTGGGCGGCGGCCTCGTCGTCGGCGGCAGGTGCAGGCTCGACGGCGGCGGCGGGTGCGGGCTCGACCGCTTGAACAGCATGAACCTCGGCCGGCTCGACGTCGCCCTCGCCGTCCACTGCAGGCCCGGCTGCTGCTTCTGCGGCCTCGACGGGTTGCACGAGCTCGCCCTGCGAGTCGACAGGATCGTCGCGCCCGACCTGCGCGCCGATGTCGCCCGCCGTGCCGAGCGCGTCCTCGCCTCGCACCGCCCTCTCGTCCTCCTGCGCGACCATCTCGAGCGCCCGGACCTCGTCCTCGACCGCTCCATCAGCGCGCTCCATCTCGCGCTCGACCGCCTTCTCGATCTCATCGAGCTCCTCCCTCGCCGGCGTTGCGAGCCCGCCTGCTGCGAGCTCGATGCCCTCGAGCTGGAGCGCCCGCTCAAGCGAGGGCGTGTCGACGCCAGTGCCGTCCTCGAAGGCGCGCTCGAGGGCGAGAGGCGTGAGCTCGCCGGCGGGCGCAGGTCGCGCGTGCGGCTCGGCCCGTCGCGCCTCGCTCGACGACCGAGGTGCGTCTTGTGCGGGCGCAGACGTCGACAAAGAGGCGGGTGAGGCCGCCTCGGCAGGGGCGCCCGTCGGCTCTGGCTCGGTGTGCGCGGCCTTGCGGCCCATGCTCTCGGCGAGCCTCTCGGCGAGCGACTTCTTCTTCTTTTGCGAGACGTAAGGCGCCGGGCTGGCCGGCTTCGGGCTCGGCGGAAGAGCAGCCGGGACGGGAACGGGCGAAGGAGGTTGCGGCGTCGCCGTGGTGGTCGAGGACAGGGAGGTTGACGAGGTCGACGCGTGGGCGTTGGAGAACATGGGCGCTGTCGGCGGTTCTGGGGCGGGCAGCGGTGCAGAGGCGGGAGCGACGAGGGTCGACGCAGTTGCGGGCGAGTCGGGTCGAGGCGGGATCGACGACGTGCGAGGAGGAAGAGCGGCCGGCTTGCTCGGCGCGAGAACTGGCGCAGGGGCTGGTGCGGGTGGCGGAGCAGGCGCTTCGGGGACGGGCTTAGCCGAGACGAGCGCCTCGAGAGCCTGCGATAATGGGCAAGGTCAGTGCCCGCGAGGAGGAGTGCGAAAAAAAGAAACGAGTCGGGCGCACCTTGCCGGGCCCGTTGTCCTCGACGCCCTTGAGCTCGCCGAGACGCTCGCGCAGGTACCGCACGTCGACGAGCATGCGGTCCCTCGCGCTTCGACTCCTCGGCTCGACGCGCGCAAAGACCTCGACGAGGCGCTCATCGAGCGCCGAGAAGACCTGGCCCATGATGGCGGCGACCGTCTCGGTCGCGAGGAAGCGCGACAGGACCTTGTGAAGCGTGTTGTGCTCCTTGACGAGCGCCTCCATGTAGGCGTTGGGCGTGTCGGGGCCTCGCGGCGCCGGCTCCTCGAAGTTGATGCCCTCGAGCGAGCGCGAGTGGACCTGGAGGCGGTCGCTCATGATGGCGACGAGCTTGGCGTGGATCTCGTGCTGGTGCTCCTGGTAGTCGCGCTTGAGTTTGTCGAACTCGGTGAGCATGACGGCCTGCTTCGGGTTGAGGTGCCGCCGGACCGCCTCGCGGATGTACGGGATGAGGGCGATCATGATCGACAGGGCCTGCGACGCGAGGGCTGCAGCACGACTGCGTCAGTCACGCGCACGGGGAGAGATACGACTGAGGGAGAGGGGGGCGCACCGAGGTGCTTGGCCGTGATGTTCTTGAGGCCCGCCGAGCGCATCGCTCCTGCACCGAGGACGACCTGGCACGTTCTCGAGTTGAAGACCTGCGGGGCGGGCAGGTCATCGGTAAGGCTCGATGAGAGGCTCCGAGAGAGGTGGGCGCACCTTCATGAACTCGATGATCTTGCTCATGGCGTCGGTCGTGAGCATCGGGACGTTGGCGAGGACCTTGAGGTACTCGACGAGAACGGCGACCGTGACGAGGCCGGCCGACACGGCAAAGAACTGGCGGCCCTCGATGTCGATCTGCTTGGCGGGCTCGGCGTCGGTGCTGCCGCCGTTGGCGGTCGACGACTCGGCGGCGAGTTGGGCCGTGCGTCGCTCGCCGAGGAGGAGAGCCGGCGGGTCGCTCGTCGCGCTGTCGAGGATGAGCTGGATGTTGGCCTGCGTCTCGGGCGGCACCTCGGCGGCGGCCCACTGCTCCTCCTCGACGACGCGCGCGTTCTCGGTGATCTGCCGCTGGTGGAACGTCTGGAGGAACGTCTTGGCCTGCGACACCATGGCGCCGCGAAGCCCGACGATCATGCGCTGGCAAACGCGCTCGCAGGCGACGACGAACGCCCACGACAGGTCGAAGATCTCGACAAAGTCGGCGAGGGCGAGATGGGCGTGCACCTCGGTGCGGACGCCGATCACCTTGCTGAAGCGGACGTTGGCGAGCTCGGCGACAGCGTGAACGACGTCGGTGATGTCGGTGCCGAGGGACGAGGCGTCGTCGGTCGCCGACGAGCGCGACGAGTCGGTCGAGGCCGGGACGGCGCCGACGGCGAGTTCTGCCGCCGACCCCGGTACGGCGAGCGTCGCGCCGGGTGCGTGTGCCGCAACTGGCGATACGTCGTCGTCTCCTGCCCGTGCGAGACCGTTCTGTCCCGCCGCTGCCGCCCCGCCCCGTCGCCGCGCCTTGCGGCGCTGCTCCTCGTGCCGGCTCGCGCTCCACAACTCGAGGAGGACGCGCGCTTGAAGGTCGACGACCTCGATGCAGGCGAGGAGGCCGGCGTAGGTGTCGCGGGCGAGGGCGAGGAAGGCCGGGTGAGGCAGGGCGCGAAGCTTCTTGGCGAGCGAGACGCTGTAGGTGGGCGATCGAGTCAATGCGTGCTTCAGGATCAGGGGCAGAGAGAGAGAAAGGGGGGCGCACCTCTTTTCCGAGATGGTGCCCAGGTCGACGCTCGTCCCCCTGCTGACGCTGCGCACGGCGACCTGCGCAAAGTGGTCCTCGTCCTCGGCCGTCGGCGTCTCGCTCGTCGGCAAGTGCTCGCGCACGAGCGCGCGCACCTCGCGCAGGACCGACTCGCGCCACGACAGGACGGCGCTGTCCATGCCGCCGGCGCGCACGAGAGCGCTCACGACGGGGCGGACGCGCTCGAGGGTGCGCTCGCGGGCGACGCGCTCGGGCGAGAGGCCGACGTCGACGTCGTCGTCGCCGCCGCTCGCCGCCGAGCTCGTCTCTTCAGAGACGGCGTGCAGGGCGCGAGGAGCGCCGAGGCCGCCGCCATTCGCCGCCGCCGCCGCCGCTGCCGCCGAAGGAGGCTCGAGCGCCTTGCCCTTGCCCTTCCATCGGCGGCCGTCGCGCGCAAGGCGCACGTGCTCGTCGATACCGACGTCCATCTCGTGCTCGAGGACGGACGTCAGCTCGCCCTCGAGCGACTTGGCGATCTGGGCTCGCAAGAGGGCGAGCTTGGTCGGGAGCGACGACAGGGCGCGCAACTTGGTGAGGTTGAGCGGGCGCGTTGGCGTGCGGCTGGGGGAGCCGCGGGAAGTGGCGGGAGAGGTGGTCGAGGAGGAGGGAAGCCGGGGCGAGGCTGGCGCGGGCGGGTCGCCGGAAGGAGGTGCCGCCGAGCCGTAGTAGGCGTCCTCGACCTGCTCGCTAACCTCGAGCGCGCCGTCCCACTCGCCGTTCTCGACGAGCTCCTTGACGCCCTCGACGGCGACCCACACCTCCTCGACGGCGCGCACGGCCTCGTCGATGCGCTCGAGCCCGCGGCGGCGGGCCTGGGCGCGCAGGACTTGGAGGCCGTGCTGCGCAGTCGCGCCGACGCCGCCCTCGCTCGCCTTGAGCGCCGCCTTGAGCTCGGTGATCTTGGCGAGGGCGGCCTCGCCCTCGGAATGAAGGCCCTGGAGGTTGGACAGGGCGGCGAAGAAGGACGACGAGCGCAGGCCGATCTCGCGCACAAGGTGCGACTCGATGACGGCCGTGTAGTGCGAGAGCTTGTCCTGCAGGACTTGGTCGGCGGCGAGGTCGTTGAGCGTGTGCGGGCCGAGACCCGGGATGGAGTCGAACGCGGTCGACGAGGATGACGAGGCGGCGGCGGTCGAGGGGAGGGACAGGCGTGGGGAGGGGTGCGGCGACAGTTGGATGCGCTCGGTGACGAGGTCGAACGTGCGAGGGTTGGCGAGGTCGAAGGACGAGTCGAAGAAGATCTGGGGCACGTCGTCGAGAGCAGGGAGGACCTCGCTCGAGACGGGCGGCGGGAGTGCGGGCGAGCCGGCGGGCCCTGCCGCCCTCACGCCGAGGCCGACGCTGCGGTCGTCGTCGCCGTCGCCGTCGTCACCTTGGAGCGCGCCTCGCGCGTGGACCGCGTCGCGGCCGTCGGCGTCTCGAGCGAGGCGGCTCTCGCGCTGCCAGCGTTCAAAGTCGCCCGAGACGTCGGCGAGGTAGGCGTCAAACTCGGTGCGGGCGACCTTGCGCAGGTCGGTGACGTGGATGGGCGGGGCCTGGCTGCGGCGCTGGGCGACCGACTTGGCGCCGGACGCGGCTTTGGGGAGGGTGCCGGCCGAGGTGAAGGTGGTCGAGAGGGACGAGAGCTGGGAGGGGAGGTACGAGCTGGCCGAGGGGAGGGTGGGGAGGGACGGCAACAGGCTGCCCGGGGTATGCGGTTCTGCGAGGACGGCCGAGATGGCTGTTTCGAGGGGAGCGCGACGAGGGGGAGGACGAGGGTGAGCCCGCTTCGACTGGGCTTTGCTCGGGCGGGAGTGGACGTACAGTACTGCGAGTCGGCTACCGAGTGCGCGGCTGGCCGTTGTGGCCCTGGCTGCGGCGTGGTCGCAGTTGCGGTGCGTGTCGAGTCCGAGGCGAACGAGGCCCTGCCCGACGCGGGCGGATTGCGCGACGAGGCCATGCCCGGCTTGGCGTGTGCACGAGCCAGTCGAGCTAGTGCAGCAGCTCACGCCCGCAGCTGTGCGGGTCTGGCGGTGCGGACGACGACGACAAGCCGACGGACTCGCGGCAGCTTCCCGACGGTCGCTCCTCTCCCACTCTTGCTGCTTCGTGTGCGTCCCGCTAGACCTGCACACGCTCGACCGACATGCCTCCTCAGCTGGACCGCTTCGTCTGCCTTGGAGGTGCGCCCCCCTCTCCTCGTCTCGTCCTCCCCCACCTCGCCCCGCTCACCCTCTTGCGCCCGCCCCTCGAAACCCGCAGACTCGCTCACCGAGCTCAGCTGGGACGAGCAAGGCCTCGGCGCGTCCCTCGCCCACCTGTACCAGCGCAAGCTGTGAGTCTCTCCCCGCTCCCACCTCCTCCTCGTTCCTCCACTCTTCGCCTTGCCCACTTGCACCCTCGACCAGCCTCGCTGACTCTTGCTCGCTGCGCCCACCCACAGCGATGTCCTGAACCGGGGCTTGTCGGGCTACAACTCGGACTGGGCGCTCCACGTCTGGAAGCAGTGGCTCGAGCCCACCACCGACGGCGGCCCCAAGACGCAGCTCGTGACCCTCTGGCTGGGAGCCAACGACGCCGTCCTCCCCAGCGAGCTCCAGGCCGTCCCGCTCGAGCGCTACAAGGCCAACCTGCGCGCCATCGTCGCCCTCGTCCACGACCGCTGCCCCGAGGCGAGCGTCGTCCTCGTCACGCCCACGCCGTTCCACCCCGAGGGCTGGCTCGACGAGCGCGTTCGTCGCGGCCTCACGAGGGAACACGACCGCGCTCCGGAGCGCACGCGCGAGTACGCCGAGGCCGTTCGCCAGCTCGGCAACGAGTTGAGCCTTCCGGTCGCCGACGCCTACACGCCCGTCGACGCCGAGATGCGCCAGCTCGGGCCCGAGAAGGAGGGCAACGTGTTCACCGACGGCCTGCACCTCAATGCCGCAGCGTACAAGCACGTCGTCAACGGTGCGTCCTCGGCTCACTTTTCTCTCGCCCGCGACGAGCAGTCGGCCTTTGGGCCGGCCGAGGCTCGCCTCTGCGTATACACACCGACGCTCACTCTCCGTGCCGCAGCCGTCGTCAAGGCGATCGAGGCGCACTACCCGGAAAAGGCGCCCGATGCGCTCCCCCTCCTCTTCCCGTACTGGCGCGACATTCGTGCGTCGCACTCTCTTCCCCTGCGTTCCCAGTTCTCGCAAATGATACTGACGAGCTCTCTCGATTGCCTGCCTCTCATGCGCGCAGCCACCGCCGGCGGTGCGTCCACCTCTCCCTCTCCTCCCTCTTGCGCTCGAGCCCGTTCCTGACTCTCTCTCGTTCTCGCTACTCGCTGCAGCTCTCGGTCCCGAGTTCTCCGTCGCCGACAAGGCCGTCGCTGCTGCTGCCGCCAACCACACCGACCCGTTCTAGACGGCCAGCTCTCGTGGAACGCGGTGGGGCGAGTCGGGTTTGTGTAGAAGTGCGATGCAAAGAAGAGATGTCTATGCTACAGCCCTCAGTCCGTCTGCCCGCTCCCGCTCTCGCTCCTGGCTCTGCTAGACGTCGAGAAAGTCGGCCTCGCACTCGGTGATGGGCCATTTTGCGCGCTGCATGACGGTGAGCGGGTCGACGAGCCCGCGCTCGAGGCGGTGCAGGCCGACCCACGCGATCATGGCCGCATTGTCTGGGTGCGCTCGAGAGTATCAGTGAACATGCGCGAAAAGAGAGAGAGGAGAGAAAGAGGGGACGCACCAGTGCACAGGTGAGGCGGCGGAAAGATGAGGGGGAGGTCCGGGCGCCCGAGCATGTCGAGCCTGCTCCTCAACCTGTTGCCGGCGAGCGCACGAGGGGTCAGAGATCGGGCGCACAGTCGAAAGAGAGAGAGAAAGGGCGGAAGAGGACGCACCGCTCGCGCAAGACGAGGTTGGCCGCGACGCCGCCGGCCACGACAAGCCCTTTCACCTCGTCCTCGCCCTCGCCGCGCAGCCTCGTCATGCCGAGCTCGACCTTGGCCGCCACCTGCTCAAACGCCGCCTCCATGAATGCCCTCGCGACCTGCTCCTTGCGCTCGGCGCGCATGCCCTCGGCGGGCTCGGCGCGCAAGAGCCGCGTGAGGGCGCTGCGCTGCCCGGCGTACGAGAACGCGAGCTCGCGCGCGAACGGCATGGCGAGCGTCGGCGGTGCCGTGCCATGCGCTTCGGCGGGCGACAGTGCGGGGCTCGTCGCCCCTCGAGGGAAGGCGAACCGCTCGAGCGCGGCGCCCGGGCTGCCCGCGCCGAGCGCCCACGGGACGCCGAGATCGCGCGAGGCCTTGTCGAGCGAGGCGCCGATCGACTCGTCGGCGGTCGAGGCGAGGATGCGGAACGACGAGGGCGAACGCGCGAGGAGGAGGAGCGTGTGGCCGCCCGAGAGGAGGAGGGTGAGGAAGGGGAACTCGGGTGCGGGCGACGACGTCATAGGCGCGGCGGTGAGGAACGGCGTCAAAGCATGGGCTTGCTGTGAGGGAGGGCGCGAGGTGTCGGGGATTGTCGACCCAGAGGAGGAGAGGGCGGCGCGGCGGGCAAAGACGAGGACGGGAGGAAGGTCAGCCGGGCAGGACGAGATGGGCGAGGCCATGAAAGGGAGAGCGGGTGCGCACCATGTGGTGGACGCCGATGAGAGGCTTGCCCGTGGCGGCCGCGAGCGCCTTTGCGGCCCCGAGGCACACGCTCAGGCAGCCGTACATGCCCGGTCCCCTCGTTGCCGCGACGGCGTCCAGGTCGCCGAGCGAGACGCCCGCCTCGGCGAGAGCACGCTCGATGGCGACCGGCATGTTGGCCTGGTGCGCCTCCTGGGCGTGCATCGGGTGGATCCCCCCAAACGACTCGTGGATGGCCGACTGCTTGAGGACGACGTTGGACAGGAGGCGGCGGTCGCTCGAGACGACGGCGGCGCAGGTATCATCTGTGCGGAGGTTGGCTGTCAGTACCGGTGTCGCGACGGCAGAGGAGAGAGAGATTTGGGAGCGCACCTGCAGACGACTCGAGACCCAGGACGAGGAGCGGCCGGGCGCCCGTCGACAGGGCACGTCGGGCCGAGGAGGTCCACAGGGGTGCCCATACAGGCTGTCGCGTCGGTTTTGGGCGAAGCATGGGTCGGCAGAGCGAGGCGTGGTCGAGGTACTTGAGTCGGAAAGTCGCTCGAGCTGATGAGGACGAGCGAGGGTGGTGAAGACCGAGGCGGTCGAATTGCCGGGCGGGACTTCTGGAGGGCACAGCAGTGGTGCTGTGCGTGTACACCAGTCCGGACTGACAGCTGGTCGAGCCGAGTGGGAGGCCAGGACGAGGCGCGTCGTCGTCGCCAGCGTCGACCTCGTCCACTTCACTCGCCGTCGCCACCATGCAGGCGTACGAGCCACACGCGCCGCTCACGGCCAACGCACTCAAGCGCAGGAGCCGCTCCCCTTCCCCCCAGCCGCACAAGGTGAGCCCGCCTCCTCCTCCTCCCTCGTCGTCGTCGAACACTCGGCTCACCTCTCCCTCGCGACTGCAGCGCCGCCCTCCACCGAGCTACAGCCCCGCCATCTACGCCAACCTCGCACCCGCCGGCCCACCTCGCTCCCTCTCGACAGAGGCCCTCGCCGGCTCGCCCGCTCCCGCTCCGCCCCACAGTGGGCGCAGCACCCCGGGCGACTGGCTCCAGCGCACCCGCGACCTGCACCTCCAGACCCCGTTGTGCGGCACCCCGATCGCGTGCGACGACGCGATGCAGAGCGACGACCTCGCCATCGACATGCGCGCTGGCGGGCCCGCGGTCGAGGTCCGTCGTCTCGTTCCTTCCCTCCCGCCTTCCTCCTCTCGTCGCACACCCTGACCCCTTGCTCGCGCACCGCAGGACCTCGACAACGCCATGATGCAGGACGAGCCCAACTCGCCGCAGTCACTTTGTGCCCCTCAGCCCGCCGTCCCTCTCACCTCGCGCGCGCACGCGTCCGCCTCGCCCTTCTGGTCCCCTCTCCCGCCCGCCGACACGGCCGCCCCTCACGACGCTCCCCCCCTCCACCAGCACCTCGCCGGCTCGCCGCAGCCGTACCTCGCCTCAGACGGCGGCGGCGGCGGCGGCGGCATGGCGCGCTCGGCGTCGGGCGGCTCGGTCCGCAGCATGGGCTCGGCGGCGGCGTGCGGCGCAGAGGCCGACCTGCACGCGCATGCAATCGCAGCGTTGTCGTCGTCGCCGCGCAAGCCGTCGACGCCGGTGCCCGGGACGCTCGGCGGGCGCGGCGGCGGTGGGTGGAAGGTGACGATGGGCTATCGCGCCGACTGCGAGCGGTGCGTCAGGCAGGAGCAGGGGCACTCGACGCATGTCGTGTGGAGCTCGTGAGGTCGGGACGAGGGACGGCGTGCTTGATCGGGACGAGGAAGGAGGGACGACGACGACGACGACACGCTTTGGATACCCCTACCGCGAGCTTTTCTCCTTCTTCGTTGCTCGCCCTTGACGTAGATACCTCTCTCAGTGCCGTGCACGAACCCTTTGCAATTGCTTTCCTTTGCACCCTCTCGAGCCGCTCTCGTCGTCGACGCTGTCTGCCGAATCCGCTGCGTGAACGGGAGCTGCAAAGGTGGTGCGGTAACGTTACAGGGGGTGGTACGGGCCGTCATCGGGATGGCGTCGGGTCCTGCTGGTGCTTGGCGCCCGCTGTCGGCTGCGCACCCGCCGGCGCTGCACCTCCTTTGCCCTCGCCGTCCTGGAACCCGAGCGCCTCAAAGTCCGTCTTCTCCATCAGGTTGCTGTCGAGAGGGCAGTCGAGCGGTCAGTTGTCGGCTGCACGAGGGAGCGAGCGAGAGGTGGGCGCACTGGTCCATGCGGCACTTGAGGTAGTCCTTGGACAGGTGGCGGCAGTCGGTGCTCTGCTGCTTGGCGGCCTTCATGCACTTGAGGTAGCGCACCATGAACTCTTTGCACTCGCCTGCGGTCGCGCGTCGAGACGAGGTCAGCGAGTCGAGGTCGGCGAAAGGGAGAGAGGGAGAGAGGAGGGCGCACCATCGTGGTCGAGCGGGAAGCTGCCCTTGAGCGGGGGAGCCCCGCCGAGGGACAAGGACGTGGTGGCAGGTCGGCCGAACGACATAGACGGTGTGCGTGCTTGACGGCGAGGGAGGATGAGCGAGGCGGTGCTGAGGACGAAGAGGGCGAGGGTGGGCCGGGGGCGTGGTGGTGCGGTTGCGGGTCGAGGGTGACCTAGGAGGTGCACGGGAGCAGTCAAGCTGGTCACACAGTTGGTTCGAGGCAGTGAGCGGTGTGAGGACGAGCCGACAGCGACCCGGGCCAGCCCACTCGACGTCGGCTCTCGCCTGCACCCGCCACTCGCTCCAGCGAGGCCAGCGACAGCTCAAGCCCATGCAGGCCTACCACAACGACGACTTTGGCCACCTCGAAGGCGCGTCGGGCTACTCGGTCGACTTTGACGACGCCTCATCGCTCCACTCGTCCCTCGCCCCCTCGACCGCGACAGACGACCAGACCATCCCGCCAGACGACGTCGAGGCCATACAGCGCATCGGCGACCTCAACTTTGACGACCTGTCCATCTCGGCACTCGACGCCGCCGCCTCGAGAGCTCCGCCGCCTCACCTCGACCACCCGCACGCCGACTCGGACAGCAACGGCAATGTCGCCAACCTGTACGAGGACGACTTTGAGGGCATGCTCGACGACTTGAACCGCGAGCTGCCGCCTCACGCATGCAGGTGCGTCCTCGCCTCCTCCTCCTCCTCGTGCTTCTCCCTCGTCCCACCGCTCACCTCGCCCCACACAGCTACTGCGGCATCCACAACCCGGCCTGCGTCGTCAAGTGCCTCGTCTGCAACAAGTGGTTCTGCAACTCGCGCGGGTCGACCTCGGGCTCGCACATCGTCAACCACCTCGTGCGCGCAAAGCACAAGGAGGTGACGCTCCACGCCGAGAGCCCGCTCGGCGAGACGACGCCCGAGTGCTACTCGTGCGGCGCCAAGAATGTCTTCATCCTCGGCTTCATCCCGGCAAAGAGCGACACGGTCGTCGTCCTCCTGTGCCGGTCCGTCCTCTCCTCGTCCTCTCGCCGACAGCGTGCACGAGCCCAGACCTGACTCGTGCCCGGCCCGACAGCCAACCCTGTGCCGCCATGCAGAGCTCCAAGGACATCGTGTGGGACACGACCCAGTGGTCGCCGCTCATCGAGGACCGCTCGTTCCTGTCGTGGCTCGTCAAGGTCCCGTCCGAGCAGGAGCAGCTCCGCGCCCGCCAGATCACGTTCCACCAGATCAACAAGCTCGAGGAGCTCTGGCGCGACAACGCCAACGCGACGCTTGAGGACCTTGAGAAGCCGGGCGTCGACGACGAGCCGCAGCCCATCCTCCTTCGGTCCGTCCTCGCTCTCTTTCCCCGCTCTGTCGCGCATCTTGCCTGACGCGCACCTCGTCCATGCAGCTACGAGGACGCGTACCAGTACCAGAACATCTTTGGCCCGCTCGTCAAGATCGAGGCCGACTACGACAAGCGCGTCAAGGAGTCGCAGACGCAGGACAGCCTCGTCGTGCGCTGGGACATGGGCCTTAACCAGAAGCGCATCGCGTGGTTTAACCTCCCTAAGCTCGAGTCGGGCGAGGTGCGCCTCGCCGTCGGCGACGAGCTGCGCCTGCGCTATCACGGCGAGCTGCACAAGCCCTGGGAGGGCGTCGGCCACGTCGTCAAGATCCCCAACAGTACGCTCCCCTCTCTCTCTCTCTCCCGCCTCGACGAGCGCTCATCGGCGTGTGCCTGTCTGCAGACGTGTCGGACGAGATCGCTCTCGAGCTGCGCCGACCCGACGGCGTCCCGATCGACTGCACGCACAACTTCAGCGCCGACTTTGTGTGGAAGTCGACCTCGTTCGACCGCATGCAGCTCGCCATGAAGACGTTTGCCGTCGACGAGCAGAGCGTCAGCGGCTACATCTACCACAAACTCATGGGCCACGACGCCGACCCGCCGCAAGTCTTGCGCGCCCAGATGCCGAAGCGGTGCGTCCCCTCGCTCTCGTCGGCCTTGCCCCTCCCTCCCAGACCCCGAGACTGACTCTCTCGAGCGAGCGAGCAGGGTGTCCGCGCCGAACCTGCCCGACCTCAACCACTCGCAGATCTACGCCGTCAAGAGTGTCCTCCAGAAGCCGCTCTCGCTCATCCAGGTACGCCCCGGCCTTCCTCTCTCGGGCCTGTCTCCTTCGCCTTCAAGACGAGCGGCTACTGACAGTCTGCCTGTGCGCGCGCAGGGTCCACCGGGCACGGGCAAGACGGTCACGTCGGCATCGATCGTGTACCACCTGTCGAAGATGAACCCGGGTCAGGTCCTCGTCTCGGCGCCGTCCAACGTCGCCGTCGACCAGCTCACCGAGAAGATCCACCAGACGGGCCTCAAGGTCGTGCGCGTCACGGCAAAGTCGCGCGAGGCGCTCGAGTCGTCCGTGTCGTTCCTGACGCTCCACGCCCAAGTCGCCAACTCGGACACGCACCCCGAGCTCCAGAAGCTCATCCAGCTCAAGCAGGAGCAGGGCGAGCTCAGCTCGTCCGACGAGCGCAAGTTCAAGGCGCTCACGCGCGCCGTCGAGAAGGAGATCCTGAGCAACGCCGACGTCATCTGCGCTACCTGTGTCGGCTGCGGCGACCCGAGGCTCAAGAACCTCAAGTTCCGCACCGTCCTCATCGACGAGGCGACCCAGGCGGTGCGTCCTCCGTTGCACTCCTTCTTCCCTTCTCGCCCTCCTCGCCGTTGCTGACCCTGTCGCCCTCCTCTCCCACAGACCGAGCCCGAGTGCATGATCCCGCTCACGTTTGGCGCCAAGCAGCTCGTCATGGTCGGCGGTGCGTCCTGCGTCCGCTCCTCTGTCTCCCTCGAGCGTGCGGGACTGACCCTGCGTCCGTCCCCTCGTCCTCGCCCACCTCCCTCAACCTCGCCCCTCGCGGTTCCACAGACCATTCGCAGCTCGGCCCGACCATCATGAACAAGAAGGCGGCTCGTGCCGGCCTCAACCAGTCGCTGTTCGAGCGCCTCATCCTCCTCGGCAACCGGCCGATCCGCCTCCAGGTCCAGTACCGCATGCACCCGTGCCTGTCCGAGTTCCCGAGCAACATGTTCTACGAGGGCACGCTCCAGAACGGCGTCACGGCGCCCGAGCGCCTGCGCAAGAACGTCGACTTTCCGTGGCCGCAGCCGACGACGCCGATGTACTTTCACCAGAACCTCGGCCAGGAGGAGATCTCGTCGAGCGGCACCTCGTTCCTCAACCGGTGCGTCCCCCTCACTCTGCTCCTTTCCTGCCCTCCTCGAACCCTGATTGACTCTGTCGTGCCCCCTCGCAGCACCGAGGCGTCGAACGTCGAGAAGATCGTGACGAGGTTCTTCAAGGCGGGCGTCGTCCCGGGCCAGATCGGCATCATCACGCCGTACGAGGGTCAGCGCTCGTACATCGTGTCGTACATGCAGCTCAACGGCGCGCTTAAGAAGGACCTGTACAAGGAGATCGAGGTCGCCTCGGTCGACGCGTTCCAGGGCCGCGAGAAGGACTACATCATCATGAGCTGCGTCCGCAGCAACGAGCACCAAGGCATCGGCTTCCTCAACGACCCGCGACGCCTCAACGTCGCCCTCACGCGCGCCAAGTACGGCCTCGTCATCCTCGGCAACCCCAAGGTCCTCTCGAAGGTGCGCCCTCGTCTCTCCCGCCCTCCTCCTCAGCCGCCCTCGACTGACTCGCTCGTTCGCCCCGCCACCCTCCTGCAGCACGCGCTGTGGCACTACCTCCTGACGCACTACAAGGAGAAGAAGTGCCTCGTCGAGGGCCCGCTCAACAACCTTCAGCCGTCGATGATCCAGTTCAGCAAGCCCCGCCGCCCGTTCGACCGCAACGCCAACACGAACCGCTTCCAGCACGACGCTCGCGACATGTTGAGCGGCACGAGCACGCCTGTCGGCGGCGGCGGCGGCGCCGGCATCGGCGGTCCGGCGTCGCGCTTCGACTCGAGCTTCTACCGGTCGCACGACGCCATGAGCGCCATCCCGTCCGACGCCCAGTCGGTGCGTTCCCAGGCGACGTACTCGTCGGGCCTGCCCACGTTCAGCCAGGCGGGCTACCCGGCGTCGATGAAGCGCGGCGGCGCGGGCGGCGTCGGCGTCGCCGGCACCTACGCCTCGTCGACCTTCTCGCAGGACCTGCTCTCGAGCGCAGACGGCGCGAGCGTCCGCGGCGGCGACGACGCAGGTGGACTGCTCGGCAGCGGCATGAGCAGTGCGGCGAGCAGCGTCGGGTTCTCGCAGGCCGACCGGCTTAGCCTCGCCGACGCCGCGAGCGAGTACAAGAGCCAGGCTGGGTGGACCAACGACGACGACGCGCGCACGACATACACGGCGTCGAACTTGACCGATTACTGAGCGTCGCTCGGACCTGCGCCCTCGAGTCGAGCTCGTGGTCGGGCACCTCCGTCCTCCCTCCGCCTCGACTTTCTCGGACCCGCCGCCGCGATGCGCTCGCTCCGCCTCGGTCGACACCTCGCTCTCCCTTCTTCCACCTCCGTCCCGATCCACCGTCCCGCCTCGTCGTCGTCTGGGCGTGCCCGCTGCGCCAGGGCGACGCCCCGCTCCGAGCAGCACGCGCCGATCCTGCCGCTACCGGCCTCGTCTCGCGTCAGGCGGCCCTCGTCCTGTGCCGGCGATGCAGTCACGAGGAGGAGCTCGTCTGGGTACCGGAGCTGTGTAACGCCGAGGCGTGCGGACCCGTTTGTCTCGAAGCGAGCGCGCCGACCGAGAGTTGCCCAGTCGTCGTCGCCGTCGCGAGAGCAGGGAACCAGCCGAGCACGCTGTCACGGTCTCGTCGAGAGTAACCCTTGCACGATCCCTCTTTTGCTTAACGGGACTCGAGCGCGACTCGCAACGGCGCGCGGGTCGAGAGAATCGACCTTCTCAAGTTGAGAATCCGCCTTTTTCTCGACACACGCTCGCTCCGCGGTCCCGCCGCGCAGTGTACAGCTCGATAGCGTCGCCTTTTGCTCGGATATGTGGGCGGCTCGACGCCGGAGGACGTCGGAGCTGGACGTGCGCGTCCTCGCAGATGAGCGAGGTCCGCCTCGGACGGTGTCGACGACCACGGCCACGGTGCTCTCCCTCTCTCTCTACCTTCAGCCACTCTCGCGAGGGACGCAGGCGACGCGCCCCAGCATGAAGCTCCTCAGCCTGCGCTCGCTCGTCAACAAGGTCGACTCGCGCCCGGACCCGCCCAGCCCGCCGACCGCCTCGTCCTCGCGCCCTGCTTCAACCGGCCTGTCGGCTCAAGTCGCGTTCCCGTCGATCCAGCTGCGTCGTCAGAGGCCGGCCACGGCGCGTGCCCCCGTCCTCGCGACGAGTCACTGTGCGTCCCCTTTCGCCTCTCGCTCTCAGCGGCGGCGTCGAGTGTAGCTAACACTGGCTCTCGCCCGACACAGCCACGCCCATCGAGGTCGAGGGCACCCTCTTCGACACCCCTCTCGTGTCGAGCCCACGTGGCCGCAACCCGCACGCGGTCGCCGGCGCCCTCGCCAACAGCGCCGTCGACCAGCCGCCGCCCACCTCGATGCCCGTCCAACCGACTCGCTTCGGCTACGGCGAGGAGCCGTACTCGTTCAACGAGACGCCGTCGCTCAAGGTCAAGCCCTGGACTCGCCTGCTCAACTCGTCCCGCCGCTCTTTCCGCAAGCGCGACTCGAGCGCGAGCGTGCACGGCCCTCCTTCCTCGCCGAGCCCTGCGCCGCGCCCCTCGCTCTCGACGATCAAGGCCGCCCCCGTCCCCGCCACGTTCATCGGCACGACGAGCTCGACAAAGAGCGGCGGCCGTGCGAGCGCGCCCGCCTCTCCGGCCGCGACCTCCCGCTCTCTCGTCGTCAACAACTCGCTCCCGCCCGTCGACGGCTTCCCTCCCCGCCGCCTCGACGACCTCGTCCCGAACAAGCTCCCCTCCGTCGACGAGACGACGTCGGCCACGTCGCCTGCGCTCGTTCCGCCGCCCTCGCCGACACGTCGCCGCGCTCGTCGCCAGGCCGTCGTCGACGGGTCGCCGAGCGCCTCGGGAGGCTCGAGCGGCGCGGTCGGTCAAGGGAGCGGGCGCTCAACCGTCGACGGCTCGGCAGCCGGTGGTTCGGCCCCTGACGGCTCTGCGCTCGACGGGTCGGCGGGCGGCTCGGGCCTCGGCAGCTCGAGCAGCGGTCGTCGTCTCGACGGCTCGGCGGGCACGCACGACGGCTCCGTTCTCGGCGCCTCGGCGCTGGACGGCTCTGCCCTCGACGGCTCTGCGCTCGACAGGTCGGCGCTCGACGGCTCGGCGCTCGACGGCTCCGCCCTCGAGAGCTCGGGCAGCGGCCGCGCTCACGTCGACGGGTCGGCGAGCGGGCTTGACGGTACGGCCGACGGGAGCGCCAACGAGGTGGGGCGCGGCGGCGAGGGCGAGGGCGAGCGCTCAGACGCCGACGACTCGGACGCCGACTTCTCGGACTGGCGGCGGCGACCTGCTCCTTCCGGCCGCACGGTCGCCTCGCAGTCGCCGGCGCACCCGCAGGCTCGCGTCGTCCTCCTCGACAGCGAGGGCAGCACGAGCGCGATCGGCGGCGCCGGTGAGCGCGGCTCGTGGCCGCCGACGGGCTTGCCCTCGCGCTTCTCGGACTGGACGACGACGGGCACCGGCTCGTCGCGCTCGGCCGGCCAGTCGCTCGGAGGGCAGTCGCACGGCCTTCTGGCACCCGCTCCTGTGCCCGTCTCGCCCGGTGGCCCGAGGTTCGCGGCCCTCATCCTCCTCGCCGACGTCGCGGCGTCGTCCGTCTCGTTCGACCTCGGGCACATGTCGCGCGCCAAGGCGTTCGAGCTGAGGAACGCCGGGAGGAGGGCGAGCACGGGCTGAGGAACGTCGGCGGGGAGAGAGGAGCAAGAGGAGGAGGACGCGAGGAGAGCGAGTGCATGTGCGAGGACGACCGCGACGACCCTGATCACCTTACGCGCCCGCCGTCGATAGCTTGAGCTTGCAATGTACATAGCTTGGTCGCCGAGGCAAACAGAGAAGCGAGAGAGCGAGGAGACGAGAGAGGAGAAGCGAGTGCGAGAGAGAAGCAGAGTCGAGCGAGAAGGGCCGCGAGCGCTCGAGCCTCCCTTATGCTCGACCGGAAAAGTGCCATCGATTACGCACGCTCGTCGCAGCTGTACGAGTCCCGCCGCTCCTGCCCATCGAGCCTCCTGGTGCCCGTCTGCCCTCGTCGTCGTCCCCGACCACCTGGTCCGTTCCAAGCGTTCCTTCCCGCCCCCTGACCTCTCCTTCAACCGCGCGAACGATCACGCACCGAGGATCAACCTGAAGATGTCATTGAAGCTGAGTGGGAGGCAGTGCGAGTCAGTACGAGGGCCGCACGGACCTCCAGAGGACGATGAGGGGGAGGGAGGGCGCCGCCGACGCACATGTAGTACGAGTTGCCCTCGGGAATGAGGTGGAACGTCTGGGAAAACGAGAGAGGGTTCTGCTCGTCGCCGGTCTGCGAGAGAGGAGCAGGCGTGAGCGAGAGACGACGAGCAAGGAGGGAGGGAGAGGAGGACGCACGAGGAGCTGGCCGGTGACGAGGACGATCATGGACGCCTTGTCGGTCGCGGCGGGCTGTGCGTCCATCGTCGCGATCTGGTGCTGGATGGTCGTGAAGGGAAGGCTCTGCAGAGAGACGAGAGGTCAGGTCGAGGTGCGGCGGGACAGAGTCGACAGGGTACGACGGACGGCGAGCTTCTCGATGATGGCGGCGGTGCCCTGGAACTGCTGGGCCTCGAACGACAGCATCGAGTGGTCGCGCTGCACGGGCAAAGGAGGGCTCAGCGAGGCTTGGGCGGGGGAGAGCGAGAGGCGGTCGACGGACGTAGAGCGGCCCGAGGTTCTTGCGGTCGGCGTCGAACGCCTGGTAGTAGAAGTCGGTGAACTGCTTGGCGATGGCGTTGATGTCGGCCTGGAGAGGGTACAGCGAGTCAGAACCGTCCATCTCTCTCGCAACTCGCTCGGCTGCTCGACCGTCATCTCGAGGCACGGCGAGGCGAGATGCTCCGTGTGCACGCCCCGGCGTTGCCGCCCGTCCACCAGCCAGCCAGCCCTCAGCTGGCGCGCTCCTGGCGCTGTCCCGGCCGTCGTCGCTGCGTCGCGGGGTTGTTGGGCGAGAGGGAAGCGAGGGGAAGGGGACGAGGCGTGGGAGGGCGACGGCGGGACCGAACGCGTGCGGGCAAAGCTCGGCGGTTCGAGTGGACGAAGGTGAACAGAGTGCTCACCATGGTGAGTGGGCTCGAGCGAGTCGGGACGAGATGCGAGAGCAAGAGAGCGACACGGACGCGACGAGCTCATCGTCTGCTCTCGCCATCTCGCTGCTCTCGCTCTGCTTGATCCAGGACAGCGTCAACAGCCATGGCATCTGTCGTCGCACCCGCACCCACCGCCGCTGCACTCCCCGCAGGAGGCGGAGGCGCCAACCGGCGCGCGTTCCAGGTCCGTCCCCGTCTCGCTCTCTCGCTCGCTCGTGTCCCACAGCCACAGAGCTGCGAGGCTGACCACGGACACCATCCACAGGGCAATGAGAAGCCGATGGAGGTCCGCCTCAGCAACATGACGGCCGCCAAGGGTGAGCTCCCGCTCCCTCCTCCTCCCCCCCCTCGTCGCCCTCAGCTCTCGCCCGCCCAGTCAGGAGCTGACCCTCGCCTGTGTGCATCCGCAGCCGTCGCCGATGCCGTCAGGACTTCTCTCGGTCCGCGCGGCATGGACAAGATGATCCAGACCGCCCAGGGCGAGGTCATCATCACCAACGACGGCGCGACCATCCTCAAGCACATGTCGGTCCTCCACCCGGCTGCCCGCATGGTCCGTCTGCGCCTCTACGCACCCTCCTCTCGATCAAGCCGAACCTGAAGCGACCCTGACCTCGCACCCTCCCCAGCTCGTCGACCTCTCGGCCGCGCAGGACATCGAGGCGGGAGACGGCACCACGTCGGTCGTCGTCCTCGCCGGCTCGCTCCTCGGCGCCGCCGAAAAGCTCCTCAACAAGGGCATCCACCCGACCATCATCGCCGAGTCGTTCACCCGCGCCGCCGCCAAGGTCGTCGAGTACCTCACCGAGATGGCCCTCCCCGTCGACCTGAGCGACCGCGACAACCTCCTGCGCGCCGCGACGACGTCGCTGTCGTCCAAGATCGTGTCGCAGTACTCGTCCATCCTCGCTCCGATCGCCGTCGACTCGGTCCTGCGCCTCGTCAACAACGAGAGCGACAACGTCGACTTGCGCGACATCCGCCTCGTCAAGAAGGTCGGCGGCACCATCGACGACACCGAGCTCATGGACGGCGTCCTCCTGCACCAGAACGTCATCACGTCGGCCGGTGGCCCGACGCGCGTCGAGAAGGCCAAGATCGGCATCATCCAGTTCCAGCTTTCGCCGCCCAAGCCCGACGTGCGTCCCTCGTCCCCTCCTCCCTCCTCCCTCCTTCTCGAGACTCGGAACGCGAGCACGTGGTCCTGACTCTCGGCCCTCGCGCGTCCAACCGGAACAGATGGACAACCAGATCGTCGTCAACGACTACCGCCAGATGGACAAGATCCTCAAGGAGGAGCGCCTGTACATCCTCAACCTGTGCAAGGCCATCAAGAAGTCGGGCTGCAACGTCCTCCTCATCCAGAAGTCGATCCTGCGCGACGCTGTCAACGAGCTCGCGCTCGCGTACCTGCAGAAGCTCAAGATCCTCGCCATCAAGGACGTCGAGCGGGACGAGATCGAGTTCCTCAGCCGCGCCCTCGGCTGCAAGCCCATCTCGGACGTCGAGCAGATGACGGCCGACAAGCTCGGCGAGGCCGACCTCGTCGAGGAGACGAGCAAGAACGGCGCCAAGTTCGTCAAGGTGTCGGGCGTCCACAAGCCGTCGGGCAAGACGGTCAGCGTCCTGTGCACGGGCGCCAACGGCCTCATCCTCGAGGAGTCGGAGCGCTCGCTCCACGACGCCCTCTGTGTCGTCCGCTGCCTCGTCAAGAAGCGGTGCGTCGTCGCCTTTCTCTTTCTGCCCTCACGGGCCGGGTCCCGCGGGCCTCGTTCGCGGCGGCGAGCGTGCGGGCCTGTCGCCTCAAGCCCACGTCTGACATCCACACCTGCCCTGCACCTGCAGCTTCCTCATCGTCGGCGGTGGCGCCCCCGAGGTCGAGTGCTCGCTCAAGTTGTCCGAGTACGCGCGCACGCTCAAGGGCCCCGACGCCTACTGCACCGAGGCGTTCGCCGATGCGCTCTCGGTCGTGCCGACGACGCTCGCCGAGAACTCGGGCCTGAACCCGATCCTGCTCCTCACCGAGCTGAGGAACCGGCACGCCAAGGGCGAGAAGACGGCGGGCATCGTACGTCCTCCTCTCCCCTCCTCGTCGTCGGGTCCAAGTCGAACGAGTCACTGACTCGCACCCCCTGCAGAACGTGCGCAAGGGTGTCGTGTCGGACCTGTCGGGCGAGAGCGTCCTCCAGCCGTTGCTCGTGTCGAGCAGCGCCATCGAGCTCGCGACCGAGACGGTCGGCTTGCTACTCAGGATCGGTGCGTCCCCTTTCTCTACTCCTCTTGCGCCCATGTCGTCGGGACTAGCGGCGAACGCCGCGCCCGCGCTCGTGCGCGTGGATCTGCAGCCAGTCGTGCGGCAGTCGGCGCGACCATGTACTGACGGTGCCCCCACTCCTTCCCTCGCACCCTCGCAGACGACTACCACCCTACGTGAGCACCCTCCTTCCACCCCTGCCCTGGCCTCGGACCCTCTTCGAGGCGCCACTACTCCTGTTGGCGGCAGCCCTCCTGACCCACTCTTTGTGCGCGCGCAGACGGTGATTGGCGTCCGTTCGACCTCGAAGCATGAAGAACGAGTGTGTAGACCGCTGCACTGTACGATACGCAAGCAAACCCGCTTTCCTTCCGTGTTCTCGGAGACGGCGGCAGCGCCGAATGCGAGGAGAGTCGAAAGCGTTCTTGAAGCTGCCGACTCTGCTCTCGTTCGGGCCTGAGAGAGGTCGTACATGCACCAGCACCTGCCTCGCTGGCCCACGAGAGGCTGCAGCGAGCGCGAGTCGCTCGCCGTGGTTGTCGCGTGTCGAGCGAGCTGGCGAAGCGGTCCCGCTCTCCTCACCAACCTCGCGCTCTTGCCTGCAGAGTCGCAACCCGTCAAGCACACCCGTCTGCGCAATCGACACGCGCCTGAACACCCACAGCGACCGCCGCTGTTGCCGAGCCACCTCCCACCTCACCCCCTCTCCTCCGCCTGTGCCCCTCTCGTTTCGCCCTCTCAGCGCCAGTTGATACACGGGCCAGCCAGTCAGCCTCTCTTCAGAACTCTACACGGTGCGTCCACCCTCCTCTTTCTCCTCTGGTATCGTGCGAGGAGGACGCGGGCCTTGATCGGCTTCCGGCTTGATCGGGGGCTCTGCATCGTTCGCGGCGGCATGGGGCGAGGCAAAGGCGCTCCCATTCACCGTTGGACAGCTGGACGGCATGCTGGGGCCTTAGCGGCTGACCTTGAGCGAGATTGGAGGGTGTGACGACGCAGGACGAGGTGGAGCTTCCGGCCGTGCGGCGTTCTGGCGCGCAGCTGGGCCAGAGACGACGTGCACAGCCGTCGCAGCCTGACGGGCCAGGACCTGCGCTGCCACCGTGCCGCACACTGCCCGGCCTGGTCGTCCACCCGTGCCCACCTCGCGGCGACTTGTCCTCGAACAGCAGCTCCTCGCGGCGCATCCTCGAGCAGCGGACCAGATGTACCAGAGCCTTTTACTGACAGCCCTCCCGAATCCGCAGACTTGACGACTCGACCTCGCCACCATCATGGACAAGCAGTTGATCAACACGGTCAACCGGCTCCAGGACGCGTTCGCCCAGAGCGGCCTCTCGAGCGCGCCTATCGACCTGCCCCAGATCGCTGTCATCGGCTCGCAGAGCTCGTGAGTCGCCGCCGCCGTCATGTTCGGGCCCGCATTCGCCGCGAGAAGTCGTCGCTGACCCTCGTCCTCCTTGCCCCCCTTCCTGCGCGCAGCGGCAAGTCGTCGGTCCTCGAGGTGAGCTCCTCTTTCCGCACTTGTCACCGCACGCCCCTCGAGCCGCTACTGACTCACTGCGGCCCCGCAGAACATTGTCGGTCGCGACTTCTTGCCGCGAGGAAGTGCGTCCCAGCTTTCCCCTCGGTGCTGCCTTGACACCCTCACGCCGACCTGACTCGCGCGTTCCCTGCAGCCGGTATCGTCACTCGTCGTCCTCTCGTCCTCCAGCTCATCAACCGGCCGGCGGCCCCAAAGGCCAACGGCGATGGTGCGTCTCGCGTCCCCCTCTCTCCCTCGCATTCTCGGCACGACCCTGACCCACTCTATCGCCCACCCGCAGCCAAGGAGGAAGGCACGCAGCCGACGTCGGACAAGGCGAGCAACGCTGACGAGTGGGCCGAGTTCGTGCGTCGTGCTCTCCCTGCGCTCGAACGTTCCCTCCCGAGCCGACGACCTGACGCCGCCGCTTCCCCCCGCGCAGCTCCACCGCCCCGGCGAGAAGTTCTTCGACTTCAACAAGGTGCGCGACGAGATCGTCGCCGACACGGACCTCAAGACGGGCAAGAACGCCGGCATCTCGCCGCTCCCGATCGGCCTGCGCATCTTCTCGCCGCACGTCCTCACCCTCACCCTCGTCGACCTGCCCGGCCTCACCAAGGTGCCCGTCGGCGACCAGCCCCGCGACATCGAGGTCCAGATCCGCAACATGCTCCTCAAGTTCATCCAGAAGCCCAACTCGATCATCCTCGCCGTCACGGCCGCCAACACGGACCTGGCCAACTCGGACGGCCTCCAGCTCGCGCGCGCGGTCGACCCCGAGGGCCTGCGCACGATCGGCGTCCTCACCAAGGTCGACCTCATGGACACGGGCACCGACGTCGTCGACATCCTCGCCGGGCGCATCATCCCCCTGCGCCTCGGCTACGTCCCCGTCGTCAACCGCGGTCAGCGCGACATCGACAACAAGCGCCCGATCGCGGCCGCCCTCGAGCACGAGCGCGAGTTCTTCGAGAACCACCCGAGCTACCGGTCCAAGGCGTCGTACTGCGGCACGCCGTACCTCACGCGCCGGCTCAACACGATCCTGATGCACCACATCAAGGCGACGCTGCCCGACATCAAGGCCAAGATCTCGGCCAACCTCGCCAAGTACGAGGCCGAGCTCGCGTCGCTCGGCGGGCCGCAGGGCGGCACCGACGGCAGCAGCGTCATCCTCGGCATCATCACCGAGTTCTGCGGCGACTTCCGCACCGCCATCGACGGCAGCTCGTCGGACCTGGCGCTCAACGAGCTGTCGGGCGGCGCGCGCATCTCGTTCGTCTTCCACGAGCTCTTCTCGAACGGCGTCAAGAGCCTGGACCCGTTCGACCACGTCAAGGACGCCGACATCCGCACGATCCTGTACAACTCGTCGGGCTCGTCGCCGGCCCTGTTTGTCGGCACGACGGCGTTCGAGGTCATCATCAAGCAGCAGATCAAGCGCATCGAGGAGCCGGCGCTCAAGTGCGCGTCGCTCGTCTACGACGAGCTCATGCGGATACTCGCGCAGCTCCTCAACAAGAACGCGACGTTCAAGCGGTACCCGGGCCTGCGCGACCGGTTCTACGCCACCGTCCAGGCCTTCTTCCGCAACCGCATGGTGCCGACCAACAAGCTCGTCCAGGACCTCGTCTCGATGGAGTCGACCTACATCAACACGGGCCACCCGGACTTTATCTCGGGCCACAAGGCCATGGCCATCGTGTCGGACCGCATGGCGGCGGCCAAGCCGCAGCCGGGCGCGGCCGGCCAGTCGGGCGCGGTCGACCCCAAGACGGGCAAGCTCATCCCGGGCGCGCTCAACAACGGCAAGGACCTCGACGTCGACCTCAAGCAGCGCGAGGAGGGCTTCTTTGGCTCGTTCTGGCCCGGCGGGCGCAAGAACCAGCAGCTGTCGCAGAAGAAGGGCGCGGCCGCCATGGAGGCGCCGCCGCAGGCGCTGCGGGCGTCCGGCACGCTGTCGGAGCGCGAGAGCATGGAGACCGAGGTCATCAAGCTCCTCATCTCGAGCTACTTTGCCCTGTCCAAGCGCACCCTCATCGACATGGTGCCCAAAGGTGCGTCCCCCCCTCCTCTCTTCCACTTCCTCTTCCTCTCGATCGAGCGGGCCCTGACTCTCGCCTGCGCCTTTCTCTCTCGTGCCTGCCCGCAGCCATCATGCTCAACCTCGTCTTCCACGCCAAGGACACGATGCAGCGCGAGCTCCTCGCCGAGCTGTACAAGACGGACCTGATCGACGAGATGCTCAAGGAGTCGGACAGCGTCGTGCAGCGCCGCAAGGAGTGCGTCAAGATGGTGCAGGCGCTCAACGCGGCCGAGGGCATCGTCGCGAGCGTCGGCAACTGAGCGGGTGGCGGTGGTGGTCGTCGTTGTCGTTCTCCTCGTCCCCTTGTCCCGGCGTCTCTCCTCCCCCTTGCCCCCCCCATGTGCCAGTGCGCTGTCTTGCCTCCGTATCACTCTCTGCCTTCTCCCTCGTTGCAAATCTCGACATGTTAGACGTGCTTGATGCGACGCGAGAGAGCCTGTTTGAAAACCTGAGACCCGGGGGAACGACGACGAGGAGGAGGTCGGAGAAAGCAGCCTCCCGCACCTCTCACCGCCTCGCTTGCCGCCGCCTTGCGTGTCAGAGTACACCTGCGCAGCGCAGCTACCGCCTCGTCCCTCCTGCGCCCCGCCTGCGCCTCGCCGACGCGCCCCTCGCAGCCGCCCCTTTCCTCCTCGACACCTCCCACCGTCGCCCGAGTCGCCCTCGACTCACACGCCTCCGTTCGATGAGCGGCGACCTGCGTTAGATGCCGACCAAACGTACCACGACCGCCGTCTACGCCTCGCCCGCCCGCCGGCCCATCCTGCGCGCGCGCAAGCGCCTCAAGACGGGCTCGTCGTCGCTCGCCCACCGCCTCGACTCGGACGGCGACGACCACGACGCGCCAGAGCGCACCGACTCGGACTACGAGGACCTCGTCGAGTACGACCGCGACCAGGACACGCGTCCCGCGAGCTCGCGCCGGCGCGGCAGGAGGTCCGCCCCGTCCGGCTCGACGCCAGCGGCGGGGAGCGGGGCCAGCTCTCGCGCGGCCAGCACCCGGCGCAACTCGCACGCTGCGCTCGCCGGCAGTGCCGCAGGCCCAGCAGGGCCCTCGCGCGCGCGCAGCACCGCGGCCCGCTCGCGCACGGAGGACGCCTCGTCGGCCGTCGTTCAACACTCGCGCTCGCGCGCCGCCGCTCGCGCTCCGCAACCTCTGAGCCCGCTCCCGGTCAACCACTCGGTCGAGCGTCAGCAACCTGTCGGGCGTTCCGTCAAGGGCAAGGAGCGCGCCGCCGACGACGGCGACGCTGACATGCTGCCCGTCGAGACGACCGCGGCGAGGCGCACGAGCGCGCCGCCTCCCCAACCCGGCGCCGGCCGCGTCACGAGACGCACGAGCAGCAGTGGCAGCGGCGGGAATGACGCCCCGCTGCGCCGCAGCCGTCGAGCGAGCTGGGCGACGACCGAGGGCGGGAGCGAGGACGAGCAGGAGGGCAACAGCGACGACGACGCGCACGGCGGCGGCAGCAGGAGTGCAGCACCTCGGTCGAGTCGGTTGCGCAGAAGGAGGGCGGCTCTCGAGGACATCAGCGATGCGGGCGAGGCGGCAGACGAGGAGGCCGGCGACGAGAAGTCGCCCGACGCGTCCGATGCGGCCGACGGCAACGGTGCGTCCTCTTCATCCACCGCCTCCACCGCCTCCACCGTCCCTAAGCGTGTACTGACAGTCTCGAGCGATGTATCGCAGACGTCGACACGAAGCTGCACGAGTGGGACGCCCACCATCTCGAAGCGCTCCTCAAGAGCGAGCTCGTCGACCTGTACCACCTCGCCCGTCCTGCATCATCGTCGTCGCACGCCGTCCCCCGCACCAAGGCCGAGCTCGCGCAGGCCATCGTCGAGGCGCGGTACCACTCGCACTCGTCGGGCTCGAACGACGAGGACGCCGGCGATGCAGACGGCGCCGACTCGCCGCACCCGCGCACGTCGCACGAGGGCAGCCCTGCCGACAAGGCGCTCGGTACTCGCCGCAGCCGGGCTCCGCGTCGCCGCATCGTCCTCCGCCGGAGCGGCGTGCGCGGCCAAGAGCCGACGCCGCCGCCTTCGGACGACTCGCGCGACGGCGACGCCTCGTCCGGCTCGACCTCGACTGGCTCGGCCTCGGGCGACGACACCGAGATCGACGAGTCGGGCCCGTCGTCGAGTACCGCACCAGGCGCGTCGACCCGCATGACCCGCCGCGCGAGCCAGGTCGAGATGCCGCCTCCTGCGCTCCCTCCTGCCGGCGCCAAGCGCAACATGCGCACGCGCTCGAGCATGCCTGGACCTGGGCTCTCGGGCTCGCCTCGCGCCAAGAGCGCGCGCGAGCTCGCGCTCGCCGTCGACCCGGACGGCGAGGGCGGCACGGGCGCCACGCCGGTCGCGCACCGCACGAGGCACCATGGCCACGTTGCGCACCCGCCGCCGCAGTCGCCGCAGCACCAGCGCACCGCCTTGCAGCTCGCGTCCGGGTCGCCGAGGCCACTCCGGGCGGCCAAGCGTCGCGCCGTCGCCAGGCTCGCCGACGCCGACGGCGCCGCGACCGACAGCGACGAGGACGAGGACGAGGAGATGGTCGACGACGCCGACTCGGGCTCGGGCCCGGGCTCCGACTCGCACGACGCGTCGCACTCGGTCGAGCCTCGCCGCCCGACCCACAAGGTCGGCGGGGCGAGCGGCAGGCGCCGCCCGTCCCGCACGGCCAAGCAGGTCGAGACGCCGCCGTCCGATGCCGACGAGGAGAGCGGAGGCGAGGCGGAGCGCGGGGCCGACGTCGGGCAGGAGGAGGAGCGCTTCGAGGCCAAGAGCCACCTCCGCCAGGCGGGCTCGCCGAGGAAGAGCGGCGGGCGCCTCGTCAAGCTGCGCACGACGGCCGAGGCGGACGAGGACGAGCAGATGGACGAGGCTGGGTCTGGCGAGGAGGACGGCGACACGACCGTCTTAGACGAGGCTGCGGAGGAGGACGGCCAGAGTGCGTCCGACTTTCTCTCTGCCAGGCCCGCCTCGCCCGCCCCCTCTGACTCGTTCACGCGCACTGCAGACGACGACGGCGTCGATCTCGCGCAAGCCACGTCGACCTCGCTCATGCGGTACAAGAAGGACGACCTCGTCCGCCTGTCCAAGGAGCGCGACCTGCTCGACGACGAGAACCGCAACAAGGGGCAGCTCGTCGAAGCTCTCATGTACTGGGTACGCTCCTCTTTCTCGCTCTCTCTGCCACGAACGTCCCGTCGACAGCCCTCCGACGCCGTACCCTGCAGCGCGACAACCAGGCGACCGAGGTGTCGTCGCCCGTTTCCTCGCCTCTCTCGTCCAGCTCGACCATCTCGAACCTGTCGACCCAGACGGCCCGCAACGAGACCAAGACGCAGGCCTTGCGAGGTCTCGAGCACGCCTCGGCACGCACGGCCGCCGGCACCACGCCCCTCCTCATGCGCCCCGAGCACCTCGCGAGCCCGAACAAGCCGCAGTCGGCCCAGCACTCGAAGGAGAACGAGCAGCAGGAGGACGTCAACGCGCTCGACCTCGAGAGCCTGCAGCTGCGCGACAAGGAGATCCAGCCTGAGGAGCTCACCAAGCTCGAGCTCGTCGGCTCGGGCGGGTTCAAGGTGCGTCCCCTCCTCCTCTTTCTCCTTCGTCCCCCTCTTCGAGAACCTTGACCGACTCTCTCGTCGGCCTGCAGGACGTGTTCAAGGGCATGCTCGACGGCCGCACCATCGCCATCTGCGACATTCGCGGCCACTTGACCGACATGGACATCAAGGAGCTCGGTCTCTTGCGCGACCTGCGGCACCGCAACATCGTCAAGTTTATCGGCGTCTCGATCCCCAAGCAGCCGTCGGCGGTCCCCGTCATGATCGTCACCGAGCTGTGCGCCAACGGCGACCTGTTCGACTACCTGCGCAAGGTGCCGGCGCCGCCGTTCTCGGCCATGCTCGACCTCATGCTCGGCATCGCGCGCGGCATCGAGTACCTGCACAAGCGCAAGCCGACCATCATCCACCGCGACATCAAGTCGAGCAACGTCCTCATCACGGGCGACGGCGTGCCCAAGATTGCCGACTTTGGCCTCGCGCGCATCAAGACGTCGACCAAGTCGATGATGCGCTCCCTCGTGGGCACCGTCAACTGGCAGGCGCCCGAGTTGTGGAGCCCGCACCCACGGTACAACGAGAAGGTCGACGTGTACTCGGTCGGCCTCGTCTTCTGGGAGATCCTCCAGTGGCGCCAGCCAGTCAAACGCTACCCGTTCGAGGGCCAAAACGAGCACGTGCGTCCTCGCTCTGTCTCTGTCTCTCTTTCTCTCTCTCGCGCTCGCCCTCGTCAAGCCCGAGCCGTCGCTGAACTCGCCGAGTGCGCGCAGGCCATCTACCACGATGTCGGCGCCAAGCAGCTACGTCCTCCCGCCGGCCCGCTTCGCCGCCAGTGGGGCAGCGAGATCATCGACCTCATGACCGAGATGTGGGACCAGGACCCGACGTTGCGGCCGTCGATGGGCAAGGTCGTCGCCGAGGTGCAGCGCCTCGTCGCGGCCGAGAAGGCCAAGGAGCGTGCGGCAAAGCGCGCCGCGCAGTGACGGCGCCGGGTCGCGCTCTCTCGTCTCCCCTCTCTCCTCCTCCTACCTGCCGCCTCGCCGCCGTCGTCGCCGAGCCTGTTATAGCGCGTCCTCTCCTCGCCATCGTCGTATTCTTTCCGCCAGTCCGGCTCGCCTTTGCCCTCTTCTCCTCTGTTCCCTGCATTCCTTCCGCAGAGCCCCCACTGTCGTTCCCGTTGCAATGTGTTTCTCTCTCGTCTTCACGCGCTTGAGAGCATGGTCGAGGATCGAAGAGGGCGGTTCACGAAAAGCCGAGCCTCTCGACGGGCAGGGACAGGCTAGGGCACGCCGCCTCGTTGCAGCTCGTGTACACTCGACTCAACCTCCGTCGCTGTACGCGCGCCGGGAGAGCCCTCGCTCGCCGCACTCGGACCCTCGGCCGCCCGACTCGAGCTGTCCCTCGCCGCTTCCTCGCTCGTGCGAGCGCATCTCGCCCGAGCTTGAGCCTCCACACCTCGATGCCGTCCCAGTCGGCCTCGTCGTCCCACGCGAGAGTGCCGCGTCGGCCTCGGGCCGCTCGACGAGGCGCTTGAGGCGGGCGTGGTCGACGCGGGCCAGCTTGAAGCCGTGGACGTCGCGTGCGGCGGCGAGGAACGAGTCGACGAGGAGCGGGTCGCGGCGCTCGAGAGCGAGGTAGACGGGTGCGGGGGACGAGGCCGGGCGGCCGAGGAGAGACAGGCGGGCGAGGGTGCGCAGGAGGGGGGCCGAGAGCGAGGGGTCGTACACGGTGTCGGCGGTCGTCACGAGGTCGAACGGCGGGGCGTGCGGCGCGGGAGGAAAGTCGAGGGTCGAGTCGAGCCAGTCGAGCGGAGCGGCGACGAGCGTGCCGGCGAGGGACGAGGCCGACGAGGACGAGCAGTTTGTGCCGAGGACGCCGTCGACGAGGGCGGGCAGGTCGGTCGCGAGGGTGTGGTACCCGAGGGCGGCGAGCGAGAGTGCGACGAGACCGGTGCCGCTGCCAAGGTCGACCGCGCGCTGTGTTGAGCGACTCGCCGAGGTGGACGAGGTCGACAGGAGGTCGGCGAGGTACACGGCGAGGACCTGGGCTCCGAGCCACACGGTGCGCCCGGTCGAGTCGGCGAGGCTGTTGTCCTGCTCGACGGTGACCGTGTGCTGGCCTGGCAGGACGTAGTCGAGCACGAGCTGGTCCTTGGTCGCGTGAGCGGGCGAGTTGCGACTGGGCATGGGCTCGACGCGACGGCGCGGCTGGGTGCGGTCGAGTAGGAGTGGATGGTGCAGGACAGTTGCTCGCAGGCTCTGGCCCACTCGTTCGCTCGCAGGCGGCAGCGGCGGTCGTCGGAGAGGAGCCAGCATCGTCCTCCCCCGGCTCTCGCACCACCGCACCCCTCGCGCTCACTTGCTGAGCTTGACGAGCCTTTGCTGCTCGACTGGCGTGCTGCCGGGACCCTCTGAGCCCGCTCGCCACGCCCTGCGACCTGCCGCCGTCGCGTTCTCGTCCTCATCGCTCCTCGTCCAACCCATCCCATCAGCAGCACCCCGCCCTCGCCCAGCCGCCGTGCGCAGTGGTGCAGCAGCTCCTCTTTCAGTGCACGGCCCGCCAGACGCGCCCGCCGCTCAAGCTGCAGCTCCACGAGGTAGCTTGACCGTCTCCTCCCCTCCCCCCCTCCGCCTTGGCCCGCTCGCGGGCAGTTCGAGCTTGTTGCGGACCGGGTCTGACTGCGCCTTGCCCTTCTCGTCTCGCAGACTCGCCGCCGTCTTGCCCGCATGCCGGGCGACTGTCCTTCTCGCGCTCCCCTTCCCTCCCGCCCTCGCCCTCTCCCCTCGCGCGCCGGCTCGCCTCGGGCACGGGCAGCACGCCTTCCACCCGCATTACCTCGACAGTTCAGCTATACGTGCACCATCCTGTCGAACGACTACGCCTGGCGGGCTCGCCACCGGCTCTGGCGCCGCCTCGAGCGCCGAGCGTTTCTCGTCTCGACACGCCGTCGCCGACGCCTGCTCTCGGCACATCGCGTCGCACGCCCTCAATACGCCTCGAGACTTGGAGCGCAACCTGTTCGCGTCCTTTATGGGTCGACGGGGTCGAACCTCGGCCCGAGTCCCGCATACCAGACTATTGAGGAAAATGGTATGCCCCTTTATGTGC